ACCAAGACAACGGTGATATTGCACCATCTATCTAGGTTCTAACCACTATGGCGGCATGAAATGGAACAGCTTTCACAGTTCACACCCATCTGCAATACCCTCAGATGTTGTACAGATGGATGTACTCCGTAGTACCTTGGATGATTGGATCCTGTCTGCGGAATAAATACCCTCAATCAGCATCCACAGGACCAGAGTTACGGACGGGCACCCAATGACCGTATACCTATAGCCTCTATTGAGTCTAAAGGCCTGAATAAGAGTATACTAGTTATAAGGTGCTACGGAGTAGCAGAGCTATCATGAAACTTAGTGAGTCTGATCCCGTCAACCAGAACCACCTAAAAAAAGGGCGGCTATAGCCTATATCCCACTGTCAATTGCCCATGGTCGAATACTGGATGAGGTGGTGATACTTCCAAGCTTCGAAGCGAAGATAGCGACAAACCCTGTCCATGGCCTGGCCCAGTGAGCCAAGGACGCAAACTGCAGCCACAAATGTCCGTGCAGAACATGGGAAAGACTACTAGAAGACTAGAGTAGCATCCAATGATGCCACATGCCGAGCCATCAGAACTCAGAAGGAGAAAAAGATCAAAACACGAAACCAGGGAAGTTTGCGCAGTCGTCGAGTGTCACTGGGTGGAAGGGATATGCTTGACGTCACAAGTAGGGGAATTTCCAAGGAAATTGAGTTGGAAGAATTAACGCTAGTCAGTAGCTTCTTCTGGGCTGGGTACATCCTTGTTGGTGGGGGTTTGCAATATTTATCGAGGTACCTACTATGTAGAGTCCTAGACTAGTCTAGTATGCGCATTGTACTCCAGTCTCTAAGTAGCCGCCAATCTGCTAGTATATCGATACTATTCTTGAGGTTCTGATTTATCGTCATTGTCAATCACACCATCCTCCACGTTGTCGTGATTTACTGTCCTTTTTTTGCCATCAGAAGACAGCTGGAAGTTTATATAAGAAGAGTAAATACCTGAAGGGGATGCTATAATATGTATCCATGTTACCCAATGCTACCTTTGTCTTAATTGACATTCTTACCGACTTCCCGAGTCAGCGCTCAGCTATCACACGGACTCCGGAGAACGGAGGAGAGACCTGACATTATCATCCCGTGAAGCCAAGACCCCCACAGTCCGGGCATCTCGGGTACGTAGTTAGACAGATAGGTAGCTGCTATGATGCAGTATTGTATGAACGATCCAGACAAAAAAAAAAAAAACAGGATTTTTTTTTTCTCAATGATCATCGGTCCATCGAAAATTCCTCCCAAGCAGGATCGATCTGGAATATGAACAACATCTACTACTGAAGTGATGAAAAAAAATAGCCCCCACATAAAATTGTATCCCCTTGTGAAATTACTGCAGTGGGGTGCGATGGAAATTATTTCCTAGTGACAGTCGATACAATGCTTCTGTATGAGGGTCTCTTAGTGATACAGATTACTGATATAGGTTGCAAATCGAGTAAGCCCACCAGACATGTCAGAAGTGAGAGGAGTCGTCGGGGAAGTCCCAGGGTGAACGTGCACCCCCGCTAGAAAACGCCATTCAAGCCATCACAAGCCCATTCCAGGGGGCCCATCAACCTTGAGCAACCAGGATCTCTGGGACAGAGACATCAAAAACCAGGCCCAAGGCAATTATATTCAGGTTCTAGTTGTATAGCATAAACTATAACTTCCTTAGAAGTCCTTACTAGTATCCTGAAGCCAAAAGTTTCACATCCAAAGTCTCAACAGTCTCAAGATTCATTTTCTTATGTCGGAAGTATCTAGACCTGGCGAGACCACTTGACAGAGACAGCTTTGGGTGTTTCCGGCGTTCTGGTTGGTGGTGGCAACGGGGAGGCTGGCGCTAAGTGAAGGCCGGCTGTCTAGGATTCTACTAGGCCTTTTTATTCTCCCCCCCAATTCCCTCTGCTTTGGCGAGTGGGTGGGGACGTCAGCTCCTATCAAATCAAGTATCCATTTTATCTAGTAGAATCTACTATCAAACAGGTAGGTAGGTAGGCAGTTAGGTAGGTTGAATGGTTCAATGGTTGATAGTGCCTAGTAAGGTACGACGGGGACTAAGGAGATAAAGGTACATCATAGAACGTAGATATTCAATGGCTCTCAACTCCCAACCATTGACCTTCCAAGTATATACTCCGGACTCCGGAGAAGTATCTCCAGAGTTGGAGTTTCGTGAACGTGGAGTTCCAGTCTTCAATCAGTCGCCGATTGTTCGGTTCAGTACGGATACGGGAAGGTATTGACTTTCTATCATACCTACTTATCTACTCCGGAGTATTGTCCTCATCTGATACCAAGCGCCTGCTGCAGAAGAAGATGAAGAAGATCCCCCTCAGGGGGTTTTTTTTATCATTTTTTTTTAATAATATATCAAAAGAGCAGATCAAGGAGGCTCCGAGGATAAACCCTCCCAACAATCGATCTGTGGTGATGGTGTCGTCTGAGACAATCTCAAGCAAGATAGAAGCTCATTCCTTGATTTTGTGACATTCCTGATTCTTCTTGCTCAAGTAGTGTAGACATGCAGCGATACCTACGTATGTATGCAGTAGGTCGTACATGTACAAAGTGGACCACATTACTCCGGACATGCAGCCTTGAAGATCACCTGTCCTCCACTAAGCCGCATGTACTCCCGTCTTTTCCATACGTCTCCGACCTAGGGAGGTACGTGATAGAGAAGTGTACATATTACATACAGCTGTAGTTAGTCGGCTGCCAAGGTTGTTCACTACTGGCGGGACCAGAGGTTCGTTTTTGGTTTAAACATTATGTACACAATACTGCTCACTCGAATTCGATCAAGCCACTAAAAGAAGTTCTGGAGTCTTGACCTAGTAACTACTTATGGTATGTTCCTGACTCAGAAGGTTTTCCTTGTGGTCTGAGTACGATTGTCAAAACGGCCGGGCGTTCAAGCGACCGCGGAGGCGAAAAGCACGATAAAAAATTGGAAGCAACCCAGACTTTGCTCTTCCGTACGGCGTACGCTTGTACACTGCGCCCGTATGTGACCTAGAGTCAAACAGTCATACAATGCCCGTCCCAGTCAGAACCCAGACCCACTCCAACGGAACGCATTGACTGGTCTACTGGGGATCGTCCCACTGTCCCAGACCGTTCGATCGCTTTTAAAGTTCGCCTGTATTTACCAATAATACACCATCTTTCCATCATCACCTCATCTGTCGTTGTTTTCCGGCCCCCAGCGGCACCGACTGAGATATACGGAAGATGCTTGGCCGACTTATCGCCCTTCCCAACGGCCATAGTAAGCGGTAGGATTTTTTTTTTCTTTTTTTGTTTTTTGTTTCGTTTCCCTCTCCAAGCTCTGAAAAAGGAAAAAAAATAAGAAAAAGAGCAACATGAAAATTCTATTTTATCTTCGTTCGTCAAATAAATAGAAAAATTCGATCAAAAAGCAACTAGAAATGCAATACTACTGATACTTCCTCCCCTTAATCAATTTGCCTCCACTCTCCCATCTTTTTTTTTTTTTTTACCTCTGCCTAGTGCCAGCTCCAAAGAGGTCCAGTTCAAATTTTACCGGATTTCCCTGGGATCTTTCAGTACCAGAATCCATTGATCTGCTTCCTTATCAACTGATATCATTCCTGTTTACTTACTCTATCACAATTAACTACTGCGGCTCCCTCGCTCTGCTGCTTCTTCTCCATCATCATCAGCATTTATAATTATTTGATTATTATTATTATCATTATTTTTTATTATCTTCTTTCTCATCAGCGTCTCTCTCATATACTTCCTCCTCCCCCCCCCTTCGTCTTCCACTAGTTCTTTTTGCTTTCCTATTTTCTTCTCTTCTTAGTTCCAATCAGCATCTGGGGGATTTTTCGGTTCTTGTTCTGTGCTTTATTTTTGTTTCTTGGCTCTGTAAAACTTAAAGTGCTTGTGTCCCTTCATCCTCTATCTACTTCGACTCTCGACCTTTTTCCATCTTCCGGCCGACCCAATTCCGATCTCCCTCTCTCGCCGCTCTTTCCACTAGATGTCGAGTCCACAAGGTATGTACATGCAGCTTTCGACCTCCCTCCAAAGCGATGACCATGCCACACATACTCACTCAACCTTTTCAACCTATTTCGCCATCTCTTGATAATTCAATCAGAATGGCGGTGATGCCTTCCTCGAATCCTATTTCATCCTGATTTCCACTTGTGTTACTTTTAGAGGGCCTTGTGTAGTGATACATGGCTCTCATTGCCTCCATCTCCCGGATACAGACATTGCTTATGCTCCAACGCTCCTTCTGTCCTGATAATTCGGATTGTGCTTTCACTTCCGACCCTCCCACCTGTCTAACTTCCTTTATCTCCTTTTCCACCTCACTGTCTATCTATCTATCCAGCTCATCATCACTTATTTACCTCCCACCGGATCTTCCCTGCATGTGTGAGGTTGCACATCCTCCCAATAGTCGTTGCCACCTCTCCTCCTGTCGTACACACTTCGCCAGCAATCTCTCGTCTTCCACTAACTCTGGCTCAGATCATATTTACAGGAGCCGTTTCTTTGAACGACTCAATCTTTGATTTCCTCATCTTGGATTAAAGCTGCTTTCTTCTAGCTAGCTGTCCTAGTACCTTGATTCAACTACCAACCCTTTCTCATTTATCATCCTGCTTCTTGTGTTTGATCACACAAGTCCGGCCGGATGCCATACACTGCGCCATTGAAGTCGTCGCCTTCCGCGCAGCACATTGAACACTCCCAACATATCTCTCACTCCTGTCCCAGTTCTCCCCTCTCAGTGACCTCCAAAGCTGAACGTCCACATTTGCCACGTTCTTATTCATCCACTGCGTATGTTCGCAGGCATCGGAGGAGCCCGTCGAACAGCAAATCCTTCGTCTTTCCAGCTGTGGACACCCGATCTCCCAAGCCCCATCATGTCGTCGACACTCTGGCTAGTGTCAGACAATCGCCGCCTCCGATAAGCGATGCGGTCATGCCTCCCGGAGCGGTGATTTCCCCACCAGAGTCCGCTCCCAATTCAAGTGACGAGGAGTCGACGCACCAGCAACGGGATATCCTACAGTTGGAGGAGCTCGAGGCCGCAGTGAGGTCGATTGAACAGCGACGGGCTCTCTCTCCGGAACGGTCATCGCCAGCCGAGAGACCCTCGTCGAGTACCATCTCCGCCACCCGTATGGAACAGCCCTCTCGCCCACCCCTGACCAAGGAGGCGCGCAAAATCTCGCACTCTCGGTCGGCCACTGAGAGCTGCATTCCTCAGAAGCATGAAGAAGCCGTGACAAGCTCGCCCGAGGAGAGTGAGAGAGATGACGAGCCTTACAGGAAACAGCCCATGGTACGGAAGAAGTCGGGTGAACTTGTCAGACCAGCTTTACGCCCCCCCTCGTCCCGGCGGCGGCCCTCTAGCATGCCAGGCACCCCGACATACGCCAAAGTGGTTCACTTCGACTCTCAGCTCGAGCATATTCGCCACTTCCTCCAGTTGGATAAACCACAGGCCGTTAGTGCCAACACATCTCCTGTGGAGGAGTATAACCATGAAAGCGAATTCCCTTTCGAGGCCCCGTCCTTCGAGTGGGATATTCGTCTGTCGAACTTTCCCAAGGATTCGCCTGCCCGGGCTCTTCAGAAGGTTCGACTCGAACGGTTGCACCTGTCATCTGACAAGAACACATTGGTTGGTGTTGTAGCAGTGGCCAATCTAGCTTTCCACAAGCAAGTTGCCGCTCGCTTCACCTTCGATTATTGGAGGACAGTTTCCGAGGTCGCTGCTCAGTACAATGACGATGTCCGCCGGAAGCAAATCAACGATGGCTACGATCGATTCTCTTTCAGCATTAAATTGACTGATCAGGCAAATCTCGAGCACAAGACCATGTTTGTTTGCATTCGCTACAGCGTGGCTGGGCAGGAATTTTGGGACAACAACAACTTCATGAACTACCAAGTGAATTTTGTTAAGACGCCTAAGCCCCGTCCGGAATCTCGATGCCCGTCCACCTCAAGCTCCCGCCCGGCCCTTCCGCGCAGCAAGAGCTTCGCTGGTTCGCACAGCCGTCCTCATACCATGGCATCATCGTTCGACACCCTCGACAACTTCGAGGATATGAACGACTACCTTTCTTTTGGTCGTCCTAAGAAGACAAAGGAGGAACCCTCACCCGAAAATCTGTTGAAGGAGGTCCACAGCATGAATTCCGCCCGCCGTGAAAAGCAGAACCGTCAAGTATTTGGTAACCGGTATGATTTTGGGGCTTCGCTGTCCGCAGTCATGCGAACAAAACCCTCCCATGATCGCACAACTTTAACTGCCCAAGCCAAGTCCGGAAATGGCCAGTCCAATTCCATAAGCCCGGCTCCTGCGAAAAAGGCGGAAGGTCTGCCCATTAACAAGGCAACGGTAGTCCCCCAAGTTAGCCCTCAACATGTGCAACCCTCTTCTTTGTTGTCCAGCAAGCCACATCATGATTCGTCCGTGTACAAGGAGCTAGTCGACAAGTTTTGCTTCTATGGGTCGCCCAAGGGCCCCAACGGCATCAATCGACCTGTGAACAAGGAGACGACTGATCTACAGCAAGAGTCTTCCAGCACTTCCAGCTCACCTTCACCTCCGCTGTCGCCCCCCTTGTCACCGCGCGCGATCGAACCCCTCGGCATCGGACTTGGGGACAGCTGCTCCTCGTCTGCGAGCCCTATCAGCTCGAGCCCTCGTAATGCTTCACCATCACCAACTCGCTTTGATTATTCCCATCATCCTCATATCCAACCCAATTTCTTTAAAGAGTCTCACACCCCTGCCGCTATTCGGGGATGAGTTGTGATGTTTCAAATGACTCTTCCACAAATCTATTCAAGAGACACAACCCTAATATATCCTCATTCTGCTCAGGTCAAATGGCCTACGGCATTCTCCTATGGCATTCTACCATCCATCTGCGGCGCAGTCCACAGATCGAATACAATCATCAATCATCTCTCATCACACTAATTTTCTACCCAATCCATTATCTGTTGGGGTAGTTTGAGATCTGTCTTCATCGTTGCACTTGTCCAGCTATGATTATCGGGCTTGATTTTGTCTGTTTTTCCTCTGCTCTCACGTTGCTACCCATCTCAAGTATTGAGGTGTACTCCTTTGCGATGTATCATAAACCGCAGGGAAACACTCTTTACTTGGCCGTGGTGCTTGTTTCTCTCTCTCTGAAGCAATGATTTATGGTGGAAGACAAGTTATGTTTCTTCATTAATTGCGATATCACTCTTGAGTTTTCTCATGGGCACGATGATACGAATTTTTTTTCAATGGTTTTTTCTTCCTGCATACTAGTCTAGTAGTTTGCTCGCAGCATTCTATGAGATGGACCATTGCAATCAGGAAAAGTTTTTTTTTTTTTCTTCTTTCATACCTTGGGTCTCGATTATCGGTCTTCTGAGATACGCTCAACTTCAGTTGAGTTTCTGCATGGCGTTAAAGGGTTCTGTATTGCTTCTACTCGTCCTAGTTCAAATTTCAGGGCCGATGGGGATGCAAATTTTTCTATATTGTTTAACACTTGTGGACAAGTTCTGATATGATATGTAGAGGCAAGGAATGCTAAACTGATTCAACACGCATGACGTCGTGATTTCTTCAAGGATGATGTGCAGATGTACTCTCGTAAGCAATCCAGTAAGGTCTGAGGAGCTGTCGCCTAGGGTGATTAGATGCATCTGGGTGCATGAGTACTGAGATTACTTTACTTCCGATGACATCCAGACCATCTGGTGATGATGTGAGGTTGACGGTAAGCCGCCAAGCACTCACGTGACCGTACCCGTCCGATACACCCGTGTCTTTTGTTTCACGGCGGGAAAAATGCGCCAGACTGGCGGGCAGAAACACGGGCTCGAAAGCAGCTGTTCATAACGCCCATTTTCGCAGCCGCCACCCGCCAATTAACTCGTCTCATTGCTTTTGACCCTTCCAGACCTACCCCTGGGCTTAGTCATTCGCTGGAAAACCGCAGACAGCGCAAGAAATCGCCCTGTCGCTTGCTGACCGCCCGGGCAGACCTATATAAGCGTACGGCTCCTTCGCCCCTGCCAGCTGCTTCTGATCCTTTTTTTCTCCTTTCCTTTTTTTCTGCTATCCATCCCGGCTTCCGACGCGTTACGCCTATCGGTTTCATCCACGCCACCAGACTTTTCCATCGCCTTTCCATCTATTTTCTTATCGTCTTATCATTCTTTCATATCATACAATATGACTGGACGTAAGTATTCTGTTTTATCTTCTTATCTGGGACTGGGGAGGTTGATTCATCGTCGTCGATGAGACCTGGGGTTGAGATGAAGGTGATGACGCATATGGCTCTTGGCACGTGACGTGACGTCGCTGCCTGAGGCACTCGAATCCCCCCCCATTCCACGTTCATCTCGACTTGTGTCTACACCCATGTCATCTGTTCTGAATCTCTTGTTCAGGTCTATTGAGTATTGCAACAGCTAACAGTCCTTTCTTCCAGGCGGCAAAGGAGGCAAGGGTCTCGGCAAGGGTGGCGCCAAGCGCCACCGCAAGATCTTGCGCGACAACATCCAGGGTATCACCAAGCCCGCCATCCGCCGTCTCGCCCGCCGTGGCGGTGTCAAGCGTATCTCCGCCATGATCTACGAAGAGACCCGTGGTGTCCTCAAGTCCTTCCTCGAGTCGGTCATCCGTGACGCCGTCACCTACACTGAGCACGCCAAGCGCAAGACCGTCACCTCGCTGGATGTCGTCTATGCTCTCAAGCGCCAGGGCCGTACCCTCTATGGTTTCGGTGGCTAAGCGATGTGTCATCGTCTTTTTTTTTTTGATCTCTTGGTGTTGGTTGCTCCGCGTGTGGCCGGATTCTGCGATTTGAATGTGGTCCGGCTGTGCGGGAAGTTCGGGATACCGTGATCTGCCTACCTTTCCATTCTAATGCGTCTACGGTGTGATGTTTCTTTTTTTCCTCCTTATGATCTCAAATTGTTGAGTCGTCTTGTCTATCGGGTGTTTCACAACTCTTATCGCGGTACGGGGTTAGGAATGGGGTTTTCTTTTTTTTATCTTACGTTTTGTTTTTTCAATGGGCTTGGAGGAATCGACTGGCTTGGTTTCTTTTTTTAGCTGAATAGTTGTGGTCTGGTTCTAGCCATTAGCCGCAATCTACGGATTACTCAAGAAACGTGTTCTATTTTCGTAGATCGTATGGAGCAACAGAGCAGTTGTCGGGACCCCGCGATGGTCTGATAGTGAGTACTCCGTAATGACAAAGAATGGAGGATCACGTGTCACGATATGCGGGATCCCCATTCGTGCACGGACCAAGTCCTGCATGACGTTATCCACCCTGCATTCTCGCTGGCGGATGAACTTGGACCTCGGCCATCGCGCGAAAAGAATCAGGAAATGACGGCGTCGGCGTCGGTTGGCTTGTCGAAAAGTTTTCGGCTTTCTTTTCAAACTAGCTATTCTCTTGTTGTCTGATGTGTGACTGACGTTTTTTTAGTATTGAGAAATTACCTGGCAGTGAACATCGTCAGTTGCTATGGTTGAGTAGCTTCCAGTGTGGCGCATGTGGTTCTGCTCGTTGTGATTATTTGTTGACGGTATCTGGACTTGGCTGGGCTGGATTGTATCAACTCATCTACTTGATTGCTTTGCTATATTCCAATTGTGATAGTGATAAGGGGAGATGTCGGAGTACAAGCTCGCCTACGAGTCTGAGTTGGTATGTTGTCTCGTGCTGTTATGGGCCTCAACTATAGCTTCTGGGTGTCAACCGGTGGAAGTGCTGACAAGAGGACTTGAAACTCAAAATAGGACTCATACCAATTATACCATCGATATGAAGACCCTGCGCCGGAGAAGGACTGGAAGACAGCTGCCCTGCGCGGCCCGGCGCTGCCAGCCGTGGGCAATGCCGTCGCGGGAGCTGTAGGCGCAGCGATATCCAACATCGTTACCTACCCGCTCAGTTTGATCGTCACTAGACTACAGACCCAGGCGCAGAGACGGTCAGGAAGGAAGAAGGAGAAGAAGAGCGATGGAGACGGGGACGAGGATGAAGAAGACGAAGAAGAGTATACCGATGTGCTGGACGCCGCACGCAAGATCTACGCTAAAGAGGGCCTGGGGAGCTTATATACGGGTCTGGCGCAGGATACGGCCAAGACGGTGGCTGATTCGTTCCTGTTCTTCCTTGCATATGGGTTCTTCCGACAGCGCCGGATCAAGGCCCGTTTTGGCGAGCGCGGAGGGTCGAAGCATGTCGTTCTTCCGATTCTGGATGAGTTGGCTGTGGGCGTACTCGCGGGCGCGTTCACAAAGCTCTTCACCACGCCGTTGGCGAATATCGTGGCGAGGAAGCAGGCGTCCTCGGGCAGGAAAGCAGTATCGACGAAGGAGATCGCGGCACGGATCCAGGCTGAGAAGGGTTTCCGGGGGTTCTGGTCTGGATACTCGGCCTCGCTCATACTCACCCTGAACCCGTCCATCACGTTCTTCCTGAACGAGTTCCTGAAATATGCGCTCTCGTCGCGGAGTAAGCGCGGGAGACCGTCGGCGGCGACGACGTTCCTGATCGCGGCGATCAGCAAGTCCGCCGCGTCGTCGATCACGTACCCCTTCTCCATGGCCAAGACACGAGCTCAAGTCGACAGCTCGGGGAAACAAAACACGGGCGGGAGCGAGAATGCGGCATCCGACCGCGCGATCCCGTTCATGCCCCGTATCATCTCGAATGTGCTCGCCATCGCTCGCAACGAGGGCGTCTCTGCTCTGTATGCGGGTCTACCTGGGGAGGTCCTCAAGGGCTTCTTCTCGCACGGCTTCACCATGCTCGCCAAGGACGCAGTCTACTCTCTGATCGTGCAGAGCTACTATCTTCTCCTCATCATTCTGAGACGGTATCCCACGCCCGAGGAATTGGTCCAACGGGCCCGTGAACAGGCAGAGGAGTTCGCCCAGGCCGCCCGCGAAGGAGCCCGCGATCTGGCGGAGAAGGCGAAGGAGGACGCCGAGGAGATCCTTGACCACCATTCGGGTAATATCGCTGTAGACATGACCTCGAATGCTGGCCCTGCGGCGGGTGTGGATGCCTCAACCGGATACCACATTGGACCCGATGGTCCATGGTCGGATTCCAATGAGACGGCCGAATTGGTGGGAGACTATGTCGAAGATGAGGCGGCGGAGTGGAAGAGTCTGTACCACTGGTTCTGGGAGAAGGGAACGCATGGACATGATTGAGCAATGCAGTTTCTTGATCAGTCTTGTTCAGACAGTGGCATGACATGTTACAGCGAGCTTTGATGCCTTTTTTGCTTTTTTTCTTTTTTTTTCTTTTTTTTTTTTTCCTTTGTCTCATAGTAAAGCGTAACATCCGAGTTGTGGAGTATGCAGCATCAATATTCCAAATCCATACTTTGTGATAGAACCGATTGTACTCTCAGCTGTACGCACTATGCATCATGCTGCTCTGCTCTTCACGAGTTTTCCCACCTCTTTTACAGGTCTAAGAATAGCGTGCCAAATCCACCCGCTTAGCCAGTGGGGCTTTTGCAGCCTTTCAGCCCTTCACGCCCCAAGATCCCTCGCTGATCGATCCGTGGGACAGTCAGGACCTTGACTGTAGAAACACACACCGAGTGTTGTTTACCTCGTCTATCTACTGCTCCGTCTACCATCTACAGTCTCCCCTCCGACTGTGGATTCTTTTTTTTTCCCTTCTCTCCATGTCAACGGTACCTCCTGGTGGTCCTGGCTTGCTGGACCTTGAGAAAGAACTGACCTGTTCGGTATGTACTCTCTGCAGTCTGCACGCATCTTCCTGCTTCTGCGTCATTCAATATGAGATCTACTATCTCTACAAAACGTCCTCTGTCATATTACCTCCTTGCATCGCGGAAAGTCGTTTATCTTTCTTCAATTTTCAATACCGTTTGCGCAGATTTTCTCGATTGTTTTTCGATGATCACCTCTGCTCGTGGCGTTTGTGACAGCTCACCGACTGACTCCGCTGTGCATCCCAGATCTGCACAGAACTGCTTTACCAACCTCTCACCCTGCTCGATTGCCTACATACGTTCTGCGGCTCTTGTTTGAAAGAATGGTTTGCGACTCAAGCGTCTCGGCGACGATCCTCATCTACCCCGCGGTTCACCTGCCCATCATGTCGAGCCGTGGTTCGCGAAACACGGCCCAATGCCACCGTCACTACATTGCTGGACATGGTTCTTTCGGCCAACCCTGATCGCGAAAAACCTGCCGACGAGAAGGAGGAGATCGCGCAGAAGTACAAGCATGGGGAGTCTATATTTCCTGTGGCTTCGTCTCCAGAACAGAGCGGTGCAGGGTCGGACGAGGATGACCGGAGACTGCTGGAGGAGGTGCGTGAACTGAGTTTGCAAGAGAGCAGAGCCCAGACAAGAGAGTCTAGCCGTCGGACTGCGCAGTCCTCAAGGACCAGGAGAGCCGAAAGCGTCGATGCCGATGGACGGAGGTCGGATGGCCGGTCAAGAAGGCGGCGGGAAGAGGAGCGTGTAAGCCGCCGACATCCTAATACTTCAGAAGACAGCGCAGAGCGTACGAGGCGGATCGAGCATCAATCCAGTCTACGATCACTCCTCAGCTTATCCGATACGGAAACGATGCAAGAAGAAATTCTGCGACAGATCCTTGAAGATGGGTTGCTCAATGACATCGATCTGGACAATCTTGGGCCTGCACAGGAGGAAGAGCTGACCGAGCGCATCGCTGATGCTTACCGTCGAAGGCATATGCGTGGTCCGTCTTCGCGACAAAGGCAAGAAGCCGAGGAAGCCTCACGTACATCAGATCGCCCGCGCGCAAGGTCACAATCCGTGCAAAGACCTCCAACTACCTCTGCTCCACAAGCATCCTCGAGAAGTCCACCCGTGTCGCGACCGTATCTGCTCGAACCGCTTGTGTCACGCTCAGGTGCCTCTGGCCATCAGAGGCGTCTGTCTGATCAAGGTAGCCGCCGTAGGAGGACTTCGCCGGTATTGACTAATGCAGCTTCCTCATCTGAGGTCACATTGCGACCCGCTGCAAGGTCATCTAGTGATATGATTTCAGATAGGCCCCGTCCTTCCCAGTCCTCACGAACCCGCGTTGCAGAGGCCTTGTCTGCTCCGAGACCTCGGCGAGCAACAGCGTCGGAGCAGAATGTCCCCAACATATTTACAGCCGAATCTAGAAGTCGAGATCCTCGACATGCCATCTCAGGTCGGCCACAGAATAGCTTTCCGACGTCCGTGGCTTCACCCGCCACTCCTGGAAGTTCCTTCTCTGCTCGCTTAGAACAAAGCTCGCTGATTTCGTCCGCTTGTAGCTCTTTGGCTCCCGCAGTCAATGGCTCAGTTAATCAGCGCTCTCGGCCGTCGTCGTCGCGTTCCAACGCCTCCCAGCTTCCTCCCGCTACTTTTGTCGAGCCCTCTATTGCTTGCGACCGATGTGGCAAGCAAAACATTCAGTATGATTTACACAAGAACTGTATCAAATGCAAAGATGGAGCGTTCAACCTGTGCCTGCGATGTTATCGCCTGGGGCGAGGCTGTTTACAGTGGGCCGGATTCGGTCCATCTGCAGAGGCAAATTTCCAGCGCATGATTGCCTCTTCGACAGGCCACACGCCACCGTCGCGCGAGACAAGGCATATTTTGCAGTCTTCTAAATATTTACGGCCCTCCAGCAACGCTCGCCAGGTATCAAGTGAGGGTCGAGAAATGACGAGTGACGATCCATCCCAGAGATTGCAAAACGGGCTCTTTTGTGACATCTGCCGCTCGTCGGCTGACCAATGCTATTGGAAATGCAACAAATGCAATGAGGGCGACTGGGGCTTTTGCAACAGGTGTGTGAACCAAGGCCGATGCTGCACGCATCCACTGTTACCGATCTGTCGTCTTGCGCCGAACAACCGCTCGAACGTGCCAACATCGGCTGGTATTACTGAATCTGATGGACCAGACCATTCATCAACTCCTCCAGGCTCCGCTGACCGGGCCAACGAAACATTCAAAATCCTTTCCTTCTCGACGAACTGCGACATCTGTACGTCCACCATCCCAGCATCGGCCACAAGGCTCCATTGTCTCGAATGTCACGAAGGTGACTATGACGTCTGCGCCAATTGCTACCTGAGGCTCGTTGCCACGGGAAAAATCAGTAAGGAGGACGGACTCAATGGCTGGCGTCGCTGCCCAAAAGGTCACCGTATGGTTGTGGTCGGTTTCGATAACCACAACGAGGGCTTGAGGAGAGTGGTCGTGCGCGATCTCGTCGGCGGCCGCGCCTTGAAAGACGAACATCTCCCTCATCATCCTGCTTCACCTCCCCCGTCTACAACACAATTCGCCCAATCACCCGCAGCGAACGGCTCAGCTGCTGTTCCTTCCCCCGAACTCGGATCCGGCGACTGGAGCTGGAAGGAAGGCGGGGAGCGAAGAAAGAAGGCTTCTCGTACGCGAGCGCCCTGGTCTGCCACAGATAGCCGCAGCACTGCCCATCCTTCTACTACCACGCATCATCCAAACACGGGCTCCGGCTCCGGCTCCGGCTCCGAAACAGCTACCCCGACCAGCCCCGTTTCACCAACCGTCCTGCGCCGCTTCCCTCCCGATGGCGGAGTCGGTCTTATCGTGCATGCGCTCTGGTCCTGGTATCCCGAAGACCAGGTGCAGGATGAACTGATGTTCCCGCGCGGGGCGGAGATCACAGAAGCCGAGAATATCAACGACGATTGGTTCTGGGGCTGTTATGCTGGTTCTACGGGTCTGTTTCCGGGGTCCCATGTTGCTGTTGTTGGGGAGATTGTCTAGCTCATGTACCCTTTTGTTGAAGGTGGTTTTTTTTTTTTTTTACTTTTGATTTATTATCCATTCGCGCCTGTACTTGCATGTGCAAATGACCGTTATGACTGATATGAGGTAATGGAATGTATGGCATGGCACGTTTTCAGCATTGTTTGTTTTTGGGGAGTTGGTGCGATTTTCCTTTTCTTACTGGGACATATTGAGGGTAATTAAGCAGCTATCATCATTTGCTATACATACTCATACATCACAGCCATGAGACATTTCGTCGTGGTATCAAACAGAAGCGCAAAAGAAGAAGAAAAAAGCAGAGATCCACCCAGGCCAGCCATACCTGATCTATCGCAAAAGACAAACAAACATTGAGCAAGCAAAATAAATATCTTACTCCAGCAAGGCTACCATCAGTCGCTGGTAGTCCCCGCTCGTCTCCCCGCGAACGCGGGCAATGAGATCCTTGTTGAAGCGGTGTTGGTACGCGCGCTTGACCTGGTTCAGATGCGGCCTGTTCCAGTGCAAGCGCACCACGCGCACGACCAGCTTCTCGTCCTTGGTGCCCATGCCCTTCATGCATTCCTCGAGCAGCTCTGCGTCGCGCATCGCCGGGTCCAGCGCCGTGTGCAGCATATGCAGCAGTGCATCCTTCATGTGGCCCGAGAATTCCTTTTCGATGTGTTTCTCCAGCGAGGTGGTGTACCGGTGGCCGAACGCCTGGTTGATGGCGCGGAGCTCGTTGTCCGACGAACGGGCGAAGATGCCGCAGACCTCATCGACGTTGTTGACCATGCGGCCGCTTGTCGCGCCGTGGATGGCGCGCGCTTCTTCCTCGATGACCTGCGGGTTGATTGGGTGGGACTCCTCGTGGCGGGTGGCGCGCAGAATGGCGGTGAAGAGATTCAGCGTCTTGAAGGACAAGTCGCCCTCGACGTCCTTTTGGAGGGAACGGTGGAAGGTGTGCTCGTAGGCGGCCTTGATGGCGTTGAGATCGGCGTTTGACCGGCCCAGGAGAACGTCGTTGAGGAGCCATTCCTTCGTGCCGAGGCCCTGGACTGCTTCGCGCGCGGAATTGACGTCGTGCATGAGGGGTCCGTCGATGACGGCGAGCAGGCCTTGGCGGAAGTAGCTGCTTGTTTCCGACTTGACGTCCCGGTAGAGGTCGCGGCGTATGTGATTGCTGTATGTGGACCGGACGGCGGCCATTTGCAGAGGATCGAGTTTGGCGAGAACTTGGATGAGCGCCTTCTCGTCCGTCCCGAATCCTTTCATTGCCTTACGGAGGAGGTCTGCTTCGCGCCGGAAATCGCCCGGTGCCATCTGACCCGGAACGTAGCCCATGGAGGGCATAGCAGGAGGTCCCTGGAATTGTTGCGGGGGAGGTTGGGGGGCGCCATACGGTCCCGGAGGTGGATATCCTCCTGCGGATGGAGGGTAGCCTGGACCGCCATGTTGAGGTGGATATGGAGAATGCGGAGGAGCACCGTATGGAGGTTGTGGAGGCGGAGCGTGTTGAAACCCTGAGCCCGATGCTGGAGGATACCCGCCTTGTCCCGGAGGGGGCAGAGGAGGTCGATTGTAGTGACCCGGAGGGGGAGGGGGACTGCCGAAGCCCTGCTGGAAGCCCTGCTGGGGCGGATATGGCGGTTGTGAATAGCCCTGAGGTGCCCCGTGAGGAGGGTATGGGGGTTCTATCATAGAAGAGGGTCAGCCAATGTCTTGCAGGCAGCAGGATATATAACAGATGCGGGGGCCATACGATTAGGTGGGGGATACTGATTGTAAGACATAGTCGGATGTTCAGAAGGATTGATATGTTCGGTGAAAACAACAGCACAACGACAGATCTAGTTGTAAGGAGGGAGATTCGAAGTAAGACAGAAGAGCGAAGATGACCAGTTTATAGTGATGAAATGAGTTCTCGGCAATACGAGTAATCCGTCGTCATGAGAGAAGATCCAGAAAGTTTGCCTGGAAACCATGGCACCAAGGCAAAAAACCTGTGGCGGTGTTTATGGGGCTGTGTTGTTAGTCATGACTCATGTGGGACAAGCCCCACTCTTAAGACAGCCGCAAGTCAGAAACGTGACTTAGATCAAGTAGGGCTGAATCGGAGAATAATAATACGAGCAATGAATGAAGAATGAAGCAATAAAAGATATAGGCAGGTGACATACACAACCACCACAGTTCTGGTCAAATACCCTGTTGATAGTTTCTTCAATAAATTATGGCACTGTGGCGAATCCAAGTGCAAATATATGCTAAGACTCACAGTCTACAAGACTACAAGGCACCAGCCCTGCTCGATGACCCATCCTAAAAAAGAGGAACGCTGTCTATTTTATGTTGTCAATATTCAAGTCATATGTACTCTTTTTTTTCTTTTTTTTTCCCCACCAATATCGTCCCCAGTTACGGCAAATTTCCGCCTTCTTTTGCATCTCACTTGGTCTTCTCTATCTCACCAGCACTCTCTGCCTTTACAAACGCTGCACGAAGTTCCTTGGCCGCCTCCCACAGAATCCAAAGGGGGATCCACACCCATAACGTGTTGAAAAAGAACAGATAGAACCAGAGGTACACCGCGTTGCTTGTGTCCAGCTGCGAACTAGCCGTAAGCCATTCCGGCGCAAAAGTCATGAACCCGCCGTACAGCTCAGCGGTAGCAAGCGCGGGAGCGACCAACCAGAGCTTAGCTTTAGCTGTACCCCTTGCCGATGCACTGGACCGGCTGCTCGATGCCTTCCACAGCAAGTAGCAAACATACACAGCAGCGGGGCCTCCGAGCAACACAGTCAGCAGCTCCAGAGAGATGACAGTGACATCTGCGCCAGCCCAGCGATGATCGGCTTTGGCATATTCCTGCCACAAGCGAGCGCTGGGTCCCTCGCCGTACGCGGCTCCATATACACGATCCTTATAACCCAGGAAGTACGGCTCTTTGGCAAATCCAGTGGGGAGTGTAGTGTAACTATTGAAGCATTCGTAGAGAAATGACCCTTCAATGAAGATATGGGTCAACGCGTCGTAGGCGTGCCAGTAGAACAGGATTCGGTTTCGCGTATGAGTAGATGGTATCAGCGACGTGCCAAGCACATAGGCTATGGGCATAAACGACAGAGCAAAGGCGATACAAAGGGACGTCGGGACGTCGAGAGTGAAGGGCGTTGTTGCAGACATGGTTATAGATTTGCAGACAGGTAAACACCAAGATTGGCAGCGCGAGAGAACGCAAGGAAGATGCAGGTAATGGAATAACAGATGCGAAAACCAGACTAATTGAGTATTTAATCAATAGTCATTTCGAAAGTCAGGTCCTTTCTGCCTCGTGCAGTGTGCTCTGTGAATGAGAGGTTGGAAGAATTGAGTGAGCCCCTGAGTGGTGAAACGCGACACGAGGTCGTGGACACTGCTGCCTCAGGCATCAAAAAGAGTGTCAGTAACTGCTAACTACTAATCCAACTGTTGGCTTTATTCCTCATCATCATTCCCTCCCTTGGGATAATCCAGAAAACTTCTCCCATATACTAATTAATATTAATAGCATCATTCACAGCATCTCCTTGATCTCACTACTCTATTTTTGCTTAGTTCCCCATTCCTTCCAACTGTCTTCAAGATGGGCTCCACCCCCAGATGATAATCAAAGAATCCCCGCACAGTCCTCACTAGAGCCTAGACATCAGCCATCGGCCCTCCACTGACTACACCCTACACAGTTAGTCCAGTTCAGCCTCGTGTAGAAGACTGGGCCTGTGGGAGCATTCATCTCGCAAGGACCAGCTACTGGAGGTGCAAAGACTGTCCGTCTTTATGCTCCTGGCTTCGAAGCGTTCTGTAACCAATGATGCAGGTCTCGTTTGAAATGCGATGCTGGGAGCTTTGGAATGCTTCGAGGGCCTTTTAAACTCCCGGTCACTTATAAGCTCCTGCAAAATGGCGAAATCCGAAAAGCATATGTGGGCTTTGTTTGATTCAAGCTCGCTTTCCATGCGGTTCGATTTTCCAAGAAAAAGAAACCATTGCGCTGGGTCCGTCAGCTCATCTACACTGGTTATTGCTGCGGGGATTGAAGGGCAAACACCCTCTTATGTCTCTTCCGCCTATGCAATGACTCGTTGATTGAGCCATGGCAAGCTGGCGCATACAGGATTCCTGTGCTTTCCTCATCATGATTTGCCTGTCGCGCTTAAGCGACCCGGGTGCGAGACGGCACCAACTAGTGTGTCAGGCTTCCTTTCTTTGTATCAACACGTTGTGCTGCGCCTCTCAGGTGAATCATTTACTTTTTATGATCTCTCCCTGCAGTATTCTCACTCAATTTCCCGGTGATATATATGCATACTTCACCAGCCTGACTTTTCTGGGTACCTCGGGTGCCTTCTGGCCCTGCCACCCTCTATGTCATCGTTCAGCTCTTGGAGCCATGGTTACCACTTAACTGCTGAAGACTCCCTAAGTCTCTATTTCTCAAGTACATGCTTTTGATATCAAATTGTCGCCTTGCTCCTCGATCTTGTCCCATCCTTCAAGTAATTACCTCATCCACCCTTGCCTTGCAGTATCTATCCTTGATGCACCCCATCTACAGATATCTACCTTCTGATCTTGATATTATTCATTAGCAGCTCCATCTGCAAACTTCTTGTTCTCCTCGCATTGTCTCATGCGGCCTGCGTTTATTGAGATCAGAAGCAAGGTTGTTTATGTATAAGACTGTGTATCAAGCGCAGATTCAGCTCTTCTAGGCCTGATATGTTACAGCTCTTTGGACCAGGACGCCGAACACAAGCAGAAGACAATCCTCTAAATTTCGGGCCAAAGATGGCGGATAATGAGCCCATATCACCGGCAACGAAAGCGCAGCCTTCTCACTATGAACTCGAAGAAATGCCCAGCACGGATACCTATAAAGAGATCCAGTCATTGGATCCTAGCCAGCTACAACAAGGCTCAGAATATCGAACTCGCTGTTCATCCGGCCCGACTCCTTTCTCGCAGACCGAATGGCGTGCTCATATCAACAATATTGACCGTCAACATAGGGACAAAATGGCCAGGAACTTCGTCCCTCAAAGAATGCATTATAGCAGACTGTCAAATGAGTCCCAGCAGATCCACTTTGGTGCAAATCTGCCTGAAGTCAGGCAGAGAAAACGGCCCGATCAAAATCAGGAGCACTTCGCAAAGGCAATAGAAAATACACCCACAGTAGATCCATCGCCGCAGCCCTACCCAACTCAAATTCAGGAGATACTGCGTCGGCTGGGAGGATTCGTGCCGCGAAGTCCCCATTGTCAGCCCGACGCCGAGCTAATTGACAGGTTTCAATCGTCGATTCGCGACAGCGATGACATCGGGCCAATGGCTTGGCTACTCATCGCGGTCTGGTGGCTGCTCAAGGTAGCTTCTACGTTCCTTTGTGCTATGCTATGAACTCTCGCGGCAGCGATTGACATGACTATTAGGCCAGAAAAACACTTGAGCACTATGGACGGCGAGATTCCGTGAGATCCGGGGCCAGTATAGGCTCATCCATGGCGTCGTCCTTAACTTCAAGTAATCAAGCGTACGTTGACCTCCTGAAGGCGTCCTTTATACTGTACGATATTGTTCTGTACGACAAGAGACTACCTGATTTCCTAAGTCGCGAATGCCAGAAGGTGCTCGTCGAATTATCGGAAGTAAGCTTGGGATCTCTCGCGGCATTGAAGATGTGCCGATCTAATACAATAAATAGGGGATCGGTGAAACCGCGACTCGGGTCATTGCCTTGGGTATACCGGAATATCCAGCGGGTCAGCCTCAAAACACCAATCTGCAAGAACAGGATCTGCTCGAGGAATTTCCTAGCAATAATGGAACACCCTTCTCTAGTCTGGAAAGAACCCACTGGGTCACTGTGAAGCTTGAAGATGTTGGAGAAGAGGGCGAGAAGGCTCTTTTCAGAACATTCATTAACGCTACCAGTACTTGCAAGACAACTCGTAGGTGGACGAAAGATGCTCCATACATGCTTCTCTTGTCTGTCAAGGATGGTGAAACTGAGCCAAGAATCACTATATGTAATCAAAGCGGCACTCTGTGTCTACAGCGCAACTGTGAGCTCCATCTACCTCATCAAGCCGGTTTCCTGGTTCTGACATAAAACTTTACAGTCGAGCAAACAGACTTAAAGGATTTGACACTGGCGGATGGTTCTCTCAATGGCATAGCTGAAGCCAGGATAACAGAGCCATTGAGCTTTGATTTTGATAATAGAAGGATTGAGGTATCTTTCCAGTTCTATGGTGACTATATGGCATTCATCAGAATTCCCAAGGAATATTTTGAGGCTGTGTCGCTTCGGGAGCCAATTGATCGAGGGCAGTCCTCGGAAACTGTCCTGTTCAAGAGTCCAGTGGAGGAGTACGAAAGGCTCAAGGCACCCGAAATGAAATCGATGCATCCCCCAAATATTCACAAATCGTGTGAGGTGCGGATATTGGAGAGGTCTTCCAGCCAAGCTTGGAGTACCACCCGGCGATTGGTCATTAGCATGTCCATCGCTAAGAAAAACCCAGGTTGCATGGGATTCTTCATGCCCCTGAGTCGAGTAGACGTCAATCGCGATGAAAATTCCTGCGAAGTGCAGGTCAAATGGTCGGATACTCTTCAGCCAGAATCCACACAAACAGATGGCAACTATCATCCTCTGTACTCCTATGTCTATAACGCCAACAAGCCCAACATTGGAATCAAACTTCGGTTCCGGACGCCACGTCTGGCCGAGAAGTTTGAGAAAGAGATTTTCGGCATTGGCTATCGATCAATTTTCTCCTGGGATCAATGTGGCAGCCGTGGTATTGTTTATGACGTCGAGGGTGCCGATCAGAAGCCATACAAGGCCATTGCGCTGTATCGAGGAACAACACCTTGGAGAGGAACGGACCTGTTTTACCTTTATCGTGATAGCGATTATATCTATGAGCACGCCCATCTCCGAGTTCGTTTCCCAGGTCTCACTTACACCAACTATTTATCTACTTGTGTCGGTCAAATCAGCGCTCCTCAGCGACCTGTGGAATTCTCCGGCTGTGAGAAGAGGGTGCAAAAGAATGTGACTGTGGAGTTCGACGATGAGCAAACCATGCGCACTTTCATGAGCTCGCTTGCTTCATCATACGAGCTGGTGTACTCCCGAAGCGCCATGTCGCTGAAAACCAAGAGCCGGGGCATATTTGGGGTCACCAGAGCGTTATCAAGTAAAGGAGCTACTGAGGTACAGCTATGGAGAAGAGGGAATCATTTCCAGCTTGCCTCACGATGGGCCGACCACATTCAGAACAGATGGCTTACGATGTCAGTGCCTCTGCCGGAGTTGAGGACAAGCGGGCACAGCAACCGGGTTGAGTTTCCGCCGATGCCATATTTCCGTGGGCCTGTACTCGATTTTGCGAATATCTTGGCTCGTGGACCAGCAAAGAGTCCAAGTTTGAGTGAGCGAAAGGGTCCTATCACCATCACGTTTGCAACGTCCAGAGGTTCGTAGAATTGATGACTTTGTCCATTTGGGGACGCTGATATACTGACACACGATCAGATCAGGAAGAGTTTGTCGACATACTTCGTTCCTCCGCGACAAGACCAGTGTGATAGATACCCCGGTAGCGATAAATCATAGATGTTAATTTATATATTTCTTCACGGCCACCGACAGTGCGAGCCATTCCCATCTAATTAATGACAATGACTGAGATCTATGTATCATTCATGGAACATATACCCTTAGTGTCTATACCAAGATTTGGCGGCAAAAAGTAAAAGCGAGAAGTGAAATGGAATCGATTCATTCCTTCTTCTTCTTCTTCCAGATGCGTATAATTTTGGGATAACAAAAAATTGAAGATGCAAAAAAAGTAGTCACGCCCGGGATCGAACCGGGAACCTTCTCGGAACTAGTTCAACTGATGTGAACGAGAAATCATAACCATTAGACCACGTGACTGTTTCTTGTTGAAGGGCAGGGTTTCAATTGAATTATGACAAGCAAGAATATTAACAGCTTTCAATTCATCATCGAGTTGACGAGCTAGAAATTGTGGAAAGCAACTTTTTTTTCTTTTCCATCTCTGAGTATAGTGGAATCATATCTCGAGATAAAACGACCCAGGACTTGTGATACGGCCGAACGATCCTTTCCCCTGACCTGACCCCGACTTGAAGAAATGGATCTGAACCATCCAACTCGCAACCATGGGTGCGGCCAAAGGTTGCCCCCGTACTTACCTGGTAAACCTTCCAGTTCCCAGATCGCTGCAACCACCCATGATGTCACTGTTGATATAAAACCTGTCCCATCACCTACACCTGATCGAACTAATGGTCTTTCGCGAGAGCTACCAAGTCTAGCGCCCGCTCTGCGGAGTACCATGCGCCCGTTCCCCAGCCATTAAACACCCCGGGCCCTTGCTGCCTTTCCCGCTCCGTGACTCAATTCCAATGCCCTCCCGGCCTCCCCTTGCGCCCTGTGATCATGGGTAATACCTCGTTGTGACTAGGTGGTGTAGAGATTCGCCCCTGGATGGAAGTATCTCGCGTCTACTCTGAGTCAGTCAGCCGGGCGGCCCGTCTGCTTGCGTATATTTCACGCGTGCGCCCTGCACGTGCGGGTCTCGTCGAATACTATCGGCGGAGCTCTTTAAATCGGCCATGAGTGCTGGGTGCTGGGTATCGGCATAGGGAGGAATAATAAGTCCAAGTAGACGGCTTGTTCTGATACAAAAGAAGGGTCACTGCAAGGTGGTCTTTGGGTCTCTCGTTGAGGAGGAAAGCTGGGAAATTCGGAGTTCCCCCCCCCCCCCCTCTCTCTCTCTCTCTCTCTATATTCTCTTAGGGCTGGGTAGATTCCCGCACCTATCGTTCGAAGGGTCTCAATTCATTCTTTCACCTCTCTTTGAAAAGCCGCGACTGTTTAAACCGTCTACGATGCCACACTCCCATCACCACCGACGACGCCACTCCTGGCCCTTCGGCAGCCCTGGTGCCCAGCTCCGCGAGAAACGGATTGCCCGATACTCGCGGGTCCCGGATCCCGCCGTGTTTGAAGAGCAGTACCTCGCCCCCCGTCTCCACAGACCTGCTCGAGGATGACGCCGCGTCCGCTGGGATTGTGCGCTCCCGGACGACGCGGTCCCACCGGTGGTTTCTGCCAAAACAGGCGGTTAGAGGTGAGCCTGCGGCCGATGCTGCTGCCGCTGCTGCTGTTGGTGGCTCGCTGCGGAGGATTATCCGCCCGCCGTTGGAGAAGGCTCGGTCGCTGTTTGTGATGCCTATGACTACGATGGCTGGGGAGCAGGTGGTGGTTTCATGCTGGCTGCCTCTGGCCCAGGAGGTGGGGGCAGTGATCGCTGCAAAGGGTGAAGATGGAGTCGGCGATAGGGTTGGCTATTTGACGGTGGAGAAGAACCATCGGAGATGTCATTCGGAGCAGCCGCGGTCGTGGAGAGCACCGAGTGCGAGTTTGTGGACGCTGTTGGAGGAGTAGTAAGTCCCGATGTCTAAATTGCTGTCAAACGCTTTTCTCCTGCTAGAGGGTCTGAGATTGTGTTTTTTTGATTTGCACTAGGCGATTTGGTGTTCATTTCTGCATGTCGTTTTTCGAGGAAAGCATGGAGTTTGGTTATGGTAGGGTTAGATCATAGCATATAGCATATAGCATATAGGGCGTCGGGAGGTATATTTTATGCAAAAGACATTGAAAGAATTAACGAATAGTATGAGGGGAGACAGCATATCCTACCTAGTACCTAGTATCTGAGCTCCATCACAAGCACTGTCCATATGACCACCCTATATATTAGTGCATCCGAAGAAGTTCAAACGGAACGAGTGTGCCGAGGAGAAACACGCCCAAGTGACTCTTGTAGAGTTGTAGTCTTGTATGCCGGCCCTTGGCAGCGATCAGATGATGTCATATGAGGGGGAACTTTGGCCTTTTACTCACTTTACTCCGTAGAGCCTCAAGTCCCTCAACATGTGGAGAATGGAGAATGGAGATTAGTTCTGGGGGGAGTTTGGCGCGTCAACACTTGGCATTCGGAGACTGGGCAGTGGGCACTCGGACAACAGTAAATTATGTCCGACGTTCCGAATAGAATAGCCTCAAAAATTAAATCAAAAAAGTCTTTGTTGTTGTTCTCGATAAAGTTATTCTTCGCGATAGGCTCATTTCTGAGTCTTCTGGCTTGGTCAGATGCCTCTGGTCTGCACTTACGTGTCAACTATCGAGGAGAGATGAATGATAAGATCCCGAGAGCTGAGACTGAACGGGCAGGCGAAATGTTTCTACCTAGAGTGGACTGGACAAGAGCACAGTTGAGTTGACTCACTCTCCTCCACCCCCCTCGGACTACTCCGGTGACGACTAAAATGTCACTAACCCGGCAAATTTGCACCTGTCGTAACTCATAAAACCCTCATCATTCTTGACCGGAGGTAGAACCAGTCAGCTTTCGCGATTGGTGTCTGCTTGGGGGCCAGAACGATGTGATTGGACTCCTGGAGGGGAGAGATTTCCTTCTCGAAGTCCGCTAGAACTGATTACGCCCTTCATGTGGGCTCGATCAGCCTCAGTGGGTCTTATAATTGTCCCGTCTCCGAACTTGGATACTAACTAATGATAATGATAATAATAATAATGGAATGATGATGTGGGAGGTGGATTTTGGACTGATGACGATTATCGGTGTGGGAGTCTGAGGAAGAGAACGTAGTTTGGCAACATGAGCCAACAGTATCCGTACTACTAGAGAGGCTCTAACTTGTGATGATGACAGTCGATTCTTGACGGCTTCACATTTATACTCCGTAAGAAGTACGGAGTACAGAGTTTCCTTATCATCCAGGCCATCAGGCAGAAGCGGTGTGTTTGGCCCGCATCTTGGGTCATGCTTGAACCCCAAGCTCCATGATTGGCTGTTCCCCGGCCTCGTAGGGCAGAGGATGTGGGACCAGCCGCAAATCTCACCGACTCAGGCCCACATTAACCAAACTTCTAGTCCCGAAGCGGGAATTAACAGGTTTGGAACGTGCATTAGTCCATTCCTCGTTCCTCGCTGGATCGTTGGCAGCGTTTGATTCGTTTACTCGAACAGGGGCTCGTTTACTGAAAGATGTCAATTGGCTGCAGCCCTGCGGGGGAGGGGAAAAGGTCCATTGAGTTGAGATGGAGGATTTACCATAGTAGGACTTGGAAAGAGTACTCCGTATCGAGACAGTAAGCAGCATAAATATCACCCAGATCCTGCTCCCTGTGCTTAGACTTGACTCTCTCTCTTCTTCAGCCTGCTTCATCGCACTACACATTTTGAAGTCAACCTCCCAGAATCTACAATCAACTTCGAGTATCAGCATCGGACTTTCCAGGATCCTACGACTAATCTCCCATACCTTCCCTGCCATGAAAACTCAGCGCACTGCTGGCCCCATCGAACTCAACCAGAACAATATCATCCGCCCACTCTCCCATACAACCACCTCCTCCTCATCCAACTCCTCCCAGAGCGACAGCACATTCGAGGCTCCATCCAAGTCCTCTCACAGACTGTCCTTGAACGCCAGTAAAAGAGTGTTCCGCCCTCGCTCCAAGTCCCCCTCGCCAATCAGCACCGAGCTGCCAGTCAACCGTACCCGTCGCTCCACATCCGACGGCTATAACAAGAGCAGCCCAAGAACGGTGCCTGCAAGAACCCACAACCCATTCCCCCAGCACTCCACAAGCCCTACCGCAATGTCGCCCACCGAAACAATCAGTCAGCCCTCTGCTGGCCACCACAAGCGCGACAACTCCTACAGCTCGCAGAACAGAAGGAGCAGTGACGATTTCCGCCGCTACAATGGAACAGTGAACCACTATGGCCGCCACTCGAACGACTGGCTGTTTGGTGGGTTCAGTCTCCGCGACACTGTCCGCGACAGCGTTGATCGTCTGCGCCACCACGGCAAGGAGAGCTGAATTCACTTTGCTTCGTTCAAAATTCATGCTTAAGCTCTTCAATCCGGATTGAATCTCCTACTCAATCTTCATCCCGTCCCCTCAATGATGGTGTTCACACACGGTGGCAGTTTGTCATTCACACCCTGGTCGAAACCGAGGCCAGGGAATCAGCCTGACCCGTCGACAGGCTGCTCAACATGCATGTATTCGTCCTCGACGACTCATGTTGCTATTCCCAGCTGTTTGGGTATGCAACGTGCACCATCGGGCCGATAGACGGCCCAAGGACATGCATATGCGTCTATCGGCCTACCAGGATCGGACAAAGGGTCATGTCACATGGTGTCATGTATATCCCCGGGTGTCAGGTTTTCCCAAGAGCTTGTTCCATTGAGCCCAAGATGCCTGTGTCTTTTCAACTCTATCATACTCTTAGTCCTATAGGATTAGAAACCACTTGTTGGTCTGCAATACCTAATGATTAATCACCACCAAAATCAGTTCCATTATTCGTAATCACACTGGCCAACTTTACCCGGAGATTATTCCTCTGGAGCAATGAATGACAGGGAGACCATTCCCAGCCATTCATATTGCTCCTTTTATACCCCGAGATTTGACTACCTCACCAATCAAGACGCAGTCCCATGAACCGACACCACCACCGATCAGGGCGGAAAAAGACGGCAACCCTTCCCTAGCATCCGAATGTCCGCAATACCAACAGACAGATATTATCTAGCGTCGGACGCAATCCCCCCGCTTGAATCATCAGACAAGCTATAGATTCATGCTGGGATTGGGGTTGCTTCTATAGGAGCGAATCCCATGCTTCGACGAAATTGCCTAAAATACCCCGTTCCGTCGGCCGTTTCACCAACAACACCACGGAACTCCTTTCCGAAATTCACCCTGGAAATCCCGATCAACCCCACCGAGCAATTGAAAGATGAAATGCTCCGATCATTTTTCCCATTATCGACAGTCGGCACAACACAACACAGAATACAGATCCCCGCCAATGGGAAGGGAGGGGAGGGGAGGCACCGCGTTTCTTTGCTTTGCCATCCATGGGACTAGATATTTTGGCATAAATGGCATGCAGTGGAGATCGTCCCGAAGTCTTAGAGTCTCTTTCTCGCGCGGGATCTTCATTGCTATTGACTGGATCCTTATTCCTGGGACGATAGGTGGGAAGACTGGGTTCAGCATAATGCTATACACAGTAGTCTAACCGTGCTCTGGCCTCTGGATGGCGTGCTGGAAGTCTGGAACTTTGGCGGGTCTTGGAAGTCTTGTGTGTTTGAACTCTGCACTCTGAAAGGTTGAACCGGTTGAGGAGGGGCGGCGTGCCACGTGCTTTTAGGTATCATTATGAAGGTAGGTAGGTGGTACGTTACTAACTTACTGGTCCTCCAAGACTAAGTTCGAAGTACAGGACCACAAATCTCTAGATTAGTCGTCAGATATTGACCGTGCGCGTGTGTGACAGTAGCCGAAAGAGAAGATTAGATCATAAAAAAGAGGTTGTTCTAGAGAGGAATATCACTATGGCTATACTTCGTGGAAGAAACCCTGCCAACTTGCCCTTACCATCCCGAACATGGTGTCTTGGCCAGAGCTGTTTAAACCCAGTCTTCATGATCATGTATTCATCAACGTCGTCCTTTGAAGCAGAAAAAAAATAAGAATAAATAAAAATAAATAAAAAATAAAAAAAAATAAGATGAAAAAGAATTGACCAAAAATTGAATCTTCCTTGCAGAAAACCATGTGGAAACCAGCACCCCCACCATGGACCCCGTCCGGTGTATGGATGAAACATGGAAAAAGGAATGTTCACCCGAATTCGGCAAGGGAATGCTCTATGTCGCTCTCTGCCATGCTGCAATGTCGGCAGCCGATATATCGATATTCTCCCCGACCAAAGATTGAAGTTTGGATACATGTGATGGGGCTAGGATGGATCAGTTTTTTTGGCTCACGGTCTGTCGTCCCCGCGGTATATGCGATATGGTCCTAGGGTGATACTTACTTGGACACTGAACAGCTTCTGCTCCTTCATGTACATGAATGACGGCAGAGTCCACATACTCTTTCGTAGTGACCCCGCTATGGGAGGCGGCCCCCAGCATCACCCGAATCCGATACCGCCCCGGCTGCCCAATGCTGAGAGGTCTGAAATGGGCATATCCACTCGTCGCGTTCCCACGTCGACTGCGCACACTGGAGGTCAGAGTCCCCGCTAGCCCCGAAGCCACGCTGGTTCCGGCCTCGGTCCTGAGTGAGACATGCGCAACTAGATGCTGAACTGAGCGGTCACTCGGGCTGCCCACAGGCCTAACTGCAACAACCACAGGCAGCGTAAAGGGAGTTCCGGGCCGGACAGCAGCTGGTGGTTCAATCTCGAAGGTGATCCCGTACTCGCGACTAGCACTTCCAGGGGAACTTCCCGCACTGTGTGAGACCATTGTGATAAGAAGTCCACGTCTTTTGACCGGCTGTTCCTCTGATTCGATGATATTGGGCCCAACAACGAGACAAATTGTGCGATTATTGTCGTATAAGTGAGTCTCGGGGAGGGTTATATATCCTCACCGCAAAGGCAAGAGAACACGAAAGGGATACAATAAAGCACGAATACAAAGAGATATTGAGATGGAATTGTAGATGAAACAAAAGACAATCAGCTTCGACACTGCTTCATATATCCATTCCAGACAGCCCCCCATAATTCGAAATCCATCGTCAAAAAAGCAACACAAAAGAAAAAAAATAAAAGATCAAAATAGAAAATGATAACATGTTCCCAGATTAGATCACTGTGCTGAAAGTTAGTCTCGTGTGGGTTTGCCACCAAAGTGGGAGCATAGAGTTTATCTCGATAGATCCCTTGAAATGCCAGATTAGCGAGAACCTTGATCTGCAGGGATCTACGAGGATGCATCTTCTCTCACTCCCCATTAGATCGGCCTGCACATGAATAGAGATACTCCAGGGTGGTTCCTTTCAGGTCTAGAGACGCGTGCATACAAGGAGAAACGACACAATCTATCCACCCCTGCTTCTCCTTTTCAAGACATGAATAGAGGGTGACACTCGAGAAGATCGTTCTCCCTATTGCTCATGCCTTGGAACAATATTACCTCGCTCCGTTGATCTTTGTCATGGAACGGGTCGTCCTTGACTGGTGGATTTGCACCTTGGGCGCTAAAAGCACAGTGGATTCCAGGAATTTAATAAGAGAGAGGCAATGTAGATCCATAAGGATGTCAGATCGCCCCCGGGGAACTCTGCATGGCTGCATGCGCGATTGGCATGCAAAGCTTGGCCAATCCCCCCTGATCCCTGCACAACATGCAAGATCTATGAACTGTTCCGAACTCGGATAAACGGCAGCCGTTAAGAGCTAATGCGACCACAAGTTGAGACTCGGTGACTGGGGCTGCAGATGGTCACGCAATTGTCCAAGAATTCTTGGAACCCCAGGCAATAGTGCATGTAAAAAGCTCCCTTGCTTCCAAATCTTGCCTTGAAAGGTACGGGGAATCAGGAATTCAAGGGCCGATACAGGCCTTAGATCTTTGACCCTGAAGGAGAAAAGTTGTCGAACTGTCCGAGCTATTGACCTACCATGGTAGGTCACAAAAAAGACAAGCAGGAGATACATCGCAGTCCTAATGCATTGGAACACTGATAGTCATCTTACTGCAGTGAATCTCACCGATCCAGTTTGAGTTCTCTCTCAGTGGTGCGCAAAGAAGTACTTTACCAACTCCAATGCCACTAGAGGCACGAAAGGGACAAGGATCAGCCCCATGGCGATAAGATCAAGCCCTTCAGACGCATGGAATAGCATTTGAGGCGTCCAAGATTGGAGGGAGGGGCAATAATTGAGGAAACTTTCATGGTGTCCCGCCGTTCTTGTGGTAGTGAGGTGGGGACAGGATGGAGGAGAGCAACAATGCAGTGGAGAGAGAACTTCGCCACACCCCCTATCGAGAAGGGTTTAGTCGCAGTGACAAGCCACAGTTCACGCTGGACACACCTCCACCTCAGCCTCACCCGGACTTTCCCATCCTCTCCCAGTCCTAGTCTTCATTATTCTGAAAGGCTCCCCCGACTGTTGGCGACTATTGTCTTGGTGGTCCGAGCTATTGGATGCGACAGTGTCACAGTACCTTTCAAGTAATCTCCTTTGCGAGTTTTTGCCTTGAGCATGCCGATCAAGCCTTGACTAGGCGAATCTCGACAATCGTTAGGAACTGAGAAAGACGCATCACTCGCCATTATCCACCAACTATCTACATACTCTATCAGTCTCCCGGTATCCCCTGACTTTCCCACGAGGCCTTCAATCCTTCAGTCGTATTCCAACCGATCATTGATAGATGATCGTCCAATGAACATGGCCTAGAATCCCTTAGGCACCATTAATGGGGGTTTAGTACGGAGTATGTGTACTGACTACCTTATTGCTGGGCACATCCCTTCAACCACTGTATTGACACACAACCCATTCGAGACCGAGCAGTCGAAACTCGAATAGACTGGTGGAGTAAATTTTGCCTTTTCTATCATTCTTTCTCTGCTTAACCTTGGTTTACGGCATATTATTTGGAGTACCGTGCCGTATGAAAGGGAGCTGACAGGCGTTTTGACCAGCTTGTACAACGCAATCCACAACAAGATAAGAATCTGGAGCGAGGTGCGCATTGTGCCACTGACAAAATCTTCCCCAGTTTGAGGTATTTGCCTTTGCTTTCGCGGAGGCAAGGACTGAACCCTGTCCTTGCGCACCCATACCCTGGGTAACAAAGGAGTCTTGCAGGATTGACAGGAGTCACAGGACAACTCACAAGCCACCTGTGGCTCAGGCAGATCACTGTTGTCTAGACTGTGGCGGTGAAGTATTGCCCAGAAAGCTAGGATGAAACCGGAGTTGAGGGACATTACTGGGCGTCTCCCAGCAGCAGTCCTCGATTCAGTATCACCTATCCCGTCTCGTTCAGGGTTATGTGCACATTGGTGTGGACGCAGGTTAGCAGGATCATTCAATTTCCTGGTTGCGCTTTGACGTTCGTTTGATTGGGCATCACCCACTGTCTACCAAGTACCTAGAGTCTTGCTCACCAAGAATGGAACGTCATCGGTCTCAGAGCCATCAGGATACTTGCTTTTTCTTGGCGCCTCCTCCCTCGATGGCCAACCCGCGAAGCATGCCAGATTGGGATGATCCGTGCTTGATATCTTGGAAATCGGAATTGTGTTCAAGAGGCTTGACCACTCGAAAAACCATGATCGCTACTTTGAAGATCTTTTCCCGGAGCCACTCGATAAAGTGCCTCATTTAGGTAACCATGATTTCGAGACGCTTTACTGGATGATCGGTCAAAAAGCGAGATGACGCCCCAAGTTTCGGTATGCATTAGCTTTCTTGGCTTCATGCTAGAGATATCCTGAGAAAGGGCCCCTTTCTCTAAACAGAGACCGAGCCCTCATAGTTAGGACGCGTGGATCTGGATGGAAGAAGTAAATATGCACCGGCTTTTCCCATTTCTTTCGGCCGAAGCTCGGGTGTCGATCACATAGCCGATTTCTCCTCGGTACCCTAGTATCATGGTATGCCACCAAGTACATAAGTTTGGGATCCGATAAGGATGCCTAATTCACAACGTACTTTGGTCAAGTACGTAATGAAGATGGGAGGTACTCGCGATGAACGAAATTCCTACCAAGTAAAGAAATGAGTATCAGATAAAAGTAAGCCAAAATCAATAGCCGTCATGCTCCTCGATTTGAGAATAAGGGATAAAGCCACAGATGCACGTACCGGTGCTTTGTGATACAGTGGTGCTACTTGGCTCCGATCCGTCCCACTTTTGCGGCCATGAGCAGCTTTGAAGTGTACTTCATCACAAGTCATTATAGGTTGCGGAATCCAATGGGACTGTCTCAATTATGTTTACAAAAAATTTATAGGGAAGGAAATTTGCCTAATAATCCAAACTGGCGATGGCCATCGATTTGGTCCAGCTGAGGTACGAGACTGAGGCGGCAAACTAGGGCGAACGATCGATGGGGAGCACCCCTGTGTTGTAGGTGGACATTTGACGAACTGCAATCAACTTGTATGCTTCTCCTCCTAGTGAGGAACGATTAAATTCATTATTCATGCTTCAGGCACTGCTGATCTTGCAATCTGTCGATGGCGGGAACTTCAATAGCCCGAACCTTGAGACTGTGACTCGATTTATTGCTTTCTGAATCTCAAGATAGAGCCATATGTGGATGACAACAAGGGATTTTGACAAAATTGCAAGTGTTCGTATATTTTCAAGGGTTTGGAGTCAGATTGTATGTCGCTGACCATGCCCAGACAGTACTCATATTCAAGCCCCACAGGGGGGTAAGTTCCTCATTTGTGATTCCATCCAGACGACATTATCCACGGATTGGTTTCAAATCAACCATCAGGGCAGGTTTCTGCCAGATAATAAACGACGCCTGGTTATCCCAGTCGTAGCAGTCGCTATGAAGACTTAGATCGAAGTTCCAAAGAAGCTTCGCGATGATCACGCGCATTTCAGCATATGCAAGACTGTTTTGAGAGAGGGCGGGTCAGTTAGGACACAAAGTCAAGATCCAGCAGGGGGATATTGCAACATACTTCTTGCCCAGACAATTTCGTGGGCCCAATGAGAACGCTTGCGAAGCTTCCCGATTATCAGACTCGAACTTCGGATCTCTGTTCTTCAGCCATCGTTCAGGAATGAAAGAGTCCGGATCTGCGAAGTTGGATTTGGCCCGGGCCGCCGAGAAAGACGCGGTAGACACAGTGACCTATGGATAGCTGTCAGCATACTGATTTGCCAGGATGAGATCTGTAGTCGCATACTCCTCCAGGCACATATTGCCCATCAACGGAAGCACCGCCTGCTGGAACCTTCCTCGGAAGTATTCCTGGTACAGGAGGATATAGTCGGAGGCTTTCCTCGAGAGCGGCATGCAGGTAGGGCAGTCTTGCCACCGAGAGGAATGTGATATCCTCTTGTCGTTGGAAAGATGTCCTGATCTCTCTGACAAGTCTGTTGTATACTTCAGGATTCTTCAATACATAGAATGTGCATCCAGATAGCGCTGTAGCAGTCGTCTCACTACCCGCAAGGATCAGAACACCTGCATTCGCTTCTATCTCCTGCCGACTCATGCCCCGCTCATCGTAGTATTTGAGAATGTATGACATGAAGTCCGGTCTGTTTGCCTGCAAGCTCAGCCGACGACCAACCTTCTCCTTGCTCATCTGCCAGTGTTCGTTTCTCATCCGCACGAATTTCTTCGGTAGCATCTTCTTGACCAGCGACTCAAGGCGCGGATACAGATGAAGAAGTCTCATGAAAACGCTCGCTTTTGCACTTTGAAAAATCATCCAGACCCATGGATGATAGCGGTTGTCTCGAAGACAATCAAATGGCTCTCCGAAGGCTAGGTCCCCGATAATATCGAAGGTGGTGAAATTATACCACTTTGCCATGTCGACTGCACTCCCAGAAGCCGCGTATTCTTGAAGCTTCAAAATAAGCGAATTTACGTATTGTTGTACAATCGACTCTTGTTCCCTCAGGGCTCTCTCAGAGAAAGCATGAGACAAGAGGCGTCGTTCTCGCGCGTGGTCGGCATCATTCGCTGTGAGTATATGTTCACCGTTCGGGCTTGGGATATAGTAGTCAGGGTCTTTGACAAACGAAGTAGTATCATGCTTGCGATGGCCATAGATGTCTCTCCATGCGTTCGGGCTCCTGTACACCAGGATACTTGGAGAGATGCGTACAACCTCGCCGTATTGGTCATGAAGTTCTTTGAGTTTCCAATGTATGGTCCCAGAGACAGTCCACCAAAGGTAACAGACATTTGAACAAGAAGCCCGTTTGGGGCCTGGGAATCTCCGAAGCGGATGAAAATAAATATTATACAGGGACTGTGCCACCGGAACTGCTAGAGTCTTTACCGCACTTCAAGTCAACTTCGGATGGCGATTCAACAATGCTAGCGATAAAGGACTCACCAAAAGGATTATACCACAGACCATGGATAGAGGCTCTAATAGATGCGACATAGACATTGATGTCATTTTGAATCTTTATGTTCTGGTTATTCAGACATCAAACAAACAGAAAAATTGATATCGATCGGAAGCGCCTTCCAGCGTCCGCACAGGGGATTTTAAATGGACGGTGTCAGGGAGCGCAGAACAGGGAACCAAGCAGAATCTACAAAAGCATGATCCTTGAGTATCCTTAGCGCATACTATCTCATTTCACTCTCTGGACGTTGAACCCAGGACGTGGCGCGCAATGCATGGCTAGATCTACCATGATATGCTGAAGTGGGGTGGCATAACAGTCAGAAATGACAGAAATGATAATATGCTCTCCATTTGTGAATTCACATGTGTGGATTGATTCCTGGCCCACAGGGGTATCAGAGTCTATTAAGTAGTGTCATCAGCCAGTCAGGATAGCGCTTGGCTTGAGTGACCACTTCACTGGCTTCACCAGGCCATTGTTTTAGATTGCGGATACCACTCCCTGCTCATCAAGACTAGAGCCAAATATGTCTGTTGAGAGCTGCCGAGTCAATATTCGTACTGATCAACCTTTTCATGTGCGGGTTAAAACCCTGAAAGTCGATAGCCAGCGAGACTCCAAAGAAAATAGCTTGAATGAAGTAGGATGCCCAAGAAACCAGGTGGAGTGTCCGTTCACAATATCTCTCCTCACAGCCTTCTATGCTAGTACGGCCGAGCCGGGAGCCTGAGCCCTGAGACGGGCAGACGGCACAGTAGCTTTATCCTTATGTCCACTAAGTGGACTTATCACCGGATAATCCCGAGGAATAGTGAGAGATTCTCCTGGAGTGGAGCAGATGTCAGATCAACGACTCTGTGATACGGTATACAGTATTTTCAGTTTCTCACTAAGCAGACTTCAGCAATTTTTATACGGTGAATTAACTGATTCGTCAGCCAAGTTGGAAAGGTTTTACATACCTTCGAGCTATTATTATTGATCGAAGGTATTCCGTAAATAAAGGCGATATCCTGACGCACCAAGCCATGTTGATGAAACTTTAGCCGTAGTCTCTGTCGTCTTTCATCCGACAAGAGACAAGATGAAGCTTCTCCCCCAGGATGAAGATTGATCGACATAGAGACGATGAAGGCAAGTGTTTATCGAAAGAAGACGAGAAGCGTTGATGCATCTCTATTTGACAGCCCTGGATGAATTCCGATGACTGGCTCGTGGAAGAACCAGAGGGAGCAAAGGAGTCAAAGAAGAAGACAAAAATATGTGGTTGTTTATACCTGGGGATAGAACGACTGACTCAGCTTGAAACCAGAGCAGCAATGGCCTCCTTCCCATTTGGGCGTCCACGATCATCTGCTCTCACATGCTCATAACGAGAGCTTCAGCCTCGAGCTCTCATGCGCACGCAGGACAATCTTAAATCCAAGAACAGTATTGTTATCACGATGACCATTCGACCGAGGTCTGGCAGGATTCTCAAATGGCGCCGCTCCCTCGCAGACAACTCCACCATTCCTTCTCCGTGTCTTGTCTTTCCGCGAACCCACACGCAGGACCTATAAACGTCACTCGATACATCAGTTTCAGAGTCCTTATACAGTTATTTGCGGGAACAATCTGCATATTCGTGTTGGGCGTTTTGTTCTGGAAAATCGGGAAATTCTTGCGATACCTCACTCGACACCGAGTGGTGAGGGGAGGGAAGACCATGCATACTCGTTATGCGAGAACTTGGTATGGCTGGGTATCATTCCATCGGTACGAATCGAAGAAACGATTCTTCCAGAAGTGCTTTCAGAAGGTCCATGAGTGGACAGCTTGGAAATCATCGAGTGCTGACTATCGCTGGATCTGGTGGGATCCTGGTCAGAAGGAGATGGAAAGATACAAGCAGAGACGGCTATTTTCATGGTTGCCGAAATGTCTGAGAAGCTACGAGCCCACACCAGCAGATCCATTGTGGAACCCTGGCCCCCCTGTTGGACGTAATATGGCACCAGGTGGAACTACAACAGGGATTTCCTGCAGACCGAACGGGGATAGAAGGTTGTTCAGGTTATCGGAAAGCTTGAATTCTCATTATTTATCAAATGAAGAGTCAATATCGGGTCTTTCTCAGCGACCAGAGGTGACATCAATCCACTTCGAAACGAGTTTAAGGAGAAACTATTTGACAGAGACAGCTCGAGTTGACGGCCGCCCAATACTCGGTGACTATGGTAGTGTATCAACAACAGTGCACCACTCAATCTGTTTGCGCAGAGATAGCTGTTTAGTGTTGTTCTTTCCCAATCGTGATCAACTTTTGCGAAACAATTTCTCAATGCCATGTTTGTTGAGTACCGAGCCCGTTTTTCCAAGGTTGGACAAGCGTCTGGGTGGTTCCCGTATCACACAGACCATCGAGCATGAAGAAAACAAGCGATTTTCGAATTGGGTGAGCCCCCGTGCTCGCGTCTACCAAAAGTGGTCCGCGCGAATGGAATCCCAGGCACCCCATTGTATGCGTTACAACCAGGGTCCGCTTTTCGGCCCCCCTGGAAGTCCTAACTCCGAACTACTAGCCAGCTTTACCTCCGAACGTACTGCTCTTCTTGGGGGGGTTCCGAAAACGAATCGGGCATCAATTACACACAGTTCCTCAGACTCCACTACCCACGCGATATCAATGGGAGAACACTTGGATGGGACACGGAGTGAGCCAAAAAAACCATGTTCCCACGATGTTGCAGTTAGGCAATTGCATATCCGGGAGACTCACCGTTCTGAAGATGACTTGCGCCAAATTATAGGAACTAAAAGTCCAATAGCCGGACGTCTGTCTTCGGTTCTCAGAGATCCTTGTCGCTCAGCCTGTATCGGAAGTCTGCAGAGGCTGCAAGAAGCTAACAGAGAGTTAAAGCTTCATGATGGGGTTCGATCGAAGGTCAAGTATCTGACACATAAAGAAGTAACTGCCCCAAGCCTGAGCAACTGGGAATTGAGGCTGATGACCGACTTGGATCGAAAATTGATGTGGCTGGCCAATCAACTTAGCCCTGGTCGAAGGCCCTTCCATTTTGCCTTGCTGGCTAATCACTGGTTGAACAGAGAGACTTGGGTTGTACTTGACCCTATCTCACGGGTTCCCAGTGACGCCAAACGTCAATGTGGGGACCCGCGCTTCAATTCCCCATATCCAGCGCCTAGTTGGAAACCCATGGTGAAGCATGCCGATGGTCCTCTCACAAAGAGACACAAGCCTCACCTCAATTCATGGAGGGTAGCTGTCAATCGTAACAGGCGGATGACAGGGCTCCAAAGTGTCATCAAAAGTGTCGCGCTGTGGGATGGTTCAGCAGATGAGCCTCCAGACGGAAAAGTTGACCCAGCCAGCTGGATTCTTCGAAGGCCTCCGCAAGGCTTCGCAATATCGACTAGGCAGAAGAACGTGTACTATGAAGGTGGAGCTGGATGGCAAGAGACACTCAGTGACTGGCAAAAGGTACGCCGTGGATACCGCATCCGCAAAGTGATCTACGAAGGCAGGGCAAATCGGACAAGAATGAAGGAAGTGGCGGTTGGGATAGTCCGTTACTGCCGAAGTATATCTTCTGAAATCCGCAATGATGCTCATCGAAAAGCCACAGCAGCGCTTCCTGGCAATAGCAATAACTCTTAAGGGACCTCCCTGTTCGATCATCTCGCCTCGAGCGGTTGTGAACAGGGTATTACTACAGATAATCCCCTCAGATCAAAGTCTGCTTTTGATTGAGCGCATCATGCCGTGACTGGGAAAAGGACAGACACAGAGGGACTGAGGAGGGATTTGCCTTTCATTTGCAATACCACTTTGAGCTAACCTGTACCGAGTGATTTGGCTCCTTTGAAGAGTCTTATCGCTGTAAACAGTATATCCTTACAGTTCCATAATCATTAACAATATCAAGGCAAGGAGTTTCAGATGTGTGCAATGTGCTTTGAAGGCCGTATATTTGGCACTGTAAAATGACACGAAAATCCAACGCAGTCAGTGCATTCCCTTATAGCCGAAAACTCCGGTTTGCATCTCTGTATCCTTTCTAGCCCAGTTCCAAAATATCATCGAGCGAGATAGGCGCGAGAGCAGTGGTGTATAGTACAATAATATCCCCGAGGATCGCATCAACAGTATCGAAGAGGCGCAAATAAGTGTAGTGTCAATATTTGGCGAGCGAAAGACTTAGAAACCAGGAGGGTTAAGGCGCTGGCTAACTCTTGTCCACTTAGGGAGCTCTGAAGAAAAAAAAAAGTACGATTAGCTTCATGTAGCACTTCGCAAACCTGAACAGCGTGGGGGAGGGAGCTGTAGCAAAACGAGGTGCACTCGTGTGGCAACAGTGCTGGGACGAGAAAAAAAGGGACGAAACGTACTGTGAATGCCCTTCCGGTAGGTCTTTTCCTTCTTATCAAAAAGAGTGTACTTGTCTTTGGGCAACATTTCTTCCTCCCGGGGCATTTCCGCATACCACCGGTCGACGGCTTTCGTGCTCTGACCATTTCGTCGCAAGGCGGCGCTGAGGGTATCGACAACGCGGTCAACGGCGCGAAGACGCTTTCTTTGCCGTGCCTTCTGAGGCTGTGAGATACGCCACGGGATCTTCCTGTTCGGTCAAGCCAAAAGGCCAATGATCAGCCGTGTCTTGTGATTGGAAATGGGTAGATAGATGAGGTTATTCGGCTGCTGCGAAGTTGATCAACCACGAGGGGGTAGAAGCATACCATAGAAGACCCGAGAGGAGAGGCGATGATGGCTTGAACATCATTGTGGCAGCCTGGCAAGTGATCGACTGCTGGTGTTGGAGCAACGATGTCCGTGAGGTTGATGGGGAGTCTCGGCGACGAAAATGCTTTGAGGCAGAAGTGTCCGGTGGTCCGTGCTCGCTCCGACTTCCGCGGCCTCAAAGCCAATGAAGGCATTTCTTGCTCTCACGCCCGTTCAATCTGGGGAAATTCTTTCTTTCCTCCCTCGTCGCTTTTGAATCATCGCTTGCCCCTTGGGGTTGCTTGTTTTTCTTTATTTTCCAATTTTCTTTCTGCATTCAGCGCTCATTCTTTGGTTCACTTCTCTTGTCCATGGACTTTTACTAGTCAAGCTAGACAGTGCAATGTCCCGTTCTAAGGATCCCAGCGCAACGGGCGACTGCCCGTCGCTGCCTTGGAGAGCGCTTTCTGCTACGACGATACTTGGTGTTGCTGCATTGTGTCGCTCATTTCTATTCATGTGCAACAATACAGAAATAAATGGCTTGGGGCCGTTTCTGGAATTGCTCGAGGCTCGAAAGGACCCGTCGCAACGGACAAAGGGCCTATTAACAGGTACAAATCTTTCTTTTAACTTTCTGCGCGTCTTCTAGGAGAAGAAGCATGGGGGAGGGGGGGCTGATTGCTAATAAATATCTGTTCTTGACAGTCTCAAATCATATAAGTGTGTACGTACGTACGATGCGTCTTGAAACCCGAGACGACACAACCGCACCGACAACCACTTGCGACTTCTACCAAGGCTGACCGTCGTCGCTGACTCGAATAGTATGGATGATCCTATTATGTGGGGTGCACTTCCTCTGCGATGGCACTTCGGGCTCGCCTCATATAACAAGCGATGGGGTTTCGGTAGCCACGATATCTGTTATCAGGGCCGGTTCGGCACACCTATCCACGATTGAACCATGGACTTGCGGCTAATTATTTCGGATCGAGCAGACCCTTGTCTTTATTCTTCACAATGGGCCAAGTGCTACCGACACATCGACTAGCCCACTCAAAGTACGGCGGTCTGGCGCAACCGGCTGTCACGCAGGCTATCCGTTTACTGTCGAAGGGACCGTTTCTCCCTGATCCTCACCTTCCTCCACCCGAAAGACAGCACTGGAGCTTGGAAAATGTCTGCGTCGATCCATTTTCAGATCTCCCGACAGCGTACACAACCAATGGAACGGACTCGCATCTAGCCCCATCCGCTTATGCGTGCAATTCGTACTCCTGGGTCCATATCTTCCCTGAGGGAATGATACACCAGGCTCCAAACAAGACGATGCGTTATTTCAAGTGGGGTGTTGCTCGATTGATCCTGGAAGCCAGTGAGTGTCCTGATGTGGTGCCCATTTGGTTAGAAGGATTCGACCAGGTCATGCACGAGAGTCGCGAGTTCCCTCGATTCCTTCCCCGGGTCGGAAAGGATATCAGCATCACATTCGGGAAAAAGGTAGACAGCGAGGCAGTCTTTGGGGACATGAGGAGACGCTGGCGCGACATTAAGGCCAAGGCCGAAATGGATTCACCCGAAACTCGCGACCTACCACTAGGCGTGCTTAGTGAGGAGCTCTTGCATGGCGAAGAGGCAGTTGAGTTGCGGAAGGAGGTGACGAAGAAAGTGCGGGATCTTGTTCTAGAAGTGAGACGAACAAGAGGCCTCTCTGACGAAGATCCTAAACAAGGACTCGTGGAAACATGGATTCAGGAAGGTCCACAGAGGGAAGGCAAAATGGAAGATGAATCATGGGTCAGGGACATATGAAGCTAGCCATACCCATGAAGTCATCTCCTTAACGTATATAGATGTAAGATTAGGCGAATGCCTGGGGACAATAAGCTCTAAATGATATAACAATCTGACTATGCTTCCAAAAAAATCAGATGGAGTATCTCGTTCTTCTCTTTCTTTCACGTTGCGCCTTGTGCTTACAAATGGAAACTCCAGTTATAAGGCTGAGTTGTGTGGGGGCGAATGTTTCCACTGATAAGATCTCACTCCAATCTCCATTACTATCCCTCTCCCTTTTTCATCTCTCCTTGCAGCTCCATTCTCTATGCCGAAAAAGCATCGCAAACATACCTTTGCAAAGCCAGTCAGCCCTGCTCATCATACATTAGTATCCTCAGGCCGTAGCCATCAAAATGATCCGTTTCGAACATCGCAGGCTTCGTCCTCTTCCTCGTCAGCACCATCGGTGAACGACCTGCTCAACCATCTTCGTCGCACACAGGTATCTCGGTCGCCTGAAGATGGCGCAGGAAGCCCTTCCAGATTCCTTGCTCCTCGAACCGTGCATCCTTCGCTGCGAAACTTGCTCGAGCTCCCGGAGACCCCGCCACCCCGCCCCCGCCCGGAAGCACGGCGCGCGGGAGTCACCGGACGAAGACTGAGGAGGACGCCTGGACCACCGCCGCCCGAGAGCTGGCTTTTGGGCAGTCAAGATGCAAATACGGCCGACGGGGATGAGGCGAGTGTCGCCGAGGCGGCGCACATGGAACGAGTCATCTATCGGCTAGATCGACTTCCGGGGACGACGTTCCCACGCAAGTCGGACTTGCTGCATATGGTTCTCAAATCCATGGCCTCGCATTGGGCGTGGCATATTGAGTACGATGGGGATTTCTTGGCTGTGCTCCCCAGTCATATCAAGGTCTTGCTGCTGAGCTACATCGCTATTTACGCGAGGGATCAACCTTTGGCAGGCATGATGCACGGACTAAGGCCGTTGATCGAGAAGTCTGGTGCTGAGCACGCGGAATCTGGAACTGGAAATGATTTACTCCCCGATAGTGACCTGGAGATCACGCGATTGGATCTTAGCAGTGCGCTGGGACGGTGGATGACCATGAAACAGGTTTCTCACGAGCTCTCCATCTCGAAGAAGGCGGAACGGGATCTTCCGCAACACAAGGCTAAAGGGGTTATTCCTCAGTCGTGGGAAGATTTAGATGGCGGAGACGAGATTCTCACCCCCATACCCAAAGCGCCAACTCACGGTCTTCGCTTCGAAAACCTGCGCTTCCTCTCCTTGGCGCATCCAAAACCCGCCACCGTCAACTGGAATTCTCTCATCGACCTCCTCTCCCGTCTATCAACACTCACTCATCTTTCTCTGGCACACTGGCCTAGCCCCACCATAATCCCTAACGCTATCAACGCGCGAGTCAGACACCCAACCCAACGATCCCTCACATTCGCCTACGGCGGCACAGATTCCTATTCCGGGATCGAAAACAACTGGGCCGAAGCAGCAGGTATCCTCCGCAGACTCTCGCGCGTCACATACTGCCTCAAATGGCTGGATCTCGAGGGTTGTGGTGACTGGATCCCAGCGCTGAATTGGGAAGGCATGGGCCCGGACGGCGAGGCGCTCCTGACTGGCCCTGAATGGAATAGATCCTGGAGGGATATTGAATTCGTCCGCCTGGGCCCCGGATGGCTTCCTCATATCGACGACAGTGAACTGGATGTATTGGCTGGTCGCCCGGGCGGGCGACCTCCTGTGTCCCTGTCTCGATCGCTGACGTCATCCATGCATGCGCCAGCACAAGCGGTGTCCGACTCTTCGGATCTCCCATGGGATGTAGAGTTTGAGCGAATCAAGTATAGACGGGCCAAGGAGTTGGAACACTATCGGGAGACGCAGCGTGCTGCGAAAGCGGTCCAGAGACAGGTCCTTCAAATCAGGCAGGCCGGTCGAGGCAAGTGGGTGCATTTTTCCTTTGGATTGGAGGGGATGGATGAGGATACGCTCAAGGGTTTACTTGGGCCCGATTATCTGAGCTTTGTCCATTGATGCGCTCGGAGGCAAATACTTATATAGAAATAGGTATATTTGCGCAGCATCTATTACTCCATATAGATTCTAGACTATATAAGATGGTACTCACGAGAAAGCTGAGACGAAGCATACATGCTTGGTATCTATAAAATTATGATTTTTTGAACTCCTTGATAGAATAATGCGTATGTACATGACTGTGCAGACATCCCAGGACTTTTCATCTGACTTAACTATATCGTCAAAAGATACACAAAGCTCACTTGCGTCCCCGATTGAACGTCTTGAGAGGATCCACCTTCCTCACACCAGACGGTTTCCGTCCCTTGCCCTTACCGCGATTCTTCTCTCTTGCTTTCCGAATCCGATTATCGCTCTGTTTTGTGAACCCTACATATCCGACATTCTCGCTGGAGATGCCTTTTCTGCCTTTGGAGGGCATCAGGTAATCGGGGATGTGTTTGAGATGAGGCTGGATGCGCGCTGCGCGGAGCTCGCCGTCGTGGCGCAGTTGCTTGAGTTCCTCGGGGTTCTCTTCGAAGTGGCGCTTGAGCTTCTCGCTCTTGACCAGTTCCTGGCGAATCTCACGCGCACGAGCTTCCTGGATCGCCAACCGGGTCACTGAGCGGAGCGCGTCCGTCATACGGTATCGGAATGCATCGACCTGTTTCATCTCGAAGTGGTATGGTTTGACCTCGTGGTCGAGTTTCGCTTGGCGCTTCACGATCTTGGCCAATACTGACTCGTCGTACTTGGCGGTGGGGAAGCTGGTAGGTTTGTGTTTTCCAAACTCGTCGGCGGGAACAACAAATGACAGCGCCATGCCGGCTTTGCCAGCTCTTCCGGTACGGCCAATGCGATGTGTGTAGGACTTGGAGGTGGTGGGAAGGTCGAAATTGAGGACACACGCAACGTTCTGGAAGTCGATACCACGGGAAATTCCATAGTCTTTGCCTTTTCCTGACGTCTTGCGACGCTTCTCTGGGTGAGCAGATTTCTTGTCATTGTCTTCCGGCTCGTTGTCCTCGTCTTCACTGGAACCCATCTTGTCCCTCGTCTCCTCCTCATCCCCGTCTGTGATTTCCTTCGACTTCTTGAATGTTGTGCGGGCCCCCATCACCTCTTGTTCATCTGCGGCAATGATGATGTCGTAGACACCCTTGTTGAACTCCTGCACGACGTGTATCCGCGAATTGATAGGCAACTCGGAGTTGAGCACACAGCTCTTGATGCCGAATTGCTCAAGGAATAGCTTGACACGGTAGCAGCGATCGATATCCCCAACGAATATAATGACTTTGCCTTTGATCAGCTGCAATTTGAAGATGACGTAGGTCAGGAGAAATTTCTCATCCTCGGCACATCTGCAATAAAAGGTCAGCCGTTATCCCCTGCATGACTGGGGTAAAAGAAAGTTCTTACCTGACAACGAACTGGCTGATACCAGCGCCCTCATCCTCCTTATCTTCCAGTTTCAAAACAACAGGGTTCCGACAAAACAAACCCTTCAAAGTATCGACTTCGGAGGTGAGAGTTGCACTCATTAGGAACGTCTGCACACCACGAGGGATCGCCTTCGCCAACGCATTGATATCTTCGTCGTATCCGTACGATAGAACCAGATCCGCTTCGTCGATCACAAGGTGTGTCAGGTTGTCCAATGCCAAGGCAGAGCTACCCAGATTGGCGATGACACGGGCCGGTGTCGAGACAATCAGGTCAGGATAATCGGCGAGCATGGTCCGCTGAACGGCATCGGAAACCTTCTGTGTCAGGTTCACTGAGCGTACATCCTTGCCACAGAATGCCGTGAATTTAGTGATGACACTCTGGACTTGTTCTGCGAGCTCTCGAGTGGGGACGAGGATGAGGCCGGTAGTAGCTTTTAATGAAGGGTCGGCCTAAACAAGGGTATGTCAGCAATTACAAACCAACTTTAAGATAACATGGTGAGAAGTTAAGATTCACTTACAGCTTTCTTCTGCAGAATCGTCTGAAGAATTGGGAGAACATAGGCCGCAGTCTTTCCAGAGCCAGTTTTAGCACGGGCTGATTTCGTTAGCTATCTCGCCCATTCTCAGGAAGTCAAAGACTATATACTCACCGAGGATATCTTTCCCCTCAAGAGCAAGGGGAATAGCCTTCGACTGAACAGGTGTAGGCTTCGTAAATTGCTCTTTGATCAGAGCTTGGCGCAGCCGCGGATCAAGATTGAGGTTTTCGAAATCGGTATTGTCTGCGTCCTTTGCTTCCTTTCCCTCTGCGACTTCTGCAGAGGGAACATCATTGGCATCCAGCTTGCGCTTCATTTTATGGGCAGATATTTCCCGACGATCGTGAATGGGAAATTGCGAGATATCGTTGTTTCTAGCTGGTAATTGTAAATTGCCTGGAAAGTTTTCCTCGTCCAGGCGGTTTCAGAAATTCTGACGGGCGGTGAGATTTTCTCTGGCAGTAACATTTTTGTCCCCACTCACTATCTTGATAGTCACTACAGAGTACGCAGTACCCAAAGACACGGGAGGATGACATGTTAGATCTTCCTCATGAGCTGGAATATTTCTGCAGAAAATATGAAAGAAATTGCATTCGAGCACGTCATGTTGATTATGTCATATGGTCATTACTACAATCAATCCAAAACATTTGCAAAACACACATAGGATGACCCAAAAAAGCACACAAAGAACGAGTCCAAGAAAAATCCAATGGAGAGTGATGCTTTCATACTTGAATTCCAAGATTGACTGTCACTCAGCTGTGAAGATCCGCTTTGTCGTGTCAAGATTGTCACTTCTGACTACATCTTCGCCGAGACGATTCGTTTTCTTTGACTAGGGTATGCCACAGGCATAGAAGAGCAAATCGTAAACAATTGTTGTAAAAGAGGCGGTTCAAGTCCTCAATAGCGAGGGTAAAAACAAAAATGTCAACAGTACTTGGCGTATAGTTGTCTTAAGACGCAATAGGTCAAGGCTCGTAAATTGTTATCAGACCAGACAAGGCATAAACCTCGCCAGACGTATTGATTTGATAATTCAACCCTTTGGACAGGTTCAATCAATTCGTAGATATCTCTGTTCTTGCATAGCCCCTGAAATCGTTCATGGATCTTGGAGAAATTATCCCAACAGGAAGCACTTTGACGTTATGCTCGACGGTGTAAACCTTGCCGAAATTCAACCGGGACATAGGATCCAATTTCTGGTCAGGTGTTGCTGGCTCAATCTCCAAGGGGTCCTTAGTCATTCGTGGCTCGTGGGATCCATATCTTGGCCGTGTTCCACGCATGTAGACAACGGCATGTTGTTCGGGAATGACACCAAGCTTGGCCACTCCTTGGCCCCCATAGGTGGTTATTGGCCTAAACAGCGAGTGTCAGCGACACCGGTAGGGGCTCCTTGTCCCCGAAGTTTCACTCACAAGCACCATGCCCATTTGCTTTGCGGCTTCACGACAACCATGCGCCGGATGCCACCGAAGATCTGTTGCCCGAACCTGCCTTCAAGGAATCCTTCTTGAGGTCGGGCAGAAATGACTGTCCCATTGTAGCCTGCAGCTTCATGCCAAAGGATTGAGAATACCTATGGTGATTGTCAGGACACGTGCAACCACATTAAGACGTGAAATGGAAGACGGTTTAAATCTTCCTTTAGACACCTTACTCTTCCAGTTGTGAAGAAGCTGCTCCTCTGCAGCTGGTATCCTAGGTATGTTCAGACCAAGCTCCAGTACAGCGTTTCGTGACGAGCCTAGAACTTACTCGGGTCGAGTGTTTCCCTGTCATTGGGACTTTCTTGGATGAGGTAACCGTGGTGCTGCAACTACATTACATCAAACATGAATTATGGCTCAGCAGGGAATCCCAACTTACACTAAGTTGAGTAGGGTTGCTTCCAAAAGTAGACTGAAACCCTCTATTAGTTGATGCTGATGTATCGCGCGGAGACCGAATATTGACGCTGGGCGGTCCGTCTTGATTGGGCGCATCCTCGAGCTCTTGTCTGCCAAACGCAGGAGCTTGGGAACGGTTGTCGCGTTGATGTCTAAAGCCTCGAGCTTGTGACATGGAATGATCGTTATCTCCCGAATCCAGTTGAATGGAGGAGGTAGAGCTTAGTCCCATGTGTCCCAATTGTGCCGCAAGGACATCCGACTGGGTCCCATAAGATGACGGTTGTCCCAGCGCTGCTGCTTGATGGTATCCTTCTTGTCGGTAGACTGACCTGGCATATGCCCCTCCTGCGTAGTTCCTAGGAAGGGAACCAGAATCATGACCTGTCTCTAGGATATAATGGTTCGAATCCTCTCCTGATTCATGTGCCCCGCGCCTTTTGTTCATCAGTCTTATAGCGAGACTACTGTCAAGGCCATGCTGCTTTCTTCACTTACATGGAAATGATGTTCCTATGCAGCATAACATCGTGAATGTTTCCACTCCGAGGACGCGAGGGGGACCCAAGTGGATGGGGAGGTGCACGGCCAGTGCACTCGTATTCTTCTGCATGTAAATATTCGTTTCTATCCCGTGAGCTTTCTTCGCTATAATGGGTTCCTGGAGACATGTCAATTTTATGCGGTGGAAACGGCGGGTTTCCGTTCATTGTACCTCTACGGTTTGAGTCTCGGCGATGACGGCCCTGGGGCCTTTGAAACTCTTCATTTCCATGATTGTCCATACTTTTCCACAACAGAGAAGCAGCGGACAAGTCACATAAAGAAAGTCAAAGGACAAGCTTGGATTCAATCAATTGACCTGGTGCAAGAAACCTGGTTTGTTGGAAGGTCTGTATCTCACAATATCGTGGATCCCCTAGACTGAATGGCTGCTTTAAAGCCATGTTACTGGTAGTGGCAGACCATATCGGCATCCTCAGAGCTGTTAGCAGCAAACTTGAGGCTCTTCTGCTGCTACATCCATCCATAATGTAGATGGTGGACTTGATAGAACCGTTTCGACGTAGCATCAGCAGCAGGCGCGTGTGGCTACTTTGTTGGCCGAATCCTACTCGTAGATGGGATGATGCACATGACAATCGGTCCAGGAAGATGCATTGCGTTTTACGAGATTCGGGATAAGTAGCCTGTTTTTCTTGATTGGCGTCCATAGAAGTGAGCGTATGAGCGGTCAGCTTTCTATCGATATTAATTAGCTTTGCACTTGGCTGTCTCCCGGAAAGGAGACTAACCCTGCATCTTGAGCGGAGTCAACGAACGCTACGCGGATCAGTCCGGTCTGACCAGTGGCAGTCAATAGCAAAGCGTCATCTTGATGTTGAATGAGCTCACAGCGCCAATCAAACGGGAACGGCAAAGCCGAGTGCTCCCGTATGAACTCAAGCCACGACTCATGAAACACTCTCGCAAGGCTGTCGTCAAGAGTTGATCGATTTAAGCAGACCACCCCAAAGTATGTTGATTGCCGGATGATCCCTGGCAGGGAACGCAAGTTGCATAGACAACCCAAGATGGTTATTGGGTCACACAGAGCGATGTTGGCAACCGCCCATGGGACTCGTCAACCTGATGCGTCCCAGGCAGTCATTTAGCCTTGTGATTGGGAATCGGCCCAGAGGACAATGAAGAGGGAGAGGGACAAATGAAGTTGGAAGAACATAGCAAAAGAAATTAAAAAAGAATTATGTACGTTGTGTTTGTTAGGCCTAAAAGTTGGGAGAAAGATGTGGGCTGCTCCATGTGCGGCTCTTTCGCCTTCAACGGCTTGAAACACCGAGTATTCTCTGTTCCCTCTAGATATCCCTTTTCTTCTGGACCTGATCTCGAAAAAACGTATGAAGGCTGACAGTGATCCGAGAGTCGTGAAGAATGGGGTCTAAGCAAAGTCGGACAAAGGATTCAAATCCAAGCCCCACAGGGGTAAGTCACATTTTTTGAGTTCTTCTCTCTATTTCTTCTCATCGCGCCTCTCCAAACATTCATTCTCATATGACTGACCTTTACTGCTCCCAGCAGGGAACATATGGGGATATTCGATCCCCTGGCGCAGTGGAGCCGGAACTTCACAGCGCTGCGAGATCAAGCTTTGCCTCCCGATCTCCAATAGAACCCCCAGTCATCGCGGGTCCACTGGGTCCAGCCTCAACAACCAAGGCTGGGGCGCCGTTAGAACATCTCCACAGGAGTTTATCTCAACCTGATGTGTTGGAGGCCGAGCATCAAGAGACTCTTTCGCAGCGCGAAGAGATCTCGGCAACTTTTTCGCACAATCCACGCGCCTCCCATGGCAGTTCCAACAAGGACACAGATGTTGACATCTTGCCATCTCTAACAAATCCCACGGAGCATTCTGAAGATTTACAATATCTCGATGAATGCTTATCCGTCAACCAAATCGAGGAACATCATCGTCTAAGAGGCCAAAGTGACGCCAGATTCACGAGCGACGAACTGGTTGAGCAGTTGGAGGATGTGTCCGCCAAACGACTACAAGTTCGAGAAATGCGAGTCGCACTACGGTACAAGAGAGAGGAGGAGACGAACTATAGACTGGCACTGATGAAGAGGCTGAACTCGCTTATCGCACAGGATCCACCGCTCAATATTGGGTCTATCACCAATGACGTTGAACGACTTCAATCGGCTACGGAGGCATACTTGGGACTAGAGCGGAGATATCATGAAAAGGAAAGTGAGTTGGGGCAGGATGAGTATCTGCTCATCCAATCGATTGAGCGATTCTCTAAGCGATTGCGACACCCTTCATCAAGTATGCAGGGAGAGAGCGAGGGTGCTCAACATTCCACCCCAGGAGACGACAATCACTCCATTCAAAGTGTGCCTTCGAGATTCCCTCCCGCTGTAGCGGATTACCTGTCGCGAGTTGGAGACGCGCGAATACTTCAGGAGCGCCTGTTAGACCTCGACTCGCAATGGTATGATATAGTTGACAAGCAGAAGATCCGACTCTCGCTCGACATTCCCATGGACGATGAGTCTTTGGCATTTTTGCGATCATATGACGCATCAAAGCTGGAGATCCAGAAGGAATTCAACGAGACAATGCTGGACATTGTCCACCTTCGTGCTATTTGCGAGGAGCAAGGTCTTCTGACAGAAGAATACATTGGTCGCCTGGACTATTTACATGAAAATGGGCTTGAAGAAATTAGTGTTCAATTCGAGGATCCCCTCAAGACATCAGAGGTCGACGACTCCTCGCCATTCTACGAACCCGGCTCCGCGAAACTCAGTAGTGCCATGTTCATCAACAAATGGATCCTGCACAAGCTGCGGCATTCGTCCGTGGAGATTTCGCGTTTGAAATCCGCCCCAGAAATCCGGAGGCTATCACAACAAGGCTGGAATGAAGCGAATATCAGTCGACTGGCGCTGACGGTATGGTTCTCTGACGACACAGTCAGATCGCCGCCGCAGGCGCCCTCGGAGGACGATTACAACTACACGCGGATCCCCGACAACAGCAGGACCGTCGATCACAGCCATGATAGTCAAAAGATGACCGGACTTCCCCTTCCAGACATCCGCTCAGAGCCTGACATGACCCCGAAGAAAGAAGATCCTATGACTGCACATCTCCGTGCGTTATCACTGTGATACTTCTCTCTATGCATTCTCCTCCCAATCTCTTTACTCCTATTTCGGACACGGTTGATTGTGTCTCCTTTGTCTCCTTAGCGTACAGCATCCATAGACGGCGGCGCATGTGGCAGCATCAGGGCATATCTGCATTTTCGTTTTTCTTTTCTTTTTCTCACTTGTCCTTTTCTTCCTTTTTTTGTTTATTTGCTTTTTTTTCGGTCTCTTCGCCATCTTGTTGGTCCAGATTTTATGTATCTTTCCATCCATAATCTCCGTTCTCATCTCAGCAAGCCATTGGCTACCTACACCCAGCTCTTCAGCACAAGTCAGAGCAACTGTGGCCATCACATCTCGCCCCCGTCCACCTGGTTGGCTACCACTTCAGCCATGCCCTGATCACACGATCAGCGCCCCCTAGGTAACTACCCACACAAGGAAATATCCATAGTTCAATCTAGGCGTCCAAGCCAAGATCATATTACGGAGTACAACGATTGTCCTTTCTTGCCGGACGGCTTTTGGCTCCCCTTCTCCTCTCTTTCGGGGCCAGACTAGATTCTTGTTGTTATTTGTCCGCAGCCTGGAAATGATCAGAATCGTGTGATGCACGGATATCCCTGCCGCAGGGCGACGGGGTCCATGGGCTTCTGCCGCTTTCGTATGATCGTGTTCGGTTTGGACAGCCTCTGGATGAACAATGGGACGCATGGTTCCCGGCGAGTCTTGTTATTGTTGCACATGGATAGACTCATCTAGGCCCTTGTACGGATGGTTGTAGTGTGAATGACTTGCCTACCCAAGTGCTAAGCATGCCATGTCGTGAGCTGGTGTATCAAATCACTAGTACTCCTAGTATGATAATCGCTTTGTATTGCTTAGAGATCACAGCTTCCTAGATAGATAGCTTATGCTACCTAGGTAGTGAATTAATCGCAGGACAGAAAAACATGTCGCCGGAAATTTGTAAAACAGCTCATGAAACACAATCTGACTCCTGGCCCCTTGTTCATATCCCTGCTCGTGGTGGAAAAACTTCCATAATGTGTCATTACCCATCCCATCCAATCCAATCCGTCATATTTCCATTCCGATCATCGTGGCGTACCATAGAGAAAAGTAACTGTCGTATCAAGGTCGTATTATTTACATTCTGCAGCCGCAAAAAAAGCCATAAAATCAAACACAAATGGGGGCCAGGGGGGGGGGGTGGCCCCCAATGGAAAGGTCGAGAACTGGGGCCAGAACTACGAGTACCGCGTTTCGTCGCCGTCGCTGTCACTCAAACTGTCTCGTCGTCTGCCGTGGCCGCCTTCGCGACGGTAGCCCTTGCTGAGTCCCGGGATGGGGTGGTAATGGCTTTTGGTTCCTGACCCGTCCTCCGTTTCCACGTTGGAGTAATGGTATTCGGAGCGGGAACCGGCGGACGAGAAGTCCAAGGGCTCGGTGTAGTGGCCTGGTATGGAGCGCGAGTCGCGTTTGCGCGGGCTGCTCTGGCGCGAAGAGGAGGTTGGGGGGTTGCGCCGTCGCTCGCGGCGACGGTTGTGGCGGCGGGTGGAGGGTTCGCGGAGCTGCTGGCGCTCGTCGGTGGTCTGGCTGAGGACTTCCTCGGTGCCGGGCGTAAAGGAGAAATTGCGGGTCTGCCGGGCCGGCTCGTAGGCGTAGTCGCGTGTCTCGGTCATCTCGCTCGCGTTGTAGTGGCTGGGTGGGTTGGAGGTGTCGTAGTCGCTGCCGTGGTATGTCCCGTCTGCTTCGCGGTTGATGCCGCCGATCCGAGCGGGCTTCTCCTTTCGGTAGGCGACCACGTCCTCGTCGGCTTCGCCCTCCCAGTTCTCGTTACGGTGTTTGCGGCGGAATTTGTCTCGGAAGTTGCGCTTGCGCTTGTGGTCCCCTTCCTTTTCGGTAATCGTCGTTGCGGTTTCCGTATAGCCGCTGTCCGTGACCGTGTATCCATCGTCGCTGTAGCCTTTGCCGACAATGCTCCCACCGCCGAGCTTTGTGCTCCTCGTGGCGTTACTGAGGGTTCGGCCATCGGGGCCTTTACGTCGCAGCACGGTCGATTTGTATTCTTCCCAGTCGCCTTCTCTCCAGACACAGCCCCCGTTCTTGGCCCAGAAGAAGAACCAGATGGCTGCGAGAACAATTGCAGCCCCGATAATTGCAAACAAGGCTAGTAAGCCCCCCATATTGATGCTCTTAGGGTCGACGGTCCCATGGCCAGGAATGTAATTGGCCGTGTCGTCTGCTCGGCGGACGAGGGTATTCGCTACTTCTGGGGGTGGCGAGCGTGTTGAGTGTGTAGTCAAATCGCGTCCAACGATATTACCTAGAGAAATGCCGGGGAAATCCCCCACTAGCTGAACAGGCGGCATGGTGGGCAACGGGTAGAGTTGTCAAGAGCACGTAGCTCTAGACGGGACTTTAGAACATGTCAGTATACTCGTCCCACATGGTCATACAGCCCAGGAATGAGGAAGGCGGACCTTACCAAAAGACTTGAGTCCCCGAATTCTGTCTCTAGGAATGTTGCGCTCTCAGCTCCACTTAGTATGGCTCGGTTGATGAGAAATGGATACTGTTCAGATAGGACTTAGTCGGTAGGTGTCTTCTCGCAATGCTCTGTTGAACTCTGTAGATGGGGGGAAACATTCAAGGAGGCTTAAAGAAGTGTCACCGGGCTGAGGACTGTGCAGATAGCCTGTGTAGCCCTCGAAATTGCGGTGGTTGGAGTAAATGGGGAGGCTGGGATGACGCTTTGTTTGGGCTCCCGGCGTTGTCAGAGGCAACTTGCTGAGTCATCAGTTTCGAGGCACTGATAAGACACGATAAGGCGTTCATACCTCGAGATGGGAAGACCACGACAACTAAACTATCTAATCCAGTTACAAAAGGATTTCGTCGTCTGAAAGATTCTTCTACGAAGTGGATACAGGCTCCAGTGAGGTTTGCAAGAGTTCTGGGTGTTGAATTGGCCCGACAGTCAATTGGCGACTGTCACCCACATCCTGTCCATGTAGACAGCAGAATTCAGAATTAGTGTTACACCCAATTTTCCAAGACAGAGCCGCAAATCAATCGTAGGCCACGCTGAATATGGGAAGTAGCTTGATTCTGGGCACGCGACCAGCGCATTACTCTATAAAGAGCTCCATAGGCTTCAATGTTGCCGGCGGCCGCCAGTACCCTACGACCTGATGAGAGGAAGGAGTCAGTACTCGGCTAATGAGCTTGCTATCCAATGGACTGTGACAATCGATTGTCTCCGATCAACCTGGCTCCAGCATGCTGCATACTGTGCAGTCTGCATCCAAGCCTACGTCGCTGGGAGCTGGATCTAGAAGCAGTTCTCATCAGGAGGAGCTGGAAGTCGCCCAGCCCCCACGGGTCATTCTAGAGTCTTGAGCAGCCGCTTGGAACAGACTGTGGTTGACTGTTGCCTCCATGCAGGCGATGGGCTGACGAGCCACTACTGAGTAGACTTGGGCGTTGGTACCTGATGGGTGGATCTGACAAGAGTCATCGCACTCATCGCAAGATCCAACCAGGTTGAAAGGGCAAATATCCTCTATAGCATAGATAGCCTTGATGAAGAGAAAATAACTCACCGGAATGGAGTAACTAGACATCGTGAAGTGAGTTTTGCGCCCAAGATGTAGTCTATCATTGTTATCCATGAACCAAGTATGATGGTGCCAGAGGTCCATCGTCCTCAAGGTCAGCGTCGTCAGCACAACCATGGATTTTTGGGTGAAGACCCTGCCAGTTGAGGGCAAACAAGCCAGGAATCCCGGATCTAAAGATGATTTGACTGTTCTAGACGGCATGTTTTCTAGCGTGCTTCTAAAGGGGATTCGATGGGAGAGACAGGCTGGTTTGCTCCACTGACGACTTAGGATGGAAATTCTCAATACTATCATCAGACGAAGAGGGTAAGTGGGGTAATCCGTTCGTTATCAAGAATTTCTATGGTTTGATCTTTTGTGAATTGACATGTGCCCAGTAAGAAATGTTACAGAAATGAAGCATTCAATGCACTAGATACCTAGTTATTGAGTGGGTGATTAAGCCCATTACCAGAATTATACTGTTTGTATCTCATAGATCTACCCACCTTCATGACAATAATAAAACCATCACAACAAGATGTTCACAACCCTGACTAACACAGAATCTGCCCCTCCATGAGATATAATTTTTCATTTTTCAATTATCCGACAAGAACAGGGAAGACGCCGTACTCGTAGTGGGAGGTTTCTTGGTCAGAGTGGAATGTGGATTCGACGAATGTTCTCACTTCTCCGTAATAATAGATCGATGGTTAGTAGTATTGGGCCGCAACTGTAAGGGATTTGGGCAGCGATTGGGGCAGGAGAAATCCGGAGCAGAGCAGAGAGAGAGAGAGAGAGAGAGTTGAGAAATAATAACTAATAATGATGCATCCTCCGTAGTCCGTAGTCCGTACTCCGTGGGATTGATCATTTATAATATACTGAATCACCTAATAATGTTAATGAAAAGAAGAAGATGGATATCAGCCTGAACCCTAACTATGACAGTATTAATGCTGAAGTGAAACAGAATCAATCTCTTTTTTTTAAGGTCAAGATTAAGACCAGAGAGTGGATGGAGTTTGATCGGTTGTTCCCATGGTTGGTTCCGGTCTGACCCAAGGAATGCTGGACTGGTATACTTACTCCATATTTCATCCATGGATAGACTAGGTACTTGTCAACTCCGTAGTCCCGTACAGATGGAGAAATATCAATATGATTATATGGCAGAAGAGAAAATCCACAGAAAGAAAAACAAAACAGAGACTTATTACTATACCGAACCTACCATGATAATGGCCTGTACAATGACCATCACAATACTAATAAGAAAGGGAAAAAAAATCAATCCTTCTGTGATCCACCTTATCATCCTTGGATATCCCATGTTCATTCTGTGCCGCATCGGAATCTCGTTGACATCAGCCAATGAAGTAATCTCCTGGAATCTTCTGACTCAGAGATAACTTCGTTCTGTCCGTTCCTCGAGGGCAAAAGAAGGGATCACGATGCAAGGAGGTAATTGTACTGTGACGTTGTTTGGAAAGTTAGTAGTATTGTATGGAGTAGTAGTATATCAGATTTTGGGGAGTCAGGGAGAGGGGAATTAGAAGGCTTTTTAACACCGAGTCCGAGTCGCATTACTGCCCTATCTACGGTAAGTAGATAGGTACTCTTCCTCTTCTTCAGCATTTATTATTATTATTATTATTATTATTATTTTCTTGAAAATTACTTCTCTGACTCTCTAGGTAAGACGCAAGTACTACAAGTCTACACAGTACAAGTCTACAACTATTTACTAGTGGCAGATCAGGCATCGTTCGGCCGCCATGGTCCAACGCCTCCCCACTGACTACGAGACTTGCACAGTTGCGAGATTATTTCGTTTTGATGGGACTTTCCCACTCGCAATCATCACTGGTCAACTCTCCAGCGACAAGAAACAGAAATTGTCTCGTTCTTTTCTTTTGTTGCCTTGGGATTCTTGAGTTCCCCGAAGGATACGGAGGATCATTCGTCCTCAGAGAGGTCTTGCCTCCGTTTCCTCACGATCGAGAGATATATTTCCCTTCTGGATTATTTGTAGAGTAGTTTAGTTTGATTATCTACCTCTAGCAGTAGTAGTAGTATCATAGTTATTATTGTTGATTGCTCTGGGTTGACTTCTGTTGGGTAACGACAACTTAAAAAGAACTTTACGTCCATCTGCGCGTATCTTTGTCCTTGCAGCCTCTCTTCTTCTTATTATTCTCCTTCATCCTTTTTGTCCACTACTCTCTGTGTGTCTTCCCCTCTCCTAGATCTATCTCCCAGCCTATGGTGATTCGGATTTGATCTATCTTCAGCCTGACTGGATCTGTCTGATCGCGTTGTCAATCTCTTGTCCTTTCAATCTGTTATTTCCAAACTCCACAGTGGCTAGAGAGTTAGTCCACCTTTTTTTTTTATTCTTTCTTTTCCCCTTCTGGGTGCTTCCAAACCCCACCAGGATCGTTGAATCTGCTGGACCAACTCGTCTCGAAGAGTCAACCATCCAACCCGTCGGTGGTGACACGCTTCTATCTGCATATTCATTATTATTATTAATGCTCTGCAGCTGGACCACTTAACAAGAACTACCTACTATCTCCTCTGTAGTAGTCTGCACGCATTACAGTGGATTTGCATTGTCTATTTTTCTTATCCCCCATTCGAATTCTCCGTTTGTGTCCATCTTTTCTTGTCTGCTTTGGTCTGTCTGCCTACCGACCCACCGCTCTTCCGTCCACTACGGCTGGTCAGTTGGAACCGCCCGCATAGACCCGTCTTTCGTGCATCGCACCAACCAGCACTGGCGTCTTCTGCTATCCAGCCTTTGCTTCGCAGCCTTCTCTTCGTGGATTAATTCCCTTGCAAAGAAAGCAAAACAAACCGAAACAAAAAAAAAAAAAAAAAAAATCTATTTTCGATGGAGACACTGCGGGCTCAGAAGGACGACTGCCACTCTGCATCCACTGCTCGCCGCTGACAACCCTGCGATCTAGACGCGCGCCGTCATCTCCCACTTTGACATTATCGGACCATTGCAGCAGAAGTGGATTGAAAGGAGTATACTCCCACGACAAGCGGAAAATTTACCAAATCACCCATACTGGGTAAAGGCAAACCAGAAGGAAAAAGTCGAAAGCAACAAGAAAAGAAAAAGAAGAAGAAAAAAAAATAGACAGAAGAAAAGGAAGATTTTTCTGAGTCACCCCGAATGAGCAGCAGCAGCAGCAGCAGCAGCAGCAACTACAAGTGGTGGCTGTCGTTAGTCGACTAAGCAATCCGAAGCCTGTTGGAGCACCAAGTTTCACGTCATCCACACTGTACTGCGACTAACTAGTTCAATACTGCGACTTACTGTGATTTACTACTGCCTGTTCCCAACCACCCCCTCTCTCTCGCTCCCCTTTTTAGTTAGGGACCCAATTTGGGCCTTGGCCGCTGCCCCCTCCCACCTCCCCCCAGAAGAAGTCATGACTGGCAAGAAGCCTCATGCCGCCTTCTGTGAGGAGTACGATGAAGACAAACACGTTATTCGTCCCGAAACTCGTCAAGTTGCTCATATCGCTACAAAACGCTCCAAGGCTGATCTGAGACCTTCTCCAGTCCCCGTGGTGGATGGTGCCAGTGATTCAGGGTACTCTAGTCGCACTGCCGCCACCGTCAACAGCGCCCAATCTGGCCCGTCGGGCCGGAAAAGTCCTGTCCCTCTTAAACCAGACTCCACGCCCAAGCGAGCCGACCTCGAAAAAATTGGCTCTTCTCGCAACGATCGTGCAAAGGAAAAACCTGCGACTACTCGCCCTGTGCGTGACGACAAGATGCAGGTCGGAGCCTATCCCAGTTCCGGCCACTACGCTGCTCCCGTCCAGCGCTCTCAGTCGAGACCCCGACGCCGAGACAGTGTTCAAGTGCGTCACGTCCCTGGAACTTGTTGGGAATGCGATCACGGCCTCTACCATCCACCGGCTCCGGTCGAACCACCACGACGGATGGAACAACATCCTTACTATGCCACACAACCACCGCCCGGCCATGACTATCCACACCCACCACCCGGCCACGACTATCCACACCCCCCGCCGTCACCGCAGACACGATATCCTCCATCCGTCATCCAGGATGTTCACATCTCTCGTCCGTCGGCCCGATCGACTCGCTCCAACTCATACCATTCGAACGCCCGTCCGTCGAGTTTCCATGGGCTAGTCACGAACATGGGTGCCATGGGATATCCGCCCCCGCCCATGGGTCGCTACGACCACGGCCCGCCGCTTTCCTCATCCGCGTATGCCAATAGTCCCGCGTACGCTGCCCCGCATTATCCTCAAGCTGTGCCGTACTATGGGGCCCCGGAGTACGCCGCCCTCCACCCAGCTGAACATCACCAGGAACGGGCAGTTGTGAAGACAGCGGAAAAGCCAGCTCGCCCAAGACGCCCTTCGATGTATGGTCCACCTGTGGTTGACCATGTACCGCCCACTCCACCTTATGATCAGAGCGACGAAGATGAAGATGACGACGACGACGACGATGATGATGATGATGACGAGGAGGACGAAGAGGAGGAAGAAGACTCCGACGATGATATTCTACTCCCACCACCACCACCTCCTAACGTCCGTCAAGCGCGACCACGGCCCTCTGCTCGCGATGAAGATTGGAACCGCATGCCGCCTCCACCAACCAAGCGCAATGCTGCGATACCGCCGCCTCCAATGAAACAGACTGCCAAACCGCAAATTATTCAGAAACGCCCCGATCCACCTCGCAAGTCGGCAACGACCAATTCGGTCACCTCGGAGCGCCGTTCATCCCGAACCTTTGACTTGTCGGAGATGGACGTTGCCCTGAGCGACGGTTATCGACGTTCATCGCGTGAGACCATCATTCCCGAGCGAAGCCAGAGCCTCCGAGGTAGCAGACGCTCCACAACCTACCATGAGTCCGCTCGTCCTTCGCGGATGGCTATCGAAGGGGCGCGTCGCCAACGGACGTCGGTCTATGACTTTGATGGTGGCAATATCGAGACCAAGCAACGGGAGGCGGAAGAGTATCAAGAATCGAGAACAAGCAAAGCAGTGGCGCCCGTGCCACTGACCGCGGACGCCTTGCGCAAAGCCAAGTCCTCGCGTGCGGAAAGTGATAGCGGCAGTCAGAAGAGTCGCAGCAGCCGCGGCAGTGATGCTCGCACTCAAACCGGGAGTGGTGGCGGCGATTCGAAGCCGGAGGAAGACGACAATATCGTCATGACCATGAACGGAATTACGATGAGCTTCCCGCAGAAGTCCATGGGAGGCAAGCGGATCAGCCTTCGGACCGGCGACACGGGAGAGGTCGAACTCAACATCGAGGGAAAGCGACCGAAGAAATATCTAACGAGCGGCTCCGATTATATGGGCAGTGTCTCGCGACGAGAACTAGAAGAACCACGACGTCCCCGAAGCGATCGACGGTCCGAGAAGGGCAGTCGTGCTAGCCAGTCGACGTACGGACGATATTAGTTCATTGCTTCGCACTCTGATGCTGCTGCTGTTGCCGCTTGTCACGATATTCTTCCATGTCTTGCTTTCCTTCTTGGTTTAAGTTCATTCCCTCTCATACGTTTCTCGTACTACGTCTGATGCTTTCCCCCCCCCTTTCGGTTCCTCGAAGTTCGTTCCTTGGCAGCAAAACCAAGGATCCGGTCCAGGTCTTCAAAAAAGTTTCTCTTCATTTTTCTCAGGTCGGGCTTTGTTTTTTTTTTTTTTTTTTCTTGGAAGAAAAAAAATGGGTCACCGGGGAACACCAAGATCGCCGAAGCCGTCCAAGATCCATCCACGTTCCATGGTTCCTATGGAACAGTGGAAAGCGTCGCGGACACAACAGCATCTTTGCGTATCTTCAGCGTTTTTTGTCTTTTTCTTCATGGATAAAAGGGAGGTTTTCTGTTTGTCTGTTGTTGTTTTTTGTGCTTTTTTTTCTTGGGACCACGCGAAAGAGAAGAGGGAAGGGATGTCAAATGAGACTCCGACCAATCAAACGCCCTTTCAGGGCGACATGATTGTACGATTCTGATGACCTGCAATGATATCTCATGTTGATGTTGATGTTGATGCTTTCAAATGTTTCATGCTTATCATGTCCATGCTTATTCTATTCCCCTCAGCCAGTGCATTTGATCTTGTTTCTTTCTTTTTTTTTTTTTTTTTTTTTTCATTCTGTATAACCTGTCTTTCTGATTTCTGGATAACCCCGAATCATGTTTTCGTCTTCTTGCGCATCCCATTTCCAAGCATTTATATCCGCCCCGAGTAGAATTGAATTGATGGAGAAAGGTATACCCCCCCTCGCAGTTCTGTTGTTCATGTCCTATTATCGATGATTATCATTAGCGATCTCTGTACTCCCTCTTATCTATTCTATTTCGCTCATCTATTCCTATTTATCCTTTTTTTCTTTTTTTTTATACATTTTCTTCTTTCAGATCCTCGTCTTCTGGACAGTGAGTGCGTGGCTTGGATTTTCCTGCCGTAGTCAGGGCGTGGTTTGCTGCGCGTTGATTGATATATGGCACGTGGACGATACCGCAATGTATTCTTTTCCCTTCTGCTGTGCATCTTGCGTTTTGGTTTTGAAAATCGGAATGAATGTCCCTTTTTCTTCTGAACAATACGATTTCCCCGGAGAACTGACCGAGTTGGCGAGTCTGTGTTTGGTTTATTAAAGTACTTACTTACTTTCAATACGCATGGAATGATCCATATCCATATCCATATCCATACCCGTACCAAGCAAGATTGATAATGTGTCCAAGCAGGTATGTATGCAAGTGTGAATTCCTCTAGATATATGTCGCCTTGCAGTAGTCTATTACAAAACATGGCATGGTATATATATTCACCCAAAGTCCTTAAACCGAAAAGGATCCACCACCCAAATCAGCCAGCAGTAAGCAGGGAAAATCGCTAGAGTCTCATTCGCAGTTCCCTCCGCCACCTTAATTAACTCCGCCGAAGAGCCAACGCAATCCACCCGAAAAGCCGATACACGGCGATAATGCCCACGAGAATGCCCACCCACTTGCCCGTGCGCCCCGTCGTATACCCATACGCCTCGAGCACGCCCGTGCCACGGATGCGGCACTGGTCCGCCAGATCGGTCTGGTACATGCAGTTGCAGCCGTCGCCGCAGGCGTAGGTGCGGTGCGCGAGCTCGTTGACCATCATGCCCTGGAAGACGTAGGCCTGGTAGTCGATGTAGTGGAAGACGTATTTCCAGAAGGGGTTGAGGATGGTGGGGGAGACGAGGAAGCCGCCGACGCTCATCCAGAGGCCGTTGGCGAAGGCGACGAGTGCGAGCGCGATGACGAAGTTGGGGAAGATGGCCGTGACGAAGACAACGAGGGATTCCGCCGCGACGAGGTCGAGGAAGAGCCACATGACCAAGCGGAAGAAGGCGACGGCGTCCGGGCGGAAGTTGGAGAGCCAGTAGGCGACGACGGAGAAGAGCATGGAGATGAGGACTAAGGGATTAGTTAGTTGGAGGGCAAATTTAGTATGTAGAGTGTGGGAAGCACGTACAGAGGAAGGGGAGACCGATGATGAAATTGGAGATAACGAAGGGGAGGGCGCTGTAGAGCCCGTTGGCGCGCTCTTTGATGAAGGTGGCGCGGTCTTCGAGGAAGGCAGGGACGTAGGCGACGGCCATGAAGCTCATGAAGGCCGAGCCGAAGAACTATCCCCATGTTAGTGGACTCCGGGACAATTTCTCAGGGTGCTTCTTACAATGGCGTTGATGAACGGCTGGATGTACTCCTGCGACTCATGTAAACGCAGCCACACTGTGCCCATCATGATTGCGAGTCCTTTTTTCCGTTAGTAATACTGCAGTGAGAGTAAGACTTGTTGCTCACGAACCCAGATACATGACAATTCGGATCCCATACGCCACAACATCGCGATAGCTTTTGATGAACGAGCGGTGGAGAAGAGAAAATGTGATGCTCGCGACGTTGGGTCGAGAGAGCTCCTCTATCGGGATATCCTTCCTATCCTTTTCAGAGGGCTCGATCGTTTGCGACGAGGCCTGACTGCCCGTGGCAGTTGCCCAGGATGCCTGAATCTGCTGCACACGTTCCACAGCATCTCCCCCCTTGCTATCAGCAAAATCGGAACTGACGATGTCGAGAAGAAATTCGGCGGGATTCGTGTTGGAAGGGATCGGATGGCCGATGCTGGCGAAGTGAGTCGATACATCGGAAACCGGACCGAAATAGCACGTTTTCCCCTTGGACAAAAGAAGCAACTTGTCGAAGAGCTGGAATGTTGTTGTTGACGGTTGATGAATACTCGCGATGATGATGAGCTACATGAAGGTCAGTTCTGTTCGTTCTCTCTTGGAAAATAGATAACTCACGTTATTGGCGATAGCCAACTCCTTAACATATGAGATCACCTCGTAACTCGCCGTCGAGTCGAGACCACTGGTGGGCTCATCCAGGAACAGAATCTTAGGGCAGGTGATAAGCTGACTGGCCACACTGACTCGGCGTTTCTGGCCTCCACTGATGCCCTTTCGGATTGGAGTTCCAACCAGGGTGGCCGCCTGGTTTTGAATACCAAAGGACTCCAAGAGGGTCTGGATCCGGTCACGTCGCTGGGCTTTGGAAACAGAGCTGCCTTACGTGTCAGCTGGTTCTTGTGTAGCAATCAGAGCAGAAAGGTAACACGGGGAACTAACCTCGGCAGGGAGAGATCCGCAGCGAACTTGAGCGTCTCCTGAACGGTCAATGAGCCGATGAGAGCGTCCTCCTGCTCGACATAGGAAGTGATCCGTCCAAAGGTGGCTTTGTCGAGCTTTCCACCGTTGACGTAGCATTCTCCGGAGGTCTTTGCACCGGATGTGGGAGATCGGCGAGCAAGGACATTGAGCAAAGTCGTTTTACCGCAGCCTGAGGGGCCCATCAAAGCGACCAACTCCCCTATTCACTGTCAGTATTATTGCAAACCACCACATTGATATGAACAATCAAGTCGACGTACCCCTTTGGATATTCCCACAGATACCATCGATCAGATTGAGAGGCTTCTTGGTGCGACGGTCCTTGACCGTGACCGTCAAGTCATTCCAGGCAAAGTTGTGCACCGTCTGATTAGACAGGAACTGGTTTCCCCCATTTCTCTCCAGATCGAGCGTAATCTCTCCCGACATGCTTGGATCCGGGTCTATGGGCGATTAAGTCGTCAAGTTAGGTGACTGGACGAGAGAAGTATGAACTATGAAGCGGGAGCGCAGGAAAGAGGAGAGCAACTCGTGAAGCAGAACGAGACGACATCCTGATTTTAAATAGAATAACGGTTTCCGACAGACGAATGGTAGTCCCCGTGTGATGAAAATCCTAGTTCTCAGCCACGAATCGGGCAGATCTTCCTCAGTTGTTGGATAACTGCTGTTGTTGTTGCAGCAGCAGCTGGAATAATAACCCCCGAAGACCCCGGTCCCCGAGAGGCCGACAAGCCTCAGGCATTCTGACGGTAGGTAGAGCCATTACCCAATAGCCACTAGTCTCCTCAGGTAAGCAGCCCGATCCATGAGTGGACCAATCATATTTATTGATGGTTTTACAATGCACGGGCCAAGTATTTCAGCTGGAACCGCGTGACAAATCATCTTCCAGTTACCTAAGCTTTGTCGCCGTCTTCATTCCCCCCAAATCCTATCTCGGTCTCTAATTTGGTCTCTAATTTATCGTGCGGTATCCATCCCGCCGGGCTTCACTCTGAGCCTCTCGGGCTGAAAATCTACTCAGGATTTAACTCTACAGTACGGACTACGGAGTAACTACCTCCACAATAATGAAGGTCCCCGATGAGATTGAGAAAAATTAAAGAGTCCTAAGTGGTTGGAGACTAACACTATTGGCAACTAGAGGATACAAGCGTCCTTCAGCTGAGATCTAGTCCCTGCACTGTGCAGATTATTGGGTATGAAATATTATTCATGAAATCTGAACTATCAACTATGAAGTTATGGGTCATCTTTAATACGAGAAAAGTCTTGTGCTGTTTGGTAGGTTCACCCCAGAGCGCCACGCCCTACGGAGTATATTCAGAGCGTAAGGCGGCTGTACCAGTCTACCAGACTACCACTAGCTTCATGAGGCTTGTGTTTAAATGTGCTGGAAACTGTGCCATATGGTATGATCTTGGGTGCTTAGAAGCTTTCCTACTTGCTGGAGATAACCTATGTGACCCTTCGGCTAGCCCTCCCTTGTTCAACTCAGAATGGCTCTCCTGTTGGGCATTATATATACGAGATCAAAAGGAGCACACGCTATCCCCAGTGAATTTCAGATCGACCTAAATCCACCCATAGAGTATCTCTATAATGTGATATTTGCGACGCATTGAATACTAGTTTTAACCCTCTTGGGTTTGTGATTCCAAAACATTAAACCAGATGAGTTCTAGATTGACCGAGGTAATATAATATTGAGTCGATGATAAGAACATAGGATCAATTGCTTATCGAGAAACAAGACATGGGAATGTGAAGTGACACTATATCACTGCCCATGAATCATTCATTCAAGAATAATCACGATGCCCTGGACGTCCGCTACCAGAACGAATCGGGATATCAAGTGACCCTCTAGCGTCGAAAAACGCATTGATCGATTTGACACTCTGCTGACTCGTCGTGTCCACCCCACCGATATCTGCGTTACAACTTGAAGGAGAGCTGACGCGATCCTCTGGTGGTGAAGTAGAAGGCGGCGGGGGAGCTTGTCTTTGTGGATGATCTGGTCTTGATGGTTTATGCCACGGTTTGGTAGCTGGCAATTGGAGAGCAAGATAATTTGGTATCATGCCAGATAGACCTCTTGACTGAGAAGGCAGCCTGGAAGAATCGCCCTCTGGTGAGGAAGGCAATATTGATGGGGACAATGACCCACTTGAATCATTGAATGTACTGACCCGATCCGAAGGCGAGGATGATGAGAATAATGAATCACCGGAACGAGAGAATGAAAAATTCCGAGTGAAACTGGGACGAGAAGGCAATGAGAACCGTGAACGGCCTCGGCCACTAATATTGTCTGAGCTTGGGGCATTTTGGACAGGTTGGCGCTCTGATCTTCTGCCGTTGGAGAGACTCTGATTCTGCATTGTTGCTCTTGGATGATCAACTGCATCGCTATCAGAAGTCGTAGTCCCATTGCCTTGCTCTTCCCTAGTGGTAGGTGCACTGGTGTGGCTCAGACTCAGTAGAGTAGCAAGTATTCCAGAAGACAGTGTGAAAAACATTAACGTTGAATTCTCACTAGATTACTATGATAGATTTTATCTGTACTCGCCTCAGCCCTGAATAGGCCTTAGAACATATGTTCAAGATTCTCTTCCACATAGAAGAGCATTCATTATATCAGCATCAATAAATCTCCACTTCATATCCACAGTAGTCCTAAGAATGTGGTATCTGTCCCCAACCTCATAAGTCACGGATCAACTGTGTTCAACATCTAATAGATCACAAACTCCCCACCAATAGCATATGACAAGACTCCAAATTGGCACAGTCGGCTGTATGGCCTGGTGCCTCCTGTAGCCCCCGCGCATATATCGTACCTGTGATCTAGGACCCATGGCTAGCCTGCTCATTAAAGGCTGCATCATCTGCCCCATAGTCCCGCTTAACCCCCCCCACATTTTAAGTGCACATGGGAGACAGCCATAGCTGCATGCTGGTAGGAGAGGACATTCATCTTAGTCTGCAGGTGGGTCTGTGCCTCACGCTGGAGGACCTTGCGCAGCTGGCTACTATCCCAGCTCCCATCCCCCGCGGGTCACAGGAAGGCGGATGCTGGGCCCTCCCGCCCATGGACTAACTTCTGTAGGGCCTGGTAGAAGGGCAGGATTAGCCAGAGGTAGTATACCACCAGCTCACTAACTGCCTTCAGTGGATACCAGTGGATAATCTTGGCGGTATTAACCATTGAGATACCCCTTATGATAGTCATGACTGTGCTCATGAGCCCGTGCTTAATGAAAATATTGCAGCGGTGGCCATGTGGGGTATTACTATGGCGCAGGCTGAGTAGCTTAGTGGCCTGGGCTGGCTGCCCCCTATTGAAATGGACTAGCAGGAGCAGGCACTCCAGGAACTCTTTTACCTGCCACAGGTAGTGAGTGGTTCACTGCCTCTTCCTACCAGAGACCTGGTCCTGCTGGCTAATCCGGCATAGCTGTAAGAGTTACTATATCCGCTACATATGTACATTCTTGATTACTTTCATTTTTTAATATGACCATGGCTCTATCGCCGAGCATGGAAATTCAAGATATTATAACAAATCTCATGAGGACGCTCATATAATCTTTCCCACTCGCCATCCTCGCCCATCTTTTGAAAACCTTCCAGCACCGCGTCACATAAAGCAACCTTCATCCACCCAACATCCTTCAAAGTACACCCTTCGACAGGACCATAACTATCATCAAGTAGGTCCTCTGGCTTATCTACGTCTTCAAGATCTTCCTGGTTGAAATCTTCAACAGACTCAGGTTTCTACTACTTATACAGCATATTCACGACTGCATCTTTATTGATTCAGTCGTCAATAAGGTGCCTGAAGAACACTCTGCAAGGACTGTTCAACAAAAAGACAGAACCGATAGCGCGCTGCTTCAACGTTAGAGTACCGAATCATATCAGGCGAGCCGCCTGACTCTTCCTGAATAGCAGTCGTGGCCCATTTCTGGAAATGCTCACGGATTGTCGCCGTGCTCGCACTTTCAAAAAGGGGCTCGGATGTTGTCTCAAAATAATCCTCCTTTATCTGGATTCTGGGGTATACTCGCCAAGCTGCGGAAACTAGCAGAGGCCTATCTCTGATAAGCTTTTTAGCGAAGGGCTAGGATAGACTTGTTTTAACTGTCAACCTTTTTTAAGTGTTCTGATACCGAGTCACCTAGATTACATACAGCACCATGAAAAATAGAAAGTACCGAATCTACGTGGTATTGAGAGAAATAATGAAAACAGAAATTTTGGTTTGGTATTCAACGGTAAAGGAAGCCATCGTTTTTGTATCTATATCCCCTCGATCCATTTACATGCTGCAGAGAAAACGTCCTATGTTAGTAGACACTTCACAAAATCCAAGGGATGACGTACCGTTCAACAGGGCTGAGACCCAGAACCCTCATGCCGTTGTGCAATACTTGTCTGGCGGCCGCGTACAGAGCCATACGGGCCTTCTTGACCTCGGGCTCGCTGCCGACGACCTTGAGCGAGTCGTAGCCGGAGCTGAGGATGTGTGTCATGCGGAACAGGTAGTTGATGATAGTCGTGGGCTCCAGGGTCTTGGTGGTGTTCAGCAGGACATCGGGCCAGGTGGCCAGCAGGCGGATGAGATCGGTGGCGTGGGTCTCGGTCAGGAGGTCGAGGTTGGCGGAGTCGAGCTCCTCAACGCTCAGGCCGGACTTGCGGCCCATGGAGCAGAGACGGGCGTGGGCGTATTGCAGGTAGGGACCGGTGTCACCCTCGAACGAGGTCATCGCTTCAAGGTTGAAGTCGTAACCGTTGATACTGCCAGGAATTAGTTTCTCAAATCATGTAATAGGTGCCATAGGAGGTGGGGGAGCAGAGGGGAGGGGAGGAGGAAGATAGACGTACCGCTTGCCGGTCATGTCCTGTACCATGACCGAAGTGAGACCCAGGATATCGGCCACCGCCTCGGGGTTCTCGACCTGGTCGTACTTCTCCTGGTTCTTCTTCATGACTTCGTGCATCTTGTCGGCGACATCCCGCAGAATGTCATCCAGGAACTTGACGGTACCCTTGCGGGTGCTCATGCCCCGGACCATGCCGAAGTTGATGTGCTGGCAGCGGCTGGCCAGATCCTTGTGACCCATCAGCTCGGTGATCTTGAACAGCTGAGCCAAGTGGAGATCCTGCTGAGCGGCAACAACATAGATCATCTTGTCGAAGTGGTAGGCCTCGTCACGCTCCATGATGGCACCGATATCACGGGTCAGGTACAGAGGAGTGCCATCCTTGCGGACAATGATGGCCTTGCCGAGCTTCTTGGCACCATGCTTGGTGAAGTCGACGATGACGGCACCCTCGGACTTCTCCGAAACGCCAGCCTTCTCCATGGACTGGTAGGCTGCGGTCATGCTCTCGTTCTTAATCTGGGACTCGCCAGAGTACACATCGAAGTCAATGTTGAGACGAGCATAGGTCTGTTTGTACTTCTCGATACTGAGATCACGGAATCGGCGCCACAGCGCCAGAGCATCCTGGTCACCGTCCTCCATGCTCTTGAAGTAACGACGGGCCTTCTCATCCTCGCTAACATCGACGAGCTTCGCGAGCTCAGCCTCAAGCTCAGACACATCCTCGCTCTTCTCCTTCTTGGCCTTGATCTGCTCCTTCAGCTCCTTGATGGGGCCCTCCTGCTGTCCGACAATCTGGTTGATCTTCACATAAACGTCGAACAGATGGTTGATGGGGTTCTTGAGCAGCTCCTCCTCGTTACCGAAAAGCTTGAATCCGTTGGCGAGAAGACCGTACTGCTTGCCCCAGTCACCAAGGTAGTTCATCTTGATGACATCCCAACCCATGACGGTGTACAGGTTGGCCAGGAAACCTCCAATGATGGTACTCCGGAGGTGACCGGCGTGGAAGGGCTTGGCGATGTTCGGCGACGAGAACTCAACAATGATTCTCTTCTTGCCCTTGGAAGGGTCCGAGGGATCCTGCAGGCCCATGTTGCCATTGGTACCGAAGGTGGCCTTCTCCTTCAGGATGCGGGGGACGACGGTCTGGGTGAGAGGGCCAGGCTTGAAGAAGAACTGCAGATGCACGCCGAAGGCAACAGGAGGTGAGACCAGATCGGACTCGGGGAACTTCTCCGCAAGTTCCTTGCACAGCTCCTGAGGGTTCTTCTTGATTTGCAAGGAGGGAACCTAAAACCACGACCTCTTGTGTTAAAAAAAAATCTCCTTGTCCGCTTGCTCTAGCTGAATAGACCCGAGATCGTTCGTACCGGCAGAAGCAAATCACCCTTGTCCAATGTATTTGTCCATTGCAGCTTGGTGTAGATCTTCTCGGGCTCAATGCCCGTAGCGGCACCCAGCTTCTCCGCAATGTGCTCTCGGTAGATATCCACGGGGTTTAACGAGGGATAGCAGTTGGGGAACTTGGAGGTCTCGGACGTCGAATGGATGGTGAGGCCCTCAACGGCGACGGGCAGGTCTGCAGCAGATGCCATGGCTGCGACTAATTTCGGTTGGGTCCCGGGGTACGTGTAGAAGGAAGCGGTGGTACCAAACGCTCGAGAGCTGCGAAGGGAACGCGGGTAGATTGAGGGGAAGGGGAGAGGAGGACGAGGATATAGCAAAGAACCACTGTACTGGGAACTGCAAGAGGAAAGCGACTGAAAAATGGCGCTGGAAAATCGCCGAGCCCCGCTAATCAGACAATGACCCATAGAAGGAGGGGATTCTCAAGCCATGAGAGGGGAACCTTTTTTTTTTTTTTCCTTCCCTTTTTTTTCTGCGTCTGACTCAAAACGCGGCAGTTCAATTACTCTCCAGGGCGGTGAGATGATGAGTCACGTGGAACCGTCCAGCCCTATTTAGAGATCAAAAATGGCACGTGCAACGGTTTCTACTGACGTCACCCAGCCGCAACCACTGCAGGAAGCGTCCAAACCGGTGGGCTGTCGTGTGTGCGAAAGTAACCAGCGCAATGCGTCCAGTATACGATTCAGGATGCACTGCTGGATAATCAGTAAACGGCTGTAATAACTCATTTGCAATCATGGGTGGACGGCGACGTCAATCGGCTCTCGCCAAATCGATCCAACTCGCGGTATTTCGCGAACCACGAACATTTCGGAAGACACTGCTGGGATGGATCCTGGCATTTTTCAGTATATTCTATATCCGGCTGATTCGCTACTGTGCAGAGCTCTTTGAGGAGCTGCGCAAGGATGTCTGGGACATCCACGAGGAAGAATACAAAGCCTGCTTCCGCAGCGAGAACAAGACCTTACCTTTGAAGCCGATGGGTGATCTGGGATTGTCTGGATCGGTGCGTGTGTTTTCGCTCCCCTTCTTCACCTGCCAGAATCCTACCAGGTACATGTTGACCTAACCAAGTCATGATCATCCGCCAGACATTCTTCAGCACATCCAACAATAAGTTTCTCGTGAAGAGCCTCCCCCGCCATTTCGAACATTCCTTCTTCCGCAAAGACCTCTTCCAGCCGTACTATGAGTACATGAGCTCCCACCCAGACTCGATCCTCGTCTGGATCACGGATTACGTGTACGCTCCGTACCGAACCCTCGGCAGCATCTTGAAGACCGCGCCTGCGCACCACATCATCATGGAGAACATGCTCTGCGGCAAGGACGGAGACCCAGCCGAGGAGAAGTGGGAGACGTACGATCTGAAACCCATCGATTACTTCTATCCGGAGCGGGATCTGGTGCCGGACGCGCTGGTCAGCGAGGAGACTCTGAATAGGCTGGCGGATAAGTTTGAGGATAAGATACAGATGTCGCAGGCGGATTATAGGAGATTCAAGAACATCCTGGAGGCTGACACGCACTTCCTGGAGTCATCGAATGCAGTTGATTACTCGCTCTTCTTGATCAGGTTCCCTGCTTCGTCCAACCCCGATGTGGTCGGAAAGAGAAACCCATGGCGGGTGGGATTCCAATCTCTCGACGGGAAATGGAAGTACCGGGCAGTGATTCTGGATTTCTTCTGGGCCAAGCACAAGCTGCATGCGCAAGCCATGACGGGGATGGTGCAGACCTTCAATGTCATTGGGCGCCAAGGGCCCATGACCATCACAACAACAGCCGACGAATACCGAAAGAAATTCTTGAACATGGTGGATGAGATCTTGGAAGTGCGCCAGTCTTGAATGGACAGGAACGATGTCGCGAATGCAGTTAATGACGATATGAACAAATATTGGTATCTAAATACACATCGTAATCGTGACCAATGCTAATTGAATGATCCTGTACAGCTGGGCGTGAGCCACTCAATACTTTCTGATTTATTTGCTGACTTGTGGATTGGCTCACTCATACAACAGTTCTGACCTGCATCGGAAATCGGTCAAGAACATGGCTTTATGCCATCTGAACTGTTCTATGACAGAGCCCACCAACATGTAATGGAGAAAATTCAGATCCTTTAATGGTCTATCCATGTGCTTGAGAAAGGCAGGGCAAAGCAAAATTCTCAAACGTCGACAAGAGAAACCGGAATATGCGTTTATTCGTAACTTAGAAGCAGAAGACCTGGTCCTCGAGCTTGCTGACCGGGCGGGCCTTGGTGAATCCGAGAGACTCGGTGGCCTTCTTCATGGCGCTGATCATGGGGGGAGGACCGCAGAGCAGAACCTTGACGTCGCTAGCGGGAGCAGGGAGGCGTTCCTACAGCACAATCAACCATCAGCAACAGGGCCAAGAGAAGACGATTGTAAACAAGAAGGACGAACCTTGATCATTTCAGGGGTAACGAAACCAACACCGCCAGTCCAGCCCTGGGGAGGGTTGTTCAGAACGTAGTAGATGTTGAAGTCCTCATCCTCTGCAGCCAGCTTGTCCAGTTCCTCCTTGAGCAGAATGTCCTCGGGGTTGACGTTGGCGAAGATCAGGTCGACCTTGGTGATATCGGTGCCGCCGTTGCGGGGACGGTTACGAATGATAGCCTTGATAACCTGCAGCATGGGGGTGATACCGGTACCGCCAGCAATCATACCGATGTGCCGGCACATGTTGGGAGTGTAAACCATGGCACCCTTGGGACCGCGCACCTTCATCACGTCGCCGACCTTCAGGGTGGTCAAGTGCTTGGAGATGTTACCCTGGGGATAGGCCTTGACCAGCAGATCGAAGTAACCGGCCTCATTGTCCGAGGAGATAGGGGTGTAGGAGCGCACAACCTCCTTGGGCTGGCCCTCAATGGTGGCGGCGAGAGAAATGTGCTGGCCGATCGGCAGACCCAAGATATCGGTGGGACGGGGAAGAGCAAAGCGGTAGATGGAGACATTGTGCGAGATATCGGTCTTCTCCTTGAGGACAAATTCCTGAAATTCGGTGGGATTAAGGACCTTTCTGGCTTCTGTTGAGAGCAAATTATTGTTTTGGTCAGTATATTCACTCAAGCCTTGGGGAAGTTACATGCGATGAGAGAAGGGTTCACGCACTGCTGTCGCCAGTAAACAGCTTGAAACCTGCCAGAACAGCAGTCAGGGCCACTGCGTAGGGAACAAATTCCTTCTTCACGAGAAAGGTGCCGAAGACGAGCAAGGCCGAGGGAATGTAGACCCCATTAACATTTTCAGACGACAATGCACTGCGACATGTGAAGACAAATAAATATTAGCCAAAAAAACAGACCCTAAGAGAAAGGAAGGAATTGGATATTGAATGAGAGACAATGGAAGACATACCTCATCTTGAATGATCCTCTGATTAAAAGAAACTGAAACAGAACCGAACGCGAGACAAGAGAATATAAAGAGGAGGAGGAGGAGTGTCGGGGAGGATGGAAGAACTAAGGTTGGGGATGAGTCAAATCGAGTTGAGGCAAAGGAAAAGAAAGAGGTCCCCAGCGGAAATGGCTTGGCAGAGTTGGAAATGTTTGTAATTTCAATGTATTGGACGATGTTCGGCGCTGTCCTGTGGTAGTTGCGAGCCACTCTATTTATCTATCTATGTATCTACAATGGAGATAGATATGATGAGCTTATATTATTTGGAATAGTGTACGAAGATCTCATAAATATCTAATCTAGAGCCTATCCAGGCAATTAATTACCCATATCTACACCTCATATCCTCATGCAGTTCCGCTGTTGAACCCTGCGCGGAATCCGACACCAGTTGGGGTGTTGATTTCCCTTCTTTGGGGTAAGCCGTCGGAGTCCTCGAGATTCCGCCCTGATCTCATCAAAAAAGACATCGATATCAGAACCCAGATTCTATCCATCCTTTTTTTTTATATAAAAAAAAAATCAAAATATCTATTTTGAATATCAAGATGGCCTCAACTCCCGAGCCCCCCGCCTTCAACCTCACAGAGACCGATCTCGAGATCTTAGCCATGACTGACGATCAATTCATCCTCCATGACTGGGAGAATCTGAAAGACATCATCGGTATGGAGGTCCAGAAACCAAAGAACCGCATCGTAACCCCTTCTCCCTTCCCCCCTCCATCTCTCTATATAGCATCTCCAATCACCACGATTCCATAGATTGATGGCCATCCCTCCGCACAAACAGCACGAAATGATCTCGGCGCTCTGAAGCGGAAACCCTCCGATCTAGCCCGATACCTCTCCTGGTCCCGCGACACCAAAGCCCAATACGGCTCCATCACAAACTTCATCTGCAAACGTCGTCTGGGCTGGCATCTGCCGGAACCCACTGGTACCAGTGCCAGTGCCAGTACGGGCGCTGGGGTCGCAGACAGCGAGCCGGTCTTCCCCTTCAACAACCCGATCCCCTTTGCCGATCCCTCGGACTACAAGATCCTCCGCAACGACTGGCCCTACGGTGTGGCGCCGGGTATTGCGCACCTCTGTGTGTGGCTACGCACTCCTGTGCCCGTCCAGGAACACGGTGGCGATCTCACTGATGAATCTCGCGCGCTGATCGAGGGGTTTGTGCGGGAGACGTTTGTGGAGCGTCTGGCGAAGGAGGAGGGCAGGTATTCGAGGCCGGAGGACCATGTTCTGTGGTTTAAGAATTGGACGGCTTTGCAGAGTGTCCGCAGTCTCGAGCATATCCATGTCCTTATCAGGGATGTGCCAGAGAGCATCCTGTACGAGTGGACACAGGAGTGGCCTGCCGATGGGGTCCCCAACTAGGCTGTGTGCCTGGACCCTGCAGTCACTCATAAAGACGGGTATTCCCCCCGCTTAGGTCTGCAGATCAGAGTGGATAGATTTCGCTTTCCGGTCCGTACCCTGCATGTCTGGGTGCTGGCGGACTCGAAAAGTCTTCGCATTCGAAGATTTGCCTCCAAAGCCCTACGCAAATCATCCTTAGAGTACATGTAGAAGAAAAAAGAAAAAGAGAATATGAGACAGTAGAAGAAAGCACCCGACACCGCGAAACGAAGCAAGGGATATAATCTCAGTAGCAGAAATGGTCCATCAACAAATACGCCTGCTCTCCCGTCCATCCCAGCAAGTGAGTACTAGAAACTTGATCATTTCACCCATCAATCCATCTCCATAATGCCAGCTCATTACGTCTTCTGCTCCTCAACGAATTTGAGCGCCTCCTCGCGAGATACAACGTCGATCGTGCTAGCCTTCTGCCGGAAGCTAACTCCATAGCATTTCTCGGCGACGTGCAACATCTCGGGGCGGAAAGTGGTGCAGATGAACTGTCCATTGGTCGATTCGGAGATGGACTGCAGCATTTGAGCGACAGCGGTTCGGTACTGGGCGTCCAGATTGGCATCGATCTCGTCGAACAGGTAAAAAGGTGCCGGATCACAGGCCTGGATAGCAAAGACCAACGCAAGGGCGCAAAGACCTAGACCAATATCAGTAAAATGAAGCAGGAATCCCCGGGCAAAATGAGAAGCTATCTTACTTTTTTGGCCACCACTGAGTTGCTGGATGCGCTGCTGTTCATCATGCTTACTGTTGAAGCTCACGCTAATGCCTACACCGACGTAGTTTTCAACGCTTTGTTGCGCCCGCTCATCATCAGAATCCATGTCCTCATCCCGTCGGAGAGGGCGATCGGTCTTGCGCTGGATGATCAAGCGCCCACGGCCAGCGGGGACGAGCTTTTCGAAGATGTTTGCAAATTCGCGCGAGACTTGCTTGAAGGTACGTTCAATGGCCTCGTCCTTGCGCTGGTCAAGCACCGAGATAAGATCCTCAATCGATTTCTGAGACGCCTCGAGCTCCTCTCTGCGAGAGGTAAGAGTTTCACGCTGTCTGGTGAAGCTGTTATATTGCTCAAACGCTTTCTTGTTGACATGCGAGTATTTCTTGAGCGCCTCATTGGCCTTGTGTAACTTTTTCACAACTGTGTTCGAGTCGGTGTGCTTATACTTCGTAAACGCCTCGTCGGGGAGCACTCCCAGGTCACGAATATTGGCCGCGCATTCAGCTGCCCGCTTGGTCAACGCAGCTTTCTTCTGCATGTTCTTCTCCATGCGGCGTTGATGCTTCTCAATGGATCGCGCCAGCTCTTCCAGTTCGCGGCGAATTTCCGCTTTCTGCTGCTCGAGTTCGGTGACCTGAGAGTTCGCTTTCTCGATGGACTCGTCCACCTGTTGAAGCCTCTGGCTCAGATTCTCGAGCGTCTTACGCAGTCGCTTCATTTCCCGCTCAGTCTCCTTGAGATTGCCCTGGCCGTCATCATCCACCATATCAACATCTCGGCTGAACAGTTGGTCAAGATGCGGGTTTAGGTTCTCCCGAAGCTCAACTTCGAGAATAGACTTGCGAGCTTCCAACTCGCTTCGCTGAGCAGACAGTTCGTGATATTGCTGTCGAAGATCTTGGGCAACAGCGCTAAGAGACTCCAACTGTGCCTCCTCTTCATTCGTGAGCGCCTTCTGGAATGGCGATTTCAATTCCGCCTCAAAGGCATTCACTTGATCGTTCAATGCGGCCAAGTTAGTCTCGATATTACGAAGAGCCTTCCGCTTAGCATCAAGATTGTCGTTCTTCTTTTGAAGCAGATCACGCTTGCTCCTCAACTCTTGCCGAAGCGGCCCACTGCTGTTCTGCACCTGGTGTCGTTGTTGCTCTAGCTTCTGGAGTTCGCCCACAGCCTTTGTAATAATTTGATCCAACTTCTCAAGCTCTCTGCGAATTTCTGTTCCCCGGTTCTTCTTGCTTTCGTATTCATCTCTCCATTTTGTCAAGTTCCTCACCCCATCAAGTCGTGATTGCCGGGAATCATGGAAACCACCGGTGAGCGCACCTCTCTTGTCGGACCGGTCTCCCTCGGGTGTGATTGCATTCACACCATGGCTTCGGGCGTATTGCGATGCCACTTGCAGATTGGGGCAAATGATGGTCTTGCCAAACACATGTTGGAATGCCTTTTCATAAGCAGGATCATATTGAAGCTTGTCGATCATGGGGATTGTATCACTGGCACGGGGGAGGTTGGCTGCTCTGGACCTCAGTCTGTTCAAAGGCATGAATGTCACTCTCCCAGCCTTGTCTTGTTGAAGAATTTCCAAAACCTTGGTGGCGGTTTCGTCAGTGTCCACGACATAGTGAAACAAGCTTTGACCTGCTGTGACCTCAACAGCAGTCCGGTACCGATCGTTTACCTCGAACAGCTCGGCGAGCGTGCCATACACTCCTTCAAGATTGTGCTGACGCTTGATTCTTCGGACGGCTGCGATTCCGCGACTCGTGTTGTGATCCATCATTTGAGAAAGAGTGCGTTCCGCCCGGTCCACTTCGTTTGATGCGTTCGATAGAATTGAATCAAGCTTCGCTTCCTCACGCCAGAGTTCCCTTGCAAAATGTTAGTGAACAGGCTCGCATTGTAAAGACGGGGGGAGGAAACCTACTTTCTTTGGTCCATTAAGCGGTCCCTTTCATCCTTTGCAGCCTGGACTTGCTGCTCAACTGAATGAACAGTGTCTCCCCTACCATCGATTTGCTGGCGCAAGCGTTCTGTTTCAGGTTCCAAGAGCGCAATGTCATTTTCAAGCTCCTTGATATCCTCCTGCGTCTGCGCCATCACCGCCTGTACTGTAGAGATAGAAGTGTAATTCTCCTTGATCTCCGTCTGCAACCACTTGTCACGCTCCGACTTATTTCTGAAGCGTGAGTTGCGGCCCTGCTTGGCATATAGACGCTGACGCGTTGTCTCTGCTTCGCTGAGCTGAGATTTGATGTCGTCCTCACGTTCTTTGGCTGCATTGAAGCGAGGAATTAGATCTTGCAGTTCAGTCTCGCGCTCTTTAATCGCGGACTGGACAGCCTCGAGCTCTTGATCGTGGCGTGCTTTGAGTGCTTGAGTGGCGACCTGGTTATCGGAGAGAGATTTGGCGCGCAATTCCACCTGTGCAAGAGTCTTCGAAGTCTCCCGCCGCTCGTCTTCGAGCTGTGACTTGTCGACCTTTAGGAATTCAATTTGCTGCTTGCATTCTGCAATCTCTGCGTCAATTTGAGCCATCTCCTTCTCTCCCTCGATGAAGCGGTCTCGATTGAGATCTGTATCTTCGACGCCCGTTTGTCTTTGCTCTTCCAAATTGTCAAGGATGCTGGAAATCTCTTGTTGTTCGCGCGAGTGAATCGTATATTCCAAACAACGGCGTTCTTTGTCCTTCTCCTGGAAATTGCGTAGTTCATCCTTTTCCTCCTCGAGTTCGGCGAGTCGCTCATTAATAAAATCCAATAGTTCATCGATTTTCGCCTTCTTGTTGTTGGTTTCGTGCATAATCTTCAGCGATTCAGCACGGCGCGCTTCGTAAACCTGAGTACCAGCAACTTCTTTCAAGAGCGTCAAGCGCTCGGTATCCTTCATGTTGGTCAATGCGGTGACTCGACCTTGAGGCACAATGTAGTAGGGATTCGATCGAGAGAAGCCGGCTGACTCGAGCAGGTTCATGACGTCGGACTTGGTTGCATTTTTGCGGTCTAGAGTATATTCGTCTTTCTTGAGTCCGATCGTTCGACGAAGGACTACTTCTGGCTTGCCGGTTGGGAATCTGTCGTCGGAGTTGTCGAAGATGATCTCCACGTAGGCGGACATTACCGCGGAACCTGAACCTTCCTAGTTGATGTAAGCCAAAGAACCGAGCTCAATATATCCGTTCGCTACGTACATGAAGCAGCGCTTGCCGCTCCTCTCGGCCCAGGTGAGTATATGCATCACTGAGGACGAAACGGATCGCCGCGAAGAAGTTACTCTTGCCGGAGCCATTGCGACCAACGATGACGTTGTGTTTCGGAGAGAAGGGCTCAATGACCGTCTGATCCTTGTAGCTGGAGGTACAAAGCAATTAGTTACAGCGCTTTTGCCCCTTTCGCACTCTGTAGCTCTGATGCGACATACCTTTTGAAGCCCTGAATGATAATCTGTTTGACATACATCTTGAGGCGCGCTTTGCGGGTTGCAGGGCAATCTAATGCCACGAGAACATCACGCAATTAGCAGATAAAAGCCGAGCGCCTAGCCTTTGGCAATAGCCGTTAGATGATACTGATGATGGAGGACAGGGAATGACCTGTTAATCTATGCCTCCAACTTGCGACGGTGAGGGAGACCACTGAAACACGCGTGGCCCAAAGTACTGCCGGACCGACGCGTTTATGCCCGCGGGGTTTCTGCCAGGCGGTGAACCCAACACATGGTCCACAACTCAATTTATTTCCACCAAAAAAAAGTATCACCGCCGGAGTCTATTTGTACACACGCCCGAACATCTCTCTGCCTTGATACTTGAAGAAGTCAAGCAGATATGGCTTCCCAAGACCTGAATGCACAAGCGACTGGCCTTGCAGATGGTCTATTGCCAACCCATACATATGTGCCTAACAGAGGATATGCGAACGCTGAAGGCACAGTCCCCGCTATGGCGGGGCAAGACCCCGAATCGCCTGAATTGCAGGACGACCAGGAGGATGAGTATTACGATGATATCTTTGAGGAGGAATTAGATGAAGAAGACTTCACGTCGTCGAACACTGCGGATCTCACCAAGGCCTACAATCGTCAGCGGAAAGTGAACGAGTTGGCCGCCGACCCGAATGTGCCCAAGTGGACATACCCAAAGACGAACACACAGAAGCCTACCGTCAACACCTACGCCTCCGTCGACGACCAGGTCAAGTCTCTCACTCGGCATGCCACCAAAATCAAACTCGATAATATGCAGTCTGGATTAGCTGTTCGCGGAGAGCGTGGCGGTGACAGGGCTGACAGAGCAACATCCGAGCAAGTGCTTGATCCCCGTACACGAATGATCCTTTTGCAGATGATCAACCGCAACATCGTATCAGAGATCCACGGTTGCTTGTCAACAGGTAAAGAGGCCAATGTTTACCACGCCATTTGGTATCCCGACGGAGAGGAGGAGACTCAACAACACCGAGCGATCAAAGTTTACAAGACCAGCATTCTCGTGTTCAAAGACAGAGACAAGTACGTTACTGGAGAGTTCAGATTCAGACAGGGGTACAACAAGAGCAACAACAGGGCAATGGTGAAGTTGTGGGCCGAGAAGGAAATGCGGAATCTGCGGAGAATCTACGCGGCTGGCATCCCTTGCCCGGAGCCTATTAATCTTCGCTTGCACGTCCTCGTAATGGGCTTTGTCGGTAACTCTAAGGGTCTCCCGGCTCCTCGTCTCAAGGATGTCGAATTCGACATCCCAGAGCCCGAGACCAGGTGGCGTGAGCTGTATATCGAGCTTCTGGCATACATGCGTGTGATGTACCAAACATGCCACTTGGTGCACGCCGATCTGAGCGAGTACAACATCCTCTACCACAAGAAGAAGCTCTACATTATCGATGTCAGTCAGAGTGTGGAGCACGACCATCCACGCAGTTTGGAATTCCTGCGCATGGATATCAAGAACGTGAGCGACTTCTTCCGCCGCCAGGGCGTGGAGTTGCTTTCCGAACGGGTTGTGTTTGAGTTCATCATCTCTGCTGGCGGCCCTGCCACCGTCGAAGCAAGCGAAGAGATTCACAACGTGATCGAAGCACTCTATACCCAGAAGTCCGATGAGGCCGATACAGAGCAAGATACCGCCGTTTTCCGTCAACAGTTTATCCCCCAGACGCTAGAGCAAGTTTACGATTTTGAGCGCGACGCGGAGAAAGTTCGCGCTGGAGAAGGGTCAGACCTTGTTTACCGTGACCTCCTTGCCGGTGGAAAGTCAGAAGCGGGAACTCGCGTCGACGAAAACGATGACCAAGAATCTGATGCCAGCGGCGGTGTCTCAGTCGCAGACTCTGCGTCTGAGTCGGGGGAGGGCGACGATGATGATCCGTTTGCGAAGAAGCAACCTCGTGGCAAACGCTTCGAGGATAAGGACTCAAAGCGCGATCACAAGCTGAAGGTGAAGGAGGAAAAGCGCCAGCAACGTGCAAACAAGATGCCAAAGCACCTTAAGAAACGCCTCGTTTCCTCCTCTTCAAGAAAGAAGAAATGAGCTAAGCTCTAGGCCCCTTCATCCTGCATTTGGAGGACAGTTTATCGCGATTCTCATGGTTTCTCGGAAAAGTTATTGTTTATGGGATCTATGACGGGCTACTCTCATGAAGTAACGGTTGGATGCATGCATATATACGGAATTTATGGAATATATAAGTCAACATAGAAAGGAGTGGAAGGCGAATACCGGTTTTAGTCAATACAATTCATTTTTCTCTGCGCATGTGTGAATCTGTCATACAGGAACGTGGATAAAAGAAGTGTTCGGTTGACCCATCAGAGCTCTCTTTGATCCTCATTTAAGCCCATTGCCGATACTAGATGCCCATACCGCGCCTACATCCACTGTTCAGATAGACAGGGAGTATGCGTCTTGAATGGGCTATCGAAACTAGCAAGGGCATATGAGCCTCATCGGTCGAGGAAAACCTCTTCTTGAGTTCATCATATAGGTCACTTCTTACTCAGCGATAAGACCCATAACTAAATCAGTCCTCGCCAGACATTCAGAATTGATAGACAGACTCGCATGGTAGTCAAAGGAAGGCCTGATGAAGATCCCGAAAGACGAAGGCAGCATGTGGCCCATATAAAAATGAAAAAAAGAGGGCTTATCAGGTTGTGCTTTTAACCCTAGTCTGAATTCGCGCAAATACTTGTTCAACAAGATCTCTGGGCAACTCAGGGATAACCTCGTCGACTTCGGTGTTGTCCCCCACTGCTGAAAGGTGATTTTCTTGACCTCCTCCTCGCTGCTCCCTTTCACCTGCTGTAGGCTCTTCGTCATTGGCTTGCTCAGAAACGGCACCCTTGACTTTACCGCCCAAAATACGGCGGAATTCAATTCGCATCGGCTCTCGGCCAACTTCAGGCCATATGTCAGATGGGAGATAGTCGCCTTTCTCAACCCGAAACGCTTCACGGGCGTTGACGTCTTCTTCATATAGCTGATCCAGCTTATGCTTCGCATCACGAAGCACCTTCTCGACTCGTTGTCGCACATGCCTGCGCCGGGCAACCTCAATGATCAAACCGTCGTAGGCGTCAAGGAAGCCATCATAAAATGAGTTAAGATGCGCGAGATCATCTAAGCCGCCAGCAATACGGTCATTTTCCTCGTGCCATACCCGCGTGAAGTCATGCGCCTGGGCGATATAACCTGGCAAGCGTGTTGATGCGAGAGATGATAAATGCTGGAAAACGTCGATCGTAGCATTGTATATGGACCGAAGAGCGTCCCGTTGGGCCAGCACGTTCTCCAAACTCGATTCCATCTCACCGATTCGATCATGAATCTCCATGACAACATCTTCCGCTTCAGTCGCATCCTTGATTAGGACATGAACCATCTCTCGATACTCAGAGTCACTTAGTGGATCCAACGGGGCATTTAGATTGGCGTTAATGCCCTCCTCAATGTTTGGTCCTATGCGGCCGCTAGCATTCACTCCGACATGCATATCACCTGTGATCGATTTCGCTGCAGCACCTCCACCTTCAGTATGTTTAACGGCAGTTACGCAGAGATCAAAATGTCGCACAAGAGACTCCAGGAGATTAGCCATCTCCTGTGCATGCATTTCTAAGGAATGCAGCATGGATGGCATGGAGGACATCGAAGGCAGGCTAGAGTTGGACGCAGATGATGACGATGGAGACGATGAGGAACGGGAGGAGGCCAATTTCGCGACAGCTCTATAGTTGCCTAAAGCCTCCTTGATCGACAAAAGCTCATCGTCAAAGGCATGGTTGGACGAGTCTAATTGAGCCTGTGCTCCGTTTGTTCGGTCTATCGAGTTCTTCAAAGCTGCATGAAGCTCTTCTACGCCGCGCTCATCAACAAAATCATGAAGACTTCTCGGCTGTTCGCCTTCGGGCCGGAATCCGCCGTGAACAATGGTCTCACGAAGAAGTTCGAGTGTTCGTCTCAATCGCGCATCAGCAGCATCAAGATCCTTCAAGACGGCCGCAAATTCTGAGCGGCCACGAAGGGAGATCTCTTCCACCTCGGTACGGACACTGTAAAGAAGTCGCAATTGATTGTTGAGCCCGCGGCGAAGGAAGCCTGTCCTCGCAGACACAACAACACTCTCTTCCAACGCAGCGCGAGCTGTTGTGACGATTTCATTGGCCCGCCACACATGGTTGATGGATGATAAAGATCGCTTGGCCGCAACGAGATGCGAGATAAGAGTATCCAACTGAGGCATCGTCTGTTGCTCAGTCTGAGACGGCTCTGCATCAGGCGGTCCCCCACCGGATGCTGACGAAGACTCCGAGGATGACATGATGTGAGACTGTGGGAAGAGCAAATCTCCTCCGGCGCAAGTCCGTATTGCGGCTTGAACGATGTCTGACAGTCACACGGAAGAGTCCCCTGCGAATGTGTGATTTTAGTTCAAGATCACCTCATATGAGGATTCCAGAGATAACGCTATGAATCTTTCGTCCCGTGTCCAATGGTTTCCAATAGACCGAAGTGATTCTCGATCAACGTGGGCTACTCGTTGAATGAGACTTGGTTCGAATCATACAGATGACCTCGGTAGGCTGTCAGTAACGAGAGTGAAGCTGCACCTCTCGTGGATAAACGAATCTTACAGATTCGGAACAAGGATATGGGATGCTGGTCCTCTCAAAGGATGGTCACCTACTCCGTCCAGGGATCGATCACATAGAAAGTATGTGCGCTCACCACATACATATCATACTCGGAAATAATATCGACGGAAAGACCAGGATAACGAAAGGTGCTGCCAACCTCTCGCGGCTCTGCGAGGCAGGGAAAAAAGCGGTGTGAGCAGGAACCCCTTTCCTTCGAATCTGACATAGGATGTATCAAGTTAGTGAGCCATAGTGGACGATGAATCCAACCCTGTGCCTAAAAATAAGGGATTGGCAATAGTACCGGATAGATCTGCTCATCATGTTTATTGGTGAACTCGATAGATGAGAGGTTCCGAAGTGGGCATCATGTGACGTCAGTCACATGTCCGCTAAACCTGACTAATCCCCTTGTTTGCGGAGTGTAGCGTATCTACAAAGTACAATCTACAACTACAAGGGCCTCAAAAAATGCTTCATGGTCAGTATTCCTTCCTTAAAAACAAAAGTACACGGTGTCATTCATGCTGGTATCAATAATGCCAACTTTCAATGTAGCCGCGAATGTTTGTAATTTTGTGGACTGAGCAAAACAAGTAGCAATCTTACTCTACTACCTACACGGCAATAATGGCTCTTGCAATATATTTTGTAATTGGCCTTCCACCAAAATGTTGAAATCAACCACAGCGAAGGGATAACAACAGAGGTGAAAAGAAGCTCTTGCGCAACAAACTTAAGAGTACTCCGTAGGCACATTCTCAATTGAAGTGGGGGCTTGAGAATGTGGCTCTATGCAGTTCAATAGAACTTACAGAGAGTTGGTCAGACTCTAGTGACGAGTGAAAATCATGGTGTTTCAGTATCAGTCTTCTTCCAGCTACAAGACGGCTCGGAAGAGGCATGCATGCTGTTCATAGAGGATTACAAGCCAATAGATGTCTTTTCAGGCTATTAGAGTAGTCTAGATTCTTACACGTTTTATCCAAATCCTCTAGTGTTTACTCTTGATCTGTGCTTGACTGCCAGACATATCCGACTATTGAGTGCACATCAATAGGAATCCCGATGTTGGCCAGACGGAGACAGCAGGATTGGAAACCTAACCCAGAACTACCTTTCTTATCTAAAAGTATATAGACCAACAGATGGCGTTGATTGTTCATATCAATGAACGGCTGAGGATAGGACGAAGCGGCATCAATGGAAATGGGCCGCCACCATAAATGTCTCATCACCGAGATTTCATACCTAGGGGCAGTCGAAGAAGCAAATTGATTTGCGCGAATGGACGTGTCGCTACCAACGTGGCCTTGCGTATGTAGCCAAAACTGCAGGCAGATTTCTGAGCTCATTACACTCGCAAGAGGACCACTCAAAGTCTGACGATAACATCTATCTCATCGGTCCTTGAGATAGCACAGCGCACTTCAGACTCTCCATAGCAGTTGATTTTGTTCTGGATGACGGATGGTTCGGAGTACTCCATACTCCATAGTCCCTAACTGATACCCCAGACGGCCAGACCGCCTCGAAGCAAATTATGGCGAAATCCACAGTTCGAACTAATTCGTAGATCCGCAATCGGTCTGAGAAATGGCGAGCAATGATACCACATGATTCGCTGATTCCCTGGACGATGGTTGAGGTTGCTGCAATGGCCCGGCAAATTCGCGCCATCTGAGGGAATCTGATGCGAGTAGAGTATGCAATGGCGCCATCGGGTCACGTGGCGCCGACCCGCAACATGGGATGCCGCAACAGAAGAGTCAATCTATTCTTGCGTGATTCACACCTGTCACTAAGATCCCTTTTTCCAGCAGAAGAAAAAAAGGGAGAAACCTTTAGCGTCTTTACAGGTGCAATATTTCGCCATCGTGCAGAGTTATAAAGCTTGCAGCCCGTCAGTGTTGCTTGGTGTTTTTCTCAATCGCAATCGCAATCCCATCCTCTCTTATCTGCCTCTTCCGTACCCAAAGGTCCCCAAAACTAATCGCCACCACCGCCTTACCTACTACTCCCCGGCGACGGTGATCCCAATCTTCGACATTCGCCGAGATACCTATTGTTGACGCCTTGAAACTCTATCGATATTGTCTGCAGTACCTCGCAGTTGACTTGGCTCGAATTCGATGAAAAGCTGAGTGTCCGCGATGGATACCCAGCGTCTGTCTTTGCGAAAAGAGAACGGCTCTGCACATTCGCTCTTGCAGGATCAGACTGGTCTGAAGGAAAATACGATGAACATTCCGCGAGATTCGTCTTTTAATTCGATCTTTGGTCCTTCCGAGGTCGTCGACGACGCTGGAACAGATCGCGATTTTAAGCACGAGTCCCACAAGTTCAGCATCACGAGAGCAATGCCTGAGAAGTTGGCGGGAAAGAACATTGCCCCCTTCCTCGCCAAACATATTCCGGAACAATACGCCCCTCTTGGCTCGCATGCAGGGGAGCCAGTAGAATCGAGTGGTGCCAACTCCAGATACTGTTATCGACACCGACCGGATCTCAAGTGCAGGCGACAAGCAGACGAGCCAACGATGGATAAACTCCAGCGGGTATGATTTTTCTTAATTTTCTTCTATCTTGTGTATACACATGCCAAATGCCATGCTAACAGATTGCAAAGGAACTTGAGACGCTTCCTCAGAGGGATCAACAAGGCATCGCTCATGCGTGGTCGATTTTTTCTGCTGCTCCAGCAAAGCACCGGAAACTTCTACTCCAGGGAATCATGGCGCAGTGTTGTTTTCCACAGTTGTCCTTCATCTCCGCCTCGGTTCGCGATTTGATTCGTATCGACTTTCTGACGGCTCTTCCACCGGAAATCTCGTTCAAAATTCTGTGTTATCTGGATACAACCTCGCTCTGCAAAGCCGCCCAGGTTTCCAGGCGTTGGAGGGCTTTGGCTGATGATGATGTCGTTTGGCACCGGATGTGTGAACAACACATCCATCGCAAGTGCAAAAAGTGCGGCTGGGGTTTACCTCTCCTGGATCGCAAACGGTTGCGAGAGTCCAAACGCCAAATTGAACTTCGTGCTGCCACATGGGATATAAGCGAACAGTCCACAGAAGACGAAACGGGTTCTCCTGCGCCTGAGAGCGCAAGCTCGAATGCCAAAAGAAAACCGGAATCAGACGATGAAGACACGGCACTGGTCAAACGCCATTGCACTTCAATTGTTCCCAGGCTGGAGAAGGAGAAGGATGGTGATTATTTTATCACCCGCTACCGACCGTGGAAGGAGGTGTACAAGGATCGATTCAAGGTAGGCACAAACTGGAAGTATGGACGATGCTCTGTCAAAGTTTTCAAAGGCCATACCAATGGCATCATGTGTCTGCAATTTGAGGACAATATCCTGGCTACCGGATCTTATGATGCGACCATCAAGATCTGGGACACGGAAACTGGCGAGGAGCTCCGCACACTCAGAGGGCATGAATCCGGCATTCGCTGTCTTCAATTTGATGACACCAAGTTGATCAGCGGCAGTATGGACCGCAGTCTCAAGGTGTGGAACTGGCGCACGGGCGAATGTATCTCGACTTATACCGGCCATCGTGGAGGCGTGATTGGATTACATTTTGATGCGACCATTTTGGCGTCTGCATCAGTGGATAAGACTGTGAAGATCTGGAATTTTGAGGATAAGTCGACGTGTCTTCTGCGCGGACATACCGATTGGGTCAATGCGGTTCGAGTAGACACAAATTCGCGCACCGTATTTTCGGCATCTGATGACTGCACGATTCGTCTTTGGGACCTGGATACCAAGACCTGCATCAGAACATTCCACGGACATGTTGGTCAAGTCCAGCAGGTCATTCCATTACCTCGGGAATTCGAGTTCGAGGACCATGATGCTGAATGTGAGAACGATAATGTCAGCGTCACTTCCGGCGACAGCCCGGCTGCTTCGCCAAGAGGCATTCCAGGTCTCGATGCAGGTACCTCGGAAACACAATCTTCTCCATTTGGCCCTGCCTTCGACAACGGGCGGCCAGCACCGCCACGATACATCGTCACGTCGGCTTTGGACTCGACCATCCGGCTGTGGGAGACCTCGACGGGACGGTGTCTACGTACATTCTTTGGTCATCTGGAAGGCGTATGGGCTTTAGCGGCGGACACACTCCGTATCGTATCAGGAGCCGAGGACCGTATGGTCAAGATCTGGGACCCCAGGACCGGGAAATGTGAGCGCACTTTCACTGGACATTCAGGACCAGTTACTTGCATTGGTCTCGGAGACAGTCGTTTTGCAACTGGCAGCGAGGATTGTGAGGTGCGCATGTATGGTTTCCAGAGCTAGATTGCTCTTTCGTTGGATTTTTGGATTGATTATGTGTTTGCGTCTTGTTTTATGGTGAATACCCATGGTTTGGCGTCTTTTCCTTTTTCCTTTCCCTCTTTTCTAACCTGTTTTAACGCCTGTTGTCGAAAATTTCGGCTTCGGTCTTTTGTGGTCACGGGCATATCAATGGTGTTTGGTGTCAACAAAAGGGATAAATATATACCAACCTTATGATTAGGTAGTGTTAGTACAAATCTCACAAGGCAGGAAAGCCGATTGTCTATAACCTTCTCTGTCGTCAGTCGTGGTTTCCATACAAAACCCTCTCCTTAGGCTGCTTGTCTCTCATCAAACACAGAATATGCTTCTCAAGTATCCTCATTCTGTTCCTCCAGATCAGTTTGTCCAACTCATCAGTATCAACCTTCTTTCCTCGAAGGAATACTTATCACATTATCATCTCTCATCCTTTCCACAACAAAAGCCAAGTGCGTCACTCTCTCCAATCTGAGACCATTCTAGCAATCTCCGGCCAGCATGCGAAGAGAGCCCCCAGGAAACGTATGACGTTGAAGCCAGCAGCCAAACTCCAAGTCGATCCTTTCTTCATGCCATGGCCTTCTTGCACCTCTGAAAGAATATGATCCTATCGCTGAATCGGCCGAAACGTTGTCTTGGAACGTTGTCTGCAGGGATCTCATCCTCAGCAAATCCAGATAGACGTGGATGCAAACGTTCTCGTTGCATGCATATATGCAGGAATGCTATGATTGGCACGTTTGCCTTGGCGATGCTTTCAGGGTCAGGGTTCTGTTTACCGACGGGGCTGGCTGGTTTGGTATATTAATGGGCGTCTTTGGTTTTTGGAGGTTGGTTCATAGGTATTACTTCGTTCATCGCCTCCTTCTTGGGGATCTGGTGGACAGGTTTAGTTATTTCTTGCTCACCAGTATCTCAGATGGCTCACTGTGGATTATTTACGTGATCGAATTTAAATGATCTTGATTACATAGGTGGATTTCTATTCGAAGATCTCCAGGTCCATAAGACAACTACACCTGGTGCAGATGGTCGCCCTTCTGCCGCAACCAAGTTCTGCCATATTACTGTTTCTCTTCCACTCGCCATCATCCATCCTCCTATATAACGCCTAGGTCATTACTGTCTTGCGTCAGGTGAAAAAAGCCATCCTAGACCAAGCAGGATGTCATCGGATCAAGATATTGGCAAAGAAATATCACCCCGATACGTGCGCCCTGAGCCGGACCGACACCCTGAATACACACACTCCGGGAGTGACAGTCACAGAATTACTGACACGGACACTGAATCAGACGCATAGCCAGACGAGCAGAAACAGCATCTGCAGCGTCTGGAGTAAGTGAGTGATTATTATATGGAACGGTATATGCAATGGCATCAGAAAACGCGGCAGCAACAGCAACAGCAACAAAAACAACAACGTCAATGCTCATCAAGGCAGAATCTGGAGAGAATGTTTAGACGATGTTGGCTCTTGACTTCGATGAGTAGTATTATGCCGGCCTGAAGCTTGTGGTTCGTATGTATGTTGTGTCGTCGCTTCTCTGGTTTGTTTTTTTTTTTTGTCCTAGTGATTTGATATGTGGTGGAAGAATACAGTCAGTTGCTTTGCTGGTGGGATGGTGTGAATTGATTACCTGCATTGGCATGTGTTTCTATGCCAAACCGTTAATTCCGTGGATTGTGAAGGATTGGAGACTATCAAAACTTCTCAGTGGTAGCATGGTATGTTTCCACAGTGTGCCTGGGAGCTTAGTAGTCTTCCTGTCCAGTTGCAGTTCATAGCAAGTTTCCTTGAACATAGATCTTAAGGAGACTCTGACACCTTACTACTTCATGATGGACGCCATCATCGCTTGCGAGAACTGAGTATTTAATGGAACTACTCATGATATGTGCTAGATTTGTACACTGGACGCTGGTATATTCACTTGTCTGATGGTTACGGCCGTACCACCTAACCTACCTATCTCTCTCAAAGCTTTGAGTATAGCCTCGCAACTGACAGGCACTCTACCCTCACATAGTCCTGTTGTCTCAGTGGTAACAACTTCTCTTACAAGACTCTGAAGCCACGCTCACTACCGAAGTTCTCTAACCTTCAGTGAGGGTAGTGTACATGACGAGCGGCATTGCTTCCCTGAATTAGTTTGACAACCGAGACCTCTGGTACGTTATTCAATCCTCACACTCGATACTACAGTATCCACTCTTAGCACTCAGTTCTTGACCCTTAATGGCCATCGATTGAACCTCTGAGGCTTCTGTCAAGCACAGTCTTCCCTTACTGAACATACCCCGTGCGCATCCCAGGAGCCTTCTTTGGTTCTCCCAAAAGCCCCCTTCCTTCCATGGCACATACTCTTCGAAGACTCGGGCAAGCCATCAGGCTATTTCGCAGTCCGACTGTCAAGCTAATCAAGTCTTTAACAAAGGGAAATGATAGGGGCAGATACTCCCTGCGAAAGCGGCATTTGAGCAATCTTCATACATTACCACCGAGCTGGTTTGACGACGAAGCCGACGACGACTATAGCCCAGAGCAAGAAAGAGCAAGGTTGAAGAGGAAGCGTCCTGTCAGAGCAGAGACAACTCATCGGCCTGCAAAACGAGCGCGAAGTCCAGCAAGGCTCATTGTCATCATGAATTTCACATCTGATGCTGGAAAGGCCTTTCTCGCTTCTCTACCCATATCCGAGGAGGAAACACGTCCCCAGGACAATGACCAATGGACCAAATACTGGGATATCCCAGATTCTGTAGCAGATTCAGGAGAGGCTTCGGGATACTTGCTTCGGAAGCGCGAAGCTCCGCAAGTGGACAAAGGCTGTTGCGTGGATCTGGAGGAACCGGTAGCTCGAGGTTGCTGGTCTTGTCGCAACCTTCAACAAGATTGTTCGCTTGTCGACAAGTCGCTTGTATACCCGTGCCAGACTTGCAAAGAGGATGAGATTGAATGTGAGCTGATTATTCCACCTGAATGGAAAAGAGCTTGCGAGAGATGCAGGCGCTCCAAGAAGAGTTGCTCTTACAACCATGGGGAGACGGACCATTCTTTACCTTGTGAGCAGTGCCGGGCAATGGGAATGAAATGCATTGCTGGCCCTGCAAAGGATAAACCGCCACAGAAAGCGAAAATCACAACCGAGGAAGCGGAGTTAGAGACACATGTGCCAACTGCGACTACTCCAGGGACTATCTGGGACACAATTCCTCCTCTGCCTTCCAATGGCGAGTTACTCGATCCTCTATTCGTTCCGCTGGGCTCAGAGATTGACCTGGGATCATTGAGCAACAATTTGGGCCAACCAAGTACTAGCAGCATTCATACCATTCAGACCTCCTTGGCCCATCCAGTGAACTTCACGTATGAACCTCCTTCAGATGGCTCCAGCCCATGCCACTGGTGCAGCAATTTCGCGTATGGTATCATGGGGCTCGGAAAAAGGACCGTGGAAGTGATCGACTTTGGGGATGGAAGATATGTGGAAGTCGGTGGTGGTCATGTCAGCGAAGGCCATGAGCCTAGTCGGATGTGCGTCATCTGTGCACTGGAGAGAATCCACGTTGTGAATTGTCCAGGACACCGCATTGTTCCTCTGAGAGGATACAAGGTCGAAACATTTGATTTCAAAGCTGCGTATAACAGCATGGTTCCAGTGCCAGGCCAGACGCCAAAGAGAACGAACCCTTGGTGCTCCCTGTGTCCCAACCCGGCATTCTTTGGTTGTGGAACTCTTCAAACCGTCAATAAGTACCAGGAACCCGTTGCCCCTTCGTCTCCTGATGTGAAAGGCTGCGGTTTGCTGCTCTGCGATCGGTGTGAGCTGCTAATGCGTGCCTTTCGTGGAGATCTGACCAAGGTGGTTGCGAAGAATGAGCAGGGGAATGCGGAATTTGGAAGTCGCGCCGATGTTAATTACATCCTGCCAGGGAATGATCTGTATCGTTGTTATACCGGCACTTGATGCTAATTTTGAGCCAGAAGAGAGAGGGTGAAGAAGATGGGATAGGAGGAGAGGAGATTGGGATTGGAAAAGGGACCTTGGCGACTGCTTGTCAATAGCTTCCAAGAAGACTACTAGTATCGATCTATCTTCTTCCATCTCGCAGGTGTTTTACGAAAGACAGAATTCTCACTTTTTGTTCTCCAGCTGGTTCTTCAGTTTTTCTCCAACAGTAGTAACAATAATATGGCGCTCTCAAAAGACAGTCGCCGCAGCTCAAATCCATATATACATCTGCCAGTAATGGAGGAGGAATCACCGACATCACAAGGCTCAATCATAGGTGATTCTATTTCCTGACCGCATCGTTATCTGGATAACACAATGTCAAAGGCGATGATGGATGCCATTCCCTCGCAGCGATGGTGATGAGAATCTCTCTCTCTCTTCTCTTCTCCCTGCCACTTTCTTTCTTCCTTCCCTTTCATCCTCTTTTCATCCAAGCCAACGGCAGAACATTTTCATCCTCAAGATCAATCATCTCCATCACAAACTAAGGAAAGCATTCGAGACATTCCATCCGATTTGTTGCATTAGATTATTGTATCCCTCATCGACTCGACGCTAGACATCCCCAGACTTTGGCTGGACTCGATCAACCCTATCCGGTCCCCACTGGAACCACAGCGATCGACTACATTTTTTTCTGCGCCCGGGACGGACTGACTAAACGAGATTTCCGCCTGGACGGACATCGGATTTTCCTTTCGATTCAATTCTTTTTCTCCCCTCACTTGGCGCTGTTCCTTTTCTTGTTTTTTTTTGTTCTTTTTATTTTTTTGTGCTGGTTTATTTTTATAACCAGGTTCTCCATCATCCATCCCATCATCGACTGGCTCGCGTTCTTCTCGACCATCCATCGTGTTACCTAGAGCTGCCACGAGACGTGCGCAGCTCACTGTCACGACGTCTTCCACAAAGCGCCGTAAAGTTGCAGAGCCTCGCAGACCAGGAGGAGCCCTTCAGGGTTTGTCGTTTGCCTCGCAGGCTGGAAGACGTCACAGTCAACCCCGTCCCGACTCGTCCTCCGTGCCACCAAACCCTCGTCCTCCATCCGCTTCCGGATCAAATCGAAGTCAAAGCCCTTCTGTATCCCCGTCGTCTCGCTATATTCCCGCCCATCTCCAAGAAGAAGCTCTTGGCACCGGATCTCCGGCCACCGCCCGCTCCCCTTCCCCGGACTCTGCTAGCAGTGTCGCCGACTACCCTTCGATCGCCTGCGCAGGTCTCACCTTGGCCAGTGACCCTATGACTGATATGTCTGGTTCTGACAAGGGAGATGGTAGCGTCCCGCCGGTAGGAGATGACGTGCGGTCATCCTCCCCCGGCGTCAAACGGACCGCCCCCGATGTCGACCATGATGTGGAGATGGATCTAGACACTACAGAGAAGCGCTCTGCCTCCCGCCCCCAACCTTCGACGGTCATGGATACGACTGGGGCGGAGGACAACGGAAAAAATGGCAATGCTAGCTCGGACAGCGTCTATCCAACCCTTTCCAGCATGTCGACCTATACCGCCCCCACCGCGACTCGAAACGATTCCCAGTCTCAGGCCGCTCGCGCGCCCCATGATCTTCCTCCCATCGACGACCAGGTCGCTCAAGTCACCTGCACCATGGCACAACCGCTGAAGGAGAAACAAAAGGGATATCTACTGTCCATGTCTTGGCTGAGCCGGGTGCTCGCTCGGAGCTCGACTCATGCGGACAAGGTGGACAAGTCAGCAGCTGAAGGAGAGATTGGTCCTGTCGATAACACCGATCTGGTTCTGGTGACCGATCCCGCGAGTACCGGCTTCAAGGACGAGGCAGGGGAGCCCTTTGTTCCCTTGCGTCCCGGGTTGCAGATTGGGGAGGACTTCGAGATCGTGCCCCAGGAAGGTTGGGACCTGATCATGCAGTGGTACGGCTTGGCGGCCCAGTCACCCGCCATCGTCCGCTACGCTCATAATACCGTCGATGAGGGCGATGCACAAAATATCCAATATGAGCTCAACCCCCCAATTTTCACCATCCTGAAGCTGCCAAGCCCATCTGCGGGAACCACACCGCAGACACTGAGGGAGAAGAACATGCCCCCGGCAAAAGTGCTGTCCAGCAGACACACCAATTTCCAGAAATGGCTGAAGCAAGTGAAAGGGCTGGCCAATATCGATATGTCGACAAAGGTCCGTGTCTGGAGAATTCTCGGTGGCCTGGGAAGCGCCACTGCATCGGCTGCCATTACCCCCGCTGCGTCACGAAGTGCCTCCCCAGCTCCGACAGTGTCCCTAGTCGCCAATGCTGGAAACAACCTTGTCCTCGATCTCAACACATTCCTCTCTTTGTCGGACGGTGCCCAACGGGAATTGCTCGAGATCGCCAAGGATCAGACGAACAATCCCAACTTCAATGGCCGATCCACCTTGGATCGAGTGGGTCTGTCCAGCAGCGATGTTGTCGTCCTTGAGGAGCGCGTTGGCTCGGAGTGGGCGTCAGAGCTGTCCAAGCAAACTCTCAACCGCTTGGGTGTCCCGGCTGGCAACATCAAAACTGCCGTTCCAGCAAAGCTTAAGAATAAGAGCCCTCCCACTAGTGGTCGATCGTCCCCAATTCCAGAGCCTGCCCGAGGCCGGCGAAAGGACGGGAAGCCTAGAGGGTGCACTGGATTGAGCAACCTCGGAAACACCTGCTACATGAACTCCGCTTTGCAATGTGTGCGTAGCGTAGAAGAACTAACCTACTACTTCTTGAGTGCGTACTTTCCCTCCCCTCTCCCGTGCGCTTCAGGCCGGTTTCCCCCCCGCTGACCATCTCCACCTTGCAGATGATGTGTACAAGAAAGATCTCAATCCTAGCAATCCTCTCGCCCATAATGGGGATGTAGCTAAGGCGTATGCAAACCTTCTTCGGATGATCTACGACGAAGCAGGTCAATCGTCATTTGCTCCCCGTCAGCTGAAACACACTATTGGCCGTTATGGTCCCGCGTTCTCGGGCTACGGGCAACAAGATTCTCAGGAATTTTTGCTCTTCCTTCTGGACGGTTTGCAAGAAGATCTGAACAGAATTCAGAAGAAGCCGTATATCGAGAAACCCGATTCTACTGACGAGATGGTACATAACAAGGACGCTCTTCGGGACTTTGCAACCAAGTGCTGGGAAATCTACAAGGCCCGCAATGACTCGGTCATTACTGATCTCTTTGCTGGCATGTACAAGTCAACCCTTATCTGCCCTACCTGTGAAAAAGTCAGCATAATCTTCGATCCGTTTAACAACCTCACACTCCAGCTTCCGATCGAGAATCTATGGAGCAAAGAGATCTTCTATTTCCCCCGCCATCGCAAACCGGTCATTATAGATGTGGAGATCGACAAGAACTCCAGCATCAAAGCTCTCAAAGAGCTAGTAGCTAAGAAGATGGGCTCCGACCCTCAGCGTCTAGTTATGGCCGAGATCTACAAGTTCAAATTCTACAAAATGTTCGACAACAACACGTCGATTGCCGAGTATTCGATTGGCGAAGGCGATGATATTGCCATTTTTGAGCTCGAGTCGGTTCCCACAAATTACAACCCCGATAAGACCCAGAAGAGCTTCTACAGCTATGGTCGCTCAGATTATGAGCAGATTCCGAGCTTTGACTCCCCGAAGGCTGATCGGATGCTTGTGCCAGTCTTCAACCGGGTGTGCCGGCCAAAGTCCAACAACAGCCGAAATATGCAGCGTTCACTCTTTGGGGCGCCATCCTATGTAGTCATCAACCGGGAAGATGCCCAAGACTACGACGCCATTTTGCGCAAAATCCTTGAAGAAGTCGCTACGATGACCACTCGAGATATCCTCCATGAGCAAACGATACTTGGGGTGGATGAGCAAGAGGCAAGTCAGGAGGATTCGGATACTGTAATCATGAATGATGAGGACGCGGAGTCTGCAGACTCGAAAATCAAGACATCGTCTGTTGATGGGGAGGATGGCATGGTGGATGTTTCTATGCGTGACGCTTCGGATGAGATGGACACAACTTCATCCCAGGATACGAAACGTGACGGGAATTCCATTAATCCCGATCTCCGGAGCCTTTTCGATGTGAAGATTATGAAATCAAGCACGGAGGTTGTTCCTCTCGGATGGTCTTCTGTCGATGAGGTCAAAGACTTTCCGTTGATGTCGTCCAGGATCAAGGCGCGACCTGCTGCTAAGCAGAAAAAGGTAAATACAGTCGATGATACGGGTGGAATGAAGCTAATGCAAGTACAGAAATCGCGACCGACATCTGTCATCAGCGATGTGGTCGAGCGCAAGACCAGTGACGACTCGGATCAGGAGGGAAGCGCCGGTAGTGCTTCCGACAGCGGTTCTGACATTTTTGCCAATATCAATCGCCCGAAGACACCTAAGCCTCAGTCCAATGAGCGCCCGCTCATCCGCCCTGGCGAAGGTATTGTGTTGGACTGGAATGAGCGAGCACATGATGCTCTGTTTGGTTGGGACAAGAAGAAACCTGACTCGGGTCTTGGACGTCCCACATGGACTGACATCGAACGTATCCCTGATCCGGAACTCGCTGAACGGCGTAAACTTCGCCAGACTCGGAAGAAGAGAGGTGTGACTTTGTACGAATGTCTGGATGAGTTTAACAAGGAGGAGATTTTGTCTGAGAACGATGCCTGGTATTGCCCACGTTGTAAGGAGCATCGCCGGGCAAGCAAGAAGTTCGAACTGTGGAAGACTCCTGACATCCTTGTCATGCATCTTAAACGCTTTAGCGCTAGCCGTGGGTTCCGGGACAAGCTGGACGTTCTGGTCGATTTCCCCGTGGAAGGCCTGGATATGAGCGGCCGAGTTGAAGCACCCGAAGAAGGAAAGAGTTTGATCTATGATCTCTTTGCGGTTGACAACCACTACGGTGGGCTAGGGGGCGGTCATTATACGGCCTATGCGAAGAACTTCATGAGTGGCGAGTGGAACGAGTATAATGGTAAGAAACTGGGAAGACGCTTGCTATTGACCAGACATCGTTTGCTAACGATGTGTAATAGATTCGTCCGTCTCGAGACCGATTGATCCGCAGAGCGTTGTGACCCCTGCGGCCTACCTCCTATTCTACCGTCGTCGTTCTGACCGCCCGCTGGGCGGCAAGGTCTTGGAGGAAATCACCGAGTCATCGACTCGGCCAGCTAGCGAAAACAACTCACCCGCTGGATCCCGTGGACAGTCGCCGTCGGGGGACGGGCGGCGTCTCGGCGGCTCCTCCCGCAATGGGTCGTCGAGCGCCTTAGCCGGAGTCGGAGCAGCTCACCAAGCGGGAGATGGTGGTTTGCGAACTGGAGTGCGGGCGAGGGTCAATGATGAGGACGACGAAGACGATGCGCCCCCGGACTATTCCAACAGCCCGGCCTCGGGCGAGAAGAGCCTCGGAAAATCAAACCGACTGGAAGGTATGAGCTTTGATGAAGACGAGTTCGGTGATGGAGCATTTGCCAACCCGCTCCCCTACTCGAGCCAGCCCACGTGGTCCTTCGACCGAGTCACGAATGCTCATGGCCTTTCACAGATGACCACAGTACCTCCGGGATCCATCTCTGACGATGAAGAGGATTTATTCGACGACGATGCCAGCAATAAGGCGGTTGGCGGAGGAGACCTCAGCGATTCCGACCTACGTCTAGGTGCATTGACCGGCAGCCCAATCAGCCGGGGAGTCTTTCCGAGCACGCCCATGGATGAGGAACCTCCTTTCCAGGACATCCCTCCGCCGCTAGACGGCGATGACGATGAAGAGTTGCCCGTAGTGGAGTTACGAGTAAACGACGAGGACCGAATTGTCTCGGACTAAGGTTGATGCCTTATTATGGAGGTTTATCAAGGCGCGCGATGAAGTGGACGATTAATAAATATCCTTTGTGTTCTTCTTTTCCTTCTCTTTTCATTTTTGTATCTCATATCCGGTGGGGATCGTTTTCCACCACTCATTCATCCCCCAACGAGGATGATGTTCATACTTAATGGCCTTGGATGTAGGTGTTGAGGGACCTGTGTCTGTCTGTTTCTGCTACGTGGATCAGGACGGCTGATGCATGCCGTCTATGCATTTACAGTGTGTCTATGAAGAGTCATGAAGGTGCATCTGGTGAGCACCATGTTCCAAAAGCATTGATATTATTGTGTGGGACGGTAGAGGACTTTAGACGACTCCTCCCGAGTTTCTTGCATCATACAGACGTTTCTCTTTTGTTTTTTTTTTTTTTTCGTTCCATGATTTTTCTGGTCAGAGCAGAACATGTCTACTTAATCATAAGAACATTTCTGTTTCTATTTCCATGTCCACCAGAGCAGAGCAGATAGCCGCACAGATGACCGATGAGCCCGTCACCTGCTCATCAGCCTCACAACTTGTCTCCTGAATAATATGAGAAGTTTGTCACGATCAGACATCGTTTCCTGAAATCTCATCGATTATGTTCAAGTACACATGACTCTGTAGATGATTGACCGATATCATCTGATGCTCTAGCCAGCATATCCATCTCTTCTATATAACCCCAGCATACCGCGCCTTCCCTCCCTCCAGCAACAAATCCACCATGTCCTTCCTCGCTTCCTTAAAACACAAAGCTTTCACCGCATGGACAATCCAGAATCCCTCATAGCCAGCAGCATCCTGCTCCTCATCTGCGCCCTCTTCGTCATCGTCTTACACCTCGCGAAAGACTCCCAAGTGCATCCGTGTCTCACATATCCTCCCCCTCTCATCCTATAGTCCAGTCAGTCCCCACAAAACAAAAAAAAAAAAAAAAAAAAAAAAAAAACCCCCCTCAGACCCGAAAACATCCAACCTGCAAACTACAAGAACCACCTTGCCTTGCTTTCATCTTCTGCTCCTTCACCATGTCCAACGAATCCACCCCGCATCCAACCTACCACCCCCAAACCACGGCGACGGCCGTGAACAGCGCCAACCACGGCGAGAACAAGTCCTGCGCTGCCGAGGAACGGCCCCCGCGCAGCCGGGCCCTGCTGCTGAGTGACAGCGAGATCAGCGTGCTGGATCTGGGGCCGAGTCTGGAGTTTGAGGTTGAGTGTGAACTTGAGGGTGTGGAGGCTCGGGTCGTGGGGATAGAGATGGAGAGGGAGAGGAAGAGGGAGGAATTTAGGAGATGAGGAGTGTAGGGTCTTGCCGACGCCCCTGTTGTCGCCGTTGAGGACTACGGGGAGGAATTCGAGGAAGGGGGGAGATGGGGTGGGGTGGAGGGGTAGGGGATGTGAAGGGAGTTTCTTTCTGCGTATGGTGTGTGTTGTGTTGGCTGTTTTCTAGACTTAGAGGGATTGGCTGGGCGACCAGGACCAGATGGAGGGTATGATCATGGGTTATGGAATGGGGAAGATGCAGTAGAGGATTGACGTCTGCGTGTATACAGGTTGCGCGGCTATAGAGATGTATTAATCATTAATGAACCCTGGTTGAACGGGCATGTCTATTCTGAATATGAAATCTAGTCTTTGGAATCCAGGTTATTTCGTGAAGATGTTCACTGAGGAACGGGCCAGCCGTCGACATATTCCAACGGATTGTACCCCAGTCGAGCCTCCTAAAGATGGTCAGCAAACTGGCTCTCGACATCGTCACGTCAGATGAAGTCTTACCCCAAACTCGTAGCTCATCGATTTGTTCACTGCAGTGGTCAGCATCGCGTCGTTGGACTCCGAAGTGGAAGCTTACAGTAGTGATAATATAGGATATCGCCGCTCTCCTCCGTCAATACCCCCTGTCCTCCTGGCGCATAGACGTCGCGATTGGAGGCATATACAATTTCGCCGCCGCCTTTTGCAAGGTCCCTGCCTTGCTTGTCGACGAACGGTCCCCGAGGGTTCTTTGACCGGCCAACTCGGATGCTGTACCTATTTTTGTGTTTACAGGTCAATGGACCAGATCCAACATACAGGCCATACCCTGGACTTACTCTCTTCCTGGCGGAGGTAGATTCTGCACATCAAACTTGCAGCACTTCCCATAGCTGAACCACAGATAATACCAAGGCTCATGGTAGGAGATGAAGCTCCCCTCAATGGGCCGGGCACCACCTGACGGCTCCCGGCAGAGCGGGTTGGGATTGTTGCTTGCCGGCAGCGGTGCTTTCTCCATATAAACGAGCTGCTGCGCCTCGATGTGCGTGTCGCCGCCCACGGAGATCAAATTCTTGCCTAGCGGGACCTGCCAGATGCCGGACCAGAAGCTGCCGAACATTAGATAACCCTGGCCATCCTGGGTCACAATGACACTGGGATCGATCGTATTGGAACCAGCAAACGGGTGCTTTTCCGACCCTTGACCCGTCCCGGACTGGACGAGGAGCCCATGATCCGTCCATGCGCCGGGGCCCGGCGACTTGGACGTGGCGACGCCGATGGCGCTGTCGCGGCACCCGGAGTTGCTGACGGCGTAGAAGCAGTAGTACGTATCTCCGTGATGAATCGTCTGCGGCGCCCACGGCGCTTTCCGGTCGCCCTTGGGGATGATGCTGTCAGCCGTGAGGACCGTCCCGGCGCGTTTCCAGGGCCCGTCTAGACTGGGAGCTTGGTGGATGAGGATGTGCTTTCCCACGCTGTAGGAATAGTATGTGCCGCCCACGCGGATAATGCTAGGATCATGGATTCTGAAGTCGGTGGCGTGCGCAGGAGGAAACCGCTCCTGAGGCTTTGGTGGAGGTTTAGGGTGCGGTTGCGGTTGCGGGGGTGGTTGCGGCTGAGGCTCCGGTGGAGACTTCAATGGAGGCTCCGGCTGAGGTTGAGGTTGAGGTTTGGGCTGAGCTTGTGGCTTTGGATGCCCCGGGATGTATATATACAAACCCAACCCGACGAGGATGAACAACGCCAACCCCAGAATTAACCTGAGGGCGCGACGGCGTGCCAGCGATGCTGGCCGCGACGGGGCGTGGCCTCCGAGCGGCGGCGCATACGAAGGGAGGGACCCCGGTAATGCATCGGTTCTGCTGGAACTCATACTGAAGGATTCTCTGTCCCTCTGAAGCTCAACATCTCGGCGCATTTGATGGATATGCCCTTTTAGAGGGAGATCTGGCGCATTACACGCGGGATCTGCGGCTGAAGAATGGGTAGATCTTGTCTTTATTGGCGACTGTGTCTCTAATGCTTTCGACTTGACGAAATACTCCGGATCGATTGTGCGGTTCTCAAAAGTAAGTCGACAGAGACAGATAGATAGATCGTGGCTGTGATAACGGAGAGAAGAGCAGTTCCGAAGTAATCCTAATCATGATTCATGTACATGCGGAATGTGTCTCGGAAAGTCAACCACCGAAGCATCCAAATTCCCCGTCTGAAGGTCAATCAATCAGTCGTAGTCTTTGTTCTGAGTCCTGGCTCCTTTCAAATCACTGTTTCCCTTTGTCAAGTAGAGAGATAGTGGCCATGATGGCTGAGACACGTTTAGGAAGCCAAAGTGCCGCCATCGTGATTTGTCTCCACCAAAACTAAATTAAGGGTGAGGACACGAAGATAGTAGACTATCAAGACAACGAGGAAGCGTCTTAGGATTCAAGAGGTCCCAGCTTTCTATATTCATTCCTTTCCAACATATCGTCGCAATTGATGCTTAAAGACCGGGTCATGAGATGATCCAGCGAAGACCTCGCAGCAACGGGAGTATATATATCTACAACGTCCGTGTGACACTACACGTCCTGGAACTACGAAGGAGCAAGCTATACAGAACCTGGTCAGCAAGTATTGTGCCTAAAACCTGGTGATTACAATGAACCATGCCAGTTCCAGTACTTCAATGTCTACTGTAATGCAAAGTGTACATCGAAAATCAAATAAGAGTGTGCGCAACCACCAACGCCCAACTCACCCTCTTGGAACTTCTTCAAATGGGAAGACAGTAACGGAATACAGTGTGTGCTTGGCAAGACTATCGAGCGACAATCTTGTCCACTTCATCCTTGGCCTCGGTCCATGTTTCCATGTTCTTTCGCGCCCAGTCCAAATGGCAGCGAGCGTATGCGACCTATGAAGCAACAATTAGCGGCTGTGATGGGCAAATCCAACGGATGCTCGACTAGAATGTTCTTACCATGTACCGCCGTAGATCAGCCTCCTTGTCCTTTTGGAACCGCTTGAGATCCTGGAGAACTCCAGCACTTGCGTCCTTGACATCTTTCTCAGACACCTCGAGTGCTTGCTCCAACTACACGGGAGACATTGTCAGCATGAGCTTTACTTCGATCCAATGATTCCTTAGACTAATGTACCTGTAGTAGACTCTCTTTGGTCTTCCCGATCTGATCCCGTCGCGTTCGTTCCGGATCGACGTCGACAAAGCCGTGCACCGCATGGCTGATGCGACCAAAAATTTTGTTCGCTACAAAGGTACCGCTTGATGACTTGCGGTGGGCTGGGGGAGACGATGGCCCCAGATCAGGCCGCCGGGGTGGCAAAGTGTGAGACGCCTGCGACGGTGATGCGATCGGCTCTCCATGGGTCGGCGGAAAATCAGAGTCAGCTGACGCCGCATCTTCGTGCCCATCACGATTGCTGGGAGCACTGGTAGCCGATGAGGCAGACAAGGAGCGTTGCGGTCTTGTGGCGGCCGAGCCAGGTGATGTCCGGTTGAGGTACTGCTCAATACGCTTGGCTTCGAGCTCGCTTCTTTCCAAGGAATCCAGCAGTGTCTTTTTCTTAGCCAACTCATCGCGCGTCATCTCTTCCTGTACGCGCTTGAGAACCCGGTAGCGCAACACACTGCGAACGATGCTGGCAAATTGTGCGCTCTCTCTCATGGGTTCCGCGAAGCTGGCGCTGAGAGATGACGATAACTCCTCGGTTGCAATGTACGAGGTATCTGCAGCTTGGCCCACTCTCTCAATAGCGGTAGCAACAGTCGGCGATTGTTCAGACAAGGAAAACCCGTTGTAACGAGCCCCCAGTTCCATCAGATCCGCGGAGAGCGTCGACAGATGCGACAGCGTACGACGATTCACCTTTTCAATATTCCCTTGCAAAAGCAACTCAAGTTCTCGAGTGGAAGCTTCGAAGTTGATGAAGTAGGGATCGAGGTCCTGTTCACTCAGTTTCTTTGTTTCTGGGGGGAAACGACCCAACACATCAGGACCAGGTATGGCGGCCGGCACATCCCCTCGGTCCATAGATGTGCCCGCATTCGCAGCTCCAGGTGAGGGTTTGAGCTTCGCAGAGGTAGACGGTACTGGTAGCCAGGCATGAGCAGCTGTGGGGTTCGCCGGATTGAGGGGAGGGGCCTTGAGGTTGTTTTTCGGCACAGATGATGCAGGGTGTGAATGGAGAACCTCACTCTATGGCAAAGTTCAAGTTAGCATATTGTCGCACTTAAAAGATCTAGTAGATTAAGCATACCCAGCTGACGTTTGGATCGAGGAATCTCCACCAGACTCCATCTTCTCGAACTTCCTTCATTCGACGACACCGGTTTAGAAATACCGCCAACATGCGCTTGCGCAGATCAATAATCGCCGTGTCTTCCTTAGCTTTGGTGGGTTTGGCAGCATAGTCGGCCATTGTGTGTTTCTCTGGAATTGGAGGGATGACAAGCGTGGGATGTAGGTTTACCAATGTCTGTCGCAGGGAAGCAAATTCTGAGTAGCGTCGACGGACCTCCAGATCCTGAAAACCATTAGATTCCGCCTGCAAATGGATTCCGAGCACTTGCAACATACTCCAGTCCGTATTGTGTATACTATGAAGCTTCCGCCGCCCTCATGGTTCTTTCCTGCATCTGTAATGAGGATCGGCATCTCCGGATTCTCGTAAAGTAGCTGTTCAATGCGACTGTCGTAGACGGTTTTCCGGGGGTAGCCTTGCCCGGTCTGCTGATCACTGTAGTCTTCATGATCGTCCTCATCACTCAGATCCTGTGGTCGGGATATGTAGTCGGGCGGGCCCTGGCTGGATGATCGGCTGGAGGGTGAGGGAGGGGTGTGTTCGTGATCGAAGAGAGCTTGGGATGAAGTATTAGTTGAGACCGGCTGTTTAAACGTTGGCTCATGAAAAATGCTTACGAGGGGAAATGGCTGCTGACTGCAATGATTCCGAGAGACGAGCCTCGTTATCAAATGCGCCGTATGGATTATTATCCTCGTCGTTCCACATGTTGGAGGCTGGGGAACCGGCAGGAACAACCAGATCAGGATACCACAACGAATGTACAGATCATGCAAGAGTACAATTAATCTTCAAAGGAGAAACAAGACCCGCAAACTACTTCCTCAGCAGTTTAGATGAAGCTGATGAATTGAACACCGACTTAGGAGATGCAGACAGCGTGTGGATAAGGTGAGATGAGATGCATCACCGCCTGGAGATCCGCGGGGGAAATTCCACCAACGTCACCGCCTCGGGAACGCTAGAACCACCATCCACGTCATCTGCCCCTGGCAATAGATCTGCTCAAAGAAAATCATAAATTGAAGTCGCTGTCCGTAGATAATATCTAATGAACTACCATACAGTTTCACCTTGACTTGGCTTTTCGGGTTCATTGGTATTGGTCGTTCCATTGCCAGTGTTCCATTCGTCTGATGATTGTCCCTGAGCCATACCATCAGTAGCTGTCCAACCACATTGAGCTTGTCCCTGTGCGCCATGAGTCTGTTCCTGGGTGTTTTGTGTCTGTGCCATGCCATCGCTGGTAGTCCATCCTTCTTGGGGCTGTGTCCATTCGTCTTGAGCTTGTCCCTGAGCTGTCGCCTGGGTTGTTGCTTGCACTTGTGCATCACTTCTTTCCCACTCTTCCAAGGCTACTTCTGCCGCTGGAGTCGATGGTCGAGGAGGAGAAGGCGGCGGCGCTGCTAATTGAGCACAAGGAGAGGGAAGGGGCGATGGAGGAGCAGCAGCAGGTGCCGGCGGCGGGGACGGCAGCTTGCGCTGCTGCTGCTGTCGCATCGCAGTGCTATCTAAGTCCCCCGTAGTACTCCTCGCAGCCTGAATCTTCCTTATCTGTTCACGAAAGGGCGAAGCTCGTCGGGAGCTCCTTCTCGTCCGATTCTGCACAGATGGCCTGGGAGCCGCGGATCGCGACCTTCCCCTTGCCCTGGCCGATTTTCTCTCTGATTCCTGCATTGCCGATAACATCTGTGATGCGATTGTCTGTGCCTGCATCCGTCGTGTTTCTTCCTGCCTCAAGCGTAGATTTCGCCGGACTTCTGTTCGCCATCGAAAGGTGAGGGCCACGCCGATGGCGGTCAACCCTAATGCCACAAGCAGGACGATAGCAATGGAGAGACCGCTCTTCATTCTTGCCTCTATGCTGGCTCGAAAATGTGATGAATGTCGTCTAGATGACTGGACTGTAGAAGAGACGACTCACTTCGTGTTCTTCCTGATCAGTATGACTGCAACTGACTGGAGAGAATGGTGACCTGTTAGTCAATGTAGATTAAAGCTTTGAGGTAGGGTAAACATGGCTATGTTTGCGAATGAAGAATGCAATGCGATATAGTTGTATTGTAACTCAGAAGTGAGGTTGGCATAATGTGGTTGAATCGAAGGTAAGCAAAGAGGGCGGATGACTTCTTGACGTTTTTTTTTTCATTACTGATTGACAGATGAGACATGATAGTAGTGGCTGCTACTTTGAATAAATTTCATATCGCAGGGATGATGAGCCTGATAAACACATTCATCATAAATATCATTTCTATCCTGACTTTTATCTAGACCGAAGAAACCCATTTCAAGAAGATTGCAATGCCTGCTGGATCCGCCGGCACCAGTCACTGTGAAGCAATCCAACTTGGCCTTGATCGAGGAAAGCTTCCAATTGCGTCTTGATACTGGCTCGTGTCTCGCCTAGATACTCAGCAGCGGCGAAGTTTTGTGACACCAACACACCAGCAAGACTGATAACGCGCACTCCAAGAGTGAACGTTTCAGGCTTCGAGGCCCAGCCCAGAAGACCATCTTTGCCTCTTTCTTCTGTAATAAACGCAGACATGTATGCTAACCCGGCATGCACCCATGTAGCGACGCCTTGAACGTTGACCGTATTGAACGAAGATCCTGTCATCTGCAGTAGCCTTGCAGACCAATCATCAATCTCGCGCACGTCATCGATGAAGAGATTCTGCTTTTCTTCCTCGAACAGGATTGTGCTTTCTTTCATCTGCTCCTGGAGCTGGTCTGCCACCACTCTAAATTCAGGCGTGTCGACTGAACCGCTAATCCTTGGTGCCTCTCCAGTCATATACCGCATAATCGTGGTGCAGAGGACTGAAGACTGGGGATAGTTCTCAACAAGGAATCGTGAGAACAACTCACTAGCATACAGAGGAGCCAGCGTGACGGACTTCGAAGGCGATACGGATGAGTAGGAGATTACCCAGGATGCGGTTGCGGCAGCAATTTCACGCAGCTCCTCGTCGTCGTCATTCAACATGTCGTACAATATCAAATAGATTTCGAGGAAGACCGGGTCTACCTGAGGTGGGCTGCCTACGGGACGCAGAATACGTCCAAAGGTCGCCACAGATGTCACGGCTGAATATCGTGTTGTATATTCCTGTCATCTAATTAGCATGGGACTTCTGAGAAAGATGACGACTACGGCCTTACCGTCTCCTCTTGCATTGCAAACCGCAGCCGCGTTGCCCATCTCTGGAGATCTCTCTCCAGTGGTTTCCAGTGGTTCAGGGAAGCCCTGACGGTCAGGAGACATCCCTGAAGACGGAGCTCCGCATCCGCCATATCCCGATTCCATGTTTCGCTCGTGTCGATTTGCGCGTGTAGGGCATCCCATGGAAGATTAATATCTTTGACATCACTGGAACGAGAATCGAGGACGACCCGCAAAATAGCCTCGAGAGAGGATATCGCGACGGATTTAACCTCCGCTGCATATTCCCCAAGAATCACCGAGGAATAGAAAGCGAGAAGACTATTTCTATAGCGTTCTTTGTCTCCCAAAACATTCTGCAACTGCTCGATCACCCAGCGACCGGCATTGGAATCAAGAGTGGAAACGGTCAGGAAGAAAGCCGCCGAATTTTCCAGTTGGCCGGAAACAAACATCCGAAGTATCGCAGTCCATGAAAGCACTCTTCGGAGAAGAGAAGTAGCACGAGTAGTGCTCAATGTTTTCCACGATGGATTGGACGAGTCGAATACGAAAGCAAGGATATCATGGAAGCCGAATGTATCGAATGCATTAGCAAGAAGTTGAACTGCGCTATCTAGGCTAATGTCAGTCATTTCTCCAAGTCCAGAAAGTTGGTTTCCTTACTTTCTGCACCTGACTCAATGCACTTCTCAACAGCATCATCGAGAATTTCTACCAAAGTGGTTGCGACAAACGGGGAGTGCGCAGAGGGAAACAAAGCTGCGAAGATGTCGTGAAGAGTGGAAGACACTTCGACGAGATGATCTGGAACCTTTTAGCACGGAAACCACATATTCGAGATGGTAAAGAACTTACTGTTCCAGAATGAAAGCGAAATGGAAGCGAATCTACGCAGTGCATACTTGGCACAGAGTGCCTTGCCGTGGAGAAAGTCCTGAGATGTGGACTCACGGTCGACATCTAGCAAAGTCCGAATCTCCTGAAGGATATCGGAGCGCTTGAGTAGAGATGCATATACTCGAGCTGCGTGTTCCCGAATACCCCAGACGGGGCTCTTGAATTGTTCTCGAACAAGAGTCTGGAGTAGGACATCGTCCTCATCGGATACCGACGGCACCTTTTCGGCAATCAGCTCAAGCGCCGGGAAGACCCGCTCGGTGACAATGTCGTTCTCGATAAGTTCGCTGTTCTGCTTCTTGCCCGCTGGGGCAAGAAGATTCGATAGTAACTGCAGGAGCCCTGGATACTTGTGGAACGAGATTCTGGCGCCTGGCTCCGATCCAGAGCTGCCGCCGAAACCAAAGCCAGTTCCGGTGAGCAAGCGACAGATGCGCGTCAAAAGCGCACGGAAAAGCATCAAACCCGAGTTACGGAGGGCCCAACTGTTTACATTAGCTCCTTCAATGCATAGTGTAATGATGGCGGGGTCTTACATGGGCGATCCAAGCCGCTCTGCTGACAGAGTAAGAGCTGGCATGATATACGGTTCGGTATAGGGTCCAAGCTTGGTGTTGGTAAAAATGTCTTTCAGGCAGTTCATGGCATGCACCTGGGGCAATTCGAACTTCTGCTTGCTAAGGTTCTGCTCTGCTGGAAGGTGGGAGACTTCATGGAGCTCGTCCATGACTTGTTGAAACAGTGGCCCTCCTGGCTTCGAGAGGAGGATACCTGTGGCCAACGCTGGAAGACCAGCCGAGCGCCTCGTGAGCTGGGATGCCGCCTCGAATATAATCTTCTTGGCTTCCTAAGTAGGTTTCGTTAGCTCCTGTAACATCTCAATGAGTCTGTATCCTTACCTGATACCAGCGATAAGGCAGAGAAGATATGGCAGGATCACTTGACTGGCCGCACCGTTGGCAGCAAGTGGCAAATGTTTGAGATACGGTCGAAAATGCTCCTCTATGGCGAAGCTCCGCAAGTTGAGTAAAGCTGGACATCCCGATTTTCTCGTAATCGGCAGCATTGAACCCAAGCTCACCCTTGGGGGCATATGTTGGATTGGCGAGGGTCGCATGTAACAGAAGGCTGACCCTGTCAGCGCAGAATAAGCCTATCATTCTGAAGACTTACCTTGATTCTCGAAGAGCGCGCCAAGAATAGGACAAGATATCCTTCGGCCCGATATTGAATTCCTCGGTCGGCTCATCGCTGTGGCCCTCGGGGGAGTCGATGCAAAGCACGGGCTTAACTCCTTCCCAGATCCTGTCACACACACATACCAATCTTGTGTGAAACTCCCTCCAGTGATCCTGGCTCGAAATCTGTTCATCAGCAATCAACTGATAGAAGTTCGGTGTGGACACGATATATCTGGGATCTATCAGCACTCATCCACAAGGCCATGTCCGAGATGAAATACCTCAGGGCAGATACATATCCGTGTAAAGGGGCGTCGCGCATAGATGGTGTGAATAAACCTTCAGAAATAGAGAGTTTTCCTTCGAGCTTCTTCAAGACCAGATCGACTACTCCCTTCTTAGTCCCCCACCATTGCGTGAATCCAACCTGGTTTGTCTGAGCTGCAGCGCAGAAAATGATGTGGTACAAGCGAGCAACCGTGTCTGCATGGTCGGCTCTGCTGGTATTGCTAGCCAATTGCTCAGCTCGTATCAATGCCTCGGTCAAGCGCAATGGCATTCCCGAAGATTCGTTTGTGGATTGCACAAGGCCACTTAGTAGAAAATCCCGTGGGAAGAAGTTCAAGATGGTGAGAGAAGTAGCTCGAACCTCCTCGAAAGGATCCAGAAGAAGGTCCACGAGCAGTCGGAGGAGACCTGGCTCAAAAATGTCCAAGTTGAACTTCCAACGAACCTTATCCCCTTCCATTTTAGCAGCTTTGTTGAAATTGATACGAGAATCAAGACCAGATTCTAAGAACAGAATCATCGTCTTGAGAGCCATGATATGGCGAGGATAAGAGGCGTTTGGGCGCATGTCCGCTTTGAGGAAGTCTACGTAAGCCTTCAGGCATGCTCGAGTCTCTGAATCGTTTCGGTCAGACTTTGCTTGTTGGTTAGTGGTCGAAGAGCTTTCATGATCTAGTCCTGCCTGATTGCTCATGATGCCACCCTTCAAACGAACAATCAGCTTACGGATCAAGCTCAGGGTCTCCCCTCTGGAATAAGAATCAGACTCGGCATGCATGGAGGGCAAGCCGCAGAGAATCGCCCTGATAGTAGCAGAGGAAAGTGGTCTCGTAGTAGCCGGTGCCGAGATTAATAACGAGAGTGCAGCGATTCTGATATTGAATTCTTTATGGAACAGGAACTGGCCGATAATGTCACTTGGTAGAGGTGGAATTTTAGACGAGGATTGTTGATTCGATTTTGAGTCAATATCTGCAACGAGTCAGTCAGGTTTCTTGATCCCCAAATCATATAAGGATGGCAGACACCTACAGTCTTCATGAACCCGGCCAATCTTCTTCCCCACCTGCAAAGAGGCAAAAAGAACTGTGAGCTCCTCCAAAGGAGCATTGGCCATATCACCAGCATAGACGCTCGGTAGTGGCAGTCTCTCCAGAAAAGCACTGAAGCCGCTGGGGTCGAGAGTGAAGAGAGGCTGGAGAATATAGTTTGACATGGGTTCTAGGATGTCTATATTTTGAAGTACCGTGTGGCGAACAGGTTCAACCCAGACGGAAAGCAAAGGATCGGTCTTGAGTTTCTGAAAAAAGGCTGCCATAGTGTCACCAGCACCAGAAGCTAGTTCGGGATTTTTAGCTTGGTTTAATAGTCCTAGAAGAAGGATTTGAACGGCTGTTCCTTTTGAATCATCACTCCGAGTACCATCGAGTGTCTCCCCCAAAAATGAGGTGATATCCATAGATAGAGCTCTGCAGGAGTCCTGTAAAAGAGGGGTCCATCTCTCTCCATTCTTTGCCAACCAGCTCTCAAGCATGGATATCAAGTCGTGAGGCAAGATGGCGCTCTTGCGCATGATAATCTCCAGCGAGACGAGGGAAGCTTTGAGCCGCGCACGCGGTTCACCCAAGATGATACTGGGAAGGATGGCATCGACCACGCTGGACTGGATCGATTTTCCGTTAGGATCTTGTTGAATCTTTGCCAGTATTTTCACCAAGGAGTTCAGAACTTGCTTCATCGGCTTGGGTTTGGCATCCTCAAACCGACTCATATAGACTTCAAAAGCGGAGAGCCACGTCTCTGGTGACTGAGCAAGCTGTCTTGTACCCTCGCATTTTGATACTGAAGCGGCATCGAGAAATGCACTCAGCGCATTGCATGAAGCCGTTGTATGAGCACTAGTAGTAGAGGCAGTCGAAAATGTTTTCAGTAAACTCTGCCACAATCGGCTCAAGTTCCTGCGCCACTGTCAGTATATGGAATTGCAGTACAATAGTAGATTCTTACTCAACGTCATTATATTCACGGATGAACTTGACCAATGGTCCTTTCGAGATTTTGCTCAGAGTTTCTTCCGATAGCAGTTGTATAGTCTGCGATATCTCCTCCATATCGATGGATTTTTGGTCACCCATGACGCCTGAGACTGCTGCAACCTGCATGTAACCTACAGATGCTGCATTCCGGTCATAGATATCTCCTGATAATAGTCAACTCAATCACCCAGACCCATGGAGCGCCCGTCCCCCGCGTTCGCCATTTCTTTTGCTTCTTGGTGGATTTTCGAGGCGGATCACCCAATCAGGCCTAGTGTCGGCCTGGGATTTTTCCCGATGCCGGCCCGGCGGAAACGAATGTGAGCAACGGACATCAGCAGCTTTGCTGAAGTTTTTGTTCTCCGGTCTTCCATATCCTCAACCAATCTATCAACGCTGCGACAAAGACCAGCTGTGCTGTCGGAAGTAGTAGTCCGCGCCTCCCTTCTTCCATTTTCCATTTTTCTTCATATCACTGTTTTAATTTAATCATTTCCCGACTCTAAAATGGCGATCTGGGACTCATTCAGTGGCCGCAAGCAGGCCCAAGGATCCGAGGTTTTCGACCCTTCGACTGCGCCGGATGCCACCTCCTTTCTCACCGAATCCCTCATCCCTGATCCTACTCAGCTTCACCCTCTGGCCGGCTTGAACCAAGAAACCCTCGACTATCTTACTCTCGAAGATACCTCTCTGGACGAACTACCAGGCTCGCGATCAGTATTGCCATCTCGTGGGTGGTCGGACGATTTGTGTTACGGAGCTGGAACTACCTACCTTGCTGGTTTGACGGTTGGAGGAGCATGGGGTCTCGTTGAAGGACTGCGACGCACACCCGCCACAGCGCCTCCGAAGATCCGGTTGAACACTGTTCTGAACTCGATCACCAGACGAGGACCCTTCCTCGGCAACTCGGCAGGTGTCGTGGCTATGGTATACAACGGCTTCAACTCCGGACTTGGATATGTACGGGGTAAGCATGATGCTACCAACAGCATCGTGGCCGGCGCTTTGAGTGGAATGCTCTTCAAGAGCACCCGAGGAATCAAACCCATGATGATCTCCGGCGGTATCGTGGCTGGTATCGCAGGAACCTGGACCGTAAGTGCAGACCTCATTTTTGCCTTGGGGTTTCAATATCGTGCCAACTGCTAACGACTCAAATAGGTCGTCCGACGCGCTGTCCTGTAGACGCGATCTATCTGTTGTTTGATTGTAATTTAGGCGCTTGAGCCGTTTCGACTTGAACACGAATCATCGCAAAACCGCGAAACCCATACACTCCATGCTTTATTTCAGCGAAACAGGCGGGTGCTGTTCCACGTTTTACTTCCTCCTCGTCTTTATCTTCGCAACTGTATTAGAACGGCTTTCTCGTTATCCCTTACAGAACTCTTCACTCCGGCGCTCAGAGTATCATCTTTTCGCATTATCCGTGGGTTGGGACCGGCATGATAATGGGTTTTCTTTTTTTACGGTTTTTATTTTGTACATATACTCGCCTCATACCTCTGCACAGGACTCCCCTAGAGTGCTGACCTGCTTGTTGGATGATATTGGAGCTCAAATGAAAGACTTAAAAAATGCATGCATGTGTTGAGCGCAGTGTTGATGCTGGCAAACTGTTGTCTTGTATGTTCTTTCGATTCCGAATTCACTCCGAATTCCCTAGCATCTAGTCCATTAACATATGCAAGGACCGGAGATTGAGACCAACAGGCTGCTAGAATACGCGAACAAGGCAGTAAGGCATCTTCAAGTCGAGGCTTGGATCGCAAAGAAATGAGGCGAACGCCCTGCAACTCTTTAGATTCGGGCGCTGAGATCATGCAGCTCTGATAAACTCTGGGCGGAGAATTCCTCAGATGCCTACGAGTTTCTTTTTTCCTTTTTTGAACGAGTCCAGATCATAGTTCCAGGGTGTTTCTTGAGCCTGGCAGCTGGCTGAATAAGTACCTTGGAATATGCATACTAGGTAGTAAGTAGATGGTATGCGCATGAATCCAATGAACTTGAAACCTAGTGCCGGAAAGCAGGCAGGAGAGATATCTGCACGGTATAGTTATAGCATGATGTAGTCTTTGATAGGACCATGGAGGTCTGTGCTCTGAGGTATCCATTGTACACAGTACGGTAAATATCGTCGGAGGCCTGCGTCGTTACTCGTTGGTGGGAAAAGCACCTCGCATCTAAGCAACAGGCAATCCTGGGGTGTCTACTAGGTATCTATTGTTTCCGTAATAATACCACATCTGTAGGTTTTATTCTGATTACATAGCGGGGATCCGGGTGACTTTCCTTCTTTGAAAACGTGCAGTCGGAATAGCCTCAGAATTACCGGTTTTGGAAGGATACCGGCGACCCTTTGTTGCAAGGACGTTGAGACTTGAGAGGCAAGGACAGGGTTCTAAGGGCTCGACTCTGCTCATTCTTTCACGTATATTGAAAATGATGTAAGGCGCGGGCCTCCGGTAGATTTCGGCTTCTAAGACTCGGCCCTGCGCCGTTCTCTACCTATCTACTATACTATTCTTAGAACATCCATGATGACTACTGCAAGACTACAGTCTTGGTCAAGTTGGTTGTTTGTTCCTCTTAACTGCCGGTTCTCTCCCGTCAGTACTAGGACTAAGTAAATAATGAGGATTAATTTAGCTCGTTTCTATTATTGATTTTGAAAGTTGAAGCATCTTGTTTTTAAACTTTAGCCTCAGGTTTTCTATTCCTTCCTTTTCTGGTGGTGTTTGGGCCCTTCGGGGCCTGCGTGACAGACTAATTTAGTCAATTTAGTCAGAAAGGGCAATTAGCCTTACCGAATGTGGGGTAGTTGCCCTTAATGAAGCCCACGCTAGTCTCGATCCAGAAGGGCCCATCAGCTGACCCCGCGTGGATTTTTCTGCGGCGTCATTTTTGAGGGAAGCAGACTTCGGAGTAGTCAGCGGTTTCTCTAGCACCTGCAGCTGCAGTTCTCTGTGACTTAAATGATAACTACTGGGACTGGGAGAGAGGTGCATGATTTCGTATTCCCCGTTTTTTAACCCTTTTATCTTACGCTCTGCAGTCCATCATCGTCATCGTCATTATCATCATCATAGGTCTTTTCCCAGCTATATGAACCCTGCATGTCGGGATTCAGGCTCAAAGGTTTCTTTGGATTCCTTATCTGCACTTGAAACTCCCCGTGGGCCTTAGACGCCCTTAGGGTCCTCTTTATCTGCTTCCGCCAAGTGCAACTTGGTCTGCTTAAAGCTTGATCCGAGGGGTCTTTCCGGGGTTATTTTCTCTTTGCGCTGCGCCCGATCTCATCCGCAGTTTGCCTTGTTGTTTGCTATCCCAAAATCATCCCGGTTCAACAACCTCGAACTACACAACAAAGAGAAAAAGCATACAAAGAGTAATCAGAGCAATCAAAGGAACTTTTGAAACCCCAAAACAAAGAAGTGAAAAGGAGCTTTTTTTTCATCTCGACTCGTTCGATGAGTGATTCGGATTCCAGCCAACTGACCGGCAGGTCACAATCTTTGACTCGACAGCCCCCGTTACACGAAGCCGATGCGATAACGGTTTCGATTGACAATGCGACGAGCGCAATGCCTTCAGTGACCCATGCCGATGGAAACCTCTACTCTCCGCCGGTATTTAAGGGCCACCATTCAGAAAATGCGACGTCCGATGCACCAGAATCACACCACCCTTTCTACGCGCCTAACCAACACTATTCAACTCTTCCGTCGCTTCATATCCGCACAGATATTGCAGTCACAGCTCCGATGGATGCGTCCAAGGATAACGATGTTTTCCTAAACCAGAACCTTTCTCCGGGCAGTATTCCGCAACGGACGCCGAGCTTGCGCGCGGTACTCGCCAATTTAACCCCAAAGGAAGGACTCTCTCCGGCATCTATATCCTCTCCTCAACTGGTGGCCATGGGCGATATCACTCCTCTGCCGTCGCCTATTGGAGGCATGAGCTGGAGATATCCCCGACGTGGCTCCCAGTCTCTATCTCGAACACCCTCCACAATGTCGAGGAACGGATCAAGCCTCAGCTTGCGACTTAGTGACTCTTCACAGATGCTGGGCCCGTTTGAGTCTCGTTCGCGCAACAAGCCATACCCGGGATTAGGACGGACCGATGAGAATCCCTCAGATACACCGAGTACAGGTCGGACTGAGACAGCACCTAGGCATACCCGCAATCGCAGTCTCAGCGAATATGTGCCTCCCGTTCGAGGAATACCCGTTCAGCCACGTCCAATTGTGGTATCAGGAGCGGGCGGACCGCAGCGAATTACAGCATCGCTGAGTACCGATTCCAAATCAAACAATCTGCACCGCGAGGAATACTTGGGCATTCAGAGAGGCATCGCGCTGCCAACCACCCGTCCTCCCACTCCGCCACGGAGCAGAGGCTCTGAAAGCGCCCAAGACGAGCCCGTAATTATCCACGCGCCGTCGGCTGATGCCTCGGATGAGATCTATGCCGTGCGCTCGATTCGGACCAACCAGTCGCGGAAGTATCGCAAGCTGCGTGACTTGGGTCAGGGCACCTTTAGTCAGGTTGCCCTAGCGGTGCGCGTGGAAAATTTCGAAAACAGTGAAGCTTACAACGGGTCTGTCATAGACGGCCCCGCACACACAACCCAGAAGTTGGTTGCCGTCAAGATCATCGAATACGGCCCAGCCGGCGGGGCTGATGAAGAGCGGCTGGAGGTCTCGCTCAAGCGAGAAGTAGAAATCCTCAAATCCGTCAACCATCCTTCTCTCGTGCAACTCAAAGCGTTTGGAAGCGACGAGAAGCGTGCGCTTCTGGTCCTGGATTACTGTCCTGGAGGGGACCTTTTCGACGTTGCTTCGTCTGCGGTGAAGCCTATGACCCCTCAACTTATTCGACGGATATTTGCAGAGCTTGTGGATGCTGTGCGTTATTTGCATGGAATGTACATCGTGCATCGGGACATTAAGCTGGAGAGTAAGTATTCTTTTTATTTCTCCTCTCTACGTTACTGTGCCTCAGGGACAAGCTAATTACTTTCATCCTTTCTAGACGTCCTTGTTACGCTGCCCATTGATGCTCTGCAGAAAGTCGGCGATTGGCGCACCTACGACCGAGCCATTGTCACATTGAGCGACCTCGGTCTCTCGAGGCGCATCCCCGAACCCCCCGAAAGCCCTATGCTTCAGACGCGCTGCGGAAGCGAAGACTACGCGGCACCGGAGATATTGATGGGACAGCCCTATGACGGACGATCAACCGATGCATGGGCGCTCGGAGTGCTTCTCTACGCTATGATGGAGAATCGGTTGCCCTTTGATGCTTTGCCTGGCGCTCGGGGCGATCCCGCGAAGCTCCGAGCCCGCACTCCTCATCGTATCGCGCGGTGCGAGTGGTCCTGGTACCGATATGCCGACAAGGATGGCGAATGGGATCCCGTGAAAGGCCAGGATCTGGAAGGGGCGCGCGAATGTGTTGAGGGTCTACTCAAGCGCCACACGAGACGGATGGGTCTGGACGAGATCGCATCTAGGGAGTGGGTCAAGGATGCGATCGACGTCCCCGGTGGACTGAAGCGCGGTGACAAGGAAGTCCCATAGAGCCGGTCTCTTTGTGGCATTGTATTTTCTGACTTCACTGGTTCTTTTGCTTTTTATATCCGCTTCTTCTCTCTTTTTCTTTTTCTTTTTTTTTTCTAGCGGTTCATACATGGCCATAGGGTGATGGGTTTGGAGGGACGAGGGGTCTGTATGTTTATGAGTATTCCTCTTTTCTTCCCTTTTTTTTCCGTTTTTTTTTTGTGTGTGTGTGTGTGGTCTCTATATTCTTGGATCAGTTCGCTCAGACCAGACTTGTTATACCCTGAAGACCCGCGGACTGATGGCTTAGATTTATCTCATGTCTCAACTTCTTTTGCATGCATTATGGGCTCATATCACGAAAGGATTACTCCAGTCATGGATCAATGATTACAGCTGGGTGATTGTGTGCCACTGTTCAAAAACCACTCAGCTATTCCTATGTAGTACGCCGTATTACTCCGTACTATGTGAAGCTATCCCCAAAGATCGATGATGACAATGCTCGACTGTGGATTGGCTGGGGCCCGGCATCGGGGTCGCACAGTCACACTCCCCCGGTTTCGCTGGTCGGGGAGAAGTGGCGGGACTCCGACTAACCCAGCAGCTCGCAGCTAGTGAACTACTACTACATACTTTTCTCCAGCTATCCCGCACTCTCTGAATTTCATCTTCTCTGAAACCTTTACAGCTAGCTGCCAGGAGGATCCAGGGACTTTTGAAAATCCCGTATGTAGCTTCGTTGCTCCTTTGCTCCTTTGCTCCTTCGCATTTCCCACTGACTGTGCTTTCTCCCCCAGATCTGCCATGCTTCTCTCTCAGACCCGGGGCCGTGTGCCCTCTGTTCTCCGGAGCTTCTCCCGGTGCGTGAAACATGCAATTGGTTCTTTCTGACTGAGATCTGTTTATGCTGATGGAATCATCTTTCCAGCCGCTCCCTCTCTACCACCATCCCCAGATACACCGCCGATAAGGATGACTCTGCTCTCAACAAGGTGTCCCGCAATGTCACACAGCCCATCTCGCAGGGTGCCTCCCAGGCCATGCTGTACGCCACGGGTCTTACCGAGGCGGACATGAACAAGGCTCAGGTCGGTATCTCGTCGGTCTGGTACAATGGCAACCCCTGCAACATGCATCTGCTCGATCTCAGCAACCGCGTTCGCGAAGGAGTCCAGAAGGCTGGTCTGGTTGGCTTCCAGTTCAACACGGTCGGTGTCAGTGATGCCATCAGCATGGGCACCAAGGGCATGCGCTTCTCCCTGCAGAGCCGTGACCTGATTGCCGACTCCATCGAGACCGTCATGGGTGGTCAGTGGTACGACGCCAACATCAGTATCCCCGGTTGCGACAAGAACATGCCCGGTGTGCTCATGGCCATGGGCCGTGTCAACCGCCCCAGTTTGATGGTGTATGGTGGTACCATCAAGCCCGGCTGCGCCAAAACCCAGAACAACGCCGACATCGACATTGTCTCGGCCTTCCAGGCGTACGGACAGTTCCTGACTGGCGAGATCACCGAGCCCCAGCGCTTCGACATCATCCGTAACGCCTGCCCCGGCGGTGGTGCTTGCGGTGGTATGTACACTGCCAACACCATGGCCACCGCCATCGAGGTCATGGGTATGACCCTGCCTGGCTCGTCGTCCAACCCCGCTGAGTCTAAGGCCAAGGACCTTGAGTGCTTGGCTGCTGGTGAGGCCATCAAGCGCCTGCTGAAGGAGGATATCCGTCCCTCAGACATCCTGACCCGCCAGGCCTTCGAGAACGCCATGATTGTGGTCAACATCACCGGTGGCTCCACCAACGCCGTACTTCACTTGATCGCCATTGCCGACTCCGTCGGCATCAAGCTGGACATCGAGGAGTTCCAGAAGGTCTCGGACCGCACCCCCTTCCTGGCGGACCTCAAGCCCTCCGGCAAGTACGTCATGGCCGATCTGTACGACATCGGCGGAACTCCTGCTCTGCTCAAGTTCCTGCTCAAGGAGGGCGTCATCGACGGCTCCGGCATGACCGTCACCGGTGAGACCCTGGCCAAGAACTTGGAGAAGGTGCCCGGCTTCCCCGAGGACCAGAAGATCATCCGTCCTTTTTCGAACCCCATCAAGAAGACTGGCCACATTCAGATCCTGCGCGGCTCCCTGGCCCCCGGCGGCAGTGTTGGCAAGATCACCGGTAAGGAGGGTACCCGCTTCGTTGGCAAGGCCCGCGTCTTCGACCACGAGGACGACTTCATTGCCGCTCTCGAGCGCAACGAAATCAAGAAGGAGGACAAGACCGTTGTCGTCATCCGCTACACCGGCCCTAAGGGTGGGCCCGGCATGCCTGGTACGTTCCTCTCGTCCCGTCTCCTCTCCTCTCTTATCCCATTCCATCTCTCATATACCCGCGACTAACCCACCAACCCCATTAGAAATGCTCAAGCCCTCCTCCGCCCTGATGGGCGCCGGCCTCGGCTCCTCCTGCGCACTCATCACCGACGGTCGTTTCTCCGGCGGCTCCCACGGCTTCCTGATTGGCCACATCGTCCCCGAGGCCGCCGTCGGCGGCCCCATCGGCCTCGTCCAGGACGGCGACATCATCACCATCGACGCCGAGAAGCGCATCCTCGACCTCGACGTCCCCGAGCCCGAGCTCGCCCAGCGCAGAAAGGATTGGGAGGCCGCCAAGGCCGCCGGCAAGTTGCCCCAGACCGGTCTCACCATGAGAGGTACCCTGGGCAAATATGCCAGGTGTGTATTTCCCTTCACCCCCTTGCCCCCTTTTCCCCGGTTCTTCTTCTTCTTCTTTTTTTTTTTTTTTTTATGCAAAATGGATTCTAATCTGCCACTGTAGAACCGTCAAGGATGCCAGCCACGGCTGCATTACTGATTATATAGAATAAGCTCCCAGCCCTGTGGGCTGTGGGGTTTGAGCTTTTTTTTTTTTTTCTTTCCCTTTCTATTTTCTGTTTGTTTTGGATACATGACCCGCATTGGAGCGGGCATGAGTGGAAAAAAGTGGATTGTTTCCCCTGTGTAACTAGGCGTTTGAATTCAGATACCTTTTTCTTTCTTTACAGCTTTTGCGATGACTTTTGGTGGTAATATATACGGATTGCCGGAGTGTCTTGACTCGGAGCTGCGCTAACTAACTACCAATGGTCAAGCCCTGGTGGACCTATAGTCTCACCGAAGGCATATGTATACATCATCTACAGATATGGAAACAGTAAGAGCCAACGCCGAAATAATCACCACGTCCGCCGCGTCTTCGTCCATGACTGCAGGAAAGCCTGCTTGTCCTTCACCCCCAACCCCACACGCTTCACCCTGCCCAGCCGCGCAAGCGCATCCGCAACATTGTCCAATAGCGCTCGTTCCGCGGGCCGCAGCTCCACATCCTCGTCCTGCGCCAACGTGTCGAAGTAATTGGTATCGTAGCCCGCGCCTCGGGATGCCCCCGATGCGGCGCCACTTTCAGACGCGGCACCGGCACCGGCCTCGTTGACGACACATTCGGCGATGCGCACGCGCATGCAATGCGTTGGCCTGCTCAGCAGCTTCCACAGGAAACTCACGTAGCTCCCGGGTAGTGGCGTCACGACGTCGGCGGGGGTGTACCGTAGGCTGATTGGGAAGACCTTGGTGCGGGGCGGGACGGCGGCGAGTGCGTGGCTGAGCGGGAGGATGCCGCGCGCGTTGGTCGTGGTGCACTCCGGAAAGGTCACGATGGGGCGGCCGGGGTACTTCTTGATGAGAGTGGCGAGGTCGACCAGCCGTGTTTTGGGCGCTGGGCGGACTTGTGGGGAGGCGAAGGCACGGAGGATGGCCTGGAAGAGCGAGATGTGCTCGACCTTACGTGAATGCGGGTATGAGGCTGTGAAGACGGGGTTGAAGATTGCAGCGAGGTACACTGCGTCGATAGGGGAGGTGAAGGAGGAGGCGATTACGGATCCAGGACCGGGGAGGCGGGACTGGTGCTGTTTGGAGAGCGATCTATATCGAGTGTGATTGTCAGTATTGGAATCTCCGTCTGGAGGGTGGGACAATGCAGCGTACCCTTTTCTCACACCGTCCACCTGAAGATCAATCCACCAGATACTCGGCACGCCCAGTATACACCACAACGAGGCTTTCTTGCCCAATGAGCCTATCGGAAGCCATTGTAGCACGAGGAAGTAACTCAGGCACACAAAGATGAGGATTGGCAGGCGGACGCAGAAAAGGAAGATGCCGATGGGCAGCTTGAAGCCGAGTGCTTGCGAGGGAATAGGAAGGAATGGCGCGATGCCCGAGCCTGCAATGGATAGACTATTAGCATACTGGGATTCGTCGTTATAGACAGCTGGAGTTGCAAACCTCGGTCTCGGAACTGTGAGAACTTCTCCATTGCGGATTAAAATACGGTATCAAGGTAGTCTGGTGCTCGGGTGAGGAAGACTAAGAAGTCGTGACAGAAGTTAGGTTATGGGTGCCAATGGGCCATTTCTCAGAGGGGTCTAGATGGGAGGATAATCTAATCACACCACTCTCGAGCGAGTATCGAGTAGGACCTGCGCATTGTTGAATGTTGCAGATCTCAAGCACTGAGAAAGTGGAAGGTGACGCTTGACACATGTGACTGTGGCTGCCGGAAAGGGAAAGTGCCATGTGGCACTATAGTGGATGCCTCAGGTTACTCATATGATGAACAGTCTTGCATTGAAGGGCTAGAGATATACTGAGTATAGATTCCAGTCTACAGGATCCCATGGGATGAATCAATCCAGGACGAGAACAGATGATCTCCTAGCACACGATCCTAATCCTAAACTAAACGCTGTCAAGACACCGCTTGCCGAGTTCTAAACGAAGTCACTATCTATCTCTCTCGTCTGTCAAATGGTCAGCACTGATTCAAGCTCAATTGCTTTAAAACATTCAACTGTGATGGGATTCCTTCAGAATGAGGTAAAAACAAGTCACCAGATTTTACAATATGTATGCAAGGTAAGAAGTGTAAGAGGTTGTTCATCTCGAGGGTGGGAGTAGAAAAAAACAAAGGGAAAGCTGTGGTTCTTACCTGTTGCTGCTAATATGTTGGATTCGTCTTGCGTGATTGTAGATCATCCCACATCATTCCGAGTAGTATACTTGAGATAAAAGCATGGCTAAACAGCCGTCAATATGGTGCTGGAGTAGGTTGTTGAAAAGAGAGGAAGAGAATCTGATTTGTCGTGGGGCAGAAAGCTTTAGCGAAGTCACATGATCTGAGGCTACTGGCCTTAGGCCCGTATGGTCTTTAACGGTGTTTGCTTTGGACTTGGATGTCTGCCACCTTTACAGTAGTCTACACCACTAATAATAATGAGGAACTCATGAGAATGCCAGCCAAAATTTTCTAGAGTTGTGGAGGAGATCTATGATACAATAGTGATTAAACCAAATGCAAAACAATGCTACGGTCTATATACAAAACGCCCTGCTATGAATATGTCCATCAAAACCAATCAGGAACAATGCATATATCACACTTCATCGTCGCCCTCAGCTTTATCCTCGGCGATGGATGATAATTTGAAGCACCAGACTGCGGCTCCAACCAGCGCAAACGCCATGCTGGTCATCATCCAAGCAAGGCCGATCCAGGGACCACCCAGCTCCAGGCCTAGCTGAAAGACGGTGGTGATCGATAGACTAGCAATGACATTACCCACCGCTTGCAGCACCTCGATGATAGTGAACAGCCGCGCGGTCTCTTCTTGCTTCACGAGTGTCGTGATCAACGACCGGATCAAGTAAAGGAAACCGGACCCCGCAGTCTGCAGGATCAGACTAGGGACCAACGTGGCGATGGATGGAGACAGCCCGATCCCGAGCGTCCCCAGGGACAGGCAGACGATGCTAACACGGGCCAACTGGAGATCTTTCTTGTTCGTGTGCATGGAGCGAAGAAGGTATCGGGACAGAACGGGAAGAACTAACAAGAATAGCGGAATAGTAAGAGCCGGCTTGAAGGATATGAGGAGGTTGGAATTGGCCAGGGTCCATTGATAGCGCGTCGAGATGTACTGGACGAGAAACCATGATGAGCCGCGACTGAGCCGGTAGACGAGAAACGCCGTGAGGAGAAGCAGAACCTGCTTGTTGCGGAAGAGGAAAGAGTACGGGGTGAAGTATTGTCGACTGCGCAAGACCATCTTGGCCAAGAAGGGCCGTTTGCTGCCTGACCGGAGGGTGAAGGGCACCTGTTCGCCGTGGATGCTGTCCGCATCGCTGTCATCGGGGTCGATTTGCCGCTCGTTCTTCTGCGCGCCGCCTTTCGGTTCACCATTCGTGGGAGCCAGCCGGGCGAGTTCGACGCTTGACGAACGCTCCTCCGCACGCTGGACTGTCGAAAGATGCATTGTCTCCGGGAGGGATACGGCGCAGAGAACCCCAGCAATAACAATCCCCCACCCGATCAGCATAGGCAGCCACGGATCCCACGTCATCATCCATGAACTGACAGCGCTGGAAGCGAAGTCAGCGCCCATACTGACGACACCGAACCGGAAGAACATCGATGCCCTGTAGATTCGTCAGCCATGTTCACCCTTGACCTTCAAGATAGAGTAGAGGAAGGCTCGTTCCCCGAACATACCGCTCATCCTCCGCCGTTACATCCGACATCATCGTCCAGATGAGTGCAGACGCCACGACAGGACCCCCGCCCAACAACCACGCGAGACATGACGCCCAGACCGCGCGTAGCGGGAAGATCTCCGAATACCACATCACGGCGAACATGATCAGCGAGTTGAGCGCGAACGCGGGGATGCTGAGGCAGAGGATGGGCTTCCGCCCGATCCGATCCGCCAGCAGGCCGTAGGGGATAGCCAGGAGAGCACCTGAAGCAAAGTAAGAAAACCAACCGATCTAACAGTCGCCCCCTTTCACCGTTTCGCGGTGAGTTTACATACTCAAAATCCCATCAAAGAACTCCATATACCCCTTCACCGCCGCCAACTCCGTCTGCACCTCCGTGATCTTGCACAGCGATTCGGGCACCTGCCCATCCGCCGCGATCTGCCGCGGGTCATACTCGGCGTAGTGCTGCCGACAGGCAATGGACTCATAGATCCTCGTCATCGGCCCATTCGACATCACAATCCCGATCTCAAACGCCAGGATCATGACGAAGAGCGTCGCCATGAACCGGAAGCGGATCTTGCTGATGGCGGCGGCGTGGGTCGTCTCGGGGTCTCCCCTGTCGCCGTCCCGGTCGTGCTTCAGATCATCATGACTCTCCTCGTCTTTGCTGCTGCTGCTGCTGCTGCTGCTGCTGCTGCTTGCGGCAGCGGGGAGGAACGGGGCGTCCTCGCGGTCAAGAGGGTCGTGGGCATCGGCATCAGGGGGCATGGTTCGGTTTCGGGTCGGCCCATCTCCCGGGGCGGTGGAATGTGAGAGCGTCGAGCTTGGTGTAAGGTCTGAGGGGGGAAAGGGAGGCTGCGTATAGATAGAAATGGGAGGGTCTTTTACAAAAGGGACGAGGTCTAGACGGACATCATATTTCACCGGAATGGACTCCGAAGATTGTAGCCTAGCTAGAATCGCATGTGGGGGGGTAAGGAATTTGGATACACAGTAGCCTATAGAGAGCGCCAGGTAGACCAGTTGCAAGTAAAGTAGTAAGGTGCTCCGTCGACTGGAACTTCTTCCTGTACGTCCGGATTTAGGAGTTACCTAGAAGGGGGGAAGTGGGTAGGGGAGGAGTTGGGGGAGCAAGAAGGAAAGCAGAACAAGATGTCAATACTCAAGAGGGTATCGATTTGAAATTGAACTAAATAGCAGCAATCATAATAACAATAATAATAATAATAATAACTCTTAACTAGTACTCAAGCCACGGGTCATGAATTCTGATTCGGATCTGATCCAGACAACTCCACTGCATGGTGTGGATCTGATGCATACTGTACTGTGTAGTAGAAATGAACGATCCGCCCCCTTTTGGCCAGCAGATTGTGAGATGTTGGTAAGACTGTAAGACGGTATACCACCTTATGTAAAGACTGTCCTTTCCCCGAGGTTGATATCAATGGATCATCCATCACAATGATCTTCAATTCAAAGTATTCTTCCATTTTCTTTGACAACAAGTCCATTATGACTGACTCCGTATTACTGCAGAATGCCGGCTCATCATCATCATCATCATTATTATTATTATTGACAAATCGAATGAAAGAAAAGAAAAAGTTTCCAAGCCCCTGGCACGTGTTACAAGCCAATCAGCGGCAAGTATTTGGCCACTGGGCGTTCAGGGGGCTGGGGGCCTGGATTCCTCAGGCAACAGCCAATGGGATGAGCTGGAGATGGAGGAACTGCAGAGGGGCCAGATCACCAACTAAGAGTAAGGAGTGATTGTGGATGGTTTGGACTCGAGGAGAATGATACTGGAAGAGGGAATATGCTCAATGGCATTCATTGTGTTAAGCAGAGAATTCACACAGTGCTTTGTATACAGATCTCTAGAATACGGAACAACCCCCCTTTAACCTAACCTGCGGGTGCCTGCCCACGATGACTATAGATAATACATGCAAATTTAGCTTTCCTGCTCTGCACCGCCAAGTCAGCTCAGCTGGAATCAGCCTGCTGCACCGCCTCGACGCCTGGGTAGCCTGCCTCTTCGTATAGGGTCCCTCGTGCTTGTGCGATCGCAGATAGTTCCAGCAGAAACTCGTACAAGATGACCACGTTGGTCAGGACGTGTCCCAGCGTTGCGGACTCGGATGGTCCCGCCAATACATCGCCTGGGCTCTTGACTTGAATGTCCTCGGCCGGATTCTGCGCCTTCTTGGGCGCAGCCCCCTCGCCGCAGGGGTTCCCGGGGAACGGTTCGGCGAGTCGCTTGCGCAACGCGTCTGCGGCCGACGCCCGTGCCACGGAGGATTCGCGACTCTTGGTCGAAAAGACGGAGGGATCGCGCATGGACAATCCAACTGCGTTGCGCTGAAGCGTTGATGTGGCGCTTTGCACGTCGAACGGCCGCGTCGATCGTCCTCGAGGAGACCCATATTCCGAGTCCAGCGGCCCCTTGCGTGCAGGGGGCTTTGCAGAAGGTGAGCGGGTCGGGGGCCGTGAGGCGTGTCGCGAGCGGATTGACGGCCGTCTAGGGTCCTCTTCTTGGTGAAGTAAGTCGCGTCGGGCCGCGATCAAGATGTCAAAATCGGATACGTCCTCACGCCACTGCCGGACCTGTTCCACCAGACTCTGTAGGACTCGTGTAAGCGATGGGGTGTCTGTACTCGACCAAGTCGGCGCACGATAGGCTAGTTGGATCTGCTCAAAGAGATCAAGTGCCGCAGTGTGCTGATCACTAGTGGCGGGATTTGCGGCACTGTATTCATACTTGGACGGATCAACCAGAATCCAGCCGTCAAGGGAAATAAGGTGCGACGTTGCGATGCTGGTGAAGACCTCCGTCAACGCCAAGTTCACAATGACACTATTGGTAAAAAATGTTCCGAGGAGGTGAAGTAGCCCCCGCACGATAGCATCGTCTTCCCGAAGCTGCAGAGGATACTGTTCGGACAGATGTTCCTCGGCGGGTAGAAGACCAAGACGCGCCTCCAGAACCCACGAGGCGTCCTTGAGGTAGTTCTCGAAAGATTCATTTAGCGTAGGGTCGTCAACGATAGTTGTCGCCAGTCCGAGAAGCTGTTCGAGCTCAGCATTGAGTGCGCCAACAGTCCGCGGCTGACCTGGTTGGCCGGGAACGGTCTGGACCAATGAGCGAGCAAAGGAGTGATGGCGCTGCAAGACGACGGTCAACAATCGGAGCGTGGCCAACACAGTCTGGCGATTGGTCGATTGAAGGCCAAGGAGAGCCAGATCCTTCAAATTGAAAAGCGAAGGCGAGGGCCGAGCGGCCTCCTCCGAGAACGCAGCTAAAACATCGAGGGACTTCCGTCGGCTGTTTGACATATTCGGCGATCTGGGCGGCGTATCGGAGGGAGAGGCGAGCAGAAAATGAAGGATGCGATGGACCAGATCATGCTGGTCTATTGATTCTAAGATGCGATAGAGGTAGGTGAGCACCGCCGCGGTCGAGCCGCCTTCCACATCAGACGATTCCAGCAACGAGGGGTACCTAGGCCAGTCAGTCCGGTGGTTGAGGTATATTCAGCAATGGATGGCCATACAGAAGTTGCTCCAGAAACAAAATCTGGAAATGATCTAGCAATGTAGCATTTACTTCGGCAGATTTGCAATGGTCGACGGTATCCTGCCAGAACAAGAGGTACGACATAAACGAATCCATGCTCACACCCAAGCGAGGAGGAAGAGCGGTTTCGTACTTCGCATGATCTGATAACGCCACAATATGTGGGAGAGCCTCCTCTGCAATGGGATCGAAGGACAAGCTGTGATGACCAAATCAGCCGTGATGTGAGACGCCAGTGACCGCAATCGAAAACCAACCTTCCCAACTGACTGTACAACGCGCCCAGCCCTGTCGCCATCAGCGTCGCCAGATCACTTTCAATCAGCCATCTCTCCAGAATCTTAGATCTGGAGGCCGTTTCAATCAGGTAGAGAAGCCCCGTGCGAGCAAAGTCGCCCGCACGCCCCCCATGATGTACATATTCCACCAGCAGGTAGAACAGAGGAAAATCATTCATCCTGGTCGCGCCGGCAAACTCCATCCCCGTAATAGTCTGTCTGTCCTTATCTTGATCGTCGGAACGCGGTGCAAACCAGGCCGGAAGAATAGCAGGCTGTAGACGGATGTTGTTGGCCACGCCGAACAAGAGCTCCACCAACCTGCCTTCCACCTCTTCAGTATGCTTATCAGCCCGCCGGACCAGGTCCACGAGAGCCCGTGCGAAGAGCCGGTTGTCGACGACCCCATCCACTTCGGAATCGATCAGGGTGTTGAAGAAGATCGCCGAGCAACGCACCATGCCGTCATCATGGGACGACAATGCCAGTTTAGTGACTGTGACGAAGATCTGCGAAGACGCAGCATACGCTAAGCAAGGGTGAGGAGCCGGGCCCCGAGACTCATCGCTGAGGACGGAATTGAGCTGTTCGACGCAGGTGCGTGCGTACGTCGTGGCGGACATGTTCCCTGAGGGGGTGGTCGTGGAACGCCATATTTGCTATTGGGTTGATGGAGACTTAGCTTCGAATAGTCGAATGCGCATACGCAGGAAGAAGCACTTACCTGCAATGTATTACACGTCCGTTTGAATGCCGTTAATCTTTCGGTGGGCGAGGTAGCACGAATGCTCTTGGTGGATAGCGACCGGGAGCCCCCAATAAGACGAGACCACTACCTTTTGTTAGTCGCAGCGAAAGGTTACGTCCGGTATGGGGAAGATGAGATGGATGGCAAGGATAAGGAGATAGGGAACATACAAAGTCCATCTTGCTGTGACAACAGCATAGTATGTCGCCCCTGCGTCGCCCACGGCCATCCTATCAAGAGGGGACCGAGGACGATGGAGGAGCATTTGATTCGGATCAACAAGTACGCACCAAACGGGAATAGCGCAGTCACGTCTCAGGACGCATCATGCAGGTAATCGCACTAGCCTGTATCAGGAATGGCGTCTTTCCTTGCTACTCCAAGTTGCAACTATATCCTGTGGTCACGTCACCTCCACTGACTCCAACTCGACCAAAACACTGCTCAACACATGAACTAGTTATAGATACAACACATCTAGATCTTTAACAAAGCATACATACCAGTGCTGGTCTTGCTTATGATCCTGGGTCGCCTTACTCCGGGATCACGAAAAAAGCAGGGTGTCATCCCACGATAGGAAATTAGAAGCAGCCTCGATGAGACGAAACGAAACTAATCAGGAAGATCTAGAAACCAGATGGGCCCAGAACCGGAGACCGAAGACGATGAACCAAACCAAACCTAACGGAAGACCTATTCACATCGACAAAGAAAAGATGCAAGCCCGACCATGCCCACCATCATAACGCCAAGAGTGTGTGTGTGTGTGTACGCCCGCTCTCCAATCCCGTCTAAGATATCAATCACCCGATCAAACCGTGCGCAAAAGAAAGAAAGAAAGAAAGCAAAGAAAACAAAGAGGATGAATGCCTGGCTAGCATACAACAGGCCCTAATCACTATCGTCCTTGGGTCGACGTCCGCCGCGCTTTCGTTTCGGTTGTTCATTCTGGTCACTGCCATCGTCTTCATGCTTCCTCCCGCCGGCAGGCTGATCGGGCACCTTGGCGATGATGTCGGCCAGGAAATCCAGAACCTCGTCCTTGACGACAGCTTGTTTCAGATGCGAGGCAGTGACGCGTTTCGAGTTGCGATCTCGAGCTTCTTTGGCTGCTTTAGTGACCAGCGAGATCATGAAAAGTTCTAGTGCTTTGGCTATGCGAGGCATGACACGTCAGTATTGATCTTGAAAAAAATGAAGAAGAAAAACAAAATAAAAGAATAATAAGACCAGCGGGAGAAAAGCAATACGTACAGACAGCAATGGGAGTGACCTGCGCGACCTTGCCGACATCTTCATCCGCTTGCATAATGCGCTTGATACGCGCGACCGGAAATTTCGTTTTCACTTCAATGCCAGCGGCTGGAGTAGGCTGTGGAGGTTCCTCTGGGACGACGGGTTCGATGTATTTTGTCTCTGGCACTGGTACGGGCATTGCCATTGGCATTTGCAAGGGCGCGACTTCGGCAGCACGCGCCAGACGAGAAGATCGACGCGCCATATCAAACGATTGGGGATAGTGAGGATCTGCGAAGGGGGGGATGTATTGTTGATGCGGAATCGCGGGTTGCTGATATTGCGGGGTGAAGAAGGGGGAGGCGTCGTAGGAAGCGCGATGTCCCAGAGGACTAGCAAGAGGATAGACGGGGGAGGTGACGGCAGGAGGGATGGGGGACTGTAAGGTGGAAAGATCGGGAGAACGGGGTCTGTAAGTGTTGTCCTGATCTGTCATTGCTAGGATGATGCTTTAGCGACGGGGATGTGTCTTTTTAAAAGCAGCACGCGTGCCACGGATGGCCCGAGCTTTCTAGGTTCTTTTCTTTCTGCAAAAGAAAGGTAAAAGTGCGTGGTCACAAGAGAGGAAAAGGCCGTGGCCATAGACGCCCAGAGGAAGAACAGTCCGGGTTTCGTTCTTCCGGGGCAGCAGCGGCCCTTTTTAACCCTGCGGGCGGTTGCTCTGGGCGCGCTAAAAAGCAGAAAATCAATCAATTCAATCAAATTCAAATTTCCAGTCAGATGTAGTTAAATCACCCGCTGCCCAAAAAGCCTTGAAGAATGCTGTGAGCCTGTGATGACTGATGACTGATGACTGATGATGGGGTCTCCTTAAGTCCTTAGTCCTTAGTCCTTAGTCCTTAGTCTCTTGCGGTGAATGATTCTCGAACACTTCCTTTCTCTTCTTCTTTCCAACATCCTAATATAATCATCATCCTCGGGTTTCGAAATCCTTTTTTTTTTCACTACTTCTTTATTTATTCATTCTGATCTTCGTTCGAGTCTACCAAGTAACTCATAGGCTAAGGTACCAGCTTCTCTCCCATCGCCACTTCACCCATAAAGACCTCTTGGACGGACAGCGCCTTGATTGGGCCTTTGATGCTGGCTGCGCCCTCAGCGCGTGATCTTGTCCTTTGAATCACTTATCAATGATGCAAACAACTAATGTAGCAGTCATATTCGGCAGCCTTTGTCTATCTATCTAGGTAGTCTACCGCTGGGATCATTTGATGTAATGGTTTTGCTTTTTGTCTAGTATGGAGAGAAACGGTACCAAGAGGGAAAAGGACCATTCAATCTATGTGTGTAATTAAGGCTGTACCACGACGCCTGATGATGATAACCGAGCTCCTAAGACTCAAGAACGGAGAAGCTCCCAGCGAGCAGAAACCTCACGGTATCGCCGCTGGTCTTGTCTGTCACTGTCAGTGAAGGTGAAAAATTACTTGATCTAATCTGAGGGCGCGTCGTTGGTGTCTTGGTGGATTTGACATGGTTTGCTGGAGTATGGCTAGCATCCACGGTGGTAATTGCCGTCATTTCATCTATTATTATTTATTATTGACATGATGCAAATCGAAAGAAGATAGTAATAATAATGCCATCAGATGGAAAAAAAATGAAATTTTAGGAAGAAAAGGAAAAAAAGGCCGCTCGGGTCCGTAGTTTCCCCGCCCCGACCACCTCTGCTCTCCAAAAGTCCAAATTTGGTCAACAATCAAGCTTGCGACACACCTTGCGGCGTCCATCGTTAACTCTGAGAGTCGTGACTATGGATACCCTCACCCATTAATGGTGCAATAAGATATGCTTCTAGTTCCTGCCATTTTGGCCTTCATCTGCCATTCCTGAGCGCCCCCTCCTGCGCAATCCTCGTACCTTCAATCGCATTCTCGATTGCCCATTAAACGTCTCCATGGCTGTGGCAGACCAGCCTTCGGGCTTGATGGATATTGCAAGGTAAGCGCATTGAGTTACATTTACTCTTATGTGACTATCTCAGGGTAGCTAATTGTTACGCCTCGTGATTAGCTCTCTCACGCAGGATGAGATCCCATTCAAACTCCGATGCGCCATCTGCAACAAACTCGCCATAAACGCCTTTCGCTTGCCATGCTGTGATCAGGCTATCTGCGAGAATTGTATGCAATTCCCTCCGACTATCTTAATTCCTGTTTATCCGGCGCACTGACCATGATATTTCCAGGCCAGGCGTCACTCCCCGAGACCTGTCCCGTTTGTGCACATACCCCCATCTCGCCGGACTTATGCAAACCGAATAAAGCGCTTCGGACCACCCTCAAGGCTTTCCTCCGAACGGAGGAGAAGAAGCGCGAAAAGGAGCGACAGTCCGCGACCCCCGCAATCTCGGCTAGTGTGGCTACGGATGCGACCCCCGCACCACCACAAGAGACATCTGCCGCTCCCGATACCGCTGCTGGTGAACCAGTCGAAGAGACGCTAGAGAACAAACCCCTCGCTACCGATGCTCTACATGAGGAACCTGCGACTGCAGTTACCGGCGACGAACCCTCAGGAACTGTGGTTGAGGATGTGGTGGAAAAGCCACAGGAATCATTAGCTGAGATTCGTGTTGAAGTATGTTGCTTGCTGTCTAAATATCAATGCAACAATACCTGACATTTGCCTACAGCAGACCGAACAAGCTGAAGACGGTCCGGGCGAAACGGTCGAGAATGCCGTGATGGCGGAGGGAGACGGCCCCGTCGACGGGAATACGACCCAGGACTCCCAGTCAGCCCAAGTGACAGAACAACAGGAAATGGAAGAAGGCCAAGGACCGGCTCAGATGCTCCCCAACTCGATGGGGCTGAACATGGGCCCGGGCGCGTTCCCCAACATGGCATGGAATAACGGCAGCGGCGATTTCAACCCGATGGCTCAATTCATGGCTAATGGGATGTTCAACTTCCAGAACCAGATGGGTAAGACCACCCTTGATCCTGTATCCATTGGTGACGTCTTGACAAGCGACTAATCCTTTCTGACAGGCATGCCTGGTATGGCGATGGACCCAATGGCCGTGAATCAGGGTATGTTTGGAGGCTATGGAATGAATATGAATGGCATGAACAGTGGCATGAATATGGGAATGAATTTCGACGCTAGTCAAGGGATGTACGGGGGATGGGACGGCTCTCAGAACAATATGTGGAATGGAGGCCAAGATAAATTCAATCCAAATGCTTTCGCAAATGGTATGGGCCCGCAGTATGGGGGCCCTTCTGGATTTGGCGGATATAATATGTCTCAACCCAACGGAATCCATGCTCAAATGCAGCAACAACAGTTCCCTAGCCAAGACTTTCAGAACGGGTACTATGGCGCCGGTTATGGCAGAGGCAATTTCCGGGGCCGCGGCCGTGGGTTTGTTCCTGGTGGCCGAGGCCGTGGCGGTTTCGCCGGGCATATGCAAGCTAATTACCTTCCTAATGCTAACTATACAGCGTTCAACGCTTCTAATCCCTCCGAGTTTAACGGAGACATACCGATCCAGTCACAGGAAGTCCCGCCTGACGCACCATCGCAGAATGACCCCAATGCCCCACAGAACCGGGACGGCGATGGGGACGATGTCCCCGGTGATGACCAAGTGAACTTGACTCAGGACGCATCGACAGAAGTGGCGGCTCAAGGGGGAGGAGGTGACAAAGCCACTGAAGTCACGCCTGCAGAGGGGGCCTCCGCCGAAGAACAGCCCGGCGACGAAGAGCCCCAGTTGCGCGGAATCCCTACGATCGATAGTCTCGAGCAGCACAACGCCTATCCCATGATGCCGAACGGTCCTATGGGTATGCCGGGCCACATGAGCATGGGGTTTGGCAGAGGGTACATGCGGGGGCCCTATCCTGGAGGTCGGGGAGGTGGCTTTGGCGGCTCACCGTTCATGGCAGGAAACATGCAGCAGGAACCGCGTGGTCAAGGTGTTGAAGGTGCCCCGGCCGCGCCCAGGGCTATGAGGGAGGGTCTTCCCAATACCAGTGTGCTTCGACAGCGCAATTTCTACGGGCAAGGACGGCCTTCCGCTACATCCTTGAGACCGGACCAGTCCCAGAGGTAAGTTCAGACATGGCTACTTCTACTGTAGTACGCAGGCGTAATCTAATGTTTCGCAAACAGTGCAACACCGGCACCACCGCAGGAAGATGCACAGGCACGGTCCAGATCGAAATCGAGGTCGAGGTCCGCTTCGAGAGCTGGTTCTACATCGAGACCTCGGAGCCGAGCTCCATCCGCTGCCCGCTCCGATGCCGACGGCCGTCGTGCCGCACGTCAGCGTTCACCCATCGCCGATGATGCAAATGGTGATTCGGAGCGCAGACGCGACAGACCCAGACGACCCCGCCGGGACGACAAATATGATGAGCGACCTGCCGAAGATGAGCGTCGGTCTCGCTCCCCGTCCCGTGATTCCAAAAGATCATCTCACCGACGGGACAAGGATCGGGACAGGCGAGACGCACGGCGATCGCATCGCTCGCGTCGTCTACGAAGCCGCAGCCGCAGTCGCAGTCGCAGTCGCAGCCCCAACCAGAGCCCCAGCCGCAACGGCGACTCGCACGATGTCGATCGTCTCCCCCGAATCCCCGAGGAACCCGCCTCCCGGTCAGAGAGTCGAGCATCCGCATCGAGGAAAGAACGCTCCAGTCGACGCGAAGAAGACCGCGAGCGAGACAGAGACTCCAGACGTCGTGATCGCGATCGTGACCGTGCCCGTGATCGCGACAGAGACAGGGACCGAGACAGGGACCGGGACAGGGACAGGGACAGGGACCGCGCACGCGACCGTGACCGATACCGCGAGCGCGAGCGCGAGAAAGACCGAGACCGTCGGGACCGGGATCGCGACCGAAAACGATCCCGGCGCGAGCGAACCGACTCCCCCGCCGACAGCGAGTATTCCTCGCAGCACCACTCACGCCGCCTCAAGCGCGACCGTGACGACGACGTCCGCAATGGCGGCGACCGGGACCGTCCGCGCGACAAGCCGCCCAAGCTCTCCGAGCCGGAGAAGGACCCACACACTCTGGAGCGGGAGGCGCGCAACCGTGAACGCATGCTCAAGGAGCAGCAGCGCCGCGAGGCGATGAACGCCGACTCCAAGTCCAGTCGACGGCGCGAAAGCCGTCAGGAGCGGACGCTGGCTGGCGGCCGACGGCTCAGCTACAAGTACGAAGACGATGAGACGGATTCGGCGCGTGCGGCGCGGGTGGAGAAAGAACGGGAGGCGAGCCGGTGGGCTTAATTCTGGTCTTTCTTTTACTTTTACTTCCTTTCTTTTTAAGGAAGATTAGCAAGCGGACGATATTTTTTATCCCAGCTTCGCTCGGCCACGCATTCTATTCACATGTACATATACAAAGTAGATAACCCGAATGACCGCAGCAAGAATGCTCTCTTATCTTTTTCATGTCTAGCCACCTTCAATCCTGCTTGGGGGTTGAGGTTCGGCAATGCACCATAGCATAAAAACAAGCTGAGCTGACAACAGTGAGGTAGGTAGCTAATCAGTCCGTTCGGAGGGCGGATGAGGTACCATGCCTCAAGGTTGATGAGAAGTTGCCTGACCCGCTGGGTAACGAAAGATTCAACTGTAAAGCCTGGCATTGTTGCAAGGTAGGCGTACAAACGCCATCGCAGGCCTTCCCCAATGGGTACTCGTCAAGGTCTTCTTCTGGGGCCTTTCGTAAATTCAGCACCGTAGTTAAACGGGGTCATACGATCCCACTGGCCATCGGTAGCAGAGTCAATATTCTATCTTCATCCCATCTGGGGATTTCGTCCAACCTGGTCAATGCCACTCATTGAAGTTGCTTTCGAATTCCACCTGGAGTTCTGTCACTGTTGGGTCCTGGCCAAAGGTAGCACGGGCAATGCGCATGATCTGGGCAATAACGCATTGGTTGGTAATTCATCCCTGGGTGGTATATGACTTCTACCCAGTATGGATCACGGTCGAGACTTGGATCAGAGGTCATAGCAGGGGATCTCCAATGGCAGTCCAGACGATGATCACAAACCAATGTCAGAAGTATATGAAGGTTCTGGGCAAAGATGAAATCACACAGGATCAGTTGCTAATTTCTCATTGCAAATATATTCCCCTGTCACCATGTTTCACCATATCAACAAGCCATTTCATGGTGTGCTCAAGGCACTTGTCCTCCCCTGATACGGAGGTATTGGTGTTGTAAAATAGGTTCTGAATCTGGGCTCTTGGCCTTCTCCCATTGACTCTGTCCCGGAGGAACTTGATGAGTTTATCCTGAATGGGAAGAAGGAATTCATGGGGGCGTTTAGTTGGATGTGTTGCGCCAGGTTTGGTATTAAACAGGAATCGCGGATCGCAATCCCAGATATCCAGGGTTTTGCCTGCCCAGTCAACAAACCACATAGCAGAGGTACAATCATGGTAAAACAAAAGGCAGAAGAAAAGGAAAGACTGCGGTTACAAAGCCAAGGCCAGGAAGCACCAAACTCACAGTCGGGCGCGCTTGCGCTGCCTCCCGCCACGACCCCGACCCCGTCCTCGCCGCTTCGTTCCTCGGGTGGGCGTTGCCGTCGTGCTGGCGCTGTCCTCGGCCGCGGAAGGGGTCGCAGGCCCGGGAGTTCCCACGGCGGACGACCGGTCGGTTGGCTCCGTGGTCGGCTCCGTGGTCGTGATGGTATCTAGCGGGTCGTCACTGTCAGCACCGGTGGTGTGTTCGAGGGTGTCGACCGTGGTCGAGCCGGCCGGCTCCGTCTCGACCTCCGTCGCGGGCTGTGTTTCGACTGGGGTCAAAACCACGGGCTCCGTCTCCATCTCGGTCGCTGGCTGCGTCTCCCTCTCTGCCGCTGGCTGTGTTTCGACCGGGGTCGAAACCACGGGCTTCCCTGTTGCGGTTGGAGTACCGCAACGCCCCAGACATGCCAGGGCCGCTCATCCCATTATGGGTCGCCCACATGGCTACTGGTCCATGTGCTAAATAATGCCAGCCAAGTCTTTTTCTTATCCTTGGGGCACACCACCAGAAGGTTAAAGGCTCCATGTATTGTCTGCGCCTGGTCAGCAGCTTCCCAGGCTTTTACCAGCCTAGTTGAGCAAGCTAAAGATCCAGACAGCTTCCTATGGACATGCCCTGTGGAAGCTTGACTCGATAGACGCATGTCTTTTGGGGTGGATGATTCCAAGACAAACTCTTTGTGCCATCCACATCTCTGCTCTTTTCCACGACCTTGATAATGAACCCGATTTGGTCTTGGTGGGATGAACTTCCCTCGGTCGTCAGGCACGTCTGACGCGCCAGTGAAACCTCCTCCAGATTGCAGCGTACGCCGCGAAAGGTTCAAGCTCGATTTGATGACACACAAAGCAGAGCAAGGCGTTGCTGTTCAAGCTGCTCGTTTGTGTTTGTCAGCTACTTGAAGACTTGCAACCCAGGCACAGCCGCTTCAGGTTCTGCTCCGAGGTCTTCAGAGTCCAGACTGCCATTGCAATCAATGAGCTTGTGTTACTCTGTTTCGTCCTGTAGCTTTTTCGATGCATACCAGGCGGTAACAGAGGCTATTGCATATATCGACATGGCCATAGCATGCATATCACTGGCTGACGGAACGATGTTCTAGACCCCTTCGTGTCAGACATCAGCGTTTGAGAACATTGTATTTTCACAAGCGCAAGGGGGCATTCTTACTTGAGAAGGGGTAATGATGGGAAACAGGCGGAGGCCGTATTGACGCTGGTCTGTGCTGGTAGGACTCAGATCGTCAGACGCAGCAAGGGCTTGAACAGCATGCTTCTCCGTATAAACCCGTGGGTTGCCAGGTGGCTATAGCAGGAGTCGAACATGAACGCAACATCCACTGTGAGGATAAACAAGCGGGCAATATTGAGACTCTTGCCGTGGATAGTATAAATCACGGAGTATAGTCAGCGTTAGACAGTCTCCGCTGGATATATACTGCTGATATGATGTGGAGGGGGTTAGAAATCTGAAATGTTGAAGAGGTACTCAGCATTATAAGTGTAGTAGTGGTAGAATAATGTACCCAGTAAGGAATGTAAAGAAGGAGATTCAGGTTGGGTTTGGTAGAAAGAGACACATATATATACTTCAAGATATCCAGGTGACTGTATGGGTCTGGTGAATTGAATTGTATAAAGCATCAGTCAGGGAACAAAGAAAGAATGTGAATTACAATAGCACATTCACCTGATTGAATCCATGTCACCAAGTGAATAATATATTCAAGTCAATGAATGGACTATTGCTGCATCAGCAGTGGCTTGTTTGTAGCAAATACCGCATGTCGCCCTTGATAACCAACACAAAGGCATCTCACCATCTACCGCGATGATCACTACTTTCGTGTAGTGGGAGAATCAAGTTTAAGCCAGATGTTTGTAGGGGATCCGGATCAGTTTAGGAAATCAAGTGTATTGACATGGCGACATGTTTGTTATAAGCCCTAAAACATTAAACACCAACGATGGCTATGGACAAAATGACAGACAGGCCCTTTTCAGAGCGCGGAACGTCAATGAATCAATGCGAGGAAAGAGAGGTTAGAGTACACTACATGGCAGACTATCGACAGGAGATTTCGGCTAGCCCAGCTTGGCCTTGAGAGATTCAATCTCCGCAGTCAGGTTCTGCATCTGTTCTGCCTGCGAGGCGATCGTCTTGGTCTGCTCTGCGAGCAGGTCCTTGATCGTGGAGATCTCCCGCTGGACAGCGTCAGCGGGCACAGAGGCGGACGAAAGAGGAGTGGATTCTGCAGGTGCAGAAACAGTGGGAGTGGAGATGGCGGGAGTAGAAACAGTCGAGGTAGCCCGTTCGGCGACCACGGGAGAAGCCTGTTGCCCGTATTAGTGATGATATTAGCACTGGTTAGATTGAATGGGATTCTTACCGGGGCAGGGCTCTGCGATTGAGGCTCGTGCCACGGGCTCGTCTTGACCGAGGGAGAGGCATTTTCCGTAGAGCGAGTGGTGCGCTCCGCGGGTTTCGGGATCTCCTCAAAGCCCGAGTCATCATCAGCAGCTTCGACTTCATCCTCTTCCTTGTCTGCAAACTTGTTCACCATAGCCGCCATGGAAGCTCCCTGCTCCTTCATGGACACCTCCGGCTTAACGACAGGTGTAGGTTCTGGAACAGGCTCGGAAGCCTTCTTGACAGGGACGGGTTCGGAGGGCTTGGGTTCGGCCTCAGCCTTGGGCTCAGGAGCGCCCATTGCGGCAGTCGGCTTCTCTTGTACGCCGGTCACCTCCTGCAGCCCTTCGCCTTCGTAGAGACTGGCCATAGAGATCTTGGGCGGGATGGCTTCCTTCCCAGCGAACCACTCCGACGGACCCATGGCGGGCTTCAGACCGAAGGTAGGAGGATAGATGTCGTCTTGGAAGTTCTCTGAACGGCGCGGGACGATAAAGGAAATTGGCTCGATATAGCTGTCGTTGACGGTCTTGAACGCGCGGGTGACCTCGTTCTCGTGCATGTTCACACCCCGCTTGGGCATGAAAGCAATACCTCGCTGAGGATCGGCGGACTTGTACTCCGCAAGGAACTCAAACTTGTCGTTCTCCAGCTCGAAGTAGCGGATGTTACCATCACTACAGACCAATCGATTAGTGACACGATTATGCACAGAATTGTGAGATTCGTGACTTACCCTCTGCCGGCCAGATACAGACACTGAGTGCCATCATCCCAGAAGGGCATGCACACACCAGAGATGGAATCGAGGGTCTTGAAGCCGCTAATGGGTTCACGCGGGGCACGGATATCCCACAGCGCCAACTGACGGTCGCTCATCCGGGAGAAACCGGTGGTGGCAATGCGATCGTGCTCTCCAAGCCATACCACACGGCTGTTCTTCGCGCCCGAATGGCCTTGAGTCTCGTGTGCAGGCCGCTCCTGACGCACATCCCACAGCCGCAGTTTCTTGTCGCGAGAGGTAGTGACCAAGAGGGAGCCATTGGCGCTCCAGGCCTGAGACTGCACAATGTCTCCCAGGTTCAGTGTCAATTTAGCGGCTCCGGCTTCGATATCCCAGATCTTGACAGTGTAGTCACCTGAAGCGGTTGCCAAAATGTTTTCTGCAGAGGGGTTGAAGAGCACGTGCCCGATTTTCCTGCGATCGAGTTAGTACGGATTTCCTTATGGCGATAACACATTCTGCGAAGGGGCGCGGACGGACGTACTTCGGGTGGCCGCTCAACTTTCCAATAGGCGCAATGTCTTGGATCTCTTCAGGGTCGACATCCGGTCGCAGCGTGAATCCTTCAGGAACCCGCCAGAGAAGGACCTAGAATAGGGGCAGACAGTCCGTTAGCGTATCATCACAACGTCGCATAGGTGGGTGATCGGTCCTTACCTTGCCGTCGTCCGAGCCGGAAGCAATCAAATCATCGTTGAAAGGGTTCCTGATCACGTTAGACCTCCTATCCCTATCTCCCAAGGGTAGTTGATGTCCACTCACCAGTCAGTGTCCAGAACAACAGCAGTGTGGCCCCGAAACAGAGGTATTCTCTCAGGCAATTTGCCTCGCTCCTCAAGAGGAATAACAGCAAAAGCACCACCACCACCGGCCTCCCAATTCACCGAAAGATACCGAGGGTTGACCTGGCTCGAAGATCAGACTGTATTCAGGGGGGGTAGAGGTATACATCTGCGGGCGGGCGGAGGAGGCGGACCTTGACGAGGTTGGTATCCCAAGCATTTCTCGAAACCCGAAGATTATCATAGCATTGGTCCTGCGCAATTCATCAGTGTGTCAGAGCGTGTGATTGATCACCAAAGCCGTTGTATACCTTTCTCGTTGGTCGACCGAAGACGTGTCCTGATTGATACCTGTCAGATTGCGGGCAGCCGTTGAGGGGAAGGGATCAGTCAATGCTCACGGTATTTGGAAGAACGGACGAAACGACCAGACATAACGCTCGTATTGCAGAAAACAATATAGCAAGAGGGGAATCTAATGCAATCGAATAGATATAGGAGAAGGACCAAGAGGGAGAGGCAGTAGATACAATTCGAGGGGGAGGGAGCAGCGACGGGGTGTGGCTGTCGGTCAGTCTGCGAACAAGAGTTCCAGCCGCCGTTAGTCAGGGAGGGAAGTGGAAACGCCCGCGCAGTCAGTGGGGAATCAAGGAGCTACAGCCCAGGGGAATTTGGAGGGAGAGAGATGCGCAATGGCTGTGTCTCTTGTATCTGAGGCTCTTCCTCCAAGACTACAATTCTACAGAGGATCAATCGTCAAGGATTGACACAAACCACTGCTTCAATGGCTTTCAAGAGAACAAACAGCGATCTACTGTGGCCGAAATAGGAATAGCGCCTCCCCGCCGGCCAATTGCTGAGTCAGCGCCGTTTATTTACCGCCTTTCCCGTCACTGCAGAAACCAAACAAACAGTCCGTGATTATTATGATTGTCCAAAGTATCATCATCGCAGACCTGCTCGGCTCATCATTAGACGCTAAGGTCTTTCCAGCCTGAGTCCCCCTCTTCCTCTGCAGGTTGCCTCCTGGCATGTTGCTGTCCTGCTTTGTTTCCCTTTGATTGTCGTGTGGAATCTTTGCAGTTCTGAGACATCCTCAGTCCCTCTGCATTACGAACAACCCCCCCCCTTGGCCGGATGTCATTGAGCAGGAAGCCTCAGTCAGCATTCGAAGCAGCGCAGTGAAGAACAAAACACGCAGTTGACCATCATGGAAAACGAGCATATGGTAAATTCGTCGGTCGTCTTCTTGCAAACGAAATATCTAATTGGAATCAGCAAGCGCAGCCAAAGGGGACCATTCGGTCTCGCATTCCTATGGCTGGGTTGACATCAGGTGCGACCAATTCGCGCTCTGGTCTACTACCACCCGGCACGATTGCGAAGACATCCACTTCATCGCGTATGTAGTCCATGATAGTGGTCAGTGAAGAGAGTGTGTGTCCTGACAGTAGCAGACGCAACTCGGTCACGCAGCACAACGCAACCCCCCGAGCCCAGTAGAACTGGAGCGGGATCATCCACGCTCTCGCGCTCGGCCAGCACGGCACGAACTCACACCAGGGCCAACTCCTACGCAACCTCATCCCTCACCCGATCGGCAACTACGAGCTCGCGGACCAGCCGGTCCAATTTCTCATCCACCGTTGGTTCAGGAACACGGGCCCCTCCCCCACGACCGCACACCTCGATGGCTGGTTCCCGCAAGCCCAATGGACACTCGATCAGCCGCCCCGCAACGTCGCTGGATACCCACGAAGAAGAAGATCTGGCGGCAAGCATCTTGGGAAAGAGAAAGGGTAGGCGCCAATCCCTCTTCTCATTATATGATTTATACCCCCTCTCTGCATCTATCACCTCGTGGAGCGACCAGGATGCCTCGCGTGCGTGGTCTAGCTCATGTACGATGCTTCCTGGTGTGCAAGAAGCGTCTGTACGGACTGACCAAGGCGAGGTGTCCCCAAGCGCTGCGAAGGAGGAGTTAAAAGCAAACCCCGTTTCCCATGATATATTGGACCCCAGATTACTGCGCCCCCGGCAGGATGGACCCAATAAACCCCTCGTCTCCAGAATCCCCAAATCCACCACTCCCGTGAAACCAGGCTCCGAGAGAGCTATATGTCCCTCCAAATCACCCCCCAAGAAAAAACAAACCCCCATGATACCCTTTCTACACAAGGATTCCTCGATCAAGACCTTTAACTATTCTACAGGCGCCGAATGGGATCAAGATACCCGTGAAAAAACGATGGAAGAATTCTTCAACGCCTTTGTATCCCGCGTGAGCCAAGCCGGACAAGAAAGTTTTGGATTGAAAGAGACAGTCGAACTATACAAGAGCAGAGGTGAGTGGGCTTGTTTCATTCTTTTCTCGTGAATGGGCTGACGACCTTCTCCAGTGAGCGAGCTTGAGACCTGTCGAAAGGAGCTAACCGACGCCAACCTCTCGTTGCGCGTGGAAATCGAGACCACGAAGAGCCGACTTGAAGCCACAACGAACGCTTTGAAAGATGCGAGACGAGACCACGAAATTGCTCTGGATGATTCGGAACGACAGCAGCGTGCGGAGGTCGAGACGATCCGACAGGAAAGCCGGAGGGAATTGGAGGCAATGAATCGCCAGCACCAGGACGCCATGCGAGAGCTACAACGCCGCTTCGAGCAGGAACTCGATGACGAAAAAGCGGTGCGACAACAGGAGATGAACCAACTCAATTCTCAGACAGCACTTGACATGCAACGATCCCTTCTCGAAACCGAACGCAAAGACCGGGAGATTTTGACGCTTCAAAATCAGTTACAAGCGATTCGGGAAGACCTGGAGCGCGAGCGAAAGACCAACCACAACCTCCGCCAGAATCTGGACACGGCAAGCACCAACGGTGTTACACTGGAGTCATCGGTTCGTGCATTGAAGGCCAGAATTGAGTTCTTGGAGTCTGGACGTGAAGAGCAATCCCAGGCATTCGAGCGCCTGAACCAGCAGATGATGGATGCGCTGACTGAGACCGAAGCAACCAAGGAGAAACTGAGAAAGGAGGAGACCATGAGAAGGAAGCTGCATAATCAAGTGCAGGAGCTTAAAGGCAACATTCGGGTGTTCTGCCGTGTGCGCCCTTCCTTGCAGTCGGAGAGAGTGGAAGCGGCCCAGATTCAATTCCCGGACCAAGCAGAAGAGTGCAAGGAAATTGCTCTGCTAGGACCCGAAGAGAAGAGTAGTCTGGGTACCATCACTCGCAAGGCGAATAACTTCGCCTTTGATCGTGTTTTTGGACCTTCCACCCAGAACGCAGAGGTGTTTGACGAGATCAGCCAACTGGTGCAAAGTGCCCTTGATGGGTACAATGTCTGCATCTTCTGTTACGGCCAGACGGGTAGTGGCAAGACTTACACCATGTCTTCGCTGGACGGCATGATCCCTAGGGCAGTGCACCAGATCTACGAAACCGCGCAGAACCTGGAAGAAAAGGGCTGGAGATACACGATGGAAGGTAACTTCGTGGAAGTCTACAATGAGAATCTGAACGATCTGTTGGGCAAGGCGGAAGAGTTGGACAAGAAGAAGCACGAGATCCGTCATGACATGCAGCGATGTAAGACGATGATCACCGACATCACCACCGTTCGTTTGGACTCGCCCGAGATGGTCGAGTCGATCTTGAAACGGGCTGCGGCCAACCGGTCCGTCGCAGCCACCAAAGCCAACGAGAGATCTTCTCGATCGCACTCGGTCTTCATCCTGAAACTGCTTGGAGAGAACAGCATCACCGGTGAACGCAGCGAGGGAACCCTGAACCTTGTGGATCTGGCTGGTAGCGAACGGCTAAGTCACAGCGGGGCAACTGGAGAGAGACTGAAGGAAACGCAGAGCATCAACCGCAGCTTGAGCTGTCTGGGCGATGTCATTGCAGCCCTTGGGCAAGGGAAGGAAGGCGGCCATATTCCCTATCGGAACAGCAAGGTTTGTTATACTCCTGATCGCCACGCACTTCTCTGGCCATACTGACTCGTCCCAATTAGCTTACCTACTTGCTCCAATTTTCGCTGGGCGGAAACTCCAAGACTCTCATGTTTGTGATGGTTAGTCCATTGCAGGCGCACCTTTCGGAGACGTTGACCAGTCTCAAGTTCGCGACCAAGGTGCACAATACACATTTTGGCACAGCCAAGCGCCAGACCCGTGTTCGCGATGTTTAATGATACCTATTTCCTTTTGGTCTTTGACTTTCTGCGGGCAGCCTTTATGATCCAGGTGGGCCCTCGATCAGCCGGTGTTTGGAGTTGCTTTTTTTTTCTTTTGGTTCTTTGCACCACGAGCTGTTCGAAGATAATAGGGTTTTGCTGCACTCTTCCCTGTGGTCATACCTGGATTTACTTGTACATAGGTGATGAATCTATTGGATTGCTGAACAAACGAGTCGCCGATTCGGCATGCATTATACATTATGGAGGTCTTCCTGTACTGTCATTGAACTACAAGAGTGGAGAAGTAGGTATCATCCTTCGAGGTCCAAGCACAAGAAGAACAGGAACACGAGTCACAGGTCCCCGAAATACTTTTCTGCCAGCTGCGCAAGCTGCTCTGACTTCCTCTCAATGCTCCCTTCATCGAGCACCCCCTCGTCACTCACAAACGCATCCACCAGCGCCAGCGGTACCCACTCGAAATACACATTTCTGACCCGAATGCTCGATCCACCACCCGCATCCCCCGGGCCACCGGCCATCCCATCCTCCAGCACCTTGACGGCCTTGACCCCCTCACTCCGCCACGCACTCACCACCTCCCGCGGGTCATTCTCCTCGACCGTATCCTCGAGCACGCCGTCCCCACCCACCACCTTCTCCAGCTCGCTGAGCACAACCACCTTGATTCCCGGCGCGGCGTGGCGCGCGCTCAGCACCGCAGGCAGCGAGCCGGTCTTGTTGCTCACGCCGCGCGACGAGCTGATGCGGTCCGCGCCGAAGAGGAGGATGTCTGCGTCTTTGGCGGCGAGGGCCGCGGAGGCGTCGGTGTAGAGCTCCACGAGGAGGGACTTGTGTGGGGTTGCGGCGTCCTGGACCTCGGCCTCGACCTCGGACTTGAAGCGCGAGTAGATGGAGGAGGCGAGGCTGGCGCCTTCGAAGAGCGGGCGGGATTCGAGGATGCGCAGCTCGAGGGTGGGGATGGGGAGGGCGGCGAGGGAGGTGAGGATGCTGTCGCGGATGGTGGAGCTGGCGGAGAGGGTGAGGATGGTGAGTTTGGGGCGCTGGGTTTGGGCTTGGTTGTCGTTGGTGGTGGTGGTGGTGGTGGTGGTGGGAGAGAGGAAGGTGGAGGTGAGGTATGCGGTGAAGGCGTCCGTGACGCGCGCGGTGCTGGATTTCCGCCTGGACAGATGGAAGTCGATGGTGGAGAGGACGCGGTCCCAGGTGCGCTCGCTGGCCGCTTCCGTGGCCGGGGTCTGGGGCGCGCGGATCTCGTCGATGTCCGCCAGCACGGCGAGGAGCGCATTCAGCGTCGCGGCGCCCATGCTCTCGCGCCCGTTCTTGACGAGATGCCACGCCGCCATGCACAGCAGTCCCCACCAGTGCGCGTCCAGGCCGTCGCGCATCTGCACCACGCACTCCCGGAACGCCGTCAGCGCGAGCACGGTCAGCTCATGCGCGCCGCTCTCGTGGTCCTCGCGCAGCCGCTTCAAGCCGGCCTCCAGCGCGCGCGCCGCGGGCTCGTTCATCTCGCATTTGAACCAGACGCGGCGCAGCGTCTCGTGCAGGCGCGGCACGCCGCCGAAGGCCGGGTCGTCGACAACGGTCCTCGGGTCGTGCCATTCCCAGCTTTCGTGTTCCCAGTCGATGGTGATGGCTTCCTCACCGCGGCCGCCTTCGCTGGCGGGCTTGAGCTTGAAGGCGAATGAGCTCACGGTCCACTCGCGGCCAACGGATGCGTCGCTAAAGGTGAAGGGCTTGCCGACGCGCCAGAGAGTGAGGTCTCTCGGGGTAAGAGTGGTTTCCTCGTAGATCTCACGCCAGGCTGCACAGAGCGGATCTTTATCGGTGGACTCGATGCTGCCGGAAATGGGGGCGAGGTGATGTCTGTGGTTTCAATGTGTTAATGAATACAGCGCGCGGTCGGGGTAGAGCATGTACCACTGGTGAAAGGGAAGAAAAACATACTTGTATGTCCTCACCTTCTCGCTGCGCCGGAAGAGCGCTACCTGCGGCTTTCCAGACTCGCCGTCGGGAAATTTGAAGATCAGCGAGGAGACAACTGCCCTTTTCTCGAGGCCCTGCGATGGGGGGGGATTGCTCCCATCGTGGTGGCGATTGCGCTGATCACCAGTCGAAGCTTGAGATGCCATTGACATTCTGATACTACGCGGGCGTCTCCACAGTATTCCCACAAGCCGCTGTCTGAGTCTAACATGCGTTGAAGGCTTGATATATAATATGCCGAAGCTGGTCATGGGCACGGCTAGTACGGAGCACCGCATGTGTTTCCCGAAAGTCATAGGTAGTTAAGAGAGACGTGTGTGGTCTGTACCAGATTTCCCTTTCTTGGTCTGTGTCATCCTAGCATCACCCATTGCTGGGAATGTTCGCTTTATGTGGATTACGCGAACCCGGTTCATAGCTTCTCCTGCAATCGAACAAAGAGAGCTATATTGAGCTAGCATATAGGGTAACCCATAGTTCCGTCCCATCATTCCCTGAAAGGGAATAGGGGTAGGTAGCTTGGAGGAAAGAGAACCAGCCATGCTTGGACGGAAACAACTCCCACTCTCCACTGAAGAGGCCATTTGTGATGACAAGGCTAGGATAGGCAGATTCAATGATGGTTATAACCATGGTCTTGCACAGAGTATCTGGACTACAAGCGTAGCATTACTTCGATCGAGCAAGACGAGGTGGAAATTCCACGTACACGCCATGACGTCAGCACCAACGATTCGATATACGAAACAAGCTGCACTCGAGGAGAGAGCAGTGCACTTTTCCACACGCAAATGAATCGTCTCTCCCTCACCACTCGCCATCCTAACCTCCTCGCAGCCTGTCACCCCATCTCCACCATCGTCCGACTCGCCCATGCCGACATACACTGGATCCTGCTACTGCCGCAACATCAAGTATGAGCTCGAGCTCTCCTCGCCGGACGAGGCGCGGACTTCTCTGTGCCACTGCTCGAACTGTAAAGTGGGTTTCCCCGGGCTTCCGCCAAAAAAACCAAAGAAAACGGAGACTGTAAAAAGCTAACAAGAAGCCTGCGCAGAAAGCATTCGGAACCAACTACGGTCTGACGGCCAAAGTCCCCAAGGACGCGTTCCGGGTTACGGCTGGGAAGCCCAAGGAGCATGTTGCAGATAACGGGTCCGGGGCGCTGCTGCATCGGGAGTTTTGCGACAACTGCGGGAGTTTTCTATTGGAGTATGGGGTGAGTTGTTGGCACTTGATTGCCCCTGGTTGGGTGCGCTGACGGGGTTGCAGGATGCGGTGAAGAATGAATTTCGGTATATTTGTGTGGGATCGCTGGATGATCCGGAGGTGTTGTCGCCCAAGGGGGAGTTTTTTTGTAGCTCGCGGGCGAGCTGGATGCCGGAGATTCCAAGTAAGTGGTTTTTTTTTTTTTTGTTTCTCATTCCGTGGTGTGAATGATCTAACTAACCTGGAATAGATGTGTTTCATAAACAGAAGATTAAGGAGTAGAGGAGAGGTCCTTGTTAAGATATGGTGTTTGTATAGTATCATACATGTGAATAGCAGATATTCGACAAATCAATCCCAGAAACGTTGCTATCGCCTCTGCTTATGATATCCGTTCTCAGGTGGAGTCGAACCATCTTTTCTTTTGGGTGGGCGGAAACGTCGTGCGTCTATCCTGGAAGATTCGTCAAACACACGATGGTCACGTCACCGTGCCTCGAATCGGTTTGGCTTTCCAGCACCAAGTCGTCCTCTCGGAAGAGGGACACTGCCGGTAGCATCGGTCATGGTAATGCTGATTCCCGGCTTCAGTGGTTGTCTCGTATCTCGCGCGAGAGCTCATCTGATCCCAAAAAGGTATCTGTGGAGCCCTGCTGGCAAGCGCTGGAATATCGCCATGGGGATGCAAAAACTCCTGGAGATGACTGCACTCGGAAATAGAACACTCAGCTGTAGAGCGTGTAGAGGTTCAATCATCGCTTGGGGAGGACATACACCCAGACTCGATACTCTGTTCGATCCTGGCGATTCCATCTCAGCGCCAGTTTTGAAGAGCTGCTACTACCGCAGCGATCAAAAGAGATATAACTCTTCATCGAGTCTGGACAGCCCATTCAGCAGCACCTCTCCTGCAGACGCAACGGCGCCTCTGTTTGAGTTCGCGAGGATCGCGACTTGCTCGATTTCTTCATCGTCTTCCGTAACGGTGCTACATAGAAGCATAGGATCTGCTGGTCGAGACAGTGCGAGCAGCGCGGGCGCTGGCGGTCACACGAAACGCCCCACGTCCGACACGCCTTGCATGCGGGGTTTTCCTCATCCGTGTCGGCCAGGGACTGTTCCTGCGTCTGTGTTCCGGGTCGCTGCGAAGATGCAGATTCGCGGCTGGTCTTTCGAGAGCAAGAGCTAGTCTGTGGGTAGTTGTGCTGAGTCCTTGATGGATCGGTGGTGTCGTGTGGTTTCGCGCCGTCGATCATCCATGCTGGCCAGAACCATTGCAAAAAGCATTTCCCCATGCTGGGCCGCCGCAGGCCGTCGTGTGAGAGGGAGTCGTAAGCTGGTGGGTTCTCTGACGCTGTTGTCATGGACTCTGGTCCTGTACCGGGTTCATGGAATGGGAATCTGCACGACCGGAAGAGTGACGCTTAGTTGGAAGGTGTTGCTGAAGAACACGAGCGGCTCGAGAACTCACCTTTCATATGTAGTGGCCATGGTGTATGCTGACTAGATCACGAGTCTGCACAAAGGGTTGATTAAGGTTTCTGATGTATCCAGCAGACAGGATCTGCGAGTGCAGGCAACAGTTGAAGCGATTATAAGGATCAACCTCTTTCAGGAAGGAGATCACTTGGGCTTTTTTAGAACGTGATTCAAAAACATATGGATAAGCGTAGTTAGATAGAGGATGGACTGGATATAAGTTCCAGCCTCGGGTTCAAGTGGGAAAATATAGTCCCTTTGTAGTATATTAGTTGGAGCTGTCACTTGTCAAAGCGACGGCCCAAGGGTACCCGCCCAGTTCGGAATGCCAACGCACCAACAGGCAGGAAATAAAATAGCAGGTAGCCTGACTCTGCGGGAGAAGCCACCGTGTAAGGCACACACCGAACCGGGTTTTGGCATTTTCGTGTTTCATCCACCAGCAGGATTCCATTATTGCGATACACTAGCACAGGCAGCACAGCACTGCTGGATGTAACAGGCTGGACCACACTTCCGGGATTACGTCAAGCATATTCGCTCCCTCCCACTCCATGACTTTTTGACAGTCGAGAAGAGTGTCGAGATGGTGTTGAGATAATTGTCTAGACTCTTGTTTCTTCTCGCCTCGGTGGGAGTCCCGGTTGGTTGTTGCGGTTTATCCTGAGACCTCGAACAGTTATGAATGATGGTCAGGCTATCATTGTCCGCTTCTGGAATCTGGCATGCGACGATCATCAGTCAGACTCACTCCTTCGGAAGCCAGACATTCCTGTGTGACTGTGTCAGCGTGAGTGTCGCGTCGCGTTGAGACTAATCGGGTGCGGAAAACCCCACTCATCCCGTCGATCGGGAAGATATTTCCATTTCCCTTGCGGCAGTGAACTGTAAAGTGTACTGTTAAAGTGTGCTTACTGCGTAGTGGATAGGTGTAGCTGTCCTGTCACAGACCGTCTTTGAGGACCGTGATCGATTGACAAGTCGAAGAGGAATGACACTCCCCACGCCAAGCATTGCTAGGGCTTAATGCCTGACTGCCTGACTGCCTGACCTGCTGCTTTGAAGAATTCCGACATTCCCATGCATTGGGATTGGCCAGGAACAGGCAGACACTCAGATGAGTTTCATCACAACTTTTTTTTATTGACAGGAGCTTTGGTTTGAGCTACACGCATCTTCAAGTGTGTCGTACTGTTTACATGACTTGTGTTATCCCATGGTTGCACCGCTCGCCAATAATGACGCAGAACAGCTTCACTCTGTTCTTAAATTCTCGAGTGTGGTGATGCTGGGGTTTTCAGAGACTCACTTCAGAGAATCACTACGAATCTTGGGGAACTGAAAAGCATCAAACCAGCAGTATGAGCACTCGCATCTCCGATGTTATCAAACGGGATCACCGTGAACTCGAAGCATACTACAACACCATCACCAGCTCCAACGACCCCGACGAGCAGACGCGGTTCCAGAACAAATTCAGCTGGGAACTCGCGCGCCATGCTGTAGGTGAGGAGCTGGTCGTCTACCCAGCCATGGAGAAGTACCTCCGCGACGGCAAGGAAACCGCCGACAAGGACCGTCGTGAACACCAAGTGGTGCGAACACCGCTTTTCTCCATCATCTTCTTTCATCGGGTCTAGTATTAAATCGTGGTACAGGTCAAAGACAAGCTGGAAAAGTTCCAGAACATGCATGCTACTGAGCCCGCGTTCCTCCCCACCATCAAGTCCCTGATGACGGACCTGTTCCAGCACATCGATGAAGAAGAGACCATTGACTTTGTCAAGCTGGAGAGCGCAATCACCCCCAAGGAGAGCGATCGTCTAGCGAGATCGTTTGGCCGCACGAAGATGTTTGTTCCCACCCGGTCTCATCCCAGCGCGCCCAACAAGCCTCCTTTTGAGACGGTGGTGGGATTGTTGACGGCGCCTATGGACCATCTGGCGGATCTCTTTCGTAAGTGGCCGGAGGAGATTACTCCGAACCCGTCTACTGGGTAGATAGAGAGATGTAGCCGTCGGGACAAAGAATACCTGAAGAATTTAGATTGAACTGCAGACATACGTCTCAATACCTCCTCAAATTCTATCCCAAAGTCTATGACATAGCAACACAGCAAAGCAGGTTCTACTCCTCCGGCTGCTCCTGCTGCGTCTTTCCCAACTGATCCAACTTCTCCCCAGCGCTCTGTTTGCCGCTCCGTGTCACACGCGGGTTTCTCTGAGCCCTAAAACACGCCCGTCAGCAACCACCATCCGCCTCTCCCAAGGATTCAGTTATTAGCAGGAAGGATACTCACGCCTTCAACCCCCCAGCCACCCGATTCGGCTCCTTATTCTGCTGCCGCACCGCATACAGATCTTGCCGCGGCTGGTTCCAATGCAGTTCATTGTCCAGCACATCCTGCGCGTGCTGTTTGGCTTCGTTCGAGACGCGGGGGTTGCTGATTGTACTGACCCAAAACCAACTTCTTAAGACAATGCGCAACCAATGAAATAGTAAGTTAGTCACTTACGCCTTGTAACCGCGCATGGCGTTTACTCTATCCTCCCCGGACGCGGAGACTTCGTTGTTTTCCCTGGAGTATGACATCGTCCTTGGTGGGTTGGGTTGGGGGAATCGGGGCGATTTACTGCGAGGTGGAGTTGGATGAGGTTTGGAATGTAACCAGATGCGGCATCGATGAAACAGGCTTGCTGAGGTGGGATTGTTGATTTCTTACTCGGTCTTTTTTTTTGTTTATTTAGTGATGGAAGGGGGCATTGTGATATGCTGCTGCGCGGCTCATCGGTCCGGGTTGATGTGGGAGATGCGTCATGCCCGCCACTGGATGGGGGAGGAATTGGGTGGTTGTATCCATTATCTCTATTATATGAAGGCAAGATGGAGGGGGAAAGGGATGATTTCACAGATTTTTTTTTTTTTTGAGACACTTGCCTAGCTCGATTTAATCGGTTGCTCTAAGGACAAGGACGACGAACCCGAACTATGATCGCCGAGTGATCGAGATACGCGCAAGTATAGGCGCTTGATCGCCAACTCTATCTATCGACTTATCGAGCCTCTGCATCGGCATCAACCATGAATTCTGGGCCGATCAACCTTGATTTAAGCGAATCCAGATGACGTTCCAGCCAAACCCAAAATGGCGAACTCAAAACCCTTGCCCATGACAACACCCTGACACCAGCTTGATGTCAGGGTTATTCTGATGCTAGGACTGCGCGGAATTCTGGAGAGAAAAAAAAAAAAGGACATATATATCCACGGTATCCCGGGCTCTTGTCATGGGTGCATCATTCTATCAATACCGTGCCACTGTCTGAACAAACACACTTGCTCTCCTGAACATATCTCCTACAATCACCTGTTATCCAAACCAAGTTGTCCACCCCCAGACCCCCAAAATTTCAACGAGAGAAACCGTCATCAACATGTCTAACCGCGTCGAACGAGCCGCCGAAGACAACTACGAGGCCGAGAACGACGCCTCGCCCGTCCCCGCCGACGTGATCGATAACTCATACGTTGGCGAGACTCGCTCCGAGCTCCTCAACCAGGTCCCCGTGCAGCGCGACGAGGCCTCCTACGATGACCCCATGCAGCCTCCGTACTCGAACTCGGACCAGCAGCTTGGTACGTACTCTACATCAGATACCCTGTTGGTTCTGAGCGACTGATCTGACCCGCTTTCCTCTTCTGGGCGATCAGCCGATGATGAAAGGGAGGCTATTGACAGGAGCAACATCCTGTCTGGCGATCGGCTGCGCCATGCCAAGCCCATGACCCAGAATAAGTATAACGAGGGGCCGGGTGAGGATGATCTGCCTGATGTTGTGAGATATGGGGACTCTGGAGTCTCGGGAACCAAACGCTTGTCGTAATGTTGTGGATAGCATTTCTTGTCTTCTGTCATGGCCTCAATTGCCGTAAAGCGGGATGGAGCGTGAGAGAAGTATTGTACACTAATATAATGTTATTTAATGCGAATGGTATTTTCCATCCTTGGTGCAGCAATCACTTGTAGTCCGCCCATGCAGCCTGCAGGAATTGTCTCATTTTGACGGGCCGAATGTCAGGAAACTTATCGTTGAGCCGGCCTTCAGCAGGCAGTTGAAACACCCCGGCAATCGTAAGCCGGCTCACCAACGCAGTCAGCTCCTGTGCATCCTGCGAGGAAAAAGTATTCCCAGGCATGGGAGGCACGGTCACCCTCCCCTCCCTAATCCTCTCCTTACTATCATAGACCACCTGGAACTTCCGACCTGCACTTTTTCCTCAGCACCAAACATTGCCAAAAAAATCACCACTCGACTTAAAAAAAGCAAACATACCTCGTATCTCCTCCGCCATCCGCAGCATCTCGTTATACGTCACCTCATCCCCCACAACCACACTGAACTCCGGCCATTCGTCCGCCTCCAGCATGCGGACCAGAAACGCCGCCATGTCGTACGTGTAGGTCATCCCGATGACATCTTCCCCGTCCCCGGGGATCGCGGCCTGGCACTCCTGGACGTTGATGCCGAAGGTGCACGGCGCGAGATGGGTGCGCGCGACGGGCATCCCCCAGTAATCCATGAAGAAGCCCGGGATGACGCGCGTGTACTGTAGATGGCTTCTCTGGAGGAGTGTGGCGGCGTCCAGCCAGTGTTGGATGCTGGGATCGATGGGGAGGAGGCTGTGGTTTTTTTTGCCTTTGTTAGCGGGGTTCGCTTTGCTTTGCTGTGTGTAATGTAATGTGATGTGATGTGATGTTGTTGCGGGGGCAAGTAAATTGGGGGGGATGGGAGGTTGTCTACTCTTTGGTTTGGATGAAGGAGTACTCGCTGGGGATGAAGCGCTTGGTGGTGGTCGATTTCTCCGCGGCATGAATGAGGTTCAGTTGGGACTGGCTGGTGGAATCATCGAAGATACCGATGGCGGATATGATGGTGTGGATGGCATGTTGCTCGAGGGTCTGGATGAGAGAGGTGATATCATTGTAGTCCACCTTTACGTGTTGGGACTTGTCTGCTGGATCGATTCTTGAGTCCTGGAGGTTTTGTTAGCAAGGTTCCTGTGGACTTGGAGGAGACATACGCTGCGCGTCAACACGATGACTTGGTGATGTGGTTCTTGCACCAGGGTCTCAACGATTGTCTTCCCTACCCCTCCAGTTCCTCCAGCCACAGCTACAACTACCATATTGATGGATGCGTTGACTTGAGACTGCGACGGGCTTTGTGTGATGGTGTGCAGCCGCTTCCAGTTTATTCTAGCCTCTTGTAATGTGAAGGAATGGTATCAAGCATACTTCAGATCACAGCGCCTGGTCTATCTCCAAGAGAGACGCAGATGATGTTGTTGAACAATGCTTATCATTGGCTGCTAATTTTATCCTTGAACTGGTGCGGAGCGGCTGTATTTAGCGTGTGTTTAGTCTTGATGTCTGATTATCCTTCATTATTTCAATTCAGTTGATCTTCTTCATACAAATTGCCGAAGAACCGCCTGATACATTCACTGGCTGTGACTCCATGCCTCTGCCGTGGGTCGGCTAGAAAGAATTACACTATCTACAGTGAGACCATGCCAGCTAGCCCAGCAATGTATGAGCCTAGAGATCCATGCATTGGAAAGAGTATTGTTTCCCGCAAGTATTTGACTAAAACAAGACAGAGCTTATAGTCGTTTATGCAATGCCTCCTCTGGAGAATCGCACAGGCAGTCGGCTCGAGGTTCTAATAGAGAACGTGGGAAAAATTCCGTTGACTGTGATATGGTCAAACAGAGCTGGGAGAATAATAATAGAGAGCCTCTATCAAGCATTTGGAGATCCTTGGTGAAAGAAATGTGAAGTGGAGCGCATCTCTGATGGAATAATTAGAAAGATTAGTGATCATACCGAGGCTGAACGACTCCAAATTCTTGACACTCCCAAGTTTGACAACAGGATAGTCGGTCGACGGTCCATCGTATCACGATAAACGACGGCCATTATCCATCTACATTCTCTGTGATACCCAAACTGACGGAGTTTTGGTGAATGATGCCTATCCAAGACGATTCCGATAGTTCCAAGGTGCCTGGTCGGAATCTCCCCTTATTGTCCTGGGAAGAGGTCCATCAGAACCTACTACTATCCACTCGTAGAAACGTGTCAGATCCATTGTCCGTCCAGAGTATCAATTCAATTTTGTCTGCTACGTCCTACCCATTTCTAACCCCAGAGGAATCTGGTATTCCACCATCATCATCACTACAAGGAACGCAACCAGTATGGGGATATACAAGCATCAATGAGCATTCTAGCACAGGTCAGCAGGCCAAAGATCAAAACCAAAATGCATCAAAACGCCCTCGAAGTCGTGCTGCTAATGCCGATGGCTCGTTTCCGAGAAAAAGGGGTCGACCTCGCAAACAAGTCGACGAAGGGGAGGATCCTAATGAGGTATGCTGGTGTTGACTGCACCTTAACTCACCTCCCGTCCTTTCCTCGAGCTGACAATTCAGCGACGTCGGATGCAAATTCGACTGGCTCAAAGGGCCTATCGATTACGCAAGGATGCGAATACGTCTTCAATTCAGAGCCGAGTTCTCCAGCTTGAGGCAACATTAGAGCAAATTGGTACAGCCCTGCAGTCTATTAGTAACGCAATGAACCAGCCTGATAGCCTTGAATACAATGCCCATTTGATTGGTGGTTGGGGGGACACGGTGCGGATGTGTCTTTCCCTAGTCAACGAGGCGGCCAGTGTCGAATCTCAAGATCTTGTTGAAGGCACTTCGCCTCTTAGCGAAAAAAGCCACTCATCTGCAGAAAAGAACGAGCCTCAGCTTCAAACTGCCACGTCTATGGGCTCACCCCCCTCCCGGATAAAATCCAGTGCGAGCGCAGGCCCGGAGAGTCTATACGCTGCTGGATTCAAACCAACTCGTGATGGGCACGACTCATCCAAGGTAGCTGCTCTGGAGATGTCTGCCTTCATAGAACGACTCCATTTTGCATGCCTTCATGAAGGCTACTCTGTCTTACGTGATGCTTCTGTCGAGCTGGACCGTCTGCAAAAGCCGTTTCGATTCCTCTTCCGCACAATGGACAGAGAGCGCATAACCTCATACTTTGAGGCTTGCTTACATGCAAAGGCCAGTCAGAAACGCCTGGACGAATGGGAAGATGTGCCATACTTCAGGATCGGCGGCGCTGGGACTCACTACCCAGGAAAGACCCCCAGAAGCTCAACGGAGGTGCTCTCGCGCTGCAAAAATATCCAGGATCCCGTACTACAGTCACCACAAGAGATTGGACAGAAGCTTGATGGGGAATGGTTTGATCTGCATGATTTGGAGGGCTTTCTCCATGAACAAGGGGTGGTGTTTGTTGTCGGTCATGCCAAGGACTCTCTCGCTGGGGAAAAGTCAGTCAATGCGGCGTATTTGATTCAAGGTTGGTCAATCCTTTAGGTTCTAAGGTCCAGAATCTCTGACAGCAGGTAGAATTGTTGAAGGTTGGTGTCTGTCTTGGTCGAACGCCAGGATTTCGACGCAAAGATGTGGAAGCCGCGCTCCGAACAGCATTGTGTACATGACGACAATGCCATTGTTTCTCGTCTATGATTTGATGGCATGGCTGCGCACGATCCTGAGATTATACTCGTCAAGTCTGACTTTCCAGTGCCAGCCTACACAAGATCGGCTTACCCAACGACCGATGTGGCTAGAAGTACATTCCTAAAGGGGAAATTATCATGTTACACTTGTTACAACCTAGGGTCCTTTCAGCAAGATCTAGAACGAAAATTTCGTCAACTGAAAGACTCTTTGAAGATCTGAAACTAGATACGAGCATCCTTTACTACCTGAAATGCTCCATTGCGCCCATGACGACTGCTCCGGTATTGAATCGATCGGGATATATCTTGGTCATGGCCGCAACAATATCTCTCGGCGATTTCAGTTTCCCATCCACGACTTTCACGAAATCTTCGAAATACTTCTGGTATTCGCCAGATGCCATGTACCAAACACCTCTCCTTCCTGACAATGGCCAGGAATGACATGCGAAGGATTCAACGCCTCAACCTTCTCAATCGCTCGAATCCACTCCGCTCGCTTTGCCGCTGTATTGGCCTCGAAAAGCATCTGGTGTATATGCGCGACTGTGCCTGGCGTTGCCAGCACCCGGGCTTCGGAGAACCGCTGCGCGAATAACGGTAGACCGAAGAAAGGATCACCATGGCCGTGTGTGATGTAGATATAGGAAAGCTTCCGGGCGGGCGCGATACGCTCGATCCATTTGGTCAATTCTTGGGTTTGCTTGATGGTGACGGGGTGTCGAGGAGGACGGCCTCGGTGGGGGAGTAGATGAGGGTGCAGGAGATGGGGGACTAGAAGCCTTGGTTGCCGTTGGGGGTTTGGAAGGGGGTAGGAGGGGCGATGTAGACAGCTGAGCGGAGAGACATTTTGATTCTTGATAAGGAAATGTGTTTCTTGAAAGGATGTGGAGGGTGAATTTATGTTCTCCTGTCCAAGTTTGGCTCTGGATTCAATACAATCTCAGTGGTCACCAAAATTCATATATCCTAACCAGGTTTCTGAGAGACGAGGGGATACATCCAACGCAGGTACACTACTGAATCATGGCTTCATCTTGTGTGCTTTAGTGATTATGGCCGTATAGCCTCGGTTGAGTTCGCATCAGCATCTTTAATCTCCTTCCTGTTTCTGCAATCGTATCTCAGCAAGAATGAGATGCCTATGAATATGGTACAGTAACTCACTGCCAATAGTGGTGATTGGTATCACACTGCTGGACTTTGCCACATCAGCCGCTCGACTAGATATATATCAAAAGCTGCGAAGACTTATTCCAACCTGAAAATTGGTAGGCACATGGATGATGCCGGTCAGGCGCTATTATATACTCCGGTTACACATGGATAAACTATGAAGCAGTCATTGCTGTCAACAGATGAAAGTAGAGGGATTAAGCCTCGCTTGAGTGTTGATGTCACTGTTGCTGATGAGTCTGTATACAGTCACGTGGCAGCATATGGTCCTTTGATCCCCCTCTGGCGTCTCTCTCCCGTCTACCAGTGCTGGTTCATTGGACAGGTTCTTTCTAATCATCAAGCGGGAATTCTAGAATCAAGAACCCGTCTCGTCTTTTTCATCTTGATCAAGCTATACAGAACTCACAACTTCACAAGACCGGCTCGATTGCCCCCCCATTTCACATGGGCTGTCGACTTAGAATGGCCGTGTCCCAACTCCCAAGACAGACGGCGTCACGGTCGGTTGCTCCACCAAATATCTAGACTCGAGTCTCGACTCTCGACAGAAAACGGACGGACTACGGTGTCAGCTAAGCACCCGACTACTAGCTACTAAGGAGACTACTGACGATACTCGACCACTCAGATCGCTGTCCCCTGAGCCGGGCCTTGATCGATCTTGAATGCTGACTCCGACCGCAAGTTCACAAGTCACACACTCACACCAATTGCATAAGTCGTGGTGTTCCAACTTCCAACTTCCAGCCCATTATTGTCAGCATTCTGCAGAGAATGAATATGAGCTGGGATGATCAGCGTCTTATCTGCCGACAGCCCCCACAGCAGTTGCTGCGGTGGCCAGAATGTGGATCAGAGTATGTGTGGCTCTCATGGCAACATGAATGGGAATCAAACTCAAAGGCAACACACACTTACGGAGTATGGATTCCTCAATAATAATGCTTATTATGAGGCACAAAAATGTAGATGAACTGGTGGAAACTGGACAGCAAGCCACCATTTTGCTATGTTTCATCCACCACAAAGCGAAACAGACCGTCTCTCTGTGCAGGCTAAAAGGCGCTTCCCCTGTTTCATACGCCTTTATCTGCATGCCTATTGGAGGCGGCACTTGTTTCAGATTTGTTACCTGCATATCCACTCAACACCAGTGTGAGTTGTTTGACAAGCCGACGACTTGCCAACGTCCCGCTCTGCTTTGCTTTAGTCTGATAAAGGGAAAAAATCGAGGATCGGGGAGTCGATTTCGGAGGAACCACCATTCAGAAACCAGGAAGCATCGCTTCGATTTTAATGGGTTACGGTGTCGCTGGCCTGTTCAGTTTTTAGCGATGATTTTCATGCCGATTAGTCGGGGCCATTCTGGGCCTGATTCAGACGTCGCATCCCACCCTCCAATCCTAGGCCTGGGTTGATACTTGATATGTGCCTGGCGGCTTCATGAATGAAACTATGCCAATAATAGGTTTTTTACCTGATTGAGCACAAAGACAACAATGATATGGTCCAATCGCTATTATCATGGCTTTCTTCTACTGACAGCACAGACCAAACGCGGCTAACGGGGGGTCGAGCATTCTTGGTCTGCCCATTCTTATATTATCGGCATCGCCGCCATCTTTGTTGTCATGGTCTCACATACCTGACTTTCTCTTTGCTTTCTTTTCCTATTTTCTCTCCTTTCTACTTCGTCAATCTTTGGCGTTTTACATTCTCTCGTTCCAAAACTCGTCGTCGCAGATTGACTCTGCTTTTACCACTTTGCACTTTCCTTTCTGAGCGCGCCCATCACCACACCCTGGACGGTTGTGTTTTCATTCCTTACTATCTATCAACTGCATCGAGTTCGCCGAAGCAGCGACCGCTTTGGTGATAAATCCTCTTGGACTACATTCTCTTCACTACTGTTGAGCCCAAAAAGCTTAATCCCAGGAGGAATATCGTTCTTTTACTAAACTTCGTGCGCGACCATCAAGACTATAACATGGCGCCTTCATCCCTCCTGCTGAGCGTGGGATCGCTCATTGCCTCATCACTGGCCTCTGCGACATCTTTGCAGATTCGGGAACAATCCCAGTCATACCAATTGACCGAGTCCTGGCAGGGCGAAAGCTTCATCAACGATTGGAACTTCTTCGACCGGGGCGATCCTACCAATGGCTATGTCACGTACGTCAACCAGAGTGTCGCTGAGAGCTCGGGCCTGGTGAAAGTCACCCAGAGCGGCAGTTTCTACATGGGTGTGGACTACGAGAGCAAATTGAACCCTGACGGCCCCGGCCGTGAGTCTGTGCGTATAGAGTCCAAGAAGTATTATACGCAGGGCTTATATGTTGTCGACATCGCGCACATGCCTGGTAGCATCTGCGGTACATGGCCTGCCTTCTGGTCTGTCGGCGCCAACTGGCCCCACGACGGTGAGATCGATATCATCGAGGGTGTCAACAAACACGATGCCAATGAGATCGTCCTCCACACTAGTGGTAGCTGCGACGTTGCGGGAAGCCATGACATGACTGGTAGCCTCACATCTGGCGAGTGCGGCGATGCTTCGGGCACGATCGGTTGCGTGGTCAAGGGTACCCAGGGCTCCGCCGGTGACCCTTTCAACGCGCAAGGTGGTGGTGTTTATGCTATCGAGTGGACTGACAGCTTTCTCAAGATCTGGTTCTTCCCTCGCAACTCCATCCCGGCTTCCATCACTGCCGGCAAGCCCGACTCTTCCGCCTTTGGAACCCCCATGGCTCATCTGCAGGGAACATGCGACTTCGCCGAGCGCTTCAAAGAGCAGAAGTTCATCTTGGATACTACTTTCTGCGGAGACTGGGCTGGAAATGTCTTCGGCGAATCCGGCTGCCCTCTAAGTGATGCTAGCAGCCCCATGCGCAGCTGTGTTGACTACGTCGCGCAAAACCCGGCTGCCTTCAAGGAGGCGTACTGGGAGATCAACTCTATTAAGATCTATCAACTTGGCGCTGCTCCTGCCCCGGCCACCGTCGCTTCTCCAAACACCGCCTCCGAAGTCCACAGTGCTAGTGAACTCGCCCCAGCCACTCAAACCGAGAAACCCACTGTCCCAACGGCGGCAGAAACGACCGTGGTCCCCCCTGCGTCGCAGACCAGCACGGTCGCAGAGGAAACGCCAATTGCTCCTCTAGCCACTGCCGCAACGGTTACCGCTGTCAACCCTGCTCCTCCAGCCACACAGCCGACCGCCGAGCCTGCCACTGCAGTGACTGTGACAGACGGTGGCGACTCATTCAGGACCATTTTCCTCACCTCGACAACCACGATCTGCCCTGAGGCACAGAGTTCATCGTCTGCGGCGGCACACGGTGGTAATAAGAATGCCCCAGTAGGGGCTGTGCCAGGTCAGCCCTCCGGCGCCGATGCCGTGGGAAATCCCAATCCCTCCACGACTACTGAAGCGGTTGCCGAAACCGAGACCAGCCAGCCTGAACTGACCGCCGGTGGAATTTCTGAACTACCTAAGTCGGCCCCAGCTCCAACTGCCTCTCAGCCTACCAGCGAGTTCAAACCCTCAGACGTGCCGGATGTTCCTAAACCATCACCTGAGGCTGAGCATCCTGCCCCTCCTGCAGCTGCTGGATCTTCTATCATCAACACGCCCTCTAGCTCCGCTATCTTCGGTAGCTCCACGGCTGTCGGCACATTCACATCCTTGGCACGCGTTTCTCGACCCACTGGAGGCGCTACATTCGTCCCAACCATTGCCACCGCAACAGGATCGCCCACCGTTGGTGAAGACGGCTCTTCGGGCTCTGCAACTGCATCGGCCACACTGACTGCACCTACCGGAATTCTGTTTACTGCCGGCGCTCGCAAACTCTCTGTCGGCCTCTCCGGCCTTGTTGGCGCCCTCGCCGTTGCGGCACTGGCATAATCTGGTTTAAGTTCTGGATGTTGCTGTTCTACTCTTTCTGAATATACATTTTACTTAGGAGCTTCGCAAACTCCTACAATACCCTTGTTGTACATTAGATCCCTGGGATTCTGCTCTCCCCAGCGCCTTTCTTTTTTGGCCACCATCTCCCTCTTCGGTGTGCTAGGCCTCAATTGGCTTTTTTTTTTTCCTCCTTGATATCCTTCCTGTCCATAGCGTAAATTCATAATAGACAACAGTTGAAGTTGCTTGAATTTATAGTTTAAATAGATATGGTTTAGTATTGGGATATCGCGTTTTGCAGATTTTCTGAGGAGACAACTAGATTGGTGAAGGGTTGATTGTAGGTTATGTCTACTACAGACTGACTGGCATAGCATGCGTCCGTAAGTGAGCAGTGAGAACATTCATGAAGTCTAATTCCACCTCTTGACTCTTAAAACCATTGATCCTAGCTAATGAGCTCGTCCCGAATTGCAACATGCATCCTCCAGACTAATTCTACAGTCTCTGCAAACAATCATATCTGAAAGGGACTAACTAACTACCTAAAAAAGAGTTGAACATGTTGATCTTCTTGAATTGCCTTTCCAACCAGAAAATTCCAGACACCCCAACGCTGTCTCATGCATAGCATTTCTTAACACAGACAGCATAGCTACTGCATGGACCAAGTTTTACTTCCCACTGGAAATTGGAATATGGGTTGATCGTAGACTGCAGACTTACTGCCGGTAAACCAAGCCAGTAACTGTCCTTAGCTAGTAGGGTATTGGATATCCCATCCCACAGGGAGGCGTCAAACTTGGTCAGGGCAGGCAGTCTAGCCCCGGATGAGAAGTACTGAGATCAGATAAGATGAATACTTTTGAACATAGACAGGTCACACTTGGGATGAGATTATAACACAAGTGATTTTGCCTTGATATGTAGAGGACTATGGTTCTTGTAGGGCAGTGTTCATTTCCGTGTATCGCTGAGAGGCTTCTTGGTCAGGACGAATCCGTATCCTCGAGAGTCCTCCCCTCATGCTTGTAAGAAACCACCATGACAATCAGCGCGGCCACAAACATGGCCCCGGCAATCCCGGCATACATGCCTAGTAAATCAGGATCTTTATTCGTCGGGGTCAGCGCCAGCGCAATAATAGACCCCCCAGCCGCAGTCAAGCCATAAAGAGCCTGGATGATGGACTTCATGCTCTTCGGTGCCTTGGTGAATGTGTACTCGTACCCGGCGGGGCTGGCAAATACCTCGCTGAGACCTTCGAGAAAATACACGGGCGACTGGTACCCGATGTTGACGTGGTTCGGGAGAGATCCATTCATCGACGCCGCACATGCGCGTGGATGCTTGTAGCACGGCCCGGAGCTGTAAATCCAGCCCTGGATCCCAGCGGCATATCCCATGGCCAGTGCCTCGAGGAAGAAGCCCAGGGCGACGCGCCGGAGGGGAGGCGTCGGGATGCCCCGACGGTGGAGGAAGGGGTAGACGAATTTGGTGACGAGCGGGAGTGCAATGATCACGGTGATGGAGTTCAGATTGGGGAGCATGTCGTTGGGCACTCCGTGAGTCTCCATCTCAGCGGCTTGCGACACGGTATTCGTCGTCATCTGCGCCTGGCAGAGCCAGAAGATCACGAATGGGGTGCTTCGCACTCGGTTAGTAAGGGTCGTTCGAAACGCGAACCGCCCGGACCTACAATGCACGGCAGGCAAACAAGGCGCTCTTCAGCTCGTCGATGAGCCCATCGGACCAAGTCACCGTTATGCCGTCTCTCGCTAGGACGGCCTCTGGCCTCGCCGCGTCCATGCGAAAGCCGTGCCGAATCGCGATCCAGAGAGCTTGCATAGCGGGCAGGAGTACACTTCCCTGGGGCTCGGAAGCCACTTCTTGCGATTAGCATCCGCTGTCGCACACCTCTGGTGTCCCCGTATACTCACTAAGGATCCGGCGCCCGACGTGCAGTAATAGTACGCCAGTCACGATCGAACAGAGAGACAGGAGGTACGCGGCCCAGAAGCCAACGTCCTTTTCGATGAACGTAGCTGCGATCCGAGACTGTGCTCCGATGTTCATGCACCTCGATTCAGTGAGTGATTGACCCAGTCTTGCTTCTACATAGCATAGCTTACCAGTAATAGACATCAAACGCATACTGCAGCGTGACGTCGGGGTCAACGATAACGCGTTCCCCCTTCTTGGTAATCTGGATCCGCTGCTTAATCTTACTACATTGCTCCGCTATATGTGGATGTCAGTCTAGGATTTCTAGCACGTCGGGGGCGGGGGCGTACCAAGCATGGGGGGAAGCGAAGCTTTAACTCCACCGAGGGACAGGCTGACGAGGATCATCGCGACAATAAGGCCAGGAAGTCCAGCTCCCCTGTGGAGCAAGGATGGAATGGAGGTGATAAAGAGCACGGCTACTCCCAATACGTACAGACTGAAACATGTGAGCACCCACACCGTGTGATACTTTACTGGAGGGGGATGAGTTAGTACATCATGGACAATAGCACTGTACGATACCGGCCCAGATACCCGTCCGCCACTATCCCGGCTGCCATGGGGGTCACATAGCTGATGATCAAGAAGACATTGACCAAGAGCGATGCTTTGGATTGTCCGAGGCCTAAAGCACCGGGGCGCAGTGGATCCGAGGCCGAGTTCTGGACATAGTTTTCTAAGGATTTGTGAGTTCCTGCGGTCTGTGTGGAATCTGGTCGCAGTCCATACGGAACGGTCCAACAAAAGAGTAATAGCATGAACGCTCACAAATGGCCACCAAAGCAACTAGCCATGCAGTGGGTGGGAGGGAGTCCGCGATGCGACGACACTGCAGATCTACTGGGCTGGGGGCCTCGCCCTCAGCTGCTGGCAAAGTGGGCGGCTCAGCGAGCGGGATAGGGATAGGGCTAGGTTGGTAAGCCTTTGCTGTGTACGGTAACAGGATCAGTACATAAGTACGGACTTACTCTTGTTTTTCTTCCATCTGCATGGCAATAGCAGTGGATAACGGATGAATGAATGGATAGATTCAGAGCCCGCTTAGTAGGTTGTGTGGGTTGTAGAGGCAATATATATACACGCGTTGGTACCAGACTCAGGGGACAAAGACTCTATGTCTGAATCCCTGCTAGCATGCTTTTCCCTTTGTAGACCCCGCGATAGCCTGGAACATAAATAGGACCCGGTAGCACCCTCCATCAGCATAATTCTATCATACAGACTAGACTGTCCGCAAGAATACTACTATGACTTCAAAGCAGTCCTTCATCTGGCAGGACAATGGAGGTAAGATCTGGAGACGCTTTGGACACAGAACTCCCATTAACCATCATGGATTACAGAGACATTCTCCTGCCACTGGGAAAGGGCCAAGCCCGTTTCAAATGCATTCGCAACGCTCAACTTAGTATTGCGACTGACAGACCCCGGACAAGGACAGAGCCAGGCCACCGAAGATAATGTCGTGCTCGCCTTTCTTGCGGATACGGCTCGTCGTTCGCCTCATCCACCGGAGTCGCTGGTCAAACTGCTCATCCCACTGCACCGCGGCTTTATAGTCCGATCCGACTTCCTCACCGTGAGAATGATACGTTGCCCGATTGTGCAGTGCGTCCAGGAGCTCTGTTTTCCGAACCAGTATCTGGAGGTACCCGGGCCTCACGTCTCTGAATTCGACGAGCTCAGCCGCTATGCGGTTGGCGCGGTGGTACTGCGTTCCGACAAGGATTGCTCTTCAGCTATGCAGCAACTTGACGAAGAACTCCAGAACCGCATTCCACGGTCATATGTGCTGTCTACGCCGTTGGAAAACGATCACCTGGTGATTGCAGGTCATCGGCATCCAGCGGTAATGGCAGGCTACCTTGCCTCTGCCGCCGCTCTGGGCATCCGTGTTACACTCGTTGACGGCGAAGGAGAATTTCTCCCCGTGGAGAGACGGTCGGGTGCGGTTGCGAAATGCATCCCGATTGACATGACAGCGGACGACGGGCTTGCAAGTCGTATCGTCGACGCCCTGGCTGCGACGGGGGAGAAATACCACGGAATCACCACGTTCACAGATACCTGGCTGATCCCTGTGGCCAAGGCAGCGCAGGCTCTGGGACTACCTACTACGTCTCTGGACACGGTAGAGCTCTGCCTGGACAAGCACGCCACGCGCCAGCTCTGCCCCGATGGATTCCAGCCCCTGCGAATCAAGACCGTGGCCGACCTACAGAGCCACCTGTCCAGCTCCCAGCTTGACTATCCTCTGATAGTGAAGCCCTGCACCGCATGGGGCTCACAGGGCGTCCACAAAGCGTCCACCGAAGAGGAGCTACTCGCGGCCGTTGCGCAGGCGCAGGCTTCAGCAAAAGGCTCGGACCTCCTCATCGATCGGTACGTCGATGGGCCCGAGGTGGACGCGAATTTCGTCCTGCAGGATGGCGAGATCCTGTTCTTCGAGCTAGTCGATGGCCTCCCCTGCACCGCCGAGGTGGACAGCCCGGGCCACCCGGGCGACTTCCTGGAGACAGACGAGATTTGGCCGACAAACCATCCGCAGCGGGAAAGCGACATGATCCGGTCCCGTCTCCACAGCATCCTCCTCCGCACCGGCGTCCGCACCGGCGTGTTCCATCTCGAAGCGCGGATTGAAAACTCCGCCATGCACTATACCCTGCAGGACGGAGTCCTTGACTTGCGTCCCCGCGCGGCAGAGCCCGCCGGTGACCCATCCGCCTTCTTACTCGAGATCAATCAGAGGGTACCGGGGCACGGCGGAAGTTGGGGCACCGCATTAGCGTACGGGATCGACTATCCAGCCATCTACATGCTCGGGGCTCTGAATGAGAAGCAACGGTTTCGGTCGCTTTCCGTTCCGTTTGCGAACGGAGCTCCGCAATGGGTTGATAGCGTTTTCATCAACTCGGACCAGGCGGGTGTTTATGATGGAGACGATGTCTGCCAGGACCTGCGGAAGCGCAGGCCAGACCTCATGACGCACGTGCAGTACAGCAATTGCTATTACGGCAATGGGGAGACCATCACGGATTCGCCAGCGCGGATTGCGCTCTTCGTTGTGGCTTCCCATGAAAGTCGGCAGAAGGTCTTGGAGATTTCAAAGGAAATCCGCCAGTGGGTTGAAGTGAAGGTGCGGTAATTCGCCCATCCAAAGTACCATGCATGGGAATAGACAGTCTAGACTTGGTTTATTTTTGATCGCATTAAAATCGGTCTGAATTACTACTTGCAACATAGTCCTGGGTACCTCCCTAGAGCATCCGCCGGACTCTGACTGGTGGGCTGTATATAATTTTTCTAGACTCGATCATCACGGAGTCGAACAATGCTCGAATAATACCCCCACTATATGCAATCGGCTCGTAGCAACGCTCGAAAGCCTAAGCGAGGGCCGCAATATGATATGTAGATAAGACGAGAGGCGACTCCGTAGGGGACGGATATCGCCGGTTGTAACTGTCCATATGCCCTAAAATCTTATGTCATGCCTAAAATCTTACGGATCGTGTTGATCAATGCTTGAATGCTCCTGTGGTACTTTTGATACGTCCCTGAGGTGCCCTTTACGATAAGAGTCGAACTGTCGAACTACTCCGTAGGCTTATGTACAAGCCTAGCCAATTGCAGCCAGCTAAAACCTGCCGAACCGAGCAGTACGGAGTATGCTAAGCAGCCGAGCCTTTCGGAGGCCCCAAGCTTCATTATGCTATTACTGGTGGATGGTGCATCTGGTGACGGGGAGGAGGTGCTAATTAAAGAACACCCGTACATGACCGCAATAGACATGATAAGATTCGCTCTGCAGCGAGGAACACTCAGTATGGTCTGCCTAATGTGGGGGGCTACCGCATCAGACTGCTATCTTTCACCTACGGAGTACTTAGCTAGTCTCAGCTCTGCCCATCAAGCAATCCGCAGTCGTGCAATCTCCGTGTTGACAGGGATATTGAAACCTGAGCCATCCACCATGGACGCCTGTGCTGTCCACTGCATTACTGTCTCAGGTCCGAACAGCAGGCACGTAGTCGATCCTCCGAAATGGAACATCCCCAACTCCTGGCCTTTGCGTACCCGTTGCCCGGGGATCACGGTAATCTCGCATGTCGAAACCTCGGCCATTCCAACGGGCATGACGCAAACTAGCCCCAGGGCGGGATTGTCCGCTTTGATGAAGATCAAAGCCCGAGTGGCGACTGCGGTCAGATAGCCTTGAGATTGGCTGAGGGACTTGTGGCGGGAGCCGAAGCCCTGAGAGTCCGCTTTGGAGTAGTAGGTTCCCGGCACGAGGCGCGTCTTCGCTACCGTGCCGCTAACCGGGCTGTGCCAGCGATGGTAGCTGAGGCTGCTGAGGAAAGCCTGGTACACGGTGCCTCCGATGAAGTACCGCGCTAGCTCATCCTGCGCCAACATGTCCAGCACCGAGTACGGCTGGCCCTTGACCCAGAATGTGTCGCGGCTGGCTACGTTGGTGGCGAGGCGGTACGGCTTGGATTCACAGGGGTTGGCGATGATATTGTCGTCGTCGGGACCGGCAACGGGGCGTACGCCTGGGCGGAAACGACGAATGAAGAAGTCATCCCATGACGTGAATCCCCAATGCGGTACCAAGGGATTGCATTCGAACAGCTGCTCAAAGGGGAGATTGGTTGTGCCGACATTGGCTACATGCTCCATGGCAGCCAGTGCATCCGGCCCTAGCCAACCGTGTGCATCCGCAGTCAGGACGTTGGCAGACGCCTCTGAGCCTAGATGCGCGGCCCATGTGTTGAGAACCTTCCTCAGTTGCGCATTGACCCGGTCATGCAGGAAGAATGCCTTGCCGCTGGGCGTGGACATGGGCCAATTGAGTACCACGTTGATGGGGAAGCCCGTCCAACCGATCTGGAAGACCTGGTTGTCCCATTTCGGCGCTGCTGTCAGCAGGGCATTCATGAGCTGCAGCATTTGCTTGTAGTCCCGAATCTGAGGCCGTCCCAGTGGGTCATTGTTGTAAGGTGACTCGGATGGCACTTGTTGGAACATCGCACATGCATGCATGAAGACGATTGCGTCAGACTCGATGACGGTCTGAAATTCCCGTATGACTGCATGTACTGGAGGCTGTTCATGGCTAGGCTGGGTGGCCTGAAGCACCATGGAGCCGAGCCATTGCTCTAGGTCCTTGTTGCCATGGGGTGGCAGGGCTTCTGTTGGCTGGCTGGTGATTCCGTTGTAATTGGTCATTATCGCGTGATATCAAGTCAATCTATGTGATATCGTAGAAGTGTCTTGCTCAAAGTTGGGGGCATGATGAATCCCAAATATATCTCTTGCTCCTACACCTAGGCACTCTAGTGTATGCATCCAAGCCCCTAACGTAGATGAACATGGGTTGTTGTTCTTTCATGTCGGCTGATGACGGATCATCTCGTCGAGACGGCATAGTCCAGGCAGCCGACTATGCCACTGAAGGTACTCACCGACGATTCCAAGACAAATCCCCTCAAAGGAAGCACTTGCCTGTTCAGGCTAGAAGCCTGTTGTATCGCGAGTTCATCATGCAGTCATTAATGTCCAACTTCCCCGGTGACTGTAATCAACTATCGACACCAAATCACAAGTTACTAGCGCAAAATGGAAAACCAGGCATCTGTTGAGCAGCGGCTCGAGTTGATCACAAAAGGGCTGACCGAGGTCCATGGAGAAGATTCTATCCGTCAGCTTCTAGAGGAGGGTAGAAATCCCAAAGGCTTCTGGGGTATATAGTACACCACCCTTGATAGACGTGAGGGTTGATTGCTAACTGAGCAACGAAGCAACCGCTCCGACGGGCAAGCGTATGCTTTATCCAATTGCAATTCAGGACTTCATTATACTTATATTCTTTCTAGCCCATCTAGCATACTTCGTGCCCTTACTCAAACTGGCAGATTTTGTCAAAGCCGGAGCGGATGTGAGTTTTGGATTATCCATCCTACCGAAGAATTCGGAATATTATGGCTAAGTCGGACTCTTCAGGTGACCGTGTTATTTTGCGGTATATACAACAATTTCCAGCCGTTGTAGAGAATAGAGTCAGCTCACCCTCTTCACCAGATCTCTACGCATTCCTAGTGAACTACAAGCACTCCTGGGAAACAGTCGGCCATCGGACAGCCTACTATAAGCATATCGTGGGGGCAGTCCTCCGAACGATAGGAGTCCCCGAGAACACAGTGCACTTTGTCGAAGGTTCATCGTACGAACTGAGCAAAGAGTTTTCTCTTGCCAACTACAAGCTGTCCGTTCTCACCGATGTCACCGACGTGAAAGCAACAGGAGACGAGTACCGCAACCCCGGCAAATTGAGCGTTCTCTTCTGCCCTGGCCTTCCCGCCTTGGCTGAAGAATACCTCGATTGCGATTTCCAGTTTGGAGGCGAAGATCAGGTATGCTTCCCCCCTTTCTAATCACTGGCACGTCCTCACACTCCGATACGCGAGCAAGAACTGATATACTGTCCGCAGCGTGGTCTCTTTGCATTCAATGAGCGCTTTCTCCCTGAGTTGGGATATCGAAAGCGTGCACATCTGATGAATCCCATGGTGCCGGGGCTACAGGGCACGAAAATGTCCTCTTCGGTGCCGGACTCGAAGATCGAGTTTCTTGAGGACCCGGAATCTGTGCGTCGCAAGATCTTCAATGCTCGCTGCGAGGATGGAAAGATCGCCGAAAATGGGCTACTGAGTCTGCTCAGATTAGTGGTTATTCCTTTTAACCAGAACCGAATGGAGAATGCAGGCACGACCGATGGTGATCAAGGCGTGTTTGATGTCCAACAGGGGAATGGTGAGGTCAAGAGCTTCGCATCGTACGAGGAGCTTGAGACAGCTTTTGCTGCTGGCAAAATATCGCCTGGAGATTTAAAAGAGGCGACGACGCAAGCTGTCAATGCGATGTTGGATCCCCTGCGTAAGCAGTATGAGACGAGCAAGGAGTGGCAGGCGGTTGATCAGTTGGCGTACCCTGAGGACCAGATCTTATAGACAGGTGTTTCATATGAAGTATTGTGTTTTTGATTGTGATTTAAGATGGTAGAGAAGCAGTACTACAGAATAAAAGTGGTGTCGAACGTGTAGCAATCGGGATTAGAAACCTGGGAGCTTGGAATACAGAAATAGGCACACACGCAAAAGAGGGTCAAAAAAAAAAAAAAAGAAGAGGGACGGGAAGAGAAGAGCAGAGGTGGAAAGAGAGGGAGACAGGAAAAGCAAGCATGCTTTGTTCAATAACACCTCTGGGATCTGGTTGGCTATGGAAAAACATGAAATGCGATGTACGCTGCCATAAAATCCAACTCCAACTCAACTGAACAGGTTGAGGGCCGACTCAGGCCGCAAGTAATACAACAGACAAAACCGCTTCCCAGCCCCAGGAACCGGCTGACCAACACGGTGCACACGCGAGTGCAACTCTCCCTTGGATAACCGCTGCAGGGAGTTGGCTACGTTCACAATGGCATGGCCCGTCTTCGGTTCGATAAACCCCCACTCCGTCGACCCGGGCATTTGTATTTCGGTCGTGTAGTGCGGGCAGAAAAGTAGAGTCAGAGTGCCGCCATCAGTGTGCTCGGATGGAGGGACGTCTTCGAGCTTCTCCTCGAAGGGGACAGACTCTAGCTTGAGCCCGGAGTCGCTCGGCTGGCCCTCACGGTGGCTATCCTCCAATCGGTCCGAGTCAAGGGCACGAGACAGCGCGGACAAAACCGTGAAGACTGTTTCATGGGAGGACGCCAGAAAATCTTCGACGAGGGGCCACTGTTTGCTCATGCATTGTGGCGCGATTTGCGTCCCCTGGAGAATTTCATCCCGGGCAATTTCGAACGTCTCGGCCTCGCCTGGCTTATACCTTGCAGCTTGTTAATGATCTTCTGCAAATAGCAGCGACGAAGTTTGTCTTACCCCCGCTCTTGATCTCCTCGGAAATCTATCATTTTGACTTCCTCCGGTTGCGCAAAATACTCCTCTGCCAGCTGGTAGAGAACGGGGAGGGTGTCGAGATACCTTTGGTCGGCTCGCAGGTCAAGATAGAAGAAGCCTGGGGACTTGCTGTTACGGACAAGCTTCTCAATCTCACGGGGATCCCCTCTTGCTAAGAGGCTGTAAGAAATGGTTTGCAGAGGGGCATGTAGAACACGGTGACCATCTATGACGGTCTGTTGGAGGTTCGCAGAGAACGCCATTGTTGGGAGATGGAGTAACAATAGAGGACGAACAGTAGTTGAGTGGTCGTGAGAAGAGAGAAGATGTTGTAAGAATGAGGAGCTCTATATAATGCTGTAGGACAATCCGAGAAACCAAAGTCCCACTCTGCCACCAGCATACTCTGTATAACGGCTTCGGAGCAGATGAGACAACTGATAGATAATGCGGCATTTTCGGGAACTACAATCACCCTTGCTCTCCAAATGTCACTTACCAGTCAGACCCCTCTCGTGGGGAGAGACATTCTAGCTGAGCTGACCCGATGTGATACCTCCATGTACAGGGAACAAAAGTACAATCAACGCAGACCACCCCCCGAGACTGGTAGTGTCATGGTCCGCAATCGCTGGTGCTGATCGAACAGTAGTAAGCAAGGTGAGTAGCATCTCCTATATTGCCCCCTGCTTGAGCCCCATGGCTCCAGAAAAAGAACTGATCAAATACACCCCTTGTCTTCCTGTAAAGCTGCCATTGATATCTGCATGATCGTCGTGGAATTTGACACAATGATAGCTTGTACAGATTTCCTCTCTCTGTTCACTCTTTCTTGTTTGATCCTCTATTGGGTCTGGACCAAGTACGGACACGGACATGCCCTACTTCGCCTTGAAGCCTGCACGCCCCGGAAGGCCGAAAAAAGCTTGTTTGCTGGGCACGGAAAGGCCGGCATCGATCGTGGCAGTGGAGCCGAGGAGTTACAGATGCTGAAAGAAACGTACTTCAAGCTCCAGAACCTTGAAGCCTTTCCTACTATTCTCCCAGCCGCCCGACAACTGCTGTGCCAAATGCTTTCCGGGGCCCTTCTGGATGCGACCAAAAGAGCCCAGTCCGATATCCTCGGTCTAGGAGAGTTTACCCCAGGCAAACTGGGGGAATTCGTCCGGACCGCCGAAGCCGAAACAAAGACGCAATGGGAGAATTATCTGGCAAGAAGAACATCGGGATCCCGGAGGGAGCTCTTCCCCGACGCAGAACGCGCCAGAGAGTGGCTTACGCAGAAGGCTCCTCTCAAGTACGTGGACGGTGCATGGCTGGGCCATATTCACAAAGTCACCACTCCTTTTGCCCTTCGTCGCGTCACCAAGGACGCGTGGCAAGTGTTGTCGGAAGAGCTCGGAGATGGTGACTTGCGCAAGAATCATGTTTTTCTCTACCAACAGCTGCTTGGGCAGGTCTCCTCTCACTTACCAGCCGGGGACTCGGAGGATTTTATTCACCCCCGTCATGGACTGGACGACATCGGGGTTTGGAGAGCGGCGGTCGCCCAATTGCTCATCTCGCTCTTCCCGCATGAATTCCTCCCGGAGATTTTAGGGTTCAACCTGCATTTTGAAGGCTTGACCTTGACCACGATCCAGGTGGCCCATGAATTGAAAGAGCTAGGGATAGACCCTTACTACTTCCTTATCCACATTACAATCGACAATTCCGACTCGGGACATACCGCAATGGCATTGGAGACCGTTGTCAAATACCTCGACACCGTCCGAATCCGAGAGGGCAACACCGGGGCTCAAAAAGCCTGGAAGCGCATCCAGGCGGGATATGTCCTGTCGGAGCGATCTGCCACCGTCTCCGTACGAAGATCGAAGGATCAAAAGGCAGTGCCAGTAACCGAGGATCTTGCTGAGGCCGTCACCAACATATTCCAAGCAAAAGCTGCTGCCGCAGACAAGATCCATTGCGCTAGTCGTATGACAATCGGCGGTCGCTCTTTGGTCGAATGGCTCGATCCAATCCACATCGGCGACAGCAAATGGCAGCTGGATTTTCTCTGCGCCCTGGCGAACTGCACCCCCTGGGTGAAGAGGGGCGACAGTGAGGGCAGCAGGCTCATTCATGAACTCTGCTGGGGCGGCCGGATGTTCGGGTCGTTCACGCACCACGAAGTTGAAACTGTGAAGAACTGGATCGACTCGTTGGACAACTTCTACATGTTCTTCGTCGGGAACCGAGACGACCTACGGGCCGCTTCACCGGACGGGGATATTCGTTACGAATATCCCGTCTTTTCCTCCCTGAGCGGGCTGGGTCTCCTAGGACAACCCGCCCCGATTGTGCCCAGTGAGGAGCCGTTCGTCCTTCCCCGTGCGAATCGCGCTACCATGACGAGAATCCTGCCGTTGTGGCTCACCCATCCCTGCCTCCTGGAGGGCTTTGTGACCGTCCCCTTCAAAACAACCAATGCCCTCCACTGTACAGTGATCCGTCTTCTCCGAAGTCAATATGGGTTCGGAATCGAACGACACGGCGTCGAAGGCATTGACGAGGTTCATCGAGATGCGGTTGGCCTCGTCGAGCTCGGACTCGAGTTGGCCAGGACGTCTGGTGCAGAAGGAGTGGGCTCCCTTCGAGATGCTCTAGAGCGGTGGCCGTCTGATTTCGCCACGACAATGCTACACCTGTCTATGCAGCCTACGCGACACCGAGGCTTGTTGCTCGGGATGACTAGCGCTTTTGTCAGTCTCCATGAGTCTGTTGCGTCTTCCGACCTGCTCTCCCCCAAACTGAGACGGGTTCTGCGGGACATTGTTGCTCGAGAGCAAGAGAGCTTACAGATTTGTAGAGATGAACTCCGTGGAAATGGACGGGAATATGGTGATTTTTTTCGGGGGGTTGCGCTAGCGAAAAGGGAGATTCTTGCAGTGCTTTGAATAGACAATAGATTCACTCTAAGTGTTTATAGTGATTTACCTGTCACCAGAGAGGTCCCACTCTGGCGCCAGAAACGCGTTGATACTACTCTCTAAGGATTAATTTCTCCAGAAAGCTTTCCAGATGCGATCATGTTTACTGTTCCAAGGTTCTGTCTGCTCTGGACTATTTGAGGGGCTTGGCAAATAATGGCTAAACTGGAGGATCTACCAAGGGCTGCTGTCAGGTCTGTACTTAAGCCCAGTATAGAATGTGGTCAACCACCAGAAAGCCCTTTTACCTCTAAAGCAGCGGCATATTCCGAGCATTGCCCGTATCCACTCACCTCACCCACCTCACCCACCGGTCACCCATGCTGTCTCAAGCCAGGATCATCTTCCGCAAGCTCCGTGGTAGTAGCAGCCGTGGCAGCGAGCCCCCGACAGCAGAGAGCGGAATTGTTGACCCATCCCCTCGCGCCATCCATGTCAGCGACGTGAGGCGGTCACCCACCAAGCCACCCCGCAAGCCCGGTTCCGATGCACAGTCCATATCCATTATCATCATGAATGCCAAAGGCGCCGCCGACTACTTGAAGCTGTACAGGGTACGTACCCAGCGCAACATGCTCCGAGTAACCCCCCGGCCGAGCTCACCCCCGCGCGGTTCATTAGCTACTCCAGAGAGAGAAGGGATACGGCGAGTTCGACCCTACAGGCGACTTCGAGACAGATTACCTTTGTGACGGTTACGTCTACAATGTCCGCTTTATCCCGCCCAGCGCCCCGGTGTCTAGCGTAGCGTACTCCTGCCTCATGCAGCATGTCTGCCTCGTCTTCACGTACAGCGCTTCATCGCGGGAATCGTGGGACGAAGTAGTCGCCGCCTGCGAGAGGATGCGCAACCGCTGCGAAGATGGGGTCCTCCCCTTTCTTGCGACAATGATTGCTGCCATGGGTGAAGGTGAAGGTGAAGCCTCCGTGTCGCATGCGGAAGCCGAGGCGTTTGCAACCCAGCGGGACTATCTCTTTGTCAAGTTCTCGCCTGCAACTGGGCGCGGCATGTGCGATGCGGTTGGCTCGCTAGTTGAGCTGGCGCACGGCGCTCGTGATCAATATACTATGGATAAGGAGGGTTATACCCAGAGGTACAAGAGGGCGGAAACATTTCAGGCAATATTTCCCAGCTCGGGATGCCCAGCTCAAGACTGACATCATCATGGATGGATGTGATACCGCCGCCAAGACGGCCAGCAAATACAGCAAATATATTCAGTGGGACGCTGCTTCACTACACTTGGTTTGCCTCCGTAGTCCAGTCACCAGTCTTGCATCTCGACTCAAGATAAGCCCTTGTCTGCCCACTAGCTATTCTGCTATCTCCACCCACTCTTGTTCCAAGAACCCATTACCGAGGGGTTGTAGATATCAAGCTCATATCTGATAGGTATAACAGGAAGTTCGTGAAACAAATGGACAGCGGTCGGCACCTGACAGGGAACTTGGGGGGCCATAGGAGAAGTGGCCACATCAAACAGCAACGTCAAGTGCAGTGTGGAGGGCAAGTATATGCTTCGTTTTCTGGATAGACTGGGATAACAGTATGTATATCCAAGGCGACAGGGCCGCGCAGAGACGAGATTGCGCCGCGGTGCATGGGTTCCAGTGTCCGCCGGCTGGAGACTTCTACGTGCCTCCTGATGAAATACAATCCGCTGGATCAGGAATCATGGGGAAAACCCGTACGGAGAGAGGGTTGACATTTGTTTGAGGTCAAGCTTTGCGGGCATATAGGTGACTATCCTATGGCTTCTACTAGGGCATTCCATAAATTCTGCTCTCTATATTCCAGTTACTCCTGACATCAAGTACATACGACCACAGGGTGTGGAGAACAGGGCTTCCCGTCCGCTCAGCTGTACTTAAGCCACACGCCGGCCGGTTAGTAGTTGGGTGGGTGACCACCAGCGAATCCCGGCTGTTGTATGTTTTTGATGTCTTTTTATGTTATGTCTTCTCTCTTTTTGAATGTTGGGTTTAGCACCCTCCACTGCCTTATCTTCTTCACCTTCTTCACACTTCACAGTTTATTCAAAATCTCAGGAATAAGCTCCGAGGTCCCGAATTTAGATGCTCCTGGAGAGGCTCCCCTCGCTTAAGCTCAGTGCTTCAACCCCCTGGTCTGCAAAGGCAGCTACTGAGCTTGTTGGGGTGTCTCCAAGACTTTCCTCTCATATAGACCCTGATCTATGGATTTTTACACAGTGAGCCTATTACTTTGTCACATGGTCCAAGGTCATTCTAGGTAGTCCATCTGTATGAATGCCTGCAAGGATAGTAGTGCCTTGTACTCCGTATCAGAGAGCCAATCAACGGAATCACTACATGTTCCAAGTGATAAGGGAGGGCTCTAGAGGGTCTTCAGGATGTCGCAACAGTGGTGATCAGTACTAACTAGTGAGTTGTCTTAGCTGGGATGGATCGCGGTACAGCAGACTATAGCTATAAAGCTGCTACAAGCCTACAACAGGTTATTTACTGTCACTCTCCACAGAGTAGATATCATTAGCATATCAGGAAATTTACACACACTATTAAACTAGTACTACGTAAATAGTTGAATAGCAGGTATATTAAACATTAATAATATTAGATACTAAGGATGTCTAATAGTGAGGATATTGAATACTAAGCTATTCCACATGCCTACTGTTCGATATGCCTCCTATTCAATATCTTGATATCCTTACTTAAGCTAGCTAGCCCTTGTAGCTATAGTCCGCCGTACGCGGACTCGGATGGCCTAATCATCAGCAAATGCAAAGTCATCCCTGCCGAATCCACAAAGGCGCATTTGGTCAGCTGAGACTGGGTACTCATTACTCAAAGATCTTGGTCCGGATCTCAATCATCATAATAATAACCAGATGGACTGGCTACAGAGTACTGACGCAGATGCGCGCCACAGACCCGATCTGAGTTGGCTGATCGAACGAGTCTGAAGAAGTGTACTACGTAGAGTTCAGTTGTGCTGGTGCTACAGCTACATGTCACAATGGAGCGATGGATCAGGATCATAGACTCGGAATCCGTGTAAAACTGTAAGAATGAACGCAGAGAAAGAGAGTGATGATGATGGCCGCGGCATAGTTGGCTTCTGCTAGTTTGATTTCTCTCAAGTCTCAATTGATGATCTGGAACAGGAATGGGAGCTAGTTGCGCTGCTAGTTGATGCACCCCCCGTGTGCTGTGCGACCATGATGAAGTGTTAGTATTATCAATAGTTAGTCAATGGTACTTGGGATTCCATAATCGATCCTGACGAATATATCTGCAATTCTAGTGCTGATAATGGATCGTATAAGATTCTGGAGAATGTCCATCACGCCTCTCTCTGCCCAGCCCAGCATACCGATCGTTTCAACTACCCCCATATACCTACTTACCTATTCGGGTCGACGCAGATGAAACAATGGATACCAGCGCGCACAATAATTCCTCTCCTATGGCGGCATCTTCGGAAAAACTGCTCTCGCTCGTCGAACAGATCAAACAATCCATCCTCTGCGAGAATGGCCCCTCGCCGCAAACCCACTCCCACCTCCTAGGGCTGATCGACCAGCTGCGAGGCGCCGTCGAGACGCCCACAGAGACAATACTGAGGCTGATATACCAGGTCTGGCCCCTCTTCCTCTAGGGAAAGATCTTGCGTGCGCTAAGGGTCAAGCTACAGCCGCCGCAGAATGCAGCTCTGCGAACTGTGGTGGACATGGGAATCTTCCCCCTCTTGGTTGATAGTGGTGAGACAGGGGTCTCGGCTGGGGAGTTGGCGAAGCGTATCGGTGCCGAAAAGGAATTGATTGGTAAGTGCCGTTGGTGTGAAAGGCACGAGGAGTACACTTGACGCTGATAACCGGTGTACAGTCCGGTTGATGCGAATTGTCTCTGCGCTGGGCCTCTGTTCAAATCCAGAGCTGGAGGTATACCGCCCAACTGATAAGACGGCTATCATGACTGGCGCCACAGGGCGAGATGGTGTTTCCTGCCTGTAGGTCAGATCCATAGTGGGGGTTCATCGCAGAGAGCAATGCCTGATCGACGAGTGCATAGATACGATTTAACCCTCCCCACGCTAGCCAAGCTGCCCGACTATTTCCGGGAGCATGGATATGCCTGTCCGCAAGATTATGACCGCTCTCCTATGCAGTGGGCTGTCGGACAGAGTCAGTTCGAGTGGCTGGCAGACCGACCGCAGCATCAGAGCCTTTTCAACTCGTATATGGCCAGTCGGCGGCATGGAAAGCCGAGCTGGTTTGACGTGTACCCCGTGCAGCGATTGATGGAGGACGCACGCTCAGACGAAGGGAGTGTGTTGCTGGTGGATATTGGCGGGAATCAGGGGCATGATCTGATCAAATTCCAGAAGCGATTCGGCTCGAAGGCTGGGCGGTTGGTATTGCAGGATCTACCGGGCATAGCTGTCTGCTCGCATCCGGGAATCGAGGTGATGGAATATAGCTTCTTTGATCCGCAGCCTATCTACGGTAAGTGGGCAAGACAGAAGTTGAGACTGACTAGACACTGACGTCCCAGATGCCCGCATATACTATTTCCGCGCCATCTTCCATGACTGGCCCGATCATATCTGCCGTGCCATACTCCGCAACACGGTCTCTGCCATGGATGCAGAGTACTCACGGATCATCATCGCTGATTTCGTGCTGCCGGATACGAACGCCTCCCTACTGCAAGCTTCAATGGATATCCAGATGATGAGCATTGGAGCTGGTGTCGAGAGATCTGAAAGGCAGTGGAGGGAGTTGTTGCACAGTGTGGGACTGGAGATCAGGGAGATTAGGGGAGGTAGTCCCGGCATGGAGTCAGTCATTGAAGCTGCTGTGGTAAATCCAAAATTGGAAAAGCTATGACCCTATGAAACGAAGAATAGCTTTTCTTGCCTGTTTATACAATTAGAAAATGGCCTTAAGGGAAGCCTGGAAAGCCAAAGTCTCTCTTGATCAAAATGGTATCGATTCAGATAGTCCGCGATAGCCCAATATATACATCCAAGATTAAGATTAACTGGCGAGATCACCGCATGACATTTCGGATAGCCGTCTCCATCAACAGCTTGGTATACTGCTGATGCAGCCAAACAATATACGATGGCATGGGTTGCGCCTCAGCCTTGCCCGCACCCTGAAAGAAACAGGACTTGAGTCCAAACTCTGCTACACCCTCATCTGGCTTCACGGCCACAGACATCTCAAATAGACCGTCGGAGGGGCGTACGTCCCGGATACGCGGAGAGTCACCGCAGCGGACAACAATGCGATCGGGGAACTTCTCGATAACTTCAAAGTGGTCGGTGATCAGGGTGCCGGGTTCGTAATTCGAGGAGCGCAGTTCGGAGCGGGACCAGAGATGATTGGCGGTTTCAGGACCTTGGTATTTACGAGCGAGATAGGCGCGTTGGAAAGCGTATCCTGTGTGTTGTTGTTAATCTTCTTCTGATGCGATTTATATATCAGTAGTCACAAATGAGCATACCCCAGCCACTCCAGACACCAGCGCAGAGGGCCTCAACCAGCCTGCCCTTCTTTTCCAGGAGAGTAGGATCGATTTCCGACAAAGGGACTTTGCGGATACAGAGATCGTGCGTTGTCGGGTTTCGAAGAGGGTTAAGGACGTTAAACCGGGCGGAATGGAAGATGCGATCAGATAGAGGTAGTGGGACGAAGACATCGTTGCGTGTGTACCAGAAGAAACCGCCAACCGAAGCAGCACCTCCAACGGTGGTCAGCTTGAGGAAGCGACTGAAGACACCCATTTTATGCTCTATGGTGAGGATTGAACAATTGAAAGGTGGAAGGAGGAAGATGATGGAAGGTGACAAAACTCCCGCGGAATGAATGACACGCGATGGAGACAGCTTCAACTGCTGAGATCATCATCACGGGACTCCACCGGACCAACTCCGACCACGCCAACGCGGATTCTCGAGTGAGGGTGTCAGGCAACTGGGTGATCAGCATCTGTTAAATAGAGTCTGGTGGAATCAAAAGTTGCAATTGCTCGTCCTCTTAGCCCGCCCTTTTTTTGCTCCAGCCCTCGGTGGTTAGGATTGTATAGATAGTTTTTCGCATGTTGCTTTGGCAGATGGACTGGATGATGTCATTGCGGTTCCCATCCAGCATCACCATATTCCAGGGACAAATCTCGCAGTTCGAGTATGCCACCGCTCCCACACCCTGCCGAACTTCTCCTTCAGCATTCTTTCTTCATCCCTAACTCGGACCCCGATCATCATCATCCCCACACTTCCTGATATCACGACCAGCGGCATACCCGATCCAGCTACTCTCTCCAGCATCCACGACTCCATCCAACATGCCCCCGCTGCCCCGTCCCATCGACAAAACAGGCCAACACTTCCCAAGATAAGCAATACCAAACCCGTGTAGCTCGGATGCTGCACATATCGATACACCCCGTCCGTCACCAGTCGGTCCGGCGAAGACAAATAGAAGGTAAAGTTTCGGCCCAAGCCGCCATAGGCCGACAGGCGGACGAATGCACCGACTGCAATGGCCACAATGGAGATAGTCACGACAGGAGCCCAGGAGAAGAGGCTCTCGGAAAGGTTTTCGGGGTGAGGGCAGATCATGCGGAGGTGCGAGTCATCTGGTTGCCAGTAGAGGAGGGTCACGCATGCGTGGTAAATACTGAGGAAGAGCAGGGTCCAGCTGCATATCCTTGCCACCGTGCCGGTGATGAAACGGATGCGATCCGTCTTGTAATGCTGTTGGCTGGCAGATGGGCGATGAGGCGGGGCAGTGCATTTCGCGCTGAGATGGCCACAGAGAAGGATAGAGGAGGAGAGACTAATTGAGGAGAGTGACGGCATCTTGTTACTATCTTTAATCATGTTCCTGCAATAATCGATACCTCATATCAAGAGATGTAAGAGCGAACAAGGACTGACCGATGGTGAGATGAATGAACAAGCATGAAATGGACGATCTTTGCATGACTACCCAAAGAGGAAGGAAGTAAGCATGCCACGCTAGTCTTATATAGGGAATCCACCTGCTCTGTATTTGCTGCTATACCCTAATTGCCAAACAGGGAACCGTCAAAGAGTACAGACAGGATAGCCAGCATAGCCCTTATTGTTTGCTGCGATTCCCATGGGCGATATCACCCGTCGCACTAAGACTATAGCAAGATTGAAGACAACTACTGTAGAACAGAATGATCCTCATACCGGGATATCCAACAAGGAATGGGAAGTAACTAGGTACTCCGTAGTAGCAGAACTGGAGATCCACTGGACCCCGCATTATTGGGGTAACCGAAAGCCGAAGATCGCAACATCCAGTACGACATGCTCATGCTCATGCCACGCCCCAGAGAATTATTCATCACGATAACGCATCGACTTCCTTTCTTCCACAGCTACGAAAATGATCACCCCCTTATCCGGTAACGACCGCTTCAACGCCGAAGCCGCCAACTGGGACTCCAACCCCTCCGTCCAAGAGGCCACACGCCAGGCCTTCGAGACAACGCTCCAACCTCTCATCACCACCCTCTCCAACAAGGCAAGCAATGGGCTTGATGTGCTGGAAGTCGGATGCGGCACGGGTCTTCTGACCCTGCGCGTCGCCCCTCTTGTCAAGGAGATCGTAGCTATTGACACCGCAGACGGGATGATCGAGATGCTCAAAGCCAAACTCACCACGCCAGACGCACCGAAGAACGTCGTCCCAATCTGCCACTTGCTCGAGGACCCGGAGGATGCTGTTCTCCCTACATCAGCCGAGCCAACCGGTTCCAGCGGCCGTCGGAAATTCGATCTCATCGTCTCGCATCTCGTCATGCATCATGTGCCGGATCTGAAGGCCTTCCTCGCCACACTGCGCGGCTGCCTCAAATCCGGGGGCCGGGTGGCGTTGACGGACTTCGAGGACTTTGGACCCGAGGCGAGGAAGTTCCATCCAAAGGACAAGCTGAAGGGCGTTGAGAGACATGGGATTCCGCGGGAATGGATGGAGGAGCTCATGCGGGAAGTCGGCTTCGAGGAGGTCAAGGTGTGGGTGGGGTGGACGTTGGACAAGGAGGTCGAGGATTGGGAGGACGGGAAGAAGGAAACGATGCAGTTTCCATTCCTGGTGTGCGAAGGCGTTTGCCCTTGAGCTTTTTTTTTTTTTTTTTTTTTCTTCCTTTGTTTCTTCTGGGTGAATCCTCCCATCCCACCTCATCCCATCCCATCTCAAAGCTCACCGAATTTTTCGTAAGTCATGCAGATAGTCGTGGTACAAGGCTGCAAGGCTGAAGGCCTGAGGCAGGACACCGTACATATGATGGATCTACAGCTAAGCACTAAAGTATCGATCCTCGTTGACTTTGACCATTCGCAACCAAAATGGCTCTGTGTCTGACTCTGACTCCAGCTGTATCCGATTCCAACCTTCACCCCTTCTTCGTGAGGAAAACGATCATCCTCCACCTGGCGGTGTGATTCGTCACCGGTCAATGCCGAGAAGACAAGGTACAGTTCGCATAAGCCGTGCCTGACGTGGCGCAGCGATGCGGCCTATTACGGTAGTGACTCAGTTTGGAGGCTATTCGGAACTCGAATAACCCGTTGCCCAGAAGAAAAAAAACGTGCTTTTCCACCATGACTCCTCTGCTATCGGTTGCCTCCCTGCTGCAACAGGCTGCAGGTTGCAGAGTGCAGACACTAAACACCCACTGCACGCTTGCAGGGATCAACACGGTGATCGACGTCCGCGGAGTCTCCATCTATGGAAGCCGACATGCCGCTAGAAACCACTATCGCGTCTGACGTACGCCAAATCTGGCAATGAATGCCTGAAAGGCGATGCAGGTAACCTCAGGGCTGAGCTGGGCAAGGCTGATCGGCACGCGAACGAACCATCCGTTTTGAAACTTGGTCCTTATATAGACCACATCTCCGTCGTCTGAGAAACTTGGTCTCTAGAACTGGCACAGCATAATTATCTAAGTCTAATTATACCGAGCAATTGAACAGAACCTGACAACTATGTACGAGGATTCGTTCTCCGACAGCGACCCTCCCAGGGAGCTTGTCCTGTGTTTCGACGGCACGGGCAACACCTTCCGCGCAGATGGCGGCGAGAGTAACATTCTCAAGATCTTCCGAATGCTCGACAGAACGAAACAGAATCGATGTATGTCTTCTTCTCAAGCCCCATTGACTACACAAGCTGACAAGTCCACAGATTGCTATTACCAGCGTACGTCCTGTGGTGAACAAATCTATGAGCGCAACTAACTTTTATTCCAGCTGGCATTGGAACAGACATCACGCCTGGTACGGTCGCCAACCTCGCCATCCGCCCCAGCAACAGCATGTGGACACAAAAGGCCTTTGACCTGGCGCTGGCCACCTCCTTCGACCAACACGTCATCCGAGGCTACCGCTTTCTCGCTCGGCGCTGGGTGCCCGGCGCGAAAATCTACCTTTTCGGCTTTTCTCGAGGTGCCTACACCGCTCGTTTCCTGAATGAGATGCTCGACTATGTCGGACTCATCTCCGCCGACAATGAAGAGATCATCCCCTTTGTGTGGGAAGCTTTCACGCGGTGGAAATTCTCGGAACGCAAGGATCATGCGGAACGCGCGAATGCAATGCGGTTTCTGAGTATCAGTCGCGAGACCATGTGTCGGCCGGTTGGACAGGTGCATTTCCTGGGATTATTCGATACCGTCAACAGCGTGGCAGAATTCAACAAGGAAAGCTGCACACATCCAAGCCCGCGCACCATGCGGCACGCAGTCAGCATTGATGAGCGGAGAATCAAGTTCCAACCCGTCCTGTTCGAGAGCCAGCTGGGCACCGGATCTCTCAAGAGGAAAATGAGCGTGAGCGCGTGGAGAAAGGAGGTTGGCGACGAAGGCGATGTCGATAGTGATCAGACCGACTTCGAAGCGGATTTCGAGGAGGTGTACTTCGCAGGAAACCACGGAGACGTTGGCGGAGGATGGGTGGGCGAGTCATGGCCTGCCAGCCATATTCCGCTCATGTGGATGGTGCAGGAAGCCATCCAGGCTGGGCTCACATTTGAAGAACTCAAGATCGACAAGTTGGGCTGCCACGACCCAATGGAGAGTGAGAGCGCAAAGAACTGCCGGATCGTCCAGGAAGCAGAGAGAGCCATGCTGCACGACTCGTTGGATTATGACTCCGGGAGAGGACTTGAAACCCTTTTTTGGCGGGTGCTGGAATGGTTCCCATTCAAACGACCCAAGGTCGCGCCGGACGGTTCAGTTCACATGACTCGATGGCACACAAGAGGCATGAGACGGCCGCTTCCTAAGGAAGCCAAAATCCATGGCAGTGTCATTCGAAGGTTACGGGCCGACCCGGAATACAGACCTTTCAACTTAGGGCTGGGAAACAAGCCGAACGACATGCAGAAAGCGGAAGAGGATCGGGACATCGGACAATGGAGGCAAATCGAGGGCAATGGGTTGCGCGATTATTGGGTCAAAGTATAGAGGTTTCTGATCAGCTGTTTTGTTTTGTCTTTTGTTTGCGTCGATCAGCGTGATTCGAACACTGTAATTATATGACTGGCGCATCGGAATGCTTCAGTGTGAATTTAGCAACCAATACCCGGCAATATCTTGCCAATGCGTGCGCGATAATCCTCATAAGTCAGCTTCGGTGGAAGTAGCGTTTGATACCCAAAGCCCTGCGTCCCCCAGTCCTGGCGATCATCCAAACCGACAGTCGTCCTTCTGCGTTTGCTTGAAGGCTGCTCATCCCCCTGCAAACGTTGGTACGAGCACGGTTTGCCACGAGACTCACACTCGCCGCACGGCCGCTGCCCATTACAAGCCTTCTTCAATCGGGCACACGCGTCGCAAGCATGTTTCTGCTTCCCACCAGCCTCTGCTTGGGGAACTGCCTGTCCGGATTCTCGGCGTTTGGCACATGTGGTCCAGTGTCGCCGAAGGACATCCCTGGCCAGTTGTCAGTTACACAGCATATACATGCAGCCGGCAGAACGTAGTCTCTGCCTACCCTCGGGTATAGGTGGAACCACAGAACTGGCACTTATGTGGCCTGGGAGGGTTGTCTAACAGAGTCAGTTAGTTTGATCCACGACAGGTTGTTTGGTGACTTACGGATGCGTGAATGGCGTTTGAGATGGTCGCTGCGGCGAAACGTGCAGGAACAGACGTCGCACCTCAAGCGACCCCCATCCATAGTATTTGAGTTAGATTTGTGGTCCATCACTGTGTATTGGAAGAAGCGAGTGTTCATTGCTCATTTTTGTGATGGTTTCGAGATGAGTAGAAAAGTCGTGACGCTGCTCTTAACTCCGAGGCTGCACTAAACCCGAGATTGATCCATTGCCGACGGGATTCCCCCGCAGCATCATTCTACACAGTAGTGTCGCGTTCGGGCGATTTTCTGAGAGTCGATCTTTGCGGGCAATTTTGGCCTGACGATGTCCATTGAAGGTGAGATGTCTTGTCTCTGTCCTCCTCCTCCTCCTCCTCCTCTTTGGTAACGATCATGTGTCAGTCCAGCGACGAATACCGTGGGGAAAGGGGGAGCAGGCGGTTCTGGCATCGAGACGACCCAACATCAACCAAAGAGAGTTATCCAACAGCAACCACTCCAACAACTCGTCGAAATTGCTCTTCAAACTGCAAACAAAGACAAGACCGCGGCTTCTTTCTTAGCGTTAGCAGCGATGACTTACGGAGTACAGCTTCAAGATTGACAGCCCACTTGTGGCTGACCCCGAAAGAGATGCAGGTCGCCTCACGCTAGGACGCTGCAGGACTCAGCTCGCTTATTCCAAGAGTCGACCTATCTCACGGAAATGCTCATGATTAGATATAGCAACCTACGTGATTCCTCCGCATATGGATGGCTTCGTATCCGACGGGAACCCCCCGCAGCGGCGGACAACTCCTAAATCGTCAAGGGGTGCAAAGACTGGAGGCGTAACTGGCCTGGCTGATCCGTTTCCTGGGTATATAAAGCTTCTCTGTTCTTCCTCTCGAATTGTGCTGGCTCCCATCATGCACTCAATCTAACAACATATCAAACATAATACCATATCTCATCATCATACAATGGGTAGCGTTCAGGAATACTTCAATGACTGGCCAAACGATATCGGTGTGAGTAGACACCGCCTTCCTCAATATAGACAACATTTCTAACACATTGTAGTTTGATGCCAACTATGAGGAAAGACAGCCCGTTGAAGTCTCTGTGACCGGCGAGATACCCTCTTACGCAGCGGGAGTTCTCTACCGCACCGGCCTCGGTAAATCCACCGTCAAAACCGACGTTGGAGAGACTTTCGAAGTCTCCCACTGGTTTGATGGATTCAGCCAAACCCATCGGTTCCAGATCTTGGCCCCAGATGAATCCCATCCATCCACGCGGGTTTTGTACAACTCCCGCTTTTCGACAGATGAATTAATCGAACACATTCGAAAGACGGGCTCAATGGACAAACTCAGCTTTGCACAAAAGCGCGATCCCTGCAAGACCGTATTTCAGAAAGTGCAAAGCACTTATATCCCAGAAAATGAGCCATCCTACCACAATATCGGAGTGACGTTGTCTGTCAATATGCCAGGTTTGGGCGACAAGACAGATGTTCGCTGGACAGGTGCGTCTGGAATCAAGACTTTGTACGCAAAGACCGATTCCAGCAACTACAAGCGGATTGACCCCGAGACCCTTGAACCTATCGGACTCGCTGTCCAGAGTAATCTGCACCCTGACCTCACCGGTCCCCTCTCTGCCTCACATGCACGGTCTGATCCGGTGACCGGAGATGTGTACAACTTCAATCTGGGGTTTGGCCCTGAGGGGTCAACCTACCGGGTCTTCCGCGTATCTGCATCAACGGGCGCTACTTCGATTCTGGCGACTTTTGCTGGCACTCCAGCGTATCTCCATTCGCTATTTATCACCGAAGATTATGTCCTGCTCTGCGTATGGAACTCGCATGTCAACCCTGCCAACTTCAAGGCTTCCTTCCTTGAAGCTATCCAACCCTTCGACGCATCCAAGCCCGCAACATGGTACGTGGTCGACCGTAAGGGCAGCCAGGGGCTTATTGCGACATACGAAAGCCGCCCCTTTTTCAGCTTCCACACCATCAACGCCTGGCAGGAGCCCTGCGCCCAGGATCCCACCAAGTCTGACATTGTGGCTGAACTAATCATATTTGATGATTTGAGCATTCTCGACAAATTGTACTTTAAGAATATGATCTCCTCGTCCGCCAGTGCCAAAGCTTGCGTCCAAGGCAAACGCGATGGATGTCGCTCGATGTTAGCCAGTTTCCGACTTCCAGATGTCCCTGCAGCACCAGCCTCTGAAGTGAAAAAGGCTACTGTGGATTGGACGGCCTGCAATTCGCTGGCTCCAGAGCTGCCCACGATCAATCCCAACTATACCACACAGAAACATCGCTACACCTACAGTGTGACAGACCGGGACGAATCGACCTTCTTCGACGGCATCATGAAGTTCGACAGCGTGGCCAAGGAGACCCTCCTTTGGAAGGAACACGGCCACTCCCCGGGAGAAGCGATCTTTGTTGCTGATCCCGCAGGCCTCAACGAGGACGATGGTGTCCTCCTCAGTGTGGTATTGGATGGAAGGGAAGGCAAGAGCTATCTGCTCTGTCTGGATGCCCGCAGTATGACTGAACTCGGTAGAGCGCAATTGAACGGGCCAGTGGGATTTGGCTTCCATGGTCAGCATATTCCGGCCAGTGGAGGACTGCCTACTGGGGATTACTAGCATGATGGTTTGTGCTGCCTCAGTCTGCCATCGATTCTGTGGACTTTTTTGAGTTACTTGTGGGATGTTACTCTCTCAGTTTTGAGGTTATCCAACCGCAGGTGAAATATGTATCGTATCCCAAATTGATTTCGTTGAACATTTGTGAAACTACAACCCGGTCTTCCTAGTACGACGAACGATTACTTGCGCTCAGACTGAACAGCAGGGCCCAAGCCAAGCCTGTGGAGGATAGATCTCATTCCAATCACGGCTCCTTTGCGGTGGTTTGCGAGAAGGAAGTTTATATACACCTATGAGGCTAACCTTGATATGTAAGGACCTTGACACGACTTGGATATATTGACACATTCTCTAACAACAGCTTCCCAGACGATACCACTTCTGGTTAGATACTCCTCACCCAAACCAGAATAGAAAGAAGGAACGGCTTGATGGCATCTCTACCGACATCTGGAGTTACCAGGCTGACCCGGTTAAGTCCGCGCTATCCCCGCCAGGATTCTGAGCTGTCCGACATATAAATTCGACATCTTCCTTGTCTCCCATTAGCTCTTCATCGGCTCAAATAGAGATCATCAATCATGGGTCCCAAGAAGCTCACCTGGCTCATCACTGGTTGCTCCTCAGGCTTCGGCCTCTCCCTGACACGCGCCGCACTCGCTGGGGGGCACAAGGTCATTGCAACTTCCCGCAACCCTTCTCGCACCCCGGAACTGGTCGCCGAGGTTGAGAGTAAAGGGGGTAAATGGGTCAAGCTGGATCTGGACGACCCGCAGAATGGTGATGTGATTACTGAGCTTGAGAAGGGTGGGGATGATCATATTGACGTGCTTGTCAACAACGCAGGCTGGTCCGTCCACGCACCTGTTGAGACCTTCACCGAAGAGGAAGTGCGAGCGCAAATGGAAACAATCTATTTTGGCCCGCTCCGTCTGATCCGCGCGGTTCTGCCCCATATGCGTCAGCGCCGGTTTGGTGTGATTGTCAACATGAGTAGCGGTGCCTCGCTCGACGGCATGCCCTCGATGGGTGTCTATGCGGGTGCGAAGGCCGGTTTGGATGGTATGTGAAGTGTGCCCCTTGTCCGCTATCATGAAATAAAACATCAGCCAATAGTGCTGGACTCTACCAGGTCTCACCAAGGTCCTTGCCAAGGAGGTTGCTCCATTCAACATCCGCACCCTGACCGTTGTACTCGGCACCTTTAACACCAATATGCCCGGTACTGTGGGTCTGGGCAAGACGCCTCTCCCAGAGGATTACAAGGGAACCGTCACCGAGCAGGTGCAGGATCTTCTGATGACCGGGAAGCTCAAGTTGAATGGGGATAAAGATAAAGCCATGAACGCCTTATACCAGATAATCATAGGGGAGGGAGTAGGCGAAGGACTTGAAGCAGAGAGACTACTGCCTCTGGGTAGCGATATGACTCCTCGCCTTCAGGGAGTGCGGGACTTTCTCGGCCATGCTCTGGAGGTATTTGGCTCGGTGACTAATAATGTGAATATCGACGAGTAGATTTCATGTATCTAGCCCTGATTATGACCACCTGCCTTTATACATGGTCCAATCCAGCTTTATTCAACGACCCCATCGTCCAATTAGCATCTGGAATCGCTAAATCGTAGCTAAAAGTCGACTAGATCACTAGCAGCCTGCAGAACTCCACATGTGGACTGCCAGAACAACAGTTGGGGTCATTTTGTCTGTCGATCAGCGCAAGTACCATTCACGCAGAAAGGAGCCGTCACTGCTCACTAGTTCGAGATGCTTAACTCGTGTAAAATCCATTCGAGTATGTTGAATTTTTTTGCATCGATAAGAGAGAATTGCCTTTTCCTCCCTTTTACCTCCATCGCCAAACCCAACTCCTCATATTTTCATTACTCCAATCTCTTTGCAGACACCATGCGCAGTTTATCCCTTCTCTCATTGACGGTGCTCGCAGCCACCTCAGCTCTGGCCCACCAGGCATCAAATGGCTGCAGAGCTTTAATTGGCAGTCTGGCTGATGCGACCTTCCATACCAGCGATGTAGTCTATGCCTACGAGACACAAAATTTCTGGTCCAGCACCGAGATCATGTCTCCTGGCTGCGTGTTTCGCCCGCAATCAACCTCCCAGCTGGCTGACGGCCTGCAGAAACTCGTTCAGGCCAATGCGCAGTTTGCTGTGCGCGGTGGTGGTCATATGGGTATCCGGGTATGATTATGGAGAGAGAAAAAAACAAACAAACAAAGTCGTGATAGTTGCTAACTCCCAAAGGGATCGAATAATATCGACGACGGTGTTCTGATCGTCTTGTCCAATCTGACTACGATGGCGTTGTCGCAGGACCACTCCGTCCTCTCGCTGGGTCCTTCGTACTGGTGAGTTGAGCTGCGTCTCATGCAATGGAGTCTCGCTAATCTGCGAAGCTGGATCGATGTTTACGAGTATCTCGAGCTGTACGGTCTGGCGGTAGCTGGAGGCCGTCTGGGTCCCGTCGGCGTACCTGGTCTGCTTCTCGCCGGTGGGATCAGCTTCTACGGCAACCAGGTTGGCTGGGCTTGCGACAATGTCATCAACTATGAAGTCGTCCTAGCCGATGGGTCGGTGGCCAATGCCAACAAGACCAGCCACCCGGATCTGTTCTGGGCCTTGAAAGGAGGTAGCAGCAACTTCGGGATCGTGACTCGCTTCGATCTCCAGACGATCCAGTCACCCAAGATCTGGGCTGGTACGCACACCGTGGCTGCGGAACACGTGGACCGTTTTCTTCAGGTATGTTTGAGGACTTTTACTATCGATTGCATGCATAACTGACAGCGGAGGCTGTGGCGACCTACGCGGCCAACATCTCCGACCCCAAGTCCCATATCGTCCCCGCGTTGGTCCCCGGCGACTCTTTACTCGCATCAGTGATCCTCTTCTACGACAGCGAAGGCGTTGCCTACCCGAACATCTTCAACCCATTCACCGACATCCCCGCCGTCAGCAGCACGCTTGCCTTCAAGACCCTGGCCGAGTTCGCAACCGAACTAGGCGCCATGGTCGTCCCGGGCATCAAGTGCGTTCCCGCCCCCTCCCTTTTCCCTTTCCCTTCCGTCCATGCCAAACCCACTGACTAGACTTGTCCAGCGACGTCTTCGCCGGCACCGTCGTCGGAACAACCTACGCCGACCTCCTCCGCGGCATTACAATCATCAACCAGACCTTCTTCGCCGGGCTCCCCAAGCTCTACGCCCAGATCCCCGCCGCCAACATCTCCACTATCCAGCTGGACTGGCAGCCGATCGGCGCATCGTGGATGGCCGCTACAGCCGCGCGCGGTGGCAACGCGCTCGGCCTCGATGCGTCCAAGGTGTATCTGTGCTATGCGGAGGTGGTGGAGTGGATCGGCTCTGCGTATGATGAGATCGTTGCTGCGTGGATCGAGGAGACGACATATAGGATCAACAATGCCACGCGGGCGGCGGGTTTGTATGACCCGTTCAACTACATGGGTGACGCGGCGGGTTTCCAGTCCGTCTTCCCTGGATATGGAGCGGAGAACTTGGAGAAGTTGCGAGTAGTTGCGCAGAGGTATGATCCGCATTCGGTGTTTCAGACTCTCATGCCAGGAGGGTTTAAGGCGTTCTAGGCGGTTGGTACTTGTTGGATAAGATAGAAGCTTCAAAGTGAGAACCTCATAGCTAGATAGAATGTGTCGTTCTGCCACAGACTTGACGGCCGTGCAGATGTCGCTTGCCCTTCCCCGGTCAGGCATAAATCAGTTAAAATGCAACATGGCCCCAGCTCTAGTCCATCAGGCTTCATGTGGAGAGGAAGCTTGGTTTGAATGGGCTTCTCCGTGTTTGGTTGTGTCCACTCAGACGTCTCAGAGTGAATCACATCCCGCGATCCACCCCCAAACGGTGATCTGCCGAACACCGGGTCTTGGGGGGAAGACCGGGTTGTTTTATGTTTTGAGATTCAGCGCAGATCACTTGATGATCTGAATAATCAATCAGTGGCTGTTCTCCCGAGGCTCTCGTCCCACAAGAGCGGATAGGCCCAGAATATTTTCACCCAATAGATCTTGTCATGACCTCTGACCGGCCATCTCCTCTCCGACATGTCGATATCATTCTGACCTTCAACCTTAGTACAGTGTGACTCTGTTTGAGCCCATGAGCATTCCTGATAACTTTACCTTGCTAGTCATTACCGGTCCATCTATCATCTTTGACCCCTCTGAACTGTCCCCTCCCCCGGTCTATGGCTGCAGTACTCTGAAACCATAGTTACTCCTCATCGTGGAACTCTCCCGACATGGTATTGATCTCAATAGTTCCTCCATTATTGCACAGACAGTCAAGTTCAAGGGGGATGCCAAAGAGCCTTGCCTAAGCCTTAATTAAATTGCCTTCATGAGAATCGAGTCGAGCCAAAGTATAGGAAAGCAAGTTTGATTCTGATCAAGTGCCAAAGGAGGGGCTGTGTTAGCATTTCCAAAGATATAGCAAAGTGCTGTTCACTAACCTGTAGACTGATAATCAATTAAAATATTATGGTAGAAATGCATCCTCCTAAGATCTAGGATTTATATTGCTAGAAAGTGGTCATGCAATGAATAATTTGTGAAATAAGAAAGCGATGACGCATTGGAAAGGGTAGTTGTTCAGGTTGAAAGAAATATATATAAGCGAAGCAGCTGATCTGGTTCTTCTTCCGCAGTCTCACAGGATGTATGCAAGAGAGTAGATGATGATAATAACAGGATACTAGTTGGGTGGGGAGTAGTAGACGATAGAATTCATACTCGACATTGTATATCCATCACCAGTTCATACACATGAACGATCCTGTTTTATATTTAACACCAACACCAACATCATGAACGTGTCATAATCCTCATCTTCCTGAACTTCCAGTCTCATCTATCTCGATCTTATTAGCCCTCCTTCTCTACCAACATGCCTCAAGGAACATCCTCAGTCACAGGCTGCTCCACCAACAACATTTCGACGTGGTGTCCAACTTGGTTGCTGGTGAGTTGTTCGCTGCTTGATTATTATGTGCTGGACTGACTAGGCTAGGATCAAGTCATCAGTAACGGACAGGACTTAGATGAACTCGAAAAGAGTCTCCGCAATTGATCCGACTAAGAAAACTCTAGCTGCTTCCGTGTTCTATATGCTCAACCTGGAATCTTGAAGCCCCCAGGCATATTGTATTGAAAGACACCCCGACGATCAACTTCCCACCGCACTCGCTTCAGCTTGTGAACACTGTCCTTTCCATAACTAGCGATAGGGTCCTGCCACTCGGCCGCATAGTTCAAGTATAAGAACGGATCGTAGTCGCCCAGTCTGCGCGCATCATCTTCAATTCCATCAAACAACGCACGCGCAGTTTCCTCAACTCTGGCATCGTCCGCCGCGTTGTCCCAAGAAGCACTAAGCAGCGTAACAACCAGTGCGTCAGTCCTTCCTGTCAATCCCATCGCATTCTTTGAGGCAGCACGAGCGTAAATAGCTGGTGGCAGAGGCTCCAGCGATACCGACCACACAATGCCAGGAACGTCTCGAATTGGGGCCAGGCTCTCATTCCACCGCATATAAGTCGCATTCAACGCGGCAATACTCGAGACAAGCGTCGTCACCACACTTAGTTGCCTGTCGCAAATCAGCTCTGCATGCATGACCAGCCGCGCTGCACATACCGCTTCCCGTCTGGCGAGAACGATCCCTGCTCCATGGAGATCTCATGCATCTCCGCAATCCTCATCGTGCTGGCCAGCGACGGCATCTTGAAGAACGGCTCATAGACAGCCGGACGCTCCTCTTCCTTGGTATACACAATACTATTGACCACTGCGGAACCCTGGCCCCCTGAATACCCAAAGCTCGTAATCAGGGACGCATACTCATCATACTCCTCCGCGGAATTCAACTGCGCAAAAGCCCTAATCTGCTCCTCCGCTGTGTCCAGCGCGTAGTAGACGCTTCCACCCCAGATACGACCTTGTTTGAATGCGCCTAAGTCAACTCTCGTCACAATGCCGAAATTACTGCTTCCGCCTCGCAGCGCCTGCAAGAGATTGGAATTAGTCTTCTCGTTGACTTCCACCACCGATCCGTTCGCTAGGACGACTTCGAACTGCGAGACCGTGTCGCAAGTCCATCCGTACCGCGGCGAGAGGTATGATATCCCACCTCCTGTTGTGAGCCCTCCTACCCCGACTTGTGCGGCTCGTCCGCCGGCCGCAGATAGACCTAATGGGTCGAGGTAAGCGTATACTTCTCCCCAGGTAGCACCGACACCAACCGAGACTGCGGTATGGTCACTGTTGATGTTAATGCTATTAAGACCGCGCAGGTCGATTGTGATCCCATCAGCGATGTTTGATACGCCGCCGATGCTGGCGTGGCCGCCGGAGCGGACAGCAAAGTGGCAGTGGGGTCCGCCATAGTTGTCAAGAACATCCGGAGTCGAAGTTAGAGTTCTGATAGCGATGGAGACATCTTCTGCACTTGTTGGGGAGACGATGCATTTGGGATGAAGATCGGAATTTTGCTGCGAGAAGTACGAGCTGAGAGAGGAATTGTAAGTGGTGGTGCCGGGGAAGGACACTTTGTTGCCCAACACGGATGATAAAGCGAGACACTGGAATCGATCAGATCGATGTCGATGAAAGATCTGGAGCACTAGGATTTACTCACACATGCCCCAAGCTTCTCGAGTACAGTGGAACTGGTGCTAATGGCGTTCATGGTTCATTCTAATCTGAAACAGCACGATGGATGACAGGAGGAGACGTTGTCAACACCCGCTGATCTCCCCCTCTCAGAACTTCTGTCCTCTCCTCTTCTCTGCTCACCGCTGCTCGAACTTCATCCCACTCAATCATCGAATCATCGCACAGGAGGCATAGGACGCCTCACAATACGCTATTAATAATGATAGGTTACATGATGGAGCTCCCCATAGGCAGTCACGTTGTCCGGCTCGTAAGTCAAGCAAGTCCATCCCTCGCCGTTGTCGGATTTACTAACCAGTGACTCGATCGCAGTACGATTTCGGTCATATTAACGGCCTTAATAGGAAATTAGATACCGTCTATTTTATCCATCGTGTTGACTTCGCCTCATCAAGCTCAGCTCCGAGCTCACACATCTACAGGTAGTGAGATCTGCCAAGCTATCGCACAGCTGTCAGTCCTGGCTTCCCGTCTTCAGGACCTGCCGGTCATCCCACAGCGAGGACGCAAAGTCCCAACTTCGGAAACAGAGCCAATAATGAACGTGTGGATCTCAAGGCTAGGGTTGTTTCCTACTGGGTGAAAACGGAGGAGAGGCCCGTCTGTTGTACGACGGTAGTACACTTGAACAACAATTGGGCGTTTTCATCGCTCCACGTCTTAGTGTCAGGTACCATGTTCTTGGCCTTCAGCCTTCGCTTGGTGAATAGCTGCCATTGGGACGATTTACGAGTCGACGGCAATGCTATCTGATCCGATAGCAAATTGGAACTGACCGGAAGGCGGAAGGAGTATCAGAGAAGGATTATGTTGGTGTCCCTGAAAAACACTCAGGAAAATGCAGGTCCCTTGAGAATCCCTGTCTCGGCAAGACGGCAACACATCACAAGGCGCTTAAGCATACACCGAGATGGACAATGAGTCAAGATATCCAACATTCTTAACGAGAGACACACATCACACGAAGTACCAAGGAATCGAAAAACCAGTGGCCCTTCGACTGGATCTATCAACAATTCGCGCTCGTCTGTATCATTACCAATACGAGAAGGAAGAAAGGATCCTTCTCCTAACCCCTGAGATTCTGTGAGCTAGCTGTCGTCTATCGCCATTCGCCACATTTAGGCCCGCCAAGCAGGGGCTAAATGGGGATCGTGTTTGAGAATATCTCCACACGCAAGTCTGAAACACGGTCCGTCGAATGTCAGCTGTTGTTGGACTTGGAACCAATTTTCTCCAAAGTGGATCGCGGACCCTTGCGGTGCTGTTCGTCCTTGTTTATTTCACCAGCCATTCATTGTCGGCGCTTAGCGTTGGGCGCAATGATAAGCGCCTTTCATGGCTTTCGGGCTGTGGTCCTGGCTCTCGGGCCACTCATTTCATATACGAGGCCGGTTAATATTTAAAGAGGCATACGAGGTCCATGATCTCGTGTCTTCAGTTTTTCCCTCACATTCCTTTACCCTGCTAGACGCAGTTTTGTTGTTTTCACCCACTCATTCATTCCTTGAATTGCAACAATGTTCAGACTCAATACAATTCTCGCAGTGCTGGCACTGCTTACCACCTTTGTTCAGGCCCATACCGTCTTCACGACCCTCTACGTGGATGGAACCACCGAAGGTGATGGGACCTGTATCCGAATGAACCGCAACGCGGACAAAGTCAGCTTTCCCATTGAGCCTTTGTCGAGCAAGGATATCGCCTGTGGTACGTGTCCAATTCTCCCCGAGAAATATTGTTCTTGGCTAACAGATAACAGGCTACGATGGAGAAAAAGCCGTTGCACGCGTCTGCCCCGCCAAGGCTTCATCGACCCTTACCTTCCAGTTCAAGCAGTATGCGGATGGTTCTAAGCCCAGCCCCCTGGACCGCAGCCACAAGGGTCCATGCGCCGTTTACATGAAGAAAGTTGCCGATGCCACTGCCGACAACAATGCGGCCGGTGACGGTTGGTTCAAGATCTGGCAAGCGGATTATGACGCCGCGGCTGGCAAGTGGTGCACCGAACAGATGATCGACAACAAAGGCTTCCTGTCTGCACAGATCCCATCCGATATCGAGGGCGGCTACTACCTGGTCCGACCTGAGCTGCTGGCTCTGCACGCTGCGCAGGATAACCCCCGCGACCCTCAATTCTACGTTGGCTGTGCCCAGGTCTTTGTCGAATCCGCCGGAACCGCGAAGCCCGCGACCACGACCATTGGCGAGGGAACATACGACCTGAGCATCCCGGGAATGACCTTCAATATCTACCAGAAGCCAATGGCACTGCCATATCCCATGTTTGGACCACCAGTCTACAAGGCTGGAACACCCCAGCCGGCCCCGACGAACCAGAAGACACCGACCGAGCAGAAGGCGCCCACCGAGCAGAAGACACCCACCGAGCAGCAGGCGCCTACCGAGCAGAAGGCACCCACCGAGCAGAAGGCACCAGTACAGCAGAAGCCAGTCAATGCCTGCCTTGCCCCACGATCGATGTTAATTCAGGATAAGGGTCTGAAGCCTAAGGGCTGCATCCTGGTTCGCGACAACTGGTGCGGATTCGAGGTGCCCGCGTATACGACTCAAGACGGCTGCTGGGCTGTAAGTACCACTCATGTCCTTCACTAGGGTTACGCTAACTGTACGGTAGTCCCAGAAGAATTGCTGGGATCAGGCCGATGTCTGCTGGGGTACCGCTCTCCCAACGGGTTCCAGCCACTGCCAGATCTGGAGCGACAAGTGCACTGCTCTTAACAACTCGTGCAAGAGCGGACAGTGGGTTGGTCCTCCTGATGCGGGCAAGGATCTCACTCCCGTCCCAGCGACCCTGGCCTCGCTGAAGGTGTCTAGACGGGCCATTGGGATGCGTAGACGGGGACGGAGACACACTCACGCATAGATTTCTTAGCCCGTTAGTCGGGGTCTGGTGTTTAGAAGAACAAATACCATGATACTCAAAGAGTTCATATTGCATATTATAGACGGAATGACTTATGAATGACCCTATACAAGATATTTTCTTCCTGTCGCCGTGCCGGAGAGTTCAACCTTGTCGTGACATGATCGAACCCTGACCGTCGGCACAGCAAGTCTGTTAAAGTACACTCCAACTGTCACTCATGCAGTGCTGTATGTTGCCATCCACTTCATACGTCCAGCTTGAAGAGACTATTCAGTGGGTAGTTATATTACGCCTGACAACGACATTCTTCTTCTAAACTTTACCTCCTCCCCAGCATGAACCATAGAGATGGTGAATGGAACGCCCTAAGACATGACTATATCTACAGTCTTCTTCCACCTCCCATCAACTCAACCTTTCCAACATCTCTTTTCCCTCTTCATTACACCTCTAGCTGCCCCCTCCTCCTCCCCTAGGATGAGTGTCTGAGCAAACGCCAAAGAGGACCAAAGGAGGGAAGGGTGAAGGGAGTCAGCAACCCCCAACAGCAAGCTGTACAATTACTCCTGTACATGTTGCATTTCCCCAAGAAGCCACCATCTACCTTCCATCTCCTCCATAGAGTGACCAGAGAAATTGCAGCTATCAAGAGGACTGGCGAGCCGGCAGACGGGAAAGTGTTGAGATCAATCCCCCTTTTAAGGGGAAAAACGTTGGTACCGGCCTAGAGCAGGATCATCATGGGGGGATTAGCTCTCGCTGAGATCCGCCATATATGGGATATTCCGCAGACAATTTGCCGATATGTGGATGTTTTCCTGCTTCTTATGGAGAAAACCATCAGTATGGATGGGTGACCTCGGTCAACTGTCTTTGTTTTGCTTCTCTTTCTTCTCTTTTTCATTCTTTACTATTATAATGATTATTGTTATTATGAAGAGAGGTGTTCTGGTCACTCTTCACTACAATAGCTGCCACCTGATTGATTAGGGAGTAGTATTTGGTTACTACTGGTAAGGCCTTACCCTTATCACATGACTAGCATCTATATCTCAAAAATGAAGAGGAACCAAGCCAGACTGAATAGTTGTGAGGGAGGCTGTACGAGGGACAAAATGACAAATGCACAAAGGATCTAGAGTAAACGGCTTCATATTCGAGATCCTATCACTAACAGGCAGCATACACAAATGTATGAACTCCCCACAGTCGATAAGAAACCACCCCTTGCAGACGAACAACCATCAACCACCAGCCTCCTAGGCATCTTCACTCCCAAGTCAAAGCTTAACAGCTATCACTATGTCCCTTTCCGGCATCCTGGCATCCTCCGGAGCAGAATCTCAGGAACTCAATCTCGCCGTTGGAGCCGCCAGTGCAGTGGAACAGCGACTGCTGGATGTGGCTGGGATCAGTAGACTGACCCTTGGCCTTGAGCTCGTTGGCAATTTGGGCGTAGTAGTTGCCTGCGTATTATTCGTTAGTCACCTAAAAAGAGAGAGAGAGAGAGAGAGAGAAGAAAAAAAAAAAAAGGCTATCTCACCCTTTTTAAGGAGGGAGCTACCGCAGTAGTCCAGGTTGGCCTTGCAGTTACTGGCAGCTGCGAAGGAGGAGAGGAAGGCCGTGAGGCCGATAGCAACAGTGGTGAACTTGACCATTTTGAAGGCTGTTTGCTTTGAGAGGCTTTTGTGTTGGATCTCGATGGGTTTGTTGTTGTTGATGATGATGATGATGAGTCTGCAATACCCGGGGACATGACGGGCCTTATATAGCTTTCTCCATCTTGGGTTTGAGGGTCCAATTGAGGATGTAGAGGATTGCCAACCGCTGCGGCTGAGTGTTTCTTGATGCTCCAATACGTGCTGGTACCGGATGACACCGACTTGTCTGTCAGATGCGCCTTCTGTAGACATCGATGTGGAATGCCTCAATGGCGGCGAATTCCTAGTTGAGACAAACGCTCCCCTATCGTCAGTACCCCGCTGCAACTATCTGATCCTTCCGATCGTCGCGGGAAGGGCGATCCTACAGTTTCAGCCGCATCTCAGCTATCCGTAGACATCATCTATCGAGTATCGACTCTGCGTACAGACGGCGGTCTACCATGGACTCCTGATAGGTCTCAACCTGTGTTCCGTCTAGAATCCTTCTGAAACTCAACGCTCAGGCAATGGTGAGATATCAGCTCCGGACTCACAAGGACTGGGAACCTTCAGCAGCAAGACGCTGAGGATCCCCAAACAAACAGTCAGCTGGATCACTTCAACTACCAAACCGCATTGCTGATCTCATCCTTTCTGGCCAATGTCTGCTTGCCGCCAAGCAACCACACCAGGCCATGAAACGCACACCGTCGATAGCTCCATAGTTCGGCCACGGAAAAGATACGCTGTGTGACACAGCTGAGCGGAGGGTGGCCTGATCTGCGCTATCCCTGTAGAGTCCTCTCATCTCAGCCTCATCCTTTGACTTTTGTTACAGTAAGCTGGAAAGGTACCGCTACCAGCCCCAGGGTGATCTACGAAGGTCCTCTCTACAGGTGCATCACACTCGAGTGCTACACAGAGAGGCAGATTGTTGTGAAAGTACTCTGTACTCACTCTCACATCGTCTCGTTGGTTTGTTCTGATCGACAGGCCATAGACGGGGGCCGGGCGCGAACGTCAAAAGATCAGCACCCAGCCTTGCCTGGTTTCCTTCCATGAAATAGGTCAACAAGCAAACCCCGCAGCGTAGAAGCAGCTGTATATTCCTGCAGGGAGACTTCATACAGATTTCTCCGCCAACTAGTACTGCAGTATGTAGCAAGTACAGTATGTACGGCCATGCCGAGACTCGTACGGACATGATTGACGACAGCGTCGTGGTTCGATCGAGCAACAACTGTGGACACGATGACTGCGGTGCAGAATGAACGCGTAAAAGAAGCCAATCCTGGAGAATGAGTCATGTATACGGTACAGCTGCGAGGATGCACTTACGCTCCGAGCTCATACAGCGGAACCTCAACCTTGTCGGACTGCATGCTGTGCGAGATTCCCTGCAGATAAAGTTGAAATCTCTCTCTCTCCCTCCTCTCCCTCTTTGGTGGTGGTGTGGAATGTGGGGGTGTTCGGAAACATCACCAACGGATGATCAAACTGGGCGATCTGCCGCTAATGAAGAAGTTGTTGATTTGGTTTATTTAATCTTGAACTCCAATGTCCATCCGTAACCAATGCTAGCTATATTACAATACAAGCAATTAATTCGTGACCATAAATCGTTATGCCAGCCGATCAAACTCCCGGGTCGTCGGACTTGTTGGCTCGGGGCTATCCACTGTTCTCTAATACTCGAAGCTGGATGGCGCCAGACATCTTCGGGCCATCGTCAATCTCCTCTCCTGTTGCAGACTTGTTATCTGTCGCTTCCTCCTCGACCGCGTATCGCCATCGTCCGTCCACGCCGAGAAACATTCGGAACCCATAGCGTTTGTCCAACCGGTCGAGGTGTATTCGCCTCTGTATGCTTGTCCAAAAGTAGGTGCCTCGGAAATCGTTGAGAAATCGCGAATGAGCTACCCATGGCATGACAGACCCGATAGACCGGGGAACGCGAGGCCCCTTGAATCGTCCACGACGCGTGCTAAAGACGATCAGCACAACCAGGGTGTTAAGCGCGATAATCATCAAAGCGATGGCCAGCGAGGGGACGGAGGGCTCCATGGTCCACGTGTTGTAGATGATCGTGGAGTTGGGCGCGCTGTATGGGTCCTGCAGCGGCTGGAGATAGATCTCCCTCCACAGGGTAAAGTAGGTGCTATACACCCATTGGTAAACAATTTGTGACATCCTCATCAAGTCATGCGGATTCAGCGTGGTGAACTCGGGCCGTCGACGCTTGTACAGACGTGCGACTAGGAAACCAGCCCAGTCATACGACGTGACGTACGATTCGCGATTATAAGTGGAATTGCTAATATAGCTCTGCGGAATTGCGGCGAAAACTTTGTTGAATTGGCCCAAACTGACTGTGGCATTGTCATACATGGGGCCTGATGTGATGGACGTATTCGCCAGCGGATGCAGTTTCTGGATCTGGCCCTTTTGGTCGAACACAACCGAATAGGTTTCCAGACTTATTCGCGGCTCACAATGGAGTGCGATGGTGTTCCTCTCAGTGACCGGTGAACCAGCTGTGTAATTCCACCGACCTAGCACGACCACCGTTGTTGTTTGGCAATCGCCAGAATCCTCGTCGGTGGCGACGGGCGATAAGAAGTGGATTGACAGTTTGATATCCTCATGCGGATGCTGCAGCGACGTCATATCAACTTTGCACTTTTTCTCGGGGTCATCAAAAGTACGGTATTTCCAGTACGCAGTTCCATTGTGTGGGTCCTCAACGAGACTGTCCGCGATTAACAACGGCTCGCAAACCAGATTTGCTCCGATACCGAGAGTGTTGGCTCCGTACAGAGCATCAGGATCCGTGTCCTTGATCCAAACAGGCACAAAAGAATGATTGGCACTAGTCCATGGGAGCATTGAGACTCCTGTGGTGATGCTAGTCTGAATGATATCATATTCGGTGAAGTCAGCGGCAAAGTCATTTCGTTGAAAGATGGAATTGCTATAATTTGTGTATAACGCATGTGGAGCCGGGAGAGAGGAGCTGGTCATTTGCTGTGTGAACAAACCACCAGCAACCACGGTGAGAACTGTATTTGCAATGCATGCCACAGATACGATCCCTAACAGGAGATGCCGGTCTCGAACTGCCTTCACCAAAACTGCCCATGGGGTCTGGGAGGAATAGTTCATCGACAATGACCCTTGGGCAGTAGCTTTACCCCTTTGAAGATGTACCCAGGGTTCGAGAATACTGAGATTGCGGTGAATAGAAGCACATAGTGAGCCAACCGCTGAGGCAACCACTAACGGCAAGATCGAAAGAACCACTTGAAAGAAGCTCGAGTCGGACTGATCGAGATGTCGAAACTTGCCATCCTTGGCGAGGGAGGCAACTACCAAGCTCATGCTGGTAATGGCTGCAGCCAGCAATAGGAATTCAATGATGAAGAATGGGATGACGAGAAAGTGTGGCATTGGGTCGGCCTGCGAGCGTATTTGCTCATCCAGGTGGATTGGAGAACCATCCGTCGTGTATATGCCCAGTTGCTTCCCATTAGGGCCGGAGCCCGGTTCCCATCGCAGTCGGCAGTTGCGCAGGAGTCGTCGCAGTTGTCGGGTGGAATATTGATGAAAGTCGAATCGAGGATCCGCAAGAATATTGGAAGGGCCAAAAAGATCCGCCACAATGCTACACATGGCTCCGATCGAACATGGGTCACTTTGGAGCACATTTTCACGGTTCTTGTAGACGTAGAGAAGCCAGAAAGTGATAGCGGCGCCCAAACCAAGGATGGCTTCTGACAACAACGCTGCAAAGTCAACCACGGCAATCGTGACTTGCCGAGTCAAACGTATCGCAGGGACCATGGCTGGCGTTTCATCGAGATTGAAGAGTCGACCCATAGTGAGCACAAATGTCTGCTTGACTCCTCGCGTGACCTTAGTTTCGAATTCCTCCTGTGTCATAACTTTCGATGAATCCAAAACAACGACTGGCTCATAGTCACCCATCTCCTGGCTGATGACCGGCAATTCCGTTATTGTGCGATCACCTGATGTTTCGTTGATCCGGAAGAAGAGCATGTCACTTGTATATGGGGCTCTATGGGACAAAAACCCCTGGAATTCATTGATGTTGAATTGATCGTTGCTAAATGCGGTAGTAGTGTTCGGGTGGATGGCCACAGAGGTTATTGAACTATTAGCATGCAATTTGATTTCAGCCTCAGCCTTCCGGTAATCAATTCTGCAGGCAAAAAGGGTTGCGGAGGAAGTGAACTGGACATTGGCAAGTGACATGTCACTGCTATCATTGCTGGAGGTATGTCCTGTTGCGTTGACAGCGATCAGAATCCCATAGATATCATAAGGATCACAACCGTTGGCAGTGAATGATTGAAAGGAATTGTTCAACCACACTGGCTCCCAGTAACGAATCTGGAGGAAATCGGTAGATGGGAAGAAGATATTGCTATATTGGAAATCCAAGGTACACTGCTGATCTGGACCAGAGTGCTGAAGCTGGACCCCGGTTACATCCCAGGAAATGGTCGGAAGACCACCAGTGGTGTCATTGACAACAAGAGAGATAGTATCATCCACCATAACATCTTCGCAAGACAGCTCCGACCAGTAGATGGTCTGATTTAACGTCCACACAGTGCTTTCTCGATAATCGTCACTGGGAATCTCCACAGGCGCGAGGGCGTACTTCGACGAGCGAGTCCTTTGAAGAGAATTGGAGTCCGACGTAAGAAACGGCTCCCAGTTGTTCTTCTCCTGGGCTGAGATCCACCGAGCTTGGCTATGTAGGTCCAGCAGGTGTGGCCAGCTGCGCATCGTCTCATCACTCTGGACGCTTATTTCCCGGAGTTCTAACACGGCGCTCTGCAAGGCAGGTAGGAATATGCGCATCAGGACTGTCAGAAGACACACCAGGAGGACAATCCAGTGGCCCCTCTTGGCGGAAGTCAGCGGAGTCAAGAACGATTGGCCGAAGTTATAATTGATAAACAGCGTGGAAGCCGGGGTCCCATCCGGTCGGGAAAGTTGAAAATAGGGCTCCAGGCGCAAGACATCGAAATCGATGAACGACCACAACGTGACAAGAATCAAAGACACAATGATGGGTATGTAATTGTAGGCAAAGGACGCAGCGGCGGACAGATTGGTGGTATCCTGGTAGAATACAAGTCCTCCGTAGCGATCGGTGCATCGACGAAGCGCCTCAAGAACCAACAGCATCAGGAACATGAGAATACCGAGGAGTGAAAGATACGGCGGACGCAAGGCAAAGGGGCGCCAGCCCGGCGCTGGACGAGGGGAGGCATGGCGGCGAGAGCGGGACTGTTCGAATGTGCCTAGACAACGAGCTGAGAGAAGACAGAAAGTGTCAACCACGACTGTTCGAAAAGAAACCCCCTCTATACTCAACAACCTAGATGGCTTACTGGTGAGCTGAAGCCTAACTTCGGACAGCTTCTTCCCCAAACCCTGGGACATGCTTGTCCGAGACAACGGCGGTGTCGTAATGAAGCCAGAACGAGGACATGGCAGAAGCGCTTGGCTAGCAAAGGAGACGTAACGATAACAAGGTCATCTCCCACGATGATTGATGGGCCAAAGGAACGATTTCAGCATGATGGGATGCTGACGGGGTGTGGAATTCGGAACAAAAGATAAGAGTGAAGAGGAAATCGACCTGGGGATCACCGTTTCTCCCGTGCGGATGACGACTCAAGTGAGGATCAACGTCGAATGTTCTCTCCTCTGTGCCAAGTACTACTATTGGGAAAGTCGCACTCATGCCAAGACGCTTTGACTTTTCCCCTAATTGAGCCCGGTCGATACACAACAGCGACCATTGGGGGCGTCTGATTGGGTTTATCGGGACTGGACCCGGAGAAAAGCCAATAACCAGATCCAAAGACTGAGGCGGAGCAACCCAGAGGTCAATAAAAATTAGACCCTGAGGCTTTGCCCAAGTGATCCAGTTTTCAGAGTCCTTGTCCTCCTGACTAGTCGTCTCTGTCAAGCCACAGCCCACACATACTACAGAATGTAGTTAGTTAGATACGAAGACGTCGGCGGCTGACTCTTCGGTCCAGTGTTTCTCCGTCGTCTTGTCACGTGGAGGTCAGCTGATCTGTCCACACACCACATACAAGTTTGCTTCTCTTAATGCTGCATTATTATTATTAACTGTTGTTGTTGTTATTATGATTATTGTACACAGTATATCAAACAATCCAGACTTGCCTCTCCTACTAAGAGTTTGATGTCATTGGATATTGATCAAATGGTTGTGATAGATAAACATGGAGCAGATCGGAGAGCACCGAGAATGATTATGAAATTCTTTCTCAGCTTAGATGTAAGCATACGTACGGAGTAGTACCTTAGAGATGTTTGACACCATATCCTATGCAAGTGGTATACTCCCAGCCAAGAGTTGCGCATAATAAACTGCCTGGGAATGATCCTTGAACTTGATACCAACAGAGTGGAAATGGAAGAAATTAAAAAGCAAGTCGTGATGGAAGAATGTCTATCATTCATATTGCCTTCATACTATGTCGATATTTATTGATTTTCGACCACTTAGTTCTGGATCATCCAGACACGATTGAGCCTGTAGTTCATCTATGCTTGTTGTAAAGCCATCATTGCCAAACGGCACTATCAGATCCACTCTCATATTTCTACTGCTTTACATATCTGCCTCTGGAGCTCATCCACCCTTCTCAGCTTAGATTTACGGATAGTGAACGCAAAAGACTTTGGCACCGTAATGCGGGGATTTTGACTTGCCACGCCGTCAGAGTGACGAGTATAGAAATGTTGCACTGATTTAAAGCTCGCAGTGCTTGACACTGGCTCAACCACGGGGCGAGTGCCCCTGAATATTGTATCCGTGGATCTCTCAGATTGCCAAAAGGTTCCTTTTGTATCTCTACATTTCATCATTATCCGCCGCCGCCCCTGAAGGCGGGTTTATATACCGTTGACGGGTTGTCTGCCGCGCCGTATACTCTCATATCTTTACCTCATAGATACCATATTGCAAGCATAATTCAAAATATCCTACCTCGAGAATATGGACACTCTCTCCTTTAAGGAGCGGGTTCATCAGTGCCGACGCAACAGACAACCTCTCACAGATGAAGAAATCGCCTATATCACCCAGGAGAGTGCCGAGTTAGCTGGTGCCGCTTCAGGTATGAAATTCACCATTTCCCATCTGTTTTGACAAGCCGGTTCTTAGATCTCTTGAGACCAGGTAAATCCAGATCAGATTCAGTGGATGTCAAAGGCAGAGCAGGTGCTGAGCAAACCTGCTAGTGAAATCACCATGGATGACGCCCGAAACATAACGTCGAAGGAGGTATCAGTCGCCTACGGATAATAGGATCAGCGCCAAACTCGTAAATAGGCTCGTGCATTTGACACTCTCCCTGCAACCGGCTCCGTGGCTTCGCACATTCAGTCGGCAGCGGCTAAAAACGAGGAGGGTCAGTAGCTCCCTGTATAGAGGATAGAGAGAAATCACACAATGAATTTCTCAGAAAAGCCTGCATTTTTGAGACTTTCTATCAGATATATCGAGCATCATCAGATAGATGATCAGTATGTAGTTGGGAGACTCGTGCTTCGGCCTCAGTCGTAACAAAGTGTCCGTAAATGGTAGTCACGTTATTCCTTTCAGCGTCTCTTCGCAGCATCATACAACCCTTTGATATCATCTTTCCACCTCTTCTCATCCACTCGAGCCAACCTTCGATTGTACATCAACAAGCCATTCACCTCACCCTCGACGTCGGTTGTTTGAGTCCACACGACTCCACTACGGGAGAAACGAGTGACCTGATCCCTCAGCTCACTCAGAAGCAGATGGCTACGGTAGTTCCGAATCTCAAAACTGTCGGCAACCTCGTAAGTCATGTTAATACTGTTGATGGCGTCGACGTTATTCCACAAGCTATACACATCAGCAAACTAACCATTAGCTCTTGAACAGACAACTTACTACTCAATGGAGACATTGGTGCCAACGCCACCAAATTCACCTTGAATGGCGATCCTGCTGGAATCATAAAGACTGGATTGGAGGAATAAAATAAGGTACCACACTGCGGGTACGAATAATGGTGATTATCGCTAAAGTCGCCATGGCCGTGATCAGTCCACCCGGATGTTTCATCGACGAGTCTGGTGGGATCGAGCTGACGAACCCTTTCGCAATTTCGGGGTAGTATTCGGTTCTTTGTCCCCATCCTTCGTTATAAATCACCTGCAGAATCGCCAGTTAGTGGTGGAACAATAGGGGTATGGTGGACATACCCAGGAGAAAATGCTAGGATAGGTCTTGTGATGCTTAACAAGAAGCTCTAGCTGTCGAGTATATTCCTGCTGCTGTGCCGCATGTGGCAAATTGGTCTCCATCGTCCAGTCTGGCTATTCTTTGTCTGCAAGGGGCGAAGCGAGGGCATATCCTGCAACGCCAAGAGTCCAAGTTAATCACATTCTCGATAAAAGAGAGCTGGCTCGACTTTGATCTGTCGCTCTCATGAGCAAATAGACCATCTTTCGGAAGTTGGCATAGGCGGCGAGCGGACACCTACATGTTTACGCAACATGTTAAATCCCAATCCCTTCAGAAGCTTTAAGCCGTATAGCATTGCCTCGCGATTTGGAGAAGCGCTGATTCCGTCTGGTCACCAACCCTGATCCAGTGTCCCTAGCATGAAGGTAAAGTTCCTATTGGGCAGAGGTCGCAGGATGCCACCGACTGTTCCATTCGATGATGCGGAATCCAGTATGGCTTTTGATCTCGTCTGCTCCCATACGTACGGTAATGTTGTAGAGGGTCGGGGAGTCGGGCGACCATAGCTGCGGAGAGTCGACATTGAAAGTAAATGGTTGATCAGATAAACCTTCGAGACTGGAAGCAGAGTGACCGCCCCGGTTGAATCCGGCTTGCTTGCCATTCATAAAGATAGTGGCTTCATAGTCCACAGCACCGAAGCTCAAAAGAGTGTTTTGGTGTTGCCACTCTTTCGGCACTGTGAAGGATGTCAAGAACCAGGAACAGAGAGTCCAGTTTCCTTGGACATCTACAGCCACTTTAGACAACGCAATCCTCACCAAGGGCAAATCTATGGTTTATCCTGATAGAGCACTCTCCAAACAGGAGGCAATGAAGATCTCATTTGCCAGCGACTGTCCAAACGGGGGGTGACGGAGCGGCGTCAAATCCAGACGCATTCTGGTATTGCCAAATTCCGTTGAGATTCTGCCATCCGGTTCGCTCTAATTGAGGGCGAGGATACTCTGGCCATGGATTTGTCCTAATTGTGGACGTCCATGGTGTGTCAAGTGGTTGGATCTTGGGGGCATTTTTCACAGTCTGACGAACAACATTGCGGTGATGGCTTGTGAAAAGAGAACAAGAGATTCAAACAGATATCGGATTAACAGAGTTATTATCGTGCTGATCGATCAATTTCCCCACGAATGTGGATCTTGCAAGAGCCCAAGATGCTGTGATCCACAGAGCTCGGCTTGAACCCGACTCAAGTGCAAAGAGCCGAATAAAGGGGCGAGATTCGGCGACTTGATCTTCTAGGTTTGAGCTGTCGTCGCATGCTTGGCAACATTAGTCGTGTTAGTGACTGCGGGGAGGACGGTGATCTACTTCTCGGAGCAGCCGCTTGAAGAGCCTAGATAGACGGCATGTATGAGTTGTCTATCAGAGCGAAATGCACGGTCCGTTGTCAACACAGAATTTGAATCAAAGTTGAAGTTAGCACTGATTGACACATATGCTGGTGATCTGGACCGGACAGGGCACCTGGCCAATCCGAGCCCTAACTACGTATAGATTCCTGCTGCATATCGATGGAGAAGACTTGTTGATCCTTACCCAACAAGTCAATAATTGGTCAGATAAGAAAACAATGTTAGATTCGTGACCGGTCAAAGCAAGAAAATATCAATGAGGCATTGCATCTTTGCCAGCTGTTTTACCCCGCGGATCTACCTGATATTACACCAAGGCCTGGATTCACAACTGAAGACCCCGTCGAGATAGGCAGGCCGTCCATCTCTAAGCCTCAACATCTCCGGCTGCCACGTCAAAGGCAAAGACATGGGTACAGGTGCTGATTGCAAGCTGCACCCCGCAAGCCTGGACCGTCGCCCATCAACTCTCACCAGACATGAAAGATCATACAATCCCCTCTTAGGTCCTTCCTCACCAACAGCTTTGACTTGCTTCAAAGCTTCCAGACATCCGGACAATCCGTTGTGTCGCTACCTGCATTCTACTTGTATACAATCACCAATCTGACAGAAACCCATAGTGACTGCAGTACAAGGCGGCAACCCGTCAGGGAATCATAGTCAACACATCTATCTCCTATAGAAGACTCTCGCAAGGGGATCACCAAGATGCAGAGCAGCTGAGCAGTTCACAGCGGACACAGCTGCAATTGGAAGAAACATCATGCACTAAAGAGCAACTGTTGACACATTTCACCAGGCGATGTTTGTAGAAGATCGAAGCCGGATAGTTCCGAAGCCAGTCGTGGGTTAGCAGCGATACCCCGCGCATATCATATTTGCGCAGGCCACTTTTTTATACGTTATTAAGCCGGTTGTTGTTGCTCGTGATGCTCAGGTATGTCGACTGCGTCGAGTCAACTCCGTTACTGAACCTCATCCCCCCAGGTCCAAGGGTTTCCACAGTATAGAGAACCCTATGACTATAATGTGAACTTTTTGGACTACATGGATGAGGGAGGTATCATTTTATGTCAGGCTCCCCCAAGAAAGGTCGTAGTCTGAAGAAAACTTACAGCACTCGAAGTAGGAGCATGAGAGTGATCTTCCAGAAGCTGTTGTTCAGGTCGCGGGACGTCGAGATCTAGATATTCTTGAGATGTCGAAGAATGTATTGCCCTGGCCTAGAGGAGGAGCCTTGTGTAGAGTGCCAGATCGTAGAAGTCTACAAATCATTAGCTTACAGTACTTTTCTTTACCTGGAGACTACAGAGACCTACTATACTCTCAACTACACAAAGACAACAAGTTTGTAAGATAGCAATAAGTCATTAATTCATTAAAGATATTGAAGCTATTCTGCGGTAGACAGTAAAGTCTCCATATGTGGTCAACACTGCAGAAGCAACAAATCCAAACTCAATCTCCATATCATTCCCACGTACATTTCAAAGTCGCAATCCGAACCCAAAGTCCCATAAGCCGACGCTTATCTATGTATCCATTTAACTCGAAGGCCCCATCCACTGAGCACGCAAGGCACGCCCGAGAGGGTTGTCAACGTTCACACCGCCGCGAGGCTCTTCAGCAGTCTGTAGAAAAGAAGTACTCGGTGTTAGCTGAGACCGTGAGCAGACAGTGGATAGCAAATACTGACGGTGAGCAACCTAGTGGTGGCAGTGATGGTCTTTACCGCAGATCCAGCCAAGTCCGCAATCGCTGTGATCCCGACAAGGGTCTTGCACTTCGAAAGCAGGCAACATTAGTTGGTGGAAAGCAAAGATGATAGAGAGGATATACTCACGGTGCTGAGCACGAGACGCAACAGGAGCAACGCAACGCCTATCAGCGCAAATCCAATGGGCACCACAATCTTTGTCGTTGTTGCAGTGACTGATAGCAAGCTCTTCCTGAAGCTCCGCATCTGTTGAAGGTTGTTAGTGTTACCTGAGAAGGGAGAGGAAGGAGTGGAAGTGGAGGAGGGGGGTGACATACCATTAGCACGAGCAGCGAGTTTGCCAAGGGAGACGCAGACACTGCGGTAGCAGAACTGGTTGGGAGGACACCAGAGGTTGATGTTGTTGCAACGACGAGGCTCATCACGATCGGCAAGCATAGCAGCCATGGGAGGAGTGAGGCATCTACCGCGCTCACACACCTCGCGATCATGACACTCACGAACGGCAGTGCAAGGAGTAGCAGAAGCAAGCTCATCGCGAGCAGCAAGCATAGCAGCCATGGGAGGAGTAAGGCATCTACCGCGTTCGCAGACCTCGCGATCATGGCACTCACGAACGGCAGTGCAGCGAGTAGCGGTATCAAGCACATCACGAGCAGCGAGATTGAGAGTGTGGATCACTATAGCAAACGGTAAGTGATGCGTCACAAGGATATGGTATAAGAGGTACTTACCATCAGCATCAGCAGTGACACCATTGTAAGCTTCGTTGCTAGGAGTGGCAGCATCTTTGAAAGTCAGTTGTGTCACAGTGTGGATTTCAGAAGAAGGCTCAGTGTCAACATCGACGACTCTATTGTTGACCTCACCAGAGGGAGCAACAGCAGTCACGAGAGTGGTGAGAAGGAAAGGAACAAGAATATGGAGCTTCATGTTGATTGAAGGTAGCAGGTAGTGGTTGTTGTTGTGTGAATTGGTTGGTGTGATACGATTGAGTTAAAAGAAGTAGAGTGTGTTAAGAGCAGAAGAGATGAGTGGGAGGTTGAAGGAGAAGAAGAAGATGATGAACGATGGGTGAGAAAGGAATATTTATACCCATCAACCTCATGAGGTCAGTGAATGGCACCTCGCTTCGATTAGTGGACAAAGCCGGGAAAACAGAGACATTGTGAAGACGGACAAAGAGAAAAACAAAGGCTTAGTGAAGGGTAGTCCAGTCAATCTCCACCAAAAAATAAGTATGACGGCATACAGAACTGGCAATCTGTGACTTTTCTCACGGAAAGTTCCGTGAAGGGAGTGAATGTGTGATTTCTTTAGAATTGATTGGATCATTGTTCATCGACTACGATTGCATCGAGAGGCGAAGATGGATATTGCCGCTTCAAGGACTGTGAATCGGGTTTCCAACAACGGAGATTGCCGTATTGAGCCCAGAGGCTTGTCGATGCCTCGGTCTGTCTCGATCAGGAGGTGAGAATTGGCCAAATTCGGAGCATTGCTATGGCATGGCCCTTGTATGAACCCCATCCTACACCTAGACACAAGTATCTGATCTACCCATCCTCTACGCTGGAGACGCCAAGCTTCTGACACTCGATGTTTACTGTTCTGCTTTTCTCACTGAGTCGTCCATCTGGCAATGTTCTACGGTGCCGGCAATCCCTACAATGGCCTATAATGGATGGTTTTCAGACGAGGATCAGACAAACAAGACGTTATGCACATGATACATGGATGAAGTCCTTGGACAGCTCACAGGGAGGACTGGAGCTCATCCCTTGTCGCCATTCATACATATCCACACCTATTTATACACATCCAAACATAGGTACACCTCAAAAGACGCGCAACTACAGGGGGCACATGCAAGCGTTGGTCGCTGCAATCTGTAACAATCCTTCCTCAAGAAAATAGATCCAACCATTACGAGGGGCCCCAGACCTGGGTAATCCATGGATTATGGACATTTTTTTCCCCGTCTCCATACAGCGTTCTTCTTTGCATCTGGTATTATTTGGCTGGAAGAGCCCCTAGAATCGAGAACAAGAGCACGACCACACGGGTGTTGATGTGGATATTCTGGGATGATGTGGGTGATCGGTACAGTGTGGTTATCACCGTGGTAACTACATATCTCTCTCGTAGATAATCCGTCTTTCTCAGGGCTATAGGATAATCAGCTGAAGCTAGACCTTAATATGTGGTAGAGGTGACTCTGTTACCGAGTGTGCTGCCTGAAACGAAACGGGAGTTGCTGGCTTGATACCTTGAGAACCAGGCATACAAAGTGCGAGCCTGAGGCCTCTCCCACGTGCCCTTCCCTGATCTGCCATTCAGACAGTTCGATGGTCTTGGAGTCTTCTCAGAAATACACTGACCCCCGATGGACACTTGAGGCTTCGTCTAAAGAAGACGTCATGGAGCTATGGAGTTGACTCTAGCTTTGCAGACAGAGATACTCTGCAGAGCGAAATGTTATAGTTTTCTCATGGCTCTTCGTCAATACCATATATGGCACATTGCCTCGAAGATCATCAATGGGCGGCCAAGGTCATCCTCCTCACTGCTGAGTTGCAATGGAAATTTGAAGGTCAGTGCTCCCGCACTTTGGATTGCCATGAAGAATACGGACTAATCATTTGGTGAACAGCATATCATGGCATCAGAACCGGATCCCATTATGCTCAGAGGCGCACAATCCCGCTGATTACTAATCCTCAATTCGCTGCTAGGGAAATAGGGTGTATCTGCAATCTATGAGGTCCATCTGACTGTGTCGAGTTGATAGTAAAATACTCTACTCCGTACGCTACAGATGAGGGATCTGCCATTTTCTTGCTGCTGTCTTCAGAGCTCTTACCCAAATGAAACAAGCTGTTGATAACCGCTCCACCAGGATCCATCTTCCATGAGGACCTGTCCACTCAAAAGGTACCACTCCCTCTTGCCACGGGCTGCCAAGTGAGCTAAACAGGTATATTTTAACTAAATATCTTCCTAGTATATGCATGTTAATGTATTATCCTTACTAGTAGGGGTGGTGTATGTCAAAAATCTGGCCAAAATGTCAAATGTCAGAGGCCACGTGAAAGAAGTAGATACCACCCTGTAACCAATGGGAGAGCAGCATTTTAAAACTCAACCAATCAGGTTGTATAGACTGTTCTGTCACGTGATTTTTGTAGTCTACTACCTACCTGTAGAGTTGACTGGAGATGAGACCGCACCTCATCAAAATATAGGTATATCATTGTTCAGTTTAGATAGTTCAACATGAGCGGTAGTGGCTGTAGTAAAAGTTAAAACGACACGTCATTTTTGTCATTTGGACATTCTGATTACCACCCCTACTTGCTAAGGTAGTATCTGTAGGGAAAGTTAAAAGAATTGTCCGGTGCTGATCACTGATCAGTAAGTCCTCGGTTGACCTGGCAAAACGTGCTCCATATATTCAACCGCTTCCCCGTCATCGAGTTTCGAGTTTTGTTCTCCCTGCTATGATATTTGCTGCATTCAGAGGGCGCGGGGTAGGATAGTTGTCACACCATGGAGTCACTCGCAGTTCACGCCCTGTTGGGTTTGACAGTCCTCTACGTCGTGAACAGGCTGTTTTTGACCAAAAGGACACCTGCGCCCCTGCCACCAGGCCCTTCTCCAAAGCCAATTGTGGGTAATTTGGGCGACCTGCCCCCTTCTGACGCACATCATTGGGAGCATTGGCTAAAGCACAAGGAACTATACGGTATGTGTGGTAATGCTGACTGAATGAGTCCTCAAGGGCTGAGTGGATGTTATCGCACAGGGCCGATCAGTTCCATCTCCGTTTTTGGTCAAAGGATAGTCATTTTGAATGAGGCAAAAGTCGCGTTCGATTTGTTGGAGAAGCGCTCTGTGATACATTCCTCTAGACCAGAACAGGTATTTGCTGGCAAGATGTGCGTGCTATCGCTCGCTGTTACACAGTTGAACCAACGCTAAAGAATTCCAGGGTTGGATGGGAAAATTCCCTGGCTGTGCAGACATACTCGGACCGTTTCAAATCGTATCGCAAAGCCATGCACCGTGTGATGGGCTCGAAGTCAGTCGTTTCAGAATTTGACTCTTTGCAGGACGTAGAGGTCCGTCGGTTCCTTCTTCGGGTGCTCAGAGATCCGGCTGGTCTAGTCCAGCACCTCCGAACGTAAGCACCATTACCGATAGTCCATCCTGTACCTGGATACTAACGAAAATAGGGAGGCGGGCGCAATTATTCTAAAGATTGCTTACGGCTACACGATTGACCCTCACAAGCCCGACATCCTCGTGGATTTGGCTGACCAGGCGCTGGGAGAATTTTCCAAGGCTGCAGCTCCAGGGAAATGGCTGGTTGATCTGGTTCCTATGCGTAAGTGTGTCGTCCGGTCTGACTGCAAGCAAGTTTAGAGGCTGACAGTACAGTGAAACACATTCCTACCTGGTTCCCTGGCGCGCAATTCAAGCGGACCGCTCAAGAATGGAAAGCAAGGGTCGTGGCCACAGCAGAACAGCCGTACGCCTTTGTTCGCCAGCAGATGAAGCTGGGATCTCACAAGCCTTCATATGTATCTAGTTTGTTGGAGGCAAGGCCGTTGGGATCCCATAGCGAAGAGGAGGAGTGGGTTATTAAATGGTCTGCCATGTCGCTGTACACTGGCGGAGCCGATACCGTGAGTTTTGGCTACCGATTTCATCAATGCATGCTAAGAGTGGATTAGACTGTCGCATCCTTGGCCTCCTTCTACCTCGCCATGGCTCTTTATCCTGACGTCCAGCGCAAAGCTCAGGATGAGCTTGATCGTGTGGTTGGTTGCAACAAACTACCCACGTTCGCAGATCGAGAGCAACTTCCATACATTGATGCACTGGTCAAGGAGGTGCTACGATGGCATACCGTTGGTCCGATGGGTCTTCCACACACGAGCACACAGGATGATATCTATGAGGGCTACTTCATCCCCAAGGGATCCATGTTTCTTCCCAATATCTGGTTCGTTTTGTTTATTCTGACACATGATCAATCCTCTGACACCGGCAGGGCATTCACCCACGATCCAAATGTCTACAAGGACCCGATGGTCTTCAATCCCGAACGATTCCTCGGCCCGACCCCCGAGCCAGATCCCCACACCATTGCCTTCGGCTTCGGCCGGCGCATCTGTCCAGGAAGGATTCTTGCCGACAGGACCGTCTATCTCGGCATTGCGAAGTCGCTCGCCGTGTTCAACTTTGGCAAGAGTACCGAGGACCAGCAACCGCTCTTCCTTCCTGGAGTCATTAGCCATCCAGCCCCGTACAAACTGAATATTACACCCCGGAGTCCAGAACATGAGGAACTGATCCGATCGGTTGAGATTGACCATCCGTGGGAAGAGAGTGATGCGGCAGCCTTGAGGAATCTGGAGTACTAGTAACACATCTGTTGAATTTTTTTTTTTTTCCCTCCTCTACGAGCAAATCAAGACATAAAGACCTAAATCCCCAATGGGACACCCTTCGTTATAGTCATTATAATCCAAGGACCACGTATCATCTGGTGATTTTATATATGGTACATTGCCCAAACTTGATATCTTCTGCAGTGTACATACTACATGCATGGGCTTTGAAACGGGGTTACACATCAGTGGGATTGATAGGGTCTACATCAACTCCACAATATTCAGTCCTGCAGGTAGCTCTTCCCGCATGTCAGTCACACCACTCCACCCATTCCTCGATTCATTTTTGCGGCAGGTACCACCCCAACATTAGACCTATAAGGTAGCCAGTTAATAACTGCCAGGACCGTATCCTTTTTACTATGTACATACATACAGTGCTGGTTTGACCGGAAGTGGGAGATGGGGGCTCATCACCCACTGGAACCAACAATGCTATAGCTGCAGCAGTCTACGAAAACAGACCCGCAAAGCGTATGCGTAATAAGGCCAGTACTCGATTACATCCCATCCCTGGTGAACCTAATCCCAGAATCCCTCTGACAGCCTGACGTATATCTTACCGAGATGCACCCCCGTGTCAGATCTTCCGCCTGGTAGGCTGCTGGAGGTACTGGATTTGCTGATATATAGATCCAAATATCTGGGGCAGGGATGGTAGCGGTATGGATTTCTAAGATGTGGTGGCCCTGTGGTGGGTGCTAGGCTTTTGAGTTACTGACGACCCGTGCAGGTGTGACGCCTGTGGAGATTAGGTCTAGTTCTCCTGAGGATACGGGAGAGACGTGGCGGTGGGATGAGGTTTTTGAGCCTAATAAGAAGGTTACGCTTCTTGGTATGGTCACCCTCTCTTTGTGAGCCCCTTGGTTTTAGTTTGAGTGTAGCCGTGTACGGATAATATCTGGCAGAGTTCTGGAGGGTCTTCTGCGCCCAGGAGAAGGAGCATGACTATCCTCTGGCATTCCGCGCAAAGGTTTAAGTGTGAATAGTGGCGCCTTTCTGCTCGCTCATAGATGATTTCTCTTCAAGAGAGCGTAGTATGACGATACAGAATATCGAGATAGTCAACCGTGTCAAGGGAAATTGAATCAAATTAAATGCTGGCAACCAGATATTTTCATCCCACACTTTGTAACACCCTTTGGATTCGAAAGTCATGGTAAGGAGGAAACTCCCCTCGATTCCTTCTCCAGCATATCCAACTCCGCAAGTAACGCACAAGCAGCCACAACAATAAAGCTCTTGAGCTCCCCGTGTTCGTCTCTCCGGCGACGCGCACCCTTCTCCCTCAGGCACCCAACAGCAAGGCACGCGAGACAGAGGTCGAGGGAGTCACAGCTGTCCCCAGGGAGAGAACTATCTTTCCCGTGTCGACGCATCTGGGCTGTAATCCAGGTTGCTATCCGCTCAAACTCATCTGCAAGCTTCGCTGATTGATCCCGTTCTCGTCGGGTCTGCACGCCGCTTCTGGTCATGACAAACCCGATGAAAACCTCGAGCTCACTGAGAGGCTTGATTGGGTGGTCTGAGTAGTTGTTTCTCGCTGAGGAGATTGCATCTTCGTACCTGGTTTTCATTAGTGGTGGACCCTCTTTTGAGGAATGAGCCGACTTACGCCAGGCGAATACGCCAAGCTTCATCCATGTATCTTCTCCAAGAAGATGGTCTGAACGCGCCACAACGTTTGATGCAAAGTTTGAGAAAGCCGCTCCAAAAGGTTAATTCGTCTACTGCTGCCTTGCATTGGATATCGTTGGACCAGATCTTTCGCTCATCAATGGCTCGGTACAGTTTCCCAAGAATCTTCTCGGAGCGATAGTATTTGCGTGGTGGTTCGGTATCGTCGTCTTCATCGTACTCCGTGCGTGCGATGTATTGGTCCATGTGGATAGCGGACTTGTTGTACATGTATGCTTGTGGCCCGGGAGCTAAACTATATCATGTTGTCAGTGCTCGCCATAAGAACTGAGATATTGATGAGGAAAGAGAGGCTTATGTTGCATACAAGTCTGGTCTGAAGTTGTTACCTCGGGGAAGATGCTCCATCTGCACTGGAATTCCTGTCTTTGAGAAATCCACCGCTGTCGAGTGCAACTGTGCGAGTTTCCTGCAGTCTGGATGTGATGTACCCTCGTCCAATTGATCTGCCATGATCATGTGCCGAATAGCTATCACTCCCAGATGATCGGTCTTCATGAAGTCAATGAAGAAGTCCGCCATATCATGAACCTCGACCAATCGACCGATGTTGACTGGCTCGACGCGAGGATAATCGGCCGGGGCAAATGTCCGCTTTGGCCGTGCTTCAGGGTCCCAGATAATGTTATAGATATCCCCATCGAGATCTCCTCCGCTGAGTTGGCTGGGAAGGTCGCGATCCCCCTTGGCACTGAAAACAATGCAGTTCCTGTGCCGTCTGAGCGGATGGTCCTCCGGAGGCACTGTGTTCAAACAGATTTGAATGTCTCCATCATATAGAGCCGGAGAGCGAGTTACCAACACTGGTCCGGCAGTCGGAGGGGCCACAGGTCGTCCCTGAATGGTATTAAATGTCACATAGACCTCGTTCTCCTGCAGATATTCGGTCTCATCGATTATGCCAAATAGCGTAATACCCTTGTCGACTGGAATACGAGCCTTGTGCTTCAGTAAGCGTAGTTCACGGAGAATCACGGCTTCGACCAACGACCGCAGAAATGGGACCTTGTAGTTGATTTTCCATTGATGGCACTGGCGAAAGAGCCTGAAAAGCCCGATGCAATCCCCGACAGCCTGTCTTTTGATGAAGACGGCAGTATTCTGTGCACTGGCGGTGATGCTCCGAAGGTATGTCAATTCCTGATTTTGAAGCCTGAAGAACCAGTCCTCTGCGACTCCCATATCTTCGAGAATTTTGATCATCTGCCTGTTCAGAACTAGTGGGATTGGCTTGGAAGCCATGTCACAGATCTCCAGATCTCTCATCTCTCCCTGAAATTTGATCATCGACGGTCGGATCCGAATGACGGAGCCAGTGAGCCGGCTGTCAATGGCTATCATGCCCTTCGCACCCCCTAATCGAATCTGAAAGCCTGTCGGTTTACCCTTTTTTGGTGGTATATTGGACCAGATCATTTCGAGGACATTGAGAGAGAGTGAGCCGACCCCATCACTGAAAAAACGTTGCCCATCCTTGGAGGCCAAGTCCGGCACCTCTTCTATCGTTATGGTATTATCTTCGACCGGAATGGCGAAGGGGGTCTCGGAGAACGCTTGCCCAATCCGTGCTGCGCATCGGGCCGGGGAGGTTATCTTGGAGAAATCGCCAAGGGCTTTGATGATGCTAAAGTAAGTTTGAAGGTGACCTTTATCATCAAAGAAAGGCGAAGAGAACTATAACAACGACTCGTGGTTAGCTAAAGACCCCCAATACTTGGATACCAGACTGCACTTGCCCACACTGAATGCGATCTTAAGGAAGAGTGTGACCATCCGAGAAAATAGTAGGTTCGGCCGGCAATTTGGATCCCATTGGTGAGGACATTCTTGAATCGAGAGAATACTTCGTCGTAGGTTACCCTGGAGCTGAAGTGCAGGTCGCCACCTTGTTCATCACAGAACTGCACACGAATAAAGTAGTCATGATGGTTGGGGAATCGGCGAAGAATGCGGTTGAAAGGTTCAGGCTCTGGCCCATGAAGGGTAATTCGACTGGGAGTGATCATCACTTTGTGGATCAATGCTAAGTTTTGAGTTGGGCCTAACACTCCTTGTCCCTGCATGTCACCCATCTGAATGTCATTGTCATTTCTTTGAATGGCTGCCATGAGTGAGTCAACTTTGAGTGTGAGGGGATCTTCATGGGGATAGGGCCATGGGATCATCTCGAAAAGACTTCGAACTGCAGGTACAGATATTGACCGCTTGCCTGTGCGCTTATCCGATCTATATACCTTGCAAAGCTCGCTGGCGAGATCGCAAACGATGTGCGGAAGAAGATATACATTGTAGGCGAGGGCTTGGAGCTGGAAGAGGATACGGAAGGGAAGAGATGTATCCCGGGTATAGGAGCTGAGCTGATCCTTGAGGAGCCTCACCTGCGTCGCAAATGCTCCCTGATGATTGGCAGGATTTCGCGATCCATCAATCAGGTCGTAGTGCACTATCGTCATCTCCCATTCTTTCAAGTCGTGTATGGCCTCTAGTAGACTCATCGGAGGAATCTTGAATTGGTATACAAGGCATTGTCCCACAACCACGCCATGCCGTCCGTCCAGCGAGCACATGCGCAATTGGGAAGGCTGCGCGGTACTCCGATGAGCCTGTCCATTGATGCTTAGACTCGACATCAATGCGGTCACCATCGCATTGGAAGAAATCCCCTGAGAGAAAAAGTATGGAACTGTAGTCAAGGTCAGGGTCAGCTCCCCCGTACGGGACCAAACCAGTCCAATCACGGTATGAAGAGGTATTCGAATGAGGCGCTTGGAATGCAGCTTAATCAGAATGACACGCTTTTTAAACTTCATAATGCCCGCATCTTCAAACTGCACCTCAGGTACGTAGGCGAGCTGATCCTTGACGAATTCGCAGTATCCACAGCTAAACCCCCGTACAACGAAGGAGATAGTACGCTCCTTCTCATCTCTCTGGATGCTGTCTTTTGTTCGCTGCTCTGCTGTATGTCTTAGACTACGCAGAGCAAACTCCTGTGGTGAACGTTTGCTTCGAGTGCAGAAGACATCCGCGCCCATGAGCTGTAGCTTTGACTTGAGACGCGGCCGTCCTCGTGCCCCTATCGTCTGGGGAAGTTCCTCTTGTCCATGTATCTGGATGAATCTGTCACCGTCTGCTTGATGCAGGAAGGTGACATGACCAAAGTTCTTTCTCTTTGGCTTCTCACATAGATAGTCGACGATTCCAAGGCGCTTGAGAAATGGCTCGAGTTGCTTCTTCAGGCTTTCTTCTGTCAGATGATGGGGGAGATTATGCATGAAGACCTCCATCGCGATGAGTTTGTCGATGGTAGGACTGAGTGATTAACACACTGTAGAAGAATTTGAAGGCAGATGGATCGAGCATGGGGGAGCTTGGGGTGATGAAGATTAGGGAGGGGAGGTGTTGAAGCAGTGGCGTAGTCTTACTTTAGTGAGGGAAGCAAACAAACACTGAAGATCTCCAAACGAAACACTCTTTGGGTCTGTCAACTCTGCAACTCTGCAACAACCAGAGGTTTATCCGTAAGAGACATTACTCTAGAGATATTCTACATACCAGTTGTTGCTCTCACCTCACCGGCTTGGTCAACTGGGGCATAGATCCATTCTCTCCCACCATGGAGGCGGACAATACAACGCTTGACTGCCATGGTATCCAAAGCAGGTTCATCATGCGGAGAGGCCTCCAATAGACTTAAAGACGGTATCGACTGAAGATTATTCAAGAAAGAGATACTCAGTTCATAAAAGGCCATCTAGTATTAGCTTCAATGCTTAGTGAGTATATTCCTTCCGTATACTATCCATGTGACGCGCCCTTTCCACTTGAAACCACGACCCCTCTCCCGTGTGATATGTATATTTTAACTGATGCTCTACTATTCACTTACAATAGATTGGCAGAAGATAGAGTATTTGGCCTACCTGTGGGCCGCGTTTTCTGTTCCATGGTTGTGGTTGTTGTCTACACAGTGTAGGGTGACATATCTGTGAGCGAACAACACCAAAATAGCCAACTCCATCTGAAGGTACATTCTACCAGGTATAAACAGATCTACAACAGCTCTTATCAGTGTTTTCTCTTATACATTACATTTCCAATGTCTACTCATCTCGATATCCCCGCCCGAATGGCCGAACTGGGCCAAACAGACACCACAACAACCACCACCACATCGACGCCTAGCACCATCTACTCCCACTGTCACCGCAACCCAACCTACTCAAGCACCACTCTCGCCCCCTCGGAAGAACATCCGCGACGCATCCTGAAACCAGGCCTCTACGTCCCCACATTAGCCTCCTTCTCCCCGGAGACGGAAGAAGTCGACGAGTCCACCACAGCCCAGCACGCCGTCCGCATGGCCAAGGCGGGAGTCATGGGCCTCATCACACATGGCACATACGGGGAAGCCGCTCATCTCTCGCACACAGAGCGGTGTCGGATCACACGGACTACAAGGCATGCCGTGGCCGCAGCGGGATACCCGCAGATGCCGATTATCGTCGGGTGCGGCGCCCCGTCCACCAGCGAGACGATCGAGCTATGCCAGGACGCGCGGGACTCAGGGGGCGACTATGCACTTCTCCTATTCCCGTCTGCCTATATGAGCCACTATACAAAGGCCAGTCTCCGAAGATTCTTCGAGGATGTAGCCGGCGCGTCTCCCCTGCCTGTGTTGATATACAACTACCCGGCCGTGACGGGCGTGGACCTCGACGCGGAGACCATCGCGGCGCTGGCGCAGCATCCGAATATCGTCGGCTGCAAGTTGACCTGTAACAATATGGGTAAGCTTAATCAGATCGTTGCGACGGTGAAGCCTGCAACGTTCTCGGATCGGGGGTCGGAGTTCATGTGTTTTGGGGGGTCTGCGGATGCAGCGCTGCAGGCCATGATCGGGGGAGGGTCGGGCGTGATTGCGGGACTGGGGAATGTGATGCCCAAGGCGTGTGTGAAGCTTGTCGAGTTGTATCATTTAGGAAGGATAGATGAAGCAAGGCAGCTTCAGGGGACTGTTGCGAAAGCAGATCAGGTGGCAATTGAGGGGGGTGTGAGTGCTGTGAAGAGTGCACTGAGGGTGTTTTATGGGTATGGAGGATATGCGCGACGGCCATTGAGGTCGGATGAGAAGGAGAAGGAGAAAAGTGCTACGGATGGGCTGAAGGAGGGGATAGATCTGGAGAAATCCCTGTAGCGTACAGCTTGGGAAGGTATTATCATGATCGATAAAATGGATGATGAAGAACAAGTTAGGATTCGGGATCCCACCAGCGGATTGGGTCTGAAGACGCTGGCTATGTGCTATATTGTCACACCATCAGGAAGAACTCCAGAGATTATTTACTAGGTAAGGGAAGATAGAAAAAAAACTGCTCTTGCTATTTCATGGCTTAGCAGAGAGCGCTGAGTTCCATCACACCACTTTGTTCTTATATCTCAAGTTGCATCTGGCCTTATTTACTCTACAAAGATGGTGGCAACCTTGTGCTACACTACGGAAGTATGAGTATCATTATCAGCTGGATGAGTTTTGTGAGTAGAAGATAGTTGGATATGTTTGTTTCGATGGCACGCGATATGTACACTGCATGAAGGGGGGTTAAGCCAAGGACTGTGCCACAATTGAGCCTAGAGAGTCCTAAGGAAGCCACATGGGCAATCCTATCAGTCTCTAGAGCTTGAAATTCTCTACATCAAAAGTTATAGATGCACGAATTGCGACGGTAAATTCTTCAATCTGTGAGTACCTCAAGTCGTTGGTAAGGGACTGGAACATCTGGTTCAACAACCAGCAAATAGAAGGCATGGGTATAGTCTGGCTCACAGCATCTTAGTGTGCATTATCATTGAATGAACTACTGCCCTTGTGGTACTGGTACCCAGTTAGGTACCACATTATATATAGGTATGATATTTGTCTGTGCTTGTGTCTGTTTCTGTTCATAGTATTAGTATCCCTACCTGCAGTGGTCCGGGAGACAGTTATCTTGCCAGTGTGGCCATGCATTTTGATCAACCTATCTTGTAGGAACTACAGAGATTGTTATATGAGCCATTGTCCTTGAGGTTGTGTGTATGTGGCACTGGCATGCAAGGATTCCCTCCCCCGGAGCTGTAGAGGCCGAAATCGGTGGCCGAATCATTGCGAACAAATCAAGATTGGAGTCCAGCGGGGTCAAAGAAATGAATGATAGCCACATTCGGGAATGGTGTTAGAATCAACTGAATGATGCAAAATGTCCATTGTATTTGGAGAACTTGATGCAGGTGTTGTCTGTGTAAATTGTCCTTGATGCCCGAGGCCACTATCTAGAATGAGGGCACAAAGTACTTCCTACTACTTCCTCTCCAAATCACTGGTATAAAAGTCCCTGTCGGATGGAAAATGGAAGACGACAAGCTATTAGATAGATATTCCTTGCCTCTTAACCCGAATTATGTATTATGAGCTTGTCATCCCTGTTGACAATTGAAATAGGTCAGATGGCACTATTCGCCATTCACCAGTCCTCCAGGGCGAAAATAAAGTTACGCGACAGACAAAACAAACAGGGAGAGGGAAAAGAATGCCATCCTCGAAAATACCACAACAACCCTTCCACTCTGGAGGATAGGGAGTACTTTTTCATATGGTCATAGAGGGTACCTTAATTAATACTCTTAGCAAAAAAAAATACAACGAATAAAAACCACCTACGGAGGACTCCGTACCCCGTACATTTGTTAAGAACTGATAACGCCACGATCGGGCCGACCGGACAAAGCCAGTGTGCGTGCAATTAGACAAAGGGCGCATATCCTACTACTACGGAACCGCGTCTCCATCCCTCTCTACTCTTTACTCTTTCTCTATCTCTTGTCCCTCTCTTCCCCCTTCGTGCCCACCCGTTCCTCCTCCCTCCTCCCTCTACTCCTAGAATAAGAATTCTTTTTTATATCTCTTCTCATCCCATCCCTCTGTCTCGTACACACTTCTGTTCGCCATTACTTTGACCTCGCCATCCTCCGCAGATGGTGTGCCTGGTATCTGCCTTGCCTCGGTAGACCGGACCTGTCATTCGGCCTCATCTGTTCCTTTTTCTCTCGGACGTCTGCGCCACTGAGCGCGTCACGAAATCGTCGCTATCATGGGGCTCTCTAAGACACACAGGATTCTCATCCTGCTGGTCATTGATTCTGCTTTCTTTGTGTTAGAACTCTCAGCTGGTGCGTCCTCTACACGCCCCACTGCGGGTTGACGCTTGTTCTGACTTTTTTTTTTCTTGGTCTGTGCTGACGCCATTCACAGGTTATGCGGTCCATTCTCTTGCTCTCGTGGCCGACTCATTTCATATGGTATGCCCTCAACATCGGGATTTATGCGGAAAACTGTTGCGCGGTATACTGATTGCCGTGTAGCTGAATGATGTCATATCATTATTGGTCGGCCTATGGGCCGTCAAGGTCGCCAACCAGGAAACCGAGTCGAAGATGTACACCTACGGCGTAAGCAACCCCGCCTTCTTTTCCTTCCTATTGTCCGGTGACAGAGCACATGTCTGACATAACTTTTCTCTCAGTGGCAACGCGCAGAAACCCTAGGTGCATTGGTCAACGGTGTCTTCCTCGTCGCCCTGTGTTTGTCTATCTTTCTCGAAGCGATCCAAAGACTGGTGGAGCCGCAAGAAGTGAAGAACCCAAAATTCGTATGCATTGTTGGATGCTTGGGGCTGTTGTCGAATATCCTGGGTCTCGTGCTGTTCCACGATCACTCCCACGGTCATGCACATGGTGATGACCATGCGAACGAAGATCTTGAAGATGTGGATGCGGCGGAACAAGGACTCGGCCATAATCACACCCAGACCTCCTTGGCGGATAAGCGGGCATCTACAGCTACGGTAATGGGGTTCGCTGTTTCACTTATGATGATCGTCTACTGATGTGTGGCAATAGCGCGATTCTAACGTCCCTACCGAGCCCTCTTCTCCCTACTCCCGCAGACGCCGGACTCTGGACACCCAGCGCAGCTCCCGTCGGTACAGCACAGGCACCGGTCGCCCATTCCTCGAGGATATTCAAGTCCACCCCGCCACCTTGCGACAAGAAATCATTGCAGCCAGTCGCAATCGTTTTGATGAAGTGTCTTCCGAGTCTGAGAGTGACCCCCGAGAAAGCGACGAAGGAGAGAATGGCCAGCCAACTGAACGATCGACACTGCTCCGCCATAAGGACAGGGCTGCCCACTATACAGATGAGAGCGATGCACCGCACAAACGGCCAGATCTCGCGGCGGATGACGAAATTCACAGATCTCACAATCATTCGCAACCGAAGCCAAAGGACAGCAAAGGTGGCCATGGCCACGGACATGACCTCAATATGCGCGGTGTCTTCCTCCACGTGATGGGAGATGCACTTGGCAATATCGGCGTGATCCTCTCGGCGTTAATTATTTGGTTAACCGATTACTCCTGGAGGTTCTATGTCGATCCCGGTATTTCTCTAGTGATTACCGTGATCATTCTTTGCTCGGCGATCCCGCTTTGCAAGGCCGCCTCGCGGATCCTCCTGCAAGCAGTTCCGGCCGGAATGAGTATCGATCATATCAAGGAAGACATTGAGCGTCTTCCGGGTGTTATTGGCTCGCATCATCTCCATGTCTGGCAATTGAGCGATACCAAGATTGTTGCGTCGATCCATATCCAGGTCGACACGGAGATCAAGGGCGAAGGGTCGGAGCGGTACATGCGCCTTGCGAGGCAAGTGAGAAAATGCCTTCACGCTTACGGCATCCACTCGTCCACCATCCAGCCCGAATTTGCCCCAGAGAGCGATTCCGAAGATAATCAAGTGTACCCCTCATCATCCCGCGCAAGCAACGATGAGGCCGCGGGGTCGAACAAGCTGCCCAGCCGCGCGGAAAGCGTGGGAGAGGGAGATCCCAAGGCGTGTCTACTTGAATGCGGTGAAGAGTGCGCTCGACGGGGACAATGCTGCCCCAAGAAGTAGCTATTCTGACTCGATTCATACGGTATAATCTTTGGTTCTTCCTTAAATGTTATCATTATCCAAAAGCATATCTTCCCTTCATTCTGTGTCTTCATACCCCGCTTTATCTGTACCACTGCCACGTTGCCTGGGTGTAACGCTACTACTACTTAGAGAAATCTGGATTTGGAAAGTTGTTCCATGATGCGCTGGGTGATGAGCAAGCTTGAGCGCAGTTGACTGGTCTCAACTACATCCTGAATTCATGAATCCTCCCATCATTAGCTCGAAATTATATCTAGTCCTTGCATAATCCCTTTACTACTCCTAGTTTCTGAGCTGCTTTTAGTACAAGACGACAAGAGATGAGGTTTATAGACCGCACCAATTAGTCCACACTCCCCTCAAAAAAAGGATACCAAGTACGTGCCAAACTTAAGACTCCTGTGACCTGTCTATCAGCTAAATATCTATCTACCTGCCAGTTGAACTGTTGAAGTTTTGAAGATCTAGACTGTGTCTAGTGTCCAGTGTCCACGTGACTTATCTCCACAAGCGGAGACCCATCACTCCTTTATTGCCTCGGAACTCCTTGCTCCATCAACAACAATGAGTTGACACTTGACACTGCTGTCCGATCATTATTGTTCGGTCGTTACATCCGTTCTCTCAAGTTCACTCTTTTTCGTACTCTCTCTTTGAAGCATGATATCCTCACTAGTCTAGCGAACAAGCACCTCTCTCGCTCCCTTTTATCGAGTACCAAAAAACAATGCGGCAAATACAATAAGTTTAGCCGCCTTCGATTCTCGACTCTAATCACCAATATGAGCTACTCCTACCCACGCAGCGAGAGCGCTAATGCATATCGTTCCGCTCGTCGCGATGGCTTGTTTGACTACTCGAGCATGCTCGCACGTCTAACGCAGTCGATACCATCGTGGGCGAAAGACTGGGCAGCGGACCTCCACGCCCGCCGAATGCCCTTGAGGCTGAGCGGGATCGGAATTGGAAGTGATGGGGCTGGACATCGGATGATCCTCTGGCGGATCGGACGGCGCATCTTCACCGTCGCGAACGCACTGATACTTCTGTGGTTCCTTACGCTGTGGTGGGGCGAACGGACTGTCTTCCAGGACAGTCTGGATGCATGTGTTTGGGACCAATGGGAGAAATGGGTGAGAGTTTCCGCGCCGGGTGGTTGACTGGCGTGCGATAGGTATACTGACTCTGTTTGATAGCCCCGGGATGCCAATCCTCATCATGTTGTCTTCGTCGCCGATCCCCAGCTCGTCGATCCGCATACCTACCCCGACCGGCCATGGCCTCTTTCGACCTTGACGGTCAAATATTCCGATCAATATCTTCGTCGCTCGTTCTCGACTATCCAACAGAAGCTCGGTCCGGACTCGGTCTTGTTTCTGGGGGATTTGTTTGATGGCGGTAGGGAATGGGGGACGGCGTCGTCGACGAGTCCTGAGAAACGTTATCAGAAATACAAGGACTCGTTCTGGAAGAAGGAATTCCAGCGCTTTGTGAGGATCTTCTCCGATCAGTTTCATCTGGGCGATGGACACGCTGTTGACCCTCGTGGTCGTCGGATGATTGCCAGTCTCCCTGGGAATCATGATCTGGGCTTTGGAACGGGGGTTCAGATTCCCGTCCGTGATCGTTTCCAGTCCTTCTTCGGCAAGGGAAACCGGGTCGATGTGATTGGGAATCATACATTTGTCTCGGTCGACACCGTCTCCTTGAGTGCCATGGATCAGCCCGATCCGCAGACAGGCAGCACTGGCGCCGGTGCAGGGGATGGAAAACAGCCCAATGAGCATATCTGGCGGGAGACGGGCGACTTTCTGAATGACATGCAGCGACACCGCAGCAAAGCGGAGACGGAAGAGTTGGTCATGCTACGCAACCAGTCGCAGTCGGGCACGGGTCGTCTCTTCAAGCACGAGGCCGTGGACGTCTCCGCGAATGCGGTCGCCAAGGATCCGCAGTGGGAGGTGGTCGGTCTCCCTACGATTCTCCTGACCCACGTGCCTTTATACCGCCGGCCAGCTACGCCCTGTGGTCCTTTGCGCGAACGCCATCCACCCTCAGCAGAAGGGTTAGAAGAGGACGAGCCAAATTCACTGACGATCGCTGGCGGCTACCAGTATCAGAATGTCCTAACACCGACCATCTCAAAGGATCTGGTGTCCAAGGTTGGACCTAATCTGGTCCAGGTCTACTCGGGTGACGACCATGACTACTGCGAGATTTCTCATCGTGAATTCAGCGGTTCACCCCGAGAGATCACCGTGAAGAGTCTCAGCTGGGCCATGGGGGTCCGACATCCTGGCTTTGTGCTCACCAGTCTGTGGAATCCGATCGACGTGACGACGGGGAAGTCTACCGAGCGGGCGTCATCCACCATTCAGAACCATCTTTGCCTTCTACCCGACCAGCTGGGTATTTTCATCTACTACGGCATGCTTTTCGGCTTCACTCTTTTTGTGCTTGTCGTTCGGGCCGTTGTCGTCGTGGTGTACTTCCCACCGCCTCCCCCGGACACCCCCCTTCTCCCTCTTACGGAGCGCGAACCCTATCCCTCTGAGCCCTCTGCTCCCTCCTACCCTCCATCATCGAGTACGTCCCGCTCCACACTTCCCTCTCCGCGCGGGCTGGCCAGTCGCGCGGTGAATGCAGCACCTCCCCGGCCGCCGCCATCCCAACCCCCGCAGGATGCTTACCCGGGATTAGCAGAGTACGAGGCCGAGATGAACTCGAAGTGGAAGGCCCCGACGGGTCCATCGCGGCGCACGCGCAGCACGACCCCTGTCAAGATCCGTGGCGAGCTGATGGGGTCGGTCCGGTTTGTGGCGGGTGTGGTGTTTACCTGGTATTTTTTCTTGATCTGGGGATGGTAGCGTTTCGCGATGAATCTGATCATAGGGCAATACCTTTCACGGGTGGGGGGATCTGGTCAGATCATAATGGTGTATGTCCTCTGTAGACTGGAGGAGAGAATGGAGGAGTGGGCAGACTCCTTGGTGTACCGTGTGACTACTAACTGTCGATACTCTGTGGAGATGTCAGCACTCAGCCGTCAGCACGATGAGTACAGAGTATGCCAACGGTGATTTTCCGGGTCCTCCAGTTGTACTAGACTACTAGTTAGTTCGTTATTATTACTGGCTGAGTTTACTCCATCGCTCACTGCCCGATATCCACCGGCCATGACCCTGATACCTACGGAGTAATAAAATACTCCTGTCAAGCATTTGGATCATTGGATGATTGTATCTGACCAATTTTTCAGCCATTTGAACATCCCCGATTTCCACCATTATCATCCATCTTCTCTTCTTCCTGTCCAGCCCGGGAACACAACCTCACTATCGCTTCCCTGGAGATTGACCATACTTTTCAGACCCCTATAGGTACTGATCTTGAAAGAAAACTACCCCCCTTTCCCCCCCCCGGCTCCCCCCCTCCCCCACGAGCTACAGCAACAACAAGAAAAGAAAAAAAAACAAAATCAAGACTTGATACCACCACGGTGGCGTAAAAGACCTAAAATCACTCAAGTGCAGCAGCCAATCTGGATCTCCGTGGTCGGCGAAATAATTAATCTCCCCTGGGTTTCGCCGAGGAGCGGCCGCATCGATCGGGTTGGAATTTGGTCTTCGGTCCATGGGCATGGTGGCTCCATCAGTAGGTAATGGTAATGGTAATATGGAGATGAGCTACTGGTAATCTGGTATTATTCAGACTTTCAGAGAAGGTTTGGGAATGGATACTTAGGTTAGGTTAATGAGGAATGCAGATACAGAGGACAGACTGAACCCGGTCATCTCCCAGTCTCCACGATCCCGACTCCGGATTTTCTCTGGCCAGACTTCCAGGGTATTCGATTATTCTATTAATTCTTTTCAGGCTGCACTCTAGAATACAGCAATAATAATAATAATGATAATAATAATAATAATAACGAGGAGATCAAACATGAAACCGATATTATATTATTGTAGAAACCCCCAACATCCGCATTCGGGATCTCTCTACCAATTCCCCCCTCGAAAGTGGTAAGGGAAATCCACGTCAGAGTCTGACCCGAAAACGACGATCCCGAGCTGGACACACACACACCGGCCCTGGAAGTTGACCGGCTCTAACGCCTCCGACCTATAGTGATCAGCCCAAGGGAATGATGGTCTTACGTACTCTGTACACTAGTCTAGATAGTTATCATTTACAGTGCGAGCTAGAAACCTAGAACTCGAAGAGTCTGGAGTTAGTTTTCAACGAGTCCCACCTGCGCCCAGTCGCAGCCCAACTTTTTTTTTTCTCGGTCTCGGATGCGGTCGGCCTTGGAGGTGCAGAGTGCAGACGTAGATGCACCGATGCACCAATACACAATACACCCCGATGGATTGTCCAGTCAAATCTCCGTTTCTCCCTTGCATTTCCATTCCATTTTCCCCAGGGGGATGCAAGAATTGGACCATGCAAACGGTGACAGGAATCAGACAATCTTGACAGCCCTCGTGCGTCCATGCGTTTCCATCCCCGCGGGCCTCCAGAAAAAAAAGGGAAAAAAAAAACCAAAACCAAAACCAGGTTCGGCATCCCATGCTCTCCTCCATTCGGCTTGGGGGGGCGTTGTCTCGCCCTCCAATCCTGACGTGCACGTTTAGCTTTGAGGCCTCGGTCCTCCGAGTGGAGCCTGCCTTTGCTCAGCCCGTTCCCTGGACTGGCTATGTTTTAGATTAGAGGTGGATTTCGTACCAGAAAACACGAGTGCGGCTAGTTCTATCATTTGCGGGTTTTTCTCTAGTCCCGTAGTCTTTTCGATTTGTATGAACTAGGAGTATGAAGGTTTTGGACTTTGGGGGGGGCTCCAGACCCCTGGGGGGGTGGGGGCTCGTATCCCCAGGTTATACCACGTATTGGCCTGGTTGACCAGGACTCTCCACTCTCCAGACTCCAGAGGTTCTCTCTCCAGTCTCCAGGTCAGACTCGGCACCGAGTACGGGGTTTTTGTTTGCGGGATGGAGGAGGAGAAGGAGGAGGAGAAGGGCGACTGGGGAGGTATAAAGTCCCCCCTTGTGTACCCCAGGTTGATCTTCTCTCCCACGTTGTTCTTCTCTATCTATCTTTCTCCATCTATCGTGCATTCCCTGCTTGTTCTGGGGTATTTTGTGTCTCTCTAAGACGAGGCCTCCCCCCCCCCTTATTATCTGAAAGACTCTTCTTTTTTTTTTATCCTTATCTCTACCCTTCTTCGGACTCAGCCTTCATTATGGGCTTCATGTTGAGAAAGCCAGATGATGCCGTGGGCTCTGCGACGCCTGCCATCGTCATCGGCTTGTTCGTTGCTTTCGGTGGTCTTCTATTCGGGTATGGTCTTCTTGCGTGAAACGGGTTGATCACTTGGTCTAACGTTAGCCAACAGCTATGACACCGGTACCATCAGCGGCATCATGGCCATGAAGTATTGGCGGAAGCTCTTCTCCACTGGCTACATCAATCCGGATGATCACTGGCCCGATATCACCTCCTCCCAGTCCTCAATGATCGTCTCTCTGCTGTCGGCCGGTACTTTCTTCGGAGCCTTGACCGCTGCCCCCGTTGCCGATTACTTCGGACGACGCCTCGGCATGATCCTTGACTCGGGTGTCTTCTGCTTCGGTGTCATCCTCCAGACTGCTGCCACTTCCATCCCTCTCTTTGTGGCTGGCCGATTCTTTGCCGGTTTCGGTGTCGGTCTCCTCTCTGCAACTAGTATGCCTATCCCCCATCCCCCCCCCCCAAACCATAAATCACATTGTACTGACAGGCACAAGTCCCCCTTTACCAGTCCGAGACCGCTCCCAAGTGGATCCGTGGTACCATCGTCGGAGCCTACCAGTTGGCCATCACCTTGGGCTTGCTGATCGCTGCCATCGTGAACAATGGCACCAAGGACCGTGAGGATACTGGCTGCTACCGTATCCCGGTTGCCATCCAGTTTGCCTGGGCCATCATTCTTGTCGTCGGTATGCTGGTTCTGCCAGAGACCCCTCGGTTCCTCATCAAGAAGGACAGACACGAGGCTGCGGCCAAGGCTCTGGCGCGCCTCCGTCGTATTGATGTCAACGACCGAGCCATCGTTGAGGAGCTGTCGGAGATCCAAGCCAACCACGAATATGAACTCAGCATTGGCAAGGCCAGCTACATCGAGATCCTTCGCGGCAGTATTGGTAGACGCCTGGCGACCGGATGCGGACTCCAGGCCCTGCAGCAGTTGGCCGGTGTCAATTTCATCTGTATGTTCTCCCGCGGCTTCCCCCCAACCCACGCTTCAATGCATACTAACCGGTGCTAGTCTACTATGGAACCACCTTCTTCACTGCCTCTGGCATCAGCAACCCCTTCATCATCACTCTGATCACCAACATTGTCAATGTGGTCTCCACCTTCCCCGGTCTGTGGATGGTCGAGAAGTGGGGTCGCCGTCCCCTGCTGATGTTCGGGGCCGTCGGCATGTGCATTTCGCAACTCATCGTCGCCATTGTCGGCATCGTGGCCAAGTCCGATGCCGCCAACAAGGTCCTGATCGCCTTCGTCTGCATCTACATCTTCTTCTTCGCTTGCTCGTGGGGCCCCGTCGCCTGGGTTGTGACCGGTGAGCTCTTCCCGCTCAAGGCTCGCGCCAAGTGTCTCTCCATCACGACCGCCACCAACTGGCTGCTCAACTGGGCCATCGCCTACGCCACCCCTTACATGGTCAACGCCGGTCCCGGCAACGCCAACCTGCAGTCCAAGGTGTTCTTCATCTGGGGCGGCTTCTGCTTCATTGCCCTCATCTTCGTGTACACCTGCATCTATGAAACCAAGGGTCTCAGCCTGGAGCAGGTCGACGAGCTCTACGCCAAGGTGCCCAATGCCTGGAACTCCACCAGCTTCGTGCCCTCAGTCCACTACACCGACGTTCGGGATGTCGCCGAGGGTCACGGCAAGGCCAACCTGTCCGAGCTGGAGATGGATGCTCAGGAGAAGCACAAGCTCGAGCACCTGGAGACGGCTTAGTTGTGCTTCGACTTGTTTTTGATGATTTTGTGTGTGTGATGATTCAGGCGACCTAGGCGTATATTTGGTGATACCTCTTGACATTTTCAACGACTGATGTATATAGAGACGAATGAAGATTGAGTCGGTCATTCACTCCTGTTCTCCCTTACAAGTAGTAGGAGTAGTAGTAGTAGTAGTAGTAGTAGTATTATAATAGTAGTACTGGAAGGGCCCTGGCAGGGAACCATGGACGCCTCAGGCCGCGTCAGGCACTATGACCGCATGGGCAGCCATTGGGTCATCTGATTGGCTCAGCCGACCGCAAGTCACGCCAAATGACCCACCGGCTCCATATTCACGTGCTCCAGTCGCTCTGCTTGATCAAAACCGGAAATCCGCCAGTAGTTCAGTTGCGAACTTGCGCGCCATGCTCTCTCTCTCCATCATGATCATCTCTCTTCGCTTGCCTTAATCATTGATTTGTCTTTCGTTTCTTCTCTTGAGCGCTGCTGAATCTTTTTCCTTTCTGTCTAGAATTAGAGCAAAAAGAAAAAGAAAAAAAATGCTGCACTGTGTTGTATATACTACCCCCCCTTAAATTCACCATGTTGACGGCCTCGCGGACCCACGAACGACCTGCTAGCCTCCAACTCGCCCAGAATATAGATGATCTCATACCCTCGAACCCATCCTCGCGGCTCCTCCTCCTCCAAAGCGACCTCATCGACATCCAACCTCCCACCCCCAAAGCAACAGGCAACCTCCTCCGCTCGAGTCCCGACATCGAGCTACGAAATATTCGGGCATTGCGCGATGATGAGAAGATCGAGTCGCCGGTGACGGCCGCCGTGAGCGATGGGCTACTGGACAGCGACCACAATGACAGCAAAGCGCAACCCGCGCCGCCACGCTTCCAGCCCGACACCGCTCTTTCGCCGCATCCGCTGTTCCCACCGCTGCCGACGTACAGCCCGCCGTCCCTTGCGCTGGCGCTGCGCTGTCTGGCCGTCCGGTGTGTCTCATATGTGCTGTCGGTGTTGTTTCTCGGCGTGATCTTCGGCGGGGCGATCGCTGGCCTGGCTGGCATGCAGCTGACGAACCTGTGGCTGCGACTGAGTGGTCAGGACCCGGCTGCGCGGCGGAAATTCCACACCGAGGAGCGCGAGCGCCAGCGGGACCGCGACGAGCAGGCGCGGCGGTGGAAGCGGCGGCAGGCGAAGCGGGACGCGGACGAGGAAGGCCGCGATGAGTATTCGCCGCTGGAGGGGGGCAGGGATCTGCTGGTGTGCGATGTGGCGTACTATGCGCGGCGGGTCGGGCTGGATGTGGAGACGTTCCGCGTGCAGACGGAGGATGGGTTTGTGATTACGCTGTGGCATGTGTATAACCCGCAGGAATACACGCCTCTGTCAGCGGAGGAGAGGGGCCCGCGTGGACCGCACGTGTTCACTGGGAAGAGAGGTCTGGGGCCGGCGTCGGAGCGGGACCGGAGATATCCTGTGCTGCTGGTTCATGGGCTGTTACAGAGCGCCGGGGCGTTCTGCACCAACGACGATGACAGCCTGGCGTTCTATTTGTGCAAGTCCGGGTACGATGTCTGGCTGGGGAACAACCGCTGCGGTATGACGCCGGAGCATACGACGCTGGCGACGTCAGATCCGCGCATGTGGTCGTGGAATATCCGGCACCTGGGCGTGCTGGACCTGACCGCGCTCATCTCGCGCGTGCTGTACGAGACCGGATTCGAGAAGCTGGGGCTTGTGTGCCACTCGCAGGGCACCGCACAGACCTTCGTGGCGCTGAGCAAGGACCAGCGGCCGGAGCTGGGTGAGCGGATTTCTGTCTTTTGTGCGCTGGCGCCCGCCGTGTATGCCGGTCCTCTGCTCGAGCGCGTCTACTTCCGCTTCATGCGCGGCCTGTCACCGTCTGGGTTCCGCGTCTTCTTCGGCATTCACGCCTTCATCCCCATCATGATGACAATGCACGGCCTCCTGCACCCACGCATCTACGGCGTCTTGGGGTACCATGTCTTTGCGCACCTGTTCGGCTGGAGCGACACGCGCTGGGACCGCGGGCTGCGCGACCGCATGTTCCAGTTCGCCCCGGTGTACGTCAGCAGCGAGACGATGCGATGGTGGCTGGGACAGGGGTGTTTTGCGACGCAGCGGTGCATCCTCGCCACGCTCGAGGACACGCTGGCCGAGATGGAGGAGGATGAGGCGGGCCTCTCCGCCGCCGAGCGCGACCGCGAGGGTGCCATCCGTGCGAATGCCGCCTGGTACGGGCCCCAGACACCCCCGTTCGCGCTGTGGGTTGCAGGGTCGGATGCGCTGGTGGACGGACGGCGGCTCCTCAGGCGGTTGCAGAGCGGGCGTGAACCGCATGTGCGAGTGGTGCATTCCAAGGTAGTAGACGGGTACGAGCATCTAGATGTACTATGGGCGATGGACATGGTGGACCAGGTGGGTCGGGAGGTGAGACAGATGGTCTGGATGACGATGCCGGAGGAGGCGAGAAGGGTATGTCGCATGCCTCGGGGATGCAGTACTTCCTGAGCGACCAGACCACGAGTTAACGAGATATGACTTTTTTTTTTTTGTTTTTTTGTTTTTTTGTTTTTTAGCCTCTGCTTGTTGGTCGCATACTGCATCTAGATAGATATTCAGTATATACACACATAGACATACTTGCAACCAGTGTAACCTCATAATAACCTCAGCATTCCACGAAGAAATCTATCTGCTTAGCCCCCTCGAGTCAGTCCAGCCCTACATCCTCCTCCTCCTCCTCCTCCTCCTCCTCCAATCCACAGCAATTTCCCCCCCGGGTTGGTGAGGAGGGGAGGCCCATCGCATTCGCACCGATCAAATTCCAAGGAAGCATCCATGCACACGGGGCAGTTTAGTCTAGCGTAACCGCGTAAGCCAGGAAATTCTGTACGAAACAACGACGACAACAACCGCCGAGGATGAGTTGTTGGTGCGTGCGTGCATACATAGTACGTGCCAGGCCGGGGGGGGTGGGAGGGGAGGGGAGAGGGGAGAAGAGGAAAAAAGGACGGGAGAGTCAGAGATTGGCTTTCTTTTTTTGGGGAGGCTAAGTGGTAAGTAAGTACGTAGATAGTATACAGTAAGTAGTAAGTACATTAGTATGTAACTTGGAAACTAGACTAGCTTCCCAACCCCCTTCCTCCGTCGATTGGACAATCAATAATAGCCTTGTTGGAAACTTGGATGGTCTGGCTAAGCTAGAAGCTAAGGTCCCGTAGTCCCCGTAGTCCCAGTACTAGTTCGGGATCATATCATAGTCATACTACGTATATAATTATATATATAGACTCTAGGCCCTAGGGACTAGGGACTACTGTGTAGGGACTAGGGTGACGGTGAGTGCCGAGTGGCGCTACGGGCTGCGGGCTAAGCCAAGATGGCGTGCAGGTTGCAGCTTAGCGGTCTCTAGTCTCTCCTTATCTGTGATCTAACGAAGGACTCTGTACATACTCGGCTAGTAAAGTAGCCAACCCAACCCCCCCCGGCCCTGCGAGGAAAGAAAGGGATTCTATTTTTGGGTGATGGTTGGGACTTGGGATGCGATCATGCGGGTGCCGTGGTGATGGTGATGGTTGCAGATTGAAGCATTGCTACTACGGGGTTACGGGGGTACGTACGTGTAGCTGTACGTGTGGGCGAAGAAGGTGGGTTTTTCTTTTCTATCTACGGCTTGGGTCTGGACGGTGTTATTCCGGGGAGCGGGTGGTTTTGCTTGTCTGCTGGCTGGCTGGCTGGCTGGCTGTTCTTGCTCTGCTCGTTCTACCGCATCGGACGGGACGGCTGGTTTCATGTCTAGCGGAGTATGCCGTGGATGATGGCTAATTGCGTCGACATTCCTCGACGTCCTACCCGGCCGGTTTATCCGCATGAGGGGGGACGAAGGGGAGGGGGGGAGTTGTAGAGATGGACGTGCATCCATGTGGTTTGTGGTATATATATATAGAGCAGCAGCAGCAACCGTAACGCCAGCACCAGCACCAGCAAAAGCATCAGAGAAAACCCAGAATGCAGCTCATCCATCTCCTCCCCATTCTTCCCTTCATCCACGCCGCCCCCTCCAATCCTCCCCTGCGTGGGTCACCCGATCTCCTGGGCTACTCCTCCTCGTACACCCTCCCCTCTCAAGCCCCCGACATCAAGTTCACCCTCGTCCCGGGCCAAAAAGACGATGTCGACGACGGGGTGTATCTTGATTTCGAGGATGCAGACAATCCGCAGCCCATCAGGGGCGATCGGGGAGGCACAGATCCCGGCCCGAGTATGGTTTGTTCTGTCCAGATAGATCAGACGGATTCTGACCGAGACCCAGGGAACGAGTACTACGACCGGATCAACAGCGATAAGCTGGCTCCCCCTGGTACGGACTCGGGGCAGACCATCAATGCGCAGTGGCCGATGGGTAAGGTTCTCTTCTCTGTCCGAAATGGGCGAAATATGATAGAATGCTGATGTGAGCGAGCAGGGCTCAGTCGGAATAGGTAAGAAGGCATATTGCAATCTGTCGGGATAGGGTAGATTCATATACTGATTACTGACGCTATGATCATCAGGCTTGGAATAGAGAACGCCGGATGGGCCAGACAGGAAAACACCAACGTCATGCCCGATGCGACGCTCATGGCCGGTGTCGACATGCGGCTGGAGCCTGGCGCGTACCGAGAGCTGCATTGGCATGTCGCCGCGGAGTGGTCGTTGGTGCTCAACGGCTCCTGTCGGATCCAGGTAGGCTTTGCCTTTTTTTTTTTTTTTTTTTTTTTTTGCCCATGGAATGCTTGCTAAGGATTAGGCTGTCAACGAGAATGGCGAGACGTTCATCGATGATGTGAAAGAAGGGGATGTGTGGTTCTTCCCGCCGTAGGTCTTCCCAGTCCCACTTGATGGATATGAATCATGCTCATGAGGTGATAGGGGCGTGCCACACTCTATCCAAGCCCTCGACCCGGGTGTCGAGTTCCTCCTCGTCTTCGACGACGGCGACTTCTCCGAAGACAACACCTTTCTCGCCTCTGAAGTCTTCGCGCACAACCCGGTCCGTCCCAATCCTTATCTAAAAGATGAAAACAAAGACATGGCCCCCCCCCAGACTAACACTCGCAGAAATCCGTCCTGGCCAAAAACTTCGGCATCCCCATCACAGCCTTCGAAAACCTCCCTAAGGACGCACTCTACATCTTCCCCGGCACCCCCGCCCCCAAGGACATCGAGGAGCAAAACGTCAGTACGGCCGCAGGTCCCATCCCCCGCGCGCAGAGCTACTCGTACCATTTCTCCGAGCAGCCCGCGCACGAGGTCGCCGGCGGGTCCGTCAAGATCGTCGACCCGGCCACCTTCCCCATCGCGAGCAACTTCTCCGCGGCCGTCGTGACGGTGAAGCCCGGTGGCATGCGCGAGATCCACTGGCACCCGAGCAGCGATGAGTGGACGTTCTTCATCCGCGGCCAGGGCCGCGCGACGCTGTTCTCGGCGCCCAGCACGGCGACGACGTTTGATTACCGGGCGGGTGACGTCGGATACTTTCCGCGCTCGAATAGCCATTATATCGAGAATACGGGGGATGAGGATTTGATGTTTCTGGAGGTATTGCAGGCGGAGAGCTTCACCGGTTTGTCCTCCCCTTTTTTTGTCTCTCCCCCCTTTCTATTTCCTGGCTGGATAGCCGCTAACAAAGTGTGCTAGATATCGCACTCGGACAATGGCTTGCGTCTACGTCGCGGCAGATTGTGGCAGATACGCTGAAGCTGAGCGATGAAGCCCTGGACAAGCTGAAGACGGAGAAACAGTTTGTCGTCGCTGGTTGATGTCATACAAGTTCACATTCATCTCAGTCATGTCATGTCATGTCAATCCATAGCTCTCCCACAGGGAAGTAAAGGCAAAGAGAACAAAGAACCAAATCAAGGCGCATATGCAGGCAGTAACTCCTTCTCATCCTCCGTCTCGCTATCCTCCTCCCTCTCACTCTCCTCCCGCAAAACCTTGTAGTCAAGTATAGGCAGCTTCTTCTCATCCACGACCTGGCCAGCGCCCTTCCCATCCTACCTCAGTATTAGCCACCCACTCCAAGACTCCCAAACCCCAAACAATACAGTAAAAAAACAGAAAAAAGAAAAGAAAAGAAAAAAAACACTTACAATCCTCTCACAAACCACCTCCCCCCCAGGAACCCTCCCTACCAACCTTCCCCCCCTCCACACCCCAAACCGCAACCTCATGCCCACAAAGTCCGTGCCCACAAGCACACACTCGCGCACCTCGCACTGCCGCAGCGCCGCCTTCCGCACCCGACTCCCCTCCACCACCGAATCCTCCACCGTGCTGCGCACCACCGAACCGCCCCGCACCCGGCTGCGCAGCAGCATGCTCCGCGCGAGGGTACTCTGCGCGACGACGCTGGCGCGCAGCTCGCTGCGCCGGGTGCGCGGGGCGTCTGTGAGGGAGGAGTCTGTGGCGACGAGCGAGCGCGCGGGCGAGTTGTGCAGGGTGCTGTTTGTTAGCTTGCAGCGGCGGGTGGAGGAGTTGGTGAGCGTGGTGGTTCTGAGGACGCTGCGTTTGATGCGGAGCGGGGTCGGGGGCGAGGAGAGATCGCGTGCGAGGGTGACGGCGTCGAGGGTGGAGCGGTGGATGCAGTCTGAGGGGTTGAGGTTGGTGAAGGTGCAGTTTGTGGCGGTGGAGCGGGAGATGGTTGGGGAGGTGGTGGAAGTGAAAGTGGTGGTGGTGGTGGTGGGGTGTGGTTTGGTCATTTTGGATGTAGTGGGTGTTTGGAGTAATGGGTGAGCAGCAGCTAGATAGGTTATGATGGATGAATAGATCAGGATGGTGATATAGAGATAGAGAGAATGCTGCTGCCTAGGTGGTGGTGGGTGTTGATGAGAAGTGTATGGACTATGGTGTAGTCCACAGGGGTCTGTGGTGAGAAATCCTCTGATTAGTTGATAAACGCCAATACACGAGCACAGCCCCAACGGGATACGCTGTGTATATCACGTCGTAAGTTAGTATGGTTTTTTAGTATGACCAGACTGTTTTGAACTATAGCATAGAGAGAAATATGCGATCAACACACCATTGAGTGATGCTATTCAGATTTAATATACTACCCATATGATTTGTAACATATATTCAAAATATTGAGCGTATCAACATCCAAGGCAAGATGGCCGAGTTGGTCTAAGGCGTGAGGTTAAGGTCCACCTTAATACCGAGCTCTCTGAGTTTCCTCATCATCGTTTGATGGCGTGGGTTCGAATCCCACTCTTGTCAGTTCTTCTTTTTTTGTTTTGATTTTTTTCGCCCTTTTATCTCAATGTCTTACTTCCTTGCATTTCTCCACATCACCAAGAGTCCAAGACACCAACATTCATTGAGCTTAAAGTCAAGAAGATTTGACAGTTGAACAACGAACACATGAAATAGCGACCATATTTCTCCACTACTCCGTGCATGGCTTGTCGCCAAGATAGTCATTTCCATCCTCCGGTCATTATTTTTCCGTCTGCAACCAGGCTTGGTCGTCTTATCTATGGAGTATGAAGAGATTATATGCAGTCTTTAGCCGATCTTGGTGTTGGAGATATATAACTATAAAGGGGCGGCATGATCACCATTCCCCCACGATAATGCACCATCACACTGCAAAAAAAACCAGCATGTATTCATTCGTGAAACCCACGCTGCTGGTCGCAGCTCTCGTCAGCCTCTCTCAAGCAGCCGATTACACGGACTGGATGGCCTCGTCCTTTATGACCAAGGATGTCACCTTCTTGCGCAACTACGCCAATGGCGTTCTCATACCAGCATCGAACTCGCCTACAATAAACCCCAGAACGATGTCTATCCCACCTTTATCAAGTCGCATATCGACGCAGTTGTCGACGATTGGGAGCCCTGATTGACTCCCCCGGAAACAAAGTCTCGCCCGACGACATTCGCCTCGGGTTGAAGCTCTGGCTCTGGACCGTGACGGGTGAGAGCAAGTACAAGACCGCAGCCGATACTCTCCGTGAGCATCTCAACTCCACCCCGCGCAACAATGCAGGTGGATTTTGGCACCGCAAGCCAACATTCGAGTCATCAAAAGAACTTGCGGCGGTTCAAGTCCCTTGCCGCAACGCTCAGGAAAACCCAGGATAAGTCGGGTGGCTGGTGGCGTACCATGGACAAGCCGTACCCACGCGATCCTCGCAATTATATCGAGAGCAGCGCTACTGCGATGTGCACGTATGGATTCCTCAAAGGGATTCGCAAGGGATCTATCAGAGCAAAGAATTATATGGCTCCAGCGAAGAAGGCGTATAATCTGATGGTAGATAAATACGTTGGGAGGAAGGCTGATGGAACCCTTAACTGGCTTAAAACGGTCGAGGGGGGCAGTCTGGGTAGTAACAGCACATTTGAAGTGAGTCCCCTTCCTTTTTTTTTTTCCTTTTTTAATAACTCCCCCGCAAAATCGATTCTGGCACAATCTGACGGCCGTTAGTATTACATCTTGGTTCCGGTGGTGCAAGACTATTAGGGAGCGGGGCCGTTCATGTATGCTAGCTATGAGATTGAAGCCGCTTCATAGGATGTCAGGGCCAGGAACACGGGATGAGAGACAGCTGGGTGGATAGTGGGCGTTTACCCAAGGAGTAGTAGTCAAGAAGTTGAAGAAATGCAAAACAACTTCCGGAGAGCACTGGAATAATATTAGCAAACCGCACACGTGGGCTGAGTCAAATACAGTCTCATGGTGAAACATGATCCTATCGCGAACCCCTCCAAGATTGGGAGTGGGATCCCAGTGGAGGCTGAGTCGCTGAGAGCCCAGGCTACGATAGCCGACAGAGCCATTGCAATCTAGAGGACGCGGCAATCCCTGTGGCTTGAACCCTTTATCCATGAATGGTCAATGTGACTAGGTTATAATCACTCAAGCCCCCGTCTTGTGGATTCGCATCGATCCTCGTTTCTTGACTCCAGTTCATTCCAGCTGAATGACCGTTTCACTGTTGCATCTACTACTGTCACTTAGTAATATTTCCCATAATCAATTATCAATAAACACTTTCTCACCATGTCTCCTCTCTCCCGTGTCCGTGCCAAAGGCCGGCCGACAACCGACTACGAGCGATGGCTCAATTACAACCCCGACCACGAACTATCCTCACCTCCCAAGTACAATCCAGACCAAAAATACCGCTACGGTGGCTCGCCAGTCGGGTACGCTCCGAATCGTCAGCTGATGTTGTAAGTATATCTATCCTCTGAGGGTTCCTGTCTGCTCACAGACACCAGCAACACCCACCCCAATAGGCCACTACTAAATCCATCGCACCCCCGTCACCCTCGAAGACCATCACACTCGCAAGGCCTCATTCGCGGAATCACCTTCTTCTGTGCCGTTCTAGTGGTCATCGTCGTCATCCGGATGTTTGTGGTCTCATTGATCCGCGCATCTCAGCGCCGCCGAGAGATCGAGCAACAAATCCAGGATACAACCAGACGGCAAGAAGTCCCAGCCATTTACGTGGATAATAACGAGCTTGACGAGCTACAAACATGATTTCGTGATACAACGATGTTGTTGACTTGAATGAACCGATGAGAATTGTGAATGACTGGGAGCCATCCGCCCCGTTCCCAGCGGTGAACAACCCACAACCGAATGTTATTCCTATCCAGAAACAACAACAAAATCTTACCAGGACGCGGAGCACCAGCCTCCTTCCAGACCGGGCTATCAGGCTCGCACGGCGACGCCACAAAACCGGCTAGAAGTCTACCCATCAGGCAACCGAATTCCCAACATCAGCAGGAGTGACATTGGGGGATTGTACCTATCCAGGGCTGCTGGCTGCCTGGGCCCTGGTAACCAACTCCACGCTGTGAAACGATTGGTTGAACCTATCTATTTTAACCCGAGAAAATGCTTGGGCCGAAGCTTATTGGGCTCAAGCCTGCAGTGAGCAATTTGATATGGTTGGTGGCCCGCCGAAATATAGCTGCCTAGTGCCTAGAAGACCCTGCATCTCTTCCATGGAGCACCCGGTACACACATTGCACAGTACACACAGGCCTCGCTTCATATCATCTTATGCGTGAATGTATAGTAGATCACAAAGAAGTTTTGGCGTTAATTACAAATTTTAATATCTCCAATGCTACCGTCTTCAATGAGTGATACCTCTTCGCAATCCTACTTCTAGAAGAGGCTAGGTATGCTATCTTTCCATGTAAAAAGTCTAATCCCCAAAACCAAGACCCTGAACATAGAGGCAAAAAGACAAAACTCAGCCTCGACCCACTCCAACCCTTGAAATGAAGGAAATTGACCAAGATCGTGCCATTGTCGACTCCACAAAGTCTCATGTCGGCCCCAGTTTGCCAGCGGCAATGGAGAGACATTCTGAGAAAGAAAGAAACAAAAGAAGAAAGAAAAAAAGAAAAAAAGTCTAGTTTATTTGCATATATGTTGCTATTCCTGTTCACCATCCGTACTTGAACTCTGGGACTGTGCTCCGTGATGGTTTACTCCGTAGGGTTGGTGGGGTGCGGAGTAGATCTGCTGGGTATGTTCACTGTCGGAGACTCGGAGTACTCTGGTGTGCAGAGTTTGAACTAGGGAGCTAGGATGATATGTACTACTACCTCCGTAGTGATGCCGGGTAAGTCTCACGGATAAGGAGCTTGGTTACGTTGGCTCTGCTGATCTCCTTGTCGCTATCGCCACTGGCTTTGGGTCCATGTTGCAATGGGAACGTCAGTGTGGCAGGCAAGAGGACTGTCGATTGTTTTTGTCTGAAGAAAAACCTGGAAACTCAATGGGATATTCCGTGTGTCCAATAGCTAAGCTGACATTGCGACTCATGCAGCATTGGTGTGACCTATCTTCCGCAACAAATCTGATAGGTTCTACGGAGTAATAGTTACTATCCCATCCTCTCCCTCTATCTGCGTGTCTTCGGTGACCTGCATATCGAATGAACATACGAATATTCCCCGAGGACATGGCTTGCATGCCGAGCCAAACTGTTACATATCAGGTGGTCTTAGGACGAGACTTTATTTCAACATGTCCATTATCTTTCGTGACCATCCAAACCTCTAGTTTCTTCCCAAAACGCCGAACAAGTCAAGAGTAGAGTGGTTAATATATAGAACATGAGAGACCAGTATAACTCATAGACACCCGGGCTGGTACCAAGCCATTTCTTTTTTCCTCACCCACAACTCCAACGCAATCCAACAAGACTTTATCCAGAAAACCATCTAGCATTGTACTATAACATTCATATACACATGTCATCATGTGCACCGCATCATTCGGTAAGGGCATATGTGCTATGCATCCGAAATTAAGATTAACAGAAGTCACAAAGTCACCCCTCGGCAATCTTGCGATCTGCATATCTCACTAAGACGGTCGATCTTGACAATTCACCACGAGGTTGAGGGTCTCTCGGTGGCGTGGACCAGGTAAGACTCGTCCTCGGAAGCTCGATCAACCATGACTGTCAGCTCCTGGTGAATCTGCTGAGAGGTAGCTCGATCTTCTGGATTGATCCGAAGCATTTTTCGCATGACGAGAGATAAAAGATCGTAGAGCATGTCCGAGCATCGCGGATCATTGACTAGGCGGGTCACCCATCTCTTCACCGACGGCCGGACGTCCTCGTAATCGGTGGTATAGAAGTAGTCAGAGCTCAATTCCGGTAATTCAGGATCGAAGCCCTCTTGAGCCCGAAGGTGCCCAAACTCTTTGACCGCCTCATAGCCAAGGGTCATCGAGGTAGCGAACTCCAGAAAAAGACATCCAAGGCTCCAGTTATCCCACTTGCGAGAGATACGAGCGTTGCGAAGTTTGTCAGGAGGCGAATAGGTCTGAGTGCCAGTGACCTTGGTTGGGTCAATGTCTGATGCCGACTCCATGCGATGGAGGCTCGCAAGACCCAGATCCGTGATGCGAAGGATTCCACCTGGGGCATCATCCCCTGAGCTGGAGGCGAACCACAGAATATTCTCGGCCTTGATATCCCCGTGGTGTCCGAAAAGAGGATCTGGTACTGAGTCGTTTGACCGTAGAAATCCGTGAATGAGGGAGAGCGCACCCGCAACCCCTGTCATTTGTTTTAGAGACCACAAGGTTTCTCTCGCATCCGGGTGCATAGAATGCTTCGTCTCCCAGTACTTTCGTAGGTCAACGTCGGCCCAGGGAAAAACCAAATGATATTCACTGCCATGCTTGTATGTGAACAGGAGGTTGGTCAGATGCGAATGGGCTCCGGCAGTTTTCTCTAGCGTGGTGTGCATATCCCGCTCGGCATTGAAGCAGGATGGCTCGGGTAGAATCAGTTTCTTGATCGCTACCACAATCTCCCGGTCCTTTGGAGTACATGAGTCAGTTGTAGTCTATTCGCATAAGGCTTTCAACGCCCACTCACTTGACATTCAACGGGATTCCGAATATTATGATGAGCTGGGTGTATACAGGCCTGATAGACCACACTCCACCCGCCAGAAATTTGCTCGTCTTCTGCATTCGCAGGAGCCATGAAAGGGAGAATTTGCAGCCTGGGAAACTCATAGTGCGCACCCTGCTCAAACACCGGGGCCAGCATGCGCCACTGTTTCTTCACCAACCTTATAATTTCGTCCTCGGCCCAGCCGCTGATGGACATGATATCCCGACCGCCACTCGTTTGTAATATGGGTGGCTCTCTTTCTGCTCTTGGTTTGAGTACAAAGGGCAACTTGGCGTCGGTGATACCCTCGTCCAGGAACCTGCAAATCTGATTTCCCCTCTTCATACTCACCAGAATAGCGAATAATCTCTTGGAACTTTGAACAATTCTCCGAGCTGTCTTTTGAACGAGGCTATGACCCACCATGACCCCCTCTGAAAGGATCTCTTGTACCCTAGCTTCCGTAATGAGCTCATTCAGTTTAGACAACGGAACATAAACCACATGGCCGTTTGTGAGGTGTGGTTCAATTCTCGCCTTGGACAAAGCTGTCTGGAGCTCATCTAAAGCAGATGAAGAGACAGGATATGGCTCACCGGCCTCAATAGACGAAATCTCGGAGGCAGCAAGGGAACTCTCTTGCGGAAGAGAGGGACAGTGAGCTATGCTGTCGTGCTCATCATCCTCGGGTCGAATGATTCGGACTTTGGGAGAGGGACGCTTTGATGAATCGGGGAGGAAACGAACATTTTCACGGGACTGCAGCTGTTTGCGAGGACGAAAGCATTGTAATAGGAGTCGGAAAGGCTTGAGAAGATGATATAATAAGGTCATATCGAATCAAATTTAGAATGACCCTGGAGATTTGGGTTCAAAGCGAGTTATGTGATGAATGTTTTGTTGAACCGCGGAGGTAGTATATGAGAGAGAGATAGTACATGGGCATAGGCTGATAACACACAGACTGGGGAGAGAGAGGGAGACTCGCGCAGAACGCCACCAACCAATGAGAATTTAGAAATATACTAGGAAGGTAGAGAGATTTAAGGGATAATAAAGAGGATGAAAATGAAGAGGAAGAAGAACAAGGGAATAACTCAAAATGAGCGAGTGAGTGAGTAGTGGTGGATAGGTGAAGTACACCAGCCGGTGATTTGAGGCGAAAGCTCGCGTGGAGAAGTCGTTGGTGATCCTCTGTTGGCACTGAACACGAGACAATTATGCTTTATAATAGGATCCCAAGGTGGCTGTGACACTAAACCAAGAGCTAGCTAGCTAACTGTGTTTCTCTGTGGCTGTTGTTGCTCTGGTTGAGCGAACGAGGCTGTGGAAGGCCAAGAGAGGGAGTCAAGTGAACTCGCCGTTGGACTCGGAGGAACCAGTACACAGATATTACGCAGGGACCTATCTAGTCGAGGAGAATGACGGACGGTTTCCCAAAACTTCCTCCATAACGATGCTACTCCGTAGGTTGTCGGATCTAGCATTCACCCGCGCCTTCGCCCAGCCAAGCGGCCAATCGCTTTTATGAGATACGTCGGTGTCATATAATCAAGATACACAAACACCTTGGGGATAGGGGTGGCGCTGGCATCGTCCTGACATACGCAAGCACAGCAGCGGGGAGTCCCTCTAGGTCTGCAGTCTGTACTTCCATTACCTACCTGCTTACTGACTGCAGGGAGCAGTCTCCTGCATTAGCGTCGTTTGGGCCTCAGTCCGTCTCCTCGTGCTGGAGCTGTTGCAATATTAATTATCGTGGATCTCCCATTGAAGTTTTCTTTGCAGTCATTCTTCAGTGTGCGTCGATCAGATGCTCAAGTCAGTGAACTCAGAATAACATCGCAATCTCGGCTGCTCTACAAACTATTTAAATACAAGAGCAGGGAAAGTTTACAAGAAGAGGCTAAGGGAGAGCCATTATTCTCTAGGTGTGGATGGGAGCTGACCGGCGAGACTGAGAGCTTGCAATAGTGGAAAGAGCAATCGAACTCGACCACGAAGGCCCCTCTTCCCCAGCATGTCCATGTCTGTTTCCACTCGCCAGGTTGCTATCATCAAATCTTCTACCCAGCAGTGCCTCAATGACATTATATCGGTCGCATAGCCACCAGGTGAACACGGTTAGAATAGTCAGAGGGATTGCAACCACGGCCAGAATCCATACTTGGCGAGAGATCTGCAGATCTCCCTGGTCGTTGAGGTGCACGAACTCTGTTGAGAAGAAATTCTGCCGAGTATTAGAAAAAGCACTGGATATGCCGAGACTACTCACGTACTGATACTATTGTCGTCGGCAGATACACGAGACCGATGATTGTCAAGACCTTGACCGCTGCCGCATCCCGAGCATTCTGAGCCTGCATCAACACACATTGTCAGTACTGAGTGAGCAAGATACTGAAATGAGGAAGCATGGACAAACCGCCAATTTTACCATCTCTTGGCTTTCGGTACGCGACGCATGTGCGAGCTGGGTTAATGCGGCTGCTTCTTCGTATGCCAGCAGATCTGACAGGTGAAGATACTAGAATGCCGGTTAGAGGACCCATGGCCCTCGATCCAGTTTACTTGATGACTGACCAGCTGCTCCGTCGATCGGACTCGCTCCTTTAGCCATACTGCTCGATCCAGGTACGTCTTAGCTTCTGCTGTATACTCCTCAAATTCTTCGATCTTTTCGTTGCAGGAGCAAGGCGCTGCAGTGCTGCAGCAGACTTGACAATTCTGTTTACAACTCCTTCCAATCCGATTGATTAAGTTGGCCATCGTCTGAAGAATCACCAACATATCTGTGATGTAGTAATCCAGTTGTTTCAGTCGTTGCCGATCTTCCGCGCTGAAAGATATATTGCGAGACTGTCCACCACTGCCTTTCTCAAGAATGTCAAGGGTGAGAACTCGATTGGACTGTAAAATGAAGCCATCAGGTTCTTCTCATGTTCAAAATCATTCTCCCGCGAAGTAACCAATGAAGAAGGGCAAGCGTACTATTTGCCTCGACTCTGCCTCGAGCCACGCCTGGTAGTCCCCCCAGCCCTTGAGGCTGTCTCGGACAAGGCATTCATGGATTAAAAAGTCTGGTCTATCTGCATTAGTCAGACTCACTTTTCCAGAGAAACACTGGGACAGGTCTTCCTCCACCGCACGCGATGGTGCTATCAAGATAAAAACGGACGGCCTGGCTGGCGGCTTTCTGCCATTGCGATTAGGATATATCATTTGGTGATATACGCCGGACTGCCGTATAGACCATGGGCAGACCCCATGCTCTGTCGATGAATTATTTAGTTCCACACGACGAATCACGTACGCCAGCTCTGTTTCAATCAATCAACAGTTCCAGAGTCTCTTCAGAAGAGCAGGGAGCCAACCATCTATTCTCTCTTGCGCAGTCTGCGAACGCTTTGCTCGGAACGGTGGGAACTCATATTCATTCTCCTGGAACTTGATACCGAACGTCAAGGCGCATCTCCAAACGTGGTCGAAAACACCATGGGCTGCTATGAGATACTCGAAAGTTTCATATGAAATATCCAGCGTTGTCCATGATCGAAGATGACGGATTGTATATATACGAGTGCACGCGTTGCTTTCTTGCTGCTATTACAATCTCGCTAGTCAGCTGGAGGCCCCCTTCAGAACAAACGCCCCAGATACTGTACCTCTTCGATTTGGCGTAGTTCCGAAAGAGAACTGATCTTGACGGGCGATCCCAGCTGCACGATCGAACGGTCCTCGGGCTGTTCTGATCTGAAGACCAAGGACAGTTCTAGCTGCGCTCGACCTTCTTGAGCCTTAAAAAGACGGTAACGCTTGGAAATAACCTTATCCCTCAGGTGCAGATCCAGGCGGGGTTCAGTCGTTATGCGAGTCATGATGGGTATGGCAGAGTTCAGGCGGATGGTCTTTTATCACGCTAGTCATCGAGGCTCTGAAGTTCCCAAGCGAATACTTATACTCCTCTACAGCATCGCGAGCTTCGAATCTCTCCGCAACTCTAGACCCTGAGGACGTCTCCTTCAAAGTACTTGAGCCTCTATTGAGGCGCAGGAAGGCCTCTTTCTTTCTTGGTCCTGGCATCGAAATTTTGAGGAGATTATGCTGGCTTATCACACAAGGCTGGCAAGTATGTGCTTGCTCTTTCTTTCTACCCGCTAGTAGGCACAACAGTAATGCTCCCTCCTCATTCTACCTAAAATCCGCCTTAGTCAAAAAGAACAGAGTTCAATGACAGGGATGTACGTCCTATCAGCAGACACCCTCCCAGGATATGTTGGCGCCCATGACTTATTTTCCCTAGCCGCCTGCAGTCTCTAGTGCAGCCACAGTCAGCTCTCATCACACCTGAATCCTGATGTGATAGACCTCCAAAGCCGGAGTTTCTCCCACATGTACTTCTGACTTGTGGAGCAACCAGCAGGTCCAAGTTTTCGAGAAGATTGCGTGTGAATACTGGGTCATCTGCACCTCTAGGGAGCAATCTCATCTACTATGCAAGGACCAGCTCGCTGTTAATCACAGGCGAGAACCCCAGAAAAGGACTACTTTGAAAACATCACCAGGGGTAAGAAATCGATCGCAGAAGTCTATGCCGCCATCATACATCCTCCGAGTCCGAGAGTATTTACAAGATACAAAGACTAGTTTTACAAATTCGTATTTCATTGCCGGAATGATTTGTCGCTGAAAGAAAAATCATGGTCTGAACTTCATTGGAAACCGACAGCTGTTGATTTTGGCCTTTTGCGAAGCGTCAGAAGCATGGCGGCTGAACGGTTTCTGTACTTACATCTATCAAACTTGGTGACCGTACATTCTGATTGTCTAGCAGATAAATCTTATATCGATCCAGCCGCAACTATAGCGGAAAAAAAGTTTGGTTAGCTTTGCATCGACAGCACATCCACAAGAGGGGCATGTCTTTACCTCTACCCGGAAATTCGATTGCCCATATTCTTCCCGGAGCACTTGCACCAGTTTTCTTGGATCCATATATCTCCCCTCGATCACCCGGAAGGGGGTGGAGCTGTATGAATAGCGTCGATTGGTGATACTCATTGTCGTTTAGCACTATCGTATGGAAGACAGAAAAACGTATATAACAAAACCAAAGAGATTCGACTGTGAACTAACTATACGCATAGAAGCCATGGCAGCTTTTGCCTCGATGGGAGGAAAGCATTGCAATTAAATACTCCAAGTTTCAAGAGAACAAGACACATAAACGAGTCATCCCTTCGTCAATCTCGGGCAGCCTGGTTTCATCCCCATTGGACGTAATGCGGCCAGCCTTTCTCCGTTGTTTGTAGACGACCTAAGAGCGCCCTCCCGGTTATCCGGTCGATGTGATAGGGTGCGTGATACACGAGAGGATGTCATCCTAGTCCATCTTAGCCCGCGAAAGAGGTGCACACTGCACAGCCTTGCTGATCGGAAGTGTGGCATGTGACGGGCGAATGGGAACGAACAGACCTCTGTCAAAGCCTTGGGGGCATTGATATAGCATATCCCCATTCGAATCTGCAATAGTCAGATTAAATTGCTCAGCCTCGTCTGGAAGTACCCCGGACTCCCCCCAAAAATCAAGAGATAGACCATGAAAGAAAAGAAAGAAAAAAAGGAGAGAAGAAAACAAAAAACAAAACAAAAAAAACCCTTGAAAGGAGAGCCACTTGGAGGCTCCAGAATCCAACCGGCCTAGTACAACACCCACACCCACGCAAAGGAGTGTACATAAGGCTCAGTACTCCAAAAAGGCTGAATGAGGTGCTGGCCCTGAGATGACCCAACTCACACGGACTTCATAGCCCCTACTGGGGAACCTGGCCCTCAGCAGCGCCAACAGCTTCTTTTCATCGATGTAGCGGTTCGTGAATGACTGTTCGATCATCTTGGGAGGCGAAGGCAAGGGTATAGCTGGCCGGCTGTTCATTCGACTTGACTCGACTCGACTCAGCTGAGGTGGCCATTGTTGTGAATGGTGCTATGGGGTTTTATCATCTCGCCTTGCGTGAGCCGCATCGTTCTTTTTTTTCTTTTTCTTTTGGGGATGATATTTCGATGCCCGAGATTGTGGTGTTTGGGATCCCGGGGGGTGTGTGTTGGCTCATGCTCTGTGCTATACGAGGGACGCCATAAGAGGAGGTTGTGATTGGTGATGCAGAGTGTAGTTGGCAAGTGTGGTCGTGTCTGATATGAGAAGGGTAGGCTGATTGATTGCTCCAACAGTAGTCGGCTGGATGTGTGCATGAGGCTGACGAAGTGGTGGATTTTTTAATGGCTAGCTTGCGGACGGGACGGGATCATGGGAAGGGGCTTTGCTAGGGCATTGATGGGACGTAAGGCTTGTTTGTAGACGGTTTGCTGGGTATGTCCAACACTTGGTGACTAGCATTCCATGAGGTGATCAGAAGATTTCATAGTCATTGCGGGTTTCTAGGCTCGTTCTGTATTACGGGATTCGAAGAGGGTATCTAGATGTCGCTGGTGGGCATATGAATCCATATCAGCATATACGAGATTCGGCCCTTCTCGACGATGTTGTCCATATTGATGCACAGATATTAATTATTATAACCTCTTGCGGACGCAAGATACCCCACTCGAAAGACATAAATACAGTTATACAACAATAAATGAACCTCCTTGCTCGTTTGACCATAACATTATCAGAACAACATCACTGCTGAGACTCTTCAGGCATCGAGAACATGGGAGCCAATAAGTTCAGAGCTTGGAGCAACCAAGAGCAACGGCACCGCCCTGATAGATACTCAGTTAGAACCGAATATCGTATAAGCCGAAATGACCAGAGAACTTACCAAGAGGTTGGCCTCCGTGCAGCACTGAGGAGCAGAGGAGCACTCTGGCGTCCATGCGTGGCCTTCAAAGATGTTTCGTCAGTTTTATTACAGCTATGTCACGGGGTAGGTCTATCACTCACAGAGCAGACCGATCGAGCCAACGATCTCGGCAGCATTGATGCCCAGTCCCAGTAGGATGGGGTCGACGAGAGGATCGAGAGGCGTGGTGAGGGAGCCACAGCACAGGAGAGGATCAATGCACTTCGAAAGATCGGTGGCGGTATCTTGCTCCTCAACGCCCTGGACTTTGTCTGCGATTTCCTCAACCTGGGACTTCAGAGCAGCATTCGTCGCCTCTTCGGTGGGAATGGCGGAGACAACGGTAGCAGCAAGAGCCAGGAGGGAGACAACGGAGAACTTCATCGTGGATGTTGTGCGAGATGGTCCTTGAATAGACTGGTGGTTATCGAGGGTGGTTGAGAGTTGAGTGGAAGGGTGAGCAGTTTGATGTGAATCTCGGGGAGATTCTTGCTCTCTTATATCCCCTTGAAAGACGTAGGCAGATTCTTTCTCGAGGCCTACAGTTCTTGTCGGATGATGAATGGCCCAATGGCATTGTCGTGATTCTTATCTTGAGCACCGTGTTGTTGGACTTGGCCTCGGAATCCAGCACAATCCGGTCGTACGGAGAGGATGGCAACGATAGAACGCATCATTTTCGGATAATCCTGATGGCAAGATCTGCAAACTATAGAGTTCGAGATACGAAACACATATGGATAATGGGGGAGTCACAGGGCATACCAAGAACATTGATGCTACAACCGAGCATCGGGACGTGGGGTGGGAATAGGATAATCTGTCTCCAAGCTGGAAGATCGGCATCAGGAACAGAAACGATCTGGCTAAATTGGGACATGCGTGTCTGTTTTCTGATATTGCTGATCTATCCTTGGAATCCTGGCACAAATCGATAGTTCGCCTGATGTCGTTGGCCAAGAGGGATTCCAGCAACTTGGGTGAGGCATTCTTATCTGTGGATCAGGAACAAAAAGTAACTCGAAGATGATCGACAGCAAGGTGCCGACGATCGATTGCAGATCAGGGGGCTCTCATGATAACGAGTTAACAACAAGAGCTTTATGGGCCAAAGGCATACTTTATAAGGCTCTAGTTGGTGGAACCGGAGGATCTTGGGGGATGATGCTCAAATCTCAATAGTCTCACTGTCTCACATCATATGGGATAGTATGTGGAGATCATTGGGGGAAAGGAAAGAAGAAAATATGGGGTATCAAGCTGCCTGCGATAAGACTCGAGCATCCTGAGTACAGTGGATTGTGTAAGATGACGAGATGAACTATCGATAGAGTCGACATTAACCTGCGAGGCAAAAGTGTAACTTCTAAGGGGGAACTCACGATCATCTGAAGTATGATCCTTATGATCCACCATCAGCATCCTCTGTGTCTTTCACCATAGTTCTCGAGAACTAGATTGGCACTTTTCCTTCATTGATGGAGAATCATTCAATATATATACAAAGCTCCTTAAGATGAACTTGCTTATCACTGTCTAAATACTAATGCTTCAACATGCTGATGGATGGATTTCCTAATTGGGGATATGTGGCGGTGCTTTCCAAAGCGAATGTGGCTCGAGCGCCAAGTCCTCACCAGCCACAGGGACACACAACGCGCAACACAAAAATTCGGGAGCACAAGAATTGTCTCCGCCCGCCAGCGAAACACACCGTCCGCCTTCATCTCCCACCTCCACCCTTTTTTGTCATCACGGTGGTGTTTTTTATCCAAAGGAATTTGTCTTTATATTAATCAGACACCATGGCGCCCGTTTCCATTGCAGACCTCGTGGCTGCCCTCCCCTCGGAGGACTCCTGGGGCCCCGCCACTCCCTCCGACAACATGCTCGAGGGTGTCCCATATGCTCCCTTCTCCAAGGGCGACAAGCTTGGCCGTATGGCTGACTGGACCTCTGATTCCAAGGACCGTGATAGGGCTGGTCGTCAAGCCTACAACCGCAACTACAGAGGTAAGAGATGAGACAATCTGCTAGCATGGTGGAAATTCAGGAAGCTAACAAAGAGAACACAGATCAGCAGGTGTATGGAGCAGGCACCTCCAGCTTGTTCAACGTCCAGGTCGCCGAAGACGAGTCCTCCTTCTCCGTTGTCGACAACACCCGTACTACGACCAAGCGTACTTTTGGTCGCGGAGGTGGCACTGTCTTCCGGGGTCGCGCTCAGCGTGGCGGCGCTGGCCAGAGAGGTGGCCGCGCTGGCTTCCAGAGAGTCGGCGCTGGCCGTGGCCAGGGTGGTGACCGTTATTACGACAACCGCGGTGGTCGTGGCAACCGTGGCCGTCGTTCCGGCTGGAAGGACTATGACAAGCCTCAGAGAACTCGTGAGCCTTCGGTCAACGTCCGTCCCGACTGGACCATGCTGGAGGAGGTTGACTTCAGCCGTCTCTCCAAGCTGAACCTCGAGGCCCCCGAGGGTGAGGATCTCGACTCCTACGGTTTCCTCTACTACTACGACCGCTCCTACGACAAGGCCCCTGTCAAGAACGCCGAGCGCAGACTGCAGGCCTTGGACCGTGCTGCTTACAACGTGACCACCACCCAGGATCCCATCATCCAGGAGCTTGCCGAGAAGAACGAGGCCACCGTCTTCGCCACATCCGACATCCTGTCCATGCTCATGTGCGCTCCCCGCAGTGTATACTCGTGGGATATTGTCATCGTGCACCAGGGCAACAAGATCTACTTCGACAAGCGCGAGGGTGCCTCGATTGACCTGGTTACCGTCAACGAGAACGCCGCCGACGCTCCCCTCGAGGTCACCGACTCCTCCGGCAAGCAGGAGTCGCTCAACACCCCCAGCGCTCTCGCTCTGGAGGCCACCTTCATCAACCACAACTTCGCTCTGCAGACCGTGGTGGAATCGGAGGACTCCAAGGTGGGCTTCAGCCACCCCAACCCCTTCTACAACGCCTCCGAGGAGACCGAGCCCCTGGCTTCCAAGGGCTACAAGTACCGCCGCTTCGACATGTCACTGCAGGAAGACGAGGAGCCCCTCAACCTGATCGTCCGTACCGAGGTCGACGCCGTGATGAAGAACCCCGTCAGCGGCGAGGAGCAGCAGCTAGTCGTCAAGGCGCTTAACGAGTTCGACAGCAAGGCGCCCGGCTCCGGCGGCGCCCTCGACTGGCGCAGCAAGCTCTGGTCGCAGCGCGGTGCCGTCGTCGCCACCGAGATGAAGAACAACAGCATCAAGCTCGCCCGCTGGGCCACCCAGGCCATCCTCGCCAAGGCCGATGCCATGAAGCTCGGCTTCGTCTCGCGCGCCAACCCCCGCTCCGCCGCCGGACACGTTGTCCTCGGCGTCGTCAGCTACAAGCCCCGCGATCTCGCCGCCCAGATGAACCTGAACCTCGGCAACGGCTGGGGTATCGTCCGCACCATCGTCGACCGCATCCAGGCCCTTGACGCCAACGAAGAGGAGGACAAGGTCACCAAGTATGTCCTCATCAAGGACCCCAACCGCCCTGTCCTGCGTCTGTATAGCGTGCCCGCCAACACCTTCGAGGAGGACGATGAGGCCGCCGACGAGCAGGAGGAGAAGGCCACCGAGGAGAGCGAGGAGTAATGCAGTCATGATCGTTATAATGATTTGCTTTTTCGATGGTTCTTTATTTGTTCATATTCTCAAAAAGTCGTTAGATGAGTATGAAGAGTTTCGCTGACAGTCATTTGTTCCATGTGGCGGTTGCTACGGTCTATGTTGGCATTATAACGGCAATTTACTGAATTCGTAGAATAGAGCGCAAGGAGCATGCATCTGCTTTCTTTCCACAAGTACAACCTGCACGTACAGTATTAGGCGGGATTCTACTTCATCCCGCATCCGAAAGAGTGCAAATAGCAGAAAGACAGTAGTCGAATGAAACGAGAACAGAGAGAGGGATATATGGTTGTCCACACACACACAAAGGAAAAGATAAAAGTGGTACAGTAGGACAAGTGAAGCTAAAGAGAGACAGGGGAGGGGGGGGAAAGACGAAAAAAAAAAAAAAAAAAAAAAACAGAGGCAGCCGAGCCCCCGAATCTATATACACCTTCCTCAGTAATGGAAAAAAGAAGACTCCAATGTACTCCCCTACCCTGGCCCCCAACACCACTCAATACCTCACTCTTCGCAAGGCTTCTAGTCATCTGCTGCGAGGGACATTCCTGGCCCCACCCTCGACCCGAGCACACTGCTCAGACAGTCCATGAGCTCAAAGTCTTCGACGACGGCCCCGAAGCCGTAGCAGCGGACCTTAGTGTTGAGCGTGTCGATGATGATCTTGACGTCGTCCTTGGTCAGGTTACGATACATGTCGTGGTTCTTGAGGCACTGCAGCGCCATGATCGGGGTGATTTGGCCCTCTGTGACCAGCTGTCGGCTGAGGTTGAGGAGCGTCGTGAGGTTGGCGTGGGGGAGGTCGTAGGTTTTGTGCGGGTACGTTTGCTCGGCTGTTGTGTTGGCGATGTAGCTGGGTGGCGGGCAGGTGGCCATCAGCGCGTGTCCGGAGAACGGCATATCCTCGTCGTCGGCCTCGGTGATGGAGCGTCGGCAGAGGTAATCTGTGTGTTCGCGGCATGGTCCTTCTAGCCTGTAAAAGGAAGTCAGCATGCTGAACACTCTGAATGATAAGTAGAAGGACTGCAGCATACGTGAGAATGAAGTCGACTTGGAGCTGCGGATCTGTTTCGAAGACTCCCCCTAGGGCCTGGATGGGTTCTATATTGCGAGCAATCGCTGAGAGATCAAGGTTCGCTGGGATGTCGCACGACCCTGCATGGTGAGACTGGGGCGGCGGGGTGATTTCCTGCGAGGGCGAGATCTCGACCCGTTCCATGCCGTTGGCGAGTGGGCTCACATCCGAGGACAGCGTTGAGATCGTTGTTGGTGGCGTGGCGTGGGTATGACTGTTCGAAGTCGGGGCCCCCGTGCCTTGGGATGCCACGCTGCTGCTGGCGAACGGGCTGGACTGCTGGAATCTCGGGCGTTCTGCTCTGCGGCGCTCTAGTTCAGGCTCGTACTGGATCCCGTGCGCCACCAGGATTTCCTTCAGAAATGCATTCTCCTCGTTTACCGCCTGTATCATGTCCCGGTGCTGGACAACGGCTAGATTCGCGGCGGACATTTCCTGCGTAAAGGCCTCTCGTAATCGCGAAACCTCAGTCTCCAGCGACCGGATGTATTGCTCCTTACGTTCACGATGGGTCCGCTGCGCCTGACGATTCAGCTCTTGCCGTCGTGTCATGGCAGGTTTGGCGTCTGGCTTAGGGCCTCGTCGTTTGGCGGGTTGACCATCTAAACAGCGCCATTGTTGATTAACGGTTGCCCTGTGGAGGTCACGAACAAGACGTGGGGATACAAACCTCGGGTGACCTTTTTCTGTCCTGCGAAGAATTGGAAAAAGTTTGCTCCCATTGATGTCGGGGTCTTGATGCTAGTCTGTGATGGAGCGCCTGTATACATGGTTAGTATATGCCAGAAAAGTTCATCACTCCACTCAACACGATCAACAATTTTTTCGAGGTCATCTTATAATATCGCTGAAGTGACAGACCAACGATGCAATGCAATGTCATCTGATGAAAGATTGTCATCGGCCCCTGCATGATCGAGGAATGTAGATCTCTGCTTTTGACAGGATACTCAACAGATGCATGCCATGGGATTTGGAATCAAGCACCGTCGGGACCTTGGAATGTTTATGTTGCGGAGAAAACAATGCAGCAATTGGCCCATATGCGCAGACCACATATTCCCAGCGATCCAAAAACGACAACCCGCCCAGTCCATCATCAGAACATACCCCGTACATGTCCGTGTTCCATGGGGACGACGCCCCCGTTCATTGTAGCCATTGTTCGGTGTCGAGCTGAGGATAATCGAATGCGACCGGCGCGTTCCAGGCAGAACTCCCAGCGGGGAGCAGACAAGCTCCAAGCTTAGAAGAACGATCGAAAGTGAAGTCTCGGGATAGCAAATAACGGCGAAATCCAGGAGCCTCTGCTCCGTTGTTAGTCTTCTGTTTTATGAGGTTGAAAAGTGGATGCTTATGTCGGTCTTCGCACCGGTTGAGTCTCCAGCACCGACAGTAGACGTACGCAGCGGGAGAGCGGATATGTTCCGGGACGTAGCGACGCCGGTGACAGATGGGAAATGACAAGTGCGAAGAATCGAGTTTAATTTAAGGTTTCGACTGGGTATTGATTATTCGAGGATAGCAGACTGATGGTTAGAAAGAGAGAGAGAGAGAGAAGTTGGGGAAAGAATGAAGAATGATGAATGCGAAAGTGGAACAGTGAGCAGTTAGTAACTGAAGTAGAGGCTGGAAGTAAACGAGAACGAGGCAGCAAGAACCACTTTGGCGATGGGCTAAAATGAGAAAGATATACGGATTACGGAGTAGTAATTAAATAATTAGTATAGCTACAGTCTTACACTAATATTAATAGTCCTGGTTGATATCTACTTATTATTAAGGATTGTTGATTTGATATTCCTCTTGGACTATCACTTTTGGCTGCTCAGGAGAAGGGAGAAGCAAGCATGTTCCTCTACACCGATCTCTATGCATTCAAGGCCAGTATGACTGCTCTTTCTCTCCCTTTCGTACGCAGCCTGCATGTAATTACCGAAGTCTCCAGAGTCCAGACCCCATCTGGGATAATCCTCAAGAAAGATAGTTAGAGGATAGTGGCTGTTGAATCCGTCCCGGATCCCAGTGAACGACGGCCCCATCCACCTGGTCACTGCGCGCAGTCAAAGAGAGTTGCCTGGCTCGTCTAATTCGCCTTGACCGAAAAAAAGTCTTTGACGTTTGAATCTTGAATATTCCAGTCCCGACGCTAGAGAAGCGACTAAATCCGTGGTGACTGGTGAGAGCCACACACACTAAACACTGGCGAGATTCGGGACTAACCAGAATCACGCTGGGCAAGAGGCACTATTGAGATTTGAGACTTCGTCGTAATCTCTATCCGGAGATTCTGGTGTTGAAATATCAGAGACTACAAACTCCGGTCTCCGGGTCTACTCCGTCCTCTAAAGAAAGATTGGAACGATCGGAAAGTCGGGGCACTGAAGATTGAAGAAGAGCTTCATCGCTGGTGGATGCAGCTCACCATCCGATCTGGCCTCGGTTGCAGATGGCCCACTTGACCTGTTCACTTCACCACTGCGCCACCCGATTTCTCTACTCATATCGAGATACTCCAGAGTCCAGACGCTCTGCCCCTCCAGAAGAGCATTCTTGCTATTCCTGGTATTCATTATCATGCAGGAGAAGGAAAAGAAAAAAAAAAAAGCAAGGATGAAATCGATCCAATGCGGGAAATAAGTCTGTATCCAGCCAAGTGGAGGATCAGATGGCCTCTCTCATCACCTCAATTGCGATCGATTATCTAGGCAGGAGTAAGTGCTTACGGCGTATTCTTAATGGATAACGACACTATCCGCTACTACTTAATGTCTAGTCAGAAATCGTCGTCATGATCACTCGCAAAGTGGGCCTTCGTGATACAAAACGAAGCCTTTGTGCTCTTCTCCCTAGTCCCCATATTGATCTGGCAGACCCGGGGAGGAATGAGATTCTGCATTGATCACTAATGTAGGTAGTGGGCCGAGGAGAACCCTGCAAGTGCTCTCTTTCTGCTGATACTGCGTGAACATGTCGCGTGTAAGGATGGTTGGACTGGTCACGCTGTGATGCTGCTGCGTCACCCACGATGTGTCCAGGACAGCAAAAATCTATCCCTTGGGCGGGCTGTTGGGAACCGGCGAATCCTCCTAGTTCAGGGATCAGCCTAGATCGAACGACGCGATCATTTAGCCTGTCGGTCCAAATGAAGTCGACACTTATTCCTGCGTCCTAACACTCTCCTAGAGTCTTTCCTACCAATCCCCGAGGATCCAGTCTGCATCGGTTTATACGAGTACAATAAGGGATTCCATGGTGACTCCTGCGCAGACAACTGGAAGAATGCAGAAAATGCGAGACAATGTGGCTTTGGACGTGGACTTCGCTTGGAACGTCGCTCTTTACCCAGCCGGGCAATAGTGACAAGCCGCGGGGCCTGAATCGGACGGGAAACAGAGGCGAATCGTTCCACGGAATCAACGCGCCTACCGCAAGACCTCGCATCATCTCCCCTGCACGAAGACGGGGGCGCGATTCCGACACCATCAGCATCAACAGTGGCCCGGTAAGAAAAGTGATGTAACTCAGCTTAAATTGGAAGATGATTCGAAAATGAAATAGATGATTTGATTGTCTCTTCTTCCGCTGTAAGTGTAACCTTTTGCGAAAAAGAGAGATCCCCCAATCCCCATAAAACGCCAGGACCTCATTTAGCGTCGGGAACCAAGACAATTGCCGATAGTTTTTGAGACCCATGGACCACCTTCCCGGCCATTGACGAACACGTTCCCAAGGCGATCTCAGACACTAAAGGCTTGAATGTGAATCGCTGAATCAACAATCATTAGACTGCTTAATATTGACTCGATCCCGAGATTGTCGTGGTGGTACCACGAAAGGCACAAGGGCAATAGGCAGCAGGCAACGAACCGCCGAATCACCGACTCTCGACATGATTCCCCGAATGGTTTAGTCTAGTTGGGACAAGATGGATCGAGATACAAGGTCCCCGAACGAAGAGGGCAGAATCACTAGCACTTATTGATTCGAGGCTGGATGATCGCCAATGCTCTGACCTTCATGCTCCCAGACTATCGAACTTTGACGACAAATCAATGGGCGATCTCTGTGCCTCAGGCAGTCAGGCCCCAACGGATCTATCCCAATGTGGAAACTGCACCATGCCTAACTGGGATTGGCGCCTTGGGTGCCTGAAAGTGAGCCTGGAAGTCTGGAACGTGACTTTCTTTTCTTCGTTGCTTTTCCAACAACGGCTCCAATCAGTCTCGTTCCATCCGGACGGTGATCGACCAGGCTGCTAGCATCATCGATTTCGCGGCTCATCTGATTGGGTGTATTTCAACATGCTCAATCTGTTCTAAGTGATCAAAGTCGATCATCATGCCCATCCAGGAATACCGATGTCTTGGCCATGGAGAATACCGAGATTCTTGTCCACATATCTGCCCCCAGCGGGGCCAGGGATGATGCGCGGTATCGAGCTCAGGTTGAAGCGATTCTTAACTTCCAGAGTCTATCACGTCAACTTATCACCAGAGCCTCGAATGATGAACAGGAAGGTGATCCTGCGTTGGACACCCTGCCGTCAGAGTCCGTAGTTCGAGGGCTGGCCGTCACTCCTAACGACGAGTCACAATGCAAACGGCCGTTGTTCTCGGTGTCTACAGGCGGGCAGTTTAATAATGGTGCAGATGTGCAACCTACCGTTTGCTCACAGGGACATGCAGAGAAATTCGCTACCCTCTGCGAGCAATCACCGAACGATGGCTTCCGTTTGGCTTCTCCAAGAACTAAGGAGGGAACGACTGGTCCACATCTTGAAGTTTGCCGCGGACATGAACTCAGTCATTCCTCATTCCTTCCTGTGCCCACAGCCGTTCAAATTGGAAAGGACTCGCTCGAGACTCCGATCAGTGTCATACCCGACTCTCAACCAGAGCTACCGCGAACCGATACTGAAAGTTTGACTCGATCTGGTTCCCAGGTGCATGGCTTATTGGTGGCTGTGGATTCTCCTCCAGCCAAAAGACCTTGTCTGGGTTTGATATCGACACTGCAACGTCCCGAACTGTTTACTGAAGACTCTCCACCCGTGCCGGATCAGAGCGAACAGTGTCCTAAAGGGGACGATCCTACTGACCCTCATACAACTAAATCAATCACCCGCACATTTGAGGAGGCTCAATCTCTTATTCCCCTCGATAGCCTTCCACTGATGATCAAGCCTCCGCCGCCGCCAATATCCCGAGAACAGTTCGTAACGCATGTTACTCCAACTTTGACTATGTTGACAGAACGCTTGAAACCCGCACGAACGTACAAGCCTGTTCAACAGACGAGGGATCTTGATCCACTGGAACGCGGGCATTGGTATATTTATATTAATATTATAACTGCCAAAGACTGTGTAGACGACAAACAAGTCGGAACTTGGGGCATAGCTCTCTTCTCCCGGTTCTGGTCCTTTCTATCCGATTTTATCTCCCAAGAAGGACGAGCTGGATGGGGTGTGTGGTGCATAGTAGAGGATGCTCCCGAGGCGTCTCCTTTATACTCAACAGACAGCCGGATCGTACCACACGAAAAGACGAAATCAACTACACTTCCTTCCAGTACTACGCACCCTGTGATCCTGAAACTCTATGCGTGGGGCGAGATAGTCTCGCACATGTATCTGCTCCTGTTCCTAGCCAGCGAACGAAGGGTTCGCAGAATGGGTGCTCAATGGCGAGACGGTGAGGATATGGTGATCATCCAAATGCCATGATCCTCACGTCAATTCGATTACTCTAAACACTTCATGTCACTGTGCTTCGGGTTGAAGCCAGAAATGATGACTTCTCATCGCGACAATATTGACCCCCAGAAGTAGGTGATATCCGAGTAGCTCCAAGAGGCCCAGGGAGAGTCACACAGCAGCAGCCACGAAGAACCCGTTTACAGGGAAAACTTCTCGTTGGTCCCGCGTCTCTGGCTCTGCCAATGCTCGAAGCCTAGTACAAGGATGCTATCAAAGAATCAGAGAATCCCTATTCTCACATCTGTGTTTGTCCACCCTTGAACCTCTACGACGACGATGATGAGGAAGACGAATCAGAAGCTGAGGATGACGACAGCGAGGCTTCAGATAAAATCGCTAAGAAAGTGGCCAAAATTCCTTGTGATGGAGGCTATGACTGTCTGTGCGACCGGCCAGCTGTAATTACCCTGATCATCCTTCGAAGTCCGCAACCTCGGCACCATCATGGCCCTCTACATCAAAATCGCCGCCGACAACAGCGACATCCTCTCCTACCACGACATCATCACCAAGATCATACCCAACTCCTCCATGCCATCCATCTACTTCAGCGCCTCCGATTTCACCGCCCACATACTCACCTACGCCACACTAAACAACATCGTCCTCGCCGACCCCCTCGAGGACCTCGACGTCAACGTCGACCTCCCCGAACTCGACATCGGGGATCTTGTTCGCAGCATGATCCCCGATGCATGGAACTTCGTCCCCGCGACCGCCCTGTACGCCCGCAAACAAGGCTCGTACGTCTCAAAGTCCGCCATCGGCGGCGACGATCTGGATATCACGATCTGGCCCAGCCGCAATCGCAAAGCGTGCAGCTTCAACGGCAAGGATCCGATGGGGACAGAGGCTACCGAGACGATCAAGAAGGGGATGGTGCTGGTACTGGCCTAGTCGTATTTGCGAGTGGTATTTGGAACCGGGTGGGATATATTTTTATTTAAAGTATATAATCCAAGCTACGGGCTTGATATGGTGGCGAGCACTGTATATCCTACGAGACGAGATGCAAGAATTCACTTTGTATTCAGGGACAGGGCCTGAGGAACTATTAGATCTCTCATAGAGCACAGCATGAGGGGCAGTCTTACGCAAGCTGAGCGATACTACGGTCGAGAACCATCTTTAACAAAAATCCATTAACTCCAATCTCAGCTGGTATGGTACATGGAAGGAAATGGCAATGCCGCAGAGTCGAAAGCACTAGAGATGTAGCATGACAGGAGCAACGAATGCAGGGAAAGAGTACAGGGTAGGAAAGAAGATAAAACGATTGATCCGGATAATCGAGAACCACGCCGGCAACATTGTCAATGAAAGATGGAAACGAGGGAGGAAAGATTTGGGCAAGGATCGCAGAACCGCGGCACCGAGCAGATTGATTGAGATAAAATTTCAGTCGCAGATCTCCAGTGGGAAGAGACGCAGGATGGAAAGGGAAAAATATTATCAACAAATGAACGGCAGACGCCTACTCAATGGAAATGCATGGAATAGCTGGGATGGAAGCCCAAGGAAATGCCAAACGGGAGTTGAGGAAAGCACAGACGAAGAGCTATAAAGGCAGAGCGAGTGGACTAATAATTTAGTTCACCGCCACCAGCACCGCCCACGGCGTCGAGGTCTTCATAGCTCTTGAGGCTGCGGCCTTGGACAGCTTCGCGCGGGCCCATACCTTGCTGGGCGGAACCCGAACCCATGGCATCGGGGAAAGGCCCCGCTCCCATGAGCGCAGCAGCGGGGTGACCGGGAGGGATGTAAGGCGCGGCACCACTAGCCCCCATGCGGCCTCCGGCCCCATACATGTTCGACATGCCACGGGCCGGGCTAAGTCGGCCGCCAGCACCATGGCGATTGCCGCGCCGGTCATAGGGACCAGAACGGTTGTTGTGTCGCCCACCACCACGGCGAATGACACCAGGCTGGTGCAAACCGCTGTGCTCGCCGGACACCATTCCATTTGCATTCCAGGACTGGTTGTTAACACCCATGAACGGCGGGAGACCGGCACCTGGAAGGCCTTGGAATCCACCGGGTAGATTGCCACTATTCGCCATATAGGGGGGCATATTGGCGAGACTGAAGCCACGGGGAGTGCCGGTTTGGCTCTGACTAGAGCCAAGAGGGAAGTGGCCATTGCTGTTGGCATCGGAACGAGAGGGTGCGATACGAGCAGGATCCAGAACATACGCATTAACGAGCGAAAGCTAGATTGTACCTGTCAGCATTTTTCTGGATCAGGGCCAGACGACTTTGGAAAACTTACATCATTCTTAATATCCTCGTACCATTCGGTATGGCGCTTCTCTACGTGTTTGCGCCAAAAGTGCTCTGCTTTGAAGAGCTTGGTACACTCCGGTACCTTGCAGCGGAACTTGGATTCGTCCTCCTGTTTGACGTACTTCCCCAACTCCTCCTCGATCGCTTCATCCACAGGCTTTCCACCGAGCTTCCTAATGTCCACGTTGTCAGGCTCGAGGATCTGCAGCAGCTTATCCTCAAACGTCTTGACCCAGTTGAATGCACGCTGGAGCTGCTGCTCCGACTTGGAAGCGAACCGGTGCGGTCTCTTCTCCTCCGCAGGTGGTTGCTCCTCTCCATCTTCGCTGGGTTCCTTCTTCTTCACTGGGAAAGGTTGTCCCAGAGCACTGGCTCTGGCCACAGCCTTCGACTGACTGGTGAGACCGGCTCGGGGCCGACGAAGATGGCCACCAGGACATTTGCGAGCCAGCTCGTGTACCGAGTCACTCTCAAAGACGCAGAAGAAACAGAAGTTATAGACGCGGCGCAGATATTCCACCATCAGGTCCAATTTCTTCTTTTTCGCCAGAAGTTCTTCGTCATCAACCTCGTCGTCATCATCATCCCAATTTTCCTGCTCCTCACCTTCTTCCGCTTCGCCTTCATCGATGTCTGCAGGGTCGTAGTCGGGCTTTCGCTTCTTGACACTGACAGGGCCTGTGACAGGCGGCTGCAGCCAACCTTTACCACGCAGTTCCTCAACCCGTTCTTCGACCCTGGTGTAACCATCAGCATTGCCGCCCATCTCCGAATCGAGCTTAGAGACTAGACGTCTGGCGAGTTCGAGGTCGCGCTCAATCCGCTCCGGAGCCGAGAACAAGTCCCAAAGAGCCTTTTTGCGAGGTTGGGAAGGCGGCACATGAACGCCAACATGGCAGACAAAGTCACCATGAACGGGATCATGGATGGTCTTGTCATTGACCGCCTCGAGTGCCTTCTCAGCCGCCGAAACAGTCGCATTTCCGTTCGCTCCATGGTCATGTTCCATTTCCTCGCCTTCCTCCTCTCGCCCATCTCCCCTCTCGACCACCGCACTGTCGGGTGCTGGATGGAGCATTATCCAACCCATGCGATGGAATTTCTTCGAAGGATTTGGATCGCTCAGGCTCAACCACTTGAATCCACCATCTTGCTCTCCCAAATGTTCCTTGCTAAATTCTTCAATCTTGTCGCGGCTAACATTAGGCGCGAGGGTCTTAATGAGCAAGGCAGGTTGCGACAGAGCCTCGTCACGCAATTCCCCACCTCGAGCGGGAAGCAGATCAAGAACACCAAGAGTTTCGCCAACGGCAGTCGTCTCGCCCTCCTCTTTTTCAATCACGCCTCCCGCGCCATCGCTTTCGCTCTTGTAGATTCCTTCCAGGGTAAAGTCGTCAAACAATCCACCCTCAATGTCGCGCTCCCATTGCTGGTAAGCAGCAACCCGGAAATCCATCAAGCGTCGGCGGTACGGATCATGGACCTCGGGAACATAGCGTTCCTTGAACCACTCCTCATTTCGATGATGCTGGACGAACGTCCTTGCTGTTTTAATTTGAAGGTCCACCTTGTACGTGTCATAGGCGGCCTGGATTTGCGCTCTTTCCCGCTCCCGGTCCTCGCGAGCCTCGCGTTCTCCCTTGACCCGGTCCGAGGGACGCCGTCCGCCGTGCTTTGCGCGCTCCTTATCCTCCTTAATCGATTGCTCAGCCCGCCACCATTCTGCGAACCAGTTGAATCCGACTTGAAAATCGAGGTTGAGTGGATTCGGCAGCGGATTTGCTGGGACAGGTCTCTTGCCGGAGTCCTGACCAGGGGTATAACGGTCAATATTTGCGACAGTAGGGGATGGAACAGCACGGCGATCCTCCCGCTCTCTGAACGAATGTTCGCGCGTGGCAGCGTAGTAATCATCCCGGGAAGGGCGGCGGTCCGACGGCTCGTAGCGGTCAATCATGACCGGGGATCGAGAGCGGCCACGTGCACCACGGCGACGTTCCTGTGCTCCTGTCATAAGATAGCTAGCGGTTAGCTCACCAGTCCATCGTGCGATCGCTTCAGCGAACCCTTACCGGGTGACCTGCGCCTGTAGGAATCCGTTTGCGCTCTGGCCGAATAAGGATCTGCCTCACGGTTCCTTCCAGGAGACCCGTAGCCTTCGTAAGAGTCCATCCTGACGCGTGTTCAGACGCGTTACAGAGAGGGAAATGCGCTGTTTGTCAATTCTGGTGTGCGAAACGGCGGGAGTCGTGGGAATAAGCTAAGACGCGACTTCGTCAAAATTAGATCATGTCCATTCATCTTATTTGGGTGGCTGGCAATCTTGATGCTGAGTGGATATCAGGGACGGGGTGTGTGATGGAGAAAAAGGTGAAGTGGGCGCCGGCAACGCGGCCAAGCTATATATGAAAGACATAGTGACAGAAGAATGACAAGAATTGGATCAAAAGATGAGAAGCAGTAGACGGGTGCGCCCAAGAGAGCGGAAGAAAGAAAGCTATTGAAGGAAAGCAGAAAGATCTGGTGATAGAATGGAGGGTCTCGAGGGCCGATGATGGCGCGACGATGATCGACGACTCCAACGGCAGACAGGCACGAGGGAGAAGAGGATGTAGATAGAAAATGAAGACGGGGTGAACAATGGAAGGCAGAAGATTCTATATATAAAAGAAATTGAGCAGGAGAGGATGGGCGAATGACAAGCTTGAAATGGTTGGATAGTGACCGAGCTAAATGAGAATAAATGGGCACAGCAGGCGACCTACAAGAAGCCTTATGAAGAGGACAATACCCCAATCAGGTCCAATCTGATACGTCCAGATGAAATGAAACAACAGAGCCCCGGGGAGCAGGGTCCGATGGTTGAGATTTAAAAGGGGAAGATGCTGGAGGAATTGGATGCAGAAGGGAGAGACACAGGGAGGAGAGAGAGAGGGAGAGAGAGATGAGAGGGAGAAGTTGACCGGCGGATGACTGATCGAGAGGCTGGACACAAAGGCGGTGAAGCCCTTGCCGAATCAGGAATGGCGTGGCCAGCCTCAGGATGCCTACTTACTAAGTAGGTACCCGCCTGTTGGACCTTGAGATAACCTCTGGACAATATAGCCTCATAACTCAATCAATGTCTCTATGGAAAGAAAGAAGACAGTACCATTGATCGCTGGGATCGTTTCGAATCATCTCAACAATTGGTATTCACAAAAACGATTGGGCTATATCCAACCATCTGGCCGGTATCAAGCTAAGGATGACGGTAGAGATATACCTTGATATTTATACACAAATCTGCTAGGCAATTGCCTCATGGGAATCAAATGGACATCACGTAAAGCATAATGGACAGACCCAGAAGGAAGATAAGCAAGATATAAAGAATCAATGGGGGCAATATACGGACAACAAGCTTCAATCTCAGCGGCCTATCTCCCACGGGACATCTGTTGTCAAAAGACGCCCAAGACGATGGTTGCAAGAAGACAGAGAGTCAATATAGAAGACACGAAGACTGGAGAAGATCAAAGAAGCGTGAGAAGGTAGGGGAATCGAGAAGAGAGGGAGGCAAAGAAACTCAAAACACAATGAACACGTGTGGATCTCCAGCTGGAGAGAATGAATCCTCCAGCGACGACTGCCACAGCGTCTCTGGTATAAAAAAGATCCATATGCAGTGCTGGCCGGCCCTAAAAAATGGATTGTCATAAATCACTCCAACACTTAAATCCCCATTCCTTGTTTTACCAGCGATGGGTTCCTTTCTCTAAATATCCCAAACATAAGCATGAAGGCGACGACGCACAGTTAGAAAGAAAAGATGAAGTTGAATGCGTGATCAGCGTCGTAGTGTATATGGAGCAAGGTGGCCTTGTGACAGACCTTCGCAGTGACAGAGGGGAGTTGCAACATATGCTGCCATGGGGTAACAAGCGCGATGGATACCTCACTCAAACATGATGCCACTATTGCGGAGATCACACTCGGAGTGGAAGAGAAGAGGGAAGCGAGAAGATGAAGAAGAAAAAAGGAGGCGCGAAAAAACATAGAACAATCATTTCATACAAGTCAATCCTGGAAACATCACTCCATGAGCTGATCGAAGGGGGTAATAGTCAGAACTTCGTTCCAGCATAACAATATAAACAGGCATCAGATCGCGCATTTGAAGGAAAGAAGAAATATGAGAGATATGAAAAGATGAAACAGGACCGAAGTCAACATGGTGGTAGAGATGAGTAGTCACACATCGCTTGCTACGTGAAAAAAGCGGCGAAACGATCAAGCAGGTACAGAAACAAACCATTCGTCCCGAAAAGGCCATAATTGAAACAGGAAAAAATATGCGCAAAGTCGGAAAGCAGTGTCATCGATGGCGAGAGTCATATCGTTTAACCATCCTCGTCAGTGGGCTCTGCGGATTCGCGGTCACTGTCCTGACTAGGCCGACTCGTTTTGGCTTTCTTGTTTGAATTCGCGTTTTCGTCGTTGAGATCACTGGACTTTCGTTTCTGTGCCGGTGAAGGAGTCTCTCCGGCAGGCTTGGCATCCGCGTTCTCCTGGCCAGAGCTGGCCGCCGTCGCAGCCTGTTTCTTTTCCATAGCAGCGACTTCGTCCGCTGTCAAGAATCTTCCACCGGGGCCACGCGGACGCCGCATTGCGTGATTATGGCGCGACTCGTGTAAATAGGGTTTACGACCCTTGGATGTGAGCCGTAACTGTTCCTCTAGCTTCTGACGTGCGACTCGACGTTTCAAAATGCGATGGAACTGCTTCGCATTGACATAGAGGGGGGATTCCTCGGCAGCACCGGCGACAAGTTCCGGCGACGGCTGGTTTTGTTGGACCGAAGGTTGGGGCGGGGGTGCCATCGGCGGAGGGACCGAAGATCGAGCCACATGGTTCATCACGGGTTGAGCGGTCTGAACATGGGGACTTCCGACATGGCTCATGCGACGCTGCTGCATCTGAGCATTTTGGGACATGGCGATCTGAGTGCCCATCGGGGGCATTTGCCCTGGCATCTGTGGTGGCGACCGAGGGTTGCGATCATTCTTCACTTGGACTCCACTCAAACGGGGCGAACCACGAGGACCTTGCGCCATCTGGCCGGCCATAGAGTCTTGGTGAAGAGGGTAGAATTGTCCGGAAGCGGCCGCAGTGGCCATCGCAGCAGCTTGTGTAGGGGAGATGCCATACGGCTGGGGCATCCCCGTCGTGACGCCGTATGACTGAGGGAAGTTCATTTGCTGGTGTACCGAGCCCGGGGCATTTTGTGGTTGCTGGTAGTGCGACTGCGAGGGGACAATTGAGGAGCCTTGATGTGTCGGATGAGCCTGTTGCATGTGACCCTGGGGGTTCGTGGGGGATGCCATTGATCCTACAGCCGAGCCTGCGTTCTGCGGCGCGGTTTGGTAGGAGGCGGTGATGTGGGAGGGTGCGTGAGGGTGTTGGCCATGGGGCTGTTGGTATTGAGGCGGATACTCCATGGTGCAATGGCGACGGATATTTCCGTTAGTCTGGAAGCGTATCTGGTGATTGGATAGGGCAATCTGTCAAAATAGGCTCACTAGAACCAGTGAGAGCGCCAAAGGCTAGGGTTGCCGCGCAGAGATCAAGTAAGGTAAGAAAGATGAATGGATGGGAGAGCGTTAGAGTGATGGGGTGCTCTTGGGGCTATCGTAGTTGAGCGCGAATAAGAAGAACCAAAAGGGAGAAGCAGCTAGCCTATGTAACCGATGATTCGACAAGTTAAAATGCGGACGTCTGCAGGCTCCTATTTCGCGTTAATATGGAGCGCAGCACGCAGCGGTCACTGGATGACTAGTGAGGGGCGTATGGGGAAAAAATCACGAGGCGCTTACCTTGAGATTCTGTTTTGCCAGTGCCGTGCAATTTCCAGGCGTTTTCAGCAAAAGATAATGAACGGTCGTTTGCCGAAATAAGTTCCAGCAATGCTGCTCCGGGTTTTCTGGGTCTTTTGTGGATATTTCTCAATATGCTGACTCCGAACGTAACGTGGTTGGGCTCTGATGCAGGCTTGCAGTGGACCAGGGTGCCCTTGAAAAGATGCCGTCCGTGATGCGTTGTCAGACAAAGCGCAATCTTCTGCCTATTCCCGACACGAGGCGATCAAGACAAGCGCCACAAGGATGAAAGTGTAAAAAAATGAGAAATAAAAAACGATTGCTACGCAGTATATTTAACCTGCTCGCGGCCAGGCTACCCTGTGGATGCTTTTTCAGCGTTTTAAATGTGGCAGAATGCTCGGCCACGTCCCTGCCAGACAAATAAGATGCGCAGGCAAGAACCTGAGGCGGTGCCGATAATGTAATCTGCCCTACCTGTCCGAAACTCCGGGTCGAAGACGGAGTCGGACGATGATGCGAGGGGATTGATGTCAGAATGCGCCTGAGGACTCGCACAGCTGACTCAACTACAACAGACAATCAGCAATGCGCTTTCCACCCAACCAAAATCAGAAAATGCCTGCTGTCACAACGAGGGAGGGGGGGACAGTCAAAAGGTAATGGTGGGGGAGTATCGTGGCGGTTTAGACTATTCAGGGCTGAAGGATGTATGCGCTGGCAAGCGGGAGTTATGATGCAACCGACAACATACCTTGTCTTCTCTGTCTGCGCGCGAGGCAACGAGGGTCAGGCGCAACGATGAGTTTCAGAGCGCAATGGTGTCAAACAACACTACACGCCTAAGGGAGCATGAGCATGTTAGTACAAATATCATGGAAGGATCGTTTGAAGGATGTTTGACGCGTGGTGATTGGGCCATTGCAGCGGGGGAGAAGGGAAAGGCTTGTGGGCAAAACGCGACTTTTGACAGGCATAACAATGCATAAACGATGGGCAAGATCTCAAACATGCTCTAAAATCAGGGACGCATAATGATCCAACAACTCTTTCCCTCCTCGTCTCCAATGCTCTGAACACATGCGACAATGTTGTTGTGCTTTGCAAGTGGGTAACAGGAGGCCGACGAGGGAATCAGAGTCGCGCGTTGTCTGCGGGCCGCAGAGCAACAACAACAATGCTTGATTGACAGGTCTGATTACCTTGATCGGGGGACGATGAATGGCTGCTTCGTGCCGAACCAAAGCAATCAAGGGAGAGTAATAATAAAATATAATAAAAAGAGCACGATGATTTGATCCCGCCTTTTTTATTATTATTTTTTTATTCTGCAGTCACGGGGGTGGAAGATGGACTGAATGATGATCTGGGATGATTCGCGGGGTGTGGGAAAGAGAACAGGATGATAGTAAGGGAACGCGAGCGCTTCTGCCAACGAGAAGGCGAACAGCACAACAAGAGGCGGTTCCCACACAGTCAGGTCCGGCCCGGGTTGATCCGTACACGCGAGGGCTCAGCCACTGACAAGTGACCTGGTACTCACGAGAAGACAAGAGATAATAAGGTACGGGACTGAACGGGGGAACAGTAACAAGATAGGTACCTTAAGAGGGATGAGGAAGATGAAGGTGAAGAGGATGACGATAGGGTATAAGCAGTATGATTCGCTGAAAGGAGAGGCAATCCAACCTATGATGGTTGTGGTAAACCAGAGGTCCTTGGAATTCCCAGAAGATGTGCGCAAATTGGTTGGACTTGGGAAGAGTGGGAAATCAAAAGACAAGCACCAGGGCAGAAAGTGATTTGTTGGTTGTGCAATGTAGATGGGGTCTAGTGTAACGCGATTGGATATGGGCAGGAATAAAGTATTCAATCATAAAAATGAGATGACGGGAAAAAAGGTTGCGCAAGGGGTGGGAATGAGCATCTATACGTACCCAGGACGATGATTCGACTACTAATCGTGGACGATGGAAGGTGAATCCCGACAAGATGTTACCCTTATCGAAGGACAGTAAGGTAAGAAGAACTGAGGAGAAATAATACAGTTGATGGTTGGGATGATGTTATGATAACAATCCAGCACGAGGGATAACGGAGATAATAATGACCAGAGTAATGATGATGAGATGAAGGTCCAGCAAGGAAAAATGCCAGTCAAAGAGATGATTGGATTGATCTGGTTTTTACCAAGTACCTTAGATAGTACCTAGTCAGGTACTAGGTAGGTAGGCAATGGATAGATCAATACCTAAGGTATGGATATTGCAAGCCAAAAACTCGAACGAACAAACATCCAACAGTTCTGAGCGAGGAGTCCGTGAGTCGATGAGAGTCGTGAAATTACTGGAGGCCACGCAAGGGGACTGGAGAGGGTGGATGACCAACGAGAGGGAGCAGAGAGAAGAAGCCGCAGTGACGAGAAGGGGCGGGCGATGGGGCATTTGTACCGGACGCGCCCAGAGGGGAGCTGACTGGCTCGGCCTCTCGTTTAGCGGTCGAGGCGGCGAGCAATCAGGCCAACGAGTGGCTAAGTCTTCGTACAGCGCCGTACCGTCAGGAAACGCTCCACTCTTTTCGCCTCGGTATTGTGACCGTACCCATTAATACTGTCAGTGTATTATACGTTGCTTTTGAACATTGAATATTCTTGTGAAGCATAGGTATTTACCTATCTATCAGTGTTAGAATTTATATGAGATAAGTCTGTTGAATCATCAATCTCGTCGATTCCCGAGACCTTAAATATGCAAACTCGGCATCTCCGAAGTCATGATCCATGTCACCCAAAATAGGTATGGGGGTCACGTTGAGTTTATAAGTTACAGAATGTAAGATACCTTACCATCCTGTATATAATCCCAGCTTATCACTGGACGGACGAAGGGCTGGTCTCGACTGGTCACCCCTCCATGATTGGTTTTTCTATCTCTCAGCCCACGGAATTTTCTAACTGGATGATTTGTTGGGAAAATTGTCGTCATCGCAGCATTTGGACACCTTACAGGATGAGGATCATCAGGTAAGTACCCTACTTCGAAAGTACACAGTAGATAGTACCATTCTACCTTAGTCTACTAGAGAGGTACTGTGTGCCAGAAGAAATATGGATTAATTGTTCTCTCTGGATGATAGATGGATTTATTCACTGATTCAGGCTGGCGACAATGAGACTCGTTTAAATTTTCTTCAAAAAGCGAGTTCTCGGCGTATCTCGTGAGTCGTGAGAGACGGTACCCGGCCTCGGTTATATGCCTAAATTAGGAAAATCATCTCCATCCAAACCCCCGTGCTCTCCAAGTTCCAGCACACTCCGTATGCTCCGTGGTTACATATCAAGATGGATGGATGCTTGATCTCACATCTCAATTTAAGTCTTTCCCTTCGTTAAGTAAAGGTCTATTGCACCTCTACACGTGATGAAGCCAGTTCCATACAATTGTAAATAAGTGATAGATACTACTCGGAGTGATTAATAACGTTGGAGGATAGTCGGGCAGCAACAGTACACAACGCAATTCAGGCCAAAAAAAAAACCCCCCCAGACCGCTTATGAGTGGCTTGAGCAAACTTGAGCTCTCAGCTTTATTCCAGCTTACCACCTAGCAATTACCTTTGAACTTGATACTTGTACCTCCAAACACACGATGCTTCCTTGAGAATCTGGTCTGGGGTACTGAGACTCGAGTTGGAGGAAATCTGTACCACAAACCTTAACATACAAACTGTCCAGTCCTCGGCTTGCTCAAGGCACTGACCCAAATGGCGCCGATCTGTCCCACACCACGTGTGGAAGCTTGACCACTTGGCTTGAACGTGATGCTCCAAGAACTCATCCCTACTCTGTAGTTGTGATTATATCTTTAGAATTAGAATCCGCACCATCATCATCGTGCGAGAAGATCTATAAAACACTCACGAACCCTTGAATAGAGCACCTTTTCGCTCAAAAGTGTGTACTTGGAGCACCCCTAAGTAGATAAGGTACAAACAAAGGGAGCTCCTACCTTACAGACTTCATCAATACTGTAACAGTCTCCAGTTACAGTTCAGTAAGGTAAGGTATGTTACACAGCACACCATGGATATCCAGTTACAAATCAGTTCTAAAAAGGGAAAGCCCTGGCCAATTGACGTCAGTACGGCACACATCTCCCCACACCGCCTGTCCAGCCTCATGGAGATGTCAATACGAATCCTCTTCTCTTCTTGTAGATGGGATATTGTTGGGTTTGAGGTACAGCACGGGGATAGATTATGAAGAGTAATACCAAATATTATCCACGATCCGGCAACGTCTCGATACTCGGTCGAAGTTCAACAATTGCGACATACTAATCGACTTAGTCTGATACTAATCGACTTAGTCTGATTTGACCAAACTCAGTGCATCAGATATATATTTACCAAAAGGTGCCTGGGCCAACGGACCACCTATCGTACTGGGATCAAAGTATCACCCGCATCGATGTGGAGCAACATCTTTTCTGCAGAATTCACATATCCTGAGCGCCTGGGAAACGCATGGTCAAAGTTCAATATCACGGTGATACATTTAACGCCCAGCACGACTTGGGAAGTATTCGCCCAGAGAACGTTAAGCTTCAAGCACGGTTGACTTTGTGAGGAAGCTTGATAGCCCGCCGCTCAAAATTACTACATTGCTCTGGGTCGTAGCTGACTCCCCAGCAAGAATCTCACTCTCTACTGTTGACTTGGTCGGCTCTGACTCCTAGGTGATCCCTTGAGGCCGCAATCGCTGGTTACAGTGTCAACCAAGGACGACTTGACGAGAACGCAACATCAAACAGCAAGAGTTGTTTACACTTGGGCCGGCCTCGAAGATCCTCTCAAGACAAGTACAGCGTCAATTATGGAATGAGTGGTCATCTCCTCGCAGCACTGCCATTGTTCCGCCTTTCGTTCACAGTTGGCTGCATATACGGCAGTAATTCCGATAAGGTGAAAGATTAATAGGCAGGGCACTTGAGTGTCGCCCGCACAAGCTAGTCAAGCCTGTATCGGTGTCCTGTCCTGACGAAGCTCAGGGATGCCACTCGCATAGCGCGGAAACCAGCCAGGTTCCCCAAAGGCTGTCTGATCAAAGCAACCTGCGCCCTCAAACCCCGCTGATGCGTGAATGAAGTCGCTGCTTGCAGGCTGTAGGGCAATGATCTTAATCCCACGCAGATCGAACGTTAGCCTTGTGGGCTGTTCCCCGCCGGTGAGTCCGGAGGCATTGCTAAGCCAGTGACAGCTCTCTCCGATTGTCGGCGCATCAGACCAAAGGAGACACAGCTTTGCTGCATCATGTATGCCCAATCAGGCTCTACCGATGATCTTGCGAGCGTTGATACGCCAGTGCATAATGAGGCATCGCCATCCTACGACGGTTCATTGGCCGTGTGGTCGAACGAGGCAATCGCCGCCGTTTCCGCTACCGCCGGGCGTGTTGATGCATCACTGCTGTACTGGCTACTACCACGTTCTTCATTCTTTCGTAGACTGGTCTCTGATATGCCATTCATTACCTGGCTGTGGCTTTGGCCGAGCGGGTGGCTGTTGTCTAAGTCCGAGGATCGTAGTTTCTACATGTCCTGTTCGTTTGAGTGGATGAGGAGGTACCTGTGAGTTCTCCTGGTTGAGCTACCGACCTCATGCCAGGGCAACCAGCAGTATCTAAGCTCCTAAATCACGATCCCTCCAGCAAACATTCACGCCGTATCAGTCATCAAAATGCCTGGATAGGATCTAAGAAGGCGGGTCGTCTTAGTAATATCATATCTACAGCTCCAACACTATAAGCCTTGCAGAAAATCTAAACAAATATCTTGATCCGCTCCAATTCTGAGAAGAGCACATACCAAGTTAACTAGATAGAGCAGGACAAACGACACATTTAGACATCGATCCTCGTAAAGAAGGACACAGTGCGCTTTTATCCCACACCCCTCGCAAGATTCCGCGTCCCCAAAGCAAGTTGGGCATCAAATTCCACGTTGGACGGGTAGACATACATCACTAAGTGTAATGGTGTGAGGACAACAGACACAACTGAATCCATATCTCTAAACGTATTTTCCTTGAGCTGAGATCGAGACGAAATTCTGCCCGTTTGCTACTTTTCTCCCTTTGACTTTCGCATTTATTCCGCAAGATTCTTGATCTATCTGCTCTTTGCTCTGGAATTAGACCATTGCTGCTGACAGTAGAACACCGCCGCATTTATAGGAGGACCTCTACCCACTTCGCTAATTGATCTCGGGCAGTCTCAAATCGTCTGCGAGGCATCTAGCTGTATGAGCAGCGTCCTGTTCATTTCTATCACATGCCCGTTATTTTCTGAGCTTAATTGCCGAACTCTTCGCACACGGCGAATTGTACTGGTCATAATGCGCCAGTCGCATGTGTGAAGCTGCGGTCGAATCTTGCAATGTTCTTGAACCAGCAAGAGAAACTGACGGGGCAGAAAGCCGGATTTCTTACATGGAGGTGATATAGGTACCTACGACTCCCGCGTCCTACCATCGATGCTCTCAGAATCCGCATCCCCCGCTGATCGCCGAGGAACGAACATGACATAGGACACAATGCCGGCTGGGATTACTACTCTTTTGAATGCCTTGAGGGTAAAAGGACAAAATGCAGAGGCTTTCCAAGGGCAGAGGCCAAGGAGACTGCTGGGTTAGCTTCGGCAAACGCTACACGGCAAGGTCTTCCGAGAGGCCACTTGAAGAAATTGTGGTCTTTGTTAAGGAGGTTGATAGTGCTGCAGAGGAAGGCTGCAATGGCCTTGCCACCTATTCAAGACAGTGCATGGAGGAGCATTATATTTATCTGAATACAGTTGCGATATTCGATGTCATCGCAGATCGAGGCAACTTGGTCATGATATTTTCCTGCCCCAGGGTGACTTGATTAGAGAATTCCGGGATGTAAGAGCAATCGTTCCTCTGGTGGCCTCATGCATATGAATCAGTTCTCCAACTTGTTGATAGCTTGTGAGTGTGCGCATCCCCGAGTGATTGAGGGATGTAGCGGCCGCCAGCTCTCTCACTTCATGACTCTTTTGCGGGTCGAATGCTCACAAAGCCTCCTTTTGCTGGCTTCGGAAGAGCCTCAGTTAACCTTGGACATTGGATACATTCATCAAGCCGCGAGTCGTCCAGATTCTCTTGCCTGATGCCACTCGGATTGGGACATACATCACCACACACGAGGTGTTGCAGGAGTTCGCATCAAGTCTCAGGGCATGCTGCTTGTGACTGTCCAGTGACCAAGATAAGTTCTTTAGAGCCGGTATATACTCTCGCTCTTTTGTTACTGAGTGGGTATAGAGACCGAAGAAGTCCCAGACGATTCATACTAAAATCTGAAACGATTGTCACCCGAGCATTTCTCTTACTGAGCAAGGAGCTACCTTGAATACTATCACGAGCAGGCTCAAGTCGAGGAAACCCAAAGGTAGAAGGATTTAGACTCCAACAGAGAACGCAGATGTGATCAAGATAATGTGAGACAATGAAGTGTTTGAATGTATATGCCAGGGAAATTACATATGAGTCTCCCTTGATCGGCTCTTGAATTGTAAGATGCAGTTAGATGGCGGCCTGATATTGAGTCTGTCCAGAGACAGAGATCCATAATGTCGTGCATCAATCAGAAGCAAGGCTGATGCAACTTGAACAAATACTAGCTTATCAGCCATGCATGTAAAGATACTGGAATAGTTTCAGAGGAGATGAACCACGGTGCCTCGATGGAGTCAACTAGTACTCCGTACTACTACTAGGTACTCCAGAAGAAGGGGTAAAAGGGACCAGTTATCAATGACCGCTTACCTAATTCGCCCGCCTCCTCGGACTCTCATGTGGCTTTCCCCCGTGGCTCGGGAAACAAAGTGAAGGAGGACATCACTCGACTTTATTATTGAGGCTCCTTTCTCTCCCTTCAGGTCAAATAGCTGATATAAACAGTCTCCTAACGGCCGAGTAGCGCGCATGGCAGATTGAAGCCTCCTGACTCGATTCTTGCGAAGACCATCCCCTAAGATAGGCGGTCCTTCACCCCAAAAAACAAACTACATGACGTCTTTGTTGACATTGCATCCGGACTTTGAAACTGCGCGAGAACACACCGAGAAAGGACAACAAACATCATATTTGCGGTCTCCAGAGACTTCAGACCGTATAACGTGCGATTTACCATAAGGCGGCGCTCTTGCGGCGTTCGCGACTCCCAGTGTTACTCGACCCCTGGCGCTTGCGCCCCTCCCCCCTTAGGGACTCGATTGTATAGCAAACGCCGGCGTGAAGCGAGCCCTGAGTGCATGGGGTGTATGTCAATATGGCTCCCGGCGGCGGTGGAAACATTAAGGTGGTGGTGAGAGTGCGACCGTTCAACAGCAGAGGTGAGTGCGAGCGAGCCGTGGCTCTTTCGAGGTATATAGGCTTCGGCTGACCGGATATCCGCCCGACTCCAGAAATCGACAGAGGGGCAAAATGTATTGTGCAGATGAAAGGGAACCAGACCGTCCTCGTACCCCCGCCTGGCGCCGACGAGAAATCACGAAAAGCTGGTGGAAAGGGCGCGGCCGAGGGCCCGAAGGCTTTTGCCTTCGATAGGTCTTACTGGTCTTTCGACAAGAATGCTCCCAACTATGCGGGTCAGGACAACCTTTTCGCGGATCTGGGTGTCCCGCTATTGGATAATGCCTTCCAGGGCTACAACAACTGTATCTTCGCATACGGCCAGACAGGTTCCGGAAAGTCATACTCGATGATGGGATACGGCAAGGAATACGGTGTGATTCCGAGGATTTGCCAGGAAATGTTCCAACGAATAGCGAAGATACAGGAAGACAAGAACCTCAACTGTACGGTGGAGGTGTCCTATCTCGAAATCTACAATGAACGAGTTCGCGATCTGCTCAACCCCTCGAATAAGGGTAATCTCAAAGTCCGTGAGCATCCGTCGACCGGTCCTTACGTCGAAGATCTTGCGAAACTTGCGGTGCGCTCCTTCAGCGAGATTGACAACTTGATGGACGAGGGTAACAAGGCCAGAACCGTGGCTGCCACGAACATGAACGAAACCTCTAGTCGATCGCACGCCGTCTTCACGTTGACGCTGACACAGAAACGCCATGACGCTGAGACTTCGATGGACACAGAGAAGGTATCGAGAATCAGTTTGGTCGATCTTGCTGGTTCAGAAAGAGCAAATTCCACTGGAGCCACGGGTGCTCGGTTGAAAGAAGGAGCGGAGATTAATCGTTCGCTGTCCACGCTTGGTCGTGTCATTGCAGCCTTGGCGGATGTGGCATCAGGCAAGAAGAAGAACGCTTCGATGGTCCCATATCGTGATTCTATCTTGACATGGCTGTTGAAGGATTCCCTTGGAGGTAATTCAATGACCGCAATGATTGCAGCTATATCTCCCGCCGATATCAACTTCGACGAAACTCTCAGTACCCTGCGCTACGCCGACTCCGCAAAACGAATCAAGAATCATGCGGTGGTCAACGAAGATCCGAATGCCAGAATGATCCGAGAGCTGAAGGAGGAGTTGGCTCAACTTAGAGCCAAGCTGGGAGGCGGCACAACGGCTGGGGCAGGAGGGGCTGCTATGCCTGCTGAAGAATCTTATCCCCCAGACACTCCTCTGGAGAAGCAGATGGTTTCGATTCAGAAAGCCGATGGGACTGTCACCAAAGTCAGTAAGGCAGAGATCGTGGAGCAACTCAATCAAAGCGAGAAGCTTTACAAAGATCTGAATCAGACCTGGGAGGAGAAACTCGAGAAAACCGAGCAGATCCACCGAGAGCGAGAGGCCGCACTTGAAGAGCTGGGTATCAGTATCGAGAAGGGCTTCGTTGGTTTGAGTACCCCGAAGAAAATGCCGCATCTGGTTAACCTGAGCGATGATCCGCTTCTCGCCGAATGCCTCGTCTACAATATCAAGCCGGGAACCACTACGGTTGGAAATATGGAGCAGGGAAGTCATGTGGAAATCAGGTTGAATGGTTCCAAAATCCTTCCCAACCACTGCACGTTTGAGAACATGGACAATGTCGTGACTATCGTACCCAGCGAGGGTGCTGTGGTTATGGTCAACGGGTTGCGAATCGTCGAACCGAAGCGCCTAAAAAGTGGTTTCCGCATCATCCTCGGAGACTTCCATATCTTCCGTTTCAACCATCCGCAAGAAGCTCGTGCTGAGCGAGTCGAGCAGAGCTTGCTGCGCCATTCCGTCACTACCAGTCAACTTGGCTCACCAGCCCCGGTCAGAACCCATGATAGAACGATGAGCAAAACCGGCTCAGAGCTAGACGGCGATTCTAGCCGGGCAGATTCCCCAACTTCCGCCCAGCGCGCTCGTGAATCCGATTGGTTTTATGCTCGAAGGGAGGCTGTCAGCGCAGTTTTGGGCCCTGACCACATTTCTCACATGCCCGATGATGAGCTGGATGCTTTATTTGAGGATGTGCAAAAGGTCCGAGCAACGCGCCGAGGACTCGTTGAGAATGAAGAAGATTCGGATTCACTGAGCTCATATCCAGTCCGAGATAAGTACATGTCTAATGGGACTATCGACAATTTCTCGCTCGATACCGCCATCACTATGCCTGGGACGCCTGGTCAACAGGACTACGGCGAAGGGCAAGACGGAAACGATTTTACATTACAAGCTGCTCGCCAGGAAATGCAACGCCAGCTCGATATGCAGAAGGAGGAATTCAAAGAGAAGCTTAGAGATGACGAAGCCTCTGAGCAGGGTGGGGAGGACTTGCGTTCAGAAAAGGCCCGAATGGAGGAGGCACTGCGAACCGCTAAAGAGGAATATGAAGAGCAACTGAGAAAACAGAAAGAGGCCTTCGAGAATCATATGAAGGAGATGGGTCAGCCGGTTCCGAGGATATACGAGAATGGCTTCGCCAAGCTAGATGAAAGGGAGATCGGTATCGCAAACTCAGTCTTCCAACACTGGTCGCAGCAGAATTATGTCCGCATGGCCGAGAAGATACTGCAGCATGCGTCGCTAGTGAAAGAAGCGCAGGTGATGAGCCAAATAATGGACAAGAATGTTAGCTTTCAGTTCGCGATCATCGACCATGGGAACAATATGGCATCATCTTATGATCTCGTCCTGAATGGTATCTCCGGAGATGAAGATATTGTTCTTGAGGAGGCGAAGAAACCGTGTATTGCAGTCCGTGTGATTGACTTTAAACAGTGTGTCATCCACCTCTGGTCCATCGAGAAGCTTCAACGTCGCCTCCAGGCAATGCGCCAATTGCACCAATACATTGACCGACCGGACTACATTCAGCACTTTCGCCTCGAGAACCCTTTCTCCGAACCCTGTTCGCCTCAATACTCGCTTGTTGGTGATGCTGATATCCCTCTGACCGCTGTCTTCGAGACTAGAGTCCAGGACTTCTCTGTTGAGGTTGTATCACCTTACACACAGAATGTGATCGGTATTGTCAGATTGTCATTGGAGCCCTCCTCCGCACAAGCGCCCTCATCCACACTGAAATTCAACGTTGTCATGCGTGATATGATTGGTTTCGCCGAATGGGAGGGGACCGAGGTCCATGCCCAGCTCTTTGTCCCAGGCATCTCCGAGGAAGGAGGAGCTACCACCACACAAATGATCAGCGGTTTCGATGAAAGCCCCATCCGCTTTGAGAGTGTACACAGCATGAGTCTACCTTTATCGAGTCCGCGGACAGCGGCCCTCAAGATCTGTGTGTATGCACGTGTGACCCATATGCATCTCGACAAACTTCTCAGCTGGGACGAAATGCGCGATTCGGCCGAGCTACCCCCTCAAAGACGCAAAACCCCGCGCATAGCAGAATCCGAATTCTTCTCTGAGGAGCGACATGACGTGTTTGCCAGGATGCAGGTTCTTGAGCTGGCAGAATCCGGTGAATATCTGCCCGTCGAAGTAGTGCAAAGCAATAGCCTTGACGCTGGCACATATCAGCTCCATCAAGGATTGCAACGTCGAATCTTCGTGAATTTGACCTACAGTTCTACCGAGAGTCTGCCTTGGGATGACCTGACCAATATGCGGGTTGGGTCTGTGAGATTACTCGATCCGTGGGGCAAGATTCCCGACCAGGATCTTCAGACACCAGATGTGCATTTGAAGTTTGTTCACGAGCCTATGACGAAAGACAATGCGGACGGAACATCTCATGTTACTCTGATCGCCCAATGGGATTCGAGTTTGCATGGTTCTCTGCTGCTTGACCGGGTGACTGCGGAGAAGTATCGCGTGCAGGTCACGGTTCGCTGGGACCTTGTATCATCCCGTCTGCAAGATCCGGTTCCATTTGAAGTGGACCTGACTCTACAGATTCAGGGACGGACATACGTTCGCCCACAATCGATGTTCAAGCAGCTCTTCAACTCGACTCGTATTGTACACTCCACCGTTCGGATGTTCTCTTTGGCCGTCCGTCCGGTGTCTGCTAAGCGCGCTGCCGATCTTTGGCGCATGAACACGCAGAACGATTATGTGAAGGGAGAGGAGCTACTGACCAGGTGGTCACCTCGGAAGGTTTCGCTCGTGCGGGATTACATCGCAGCCCGCAAAAGACGGCGGCGTCTCGCCGAACTGAACGCCGCCAAAGGCGCGCTCAGTGCTAATAGCCTCGTCCCTTCGCCGGCCCGAAGCGGGCGTTCCACCCCTCTCCGCAGCCAGGAGCTGAATGAGCGCCGGACAAAGATTTTGCGCAAATACCTTGATCTCTGGGCGACGAAGACGGATCCGATCGATGCCATTCTTGTCCGGAGCAACACGGAGCCCCCGGCCAATGGAGCGGCCTTTGCGACGCGTGCGAAGCAGGCTTCACCTTCGTCGGATGACGGCAGTTCTGTTTCTGACCAGGAGCTTTTGAGACCACGATTCGTCGCAACGATACAGACATTGCCGAAGAACCAAACTTCATTGAAGTCCGGCTACTTGTTGACGCCTGACGACACCAACAGCCACTGGGTGCGCCGGTTCGTTGAGCTCCGGCGACCCTATCTCCATATATACTCTGTCCCGGAAGGCGATGAGATCAACGCTATCAACCTGCGTAGCTCGCGGGTCGATCATGAGCCGGATTTCGCCCGATTACTTGCCGGAGCCGACAACGGAATGTCTACCAAAGGCCGTCCACATGTATTTGCCATTTATGGAACGCAAAACACTTTCCTTTTTGCTGCTCGCACAGAGGCACAGAAGGTTGAATGGATCTTGAAGATCGACGAGAGTTACTTCAGTAACAGTGCTTCAAGGGCTTCTCTCAATGGAAATTGACAGTGAAAGTTGATCTCGTTGCTGCTGAATTTAACACAGCTGTCTATCCCTGCGCGTTGCATCATAATGCTTTTCAATTCTTTGCCTTTTCTTTTACTATAGCGTCTAATTACGGGCCTGGCGTCTAGTGATCATTCTTTTTTGGACTGCACCCCCCATTTCCATTCTTTTCTGGTTCCTCTTAAGATACCCCTGAATACATCTGCAACTTATGGCACTTGCGATCTCCATGTACATATTTGAGACACATTGTTCTGAGACATAGATTCGACTGGGTGATATAGTGAAAGGCCCAAGGCGTCCGCAGGCGGCGGCGGCACTGTTTATATTGTCTTGCATACTCTCTATACGACACGATTGTATCTTGAAATCAAATACTCCGCATACTTTTGTTCTGCAAGCTCAAGTGTGCTGTGATAAATGAGGTCATATCGTGTTGCCATAGTAACACCATCTGCTGTTTATCGAGAGCGATAAACCGATAAGCAGCGACTTGCAGAAGGACCATCATCTCCATGCAGAGAAACCATTCCAACGTCCTCTTTTTTCTCAACTTATATATAAAAATACAAACAGATTCAACTTCGTTGTTGTATTACTATTTCCCAATGCGCTGGACGCAGGGACAGTCCCCTTGGCTCCGCTTCCTGGCCCCAGGTGCCGCCGTCTCACTGCTGATCGTCACATTCCTCGTCCTGGCATCGAGATATTCCAGCGACTACGCCCGATATGCGCTGAAGAGCTCCATGCGGCCGGCCCCGCCGAGCATGTTGCATCCTTGCCCCGCAGTGAACCAGAGCACGACAGACTGGGAGTTTACGGTCGAGCGCGACGGGGATAACCACGGGTTGTCGGAGGAGCAGTGCCGCGTGGCGTTTCCGAAGCTCTTTGTCGAGATTGACAAGTCTGTGACTATGAGGAGGGAGAAGCCTGTTACGTTTCGGGAGGTGGATGGGGTTTCCGTGGATGATGGGATGGTGAGGGCGGCGATCTATCGGGGTGAGGTGAGTAATTCTCTACAACGAGGTTGAGGTGGGTGATGTTTTTGGAGCATTTGGCTGATTACTGGTCGACAGCTGTATGTTATTGACTACGCGGCGATGCCCTACACTTATTCTCGAGCGAAAGCTACACTGAACGCACTGCACCGCGCATTGATGGCGTTTCCGGACCGGCATAGCCTGCCCAACGTCGAGTTCGTGTTCACGACAGACGACTTTAGCAATACACCTGGGCCTATCTGGTCATATTCAAAGCGTGACGAGGACGACAGTATCTGGCTCATGCCGGACTTCGGCTACTGGTCCTGGCCGGAGGTTAAGATCGGTGCGTACAAGGATATCCGACGACGCATCGCGACCGTGGACAGCGGGACCACCACCTCCGACGGCAAAATCATCCCTGGGTTAGAGTTCAAGAAAAAGAAGAAGCAGCTGGTCTGGCGCGGCAGCGTCGCGACGAATCCAGAGATACGGGGGAAATTGCTCAAAGCGGCGCAGGGACGCAGCTGGGCCAGCATCCGGGTCATCGACTGGGATAACGAGAATGATATCCGGTACAACCTTCTCCCCATGGAAGATCACTGCCGGTACATGTTCCTGGCGCACACGGAGGGTCGCAGCTTCTCCGGGCGCGGCAAGTACCTGCTCAACTGCCGCTCGGTGGTCGTCTCGCACAAGCTGGTCTGGCGCGAGGCGCACCATGCGGCGCTGGTGGCGTCGGGTCCTGATGCAAACTATGTCAAGGTGGAGCGCGATTTCTCAGATCTGGATCGGAAGATCAGCTTCTTGATTGATAACCCTGAGACGGCGGAGCAAATTGCGGACAACGCGGTCAGGACGTTTCGTGATCGGTACCTTACCCCTGCGGCGGAATCATGCTACTGGAGACAGTTGATCCGGCAGTATGCTGCTTCCTGTGATTTTGAGCCTGTGCTTGAGGAGTTGACGAAGGACGGGACGATACGGACCCGGGGGATTCCCTTTGAGACATGGATACTCTCAGGGTCCGGTATGAAATGATGATTATATTGTGGTTCATGTTTTCCATGCATATATACGGAGTTTTCTAGGTCTTCTACGTATGACATCAATTTTTTTGTGGTTGTACCCAATGTCATCCATCATATTGTCTGGTAGAGTAATGAGGTATTGCCTCTTCTAGACACATGTTCTCTCTCTCTCTCTTTCAACATCTTCCCCATTTCATCTCTCTTTCATCCTTCCTCACGTCACCATGTGCTTTGAAATCATACTTAAATTGCAGCTGTATCGCTCAAACATCCCTCTATCAATATTCTCTTGATAGAAAAACTAAGTAACAATCATGTGCCTCATGCAAGTCAATCTCGAGACCCTGCACTGCCTGCATTCGATTTCTATCCCTCAGCTCCTGTTTGCCGATCGCTAGACTTTACAATTTACAGTGAGTGAGTTGTTCAGAGCCCTCCTGATTCGTGTCGGCTTCTCATTTTGACCTCTGCTCTGGCTTTTTCTGTATGGGCAAAAGAGTCTAGTGACCTGTGCCAGCGCACGAGCTCTTCAGACAACTCCTTGAATGTCGATGTTGCGGGATATACGGAGTATCTAATCATTGAATGAAATATTAGCCCCGATCTACGCTCTTCTTGTCCCTTTGGTCATGGGAACCAAATGGGCTCCATGACACTTGCTTACAGCCCGCACACCAAGGTTTGCAAAGGTGCAGAAGTCTATCCAAAGTCATCTGAATGACTCGACAAAGGTGTTGATGCTGGTAGTTGCACCACTATGCGGGGATTCCTTGCGCTGTTCGCCATGTGTTGCGATCTTGATGGACGTCATCCTTGTGAGTCCAGCAGTCGAACGTCAGACGAGTCTTGGGCGCACTTCTTCGCCAAACATTCCCGAATCACAAGACGCTTGCATTAGAATTTTGCTTCTCTTCCCTCGGACAATTCCATTCAGTTTCAGATGCGCCTGATTTTTCAACTCTCCGAACGCGTTTGACATCAGAGAGCATGGCACTGCAATGTCTCAAAGTCTATGATTGGCTAGAATTACTGATGAATAGGGGGAAGCAAGGGTTCGATCTGAATGTCCTTACAGCGAAGGGACAACAGCGAGATACTTCAAACCAATGGGAGATGGAAACTAATCCAGTTGGATCGAAATCCTGAGGCTGAGCCTCTTACGTCCAAGTACATTGTTCGATCGATACACCCACCTCCTTACTGTTGTGACTGAAAGCATTTTCTTTGACAGATTGACTCCGATGCATTGCCCTTGCGTTGCTTTTGAATTGACTGCAGGGCACAGTGATGGCGCAAACCTCCTTTGCGCCCCCCCAGAGATCAGAACCCGTCCATGGCGCTGTTGATGGTCAGTGGGACTTGATAAATGACAATCTCCACAAATGATCTGCAACTTGGCATCGGGACTCCCCCACAACATCTAAGGATGTCCGCTTTCGGATAAACTGTGATGATTGTAAACTTCTAGAAAATGTTCGCATTCATTGAGTTCAACAGCCTTGGCTGTTATCCCGGTCCTACGCTTTCCGTCCATTTTCTTTCATCAGTGGGGACCCAGTCGCCGCCGAGCGCAGCAGCTGTATGGATCTAGTAGGGCGTCGCTCTGAATGTTTTGCAAAACCCGCTACTTTGGCCACCGATTAGACTGAAGATGGTGGACAATTGTTTGCTTGTATTGTTTACGTTGTTGATCTGATCGAAGCTCGATGGAATAAATTGGAGTCTTACAGCGATCACTGCCTGATATGCCATAGAATACGCCCAATGCTCGGGCCAGCAGATCCAGCCGCTATCTCAATGCTCGAATCCACTGGCTGCATACTTGCCGTGGGACAACGCCGCATGACTACTGATTTCGTCAAAAAGGAGGTTTATTGTGTTGTGACTGCGAAAGCAGCTGCACAAGGACAAAGAAATGGCCATCATTCTGTTTTCTGCAAGGCCCTGGCCGTTTGAATATAAAGCGATGCCACATCCCGAGGAGGTGATGCATTCTAGCTTGAGTTGACCCAAGGACATATCCATTCATCCTATATTCCTAGGATCCGGTGACAAGAGACTCGGCTTCCTCCCTCACTGTTTCCCATCTCAAAGAACGTCTGGCGGATTACCTCGCGAGAATGTGGCCTTCCCATTCGGCATTCTGGGGCCTGAGCTTTGCTCTTCTCACAGCTGTCGCCGCCTCTCCTTTACAAAAACGGGCTCGAGGGCCATGGATGGCAATCAATGCCGACTTTCCAGATCCTAGCTTCGTCCAAAGCCCAGACGGGACGTGGTATGCCTTTGGCACTAACGGCAATGGAAAGCGCGTCCAGGTAGCCACTTCGCGAGACTTCAACTCTTGGACTCTGCTGGATAAAGAAGCACTGCCGACTCTTGCAGGTTGGGAAACAGAAATAGACCATTGGGCACCGGATGTCATTAGACGGGTATGTCTCCCACCTGGTAGAATTTCACAGCGCTGAACAGGTATCATTAGAACGATGGACGATATGTGATGTACTACTCAGGCGAGGCCAAGGAGATGGTAAGGCATCACTGTGTTGGCGTGGCTGTATCGGAAGGCACGGACCCAACAGGGCCGTATGTGCCCAACCAGACACCGCTATCGTGCCGATTGGATCAAGGAGGTTCCATTGATCCCGCCGGGTTCCTGGACAAGGACGGCAGCCGCTATGTCGTGTTCAAGGTGGACGGCAACAGCATCGGCCATGGCGGTGACTGCAACAACGGCGTGGCCCCCTTGGTAGGGACCCCCATTCTTCTGCAGCGAGTCGGAGAGGACGGCTTCACGCCGATCGGCGATGCGGTCCAGATCCTCGATCGTGATGACAGCGACGGGCCCCTGGTCGAAGCTCCCAACTTGATCCTGCACGGTGATACATACTTCCTCTTCTACTCCACCCACTGCTTCACAGACTCCAAGTACGACGTTCGATGGGCGACGTCCAAGTCCATCACAGGGCCGTTCGTCAAGACCGGAAAGAAACTCTTCCAGACCGGCGATTATGGGCTCACCTCCCCTGGTGGAGGAACTGTCTGTGGATGTGGTGACAAGATGCTTCTGCATGCATTCTGCGAGCCGAACAAACGATGCACATACGCGGCAAACATCGCGATCAACGGCAATGAGGTGACCCTTTTGTAATTATGGTCTATATACTCAGCTTGGAGGGTACAAGGCGTTTTGGTATTCTGATCTTCACTTATAGTTTAGCGTTGTATATAGTTGAGCATATATACATATATACCCGTTTGCTAGGGTATGGTTTTGAAGCATCTAGTCAATATCCATGGGTATCTATTGGCTATATATAGAACGCAGGAACATTCTGCAAAAAAAAGTATGAGAATTCATTTACTCATTGATGAGGTGAGTTCTATCTGCATCATTAGTTCGTTGATGAGCATTAATGTAAAAGTACAAAGTTATGTCTCGTATAGGCTGAGTTGGTTATTGCTGTTCCAATTCCTTGCGCTTCTCCCTAATACTGGCCACCCACTGCTCGACGGTCTTAATGGCAGCCTCCGGCTCATTCTTATAGTTGAGCAGATGGCCCTGGATCTCTGCGGCAGTGAACTCGCCCTCCGGAATACGCGAGGCAAACTCATCCGCCAGGTCCGTGATGCGCTTCCGTTTTTGGTCAGCCATGACCGAAGAATCTTCCTTCTCCTTCACCTGCCGAGGAGCCGGGCGCGCCACCCTCCCCTTGGCTGTGCGCAAATCACCCTCGAGCACGCTGTAGATGGCAGTGAAAAGGTCGCGCATGGCCTCGCGGTCGGCGTACCCGAACTCGATGCTCATATCGACACGCCCGGGCCGCAGCAGCGCGGGGTCCAGCTTCTCCGCGTGGTTGGTGGTCATGATGAGGACGCGACCCTCGCTGGCGGCGACACCGTCGATGACGTTGAGCAGCGCGGAGAGCGAAATGCCCTTGCCGGACGAGGTGTCGGATTTCTGGTCCTCCGTACCGTTGGGCTTGTCCTTCTTGTCCGCGGAGTTCGTCCCCGCGGCGGCGTCCGAGGCAGCAGCGGTATCCTCCTCCGCGCGCTTCTGCGTGATCCCCGCGCTATCCACGTCCTCAAGGAGCACGATGCAGCGCCGCGGCAGCTCTGCGAACAGCGACATGAGACTGTCCTCGTCCAGCGTCTTCGAGTTCAAGCTCAGCAGATACAGCGTCAGGCCTAGCAGTCCCGACGCCGCGAAGCAGAGGCTCGTCTTTCCCGTCCCCGGTGGGCCATGGAGCAGATATCCCCGGCGGTACGGAATGCCGCGGTTCGAGTACCAGCGCCGCGTGCGCGGGTGCAGATACTCCTTCAGATCGTCGACGAATGCCTGCTTCTGCGCCTCGGCCAGCACGACGGTCGACAGCGGGCGCGGCGGCCGCGCCATGCACCGCACCCAGTTGAAATCGCTCATCCCGTTCTTCTGCCCGCGGTAGATGATCGTGCGGTTGCCGTCGCGCGCCACGTACGCCCGCTGCGCCTCCGCCAGCAGCTCCTTGAGGATCGTCGGGTTGCGCCCCAGACACGAGATGTACAGCCGCTCCGGCATCAGATTGAACCCTCCACCCTTGCCTTCCTGGCGCTCGCGGATGAAAGCCAGCAGGTGCCCGCGAAACCAGAAATAGTGCGAGCCCTCGGCGGGGGTGAAGCGGAGCGGGCGGTACTTATCCTTGCTCATGACCCTGGCCCAGTGCTGGTCAAAACTGGTCAGTATGTTGGTCCGTTTCCCATCGCTGTCGCCGTCGAAGATGTCATCGCCGTCGTCATCGTCGGTGTCGTCGTCGTCGTCGTCGCCTGAGGCGCCCTCGTCATCCGAGTCCCACCATCGCACACTGCTGCTGATCCTGGTCCCCGCGACGAAGTGTATCGTGCGCGTGGTGAACGGCTGCTGCGCCATCCAGAACATGAGGTAGTTGTAGATCTCATCGTCGAGGCGGATCTCCGCTGTCGATGTGAGGTACTGCCCTGAGAATTGCCTCAGCCAGCCGACGCCATAGGGCAGCGAGGCGGCCGCAACCGTGGCGGCGAGAATGAGGGGTAGATAAGACGATAGGTCAATGTGGAGGTACGATGCTAGAAAGCGAGATAAAATCGAGTATCCGGGGATGAAGGAATCGAGGAAGGCAGTGTCGGTGAGGTTTAGAATGTTGGTAGAGGATGGGGCGGCGTTAATGGTGGTGTTGATTCCAGGACACGACATCTCGAGTCCATTCGCCGTTTGCTAATGATGATGAGGAGGAGGAGATTGCAGTTGAGAGAGGTTGATGAAATGGGGAAATTTACAGAGTAAGATGCCATGATTGCGCATTATATATAGCTTTGCCAGAAGTAAATGGTAGGCAGGTTCCCCAACGGCTCTTGTCTCTCAATGATCCGCACCTGCAGATCAGTGCTAGGCATCCACGCAGAAATGTGGTCATTTTCAGCCGCAACTTGACTCTCATGCACATCGACGACTGTAATTCAGCTGCAGCAATCAGTCTAGATGCATCAGAGCCTGATTGTTGGCCGAGCGGGCAAAGGTTCGGGCGTTTAGTGTGCTGAAAGCCTGAGTCATGATAAGAGGCGGAATACAAATATAGTCCCCTCAGTGATCCTGTGAATGTAGGGGTCTCAATTTAGAAACAGTAAACTGCATTTCAGCTGCCTTTGGACCAGCAGGTGATCTGACAGGGTTCCACAGTGTCTCGAGTCGGGCTTTGAAGACAGCTTGAGTGCGGCGATTGTTTTATTATTATTATTGACAGTTTGACACAGGTAAGGCTCACGCAAGAATCACATATCGCTTAAGTAAGCTGTATACATATTTCTCTTCTTTGCATTTGATATAGAGGAGTGACTCGTGAAGCAGCACAATTCAACACAAACAATGGGTATCTCTTATTATAATGATATCGACAATACAAATAATTCTACATCAGCCAAAGCTGTATACATGCCAAAAAACAAAAAAAAAGAAAAGAAAAAAGAAACAAATCCCAGATTTTGGCGTTTAGTCTTGCGGCGAAAATTTGTCCTTGACAGCGTCGATGACTTCGCCAGCCCAATCCTTGAATTCCTCGACTTTGTTCCAGAGGGTGCCCCACCAGGTAGGTCCCTTCTCGTCGTCGCTTTCCGGATCATTTTGAGGCTTGGTGTTGGATTCAGTCTCAGGAGGTGAGCTTGGCTGGACAACGACTGCGGTCGATGTAATCGATGGAGTCTCGGACAAAGTTGGTGGAGCAGCAGTCGCGGCAAGGTTCATGGTGCTACTGATCATGGTGCTGGTGACTGAGGGATCGGAAGGCTGCTCGATGACCGGTGCGTCCTCGTCAGAGTGAAGGCCTACAGGGCGCAGAGGGAGACGCAGTGTTCCATTGTTCGGAAGTGGTTCGACCCCCAGAGAATCGCAGATTAAATTATACACGTTGGTGTTTTCTGGTCTTGTTAGTATTGCCTCAATCGGAGGGAGAGCACACCACTTACGGAAAGCTTCGAGCCGGCTATTGGGTGGATGTGGAAAGGCCGGCCCCCGGGCGATGAAAATGGCGCGCATTAGAGGATGCTCATGATCGTAGCCATGGATACCTTTCGGGTGATATGTCTTTCCGGTCGTAAGAGCGTCCTGGATATCAAAGCCTGGTCGCTCGACTATCGCCCATCCCGCCTTGGGTATCACCCACAACGGGGCAATGCGGTCATTGCGAGTGAAGTGGTAGCGCTGCGGCATCATTTCACGAGTGTAAATCTCGACTGCATCTGCGTACTGCAGTGCCATATTCTCCAACTGATCTTGCAAAGTTTGGAGATTCTCGGGTCTCCTCGGACGAATACCGCGCAACGGCCATCCATCAATGCGATCAACCAAATCAAGATCGATAAAGTCATCCAGCTGTATGAGTCGCTCCGTCGTAGTGGATGCCATTCCGTGGTCGGAGACGATAACAAGATTGACGATGTCGGTCAGATTGCGGTCTTGAAGGCCAGATACCAGATCGGCCAGCATATTGTCGACCTCGATTATCGTGCTCCGAATCTCGGTGCTATTTGGACCATACTTGTGTCCGTCCGCATCCACATTGGGAACATAGGCAGCAATCAGTCGTGGCCGCTCCTTATCGACACGAGTTTCGGCCTCTGGACCGGGCAAGTCCAGAAGCTCTAGAATCCGATCGACCTTGCGTGAAAGCTTCTCCGAGTCATTGAATTTATCCAGATAGGTCGGATCTACGCCGCCAATGTGTGCTTCGGAACCAGGCCACATATGAATTCCAGTCTTCAAACCGTGCTTCTCTGCTGTCATCCAAATCGGTTCGGCGTTCCACCACTTCGGCTGCATGCTGATCGACTGGTTGGTGTAGTAGAAGTCCTCCTTCATGGCCGGATCCCAGAACGTGTTACCGACAATACCATGGCTCTCCGGATATAGGCCTGTGACCAAGGTGAAATGGTTCGGAAACGTGACGCTAGGGAAGCTGGGAAGCATGTACTGTGGAGAAACACCGGCGGTAACAATCGAGTTCAAAGTCGGCGTAAGACCGCGCTTGAGAAAGTCTGCGCGGAATCCGTCAAGCGAGATCAGTATCGTAGTCGGACCAAAGAGAGCAGTTCCGTTGGATAAAAAAGGTGTCGACGGATGTGACGAGCGAGAAGCTATCGAGGCTTTGTATGCACCCAGCAGGAATATCAAGAACAAAACCACGACAGCTGCCACGATCAACAGTAGTCTACCCCACGCTATCCTCCGTGGCTATAGAAGTCAGCTTCCAGACTTGTAATGACAGGGAATTTGCCAGAGAGCTCTTACCCGAACGTCCGCATAGTGCTTCTCCAACCGCTGATCCAGTTCTGACGACGAACCGCTAAGGAGAGAGGACTCCGACTCTCGATAACCTTCCTCCATCTCGTACATCAATTCACCACTTTCATCTCCACCAGCATGGCGCCTCCTTCGTTCCGCATCATGGGCTCTTCGCTCTCGAGTGCGCTCGTATTTTCCGATTTTCACGCTACTGCCGTTCGGACTGAAGATCCGTCGGAGACCATGAGTCGGCCCGCTTCGGGTCAACAACCTCTCCATCTCCTCCTCTTCGTCCAACACTGTGCGATCATGTTCAGCCAACTCTAGCGTGGTGCGCGGCCTGCGAAGGAATTCGTCATCCTCGGAGTCAGAGTCCTGCTCTGACAGCGACCGCAACGAGGAGGCGTCATCGTCGTAGTCGCCCGGGGAGAGGAGGGAGGGGCTCCGTAGATCAGGTCTCGGAGGCATGGGCAATCACGACCGTAGCATCCGAATGAGTCAAGGGTCAAGACATGGATGAACAGGTTTGAATTGATGTGTTATTCAATAATGATAATGAGAGATTGCGGATAGGAGGCGTTACCTTTACATCTTCAAGGCGCAACTCCATATGAAGACAAAAGGACCCCAATACGCCATTCCAGATACGGAATAGTGTTTATCTTCAGACTCTCCACCATTTGTCTGTCTTCAAGACTTCATCCCACATCTATCTGTCTACCTCTTGACGACACTTCACATTATCCGTATATTCAGCTGTTGAGTGCTTATGGAGCTGATTCGCTACAAATAACTCACCTGGACTCCTGGAGCAACATGATGAATCGAACTTGATGGATGCGCATCTGTTCCATCGGCTATGATGCTACTTAGTTCAGCAGTTGCCAGACCACATAGGATTCTGGACGCGAGGAAAGGGCCCTGAAGCAAAGAGCAAGAAAGATCCCAGAAGATAAATGGTGTCCCCAGGATTATTGGCAAGTCTATCAGACTCAATCACAAGCATGAACGCATTCAGGAATCCAAGCTTGATTCTACTCAGTTTGCTCTCCCGCAAAGGGACCTATCACTACTTACTGGAGATCCAAGATCATGCATCCACAATCAAATGAACTCCTTGTAGATGCTTGGATATACCCTCTTGTCTCCTAGAGCAACCGAGTGAATGGTGTACTTTGGAGACTCACGGAATCGGGCGCAATGAGCGATGGCGCAACGCAACCTTAAAGTGACATGACTGTCCGGCCAAACCCCTATCGCTATTCGCTACCCGTCTGTTTAGATCCATCTGCGTTCTATCTCCTAGACTGGCCAGTTCCTTCGGAGCATCGTACCGTTCTTCACCCCCCAGCTCTTGTGGAAGTGGAATTGAAAACGAAATGCACCCTCAGACCTTACATTCAAAGGTTTCCAACGGAGCTTCACTTTGGCCTACTACTAACTTGAACTGATTCACTTAGCTCTACTCGATTCTGTACGAGTCCTTGTGACAGTCTTTGACTAGCCTCCGTTGGGGGCCGCAGACGGGGGGCAATAATCAGTCATGTTGCTCAGGTCGAACGCTTGAATGCCACCACCATCTTACGCAAGTGCTTACTGAATTCATCCTGCAGACAATAGAATTGTTTGCTCTCGTGCTGTTAACAATGCTCCCCGCTTTCGGCAGTAGGCGCCCTTCGTTACCTTTCTGGGGAGTGTAGGGCAGGACTGGACCTGAAGCCGTCCCATCACGTGATCCCGCATTCCTCAAGCATGCGACAAGAATGCTGAGGCTGGGAAATGAGAAGCCTTCTCATGTGGGTTGACGGCTTCTCGGTATGGGAGCTGACATCTGGGGTCTTCTTGAAACGAGATGAAGTGCGTTCGGGCCGGTTTCGGCTCCCCCCAAAGCAGAGTCCTGCAACAGAATTGCCGTCGATGAGCATCCCAAGAATAGCGTAGTGACTGACAAAGGCGACGAAGATGGCGGCCCTAGTCATTAGATGAATGGATGGAAACGGCTTTGGTAGACCTTCGAGGTCTATAAGAAGTCCCCGACACTCCACCCTGAATCGAGGTAACCAGACATTCAGCATCGTTCTCCTCAAGCCATCAAGCATCTGTATGTGATATCCCAATCTCTTCCTTGACTACAAATCTTAACGAACTCCAGTTCCTCTGCAGCATCTTTGCTCTTAGCTTCCACTGTTTTTTCCCCCCATTAATCAACCTTCATACAGCACATCACAATGCGTTTCTCTGCTCAACTCGTCACTGGTCTGGTCCTTGCTGCTGGCACCGTCAGCGCAGGCCTGCACCAAGGAAGCTCGTACGAGGCTAATACCAGCACTGAGCTGGCCATCAAGCCTACTGAGACTGCTACCGAGACTGCAACCGAAGCTGCCACCGATGCTGCGACTTCCGCTCCTGCCTCCGCGGTCTCCTCCTCCACCTCGACCACCAGCGTCCCACTGATCCACCACAGCGATGCCACTTCGCACACCGAGGCCGCGCCCGCCGAATCCAGCGCTGCCGCCCCTGAGAGCTACCGTCCCGGTGTGCATGCTAGCGAGAACGTTGCCGCAACAACTGCCACTGCCACGAGCGCCGCTGCCGCCGCAACTGGCGCTGTGGAGTCCCACCCTGCTCCTCCCGCCGCTCAGACCAGCGTCCCGCTCATCAAGCCCAGCGCTGCCAGCGGCGCCGCCCCCGCCGCCAGCTCCGGTGCTGCGCGCAGCTCGACCGCCTCGCATCCCAAGTCCACCGGCTCCCACGACTATGTCGGGCAGCATAATAACAACGAGGAGGAGAGCACTGGAGACAGCGGCTCGGCGTCGCCTTCCACGGGCCTGCACCAAAGCCCTGGTTCCAAGGTCGTGCTTCCTGGCCTTGCTGCGCTCGGCAGCCTGGCCATTGGCCTGTTGATTCTGATTTAATCAATATCTTTTGTTTTGAAGGAGGAATGCGGAGGAGCTTAATACCAACCACATAAATCTTTTCGAGTCCGGGGTTTTTGTTTTGCTATTCGGGGATTTCCTTTTTGTTATGTATACAAGTCGGCATACAGGCGTTACAGGAGCTTCTATATCAAACCAAATCCACAAATTAATTATTAATTTAATAGATCCAAGTCCCGCTGGATCTTAATTATCCTAACCATCCCACTCAACCCCCAAAACGCCTTATCCTCTACACCATCATATATCATCTCATCGTGAACTCTCAATCTCACTCTCAGCAAATAGACTTTTACCACCCTCAAGATACAGCAACCCAATTCGCCCACTGACACGAACATCCCCCCGCCCCGCCGTCAAACCCACCATCCCCCAGATCCATCTCCCCCACGGAACTCAAATTAAAAAGCCCCGGGGCCGGGTTCACAATCCCCCCACCAAACCCGCGATCCTCAACCTGCAACTTCTTCGCCGTGGCGTTGACATGCAGCTCCTCCACCGCATAGCAATACACCATCTTGTCCTTGACGACGCCGCCGTGCCGGTCCAGCGTAACGGTAACCGGATAGGGAAACGAGCCGGGGCGCACGAAATCCGTCGCTGAGGAGGAAGGCGAGGTTGAGGATGAGCGTGGGGCGGAAGCAGAAGGAGTAGCGGTAGCGGACGCGGACGTGGAGGGGCTGGGGAGGAGGGACCTGCGCAGGCGCGCGGGCTGCGTCCAGATCTGCACGAGGAAGCGGGTCTGCGCCCAGGTGCAGCGCGTGTGTGCGGCGGGGGCGGCGGTGCCGCCGTTTGCGTCGCTGGGGTTGGTGGGATCGGGTTTGCCGGTGAGCGGGGCGGTGGTGGAGAGGAAGATGGAGCGGTCGAAGTAGGTGTAGAAGCCGTAGTGTTCTGTCTCGAGGCCACGGTTGTAGAGGCGGATAGGCTGGGAGGTTGGAAAGGGGTGGAGAGCGGCGGGGGCGGCGGTGCCGTCTGAGTTGAGCGCTGGGGCGGGGATGAGGGACTCGATGTCTGGGAAGGATGAGTTGTTGGAGCGGCGGGATAGATGCTGAGCGGAGGAGATCGGGGCTGTGGAGAGGAGGGTGAGGAAGAAGGGTGTTTCTTCGCCTGCGTAAGGCGTTGCGTTCTCGTCGGTGGTGTTGCCGAGGAAGGTCTGGTCTTTGACGCTGGGGGGAGGTGGAGATGGGTTGAATAGGGAGCTTGCGTCTCGGGCTTTGTGCTGAGGCGAGGCGACAGTCGTGCTGTTCGCATAGGTGCCGTTGCGGAACCGGATCTCGACGCGGAAGCTGGGCTGGTTGGCCGCGTAGGGCTTGTTGTCGGATTGCTGCTCAGGCGGGAGAGCGCAGCTCCAGAGGCTTGACGGGGTGATACACCCGGAGTTTTGGTCCCGCAGCTCCGAGCCTGCGATGGTTGCGATTCCCGTAGGCATCGGCGGATAGCCGGTGAGGTTGAGCCACTGTGACTGGACGGGCATGTCGTCACCTTTGCGGGTCAGCATAATCGCCAGCACAATGGCAACCGTCACGATCAGCACAAAGAAGGTCGTGATGGCCATGTACCAGCGCCGTCTCAGGCGTCCTTCTCGCCCGGGTTTCCCAAAGCAGCCTTTTTTGCTGAAACAGCCTCTTCCTCGCCAGAGACCGCCGGCTTTCCTGCCAAGGGCATCTTCCTTCTCCAACCTTCTTCGTTGGCCCTCGATTCTTTCCCGTTCCACCCATGGATGTGTCATTTGCTCTCGAGTCACAGGGGCTGGGCCCATCCGAGGCGGAAGTTCTGGAGATGCAGTGCGTTGCGACGCATAGACAGGCGCCGGGCCAGACGCCATGTCCGACAGTGGGATCGATCCGCTTCTGACTGTAGCTTGCTGTAGACCAGGAGATGTAGGGTCCGGCGGCTGAGGATGCGCATAGTTCGGTGGCGGCACCACGATATAGTGAGGAACTATTCTCTCCAATGGAGCGACAGCTGCTGGTTGAACAGGCGTGGGAGCTTGAATGTGAATGTTATTAACCGCAGGCGCAACGGTGTTCGTTGGCTGGAAGAATAGATGAGAGTCTTGCTTCTCCGGCAATCGCTCCGTCACCCAAGGGGGTGGTGCTCTGTCGTCGAGCTCCGGCAGCGGTGAACTTCGGGGGCTCTCTTCAATGATCTCCTTAAAGGCCTTCTGCTTCTCCTTACCCACTGGCGAATCAGGTGCATCGCCCACAGCCGTTGAGCCAGACATTACTCGAGCGCCAGAGTGAGACACACTCTCAGCGCAGCTCCTCGCGCCAGGTTGGGGCTCATTATCCTCGTCGTCAACATCAATAAGCAAGTTCTTTTCGTTACTCGGCGGCTTCGCGATGGCGTCGGCAAGAAGAACGGGTATCTTATCCTTGGGCGTGATTGAACAGACATGGTTGATGCATTCAAAGTACGGTCTTCCGCTGAAGAGCTCATGCGCACACGCCTGATAGTACTCAGCTGCTGCACCCTGGATCGTACCCCCGGAAAACATAAACGACGATGCCTCCTTTTCAGTGTCGAAACTGCGCTCAAACTCCTCAGATTGCGTCGCACTGGCATCTGCGAAAGGATTGGTAGGCGTATCTTGCCAGTTCACCTCTGCGCTTCGAGTGGCTGCGGCTGTCTCGGGGGTATCTGGCGAAAAGTACGAGACTTCTTTCTCCCACCACTCATCGCTCGAGACTGTGGAGTTGGTGACGATCGTGGGGATGGTCGGTCTCTCCGTCCGCGTTGGGGTTCTAGCAATCGTGCTCGAGCGCCCTAAGACGGGGGAGAGAAGATACGTCCACCAGCCCTGGGACTGGTGTCGGTTGTAGTCCGTGAGCACACTGAGTCGATCCTGGCCTCTCCTCGAGCTCTCAGTCGAATACGACCGCGCACGCAGGCTCTGGCGTGGGCCGTCATCGTCCTCGAACACTGTGCCCGTCGAAAACGAGCGTTGCCGGCGCGTGGAGATGATAGATCCCCGCGGAGGCGAAGATAAACGCGGGCTGCTATCCTTGGCCTCCACATGCGAGGCCGGTATAGCAGGGACAGGAGGGATGTCGGGCCTGGCACTTCCAAGAAACGAAGTTCGCGGGGAATAGACGCTGGACGCTGCCCTGGGTCGGTGGAGCTCCGGCGCAAGTCCATTCCAGAAACTATCGTCTCTCGCAGGTGTGACCACAATCGACGGCGTTAGAGGTGTGCGCTGGCTCTCCGCCCTCTCCAACCCCCTCACTCCCCCCTCCTCATTTTGCGTCTCTATCGACTCCTCAATGGGCACCGAGTACCCGATCATGATGGGCCGGTCCGACGGCGACAGCTCATCCCTATACTTCCTCCTCAGCGAGCCGATCCGACTCGGCCCAAGCCACGACAGCCGTCTCCTCCCACCTTCACTCTCCCCGGGGAGCCGCTGGAACCCCTGCGCCGCCGGCCCATTCTTCAAGATGCCTCTGACTTTCTGCGCGGACCGTTCCTTCTCCCGCATCCGCGCCAACACCTTCAGATCATGCAGATCCACAAACGCAGGGCGCGCCTCCCCATCCCGGTTCTCCTTCGCCAGGACGCCGAAGTCCGTCACTAGGTTCAACCCGACTAGTTTCTCTACTTTCTTCGCGGCCGCGCCGCTGCCCACGCTGCCATTCTTCTCCGCCAGCCCGGCATCGAAGACCCGGATCTCGCGCTCCACGGACCGGTCGCGCTGTGAGCCTGTGAACTCCGCTTTCTGGGAAGGGTTCTTCTCAGCCTTGGCGAGGTAGTCGAATGGACGGGAGCGCTCCATCTCCCTGTCTTCGTCAGAGGAGGCGGCGGGGCTGGCGATCTCCTCTGTGATGGGTGAGGAGAAGGGGAAGTTGGGGATCTGGGGGATGCGTAGCTGCATGTCTGGCTTAGAACGAGGGGCCATGGCTTTCTTTTTTTTTTGTTTTCTTTGCTTTGGCTCACTGCGATGCAGAGATGATGTAGAACCTGAGTAGACGGTTGGTTTTAGACTCGACTGACTTTTTGTCTTGGTTGGAAAGCTGGATCAAGGATGGCATACCAATAGCCTCAAGGACTCAGTTAGGCGATTGCAGAGGGTAGAAGATGCACTCAGTGCCAGATGATCAATGAAGAGAAGGTTTGCTGGAGAATGAGAGTCCTCAATGGGAGCCAACAGAGCTGTGAATAAAGAATGATAATAGCTGGAATGAATGAAAGTCTCTTAACAAAGAACACAATCAATGAGCTGGTTGTTCTTCATCACCTCATTCACAATAAAGAACCAGAGCCAGAGTCAGATATCCTCCTTCTATTCCCTCAAAAGAAGAGGACTGCACAAGACGAAACAGCTGTCGTACACCTCCCTTCTCAAGCTTGAAAAAGTGAGAGAAAGAGGGAGAACAAAAAGAAACAATCAGCAAAGAATCTCTGCAGAAGTCAGAATCCCAAATCACAACACAAGATGAGAGGATCATAATTCGCCTAAGCTCCCAGTCCCAGGTAACCCGATCACCCAAGGGTTTGATCTAGCCATACTCGCCTGCAGATACATCAGTCAAATCTCCGAGCTCCATAGCTGCTACAGCTACTGTTGCGGTTTCGACTGCATGGACCGCCTTGATTGGACAACAACGGACAGCCGGGTTCTGCAGGACGATGCTGAAGATGGTGCTTTGGTGATTCGATTGGGTCGAGGTATTTGGTCCTGACGAATGTGTAGCCGCCGAGGGAAGTGGGAGATCAACCGGGCGCTTAGAAGGACTGGCCGTTGGCATCGGCGCCAATCAGGCACGGATTCCCAAAAATAGAGGCAGACACAGGAAATCAAATTCAATGGGTGACATTTGTTAGTCATTATTGTGGTGCAGAAGAAGGGTCGCTCAGTCTAGAATCTTGGAGGAAGGAGATGTCGCCCGGGAGGCGTCCAATGTCCTGTACAATGACTCAATCCTGAAGGCATGGAATTGCGCTTTTTGAATTCTTGTCCTTCTCATTTGATAGTACATAAATACCGTCACATCCGTCAGTCGGGTCTTCCCTCATTTCTGACGGTCAGATAGATGCCATCAAATGGGTCCCCATGTCCATATCCAATGTCTCGACGTATCCCGTCTCCCATGCAGAAACCAAGCAAACATGCCACGATGCAAGATGACAATAGGTAAAAAGAAAACAAGAACGAAGAAGATGATGAATCTGAGAATCCACGGTGGGAAAGAGAAAGGTATTCTGTCATAGCACGTACACGTCCAGAAAAAGTGCAAACCAAAAGTCCCAAAGAAGAGGAGAAGCAACCGGGGTATGAATTGCCCACAGCAGAAGTGGTAAAACAGGCAATAGGTAAAAAAATCTCGCTCAGAACAAGGTAGACCACCCGAATCAACTCTACAGGCGAGGAACACACATGCGTGTTCCTGATCTAGGACCCAGGACCCAAAGGGGTAAGAAAAGTAAAACAACCGTTGGCGTCAAGTATAAATCGCCGGTATGTTGAAGGCGAAGGGATGCATCAGAAGACATGAGTGGGAAGGCCCTGTAGATGGTCCACCGGATTACCGTCGTTCATCCGTATATTGCACACCCTGCATTGGGGCCATGGATCCATTCACAAGTGGAGGTAAGGTACGAGGTTGATCTTGCACCATAGTAGAGGCGGGAGGGTGGTAATTGGAAAAGACCGGGCCATGGGCCTGTCCGTTGGCCTGCGGACCGCCCATCGGATGATGCTCGAATATTGACGGGGGCCGAGATTGCCCTGGAGCTTGCTGTTGGCTGAGCTGAGAGCGCATCTCCTCGAGCTCATTTCTCAAAACATCATTCTCGCGCCGGGCATTGCTCAACATCTTTTCCAGCTGTCCGATATATTCAATGGCTAGGACGGTATTAGTGGGATGAGAAGAAGAGTAGGGACCGATGTGAGCTTCGTACCTCTTGTCAGAGTCTCCCATTTACTGGACTTGTTGTTCTGGCTCTGAGGAAGTCGCATGCGCAATGCCTCGAAGCAATCCTTCATCTCGCTTCGCCGTTTGCGCTCCGCCAACTTGTGAGTCACTCGGAGCTCCGGTGTGCGACTGTACGGGGTACTATTGGAGGGTGGCTCGGGTTCTCCGAGGAGATTAGTAACCTGCTTATGCTGCAGGGGATGATGATGCACATTCTGCGGAAGTTCTACCGAATTGTCAGTACACAAGCTCAATACCAGAATACGTTCCTTAATATTGCGCTGCAGGAGGGCATTTGACCTACCATGCTGTCCACGCGGCAAGCGTGAGTCTGAATATATACTACTGGCTAGCGAATCAGCAGTGCTTCCTTTTCTCGAGAATGGATGCGGAGCTTTGTCGTTAGTCGACGAGATCGAATTAGACCGTGCTACATCCGGATCGGGAAACGCGTAGGCAAGACCGGCCGTGGGCGCCTCCGCGTTATAGATCTCAGAGCGTGGATTCGATGAGATGGCGGGAGCAGTGCGGCCAGCCGCAAACCCACGGTGCTCGCCGGCTCGCGGGCCTAGCGGCGAGAGAGGCTGCCCCCCAGAGTAGCGAGGGCCTCGGTACGCACTATTCATGTTCACATCCATGGAGATTCCCCGCTCCCTCTGCAACCCGGACACGATCGACGTCTGCGAGGCGTTCGTGCTGTGATAAGGCGATGTGGGGTTGATAGCTAGCGAGCTGATCCCCTGGTTCATCCTGCTATCGATACTGCTGCGCCGCGATTCAGCTGGCTCTGCAATGCTACCACGTTGAGACGGGGCGTCGAAATTCTGATTGATGGAGGGAAGTGCTGGGTTGGGTTGAGAGGCGAAGTTGGGCGACGGATGAGCGCCGGCGGAGGAGGGTGTGTTTGCATTGGAGTGGTCATTGGGGTAGGGAGACCGGTCGGAGACTGAGCCTCGATTGGGAGAAGGTTGGGAGGAGGTAAGGAAGGAGAGAGAAGGATAGTTGCCGGTCCCGTTGGTCGCCGTGGAGTAGGTGGAGGATCCTAACGTGTGGTTGTCAGTACTGGGATCACCAAGCAATGCCGCTGGCGAGCAGAGAAGCCTCACTTTTGCTCTGTGGCATCGACCAATTACCCGAGTCCCGCTCTATTGTGTTCAATGAAGCGTTCCCGGGTGACTTCTCTGCGGGAAGGGTGATATTGCTGGACATACTCGCCGTGAGAGTGGATATCGAGGGGAGCGTCTGCGCCGAGGTCATCGGAGCGTTTTGAGGCCCCGTCGTGGTAGGCTCCCACGGACGATGGGTGAGCGTGGTCTCCATGATGAAATGAGAAAGGATTGAGGAAGTGCTAGCGGCAGAAAAATTTCGTGCTGGTCTCTATAGATTGGCTGAGTCTTGTGATACGTCACGTCGGCCGTCCTATCTCATAGTTCGAACAGCTGGTCAAACGGAGGAGTCGATAGTGATAAGCCGTTCGTTGTGTCTTCCTCCTCGTCTTCGTGCTGATCGCGATATATTTTCGAATGGCGACGTACTCTAAAGGCGACGGATCTGCGAGAGTTTGTATGCGACAGGTAGGCCGGTTCGGACTCAATCGACGAGGTTGATTGTCCTGTTGCGACAAGAGGGTCCTCTGCGAGGTTAAGACTGGGCGCCCACAGTCGCAATACTCATATCAACTCAAACGATAAAATATCACTGCTTCAATGATCGATTTCGATCGAACTGGTGTGAAGACCCCTGAAACCACAGTCCCGGCTCGGCGATGCGACGTGAAAGGGCAGTACCTCAACTGGCGCAATCCGAGCGCTCGGCCAGCACAGACGATTGAGTATGAGTACAGGAAGGTTGAAGACCACGCGACAGAATGGCTTGCGCAGTACAAAAAGGTCTGAGGCAAATCGGAAGCCGGAAGGTTGGGAGAGAACAAGGAGATTGTCGGACGGGTGGTTGCGTCCAGATGGGCCGTTCGTTTGTAGTCAGAGTAATAATGTTCTGAATGGTCGACGGGAAGGACAGGAGGAGGAAATGGTGGGAGAGAAAAAGAATACGGGCAGAATTGGCTGGACCGCAGTCGTACAGTCGAGACCCCTAGTACACCCAAGGGAAAAGAACAAAGAAAACACGAGTCGTCCAGACTAGAGAAGATTTGGGTACTGATTTGTTGCCAATATCACATCAGTTTGATTCAATAATGATCCATGTTAAATTTTTTTTTTTTTGTTGTTGTTGTCTTGGGGAGGGACACGCAGAAAATCAATGGGGATTCCAGGATGGAGCAGCACCGATCTTTCAAGCGATTGCACAAGACGTCAAGAGCTTACCTGTTTAGATATTGTCAGAGGACATAAGTACTGACGACTGACTAGGATCGTTTCTAGTAAGTACAGCGTTTCGGTAGATAGCAAGGTCGGTGCCGTGGAACGTGGCACGGAGATTGTGAGACTGAACAATTGGGCAGGATGAAGTAGAGAGGGAGGGCCAGATCCGCCGTATATACTCAGACACTAAATCGGAGGATGCAGGCGATAGGCAGAGAGGACGACGAGCCAGAAGATCAAAGAAAAGAGAAAAGAAGAAAAGAAGACAAGGGGAGAGGAAGAAGAAGGAGAAAAAAACGAAGGAGACGGAAAGGGATGTTGCTGTATCTTCTGACTCGAAAATTTGGGGCGACAGAACCAGACGAGACCAAGAGTCTAGTTTTGAAGGTCGGCCCTCGTGTCTCGACTCTCGATCCGATGCGAGGTGGCTAGTATCTAGGCTGTAGGCTAGATAGATGCTAGATAAATAGTGGTCGTTAACTAACAACACTCCAGCGGGAGCTAGTCAACTATTGATGGGTAGAGAGTAGAGACTAGAGCGTTTCAATGGAGAAGGATTCAACGTGGACAGGTGGTACTGACTACTACTACTACTACTCCTCCTCCTCCTGACTAGTAGTAGTAGAGGGAAGTACTGAGTAGGGAGTAGTGAAGAGAGAGACGGTGACTGGAAGGGAGTGTGTGTGTGACTCGTGAATACTGATAGAAGGGACAGAGGAATGTAGATAGACAGACAGCCGACTATGGGGCAGTTGGCCCGGTTGGATAAAAGGCGGGGAAACGGCAGAGCTGATTGATGACTGCAGAAGATTATCTATCTAGAAAGGGAAAAAAAAAAAAAAAAAGAAAAAAAGAAAGAAAGAAAAGAAAAGAAAAGAAAAGAAAATATACTACGTAGAATAATCAACAGAAAAAGGAAGAAAAAAAAATAAAAATGAAAAGAGAAAAGGCAGGAAATCCCTGAATAATAACGCCAGGGGATGGAGAGTGAAAAGACCTCGTGGTGGACGGGGAAGAAACGCGTGAGACTGACACCAAAAAGGGAACAATAGAGAGAGTCAATCATAGCCATAACCATCCGAATGCTACGACAAGCAAGGAGAGCATGGCAAAAAAATCAAATCAAATCCAATAAAATAGAACCAAATCGAAAGGCAGCAGGAATGATGAGATCGAATCATCGAACGATCCGAGAAGTAGCTACTAGCTAGATATGGCCTCCCCCGATCAGAATGAACCCTGGGTGTGTGTCTTAAAAGTTAAGAATAATAATAATATCATCATCCATTCTTCGCACTGTGGTTAGTACTAGCAGTAGTAGCCGCCCTTTCCACTTTGTCAGCACAGAGCAGATCAATCAGCAAATCTGCCTTCGTTCTGTTGATCGACGGAGTTTCTCCAGACGGAGTTGAGCTTCGCCATCTATACTCCGTCTTCCATACTTGGTAAGTCTATGTACGAGTTCCTCAAATCCTACTGGGATACCAGCACGACCATGACAAATGCAACACAAGCAAGACTCTATTGACGGAGTGGCTTAGCTATCGACGGACCATGTTCAGCAGGATTCTGTGTATAGTATTATATCTAATCTATCCTCGTCCTCCTAACTCGATAGATATTTATCAGCGCCGAAATATCTAGGTTGCAGTGGTCAATCCCACTCAAGCACCGACTATCCACAAAGTACAGCCCACAGGAACAACTATCAACTCGATAATCCTGCTCCGTCACAATCTGCCTTTTTCAGGTCCGGACCAAAAGCACCGTGGTCGTACGTTTTTCCTATGACCAGCTCAGGCATGGACCATGACCATACAGACAGACCCATGTGCATCAGGCACAGCGCCACCACCCACGAGGCAAAGCACTTCAGCCTTTCAGGTGACAACAGGATGATCTAATCAAACCGCTGCAGAGGGCTAAGCAATAATGACCCAATATTGGCGTTCGGATGAGGTGTGAAATCCATCCTAAGAGTCCAAGCTGTCAGGTACACTGGTGATTGGCGGGTGTCAGCGTGCGCTGTGCTGAAAAGAGTAGTAGACTAGGGGATGGACGCGGCGTTAAGTTGCTTCCATTTCGCTGTGAAATGCATGATAAGATGATCTGCAGCGGTTGATCCGATCAACTCGTACGAGTGTCTGCCTTTGCGTCTCTATCGAAGTCCTTACTACCGAGATTACTCTGAACTCCCCAACTCAAGAGTCAAGACTCAATGTCTCTGCGTGCTTCGTTTAGATACTCCATGGCACTCTCTCAAGTATATCTGTTATTGATTCCGACCAGGACTAGAGAAGCTATCCTAGGAAATACTCACGTAGATCGTACCCATCTGCCGGACTTGCCCTGAGTTCCGCTTACAAGCTACAATCCAATCCTACAATAATAATGTTCGCTGTGTCTGCCCCGCCATCCCAGTGAAATCGAGATCGATTATGAGCTCTTCCGACTCCCGAGTCCCGAGTCTCGACCCTCATCCCTTAATCCTTGGACGCCTGACTTCTGAGTTCTGAGTTCTGGCCTTGTGGGCTCGACTCCACGAGACTCCACGAGACTCCACGAGACTCCACGAGACTCGATCGAATCCAAAGTCAAATTGTATTGAGCTGAGAGTGAGAGTTGACTCCTAAGTTCTTGTTATTCCTTAACTAACCTCTAGGCCTAGGAAGGCTGATGACCAAGCACTTATCGAAGCCTTGCACTGTCCTAAAGCAGCCTAGTCTATCCGGGAAGTGGGGCCCATCATGAGAATGGATTGCCAATCTATTTCCGGGCTGGCCAATCAGGGCGTGTCATGCAGTTCGTGGCAGTTAGGCCAGCTACAACCCTTGATGGGCTGTGGAAATTGGAACTTGGCTTCTTAACTAGTATCTTAAGATGGATACCTACGGAGTACTACAGTACCAGGGGAAAAAGGAATAGAGGAAAAATTCCGTGGGCCTCCAGGAATTTCCGGCATTCGGAGTCAAGTCCAACCCATCACAGTGGGTGAAGAAACAGCATGCTTGTCACTTGGGAAGTAATACAAACCCAAAGGACTGTTCCAAGGGAACAGTATCAGTCATTGCATCATCCAGTAGAGTCACTGCATCATTCATGAAAGCTCTTCCCATACTAGTAGGTACTCTTCCCTTGTTCGGTATCAACGACCAGTGAAAAAAAAAAAAAAAAAAAAAAAAAAAAAAAAAGCAAACCCCCAAGGATCTGAATCTCCCGATATTCCAACTGGTGTCTAACAAACCAAACTACTTACTATCTAAGGGCTACTACTCCGGTACTCCGTTATAGTAGCGCAACACTGCAAACTGCAGAACGTAAAGTACCTCTGTCAAAACTGTGACTGAACTTTCACGTGGCTGGCACACTGCACAGACTACAGAGAGCACACACACACACACACAAACACACACTGAACGATCGTCCTCAGGGGTCCCACGCTGGGAAATTGCCCGAAGTGGCATAAGGGCGAAGAAACCTGCAGCCGATATTTTGCTGGCGGCAAGGGTGTAGGTTGAACTCCGGCTGGGAGATACAGTGATACTACAGTGTACATACGGAGTATACAGTACATACGACATACAGTAAGTAAGTACATGGGTGGTACATTAAAACATATTTGGGGGCGCTCCCTTGCAGTGCAGCAAAGGCTGTTCAAAGTCATTTTTGGTAGCTCAATGATGTCTGATGTCTTGAACCCTTGTCTATTCGGGGAGGACTACGTAATCTTGAATGTGTAAAGGATTCCTATGATCCTCCTTTTTTTTTTTTTTTACCTTTTCTTTGAATCCTCCGATTGTCCCTATATGAACTCTGAGGACCTTGACTTATACTCCGTAGAGTCCGAGGAGTTTCAAAGTGTGATGACAGCGGCATAAACAGCCGGGCGGATGCACCATTGACCGGGGGACAAACCAATTCCTCTCAATTTTATTTTATTTTATTTTATTTTTTTCCTCTAAAAAAAGGGGGATCTAAGAACAAAAAATCATAATGATTATAATAATATCTACGGAATAATAACTAGATGGCCTTGAAGAACATTGCCATGATGACTGGAGGGAAGATCTTGGCGGTGGTACAAAAGGTCTCACAATTTTTTCCCACGCATTTTTTGGCCCAAGAGGGCCAAGAACACATGCCTTGGACTTTCCAGCAACGAACAGACACATGGCAACCATGGTGGATAAGAATGAGTTTCTGCTCGTGGAATGATCGCCGCTAAAAACTTAACTGTCAACTGTGACAAGAAGTCTGTGTGTCTCGGAGTTGGGGAGTCTCGGCGTCAGACTACGGAGAAAGTCACAGGCTCACAGCCCTCTCTCGAGTCCGGATGGATGTAGCTTACTGCATTGATGGAAACCTTCATTATTAGGCATCCTCGTTTTCTTTCCTTTCTGTCTCTTTCAAAGACAAACAAGCCCATGCACAGATTGTGATGGATCGACTCTGTATCCTGACTCTACTGTTTGGAGTAATGATATGATCATTATTCATTCCCGCCTCTATGGAAAACGGAGGATGACCAGCATAGCATGCTGCATTCCATGGGCAGGGCATGGATCTTCCTGCTAAACGCACTCTTGGGAGACTTGTACCACATAGCACGACTGACTCCATCCATCATACTTCCATACTGGCTTATCCCTTGCTCACCCACTCCTACTGCGTGTCACTGCATCGCTGTATACGGCGTGTCTGTCACAGCATGTTTTCTTTTTTCTTCTTTTCCCACACACACACATACACATGGACTGGGATAATAATACATTGTGGCGTTGGTCCTGGTGGTTGGTGGCTTCACCGACATCCCACCCGGTCAATCCCTTGCTGTTGGAGCTGCTGAAATGTCTGGCCGAGAAGCTAAGAACACCTTCATGGATATCAATGGACATAGTCAGCACTTCTGGCTTTCAGCACAGAGACAGATGACAGGACGAGTCAGTCATGCGAGCTGGAAAGATACTCCGTACTCAGTACTCGGTTGCGGCGGTCCTGACTTGCTGACACTAACAGTGACAACTTCCAAGCACCAAAACAAATTAAATACATAAAACATAAATCCTCCTGTAGTTAGTAGTAGTCTATCTATCTACCTAGACAAAAAGGGCAAATGCGATACACGACCTACTTCGTATAAGCTAGAAAAATCATCCCGTGCGAAGCATGGCGGATCCCCCGTTAGTCGTCTCCATGCGTCAAATCAGAACTTAATAATATGCCCTAACGAGGAACGCCAGGGTAGCACTCGGAAGTATCAGTTTTATATTGCCTATGCCGTGTCTGTTGTCTGTTTGATGGAATGTACTGTAACCTGAATAAGCTGTATGTCTGAATCCCACTCTTCAATAATATATTGAGACTCGAGACTGAGAGTCACCAGCAGTGATCTCCTGGTCAGTTAGTGAGTCAGATTGAAGAACCAAGATCGACTCTATCAATCCTCGGTCGTCCGCGTCCGCGTGAAGAGTCGGTTATATTCTACTCTACTACGTACACATGCAAATGCAATGACCCGCTTTCCCTCTCGATACTTCCAAGGCAGTCGTAATCCCTCTCACCTTGCGTCTCCGTGTCTTACGGATAGCTGCACACCACACAGAGCCTGGGTTGGTATGCGGGGTTGTCTGTGTCTGTGTCTGTGTATGTGTATGTGTATGTGTATGTGTGCTATCGCTCGAATCTCAGCATAGAGCACAACTAGGAAGTTACAACTTACAAGACTACTGTAGGTCTGACTGCTAGTAGTAGTGAGCAACTTAGCCCTTTTACCCCCCCCCCCCGGTCAGCATCTTCCCACCGGAATGGAGTGCCTGATCTTGATTGAGGCCATGTCGAAAAAGTGGCGTGCTCGACTCTGCTCTGCATGCCCTGGGCTTGTGGGTGATTCAGGTCCAATGGTGCAGATTGTGCTGTGCTGGAGATGTGTGACAGAACAGGGATGTCGTGACGAGTTAATATAAATTTGAGTCAATCAATCAGGCAGGCAACCTTTTGTTTCGTTCATCATTCAGTTGCTGAGCAATATGAGCTTCCTAGGCTACGCACTCACCCTCTAGATTCTCCACCCAGTTTGGAGTATGGATACTCCTTCCAACTACTCAAGTATCTAGGAAGTAGGAACTAGTCGTTCGGCCTCTCCATCTTCCCCTTCATTCGTATCGAACGAGAAAGAGAAACGAAAATAATAAAAGAAAAAAAAAAAAACATTGATGAAGAGTGGCCATTACCATTACCACCACCGAGCCACACAATTGGCTCAGACAAGCCCTTTATCTATCCGACACAGAATCCCTGCTTCTACCTCTACCCTGAGTCCACTTAGATTCTTGTTTTTTGGCGTTTTCTCGCGACGGAGTTCGAGTCTTGTTGTCCGAATTTGTCATTTCTCAGCAGTCAGCACTCAGTTCCAGCCCAGCACAACGGCTAACGCTACTGAGTAGTTTGACAGTCACACTCACGACTCACATTATAGCCCTCCCCTTGTCAGTCAGGGCGGAGGGCAATGGGGACGGGGGGGTCGGTTTGACGAATCCAACTACTGCAGCAATGCCCATGCCCATTCCCATGCCCATGCCCATGCAGTATGCCCCATGCATGGAGCCATGGAGTCATGGACTACCTACGGAGTAGGTACTTACTAGGTAGTGAGCAAAGGCAAGCCGATTCGAATCGCGAGTCCCTCAACCCTCCAAGACCACCCCCCTTCCTTCCTCCACCGCCAGAGGGGAGGGTGCTCGCTTTCCATTCCCATGGGCGCGCGGCGCGTGAGTCTTGCTTCGTCGCGCCGTCCCAGTGATGAGTCTCCACCGTATGAATTGCCGGCTGCCGCTCACTCCCAAGCCGGGTTTGCGAGCTGAGACTGCTGACTGTTGTTGACTGTTTCACTTGCGACGCAACGGGTGGCATCTAAAACTACATCAAAGTCTATCTACTATTCTACTCCGTGGTTTCTAGAGTCGGGAATAGGTAGGTTTCCCTCCCCCCCGGTGGCGCGCTTACCTCACACCCTCTTTCCCAAACCCTCCCCGCCCCTCCCTTCTCGCTACGAAGTTCAGAAGCAGCAGCAATCATCTACCAGTGTCTCACTCTCATGTCCCATGCATGGGCCATGGCCTATGGGCATGTCTGCGGGCGCTTCCTCGCCCCCCTCCCCTCCCCGGTCCATAGTCATCTTCAATTACTCATCATCCGTAGACCAGGGATGTTACTACCTAGTACCTACGGAGTAGTACCAGTTCAGCTCAGGCGTGCACAGTCCGGAATAGATAGCCGCCGGGGGCTTCTGGGGGGGGCAAGGGGGCATGGTTATCTGCGGGATGATCGGTGCTGTGGTGCAGTGCTGCAGTGCTGGGGACGCGGAAGCGGGATTGCTGATATGGGTGGATTGGTGGTGGAGTATATACCATATGCAATATACATATCAAGAGCTGTTGCTGCTGCTGCTGCCGCTGCTATATTCGTTGTACAAGCCTGCGGGGAAATTGTGCTGAGTGAACCCTCAGGTCAGTATTGCATAATAACTGGTTTTTCGTTAGTAACCAGGTCAATAGAAGATGTATTATAGTCATGGACCCTGAGGAGGGTTTGTGCTCTGACCCATCTCTGCTCTGTTGAGAAGACATCGGGACATACCGAATAGTTGGTCTGTTTACTGTAGATGAAGTAGATGAAGAAGACTATATCAAGGACTGTGGCCTGGCCATGCTGCTGCAGCCCTTGAGGGCATATTGTGTTGGCCCAAGCCACGAGAGTCTGTATACGAGTGTGAAAATAGGAATAGGCAGCCATATTCATCAATCTGCTACTGCTGGTCGGCCCCCGTTGTCGTTGGTATCCAGCGCTTGATCCCTGAAACGAAAGACCGGGGGATAAAAGGAGGGGGGGAACAAAAAAGAAAAAAAAAAAAGTATGTACAAAATGCATGCATCGTTAGATCTTTCCGAGTCTAATCTTCCATGTCCTCGTCTTCGCCCTCGTCATCTTCCTCATCCTCATCGCCAAAGTCCACCCCCATCTCGCCACTGATATCCCACCGGTCGCCCTTGGCCGCGGCACTGACGTACTTGACGAACTTGAGGGTCCCGCTGTCGCGCAGGACGATGCTCAGCCGGTTCCACCCAGCCGCCGTGCTGAAGAGGATCCCGTCGTCCTCGTCTGCCGCTGCGGACTTGTAGATCGCCGCGTCGCCGTCGTCCTCGTCGTCGCCGGCCATGTAGATCTCGTATCCGCCCACAGCGGGCTCGTCGGCCTCGTCGGCCTCCTTGGTCTTTTCTTTCTGCTTCGACTCGCCCTTCTCCTCATCCGCATCCTCGTCTTCATCCTCGTCCTCGTCACTTTCCTTTTCCCATCCGGGAGTGGGCGTGAGGCCGAAGGTGAACTCCAACCGGGGCTCTTCTCCGTCGTAGCCGCTTGCAAGGGTGTAGTCCTGTCCGCGGCGGAAGCGGCGGGCCAGAAGGTTGTAGCTGGTGATATGGTCGGCGCCGGTGATCAGGGCCAGCCATTTCCGGAACGCCGGAGACGGGAACAAGTCGTGCAGAAGCTCCTGAATGGGGGTCTTCTGGTCCTTCGCGGCGGTCGAATGCTGCTGGAACAGATAGCGCTGCTTGTGCGGCGGCCGAGCGACTGTCCACTCGGTCTTGGCTTGGATCTCGTCGGAGGACTCGGGGAGCTGCTGCTTCTCCTGCTCTTCGATGTGGGCTCGCACCTTGGCGGCGAACTTGTCCGACAGGAACCGGTCGAGGTTGAGGGATGATTCGTTGGAGAAAGTCTCGGACATCTCCTCGGCGATGTCGGGGGTCAGATACGACGGTGCGATGTACTGGATGAGGAAGTTGAGGTCCGACTCGCTGAACTCGGAATTGGGTTCTTCTTCCACCTTGGCCTTGCCCTTGCCCTTGACCTCGGGCTCCTTTTCACATTCGACTGGCTTGGGCTGCGGCAAATCGTAAATGTCACCGCGACCCTGCAGCTGCGCCAAACTGCTGCGCTCCGCCAATTTCTCCTCCAGGCCCTCCTCGTATCCATCCTCTCCTTTCTGCGGGATATGGAACCATCCGCTGATGGCCATGCGCACGCGCTTAACGGATTTATCCTCGCCCTCCTTGTAGTGATACACTTCCTCGACGTCATGGAAACTTTCACCAGGTTGTACAGTGAAGAAGCTGAGCTGGTTGAAGGCTGGAGGAATGCTCAGAGTAAAGTCCGGGCTGGGCACTTTGACGTCCTCGCCGTTCACGTCCTTCTTGGTGGTAGTAGGGTACAAGCGGAGCGCACCACCCCATTCTGCCTGCCACGGGGTGTCCGGGTCCGTCAAATAAAGAATATAGCTCACACGTCTGCTTCCAATCACATCATCGTGGCACAACAGGTGGCATCCCTCGTTGTAGATGTTGATCGCCATGTCGGTCTTGCGTCCGCTCAACTTTCCCGAGCCGGTCACGGCCGACAGGTACTCGCGGAAGCGGGCAGAGTACATAGCATCGCGGAGCTTGAGCAGGGAGGGCAGCTTCGACAATGAGGCATCGTCCAATCCGTCCAGATTTGCCAGATCGCCGGACTGGAAGATCTTGTAGATGTCGGTTTCCTTCTCAGTGAAGTCGAGGTGCTGCTGGATTTCCTCTCGCACCGATCGCAACAGGGAGGGCTCGATCAAGGGATAAATGACTCCATGCTTGTAACTAATATCGCCATTAGTATCCATCAAGTCTGTGCAAATAATCAGAATGCGTTGCAAGCGTGGAGACATACGGGCCGGACTGAGCATATGCCTTGGTATACTTCTGTTGCTCAGCGGACTTGAAGAGACCGTCGCGGAAGCGCGCAGCCACTTCCTCGCTCGACAATGCTCGTTTTTTCGAATCCGGATGGCCATTGCCATTCTGAATGTCTCTTGTGTCGGCCTTGCGCTTCATTTTGGGAGGTTATATCAACCGCTAGCAAGAAAATGACCAGCGATTTGCTCAACGCCGAGTGGAATAAACTGTTTTGCTTCGATTTTTTTCGCGACTGTTTAAAGGCGGTGAGGAAATCGGCCGCATTCATCAGGCCACCCATGATCAGGCCATTCATCTCTCAGGGCGATCTGTCGTCGACGAGATCCGTGAATAAATCTATCTATCTATCTATCTTGATACAGAGTGTTAAAGGACGAAGAGAATAATAGAAGATTTGATTATGGTTGTCATTGTGTTTAAGGTCGCATGGGAGTTGAATTTCAACATCTCAACGATGTACAGATGCATGTTTATAATTCCCGATAGATTCAATAACATATCTTCATCACAGCAGAGCCTGTTTGGCTGTTTACTTACTTTTCTGGTCCACATTGCTTTCACTGAATATTCAGACTCAGAGAAGCCATCTATATTGATCTTCAACCCACATGCTGAACAACAGCAATAGCTTCACTTCCATCACATCCATCTGCTCGGAGATAACCGAATCAGGCAGAAAGCAACAGACGTCATCCGTGGATAGTTTAATCCCCCGGGTCTCATTGTTCCCCTGTCTTTACAACCAGCGACCATAATTCTGAACTCCTACTCGGACACTCCCCTATTCTAATTTCTCATCTTTTTTCCATGCTTGACTACTACCAATAACACAAAGACAGGCAACTTGATTGAACCATCTACACAATGCCCTCATCCCCAGAGAACCACGAGCATGATGATCGTCCAGGCACTCCGCCCCGCCCGCCATATTCCCCAGTGACTCCAGTTCTCTCACATCTCGCCCCGACCAACATCTCCGCCACCCTCAATGGGGCCTCACAGTCACAAGCTCATCCCATCGCTCCTCCAGCAAAGTCACCGTCGCCGACTACACCAGCTCCTCCCAATGCGTCACTATCGAGCTTCCCAGGCGTACTTGGACCGGTAGTCTTCGGCCAAGAGCCGGCGCCGGTGCCCATCTCGGAAAGCGAGAATCCCGACGCGATCGCGCTGCGATCCGCCATCTCCGTTCTCCAGCTCCAGAAACAGCAGAGTATACGAGATATCCAGGCGCTGGAGAAGTTGAAGAAAGTCGCGGTCGCGGACCCAGAGGCCTTTGCGCGCGAACTGGCCGCGGGCAACCTTGCGGTCGCGAAGGACCAAGGGGGGTTCGTCAATTTCACACATAATGACAGTGCGGCGTCCCGGAATGGGTCGGATGGCTCGATGAAGGAAGTACTGGCTGATATAGGACCGATCCCAGCGCCGCAGAATGTCGTGCGGATGCCACCGGTCAACTGGGCCAAGTATCAAGTCGTAGGGGAGTCGTTGGACCGGATGCACGAGGACCAGCTACGGCGTCCATCGCCTGGGGAGCCGAGACGCCAGGATCCCACGCAACGGGCGCCGGAACATGTCATTGCCTCGCCGTATCGACCGTTGGTAGATAAGTTGGAGAGTCCAACACAAGTAAAGGGGGGCAGCAAGAACAAGAAGATCTGAGGAAGCAATGTTCATTTCAGAAAACTAATCGCTATTGTACATTCATCGGGTGATCAAATCGATCAAAGTCATAACGCATTATCGTTGACTCGTCATGTCACATGCAGTCGTGGGCAAAGAACCCAGAGGTACACCAGAGAACAGACAGGCCGAAAGGGTGAAACCAAAGGGACATCACCGCCGGCACCCTGTCCTCTTACCGCACAACTACAGATCCAAAATCTCCGTTAGGGCCTTCTGGTATCTCTCATGAGCCTTCTGGACCCTCTCCATTGGGCTCAACTTGCTGTATTCCTCCTCATCCCTGCCCCTAGCGGCCTGGAGGTTGGTGGAAGGACCACTAGGGATGTTCAGCGCCATACGAGCATGCAGCCTGCGCTGCAGCTTCTTGCGCAGTTCCTCGCGCTCCTCCATCTTGGCCTTCATTCTCGCCTGAACCACCTTGGTGGCTTCATGGGCGTCTACCCAAGTTTTCGCCTTGTCGCATTCTGGCTTGCTAATTTTGAGCATTGCGGCAATGGAGTCAAGCGAAAGAGGTGGTAGCTTGGAGACGTGATCATAGGCTGGCTGCTTGCGGGGCCCTTGGTCCTGGACGATATTGTAAGCAACTCAATCATTCTAGCCTCTTGTCCACTACTTACTTTGGTAGGTTCGCTGAGTATGGGACAACCCTTGGTCACTTCCTTGGGACATTGAAAAGGGGGTCCAAGAGCAGCGCGTTTGACTGCCTGGGATTGGGCCTTCATGACCTTTGCGATCTCCTCCCGGTTGTCGCTGTGCCGCTTGAGGTCAGGTTTAGTTTCTTGGGGGCCATGTTTAGCTTGAGGCCTGGGGGTATCTTCGATTTCTGCTGCTGCTCGCTTCATCTCGGGATCTTCGAGTTTCTTGTCTTCGATTGCTGGTGGGAGAGGCCTAAAGCAAGATCAGATTCATGTAATGCAGATTTGATGAACCGGCAGTGTGATTCGCTCTGTGGAAAAATGCGAGTGATGACTGCGTCTAGGAGAAAAGACAGATGCAGATCTATCTCCAGAGAAAGGGGAGATTTTCCCAATCGCTGTGTTCTCAACTTACCCTTTCTTCTTGGGTTGGCGACGTGCTTTTCTCGGCATGGCTGCGCGTGTGCTTGTGAACGAATGAAAGTGATGATGGCGGAGAATTTGCACAGAAAGCGAGTTTTTTTGTGATCCAGAGTCTCTTGAAGGATTGAGAAGTCCAGAGGTTGGGGTTTGCTCTCCCCTCTGGGCCTTGATGATACCAGTCTTGAAGTAGGATTGTGAGGGCAGAGTGAATGAGAGCCATCTTCCGAATTGTAACAAGCCAATCACTTTGCCTTCATCGTCCACGACGAGGCCCGCGACGAATGTTTGCTCTCTCGGGCGTCTCGTTGCCGACTAGGACGATGTTCTTTGATCAAGTCAAGCCAGGAGATATGAGGGTTTTCCCCTCTCCATGATTTCATGTCATGGTGCCTGGGAAGAAGTGGCCATGAGTAGCGACCAGAACGCGAGAACTTGCTTGCTATTTACTTGTATTCTTGTACTGCTTAGGGCGTTTCAGCCTATAGAATTTTTTTTTAAAGAATCAATATCTTCCATGCGAGCATATATACAAAAATGCCTACAAATGCAGTAAATCTGCAAGTATCTACACTCTCCTATACAAGACCTCAAAGCTTCGCCTTCCTCTCCTTCTCAAAGGCCTCAACAGCCCCCAACGCAACATCCTCCGCCAGCCCCTTCTTATTCTCCACCTCCTTCCTCCACGCCAGATTCCCCACATGGTTGTCAAGAATATCCAACGAATGCCGATACATCTCCTCCTTCATCGTGCCATAGATCCCCGTCGCAGCCTTCGTCTGCAGCCCCCGGTCCCGAATCAGCTGCAGCACCTCCTCCAAGCCACCAAGTCCATCCACCAGCCCCGCAGCCACAGACTGCGGGCCCGCAAAGCGTCTCGCCTCGAGAATCAGATCCCGGAAGGACGAGGGGACCAGCTTCTCGCGGAAGATGCTCATCATGGGGCTCTGCAGTGGCACGCCGAACTCGAGCTCGTTGATGCACAGGAAGCCCTTGGCGGGATTCTGGATGCGGTAGTCGTGGTACATGGCCAGCATGAGTCCGCCTGCGAAGGCGTGGCCGTTCAGCAGGCAGATGGTTGGCATGGGATATCTGTTTTTTTTTTTTCGGGACCGGTCAGACTGGTGTTCCTCCGTAATGAAGTTGATGACTGGGAAGAAGGGGAGGGGAGAAGCCTACGTGAGGAAACGACGGAATAGCTTCCACAGCCATTGATCTAGAAATCCCTCTGTGCTGGTTGCGAGCTCCAGGTCGAGCCCGTTGCTGTAGAATTTGGGGATGCCGCTGGTGGTGATCACGACGCCCTTGGGGAAGCGGTGCTCGATGATGTCCAGGGCGAGAATGAAGGCATCGATGAAGGTTGGAGTGAGTCGGTTGTCTTTGGGGGATGTGAATGTAAGGAGGTAGATGTTCTTTTCTTTCTCTGAGGTGGTGGGATTCGTGCAGACGATGCTGCCGCCGGTTGAGGCGATGTGAACGGTGAACAGAGCTGCCATACTGTTTTCTATATATATGTTTTGGTTTATGGCTATAAGACCGATGGTTGAATTAATCGTAAAGAGCTCTATGGATAGATGCTGGGTAAGTCTAGAGGTTCCCCATACTGACGAATAAATACTGAGAGCTGGCTGTGCAAGGAGCCTCGGCAGGCAGAAAGTGAATTATAATCATCGTCTCCCGGTTGTCACATGCTCGAGTATTGATGGGAATCGTCCATAGAGCGATCTCATATATCTACATTTATGCACAACATCATGGCATTTGAGATATCTATGAGTCTATATAGAAACGGTCGCAGGTCGAGTAAATTGTTTGTAATAGGCTAGACGTTGCGGCCTGAGGCTAGCTTGTGACATCCTGATGCTACTATATATATACAATGGAGTAACAAATCAACAGTTCCTGATCGCAACAGAGAGCACCATGATCCAGGCAAATGAGATTCGCGTAAAGAGCGAGAACAGAGCCCATCGGAACTTGCGATATGCCGTTACAGCACTAAAAGCTCCAATGGAAGCAGGACAATGACTAACAGCAACATAAGTCCCCGCAAAGTCTCCGAATAAAGCTGTCAGCATGTCAGTTTCACCCACTGACCTGTAGGTCAATGACTCTGACAAGAGCTTCTCCTGTTACTTTGTCGCATCATGGCAAGCATCGCATTTCCCAGCCTCGCTAAACACCATACCCTCTCGACATCCCATACATATAACTACGTCTACCAAGCTCCAGCATCTTCATCTCACACATCGATCCTCTTCCTCCATGGGTTCCCCTCTTCCTGCTACGACTGGCGTCATCAGATCAGCTACTTCACCGACAAAGGATATGGAGTCCTAGCACCCGACCTGCTGGGGTACGGCGGTACCTCGAAACCCGCAGCGACGGAGAAGTACAAGCTCAAGAGCATGGCAGCAGAGATCGTCGAGCTCCTGGATCACGAGGGCCTGGCTCGCGTGCACATCGTCGCTCACGATATGGGCTGTAACCTCCTCTCGCGGCTAGCGGACTATTTCCCTGACCGTCTGCTGTCGGGTACATTCGTGGATGTCCCATATTCGAAGCCCGGGGAGCATTTCGATCTGGACATGGTGAACATGTTCACAAAGACGCTGCTGGGCTATGAGCGGTTTGGCTATCTCGAGTTCTTCGTCGAGGATGGAGCTGGTGATATTCTAGATCAGCATGTGAGATTGCCTTCGGATTTGCTTAGGTGGTTATCAGGATCAGGCTAAATGTTGGTTTTCGGTGCTAGGCTGACTCCTTCTTCACGCTGTTCTACCCTGATAGTCCAGACTTATGGGTTGAGAATGTCGGTCCGGTAGGTGCCATGAAGTTGTGGCTCCTCGACGATCGAAAGGCGTCTTTGGCGTGCTATGTTAGTGATGAGGTATGTAAATCTTCCAAATCGAACACATAAAAAAGCTGACAAAGTACAGGAGCGACTCATGCATAACAAGATCCTGCAAGGTCACTACAACCCAGCACTCAATTGGTACCGTACTCTGGTCTGGAACATGAACAAGGAGGACGAAATTCAGGCAGATTTCAAGCAGATCCTGAAGATGCCGGTCCTGATGGTTGGCCCGCAACCTAATAAACTTGAAATGCCAGGGTTCTTCGAGCAGATGAAGCAGTCTGTGGAAGACCTGATAATCAAGAGGGTCAGCACGAGAGGCCACTGGATTCAATTGGAAGCAAGAGATGAGCTCAATACGATGCTTGAGGAATTCTTTGCGTGTCGTGACCCTAATGGCAAAACATAGCTCTAGTCCGCGGAGGATGAGTGGCCTGCTTTGCTTGCTCTATGGGTGATCTTGTAACTAGAAATTATGCAATGGTATATGATACGGACTACCATGTAGGTATAACTTGATCGAGGTTCAATCTATTTCTCACTTGAAGCCTGCAACCTCAATGCATCAATGATCACTTCTAGTAGTAGTGGGCGATTGCGAATGAACAAGATGGTGTGACTGACGTCATGCATCCATCAAGCCTATCTATTGCAGAAACAAGAGATATTCATCTTCTTTCAGTCGCTCAGCATACTTCTACTCCATGAAGATAGAGCTCAGTCTATCACGAAAATTGCTGTTCGGATTTAATCCACGCGAAACATTTGCAGCCGCCACAGCCATAGCTGGATCTCAAAATGGCAACCAGCCAGCAACCAGCACAACCACCCAAGCAAGCCGCATACGACCAAACAAAGAACCCGATCACCCAGACACCCCAAGAGCAGCGAATATCGTCGCAGCCCCGTCAGCGTGGGGACCCCGTCTCCTCCATCACGCGTCGCACGGCAGATTCCAACCCATCGAATGACGAAGAACTGGCACGCGTGAAGGAGAAACGCCAACGAGAGCAGAAGAACTTGCAAGCCGCCTCGAATGTTGACCTGGAATATGGAGTCGAGCAGCAGCCAGCAGAAGGGGATATTGCCCAGGCGGTAAAGCATAAGAGCGAGCGGGCACGAGCGCAGGCTGGTGCACATGCCGGTCCTGTGGGTAATGCACAAGGCCCCGGAAGCCCTGGATTCGGCGAGGAGCGAGATCTCGCTGCGGACATGGGACGCAAAAGGGAAGGACATGATCGAATCTTGGGTGACCGCGTCGGACAGAGTCCTGCAGAACCAGATGGAGAGGCAGCGGAGCGGGAAGCTTTGAGACAGAGGAAGTTGAAGGAGGAGAAGAATTTGGACGTAAAGGGCGCTGTCCATGCAGGCACCGGAGGCCCTGTGACGGGCTGAACGTTTTAGAAAAGATGGCTAAGAATCATCTGATGCCACGAAGAATTTGTGCCGCATTATCAATAAGTACCAAGCAATATGTCATTAGTGAGCTGTATAGAACGCAAAATTCGGGTATCAATGTTCTACTGAAAAAGTTGCAATGTATGTGCTCAAGTATCGGCATCGCCACCTTCACCGACAGAGACCTTTTTCAATGACAAGTCCCTCTTGAGATCTTGAATACGCTTGGCAAGCTTGTGCTTCAAAATGGCGTTCTGCATCTTCTCCCATTTGACAGTCTCAGCACGAATGAGGGCCTCAAGCTCAGCGATTTCTTCACGATGCTGTTGCACCTGCCGCTGTTGCTCGAGTTGCTCTTCATCGAGTTCTTCTTCGGGCACATCTGCCTCATCAGCATCAGACTCACTCTCATCGCCCGATGTATCCGCTGCAGGTGTAGACGGTTTAGTGGCCATTGGCGTTCCGGCTTGATAAAGATGCGCCAGTCCAGTATCAGACGGAGGTGCCATCGCTGGTGGTGCCTCGTCCCCACGCAGAGCAGCTTCCAGATCTTCTAGGAGGGGATCGAGGCCTTCATGGTCGCCTGCAATGTCTTCCATGCCCTCGTCCAACTCGCCTTCTGCGTCCTGCTCATCGTCGTACTCATCATAATCCTCGTAGTACTCCCCACTTTGGACCAGACCCTCTGCCCGATTCAAAGATGCTCTGTCTAGCAACTCGTAGCGAGAGGCAAGAGCGGCTTCATCTTGCGCAATCAGGTCCTCTACCGCTTTTTCTACTTGCTCGATCGTTCGCGTTCTGAGCCTTTCCCGAAATCGTCGCTTCCTCACATAGCGCAAGGGAGGAGTAAGACCATGCGGATACTGCAAGGTTTTGTCGTCCAAAAGATTGACATCAGACGGAAGAGGGTAGTTCATAGCTTCCGCATCATTCGCCACGGGTCCAAGAACCAGAAGCATTTGACAGATATCTGCAGATTTATACCACCCGCGTCGATCCCAACTCTTCATGCCCTCGATGATACATGGTAGGTCCACAAGTGTTGCCGCATACTGCTTATCTCGCACACGAAGAATGGCGCGCCGGCCCTCGCGGGTAAGTGGTTTGAATGAGAATTCTGACCGGTCGAAGCGCCGTTCAGTGATCGCCTGGCGTAGATATTCGCAGTCTTCCCCAGGGAGCATGCGTAAGATGAATTGTTCTTCGATACAGGGATCGATTTCCGTATCCGAAGCTTCGGAGTCGTAGCCGACGCCGACGGGTCGGTTGGGGACGAGGCCTTTGTTTTTAATCCGGATGGACTGTACTCCTGGTTTTTTGGAAGGGTTTAGCTTCAGTCGTTTCGGTCCTGCTGGCTTGACCGATGGTTCTACTGCAGCGGGTTCATGGAGCCCTTCCGCGGGTCGCTTTTTCGATGGCCTCTTCTTTTTGGCCTTCTCCTCTTCTTCAGCGGGCTGAGGTTTTCGCGCAATCTTAAGTGTGATCTTGCGCTGAGGAGTCTCGGACGAGGGAGGAGGAGGCTGAGCTGGTGGCTGCGAAGACGTCTCAGGCGCTTTCTTCTTGCCCAAAGTGAGCTTGAGAGATGGGCGAGGAGCGTCAGACATGGCGAAAAGCGTATCAAAGAAAAAACAACGCTATTAGATGGCCGCCAGAACACCGAGTCCCAGAAGATACCAAGAAAGCCCGAGAATAATGCGTTTCCTGGCGCTCTGAGTTGGATGGTTGACGTGAAAACGGTAGCTGGAGACCGCAAGTGAGTGATGAACCGGCAGAAAGTGTTGGTCTTTCGCCTCCGCCTTTCTTTCACTTCTGAATCAATTCAACTAACCTCCCCGATACGTCAATAATTGCTTCCTCTGTTCAATGGTTATCTCGCGGATTCTGAATAATTGAGCTGGGTCTTGTATCTAAGCTTCTTGTCATTGCGAAAGCCTCAAGTATTGGCCCAAAATGTCCGGCCCCAATCTACACAACGCTCTCCTCCGCCCTCCCATCATTCAGATCTTGCGCGCTGCTGGCTTTCACGCAACGCGTCCGTCAGTCCTCGATACACTGGTGGACTTAACGGCCCGATACATGATGATTCTCGCTTCGTCGATGGCCGCCCATGCCGTCAACGCTCACCCAGACGAGCCTTCCCCGGTCCTAGAAGACATCTACCAAGCACTGCAAGATGTCGGCGCACTACGGCCACAATTGCGCGAATGGGAGGAGGACTGGGAAGGCGAGGAAGATATGCGAGGACTGGATAATTTCTTGGGATGGTTCACAGGGCCTGCGAATCGGGAAATCCGGCGAGTAGCTGGGTTCTTGCCCAGCGAAGGCGATGTGATCGATGCCGATTCCTTGGAGAAGGAAGACTTCCTCACGTCTCTGAAGAAGAAGCACAGCAAAACGGGCGAGGAGTCGAGATATGCGGGCACAGTCCTCGGTAAAAACGCCGAGGAGCATCCGATTATCATCGAAGGGGGTGCTCCCAGTATTCAGGAATGGAGCCACCAGGTGCGGTCACGGGCGCCGTATGTTGCAGAAAGCGACTCTTCTGGCGTAAGCAGTGCGCCGAGTAATTTGTCAGATGCGGATGCTATGGAAGTGTGATGGGACGATCTACCGAGACCAATTCAGAAGACGAAAAAAAGCACATCACATACTGACAACAATCGCCTGAGAAGAGGGTCGCTAGAAGATCATATCGATCAGCAATGTCAACAACGGCAACACACCGCTCCAGTCTATGTTCTACGACTCTACCTCCGCATCATGTACGAGAAAGCCAGGGATCTGGCTGCGTTGCATGCCACTCGCCTGAAATATGGCTGAAATATCATGACAGGGCATCTGCGGCACTCATGCTGGGAAACGACAAAGCCTGAAAGCACCCAGTTCTATACGCTCCACCGCATAGGGCTCGTCCCTGAACAAGGCCACGGCTGACCCACGAAGAATTCCACCACACCTGGATAGGAGGGTGATTTGATGAAAGAAAGTCTCCAGGCAGCAAGGAGATAGTTAGAGGTCATTCAAGCCCCGGTTCACAAAGCCCCGTGGGAATAGAGCATCTGATATCCATCTTCTAGAGGAGTTAAATTATGTATTTAGCCTCTGAATAATGGCCAACTAAGCACCTGGAAGCAGGACAGCCAGGGTACGAAAATTGAATCAGAATCACTTACCATTCATGTAGCTATCTCCCTTGGCGTAATTTTCGGATACTTTGTTAGTCTGGCGGTGACATCAATGGGCTTATCAACTCGGGCTCCATCGTAGCATCTCCGCCATCCTCGACCTCTGCATTCTAGCAACGACACCACAGCACCATGGTTTACGCCTCCGACCTCCCCACAACGTCTCATCTCTCCTTCCAGACATTCCTGTCATCGAGTACGCATCCGTCCCTACCTCAGGCAGCATCTACGGCCCGGCATGCGTTGCGCCTCGCTCTCAAGAACCACAAACGACTACCCCGCAGTCCGCAGCGGGACGCGCATCTCACCACAGTCATCGGCGCGATAAACGACTACCTACCGTATATCGTTGCAATCTCGTACGGTCTGAGCGGGAGACCCCTCGGAAGCATCAATCCTAGCACAGGAAGCAGCACAGGCAGCGGCGAGGAGATCGAGATCACGCTCCGCAGCGAAATCGAATCAGAATGGCGCGCTACATTAAGCCTGACTCCGTTGTCGCTGAAAAGCCGGTCCAAGAACGGCAGAGTTCGCGGACAAGGGATTGATTTTGAAATTGCCTTCGTCCTGACAACACTGGGCTATGTCCTGAGCAGTGTAGCTCGCTCCGGTGTTCTACGGACCCTCTACGCCGCGACAACTCCCACAACCGAGCAGCGCACCGCTGCCGTCCAAAACGCCACAAAATACCTCTTACAAGCCAGCTCAGTCCACGCGCTACTTACCTCGTCACCTTCGTTCGCAGGCGCAGGCCGGCTCCCAGGCTCCGCTGCCATTGTTCCGGACCTCGATCCCGCGACCCAGGCGGCGCTTTCGTCCTTGGCCTTAGCCGAAGCAACCCTCATAGCCGTGTTGAAAGACGACTCGTACGTCGCGGCTTGCATCCAGGCTCGGAACCCGAATGATAAGGACTGGATGGTGCGGGCGCCAGAGATCCCCAAGGTGCGGGCGTTGCTTTTCGCGCGGTTGTGCGTTCGCGCCGCGGAGTATGCGGAGCAGGCGGCTGCGGGGCTAGGATCCGTCGGTGCGCAGGGGAAGACTGGGATTGATGAGGACGTGGTGAAGTATGCGCGGGCTCTGGGCCGGGTTGCGCGAGCAAGAGCCTGTCGGTTCTTTGGTGTTGATGCGGAGCTCGCGGGTAAGATCGGGGAGGGCATTGCCTGGCTGCGTGCTGCGAAGGGCGCGTTGGGATTACGGCCTTCGCCGCAAGGGGAGAGGGAGACGTTGTCAAAGAGTAAAGGAGGCTTTTCCAGGTTAAAGAAGGAATGGGCTGAGCGGCGTGAAGATCGGAAAATGGAGAAGGATGTGGGGAGCCGGGATCGCGTCGCCAAAGGGGAGCTCCATCCTGGTGATGATGCAGGTAGGGACGAAGAGGGGCGTGTGATTGACATGCTGGAAACAAAATGGGTGAGGATGAATGATACAGTAAGTGGGCTATTGTATCCATCGCGAGCTGAAGGCCTGGCACTGAAAATTTGTAGATCAACACACAGCTTATCCCCCCTTCGACCGACCTTCTTACCAACCTACCCTCTGGTCGAGACATCCACTCTCCACCGGGTCCTTATAGGCTTCCTTGGCTAGATGAAGATGAACTTGCTCGAATGCGTGCACCGCCAGCAGAGGAGGATTTTGAACCAAGCAGTGACGTTGAAGATAGCGACGATGAGCCTACCGGCATTGCGGAGGATGCACCAGGAGCAGTTCCCGAGCGAAGCGAAAGCAGCTACTATTGATGATACCCAAGTTTTAAATAGACGCAACAAATCGTGACTTGATTACCTTGTAGGTAACGATATCCAGAATGGCGTAATTCATGAGAGTCACATCACTCCATGCCAATATCTTTCGTCTGGCTTTTGGTGCTGCAAGATATATGTACAAGGAAATCAACAGCAACGATTCCATCTAGCCCAGCAATTTTTCATTCATTCAGTCCCCAGTGCCACTTCTACCACGCCCTTGCTGCCAATATCTCCCTCCTCCGCCACGCAACCCTCTATCACCACCCTACTACCCCCATAGAACAAAAGTGGAAAAAAAAAAGAAAAAAATAAATGGACACACCCATCGATTCACACAAAAGCTAAAGCACAAACAAAAAGAAAAGGGGAAAAAAAAAGAGGTGATACACTCAAACACAACAAATCTCCGCATCCACCCCATCTCACGTGGACTTCTCACCCCCGAAATAGTTCTTCTCCTGGAACAGATAGCCCTTAACCTTGCGCTCATTCAGCAGCTCAAAGTACTTCTCTGTAGCCATACGATTAGCCGTCTACCCTCCCTCCAACCCCTCACCGAGCAAAGAGAGAGAGAAAAAGAAAAAGAAAAGGTGAAATGGAAACAACGCAAACCCACCTCTCAAAACACCACACTTCTCCAGATGGTTCACTCCCTCGCGGGCATAGCACTTGCCCAATTCCTCGCCAACGAGCCGAGACATCATACTGCGCACCCACTGCTCGCGGATGATCGCGTCGCGGGCATTGTGCAGGGCGACGTTGTCTTCGAAGTCGACGCCTTCGTATGTCGGGGGCACGGTGGGCTTCTTAGCCAGGAACGCGGCGGATTCGGGGGTGGGCATTTTGGAGCAGGGAGGATTGTTCGTGCGTAAGAACGATTGGCCCGGCGGATTGACTGGTGGGTGGTAGAGTTGATTGTAAACGGGTTCGTTTTCAAGGTGATCTTGTGGTTTTCATGGATGTCGTCGGCGGAATCGGGGATGGGCAATTGGAGGTTTGTGATTGGTTGAAAACAGGGCGGTGAAGGGCACGGCGGACGGGAGGATCTGGTCGTGCAGTTTTCGGAAGCGGTAACTAAATGTCACGTGATGGCTCCTGTGGTGGTACTCTGAAAAGGCCCTTTGTCAGGCGAGAAGATACAGACAGAGCAATTGTTGTTCAACATGTTGAAGATTTTAGTCAATTGAGTCTATAGTAGTCATATGCACCAGGCGCCATGCCAAATCAAATAATCTCATAAATGACGCCCCATCAGGAACCAGAAACCACAATGCAGTGCCGCATACAATCAGGGAAAAAAACAAGTAAAGTGGTACATTAGTCGATACATGGATGAAGGGTGTTGTAAGAATGACAAGAAAGAATCGTTCCAAGCATGAGGTGTCGTCGCTCGTAGAGCTTTGTTAGACGTCAAAATTCAGGGAAGGAGCTCAAGCTCGATTGAATGGCTCCGAGTTGATTACAGAGAACGCAGCGTGAAAGCGTCAGATTATGACATGTTGTGCTGCTGATCTTCTGACTTGCCCCCCTTCTTGAGGAGCTTTTTGTAGAATTTCGCCAACCTATCTTGGACGCGCTGCCAGCCCGTGCGGTTCAGTTGCTTGCTTAGCTCGCGATACTGATACATCTCTCCCCAGCAGTCGCGGCCGAATTGGCACCCGGCCATATTCACCAGGAAGTCTCGTTCACTCTCCGAATAATGCACATCCGGATCACCGCCTTCGCCGCATGCGCCGGGAGGAAATGCGTTCATGAAACGCTGGGGGATAAACGCGACGCTGCTGCGAATCCACGGCTGACTCTGATATAGATACTCTAGCGCATCCTGCTCCTTGTGCTCCCAGTCCATATGTTTCTGCTCGTACATAACGGGGTCCCACCAGGTATCCAGGAGTCGGTCAGACCAGAGCGAGCGTTTGATGAAGAAGGACCCCAGGTTGAAGCCTCCGCAATCTTGTGAAAGCAGCAGTTCGATCGATGAGGGATCTCCGTCGCCCTCTGCCGAGCGGGAGATTGCGTCCAGATACGGTGCCGTGGGCGGATGGGTGATGTTTAATGGGTTATACATATTGATATCACGATAAGTCAAAGTCTCCAAGCGATCGAAGATATGCTCCTGAAGAGAGTATGAGTACTCCATGACCCACGTATTGAGGTCCAACCACCAGAACCTATACGGCAACCAGTCAGTAGGGGATACAACACCCGATGCACCTGATGTACTTACCACTCCGCATTCGGATACTTTCTCATAGCCTCGCGAATAATATCGACCTTCTCCCAGCTCTCGCGCCACTCATGGGAGTAGCGCTTCTTGGCCAGCATGTTGACTACTTCCAATTCATAACCCCAGCGCTTCGTGTACTCCCTTTTGTTCCAAATGCTGTTGCGCTCAAGTGCCCATTCGCGCGCCCCCTTCCACTCCATGACCCCACCTTCCACATTGGACTGCAATATGATCACGAACTTGCGCCCTCCGCCAAAAGACGACCGCCGGTAGTTCTGGATAATGGCTACAGCGAAGTCAGACGCCAGCGAACCTGCGATGCCAAAAAAAACAACCAATGAACCAATGCGCAGAGCACATACCTGTCCAGAAGAACAAATACCCCAAGAACAGAATAATCAATCCTAAAAAGGCGCGCAATCGCCTCCTCCGCAGCAGACCCCTGGCAAAACCGAACCGGAGCCCCATCCCGGGAGACTTCTGTCCCCGCCAGTATTCATCCTTATCATGATAGCCGTTACTTGACGCGCCGTTCATGCGAAACCGTGGCAAGCTAGACGAGATCTTGCGCTTCGACCGAGAGAAGAACCCATTATTCCTGGTCGAGAAGGACGGATAACCCCGGACTTCATCGCTCTTCGCGCGCGCCGCCGCCCAGGAGATGCTGCTGGGGCCGTGGGAATTGGGGGAGAGGAAATCATTGCGAGGCGTCGAGGTGCCGCTGCCGGGGGTGAGTCCCGGGCTTGACCACCCGCCTCCCGGGTGGGGGGAGGGTGATCGAGAGAGCGACATGGGGTAGCCGAGACCCGATTCCGTAAAGACGTTGGAAATGATGAGCAAACAACAATACGGGAAAACTCTAGACTAGGATTAAGATTGAGCACCCTGGCTGGGTTTCGTGTCTCGGTGGAAGCAGCCGGCGACGATGATCACGGACTATTGCTTGGGGGGTCGTTCGATAGGATCGTCGTGGTTGATGTAAGGATTATCGAAGGAGCTCCGCGGGGGGGTGGCCTTTTGGGTGGACTTTAGGTGGTCGACGGCCAAGAAGCCACGGTTGTAGCGTAAGACAATAATGCTCGGCAAATGGTCATTCAAGGCCTCAGGGGAGAATTGTAGTCAGGGACGGAAATGGAAAAAGCCATTCAAGTTGAGAAGAGGCGTCTTTCCCTCGCCGTGAACGGGTGAGCCCGTTCCCGTCGAGAGAGAGAGAGAGAAAAAGCGAAATTTGGGAAACTAAAATGGGAGATCCCGTGGAACGGTGAGGATCAAACAATGGAGACGACTGATGGCCATCGGGTTCAATCAGTACTACCTTGACAAAGACATGGTGGGTCGGATAAGACAGGAGACTCAGCCAGCAGGGGGATAATCAGAGACAATACGCTGGACTATTGTCTAGATAGAAATAGCCATTTGCCTGTCCCTCTGCGTACAGCCTCGTCGGTTGATGATTGATATGAGACCAGCAAAGGAGTAATAAAAAAATAAGATTACATGCTGGGACACAGACATGAGCCAAGCAGATTGATTCGTCCGCATTCAGGAACAGCAATAATAGTACCTAAGTAGTAGGTAGACTGGCTCGAGTAATGTGGAGGAGGAGGATGTTTCATGTCACATTGATAAAAATGATAACAACCAACTTCTCAAAAGTCAACAAATCCATCTCCTCTGTAGGACGTACTCCGTAAGTAGAGAAAGAAGGAAAGATCAAGATGTACTGTGTAGACTGACCGTTGAAGTGTTCCATCCAATGTATGCCTGCAGTAACGAATGGTATTTCAGGGATATTAATTATCAATAATACTGTATGGATAAAACCTCAGTATAGTGCGGGAGTCTCAATGAGAACCTCAATATAACAAGCAGAATCCCTTTGCCTCAATTGATTCTTCATATAAATAATGAGATTCCTTGCTACAGTAAGTGTTATTATCTTTTCCTAACCTCCTATACAAAATCTGTTACTTCATTAAAGAGCTCCAATATATATACTGCCTGTCCGCTATAACGTCTCTCATACTGGCATCCCAGTCAGGTTTGGCGCTGCATACTATGCCGGAATGGGAACTGCCGCTAACCACCGCCTTTATAAGCCCAGCGTCGCATCCATATGATTATGAACCGCTGATTCTATTATGGCCTTCCGTGCCAACAACCCAGAAGCACATCGTAGTTCTAAGGATGGGAGGAATGGAGAGGATCCAGAGGTTGAGCAGCAGTGAGGCCACATACAGGCTACGTGCTTTGTCTAGCCAGTGAGTAACATGACATGTTTACAAACAACAACAATATAATCAACTGTTGTGTGTTTATCTGAAGTGCGAGGGATAGGGGCCATAATCACCTATCACGTGATATATCATTTACACAAGTAGCGCAGTCGTTGACCAGCAAAATGCAGTCAAGCCTTGGCTCTCTGTATTACAGAACCTGTTCACCTTTCCACTCCTGCTAGCCACGTCTAGGATACGGCCAGCAATTTGATACCTGATGATTATCTTTCAGCCAAAGCTCAAGTCACTTCATGGCTGCTCCAATTGCCAAACCCTCGCCTTGTTGTTGAATGACTGTGGCCAATATGAGATACGTACTCTTACGCCGCCCTGTTCAACAAGCAACTCCAAGTTTGCGGAGAAAGATGTGGAACAGAGACCCGTGCGTGACAGAATGCAAATAACCCTCATTTATAGGTAGTCGATGGTGTACGGAGTAACCAACCTAGGTAGATTCTATAAGTGCCTTGGCAGTGGGGCCTGCGAATGATTTACATAGTGTTTACGGCAGAAGCCGAGATTGCAAGCTACTGAAAGCAATCATTTCAATACTAAAATGCTATTTATTGGGGGCGTGGGTGGGCATCACCGAGTTCCTGACTGGAGTCACTAGAGTGCCTTTCGACTATAAATCGAGACTCTGAGAGAGCAGATAATAACGATAGATAGCATATTTGAATAGATATTATTCTATCAGATCCATTGTATGTACTCATGTATTCTAACTAACTCGATGACCCATTAGGTGTATGCCAAAAAAAAGGAGAGACAGAACACCACCCAGCAGTGCGGCACTCCCAAGTACGAACCTCATCCAACCATAAGCCCAGTATTTCAAAGATGCCCGCAAAAAATAATAACATAATCAAGGTAATGATAGACGTCGTTTTCCCGAAAAAAAAATACAAGTATCAATGCAGGAGGTCGTTGTAGCCCATCAGACAAAAAGAGCCGGTTTCTTCATTTTGCCCTCGGTATCCTTGCGTAGAGGCTGTCGATTGGTGGCCCCCCCTTCCTTAGCCATTAACACCTTCCGCACCAAGAATCCCTTTTCCTCATCCGGCCGCGAACGCGCACTATCCCCATGGTAAAACTCGCATTGGAGTTTCAGAAACTTGTTCCGATTCTTGTAGACGGTAATGATGTCGCCGCTGTATAATTTTCCGAAATGGAATCCCTCCCGGCTGCCGTCTCCATCGGATCCTCGACGCAGCTCCGTATCGTTGACCCAAATGCATTTGCGAGTCTTAGTTGAGAGGATAGCCATCACTCCAGGTACGGTCATCCAGTCACGTCCCGCAGCGATTTGCGATTCGATAGCTGGGGCCCAGAAAGTGACCTCCAATGCATACGCAGGAATCCGCGTATCCATCGGGTCGGGGTGGCAGATGGTCGCCTGCGGACCACGTCCCCAGGATGTCATCCGGTCCTCCAGGCAAATCGTCAGGTCAAAGATCGAACCCGGAAGAGTTGCCAGCTTTCCCAAGAGAGGTCGCGGGGAATGATGTCGGTGAAGAGAAATCTGTTGAGGGACTTGAACAGGGGCCTCATCCCGCGGGGCATCAGAAATGTCGTTGGTCGTTGAAGTTTCAGGCGGACGGGAGACTTGTCGGCCCGTTCGAGCGTCAATCGTGACTGCCAGTTCGATATCGAAGATCTCACCAGCACCCGCCTCGGGATCGTCGCAAGGAGCAGCTGTGTTTTCTCGGGTTGCCTCCTCACTGGACCGTTCGCTGGCAGTATCGGGGAGCGGTAGCTCGATTCGGCGGCTGAATTTGGACGCTTTGGGTGTCGCATCATTGAAAGGCGCTCCTGTCCTGGTCTCCGAACGACGAACCTGCTCGGTTGTCTGCTCGACCGTACTAGTTTTCAGAGCCGGCGTTACGACGACCGGGGGAGCGTGGGTCGAAGTGCCAGGGTGCCACGAGTTCATGTTCAGCTGCCCAACGAGATTCTCAGCTCCCATCAAGCTTGGCGCGGATCCAGAAAAGGGGTTATCCGGGAGGGAGAGGATGGAATTCAGGCTGTTGCCGTCGCTGATAATCGACTCACCAGTTGAAGAGACGAAGTCATGTACGCTAAGGTCATCGCCATCGAAAACATCTATGCTAGCTCCGAGGACGTTTGAACTGCGGAGAGCGGACGAGGTGATCTCCCCGAAGAGACGTCTTGGTGTGGATTCAGCAACCGGACGAACATTCTTGAAGCTTTCGATAAGAGGAAGTGATGGATAGTGGATTTCCGCCGGGGGATAGTCGATCCTGGGCCTCTTCGATTGCGCCAAATCATGGCTCTCGTCACTCGCACCTTCTGCCTCCGGCTCATTGAGGGAAATTTGCGACGCGTCAAGCTCGTCTTCCAGGTCCTCACCGATATCCGACAGGGCACCCATCTGGGCAGGCTGAACATCGCCTTCGTAATCGTCGTACTCGTCCACGTCTACTACGTCCCGTATCCAAGGGTGCCGGAAGCACTCAGCCTCCTTTGGTCGGGAATGAGGGTCACGATTCAACAACCGGGCAACGAAGTCAATACCAGCTTCTGAGATGCCTTCACGACGAAGCAAATCATAGTCGGGTTCCGTAGTCATGATAGTTCGCAACATCTGAGCCCCTCGGTCGTCACCACGGCCTGTATATGGAGGGATACCGCAAAGAATGTGGAAGAGCACTGCACCAAAGGACCACATATCGACAGATTGGTCGTAAGGGGATGTTTTCGGAGGTCTAAAAGTCAGTGAATGCTTACTTAAAAAAGAGTGCAACGACTTACGGATCTCCCAGCCGGCGCCTTTTTCTTATTTCGCCCCGCCGATAGGTCTCATATTCTGGGTACACCTCTGGTGCACAGTATAAAAGGGTACCGCAGAAGGTCTTTAGGAACGTCTCATCCTGAACTTTGGACAGCCCAAAATCTGACAACTTGACTTTGAGGGGTTCAAGTGACGCGATCAGAATGTTATCGGGCTTGATATCACGATGCGTAATCTTGCGTTTGTGGAGATAATTCAGTGCATGTAGAATCTGGCGCGCCAACGTTTGGACCATATCCTCAGGGATTTTGCCATGAGACCGAAGATAAGCGGCAAGTTCTCCGCCAGGGACGTACTCCATGATAATGTAGATCCAGCGCTCATGTTCATGGTGGTCGATGTATTGCACAATATTAGGCTGTGAAGAAGCGGTCAGTTCGACTATTTGACACAGACAGGGCAGAGCACTAACATGGCGGAGATCCTTCATAATTTTCAACTCATTGTCCACTTTCTGATCCAAAACTCCATTTTTCATGAATCGCATCTTATCGAGTTCCTTAGCAGCGTACACGATCCCATGCTGTTTCGTGGCGAGTTTGTACACCGTTGCAAAAGCCCCGTGCCCAATCTGGCCGGTCACATTGTACGTGGAACCGCCGGCCCAGTTCATACCGTATGCATTAGCGACGGAATAATGGAGAGGAGTGCGTGCTTGGCCTTGGCGGGCTCTATGCTGAACAGCACCTGCTTGATGTCTTTGGACTCGCTCAAAATAATGAAGCAAGTTCTCTGTGTACTGCATCGCGAGACCATCTCGAGAGGGGATACGCACCACGAACCTTACTTCGTCAGAAGGGCTGTTCCCGCGTAGCACTTGTATGACAGAGCCGTTGGTCAGCATACGACTGTTTTCCTTCTGGTTCTTCCGAAGACGAAAGTCGTCCACGACGGTCCCATTAGTCGAGAGATCTTCTAGCATGAGAATTCCATCAGGCGTGACGTGAATACGAAAGTGGGTGTTTGAGATTCGTTTCGAATTATCGTCGGGGCACAGTAAGAGATCGCAGCGGGCTTTACTGCGGCCGAAACAAAAACCCGTGCTTAGATTTTGCACGTTAGACGACAGCCTGAGAGCAATATCAAGCGCTGCGCTGTCTGAGCCCTCGTATTCCAGATCATCTTTCTGTAGGATGTGTTGCGGAGCAAGTACAGCAGTTGCAGAGACAGCTTCATGAGCCGCAATAGAATTCGGGTGAAGGATGCAGAGGATGTCAGACACATCCTCCCCTAATAAGCCAGAATTGCTTCGGCCCACACGGCGAGGATCTGTGCATGGCTGCGTTGACTCCTGAGTCGCCTCCATGAAGAATCACGAATGCTGAATACTGCAAGGGAAACAAAAAGAACAAAAAGAGAACAAGGAAATGAATAGGGTACTAGAAATAATAGAAGGAAGAAAGGGCTGTCAGAGTGTGGGCAATCTGGGGTATAAATGCTGGTGCCTGGAAAACAAAAGGGTAAAACTGCATAACCAAGCCGATAACTAATACAATATCATGAACTGAGTCTGTTGAGGTTAGTTAGAGGACTAATACCCCATCATGCATTCCCTACACAAGGGAAATGCCGCCTCACCTTAGGGGGATCCGAGTTGAAAAACGCTGATAAATTATTGCATCCAAGAGTCCAAGCTGTGGTTTTCTAACAATGCGACAGGTTGAACACCTGATAGAATCCCATGCAGCGGTGGTCCGCCAGTCTTAGCTTGTCTTGAGCCCAAAATGAAGAGAGAAGTATTCAAAAAAGACTCGAAGACAGAGAAGACTGTTTCTCAGCTGTGCCAGATGCTGATGTCCGGTGTCTAAAGTTCCTTGCCGGCCAATAGGTTCAACAGTGATATGCAGAGATGCGCCAGTGCGACTGGTACCATAAACAGTCAATTCTAACGCAAGTGACCGTGAGGAATGAGAAAAGTGATCATTCAGTCAAAGAGCGACGGAGGACGCATGTATGTGAAGGGCTATCAGAGGCACGCAGGCTATGTCTATAGTTGGAAAGTATGAGCAGTCAGTCAAGAGCAGTGGTTGAAAGCTGCACAGGGATATGGCAGCTGAACTCACACACTTGGCAGTTCCCTGTCAGCCATCTATTGCGCATTCAACTTTTCTGTGATTGCTGCGATGGCCTCTCTACTTGACAGGGAGTGGAGCCAGCGAGAAATGATAGGGACGAGGCAGGAGACTGTCTGCAGAAAAAGTCGTCGTCCAAGAAACAAGCAGGAGGCTGAGGTGCGAGGTCGCCTTTATTATGGAGTCGAGGACGCCCCAGGCATCAACAAGGCAGAAACGGGTATGGTTCCTGAGGCCACCAGCCGAGCTCTGGCCAATAGGAACCCACACTGATCTGGTGTGAGGGTCACCCATGGAACATCCATGTGATTAATCAACTATCAATGGAGTACAAAGCTTTAAATTGGAGTAGATCTGTTAAGGTGACATTCACAAAGCAATTGTATTCTATGATCTCCATGCCTATTTCATTCCGTATGGTTTGCTTTGATCTTCACTACGCTGGTACTTGCCACTCATAGCAAGGTCGAAGACTTGCTCCAATCGGGCAATAGCCTCGTCGGACACCTCTGTGACTAGTCAGATATCACCGATCGCATCCTGCTTGCAGACTGCATGGAACTTACGATAATGCACGACGATCCGACCTCCGAGCAACTTGAGGCCCTTTTCGTTCCCGATCTGTGCGAGATCGTTTGGCCCAACCCCAGATGACTCAAGATCCAGCCACACCATGTTGGTGTGTACTGGGTGCTGTAATTGACCGCCACGAGCAATCCAGAGATCGGCGATTCGTTTAGCTTTGGTGTGGGTTTCCCGAAGCTTTCCTCCCTGGCCATGAGGATCCGGTCCAAAGGTCTCCTCAAGGGCCACACGAGCAGCAGCAGCAATAACCCCGGATTGGCGGGCACCGCCTCCGATGGATTTGCGGAACCACCGTGCCTTCTTGATGAAGTCATTTGATCCGACGATAATACTACCAATCGGTGCACCCAAGCCTTTAGAAAAGCACAGGCTCACACTATCGAAGAGGCTGGCATATTCAGGCAGGCTTCCCGCACCAGAAACAACTGCTTCCCAGAGTCTTGCGCCGTCCAAATGGACCTTGACTCCGTTCGAATGAGCCCACTCCGTGATACGACGCGCTTCCGTTAGTGGCATGATCATGCCGTCCAAGGTGTTTTCCAAACTGATCAGTTTAGTCGGGCAGTAATGGACGTTTTCTCCCAGTACTGCATGCTTCTGAATGTCCTCCACCGTAAGGTGCACGCCGTTTCTCGGTATAATGGGATAAACCGTAGCTCCGGTTAGGGAGCTGACCCCCCCTGCCTCGTAGCGTATGATGTGAGATCGGTGATCGCAGAGGACCGAATAGGGAGGCTGGACTAGATGTGTTCGAATGGCGACCTGATTGCCCATTGTTCCAGACATGACAAGGAGAGCGCTCTGGTGGTTTGTACGTTCTGCTACATAAGCCTGTAAATCGTTCGTTACTGGATCCTCTTCGAAAACATCGTCCAAGAGAGTTGTCTGGCAGATGGCTTCAAGCATGGACGGCGTTGGCTTGGTCATTGTGTCGCCTACGGTGCCTCACGGATTAGCCTGCTGCACTTTCTATCGGGGAAATTCCATGCCAGAACGCACTCCGTAGATCGAATTCCGCCGCACCGGCGCCCTGCCATGTGTTGGGCTTGCCACTCGCCCCATTCGAAACCATCGAGGTGCTGGACATGGCGAACCTTTGACTGTATGCAACCCTTTGAGTGTGAGGTAGTGAGCCGAGCGAAGGGAGTGGCCGGCGAAGAATGCGGAGAGCCTGCTTCATCAAGAGGACTTGATCTTAGTACCAATCAGGAGCAACTAGCCTAAGCATTGATTAGCCAAACTAGTGGGTGCTCCAACCCCTCTCTTACTTACCTTAAGTCAATGCGCGTAGAGGACAGAATGCAGGCAGAATTGTTGTGCGGGGTTGGTCCGATCCCCGAAGTTGCCCATGGTGTCTGTGCCTATCGGGCTATCCGAAGCCTTACTCCGTAAGTACGTTCGATGCTTAGCTATGCAACTGACTCCACATTTTGCATCTACGTAGAGAAAAATCATCCAAAAGTGTTCCTTTGACTATCCATGCCTTTTGCCTGTAAACTACACGGTAATGTATAGCTGAGCTTGAATCCTTGTATCTAGATTACTATTATTACAGACAGGTACCAGGACCGCTCAGATGTCCGGTACACTACACAGTACATGCCGGTCAGTAACAAATCAGTGCGATGACGAAAGGAAACCGCGTGAGGGTCTTATCGATAACCAAAATAGGAATAGCTCGGCCCGCCGAGCGTGTCGTTTACTGGTTACTCAGCATTCGAGATCATTGTGGAATTCCACATGTGGCTGTTCAACCCTTCTTCTCTCCATTGTTCGCAAGGTTCAGGAACAGATTCTGAAGGATTGTGAGGAAGTTCTTGCTTGGTTCTTGTTCGCGTCTCCTAGAATGGACTTGTCCAGACTCGCCCGTCCTGCTATCCTCTGCCAGTGTTCTCGGTGCTCCAGTTCCCTGGCCGCATTGGAGAATGAATGGGCTAAATTGTCAAGCTCCTATGCCATTGCGGCAGGATGGCTGAGCGTTGAGCTTCACCGGATGTCGATATCAAAGGAGAAAAAGCAAGTGCCACAGAATTCAGAAATGAGCTTATTACGGGGTCGAATATTACAGGAAGTTGCTTGCAAGCTCTGCCAGCAGAAGTTAGGGGTTTTGTGTCTGCTAGACGATGGGTAAGTACAAGAGGAGGAGATAGGATTCTGCGTAAGTGTGCCTAGCTAACGAATATTCAGCCCAAATATCTTCTGGAAATTAACCAAGGTGTCGTTTCGAGAAATCGTCAGTATGCGCACCGTCGAACCCCTGTTCAAAGACGGCTCCCTCGAACGTTTAATCGGTCCGCCACCACAAGAACCAAGGCGCGAATCGAAAGCGCTGGTACCTGCCAATCGGAACGAGGTTGATACGTATAATATGTCGATGGAACAACAGATCCAGCACCAAAGCCTTAGCCTTGACCATATCTCCAACTCGGTCAACATTCTGTACGATACCATGTCAGAGCTAAAACAATCCTTCACGGCTCTTCGGATCGAGTTGAATGGGCCAGGGCTGCTATCTTCTGACAATACTGGTTCCCACGGCAATGATTTCGATATGATCAGGACGGTGCTGAAGGAACTCAGGTCCAAATCCGAAGAGATTGAGAAATTGAAACTGGAGATTGAGGCTCTGAAGTTGAAGAATCGATTTATGGAGGAGCAGACGGTGAGGAATCCCAACTCGATGTCTGGTGTTGAAGCAACAGTCGCGGAAGTTCGAAGTCCGGGGTTACTCCAAAGCAGTAGAAAACGTCCTTGGCCAGACTCCTTCCCAAGTGGTCGCACCCAACCAATTGCGGATTCCTTCGACGAGGAGGAGGAGGATACCTTTGGTGATTTCTCTCTTGCGGACATGCACATGCAATCGGTCGATGTATCCTTGAATGATACCATGGCTTCTCACTCAACAACGAATTTACTACACGAACACCCAACTTCTGGATCCCCGCAGCTTCGCATTGAAGTCACGCAGTCGAGACCGCATACCCCACAAGTTGATAAGGTGGCGGACGAAACACCCGGGGCAGATACAGATAAAGGGCCCGCTGTAGTCAAGCGGCCTCGTATATCGCAGCCAGTTGAAAAGCCATCATCGAGCGGGAATCTCGACAGGAAAAAGGCAGGAAGACCACGCAAATCAATCGACCAAGCCCCAAAGCCGGATGCGAACCCGCCAGAAAATCCAAAGCCAACTCCCCTGACTGAACAGAACGTCAATACCTCCACAGATACACAGCCTGAGCGGATACCATTAAATGACAGCCCCAGCGAGGGCTCGGATGCTAGGGTACGTGCTTCAGCGCGATCACGAACCCTACGCAGTCGGTCGCGACCTCCATCTGCCCGTCTATCAGGCAATGGACCGGCGCAGCGAACAGATGGGAATAATGCCACAGTACCCGACGCAGCGGCCGGGGAGAACGGTGCCCTAAACATCTCGAACAGTAACACAGGGAACCGATCATCAAATCTAGAGATGCACATGAAGGAGAATGCTCCTGCATCGATGAAAGACGCCAACAAAAATTCTTCCAAGAAGAATGAAACTGGCGAGCAGCGAAAGGCCCAGGTGGCCGCGCGAGATCTCATGGCACGCTTGGCTATGCAGCGTGAGGAAGCAATGGAAACGGAACAAGCCCGATAGCCAATCGAATTACAGCACTTGTTGTGGACTTCAAGCCATAAGTCATGCTTCTAAGAAAGCTATGAGATGAAATATATCACAATATGCTGTGTTGTGTCGTAGTAGTGACTAATATATAGGACTGTTGGTATATTTGCACTCTAACAGTAGATAGCTCCAGTTTTCGATCGTAACCAAACAAGCCAGGGTATTCTAACATGCACTTCTTCTAGATAACAGATATTTAATGACCAAATAGTGACCCGCCACTTTAGAGATCTAAAATGCCATAGATTGCCATATGAAACCTGGAAGTGAAACCTCACTTAACACACATGAATCCGCAGCCCTCCCGAGCTCTCTCACAGGCTTTCTTTAAGGCCTGTTCCTCCGTGTCCGTCCATTTGACTGTTAGCTCATCCCACGGCTTACGGGCATTGAACTCGTCGCGGAAAGTTTTGTGCATCGCCTGTAGACGGCTGACCTCGCGCGGGTCACCGGTGCCCGAGTATACTATGAACAGGGTACAGGGGGGGAGAGACTCGTAGACGCGCTGGATGTTCGCGACAGTACGGGATACTGTTTCTGACAGAGTGTTGTCCTGCACAGCAGCGGCGGCTTGCTCGGTCGAGGTAGGGCCCGTTGGTGTTGTCTCCTCCGGCGGGGGAACCAAGGTGGTGGACTCGTTGGCATTGTTCGGGTCCGGGAGACGATTACACCAGCCACGAAGGACTTCGAGTTCTCGCATCCGGGCCCAGGTGAAATCGACACCGCCGCCGGGAATGGACGGGTTGGTATCGTCGCCTTTGACAACGGCGGAGATACCGTTGACAACATCGTCGTCGCTTTTGCACCCGATCGCGACGGCCGCCTGCGCTCCGAATCCGCGCTCGGGGTTACCCCAGTCGACGACGGCTCCTGTGCGGCCCTCGGCCGCCGCGTCTGATTTCCGGGGCCGCGTGGCGCGACCCAGGCGCCGGAAGATGCTCTCGTTCGAGGCGTCGCTGGTGCCCCACCGCTCGCCCTTTTCGCATTTCTGCTTGACCAGTTCGAGTACGGCACGGGCGTCCTCTATAGAGTCATGGCCGGTCTGGCCTTTCTGGATCTCCTTGCCGAGGTATTTCTGCGTGAGCCATTTCAGGCTGCACTTTAGTGGTGGCCCGCGAGGGTGCGGGTAGACCATGGCGGTGTCAACGATGAATGGGTGTGTGAGCTTCAGAGCGTTCAGGTCGGAATTGAGCGAGTGGCCGACCAGCACTGAGCGGGGAGTCAGAATTGTGAGCAGCTTTTTCTGGATTTCGGCTAAGGTAGTGGTGACCGGATCTAAAATCTCCTTGGTCATGCCAGAGAAACGGGTCAGGTAGTCGATGATTGGGAGTTCTGGCTTCACGAGCTCATCAAGCACCACTTCCCCATCCCAGCGAACCAAGCTGATGCGCGCGAGCTCTGATTTGCCGCCTTCTGTGATGCACATTTCGCAGTCCATAGCCAGCACATCACGGCCAGCCGTCATGCTGCCTTGTTGTATCTCATCCTCAGGAGGTTGTCCGGCTTCTAGACTTGGGACATCCGTGTCAACCCAGCCATCCTCAACAGACTGGCCAGCTCTTTTGCGGCTCTCCGCAAGGGCTGTCTTCTCCTGGTCAGTGGCCAGAAGTGCCGGGTGAAGAACATATTCATGTTCACGCAGGTCCTCAAGACTGCTGAGGAATGTAGTGATCGGTGTCCGCTTGGGAACATGGCTTTTATCCACTCGGGGTGGCTTAGGGCCCTTTCCACCGCTCTCTTTATTTTTCGGCAAGGACGATAGGAGGATAGCTTGGAGAGGTGAGTGCACTTTATTGTACTTGGAATCCCCAGGGGCCTTGACCGGCCAAATATGCGGGAACATGTCTGCAAGCGGTTGCAGCTGTGTCGGCAGGTTATCTCGCGCCAACGGACGAGGGTTGAACCGATGCGAGCGATCTTCCGGGGGGAGGCCTTCTTTCCATCGAAGGAAGTCCGCTTTCCGAGGATCTTCGGTCTGCATATCAACATCGGGAGCTTGCGAAGCCGATTCAGTTTCTCGAATCTCCGGCTGCGGTTCCAACGGAATAGTACCGTCAAACATGCCAATCTCCAAACCCGGAACCATCAGCACAACAATTTTTCTGACATAGCCCGAATGCTTGATGGAGATCCACTGAGGCGCGATACCATCAGCGAAACAGTAGAGTAGAAGACTTTGAAGATCCGCAATGCGAATCGACGACTGTAGTCGCCCTTCAACGTAGGTGAGCACGGGATATTTCGTCTTTTCGCCGTCGACTCTCTTCTTCTTCGTAGGTCTCTGCGCAGACAATCCATCTTTAACTTGTTTCGGAATGGCTTTCGATGACTCTGTGGGAACTGCTTCGTTGTCTTCTGCTGCCGATGTTGCTGTCTGGAGCAGCGATAGAGTCTGGCCTACGCCAAAGCCGTTCGTTTGATCGGCACCAGTTCTGACCGGTTCTTCATCTGAATATCCAGCCTCTGTGCGCTTGCGCTTTTTCAAACCAGCCATATCTGGGTTGGCGGCGGTCATCAGAGGCAGAGTTTGATGTCAGGGAGAAACGCGGATAACTAAGTCACGGACTTTATGTCTTACCCGCGTTCTTAGTATTCTTTATGTCCCTCCAGCCTTATCTCCAAATGAAGCGCCTTCGAGTTCCCTTGTCTTGTTTTCTGTTGTCTGAGCAAAAGGGAGAATCGACTTTTTGTATTCACGTGAGGATAACCATTTATCCAAGTACATTGGGGTCCTCACGTGATGATAAGCATTTCCGGCCCAGACTTACAGCCTGTTGGCTGCTTTTGTACCAGTGCAGCTCCAAATATGCTTCCGTGGTAATTCATTCCGCACTGCAGGTGCTGAACGGCAATAATAATGACAGGAACATCTAACACAAAAATGGGAAATCAATTGCCTTAATGCATGTCTCAGGGACAAACGTGACCGCTGACTCAAAGCATGATGGCGTCAACATGGAACAACAATAGTCCACGCCCAAAGCGGTTTCTCCGACGAGACAGAACCAAGCAGAAGCCGGAATTGCGATTACGGAAGTAGTTCGATCTGATAAGCAGCCAAAATTCGCCTTCGGTGACTTGCATTCCGGTCTTCTCCTTCTCATCTCGTTCCCCTCCGGTTGCTTATAACTCCTCGGACTTTGTGCTACTGTTTCATTTTCTTTGTACCAACTGACTGATCTTGCGGACAATACCACAAGGACGTTTTTACTTTAGCATATATCTATTGCTGGTGGTTTCTCAGCCTATCCCTCCTCTCAAGCCTCACTCCACCACTATCAATCCTGTCCCCGCCGCTCGAACCCCGCGGCAATAAGAAACCAGCCATGTCGACCCTCAACGAAATCACGTCCGACGCCGAGTTCTCGACATTCATTTCCTCCCTCCCATCTTCGGCACTGGCAGTCCTCTACTTCCATGCACCATGGGCTGCTCCCTGCGCCCAAATGCGCGCCGTTCTAACCGCCCTCGCCTCCCAATACCCCGTCACCACCCCGCCCTCGATCTCCTTCGTGAGCATCAACGCAGAAGAGCTCCCTGACATCTCAGAAGACTACGATGTCACCGCCGTTCCCTACGTCGTCCTGCTTCGTGACGGCAAGATCCTCGAATCCATAAGTGGCGGCGAGGCAGTCAAGGTGCGCGACGCGGTGGAGCGCCATGCCGGTGCCGCCTCGGGAACCGGCGCAGGCGCCAACAAGGCCGCTATCCCCCCGCCGCTGACGGCTGTCCCGCGCGAGAACGTGCCTTCGACGGCTACGCAGGCGCCCGCCCCGTCGGCGCAGCAGCTGTCGCCTGAGGAGTCCAAGGAGGCGTTGTTTGCCCGCTTGGCGGAGCTGGTGAAGGCGGCGCCGGTTATGCTATTCATGAAGGGAACCCCGAGTGCGCCGGAGTGCGGTTTCAGTCGACAGCTCGTGGCGATTCTCCGGGAGCGGAGCGTTAAGTATGGATTCTTCAATATTCTGGCCGATGAGGATGTTAGACAGGGTTTGAAAGAGTTTGCGGATTGGCCGACATTTCCTCAGCTCTGGGTTGGGGGAGAATTGGTTGGTGGATTGGATATTGTATGTGTCTTCTTTCTCCTTGGTCGCAGTCGAGGCGCCGTTACTAATTACTGCTTTACGGATAGGTCAAGGAAGAGATCAGCAACGACCCTGATTTCCTCGGCGCGTACTCAGTCAACAAGACCTCCACTGCGGCTTGAAACTTCGTATCTCATACATAATATAAACATGTCCTTAACGGGCACTGGGTGTTTCTGTTGATTTTTTTTCCCCCATTAGACTTTTGACCATTCAGCAATGACGAATATGAGTGATTGATGTTTTACAGTCACTTGTGCTTCACAAGTGTATAAAAAGTGGCATTCGCTAAAATTGGTGGACAGACAGCTGGCAGTTGAAAGCGTCATTTCCTCATGATCAGCTGCACGTACATAGGACTTATTTATATACAGGCCAGAAAAAAAAAAGAGAAAAATTTTAAGATTCTTTCGCCAGCTGAGGTAAATGGTTTCAATCAGTAGATTCTGCATCCTAATGATGATTCTGTTCAACTTCGCTATTGTCCTTCAGAGACACCCTCGGCAGATGGAGGCACCGAGCCACTCTCCACTGGGCGCTCAATCGGCTTACCCCACAGCCGACTATCCGCATTCCGACACGTCCTGAAAGTGGAAAGCAGCGCGTCCTCATCAACATAGGCACCGGCGAGCCAGCGCTTCCCCTGCTCAGTGTTAAACTGGTTGCGGGCGTGGAGGACGCGGCGGTTCTCGAAGATGACACACTCGCCGGGGTTTAGCTTGAGCTGGAAGATGTTGCGCTTGCGCTCGATCTCGTAGGTGAATTGTTTGAGGGCGCGGGTGAACTCGGCGTATCGCTCGTGGTTCATCATGTTGGCGATGGACGGGCCCTGGAAGGGCGGCGAGTAGTTGACGCGCGCGATCGACTTGGACAGGTTGCCGTCCTCCATTTCGACGACGGGCCAGCTGTTGTTGTAGACGTGCTCCTTGTGGTCGTACTCGTAGTTGAGGCGGAACTCCGTCAGGTACTGGAAGAGGTCTGGGCGCTGAGACCGGATCTCGTTGGCGGCGCGGAAGCTGTCCGTGAAGAGCGACTCGCCTCCGTCGCAGGAGTTTTCCAGACAGTGCAGCAGCTGGTAACCCGGCGGCTCGTTCATGTACATGAGGTCCATGTGGAAGCCGAGGAAGACGTTGGTATAGGCGACATTCTTCGCCTCGGGGACGCTGCGGACGTCCCATGTCGGGCCGTAGAAGGTGTTCCGCAGGGGACCCATGCGTGTGGCGATCTTCTCGACCATCTCCCGCGAGTCGGGGATATCCTTGACGAAAATGATTCCCAGCAGCGAGAGATTGCGCATGGCTGTGATGAACTTCTTCTCGTCGTTCATGTAGTCCTCGTAGGAGATCCAATGCTGAAGCTCCTCCATGCTCTTCGCCGTCCACATCATTCGCTTCCTGTGCCGGCCCGTATCCGACTTGGGCGGGTTGGGTTGGGGTACTTGTAACTTGACGGCTTCGTAGACGGATGTGTGCTCGGGATCAAACCCCTTGATATCGTTTGCCCACTGTACCTCCAGCTTCTTGCCGTCCCATTTGACCGATCGCGGCGTGATGTAGTGGGGGATATCTGTCAGGCGGAATTTGCGCTGTTTCGAGTGCTGGTCCACGCAGAGGGGGCACTTGCAGGCGTCGCGCAGAAACCCGTAGCGGAACCACCGTCTATTCCCATCGATCGTCACGTTCATTTGATTCTCCATGATCTTGACGCCTTCTGGCGCAGGGCCATGCAGGTACTTGTCCGCATAATCGACCAATCCATCTTGAGCTGTAAAGGGATTCGACTTCGGGTTCGAAGCGACATTACGGATGGGCACTGAGTAGTCCCGACGGAGGACAAGGGGACGTAACCGGAGAGTCCGCCATGATGACCGGAGAAGGGGCACCAGAACCCGGCTCATGACGCAATGCGAGGTGTTTGACGACCGACACAGTGGTAAAACCGACGATCTGAAGAACATAGATGTGATTGACATCTATGGAACCTCAGGCAATGGAAGCATTGCGGAGCGGAGCCGGAAGAGCCTATTTTACCGCGGTTACAGATCAATCCAGCCTAGCGCAGTGCCGCTTCCTGTCGTCTCCGTTTCTTACGCGGTAAGGAAGAAGGATGGAGCTGTCTCTGACTCGTAGGAGATAGACAGACCGGAGGATGCGAGAAGGATGCGAGGTGGTAGGAGTTTCATTCATGCTATCTGTTTCAATAAGAATATCTTTTCTTATCATCAACATATCATCTGCTTCTCAATCCTTTCGGTACCTACTTGACTCAGGAACACAATGCCCCTGGGACATCTCAATAGCCACGCCCATTCTAACCTTTGGGATATCAGCCTGTCAGATTGCTTGTTGGTAGGACCAGTTACGAAGGATGCTGCTCATCATTCTTCCAACCACCATGAAGAAGAAATGTGTCTGCAGCGTAAAGTATGCAGTATACAAACAACCACGACCTCTTAAGCACAGGAATTCCAGTGTCTTCGCGTCTTCGAGATAGAGTAACAGAAATGACTCGTGCCTCCGTTTTTTACGTATCGTTTACTCCACGCCTCAAAACCGGAAAAATTCCCAGCAATCCAACATTTTGGTCCCTTCTTCCATCAATTTGATTTTCTCCCTCAACTCGACAGCAATACCTACACTCACGAGGGTCACCTATCAGTCGAGTCTCCCTCTCGTATCGTATTCACCCGATGAGAGAGACTCCTGATTGAACGAATTACAATTCCCGCCCTCCCAACAAAGCTGTAATCGTTTTCACCTCCCACCATCACATGCATGTCGGCCGGGGGCGAGCACCTCAAGGATGAGGTACGGTTTCCCCAGACCAACCCTCTCTCATTGACGTTTAAATGTCCGACATAAACCACTAATGCGCAGCATCAGGGCACACCACGCCAGGTTGTTCTCGCAGGCGGGATCGCCGGGCTCGTCTCACGGTGAGTGCTTTTTTTTTTCTTTTTTTTTTTTCTTTTTGTTGCCCACTCCGACAAAAAAACTATCCGTCGCGACTGCACAACGAAAGAGAAGCCATGGAGTACAAGCTAAAACACGTTCGCATCTTGCCAGATTCTGCGTTGCGCCCCTCGATGTCGTCAAGATCCGCCTCCAGCTCCAAATCCACTCGCTCTCCGACCCAGCGTCCCATAAACATGTCACCGGGCCAATCTACAAGGGCACCCTCGCGACAATGAGGGCGATCCTCAAACAAGAAGGCATCACGGTACCCAAGCCCTCCCCCTCCTCTTCTTCCACCCCCAGCCTCCTCGCGCATCGTGTCTAATATCCGGATTCCCTACAGGGCCTCTGGAAAGGCAACATCCCCGCCGAACTCATGTACGTCTGCTACGGCGCGGTCCAATTCGCCGCCTACCGCACAACAACGCAAGCCCTCGCGCACCTCCACCCGCACCGTCTGCCACCCGCCGCCGAATCCTTCGTCGCCGGCGCCGTCGCCGGCGGCCTCGCCACTGCCTCCACCTACCCGTTGGACCTGCTGCGCACGCGCTTCGCCGCGCAGGGCTCCGAGCGTGTCTACACCTCGCTGCTGGCGTCTGTGCGGCTGATTGCACGCACCGAGGGCGCCGCCGGCTTTTTCCGCGGCTGCTCCGCCGCCGTCGGCCAGATCGTCCCGTTCATGGGTTTGTTCTTCGCGACGTATGAGACGCTGCGGCCCGCGATCGTCCAGTATGAGGGTCTGCCGCTGGGGACGGGGGATGCCGCGGCGGGTGTGATCGCCAGTGTCTTTGCGAAGACGGGAGTTTTCCCGCTCGACCTGGTGCGGAAGCGGTTGCAGGTCCAGGGCCCCACGCGTACGATGTATGTGCATCGCAATATCCCCGAATATGGCGGCGTTTTCAACTCCATCGCCTTGATCCTGCGGACCCAGGGCTTCCGCGGTCTCTACCAAGGTCTGACGGTGAGTCTTCTCAAGGCAGCACCGGCCAGCGCAATCACGATGTGGACCTATGAGAGATCGCTCAAGCTACTGCAAGAGATGGATGTTGCGCCAGGTGATGCGACATGATGAGATGCGACGGACACCGAGCCACCTGTACCATTACAACCTGTATAATAATTTCGGGATAACGAAATGCCTGTTTACCCACGAGAGAAACATAGACGCAAAGAACGGATATATCCGATATTTTAATACTTCACATTATCCGCCTACTTTTTTTTTGTTTTTTGTTTTTTGTGAGAAGGAGAAGAGCTCAAGAAAAGGCTAGGGAAACATGAACTATAGGGGGTTGTCGCGGGCGAAAAGATGGAATACAGCGACGCTCAACAGGACAGAGAAAAGAACAATCATAAAGCAGATCCGCCAAGCAAGAGCGAGCGGTTTTCTAGGAGGAAAAAACACCTAGTACTCGGCTCCTTCTTCCTCAGCCTCAATGCTATCGTTGGCGACCTCCTCGTAGTCCTTCTCCAGGGCAGCGAGATCCTCACGAGCCTCGGAGAACTCGCCTTCCTCCATACCTTCACCCACATACCAGTGCACAAACGCACGCTTCGAGTACATGAGGTCGAACTTGTGGTCAAGACGGCCCCAGGCCTCCGCAATCGACGTGGTGTTGGATAGCATGCTGACGGAGCGGTCAACTGGGGCAAGCTCGCTGCCAGGAACGCGAACTGGTTTCTGGTAGTTGATACCCAGCTTGAAGCCGGTGGGACACCATTCGACCAGGTTGAATGAGGCCTTGGCTTTGAGAGCGGCGACGGCCTGGGTGCAGTCGCGGGGCACAACATCACCACGATACAGAAGCGCGACAGCCATGTACTTGCCGTTACGAGGATCGCAGACGACCATCTGGTTGTTGGGTTCAAAGCCTGATATTTGTCAGTTGTGGACGTATCTTCCAGTGGAACTGAGGAATAGGCTAGGATGCACATACACTGGAAAGTGAGGTCCTGCACTCGGAAGCTCTCGTGGGAGCTGCGGTTGCTGGAGACAACGGGCGCGTACGAGATCAGCGGATAGTGGATACGAGGGAAAGGCACCAGATTGGTTTGGAACTCGGTCAAGTCGACATTAAGCGCACCATCGAAGCGAAGACTGGAAGTGATGGAGCTGACGACCTGGGCAATGAGACGGTTCAGGTGCTCGTAGTCGGGGCGGGGAATATCCAGGTTGCGGCGGCAAATGTCATAGACAGCTTCATTGTCGACCAGGAACGTACAATCCGAGTTCTCGATGGTGCTGTGTGTGGCCAGGACGGCGTTGTAGGGCTCGACCACGGCGGTCGACACGCAGGGCGAGGGATAGATGGCGAACTCCAGCTTGGATTTCTTGCCATACTCAGCCGAGAGTCGCTCGAGAAGTAGGGCACCAAAACCAGAGCCAGTACCACCACCAAACGAGTGGAAGATCAAGAAACCCTGCAGGGAAGAGCAGTTGTCTATGCGACATTAGCCGGGGCTGACTTTGGCGAGCAGCTTTCGGTCGCCGGAACCTACCTGCAACGCGACGAACACGATCAACGACTTCATCCACAAGTTCCTTGCCGACAGTATAGTGGCCACGCGCATCTGCTCTCCGTTAGACGACTGTCCTTGGTGCATATCACATCTCGAACATACAGTTGTTGGCCGCATCTTCCTTTCCGCTAATCAAAAGCTCGGGGTGGAAGAGCTGGCGGTAATTTCCAGTGCGGATCTCATCGATGGGCTGCAACAAATCAGTCTGGTGTACCGTTTGCCTTGTGTTACTATTCGGTCATAGCGTACCGAAGGGTCCAGATCGACAAAGAGGGAACGAGGGACATATTTGCCGCCGCTGGTCTCGGTGAAGAAGGTTTCGAATGAACCCCCTTGATTACGTTCTTCGGCTACCTCAGCATCAAGACGACCGTCCGCCTTGAGACCATGCTCGAGTAGGTACCTAGACGGAGGACGAGATCTCAATCCTGTACCAGCAGAACCAAAAGCGGTGAGCGACTTACAGCTCCCAGGCACTGTTACCAAGCTGGGTACCAGCCTGGCCGATGTGGATATGGCAAACCTAGATGCCAGCAGTAGACTGTTAGCATTTCTGGATGACTTGGCTAGATAGATAGAGAGGCATCTGTGGATGAGGAAACTGGAAGATGCCATTGGATCAGGCCATGCCCAACTGCTATAGTTCGGGAGAGGGACGTGCGGGGAGAAGCAAGTAGATAAACCAGAGGGGGGGGGATGTTGGAGCGTTTCGCACCTCGCCTCTCATGGTGGACGTTCAAACCCGATGCTCTCGGAAGGTGAAGGGCCAAATATTGGATGCAAAAAAGAAGAGGAACAGACGATAGGGAGAGAGGATGAGCTGATGAGGACGAGCAACAGACAGGCGAAGGAGCGGCAGTTTGGAAGGCGGTCAGCGGCTGATGGTTCGTTCCTTCCTGATGCAGATGTGGAGACTGTCAACAATCAACATCGCCCAGCCTGCCAATCAGGGTCTATATGTTCTTTCCGTTTTCCTCCTTCAAGTTTTGTTTCTGAGGAAGACAAACAATAGTAGAGGGAAAGACATGAGATCCTGGTAGATGGATGGCCTATATGGGGGTAGAATGTCTGGATCTGATTAATTGATACCTCACCACGTGCAGGTTTCCCATGGAATGCGGAGATCCCGATGGGCAGTTACGATAATTTGATAGCTCTCTAGACTAGACCACGATGCGCAGGTTGAGGCATTCTGGAGTTGATTGATAGTTAGTACTTTCAGTTTGAGCACAGACCAGAGTATAAAACCTCTAGAAGTCAATGCTGCTCAGCCCTGTCAATGAAGTCCGGGATATAATCTTTTATCCCTGCCCTCTGTGCCCCACGGAGTAAGATACAGACTACATACTCTAGTCAGAACCGACTTCCTCTGGAGAGAAGCACGTGCCTCAGTTGTCGGTGTTTATTTCTGGTGTATTGCATTTGTATGCTGATTATTTACACAAAGCATAGGCTGAAGGCTCACAAGCCTTGAATCAAATATAAGGTAGTTAGAAGCCAACTATTATTATTCCTACCGCTGGCCTACAGCCTACAGGTGAACGTTGAGATCCTTTGGACAAAGCGGGTCCAGCCACGTCAACAATAGTACGGACTGTGGAGTAATAATAATACGTAGAGGTAACAGGTAGTAGTTAGGTTGAAATGATGTCAAAGGCCTCAATATAGTACAGATTGGACACAATCATTTGCTGAGGTATTGCTTGTTTTTTTTTTTTGAATCCCTCTTTGAGTCCGTTCTCCGTAGTCTTGAAGTTGTCGTGTACCGCAGCAATCTTCAAACTTGAATCAGTGAGGAGAATTATGCACATATTACTGTTGTACAACCATGAAAATAAGTCTGGTACCTTTTGTGTCTTTTTAGACATTGGTTCTAGGCCAAGGAGTAAACTGAGGTTCTAGTTCATCTTCTCGACCCTTTGGCTAGAGTGCAACTGAACCAAATTATCACAGCAAGGATCCCAAGGAACAGGAACTCCCAGGAAGTACATACAGGGAGAGTGTCTTAAATAAGGGCCCGGCAGTGCGTAGAGTGGCGTCAATGGCGTTGCTTGGCGGTCGCCACTCTGATTCCGCTGCTCCATTTCTACCATTTCTATGCAATCAGCTCGGTGCCCTTTGAAACTGACCAAGAACACTCATTTTATATCAAGGTCGGTCTCTAATAGAAGGTGCTATCAAAGGACTTCTTCTTCGCAATCGATATCTAGTTTTGTTCCAATGTACATACCCCATGAGTGGCCCCCTTAGTGGCTCAAGATCACACTCCGATATCCAATAACCGATATCCGATTCCGATATAGATTACTATCTAGTATCTAGTATCTACTGCTATCTAGTGTCGCCTCTGAGAGTTAGACTTAGTGGTACTCCAAGTCCACACCCAGTGGATCGTCCAGAAGATCCTTCACTTATTAGATAGTCTTTAATATATTTAATGTCCATGCGGAAAGCAGTCAATCCATCTACGTACTCCATTTATTCATTCATTTCCTGCGTCTGTCGGACAAGTCTGGACACAAAATCTCTGACTTCCTTCCCCCCCCGGTGCGATCGGCGTCTTCTCTTCATTATTGTATCTCTTCTTCCTCGTCTCTTTCATCTCTGCTTTCACGACTCTCCCTCTCTCTCTTCTCCAAACATTTGCAACACTTTTTCTGTCTTTCTCTCTCTTTGTAGGCGTTGCATTGTGATCTCTTATCTATCCCCCCCCCCCCGAATCAATATCATTAGATACCTCGCACATGCATACACCTTGCTTCGCCTAATCAAGTATTGTCCGTCGCTCTAAGATTTGATTCTCCACTGCTCTTGGTACGTTTTGTCTTGGTTTCTCCCCATCAGGAACTATTCTTATACCTCTCTCTTTCTCTCTCTCTCCCCTTTTCTACCTCGTTCCTCTTGGCCTCCCACGTTTTTTCCCTCAAGAAACGTTGTCATTCCTTTCTTCCACTCGTCCTTCTTTACTCGGATATCAACTGTCTTCAGTCTACTCATAATTCTCCGATTTCCCGGACAGAAGTACCCCCATAGTTCCCCATACATAATTCTAACCCTCCCCAGACGTATTATATTCCCCATCTGGCCTGGCGCCAGTATGTCCACCCCGGTCGAGGAGCAACCTGCTCCCAAATATTCCGACGAGAAAAGAAAAGAAAAATCCCACGATGCCTCCCCAGACTCCGACGATGGCACGTATATCTATGATGGCGCCGCGGACCCCGACGGTAACCGTCTCAGGGTCGATACGACCTACCATGAACCCCACAGAGCATCTGTAAATACACCCTCGGCTGCGCGGGAACAAGCCATGCGTCTCGAAGACGACCTGGCTCTACTCGAGGCGGAGCGGGTAGCTTCCCGCTCAACCCATGACGATACCGAAAAGGGAAGCAAGCCAGAATCCATCTCTGGATCACGTTCGCACCGCTCTCAGAATGTTGATGAGTTCGACGAAGCCACGAATCCGTTGCACGAGAAAGCCGCCGTCTATAATCCGCCGGCGAACCCCAACACCAAAGTCGCCAAATTCATCAAGAAGCTACATGAATCGAGCTTCGTCGTCCGTTATATCACTTACATTGTCCCGCTTGTCCTCATTCTTCTCATCCCCTTACTTGTCGGAGCGTTGGCCTTTCCGAAAGCGAACGTGGGAGGTGTCACGCTGCTCTGGTTCTCAGTCTGGCTGGAGATTGTCTGGCTGACCCTTTGGGCTGGTAGAGTATGCTATTCGAAAACCTTGGCCCCAAATTTTCTCTTCTAACAGGTTGTGTCTAACTGGGCTGCAGATCGCGGCTAAATTCATTCCCATTCCCGTGGCATTATTGGCCAGCATCTTCACCAACAATGCAAAGAAATGGCGCGACTTAGCCAAGCAGCTGGAGCTGCACGCGACCCTGTTCCTCTGGTGGTTGGGGGTGGAAATCTCGTTCCTGCCCACCATGAAAAATCATCACATCGATGGGGACCAGAGGACACGCAGCTGGGAAAACACCGTCAACAAGATCATCATCTCCATCTTCGTCTGGACCGTCCTGAACCTCATCGAAAAGATCATCATCCAGTTGATTGCGATCAGCTTCCACCTGCGTACCTATGCCGACCGGATTGAGATCAACAAATTCCAGATTGGCAGTCTCACCAAATTGTATGACTTTTCGAGGACAAAGATAACCGCCAATGATGACGAGTTTGAAGAGAAGAATGACGGCGGCGGCAACGGTGCCAAGACGCCATTGCACTATTCTCTACAGTATGCCGGAAAGGCACAGCGCATCGCCAAGGGTGCCCTGAACAAAGTCACCGACGTCGCCGTCGCCGTCGCTGCGGATTTTACCGGCCGCAAAGCCACCAGCAGCAGTCACCCCTATTCGGTTGTGCTGACTCTGCTGCGTACGACTTCCGGCTGCCAGGTTCTGGCCCGGCGGTTGTACCGGACTTTTGTGCGGGATGGGTTCGAAACGGTTTTCTCCGGTGACCTCAAGGAGGCCTTTGATAACAATGACGAGGCCGACGCGGCCTTTACCATGTTCGACAAGGATATGAATGGCGACATCTCAATGGAGGAATTGGAGGCAGTCTGCGTGGAGATTGGACGGGAACGCAAATCGATCACGGCCTCGTTGAAGGATCTAGACTCGGTCGTGTCACGACTTGACAATGTCCTCGAATTTTTCGTAATTGTCATTGCCCTGATCGTCTTTCTGTCTCTGATCTCCACATCGACTGCCGGCGTTCTCACCTCGGCAGGCTCCAGTGTCCTGGCTTTGTCCTGGCTGTTCTCCGCCACCGCGCAGGAGTTCCTCCAGTCGGTCGTTTTCGTGTTTGTGAAGCACCCGTTCGACGTGGGAGACCGTGTCACAATCTACGGCAATGCAGGTGATGCCGGTCTTGGTGACGATTACTTCGTCAAGCAGATCTCCCTCCTGTATACCGAGTTCAAGAAGATGCAGGGTCACGTTGTCCAAGCACCCAACAGTTACCTCAACGGCCTCTTCATTCTGAACCAGCGTCGTTCCGGCGCTCTCGCCGAAGCCGTCCCCATCGTGATCAAATACGGCACCACGCTCGAACAGATCGACGCCCTGCGCCAACGGCTGCTGGAGTTCGTCCGCAGCGAGAAGCGCGAGTTCCAGACCAACATCCTGACGGAGATGCGCCAGGTGACGGAAAACTTCTCCGTGACGCTCAACGTCGTCTTCTTCTACAAGTCCAACTGGCAGAATGAAGGCCTGCGTCTGCAACGCCGCAACAAGTTCATCTGCATGCTCATGATCGCCCTGCAGGAGATCGGCATCGAGGGACCACGCATGAACCTCCAGGGCGCCAGCGTCGACTTCCCCGTCCATGTGCGCTACAACCCAAACAACCAGCAATTCGTGCCTCCGGGCACCAGCGACGGCCGACCCCCCGCCACCTCCCTCAGCGAGAAAGAGTACCCGGACCACCCAGCCGCCGGCATGACCATGCGTCACCCCTCCATTCTCCGCAAAGGCATGAACACCGCCGCTGCGCGCGCCCGCGGCGACTCCGTCTCACGCAAACACGTTGACTTCTCTCTCGGCATGCGCGACGTCTCCGCTATGGACGTGATGGGCGACGTCTTCGAAGACCGCGGTCGGCACATCGACGAGATCGTCCGCCTGACCAACCGCGAGAACGCTGAGCGCCGCATCCTCGAAGAGAAAGAGGAAGAGGAAGAAGAGGAGGCCGAGCGCAGGAGCCGCGCCTCCTCCTCCAAGGCCCGCACCTCCGCCACCAGCCTCGGCGTCCCCCGCGCCTCCGCCGAAGGCCGCCGCTCCACCGACTCCCACGGCACACACAGCATCTCGTCGTCCCTGGGCCGCAACCGCTTCTTCCGCCACCGCGCCAGCTTCGCCAGCCACGAACAGGAGGACATGATGGAGCAGGGCCGGTCTGACATCGGCCCGGCGCTGTCGCAGATCCGCACCGTCTCCCCTTCCGCCCACTCGACGGACGCCCGGAGCATCAACCGCGACATCCGTCATTAAAATGGCTTTTCTTTTTTCATTTCTTGAATATACTATCCCATGTGATATTACAAACTCTTCTTCCCATCAATCTTACCCTTACATACACCCCTCCCTTCTCTGGCGTACACATATGTACCTTCTCCCATCTCGACACAGACATACACATACACATACACATACATATGTCCATACCATACCCGCATCTCTGCCCTTGTCTATCCTTCATAATATGACTTCCTTCAATGCAACAGCGGACTCAATGATATCCACATGTGCGATGCGTTTATTGACATCGACGAAAACGAGCCAGGTATTCTGTCGAGCTAGTTAGTGGCCTGGGCCTGGCTGGATACGGCCTTGGATGTCGGATTCATCCTGCTTTTTCTTCTTTTTCTTTTTATTTTTTCTTTCTTTACTATGATATCATTAGAACGATATATATATATATATATGCCACACTGCACTATACAATACAATACAGATATACGATCATTATCTCCCCAGACCCCACTTACCTACTCTACCTTAATACTCAAGCCTACAATTGTATGAAATATAAATATCCAATCAGTAGGAAAAGAAGGGATGACAGACAAGTCATTCTATGACTCGACTCAAAATCGAATTCCTCTTTCCTGGCCCCAAAAGCTTTTTTTTGTGTTTTTGAAACCCGCCTTGGGGAACAATCCTAAATACACAATTTGGAAGAATGAAGAGAAGAGAAGGGAGAAAAGAAAGGAGAATCGTACAAAAGAGATGCTGAGATCGTAGGTGATGCGAGTGGTGTGACGAAGACATAATGGCGGACCAGACGTTGTAGAATCCAAAGTAGAGGGAATGAAACGAAACACAACAAGTCAATTTATGACAAGAACAAGACAAGCTTGTTTGACTAAGAAACCCCCGAACACCCGCTGAGCCTAAAACAGAACAAAACTGAAGAGAGAAATGGAAATGGGAATGGTGAGTGGGAAGGGTGGGGTTGAACAACCGGAGAGAAGAGGGGAAAACAAAGTAATTTGACAGGTGTAAATGCATATTGAAACAAGTCTTTGGAATAAAATGCAAGAAGAGTAAGATATCGAGAAAGAAAGGAAAAAAAAGAGCTTGAATCAGGGCGCAATCTGTGAGCAGTGTGCCCAATGCCTCGGCACATAGCAAATTCTCTGTCTGGTCCAGTCTAGATAGGACGGGCCAGTTGGTCTATCGCTCGAATGGCCTCGGCGTATGATCAAAGTCCCATCTCGGAGACGGCGTGTGGAGAGGTCGAGGCGTGGTTTCGGAATCAGCAGTCGGATCGCTGTCAGGATCAAGGCTGATGGTGTCTTTGGCTGGTTTGTTCAAGGGCGTGTGTGGGTTGGTGACGGAAGCACTTGACTCATCGTCTTGGGTGAGGACAATAGGAGGTGTATTCTGGCCTTTCTTTAGAGTTTCCGTACTGGCGTCCAGCGCAGAAGAGGTGTTCTCAGGCCCGGTGTAGATCTCAGTCACGCCCGTGTCGTGTTGCGAACAGGATGGTCTTTTCTGACGAAGAGGCATGGCGGTGGTTGCGCCCAGCTCAACCTCGTGAGACAGCGGCGAAGACGCCGGGCTAAGTTCTTCCTCCGTCCGCTCCGCGATGGTATCCTCGGTGATTGCGAGCCTCTCGAAGCGATCTTGCATCGCTCGGCTAGGAGATGATGACATCGGATCATCACCGCTTTCAATGGCATTTTCCGACTCAGCGTTCCGGCTTCGTTCCATCGCCTCGCGTTCCTTCTTGAGCAATTCCTCGCTGCCGCTGACGACGCTGCCCCGGCTATTCGTCCTCATCATCTCGATTCCCAACTTGGAGACGGGGCGGTGAGATCGGGACCGTGAACTGGGCGTTCGCACATGAGCGTGGCCAAGCTCCTCGTCTTCGTCATCGCCAGACTCCGCGCACTCATACCGCTTCTTTTCCATCGACTGTCTCTTCGCCTTAATGGACTCGCTCGATCGTTGCTTGCGAGGCGTCACATTACTGGAAGGGTCTATAGCAGCGGGAGCTGAGACAGCGTGAATCAGATGTGGAACTGGCGTCGGACTAGATGCAGTAGAAGTAGCCTCCGTACTGGGATTTTCTTTCGGCATAGACTCGTCTGAAATGCCGAGGCCACCCTGTTGACCGCTCATCCATTCATCATTCTGACGGCTTACAACGATAGGAGCATCGTCGGCTTTGATGGAATCCACATCGCCAAAATAACTACTGCCGATGGAATCCGCCCGACTAGAGCCCTGATACGAGCTCGAGGGAACCACTGCGAAACCGGAGGACGTTGTGGAACTTGGGCTGTGCTCCGCGTTGGTTACAAGAGCAGTATGTCGAAGCGCGGATGGCTGGCCAGCGAGCGGTTGCGAGGGGCTATAGTCCTTTGGTGGCGGCTTCCACTGACAGAATTTACACAACGCCTCGGTCAGCTTCGTCAAGGTCGGCGGTTTCTCAATCAGGCCATCGAAGTGATGAGTCTCGGGGAAGTCCTGTAGATAGCCAGTAACCGCGACAATTGGAGTATGTCGGTTGGCGCTACGGGTCTCCCGTACCATACGCGCGATATCTGCTCCGTTCACCTGAGGCAGCTTAAACTCCGTCATAATGATATCAAACTGGACTTCACTAAGGGCATAGCGCATTGCCTCGGCACCATTTACGGCTGTGATTGTACGGCACCGTAGCTTCTCGAACAAGCGCTCCATCACCATCCTCGAGACAGGATGATCTTCACAGATAAGCACGTCCAATGGCCGGAAGAATGGGCCATCAAGAACACTGATCTGTGAAAGACGCCGTGAACTGTGCCGACGGCGTTGGACCTTGAGCAGCGCTTTGGTGCGTGGGTCCTCATTGTCCGACGAGGAGGGCGAGATATCGAACAGCTGGCTGCGACGCTTGTAGTGGCCGGCAACATATGATTCCTTGGCGAGCGAGGACGACAATTCGCCATCTTGAGAGCCTATCGTCTGCGATCGTGTTCGCGTCGTAGGAACACTGCCATGTCTTTGGCCAGATGGTGTTTTGTCTGGTGAATGGGTTCCGGCTCGGCTAGTCTTGATGGGCGAAGATGCACTGGAGCCTCGTTTAATGCTTGCCATACGACTCTGATCCCCACCTCCAGCAGCGAAGGACCCGCTGGATGGGAGAGAGTTGGTTGTGGAGGAAGAACCGGAGGTCTTTCTGCGCTCATGGTTGTTGCCGGTGCTGAACTGCACCAGCAGAGGCGATGAAGGCTGGGAAGGACGGCTTGGGGACGAGTTCGCCTGACTCAGACCTGAAGGCGAAGATGGTCGGTTATTCCCCTTGTTCTGTGATAGCGTCCGCTGCAACGGCATCGGCAAAGGGCTGCCCTCGAGGGAGGGGCCGGATGACGGCGGCGGCGGCGGCGGCGTAGGTCCCTGAGGTTGCGTGTTTGGCTGAGAGGCCGTAGCTGCGTATTGGCGCTGTTGAGCCTGCATTGCCTCTTGACGTAGCTTCTGAATGACATCTTTGTTGGCCTTCTCGAGCATCGGAAGATTCTTAAAGGAAAAACTGCCAAAATCGTCTGCCGGGGTTGGTTCGCTCAGTCTTCTACTCCGTGAGTCACGGACATGGGGTGGAATGTGGAGAGGCATCAAAGGTCGCTTCATTGAGTTCACCTGTGAGCGCACCTTGAACAGTGCGTCATGCGGGCGATCCGCTGTGGTGGCGGGTTGTGATGATGGCCCTTCCTCCAATTCCTCAGCGAAAGGTTGGAGGGTAGCACCGCGGGCATCGAAATACTCAGTATCCTCAGGGTTTTCAAGATTGGGGACAAACTGCGCTTGATCCTCCAGCAAGGTTTCCCAGTTGATATCCGAGAACCAAGGATGGCTGCGAATCTCAGTTCCTCCGTTTGGATATTTCTCTTCGACATTGGCCCCAATGCGCTCCCGTGGATCCATCGTCATGAGTTTGTTCATGAGATCGATGGCTTCGTGGGACGCCAATTCTTCCGCTTCCTCCGGCCAGTTGATTCGACGATGGAGGATGTTGTCGAATACTTCATCGGGCGTCGAGGCGTTGAAAGGAGGATAGCCAAAGAGAAACTCAAACATGATGCAGCCAAGGGACCACCAGTCGCCCATCTCATCCTGGCCCAGTCCATTGATCGTTTCCGGTGCTAGATAGTCTGGTGTTCCAACGAAGCGCCGGTTGTGATCATCTGGATCGAACAGGGCCATCAGAGGTGGCATCATGGACTGTTGTGGCGGAGTCCCATACGGGGCCGAGTTGCTTAATGTCGGTTGAAGCGGAAACAAGCGAGGAGACTCCCCTATCTCACTGTGGTAGTCCTCTTCGGGCAGACGGCTCGGGACAGGCACCGGAACAGGCAAGGAGGACGGTGGTAAAAAATTCGATGTCTCGTGGGGCTCAGAAAGGGAAAAATTGCGAAATATCGCGTTCAGGTTCTCACTGCCACCACTGTCACTGCGATAACCCGACGCCCGGCGCGAGGTTTGCCGACTAAGCCCGCTCTGGTTGAGACTAAAATACGATGGCTGATTCAAGCTTCCGGCAAGGTCCGGGGTAATCTGCGGTGTTGATCCTGGGGACCCGGGGGCCTGAAAATCAAACGACGCTGATCGGGAAGACGCAATCGACGTTGCACGAGGGAAGGGCCCCTGCTTGAGAAGGTCCGGGGCCGGCTCGTTCATACTTTTGAGGACGCGCTTCTGACGTCCCACGAGCCCCATACGGGACAAACCGAAGTCGGTCAGCTTGAGATGTCCCTTCTGGTCAATAAGCAAATTGTCCGGCTTCAAGTCACGGTGAACAATGCCTCTACCATGAAGGTGTTCCACCCCGAGAACTACCTCAGCTATGTACTTCTTGGCCCAGTCTTCCGGGAGCCCGCCCAGGATCTTGACGAGCGATGCGCAGTCGCCCCCATTCAAGTATTCCATCACCAGATAGAGATAGTCCTTGCTCGAAAATGTCCAATAAAGCTTGGCGACGAAATCGCTCTCGCCCTGCCACATCATGATCGCGCGCTCAGCCTTGACGTTGGTGACCTGATTCTTGGCGACCATATCCGCTTTCTTGAGCACCTTGATGGCGAAATACTCCCCTGTTGTCTTCTTCTTGGATAGGTACACACTTCCAAATGCCCCTTTGCTGATCGGCTTGATGATCTCGAAATCTTTGATTGAGGGAGGCGCTGGACGGGGTTGGGGCTGGCTGGCGGACGTCAGGTGAGGCGAAACGGGCGGTTTTGTCACGTCGGACGAAGTCGCAGAGGACTGACGTCGATGATGGCGGTAGTGATAATGTGCTAGTTCGCTGGCGTGGGTGGAGGGCGAGACGATGGGAGAGGGAAGGCTCTCGGCGCCGCTGGACATTCGGGGTTTTGGCATGCGCAACGGAGAGTGGGGGTTAGACATTCTGGCGGGAGAGTGCTGGCGCCGAGGAGAACTAGAAAGCCCTGGGAGCACCAGGCTCCTGCGTTTTCTGTCCATACTCCGATCCGAGCATGGGGATTCGGTTCGTACGGCTCCTGGGAAGGCAGACGAGAGGACACTGCTATCGCTCATCTCGCCCGCATCGAGGTCTACCATAGATAGTCCCCGACGCGAAGGTTGAGACGTGCCCAACAAGCCGGCGGCACTCTTATGCGAGCGGGGGGTGGGACATTCCATGGGGCTGTTGGATCCTGTGGAGACGGCAACCGATGAGGACCTTCCTTCAGGATGAGGAAGTGGAAAACGTTCCGATGCGTTGCGCATGGACATAGTCAGCGCAGACATAGGCTGACTCGACCGATGTGTCGAGGCTTGCGATGACGCTGGAGAAGCCAGTGGAACTGTCGCAGGGTCGGTGATTGCAGGAACCGCGGTAATGTCTTCCAGTGGAAGTTCATCTTCCGAGGAGCACGAAGAATCGCTCAGCTGACCAGCGGCAATACGTTCCGCTTTGCTGAGTGCGGCCGTTATACAATCCTCCACCATCACGGTGTACTCAATCCGAATCCGTTCTGCGTATTCGACGATCTTGCGATGGCGTATAACGGCGTCCACTTTTGCTTTGGAGACCTGCTCCGTATCAGCGCTCAAGGCAGCCAGGCCTTGCTCCTGTTCCAGGGTATTGGAACTTGGAGAATGCCACTGTAGCACCTGGCACATTCGCGATTCGGACTGGGGTGAAAGCGTACGGAAGTCGTCCGTGCTGTCACCCCGGGGTTCCTTGATCACGGGCATGTTGATTTCCAGCGCCGTATCACACAAGTCAAGGATCAATTCGACGATCCGGGTTAACGGCCGCCTGACGGCAAACGATCGACCGCGTGAATGATGTCCACCGTCTGAGACTGATTGATCGCGGGACCTGGGGGGAGTGCCTGGGGCCGAGCTCGAACTCGACACGTTTCCGGAGGAGGGCGCTGAAACAGTCGGTGACGGACCAATTGGGAGGCCTTTATACTCTGGCTGAGCTGGTAACGATGCACCCTCGCCCGCTAAAGGCCTGCTTTGTCGAGCTTCAAGCGCATCGAGGACCTTGACAATGGCGTGCCGGTGCTCGTTGAGATTCTCCTGGGCGATCTGCACGTCCATTTCTGCTCTGTGCTCCTGAAGACAGAGATCGGAGTGTTTCTCGAACCACCAGGGTGTGATCTGACGCTCACAGATACGGCATAGGATCGGAGTGGGAGCAGGATATTTCGAGGGATCGGGTTCGTTCGCAGCCGCTTCAGCCAAGATCGTCAAGTAATTCGCCAACACTTCCGCTCCGACACCTAGAGATTCCACCAGCAGAGGAGGCAGATCAATAGTAACTTCCCGCGGTTGACTGAACGGCCGTAGCATCCACATAGTCTGGCCGGGAAAACAAACACAAGTCAGCTTTCTGATTCGACGGGAGTCAACAGGGTAAATCATAAAGAAAGAACCTACATGACCGGCTCCATTAGGTGTGCGTTCAAACACCATGATTCCCTGTCCTTCCATATTCAAGATGTCATGATTGTTCTCGATACCCTCCGGCAGTTGGTCCTCCTCGCTACCGTCGCTTGTTTCCGCTTCCAAGGGCCGAGATTCTGGCGAGTATCTCAGAATTGATTCGGGCCCCATCCGTACCGCGAAGCGAATAAAGCGACTGCGCGAATCATCCTCCTTCATGGACTGGATGGCGTCGTGGAAGGCATTCGCGTTGTCGACCAGGAAATCCGAAATCAATCGACCCTCTAGCGAATCCGGCGATGTGCCCACCACTTGTCTCCAAGACGGACTGACCCATTTAATACGGCCATCGAGATCCAAATCCACGATAACGTTCAACGTCTGCTCCGCCGCCTCCTTCAACTCCTCGCGCTCCTCCCGCATATCGTCACTCAAGGAACGAGCCATGGATGGGAATTTGGGATCGATCCCCCGGGCCTCCTGCCTCAAAGCCGTCACCGCTGGGGGGGCCAGGAATTGGGCATTGGGTGTGCCATTGCCCGCCATGTTGGACGGATTTCACCCAACTAGAAGCGGCAATGATAACCGTGTGGTGGGTAAAGCTACCCAGGCGAGAATCGAGCAAGCCAAAAGAACCGTTGAATCAACACTGAGCCGAGCAGAGCTTCTGCCGGGCAGAGCCGGTGCCCTTTTGGGTGTGGTGTTATGGATTCATCCGCAGGATCAACGGGCCATGACTTGGGTGGCGGGGGAGGGGGGTTGGAAGAGATAGACGACAAAAAGGCGAGGGAATGACCTCACAAACGGATGAGGCACTCCTCAGACGGGTGTTGGGAAAGATATCACTAAATGCGAAGGATGATTGTGTTTTATAATTTGAAATAGTCTTTGTTTCCCAAAGGTAAAAAAAAAAAAAAAAAAAAAAAAAAAATTAATGGTGGTTGGCAGAGGAATGAGCTTGGACAGACGAGAGAGAAGCGGCTATGCGGGGAATGGCGCGACGGGAGAGAGAGAGAAAGTGGTGGACGCGAAGCTAAGGTGATCGACGGAGAGCCAACTGTCAGTCAGAAGAGAGACAGAATGGCTCGAAGGGAGGATCAGTCTGTGGGGTCTAAATAGACGGAAGCAATAATAGAGGAGAAGAATTGGAGGAAGACCTGGATTCTATTTTCGAGGGAAAAGAAGAGGAGGAGGGGAGGGTGGAGGAAGAAGAAGAAGGAAGTTTGTTGAGGTTGAATGAAGGTGATTGATTAAGAACAGAGAGAGAGAGAGAGAGAGAGAGAGAGAGAGACGAAACACGACGAAACAACCCCCGACTGTAGGCAGCAGAAGGCATAAAGCAGCGGCACTACTACTACTAATAATAATGACAGTGGATTATTATTATGAACCCACCTTTTCTTTTCTGGTCTTATTTTTCCCCTTCTTTCTAGTCTAGTCTCATCTGGTCCAACTACTTAACTATTTAAGTCAAGATGCTTGAACAATGAACAGTCATACATAATTAACGTCAAACTAAGTCTCATCATGATTACAATTGGTGTTGGCGGACCTGGCTGATCATCGAAGCGACAGACAGTCCACCTTGTGAAGCGGATGGCACGACCCAATTTTTTTTTTTTCTTTTCTTTTCTTTTCTCTTTTCAGAAAAAAGAGAGATCTCATGATTTCCTTCTCTACTTTGAATAATAGTAATCTCATTATATCATTATGGAATCCTTCTTAAATGCAAGTCTCATGGATCGGGACATGGTTGATTGCAAAGTGCTTAGTCCTAACTAAAAGCCAAGCATGTTGTTGTTGTTAATTACATCCTAACTCCTATCAGAATGCGAGTAAAAACCAATCCTCCAAGCATAACATCCTCATTCATTAGTACTAGTCATGGTAAGACTCAGCCTTGACTTTTGAGACTTGAAAAGTCTCTCAAGGGATGCCATTCCGACCACACGACCTACTCCTAGCACTAACTGGACGCCACTTCTTGTCATGCTTCCAAACGGCCAACTCTCTCTCTGACCGTATGCACTTTTAGCTTTGTTATGTAGGAGAAGTAGTACTATAGGTAGTAGTGTCTGCTCGACGCCATGCGTTGTCGTTGTGCACGAATCCCTGTGTGACCGTCTTCGCTCCTCTTGGATCTAGATCTATGTATCTATGTATATTTCTGGACTGAGTTAGCAGTAGTACGGAGTAGGAGTAGGTGGATAGTTATAAACCATCAACCCGTGCATGCAGACGCCTTGTCTCTTCATCCTTCCCTCCTCCCTAGGCTATCTCACAAGTGTCCCCAACAAGTCGGTCCAAATAGTCTGCTTATCATGTCCTGGCTTCATTGTCAAAAGTCCCAAGATGCCGCGCGTTGATTTGATTTGATCGGGCCATCTCCGCAACGTCACTCTTGTCCATTGTCTGTGTTGCGTCCCATGGATTCCCAAACCCTTTCCCCAGAGCACTTGACCTCTTCCATTTTTCTAGGTAATCCAATCCAGGGGTTGTTCAACTTGTTCGAGGACGTTTGCGTTTCGAGACTGGAATGAGACAATGATTCTACCCTTGAGAAGTGAAGTGGGCGTTGGGGGACTGCTTCCGCCTCTCTGAACCTAGCTGGGCTTTTTTTTTTGTTTTCAATCCTGCATACTGAAACAAATCATTCGCCTACGCCTCAATGCAAGGGTTCTTCTTGGGGACAGTTGCTTGAAACACCATGGGAGCTCTTCATGGTAGTCATAGCAATCGGCAATCAAGCAACTAGGAAATATCTCATTGTGTCTTTGTTTTTATATCATCCATAATGTCTATTAGTACATTGTCGAAGATTCGACTACTATACCTACTACTTACTGTACGGTAAGTGGCAAGTGTCGCACAGAGGACAGTTGTGGTGGCCACTGACACGGAGGGCTCGGAGTTCATTCCCACTGGCCTTGGGGCGTTGAACAACACGACACTACTATGCTGCCCTTCTGGCGTTTTCTCAGACAACTAACTAACTAACTAGACTGCCTATGTATGCGGTCTTGAACCAACTGCCTTGATTTTGGGCAAACCCTCTCGCGGACAGTCAGAGTCATGGACCATAGGGTTGGGAGACTCGTATCTTTCTTGACCTTATAAGGATCCTTACCTCTCTCTCTTCTACTGATTTACCTCGAACTACTTAAGATACACCTTCGAGCATCGACAAGACCAGTTGGCGGTTCCTGCGGGGTAACCAAAAGGCGGGGGGGGGAGGCCATCCGATATCTATGAGGTTGGTGATGCATCACTTTGAGATCATTTCTTCAGCTGTAAATAATGAGAGATTTATATCATTTCATCATATCCATAGTATCTCGAAGCATACGATACCAAAGTATTCTATCTTATAGATACTCCATACTACAAGCACATAGTACCAGGTTCAGATAGCTCCCTCATCTATGTAGGTAACCAACTGGTAACATCCATCCATCCATATATTCAGCCATGAAACAATTCAACCGCATACCTACGTAGTTACCTACCACATTCTATCCAATCCCCCCCCTTCTCTCCCTCCCTTCGTATCCATCCTTTTTTCCCTCAAAGCACCCTAGATAACAGCCAAACCCAACACCCCAACCCCATTCGCAGGCCCAGCCGATCCCCATCCCGATCCCGATCCTACTTCCACAAGAAACCAAAACAGGACCATTTTTTACACTCACAACCCTCATCTGCAAAGCACCTAGCACCTAGCACCTAGCACCCTCACTATACAAGGATCCTCCAAGGGAAAGGAGGCCGGGGGGGGGGTATACGTAGCCCCATCCAAACCTCCTCCTTCTTACTAGTTACTACAGTAGTAGTCTACTCCACAGAGCATCATGAAGTAGTTAGAGAGCAGTCCAAGTCCAAACAACCCAACCCACTCCCACTCCCACTCGCTCGAGATAACGAAGATAGACAGACCAAAGAAACTGACTGAAGATCATCACAGTCCATCCGCATTAGCATTCGGCACCCCTTGCACACAATCTACTCACTCATATGTTTGTATGTCGACAGGATGCACCGCAATGCTAATCTACCCACCAGAAAGGACCGGCGTCCCATGTATGCGAGGATGGATGTCTCTGTCCAACTGCACTCCGCCAATATCGACGTCGATGGCGACATCATAGCAAGGTCATTGCCGATCAACGGTTCTCATCCCGCTCTCTCATTTGCTTTCGCCGCCGCTTTGCAAACATCATCTTGAATTGAACCGTTCGGAGCTGAAGACACCCCTCCTGCGACTCCAAAGTACTAGGTAGGTAGGTAGGTGATCCACTCCCTCCGTCGGGACTGGATGTAGAGGAGCCCGCAAATCAGGAGACGCGTTGGCTGATGGCGACGACAGGAACGGCAGCATGCATCTCTGTGAGTTCCTAGATTTTCTCCCCAGGATAAGCTGACCTGCTCTGAGAGGACAATGCAGGCAAAGAGCTGGATTCTCGCTGCATGCGCAATGGCTTAGTCGGGTTCCGCATGAATCTCGGCTACAGATTTACTCAACCTTACTTGATGCCCTGTACGACAGCGGTTTGGATGAACTCTCAACTCCCCTGCTTGATCTAACTTGATATGGCATCCTATCTCTGTGGTATATGTCTATCGCCCAAAACAGGCTCAATCGCGGTGAAGAAAAAAAAAGAGAGAAAAAAAGGCCACCGGAGTTAGAATACAAGATTCTGCTAGAACCCCTAAATATATATGTCCTGAGTATTTCTCTCAACATCATACTTGATAGTAATCTGAGAATCAAAGAGCGCGGCGCAATCTGTCATTCACCTGTGTCACTAAGAGAAGAAGATGCAATGTCGGCGGCGATCTTCTCTGCAAGCATATCTTCAAATTGATTAGTCCATATCAACAGAAGAGAGGGTCAACCGCCCACTTACAGACAGTAGACTGGGGATGCCCAGGCACCAGAATCGGAAATGCACTGGCATCGACCACTCTTAATCCCTTCACGCCAAAGACCCTCGCTCGGCTATCAAGAACGGCCATGGGATCATCCCGCGTCCCCATCTTGCATGTGCACGCGGCGTGATATATAGTCATGACAGTATTCTGAATTACTTCGAGGATCTCCACATCGGTTTCATACTGGCTGCCCGGGAAGTATTCCGTGCCAACCACGATTGGCGCCATGGCCGCGCTTTGGAACATGGCGCGAATGCGTCTATACGCCGCAATTGCAACTTGTTGATCTGTTTCTGTAGATAGCCAGTTTGGATTGATCACAGGTAGATCTGAGGTGTCCGCGGAAATGATTGTCACATTTCCGCGAGACGTTGGCGCAACAAGCGTGCCAAGGATCGTCGCATACTGCTTGCCATCTGAAGGCTGCGACAGGAGAGGTTTCGAGAAGTCTCCCACGTATGCAGCGGCTGAAAGGTACTATGCAGATGTTGGGTCAGCCATGCCTCAACGACAAAACGAAGAAGGAAGCCGACCTCGATTTCCGGCCAGTCGTCTGGGAACCAGGATAGATCGCTAACTGTAGACTCTGAGAAGTTGGCTCGAATTTGATTGGAAAGTTTCTCAAAAGCGATATAGTCGATGATTGGGTTTGTGAGCACTCCACTGTGGGCAGATACCCATTGAAGCAGATGGTTGATGAAGTAAATCAGATCTGTCGCAACTTTTGTATAGGTTTCGACCGCTACCTGATATGTTGGTCCGAAGAAGACATGATCCCACATGTTCTGACCTACACCTGGGGCGTTCCGAATGATATCTATATCAAGTTCTTCCAGAGTATCTGCAGGGCCGATTCCAGACACCATCAAAAGTTGGGGCGAGTGAAAGACACCTGCAGAGATGATAATTTCACGCCTCGCATTCAAAGTAAACGTCTGGAGCAAATCGCTGACCTGAACACCGGTTGCTCGTTTCCGAGAATCAAACAGTATCCTATTTGCCATGGTACCTTTGTAGATCTTCAAAGTTTTCGACAGGGGATTTAGTGAACTGAGAAATGCGGTCTCAGAGCTGCTCCGAGTCTGGTCGGACGGTCGAATAGTGAAACTGCAATACTGAGAGCCAGACAGGTGACCACTGTTGAAGTCATTGGTCTCATTCATACCCACATCCTTCAATCCAAGTTTCATCCAACTGGAGAAGGGCATTGCATAGGCCGGATAGGACACGTGGAGTGGATGGTTCCCTTTCCTATCGAATGCATTGCGATTGTACTGCGCTGTGGCATTCGGGGCACGCAAACCCTCATTCGGTGGGGTGAAATGGGCAGTCTTCTTGAAGTATGGCAAAACATTGTCGAAGGTGTAACTTTGATCCTGAACCAAATCAGCCCATCGTTGCATTGAATCTCTAGTGGGTCTATTCAAGAGTAGAGTCTCAGCACACTAATTCGGTTCGAGTAGAGAGAACTAAACTCACCTCTGATAGGCCATGAAGTTCAGTGCTGATCTGTTCGAGGTCAGATACCAAACATCAAAGCAGACAAGGCTCTTACGATCCGCCCAGGCATTTCCCTCTGGGATAATGAATATCCCGGTGATTCGCACCGGGGACAGCTCTTGCAACAAAATGCCAATCGACTGCAGTTGTGGATCCAGGACTGGAGCCCACACCCAGACTGGCAGCCCCTGGAATGACCGCCGTTGGTGACCCAATTTCGTACGAATATCCAGCCTCGACCAGAGCCACCTTGAAGTTCTGTTCCGCCAGACGCGCGGCGACAGTCACGCCAGCAGTGCCGCCCCCAACAACAACGTAGTCAAAGGTATGATGAGTGCTCCAAAGGCTCTCCCACTTACCAGGAATGCCATCTGTCCAAGCCTGTAGAGTATTGAGCACCGAGGCTAGAACGCCGAGAAGGGGGGCCTGGAGCTGCATCTGGACGAGAGAACGCGGGCAACAACCCGATTGAAGGGAAGAGAAGAGAAGTTGGTCAAGACTGGTGGGAGAGGGAATGAATTTGGAACTGTTAGATCATTTCATGGCCATAATTAGGGGATCTTCCCAGTTCACGATCGGAAAGACCCAGTTTGGTGAGCTTGGTAGGCGCAACGGTAATAGTAAGGGCGCGCCTTCTACCCTTTCGAAGAGTTCACCAAGGGTAGGGTACTGCAGTATCTCTCAAGCAGTCAGCCATCGACTATGGGCCTGCAAGCCTGCAATGCGAGTTAATAGAGACCGCGCTGCCTCTGAAGTAGCGGATGCCACAGTCATGGTGAAATTAGAATGACCGCCAAAGACCAACATCAAGCTCGATGCTGCATCTGTTTGCTAGTGACAAAGAATGACCCATTCACTTCGCACCAGGCAATATATTTCGAGCTGCCATGAATTCTTACCAACAAACCAACCAATTCCTTCTTCACCTTTCGCATCCCCCTCACATACAGCAGCCATTTCCTCAGCCGAGCAAAAAGCAGCTTATGACTTATAGACTCAAGAGCCGAGCCACAAACCTCATTTACAATGTCAGCAGCTGAACGCACCTTCTTTGGTGACTTCCCCAATTTCAAACCCAATCTCGACGCCCCTATCAGCGCTGAATTTAAACGCCTGGCACAACAGCGTCAATGGAAAGCAAACTCGAGAAGATGGCGCAAGATGTGGAACACATGCATTGGTCAGGAGTACGACAGAATCATAGGACAGAACCTCAGTAGTCTGCAGACTTGGCAGCGTCTGTGCGAGGAGCTGGACTTGAAAGGACCGTTCACCTCCATTACGCAGTGTAAGAAGGTATGCTCAGGTATCTGGCCAGTTGGATAGACTGTGTTGACCAATGTTTCTTCATATTCCCAGGCTTTGTCAAAGGTGTATGTCAATATTGTGGACGTTCTGGACTGTCGTGTTCTGAACAAGGACTGTCCCGAACTGGTCTGGAAGCCGAAGAAGTTTCCAACTGTCAAGGCACTTTCCGGGTACACCAAACGAACGGGAAAGTTCTTCAACAGAGAGCTTGCAAAGCAAGACAAGTTGTTAAAGACACTGCTCAAGAAGCTGGTCTGAAGGAAGTCTGATTCAGTGGGATGCATGTGCGAGCATAAGGACATTGCATATCAGTGTTATTTCTTTGAGGAATTTCTATGAGATTGGGGATCAAGGATGACTATCACGAACGGCATCAGCAAGAAATATCTTTAGATCCGGTATTATGGACAGGATAAAGAGAGAAATAGATGTCTTGAATATTAATCATATATTACAACGCATACTCGCCATATAGATTTCGAGGTCTTTAGCCCAGCTTTACAACCCCTTCTTCTCGGACTCCACCCGTTCACGCTCCACGACATATCCAACAGCACGCGCAAGGCCTTCATCGACCGGAACGATGGGCTCGTATCCCAGTCGGTACTTGGCCTTGTCACAGGAATAGTAGCGCGTCATGCATGAGTACCGAACTATGCGTCTCGTCAAGCGGGGCGTCTTGCCGAAGAGTCCCAGCACCGTTTCCGCAACACCACCAATGGGCCCCAAGAGATCCTCGGGGAGCTCCCACACCTGGTGAGGCTCGACCACCTTGCCAGTCAGGGCCCAGGCTGCCCGAGTCATGTCCCAGAAGTACACGGGGGAGTCGTTGGTGACATTGAAGGCCTCGCCGTCGACGCGCTCGTGGTCAAGGGGTCCGCCCTGACCAGCCTCATACCGGTCATGAGTGGCAATCAAACGGTACGCCGCAAGCAGATGAGCGTAGGCGACGTTGCCGACGTAAGTGAAGTCGAAAAGGTTATTGTTGCTACCCAGCTGCATACGTAGAACCGTCGGTGAAGCTTTGGAGGAGTGCTCCAGAATCTTAAACGTAAACGTGGTGTCTTTTTCGCCGTAAATGCCTGCTGGGCGGAGCGCGCAGGTCACCATCGACGAGGGGGCAACACGATTATGCTGGAGGACGAGTTCTTCGGCGTCGGCCTAAGGGGAAGCACCATTACGTTAGCAGCGGCCAGCTAAGTCAAAACAAAACGGCAAATCTACCTTGGTCTCGGAGTAGTACTCCAGTTGCAGCTTGCCCCGGATCAGCGGCCATTCCTCGTCCACGTTGATCAGATCGCTCTGGGTGTCGTGCACGACAGAGGAAGAGCTCGTGTACACAAAGGCCTTGCACTTCCCACCCCAGTCCCCACGCGCGCCGCTCGCAACCTCCACCAACGTCCGGGTCCCATCAACATTGACCTTGCGCAGCAGTTCTTTGTTTCCCTCCAACACGTTTGGCGTCGCGGTGTGGATGACCACATCGGGCTTGACTGCACGGAAAACCTTCAGCATGGATTCTTCGGAGGTAATGTCGCCATCGTAGTATTGTGCGCCTGGCAGCCGGTTGTTTGTTGTCCGCAGGTCGACAACGGAGACCTTCGCGACGGATCTGGGGTATCGGTCAGCCAGCCGAGGATAATCAAATCGAGAATCGCCTTGCGGTTTCGGAAGAGCGACGCTGGGATCAGTTTCTGAGGGGAAGTTGAGCAGTTGGTCGACAATGTGCCAGCCCAGGAAGCCGCAGCCTCCGACAACCAGGACGGAGCCGAGCTCCATGGTAGGCCGCTTGTTGGACATCGCAATAGTTTAATTGACGGAGTATACTCGTGTGGTCGTCCTGAACGGGATGAAGAGAAAAGAGAAATTCCAAATGTCGTAGAATTCCTGCGTAGTGGTCTATTTCTCACCTAAAATTTAGGTTAAAGGGGCGATGGCATTGATCATGTCAGAGTTCCACCTCGAAAATCAAACTGCTGGGGGCCTGGGGCAGAAAGCTCGGACTCCCACTACTGCATAAAGAAGAGTATCCTGCCGCAAGCATATTTCTACCACAACTCAATTCTCAGTTGGCGACAAGAGACATCAGTATTATAATGGAGAGCTCATTGCAGCTTGCTGTCACTTAGATGAATTGATTATAGATCCTCAACGCTCAGCCCACTGAGAAAGGTGACATTTAACATGCAATCAATCCCCATCATCCCAGTTGCTTCACTTGTGGGCCTTCCAACAATCAATTTGCCGAGGAGGCATATATCCTCTCTATAAGCGAGGCAAACAAGAGATGCCATCTCGGTAGTTGGAACTTGAGCAAGCCTATACATCCTATGATCCAGTGGTATCCCTGATTTCAAGAACGGGGCAGCAAAGGGCAGAATACCAGTCTGGCATTCTTTGCGATTACATCAATACTTCCAATTGGCACGGCCTAGCCTGGCAGCCAGACGCGACAATTTTTTTCGGTGAATAACCATGGCTTGACCTTATGAGGACTAGACTAGTCAACCGGGGAAGCAGTGAGGACTGGACGGATTACTCAACACTCTTCTCCACGGACCGGCGAAGCGCACGGTTGTATTTCTTTCGGTCCTCGGGACTACCCCAGAACAGCTTGGATGCCTCAAGATTCACAGTTGTCCGGGGATCATAGGGCGGAGCCTCTTCTTCGAATATCGCCATGATCGCTTCGATATGAGAGTGCATCTCCTCTGGGCGCTGAGGAAAATAGCACAACACTCCATCCTTCGAAACCCGATAGTGGAAAAGCGGTGTTTCCAAGAAGACACGGGGCTGCTCGTCTGGAAATCGTGGATTAAGGTAGATCTTCATCTTGAAGATTCCACCATCGAGCTGGGTCATGGGCCGGCCAAAGTAAGTTAATTCCCAGAGAAAAGGGTTTTTGTCGCCGAGGCTCAGGTCAACTGCGAAATTCTGGCGGCTCTTGAGATCTTCAACAATCTGATCATACTGGCTTTGTAAGCTGAATGCAAGACTGGATTCTTGTCCCTTCGACACAAGGCCTTCTGCTGGCCAACTGTGAGTCTCATCGATGATAGCCTTTCTCACGCGGATAAGCCGACGCCTCAATTCGGGGTAGTTGAAGTGCCCCTTCATGCGGTTATCCTCACTCTCAAATGGCATCATCTCAAATCCTTGACGGCGCCGGACTCGTGGCTCTTCTTCGTCGATTGTCCGCATGTAGGAGTCAAAATACCAGAGGAGCCGTCGCTTCCGAAGATCCACAAAAGGCTCAAAGAACGTGTCATCCTCTTCGTCGAATAGGTCAGTGTATTCATCATCTCCGTCTCCCTTTGTCTCCGGCGGTTTCACCGTGCCATCTGTCTGGATGCCCAATGATGCTTCCAATGGGAGAAGTACTGCAATGCGGATTGTTTCATGGCGAATCTGGAGATATAATATATGATCAGCCCACGTTCGGCAATTTCAGGACGAGATATCCACCTTGCTAACATAAGCTTTGCTGTGTTCTTTGTCACCCGGAGCGTTCATCCCTTGATATCCTGGCTCGTTTTCATATGGATTGCTCGACATGAGGCTTTGGATAGAGATCAAAACCGACTCCAATCCTTGGGCAGATGACCATTCCTCTCCTGGCTCGCAACCCCAAGTTCTGCAGAACAGATCAGTGAGCAGATTAGATAATTGTTCTCCCTTCCTTTTCACTTACCCCAGGATTGATCTACAAGTCCCCATTCTGTCAGTCTCTCTGAAGGAGCAACACAGCCCAGGATTGGACTCACAGGCAAACCTTGCCTCCAGCATAAATGTTTGGCCCGAAGCGACACTTTCCTCCATTGGTTGTAAGAGCTTGAACGCTAGGGGGAGCGGCAGGATAATCTAGGACAGATCAGTCAGTCCGACTTTGCATGGTGTGCAGTGGCTCTGGAATCAGCTGGCCTACCTCTCCCAAACTTGATGCTGAACTAGCTGACGGTCAGCAACCAGATGCATCATCTTAGGAATGGGGTAAACACAAGCCTCAAATAGACCGAACTGGTAAGGTGTCTCTGGGGGCCCAAGCACGACTGCCGTCACACGGCGGATATCCGATTCCTTGTAAGCTACAGCGAGAGCTATTTTCCGGCAGAAGTCAGCTATTATCCTGACCTTCTCGTCGTGAGCAACGGATTTGAGGTATTCCACAGTTGAACATTTGAATAGGGGACGAACAGAGATCTGCATTTTGCTGGATATGTTTGATTTCCTATGTCTCGAAGATCAGGATGCTGTCGTCAGCCATGGAATCTCTCTTGATAGGGCTGAGAGCCAGAATTGGAAAGTACAGTACCCGTGTGATACGGAGAATGGCCTGATCAGACATTCTGGGGAGAGGAGCCAAGTCCGCCCCGGTCGCAGACCAGCGTGAAGACAGAGATGCTTGTTCTGAGCAAAGTGTCGTGGTTCAAACAAGATGGAATATGAGATGATGAATTGTGTGAGTTACAGCGTATTGAACTAAAGGCCAAAGAAGTAGTAGGCGCCTTGGTGGTAGGAGAAAGTAAGAAGGTAGATAGAACTCCCGTGATCAAAGGGAAAGAGGAGAAGAAGGTGAAGTCTCTCTCAGCAACTATCAATCATTTTCAAAGACGCCTGACATGGATGAGAGAGCACGGAATGAATTAGAAAACTAATCATGCTCATCAGAGAGAGGTGAATACTAAAGCCTTGAACACATAACACTCAGTGAAACACTTCTGAGGTTGGGGATCTTTTGAGATGGAGAACAGTATATTGTTATTGGGAAATATATCCAATCCAACACCCGCAAAGAATGGCCTCACTGTTACCCTATTGATTTAGAAAATCTGGCAATATACACGGAACAGGTATAACTATGATGTCCTCATCTTCATCTCATACATGTTACATACTAATTAATCGTTACTGAAGGATAAATGAGCCATAGATAGTCTATAGATATAAGGCTTAGTTAGAGTTGGACCCTGAGCTGGCAGTCAGTTGGGATTCAGGCCTGAGGTATCCACTGGCGGAGTACCTCACATGGTCCTGCAGAACTGCCTGTATCCACTATTGACAATCAACATGACTTTTTGGCTGCTCAAGTCTTTCCCCCAGCAGGAAATTCCACGACCATGATGATCGTCCAGAAAAAATAAAAAATAAAAATAAAAAAAATAAAGAAGAACTCAAAAATGAGCTCCCTTGTGCCCGCATGAGGACTATTAATATTATGACACATGCAAGCTGGAATGATGGACATCAAGACCACTTACGGAGTACTTACTCCCCCTCCCTCCTCCCCCCTGCACCTACTAGTCACTCCGTACTAACTACTTGCTACCACTCTCTGCCCTCTGGACTCTGTCGAAAATTAGAGTTGTTGTTTTACACCTAAGGCGTGGAGCCTGGAGGTACCACGGTTCAATGCGTGTTCCTCAATTACACACCTGACGGTTATTTTTTTACCGGGGATTGTGATTTATCCAGGTACCTACCTAACTTTCTAAGACTAAGAGTACCTACTTCGAGGATTATTGCATCTACTAGTCAGGCAGGGGTTTGTTTGAATCGGTGATGAAACACATCCATGGACATTTCTGTCACCAAGTACTCTGTAAGATTGGCCAAATGAGCTACTCTCTGGATGAATCACCCACTGTTTTTTCTCTCCTATTTTCTCTAACCTCTTTCCCCTGTGAATATACTTTATAGTCCATACCTCCACATTTTCTATTATTAGGTAACAGCCTTTTCACATTACCCTGTACGGTAATCTGTGTACAACAATTCAGACCCTCTCGAGGCGGTGACTTGAGCGGTGAGCTCTTTCACGTGATGCTTGTCCTAGTGGGCAGCCAGCAAGATGAAGCATAGGGGGGGGCACAGCAACAACCGCCAGCCAGCAGGCGCTCCCACCTCCTCCAAAACACACAGCTCTTGTTCCTCCTGTCTCGCCCTCTCATCTAAACATATCTTGACTGTCGGACTTACTTGTCATTTTACCACCCCCCCCCCTGTCAATCTCTTCTGACCTTTTCTCCGGTCACTCTCGCGTCAAGCTATTCTGAAGGGTGCTTCGAGTTCCAAAGGGGATCGGGAAACGATTATGTTCCTCGCGGACAACATACTCCGCCGCTTCTTAGTCTCACTCTGAAGCCCCGATCTTTCTTGGTTTTGAGATACCCAATACTGGTGGTTAACACTCCTTGAAGGGCATGATTAGTATCCCATTTCTATAGAGCTTGGTTGCATGCGAAAATAAGCTGGCAGTCCTTACTTGGTCACGCGCCTCCGTCGCTATTGCCTCGAGTACTACAATTTCCCCGCAAACTCCCTCTACATGGCGTGAGGTAAGTTGGGATGGAAGACTTTCAAACTCCTGGAACAATCCAACCAAACTCCGTAACGAGCTCAGATTCCCATCTAACTCATTCTTGGTAATAGACGCGTTGCCAACTTGCTACCTTATTACATCGTTTTTGGTGTTCTGATTTCGCCCATTACCCTGCCGAAACCCTCCTACCTCCCCAACCAGCCCGTGTCCTCTCAGACTGTCGGCGGTCATCGCATCTGGATATATAAGAGCAAGCAGGATTGCACGAAATCTTCATCGGTGCTCACCACCCTTATCATTGAGCCTGTGGGGAGGAATCGTTCTGTGATCCTAGAAAGGAGTGTTCCTTGTGGACATGCCTCCCGGCGATGTGTCCCTGCCGGACAGCCTTGTGCCGGGCAACGGGGCTGTCCGTCCGACTTTAAATACCAGTGGTCATGGTGGCAGCCTCCAGAGACAGACCCCCACCTCGCCTGCGGACAGCACTAAGCCCTTCGACTCACCCCGTGCAAGGCCTGGAGGTGCAAATGGATCAGTACACAGTCCCATCGAAGGAACACAAAATCCTGATGGTCGCATGGGTCGAAGATTAGATTCAAACAATCCTAGCCCAATAGACTCATCCACCCCGCGCGATCGAGCCGGTTATTGGGAGAAGTCCGCACAACGCGACAGACCTGCCCAAAGTGGCCGACCGCCTACAAAATCCCCTGCGAGTTCGCGAATCTGTAAAAAATGCGGCGATCCTCTGACGGGCCAATTTGTGCGTGCGCTTGGCGCAACATACCATCTTGAGTGCTTCAAGTGTGAGGTCGGTATTCCCTATGAACCCACCCCAGCATTTCATATCTCTGTAAACTGACCGGAAATCGACGGCAGGACTGCGGGCAAATCGTTGCATCCAAGTTCTTCCCGGTTGACGCTGAAGACGGAAGCGGGCAGTATCCCCTGTGTGAGACCGATTACTTTCGACGATTGGACCTTCTTTGCCATGAATGCGGCGGTGCCTTGCGTGGCTCTTACATCACGGCCTTAGAGCATAAATATCACATCGAGCATTTTACTTGCTCCGTTTGTCCAACAGTTTTCGGCGCTCAGGACTCCTACTATGAGCACGAGGGCAGGGTCTATTGTCATTTCCATTATTCAACGCAGTTCGCCCAGCGATGTCATGGATGTCACACGGCAATCCTGAAGCAATTCGTCGAAATCTTCCGCAATGGCCAGAACCAGCATTGGCACCCCGAATGCTACATGATACATAAATTCTGGAATGTGCGTTTAGCACCCACTGGGCAGCCACTAGAACTTCCTGAGACGGGACCCGATGCCACTGACGAAGAGCGGAACAAAATTCGGGAAGAAGAGGACATGATGGAGGAGAAAGTCTATCGAATTTGGAGCATCCTTTCCGGGTTCGAGGAATCGTCGGCGGCCTGTATCTCAGATATGCTACTCCACGTCAGCAATGGCTCTTATTTGGATGGTGTGCTAGTTGCTAAGAGATTCATTGGTCACGTCGAAGTTCTCTTCCGCGCTATCGACGAATTGGCAGGATACATCAGAACTCAGGAAATGAAAGGTACGCCTCACATTTCTCTGACGGCGGCACAACTAATCCTATTCGCTAGATCTCACATATGGCCGAGAAGCAAAGCTTCTATGCAAGAAGATTGTTGCATTCTTCGCCTTACTTTCCAAAACTCAGGAAACTGGGCCTAGGAAGTTGGGTGTCACACAGGAACTCTTGTCTTTGGTCACCGGTCTTGCTCACTATCTCAAACTTCTCATTCGAATTGGGCTGCAAGGTGCTCTCAAATTAGAGAGGGAAAAGCGAAGCCCTGATGGCCTTTACTATTTCTTGGACCACTTGGCGGATATTGAGGCATTACGCCCCCCAGAGCAAGAAGAATCACCTGCAGATCTGATGGCTGGAGTAGCCAAACTCGCTGATCAGCTCTCTGATTGCTGCGTAGCATGCAAAGAACCTATTGATGATGAATGCATTCTGTTGAATGACTCTAGATGGCACATCAAACCGCCTCATCTCACATGTGCGGCTTGCCAAACCGATCTTACTGGCACTTATCACGATGCACTCTGGAACTCGAAGATGAAGAAGGTTTACTGCAGCAGTTGCGTCGCGCAGCAAGGCCTGGCTAGTGAGAGCCAAACTGGATTCACTCGGGTGACTAAACTGGAGCAATTCGTCTTTCTACTGCGAGTTGCGCTTGCTCGCTTGCTCGCTGTGTTGCATGCTGGAGGAACCTTGCAATCTACCTCAGGTATTATCTGTTCTCCTTGATTGACCACTCGACATAGGCTAATAAATCTGACCTAGAAGAACCGAGCTCTGATGAGCCCAGAGATGGTAGTCAAATGCCACCTGGCGGGCAGATTCGCAGATCCGCAACACGAGCAAAACATGCAGGCAGAGACGGTGCGGCGGAATCATCGCTTGAGCAAACCGTTGGTGAAATGCGACGCTTGCGATCGATTCGAAATGAACGTACTTTGTCAACAACTTATAAAAGAGCTCGAGCTTCTCGGATTATTGACGGCCCTGAAGGCAGAAGTGTCCGTCCTGGTTCGTCCGGTGGCGAAGGCTCTGATGGCCGTGGTCATGGGTTCCAGATCGTAGAGGAAAGAGACGCGAATGGCGAGACAGTTACCGATCTGACGTTTGGCAATCAGGATGCTTTGACATTGGACGATATCCCGAGGATTGTTGCTGCCGAGCAAGCAAAAGAACAGCGCCCAAATGCCTACAGACATGCTGGTACCAAGCTTGTGGGGACCTCCGAGCCACTTCCCAAATATAACCAGGGCCATCAACGTGGTGTGTCCAGTGGCGGCTTGGAATCCCATCTCATTGAGCGGAACGGAAAGACCAAGAAGTACTTTTCTGAACTCTCTGCCCTCGAATACTTCATCGTACGACACGTCGCAGTACTCTCCATGGAACCCCTGCTCGAGGGACACTTCACATTAGAGGAGCTACTTTCGCTGATCGAATCTCGCAAGCCAACCATTTGGAACATCTTCGGTCGTGCTTTTAATAAAGATGCCAAGAAGGGCGGAAAGAAGAAGGGCGTGTTCGGTGTGAGCTTAGATTTCCTCGTTGAAAAGGAGGGGACCGAATCCTCACACGGCGTGGGGCCAGGCGCCTTGCGCATTCCTGCCCTGGTCGACGATGCCGTATCAGCAATGAGACAGATGGACATGTCGGTGGAAGGTGTCTTCCGGAAGAATGGCAACATCCGGCGACTGAAGGAAATTTCTGATTTGATCGACAACAAATATGATCAGGTGGACCTGACGAAGGAGAACCCTGTGCAGATTGCAGCGTTGCTGAAGAAGTTTCTTCGTGAAATGCCCGACCCACTACTAACATTCAAGCTGCACAACTTGTTTGTGATCTCCCAGAGTATGCCGCCCCCTCCATATCATCTGAAATCATGCTCATACGTGCTCTTTTCTTAGAAATCGCCGACCCGGAAAAGCAGAAGCGGCTGTTGCATCTCGCATGCTGCCTCCTTCCCAAGGCTCATAGAGACACCATGGAGGTCCTCTTCGCCTTTTTGAATTGGACCTCATCCTTCTCCCATGTGGATGAGGATACTGGTAGCAAGATGGACATTCACAACCTTGCGACTGTCATCACGCCCAACATTCTATATCCCAATACAAAGAACAGTACTGTGGATGAAAGTTTCTTGGCAATCGAGGCTGTAAATGCCCTCATCGCGTACAACGATACCATGTGCGAGGTATGTTTGCTTGAGCCACCTATGAGTGTCCTTTTCACCCAGACTAATGGCTATCGTCCAGATTCCCGAGGATCTGCAAGCTGTTCTCAGCGATACCACCCTCTTCAGGGGAGACAGTGAAGTCAGCAGCAAAGAGATCCTGAAAAGATATGGGGATATTGCGCGGGGAAGTTTCTCTCAAAAACCAAACAATGGGGGAGAAACAGTCACAATCACCAATCCTCATAATCGGGGAGCCAACATACCTACATCTGCGCGTATCGAAACGGACCCCTCTCAAGATGCATCCTGGCAGAACCAGGCCTCAGTTCGTCAAGTGCAGAATCCCAGTGGGCATAATCACTCAGCTAGTACTTCCGCACCGTTTACCCCGAAGGAACTTGCACCTGGACAAACCGGCAATTACCGTGGGCGAAGCACTAGCAATGGCAGCCAGCAAAACCAAGTTCCTCAGGAGGGACAATCCCACCAAATGCCATACAGAGCTCGTCAAGGAGCGGGCCCAATGGGAGTTGCTGGTTAGAGCTTGACCGATCATTTTTTAGGCGATCCGAGAATTTCTATCTCCTCACAGCGCTTTCTCTTCGCTTCAGCGATTCTATTTCTCTTCCTTCCCGACAAATCACCCTGTTCCCTTTTCTTGACATGCAGATGATTGCTCTTGGCGTACATCTGAACCATCTGGCGTTTCGTCCTGTTGCTTGGGATAAATGGAGTTCTCTCTCCCTTTTCGATTGATATGAGCCTTGACTCCCCAGTGCGTGGCTTACGGCTCGCTCTGCGCCATGGCTGATTGCAGTCCTTCGCCATATTTCTTCTTACCATATTTTCTCTTATCATTCCATTCAGAGTCTCCAAGCTCAAGAACAATGTGCATCCATTCGATTCCTCCGACTTGCTGTTGTGCTATTGTCACCATATCTGGTCCTATACGCCCTTTTTGACTTTGCACGACTACCTGTTCTCTTCTTATCAAAGCCTGGGCATGGAATTGCCTTGGCCGTCTTCTTAATTCCACTTTCCTTTCTTTATCCCTCTTTCTCCCATCTCCTTTTCTTTTCTCTTCCTTCTCTTCTTCTTTTCTCATTTACCCCTCACTTTACTTTCTTCTTTTCCTGGTGTTTGGGTATTCTACCTCGCCAACTAAAGGTGCAGAACCGTTGAGAGCATTGCTTTCGCTAGTCGGCCTACATGACCGCAAAGATACCTACCTGTTCCTGAATCAACGTTATCGCAGCCTCTTTTCTTTTTTTATCCCTTCTACTTTTCTTCTCCTTATCCCTTTTCTTTGCCCTTTTTCTTCTTTTCTTTTCTTTTCTTTTGCTTTTATTCAATTCATTCAGCTTTTGCAGCCTCCGTGAGGTGATATTCCCCAGATGTTGTTCGATTATTGCATACAATGTTCTTCATGCGGTGTTATTTCCTCAAAAAAGAGAAACTCGAGAGGTGTAATCTACTCAGGATTTGAAGAACTAAATCCCGTTCTTCCAAAGGTGCTTTCAGATCAACTCGTAGATTGAAATGCTATTCAAAATTTCCCAGTCCGGGGCGTGTTATACCCATAAGCGTGTTATATCCGTAAGTCAGACTGCGGGTCTGGCTCTTTGATCGCAAATACCAGCCGTGGCCAACAATGCACACACATACGGTCGTTATGTATCCGGTATCCTACCATCCAACACACGATTGAATTATCTTTACTGTGAGTAGAATGTCACGAGAGAAGGCAAATCGAGAACCTCAATGCATTCGTCATGGAACGTCCTTTACCATTCAATGGTCACACCAACGACAGAAAACGTATAAGTAAAGTAGAGCCATAGAACGCCTCTGAGGAAAACTGCAAGAGTAAAATGGCGGGCGAAAAAGATGACCAGCCCAAGTAGGATATGAAAATGCCATGACGCCTAAGAACCATCCAAATGTGGATGGAAAGGGGGGAAGAAAAAAAAGAAAGAAACAAGCAACCTCCGTGACTCTGCGAAAAGCGACTAGACCGCCCGAATAATATGACACCTACGCTGTTAACGAATTCAAATCCAAGACAAAGAAATAGGTTAAGCTCGCTTGCGCAAGGTTCGGCGCCCGGCTGTTGAAGCTTCACCCCCAACCGGTGCAGTGGCCTTCCTTGTTGTCGAGGTCGTGGTCTTCTTGGTAGATGCGGAAGATACTTGGTTGCGGGCCACGGTTGTCCTCTTGACTGGAGCACTGGCGCTAGATGTGGTGGTAACCTTCCTTGTTCCTGCACCTGCTCTGCCGGGTTTGACAACAGTCGTTCCGGAGGAGGCGGTGGATGAGATGCTTCCTCTGCGATCAAGCTGCGTGGCAGGTCGAGAAAAGGGCGAACGCATCGTTTTGGTTGTTGTGGCCGCTCGGCTTGCTGGTCTATTCACCTGGGCCTGAGAAGGTGGTCTGGCGGTAGTGGTGGGAGCTTTGGTCGTTCTCAAGCGGGCGTTGTCCATGACACCTGCTCCACTGGCTGAAGCTGACTTGAGCGGGCTGGATGGTTTCAGAGGCGACATAGGTCGTGAGAGATAATTCGAGTTGTGAGATTTCTCGGGAGAGGCACGGAAAGGAGACTGGGGGTATGTTCTGGAATTCAAGGATTTCGGAGACAGAATTCTGTAATCTGCCCCTCTAACCTCCTGGGACACCATGCGTGAAGTGCCGCCAGGGTTGGCCCGCCGCTTGGGATTCTTGAGCACATCCAGAGATTCTCCGGCTGCAGGAGCATTCTCCTTGTCTGAATAAGTTCCCTCGTGACTTTATTCGAACTTCGGTAAGCTTCCGACCGAGATTCATAGGAATTGCCAATTCTAGGGAAATCTTACCTTTGCTTCTTGACCCGACGCGTGCTTGGACTTGCGGCAGACACGGTCCGTTTTCCAGCCTTGACCGAGGCAGATGTCACATTGCGCTTACCAGGGCTGGCGTGCTTCCTGGGGGAAAGGGTGGTCTGTTGTGCACGGAGCAGAGTGTTATGTTTCTCCAGTAGGTCGCCCATTTTCGCCTTCCGAAGCGCGATAGGAATCCGATTGACGCGCCGCTCGATTCGAGCTCGCAGATCATTTGCCTGGAGAGCATATTGCGCGCGAAGTTTGCGGGCTCGTTCAGTGACTAGGTTACGGGTCAGTTTATGAAGAGTTGAGGAAGGAGAAAGGGGACATACGCTCGAGCTGCAAGTTATCAATAAGAGCTTGTTTCTGGCTCCGAGTTACTCGCAGCTTTTTGTGAGGAGGTGCATCTGTGGGCGTCCTGGCTGCATCGCTGTTGTACGCGTCATGGGCAGCGTCGGGAGACTTGCGTTTAGTCGGAGAAGCCATGATAAGATTGGGATATATCAAAAATCCAGAAACTGATGGGGTCGAGGCGCGTTGTGCGTGGTTGTCAATGGAAGAGGGAGGGACAGAGGAGATGCGCGTAGAGAGGATGTTTGATGGAAGAGTAAACAAGAGCTGACTTAATTCGTCGCTAGCTCCGCCCGGGCGGAGAGTGTGACATCTCTCGTCTTCAGCAGCTCCAACCTCCAGTCACTCCGCCCATCATCATCTTCCATTCCATCACCGCAACATTCCACTTTTCTTGCTTTCAAAGCTTTAACTATCATTCACGGAGCTTAGAATACGATACTTTTTGTTTACTCTCGAGCCGATTCGCTTTTTCCCATCGATTTTGTGGATATACCTTTGCCAAGATGTCGCTCGAAGCCACCATGATCATGTCCGTCTCCCCTCAGCTTCCTTTCAAGCTGGTTTACAGCGGTCTGACGATTGTACAGTGTAGACAATAGCGAGAGCAGCAGAAACGGAGACTATACGTGAGTAGTACTGAGTTTCGTCTTTCGGACGAGCTGTTATTCAGTAGCTGACAGCTTGCAGCTCAACACGATGGCAAGCACAGGTTGATGCCGTCAGCGTCATTCACAGTGCCAAAATGCGCGCGCATCCCCAATCTGCCGTCGGTCTCATGAGCATGGGTGGTAAAGGCCCCGAGGTCCTCTCGACATTCACTTCCGATTTCGGCAGCATTCTTGCTGGTCTGCACCGGACGAAGATCCACGGCACTGCCCACCTTAGCTCCAGTATACAAGTGGCGGGTGTATGTCATCCATCTCAGTTGCATGGTCGCCCATCATAGTCACTGACGAATTTGATCAAACTAGCTCGCCCTGAAGCACCGCTCCGAGAAGTCCCAGAGACAACGCATTATCGTATTTTCCTGCTCCCCGATCGATGAAGATGAGAAGACGCTGGTCAAGCTGGCAAAGAAAATGAAGAAGAACAACGTATCGATCGATGTGATTGCTTTTGGAGACCTCGAGTCGGATCAGACCAAGAAGCTTGAGGCTTTTGTGGAGAATGTCAAGGGGGGCGATGGGTCCAACCTGGCCATCATCCCACCCGGCCCAAATCTGCTGAGTGAGGAGCTTCAGGCTACACCTATCCTGGGTGGCGACGCCGGCGCCGGCGGTGCGGGTGCGGAAGGTGGTGAGGCTGGCGGCTTCGGATTCGAGGACGCCGCTGAGAACGACCCGGAGCTCGCATTTGCCCTGCGTCTCTCACTCGAGGAGGAGAAGAACCGACAGGAAAAGGAGAAGAGGGAACGGGAGGAGCGAGAACGCGCAGCGAATCTTGAGAACATCCCCGAGGAGGGCCAACCGGCCGGGGAGTCGAGTGGCAACCATGACAAGAAAGAGGACGGTGACAAGATGGACACAGCGTAGGAAGGGAACCTGTGACGTTCTATATGGTGGATGACTCTAATGCATACCCGGCGTTTCTCTGTATTGTCATGTGCTCTTGTAATTCTAGAAAGCGTGTCCTACCACTACGCTTCCGAGGAAAATAAATCATGTTGCGAAATTCTATGGAACAAAACCCAGGCACGTTCACGCACCCCAAGTCATAACTAGCAAAATAAAGAAAAAAGTATCATGTCATCAAAACCGCGCCCATCATTCATCCTCACTCAGTTCCCGCTACCCACCCGTTAAGACTCCATCATGCCCTCCCCCTCAACCAGCCCGCTAGATGTCGATCAAACGCCTCACACCGAACAGGCATTTCCAGCTGATAGAAAGGATTCTTCATTACGTAGTCCGAGTACAGCTCATACACCTTCTTCACCACCACCTCTATGTTCGTCATCAGCGGATCCGTAAACAGCAGGAACTTTGTCCCCGTCAGCGTCTGGAAACAGGTTAGACGGAACTTGTCCGTCTCGAGCGACTCGAGGCCCGTGACCGGGACGCCGGGGTTGGGGAGTGCGGATGTCGTCGCGGCCGTGGTAGGGGTGGATGTGCCGGAGGGGGAGGAGAGGGCGACGTTGGAGGCGGAGGAGGCTGGGGTTGCGGATAGGGAGGCGGGTCGAGGGATTCGGGGGGTGATGGAGCGGGTGATGGCGTGGACGCTGGAGACGAGGGGGTCAGCATAAATCTGGCTTGTGGTTTTTGGGGTGTGGAAGATAGGGGGGGGGCTTTGTTTCGACGGACCCGTGAAACGTCCCTGCGAGGACGAGGTAGTCGTTTGTGGAGAGCTTGCGCAGCCCGGGCTGGAATTCGCGCTGGTAGATTAACCCGCCGGCTTTGTTGATGATGATGAGGGAGAAGACGGCCCTGTGGTTTCGTGTCAATGGGACTCGGGTCAAGTGCGCTTGAGCTTGAGCTTGAGCTTGGGCTTGGGGGGGCTGCTGGCGCTGTTTGACATACATGGTGGGTGGGAGTTGGACAATTGTGTTGTGTCCTGGGAGAAAGAGGAGTTTCGGTATTATGGTTCATGCAGCATCACTCAAGCTAGCATGCTAGGTATTGGATTATAATGTTCACAAAAACGCTTTATCGCGAGGGTCTCATTTCATCGTTATCGTGGTCGTTATGGTGTTTGGAATCAAGCATCATCGGCAGAAATGCGGAGAGGAATCACTGGCCTGAGGTGTCTATTCTGCACCCAGTGCAGAGCTTCCATCGAAGATTAATGTTGCGTTTTAGATGGCATCTATATCAGTCAATCTGGCACTTTTGTTGTTTATTAACTTTCATATCTCCAAGAGAAGCTTCATAGACATCTAGCACATCTCTACCATCATCTATCTTGTGTCGAAATTTACGTCTACGGCATACGCTTGCTAGTCAAAGTATATGTACATCAATGCAACTGTAGATACTAGGTGCAAGACACACGCTCAGAGGGGAGAACTTGGAAAATATGGATAGTTTCACCAAGTGATGAATGCTTTCATTCAAAATGTCTTTGAAACTGCGTATCAATCATATACGTAACTCGTTGAGGAATCCGTCAAGTCATGAGGAATAAAGAGAGAGGTATGTGCCAGAGCACAGTATTGTTGATCCCGCAGCAGGATATCTCGAGTCGCATATCCCAGATACACTATGGAATGATATTCGCCGTCTGGTCGAAGGAAATTCTCGTCTTCTTCGTGTGGAAAACCCTGCAGCTGCTGTGAATTCATGGTCCTCATAGCATGAGGTCTAAGGGATCAGAAGACAGGTCAATAGACCCGAAAAGGGCCGCCGGTGTCTCCTTAGCACAATGCCTGATCTGAGCAGTCTCGCGAGTGTAGAGACGCGATGGAGACGGCAACTCGTTGCCTTGCTGCCCGCGCGGCCGCGTCGGTGAGACTTTGATTGAGCGCGATCACAAGCGCTCTAGATGATTTCATCAGAAGTATAATGCCAATCGTCATAAGGAGATTTGTCTCTGGTAATGTAGACCTGCCCCACGAGGATGGTACACCCCACAATCATGGAGATCGCGATAATGGGGAGGTTGACCCGTGCAAAATCTAGGCTCCGGACCCGAATGTGCTTTCTGGCGAGGATGTCTCGCCACAACAGGCCAGCCAGGGATGCGCTGAAGGCCGTGCTGAAGGCACCGTAGTTCACACCGATCGCCATACTGTATACAGTGGCCCAGAAAGTCCGGTTACTGATCGCGATGCCGTTATCGTGGTGAATCTGCTGCCATGTTTGTATGACTCGTGACAGAAGGATGGTGGTACCGATGTTTGTGCCGGCAAACTAGAAACAGCGGATTATTATGTTAGCCATTCAGGATCCACAGCCTGAGGATACGAGTAGAGCAACTTACGTTGCACAGTATCACGGAGAGAAAGCCCATGCCACCAATCGCGCCGACAGTCCCCGTCTTTTTCACCCAGTGATCCCACCCGTAAGCGAACACAGGAACCCAACCCTTAGTTACTAGTGCTTGCACGAGAACGAACATGGCGAAAGCAAAGGGTACAAGCGCGAATGGCATGTGGGACACCACCGCTGTAACGGTGGGAAACGTCTCTTGCGACCATCTGTACGCCTTCCTGGACAATGACACTAGAGTCGACTTCTCTGCTCTGTTCCTTGATGTAACATCCTGCGAGCGGCTGTCGGTATATGTCCGCTTTTCAACATCCATCTCGAGACTTGAGGTCGCACCTGACATTTGTCGTGGCGGGGCCGTAGAGAATTCCTGCTTTTCGTCCAACGTATTCATTGCGCTGGTACCAGCGGGACCGTTGTGCACTTGATCACCTCTCGGTACCAGCGTTGATATTGACGATTCTAGCGGGGAAGCCAGTGTATGGCTTTGGCCGTCTGACATCTCGGACGAGAACCCTGTAGAAGCGCGATTTGGCGGCTTGACACTGGTGATATCCGCAGTGATTTCTTCCTTCCTGTCTGACGTTGTTCCATTCTGATGGTTTATTTGAGGCTTCGCAGAATGAGTGGCCTCGGATTGCTCCCTTCTTGCTTTTTCCTCCCTGAGCGCTCGTTCCGCTTGGGCTAGTTCGACCTCCTCGCGGCCCTTCCTGGCAATCTCGCGGGTCTCATGTCGGTGGTACCACCCAAATCCGATATCCCAACAGAACATGACGAAGGCGGCTGGCACCGTCACCCAGGAGACGGGATGCTCATCGCCGTTCTGACTAGCAGCGTTTTTGGCCAGAAGTGTAATTAACGTCGCTGCCATGATTAGTGCGCCAAACGCAGCACCTCCCTTATCCAAGAACGGATTCATGATCTCTTCCAAAGAGAGCTTTTGCTCGTCCTCAACAGAATCGTTCTCCTGCTCCTCGGTATTTCCCCTAGCGTTAGGGATGTTGGGGTTCACCGGCTTCTTTGCCTTTTCCTCGTCTGAGAGTTCATGCATCTTGATCGAGAGAGGGATGAGAGATTCGTCCGCAAAGATGATGTAAAGCAGAAAAGGGAACAGCACGATGGCAGTGATCACAACGGGAACAATCATATTTGCGGTGTAGTGGATGAACTTGATTTGAAATGCACCGGCTAGCACTAAGTTGGTCGGGTTCGAGGAGACGAGGATTGCCGAGGCAATATTGGCAATAGCGAATTGACTGTAGATCCAGGCTCGCGGGTGGACGATGTTGCGAGAGACACGGGTCATATAGGCAAGAAATGCGGTTCCAGACAGAATGATCGGGTCATTGCCAATGAAGCTGCCGAGACCGAAGAAGAAGGCGTACAGATAGAAGAAGAGCCGGTGGCCGACCTTACCACCTTTATCAAGCACCTTGAAGGCCAAGTACCTGATTAGACCCGATGCGTCAATGGAAATGGCGATGTAGGCCAGTGTCAGGAAGAAGCCCATGATGTCAATGGGGACGATATTGTCGGCACCCAGTGTGCCACCGCGCACTTCATCTCGGCCAATTGCCAAGATGGCCAACAAGAAGAGATCGGCCACTAGAGGTGCTGTCACGAAATTGACCGGCAGGTTCAACCGCACATATGCTTTGACTTTGCCATTCTGATCGTCGTTATCGTCCGAATGGCCGCGGTCCTGTCTGGGAGCTATGATTCGTAATGTGCTCAGAGCATCCAGCACCCCGTTGAAAAGCGGGCGCGGAACGTAGATGGGAATATGGAAGGGGAAAAGCACAATGATATCTGTAACAGTTAAGTCGCAAGGCCTGGTAGGTTCGGGGTCGAATCCCACATACTGGTGATAATGAAAACAATCAGCGTGATAATTGATCGCCAGTCTTTGATTTTATCGGTGTCCAAGTCTTCCGCCATTTTTTTCTTTCTTTTTTTATAATTCTCTTTCTTGTTGCACAAGTCCCGCGCCGTGGCTTTTCTTTCCTCAGACAGGTCGGAGAAGGCTGGCTTTTGTCGATTCTCGATTCTCGCTTGTTGGTATAGGCAAAATAATAAGGTAGACAGACGTCAAGTTTTGGAATTAGCAAGATATGTCCACAGACAAAGCTTCAGATGGTACGCGCCATCTGCGGTATGAGAGCCGTTTCTTTCTGCTGTCACTTTGCTGGAAGAAGCGCGAAGATAGGGAATTCCCTTGAATCATTAAGAATTCGACGAGAAAGCCTGATTGGAAGAATGATGGCGCACAGAATGAATGCACGAGATGGATGATCGCAAATGGTCGGTCATCTTCTTCTTCTTCTTCTAATTGTTCAGTTTCATTTCGCCACTTTGCATGTCGGTTCGGAAAACCAGTGATGATCGTGGTGAACAGGTTAGAAATATCGAGAAGCAGGAACAGCAACAGTCGTAGTATATCAACTTTTTCCCTTGCATTGGCATGCCGTTAAAAAATATCCGTGGACCAGGAAAGAGTGAGAGTGGTGGCACATTTACTCCGAATTAGTATCAGTGCCACCCCAAAGACTCAGGAATTAATTCATCGCTCCAGACTAGAGCAATCGGGCACAAGGTCGTTAGCCCAAACCTCATTAGCGGAATCATGATATGGAGGCGCAGTCGAACAGCAGATCTTGATTGAAAAGGTGTGCATACTTGGAGGGCTTGGGAGTTGGAATTCTTCTTCTGGGTTCCCCGCCAAATGATGACTTGGGTGGTTATCATCAGCCAAACTAACTCCCATCTTCTCCAGTACGATTGATTGATCTATCTATCTAATGTCTGATCTACTAGCTAGAGAACACAAAGCATTGAAGTTTCTCAACAGATCGAAGGCCTGATACGATGATTGAGCGATTTGAGCCGAATAATCTGTGCGAGCGAGAGACAAAAAGCCTCAATGATGGCCCAAAGAGGAAAAAAAAGACAATCAGCTCTCAACAGAATCAAACGCCTTCAGCCGCGTCGATCTGACCGTCGAGTTTTCACTTTTTACCTCCTCTATCTAACTAGTCTAACTAGTAAGCCGACGGATACGAACAACCTCACTAATAATTCTTCGCTGATTGCTCATTTTCTGCGCCCACTCCGGTGGTTCACCCTTCACTGTCCACTGCCTGGTCGCCGTTTTTGCCCCAGATTACCCACTTTCTGGTAAAGACTCTGATCGACCGTCAGACGGTACGATGTTTGACGGGGTTCCTTGTCCTCCTGATCCGTTGAGGCTTCGATAAAAATGAAGCATCCAATCACTCCTTCGAGGATTGCTTGAGCCCTCAATAATAAGCTCGTATCTCAGCCTCCTCCAGGGTAGTTCTCGCTGATTTGTCGTTGATTCCGACATCTTGATTCGCATGAGACACTCGGACTCCCAGCAGTCTAGGTAACTAACTCGGTCGATTCGTCCTTTATCGCTTTCTAGCTTTCAGACTCTAAACAGGTTAATGTTGACACTACCAACAGACCACTCACTAAGAAGAATTCAGCTCTTCAGACCCTTATGTGCCCTTATGTGCCCCGTTTCAACTTTTGAGCTCTAAATCCGATTATGAGTTGCAGGCTCTGTTAGCCGAGGTGATGCCCGATCATGAACCAGTCTGATTACGCATGCTTGCCAGCCTCGCAAACAGCAAGTCTGGTTGCTGAAGTACCAAGAGTCTCCTTTAGTGCTGTTCTTTCCGAATCCGCGCTGTTGTTTTGCAGCATAGTTCGACTCCTTTCCATCAAATATCGACCTTAAGAAGACCCTGCCTACTTGATACTCGGAAGGCAGAGGTATATAATACCACTGCATATGCCAAACTTCCGACTCGACGTCCACGACAAACCAACTTGAAACATCGCTACAGAACTGCATATCATATCTCGTTTCCTGGCATCTGATCGATCATCGAATACTGTACGCAAGACCATGCTCATGTAGTGATGCCGGCAATTCATCCTTCACTGCTCAATAGATCTCTTGATACTCCCAGCAGTGCCAGTAATGCCCTGCAGGTGATTTGTGCCTGGCCAGTTTCTGGTCAGTATGGACCCGGAACTCGAGTTTTGTACGTGAATCCCAGCCGGAAAACATCTGCATACGTCTTTCCTAACGATCCCTGGTATGTCGCAGATACTATGTCCTTATAGCAACCTGCGTCTTCGGTCGCCGGGCTGAATGGATCAGAAATGCTTGTCTGGCTGCTGCCCTACTATTCCCAGCCGTCGCTGGCCTTCATGGAATTGTGCTTGCATCCTTACACAATGATGGTATATTGAAACCTCCAACCTATACCTTGGTTCCGCAGCCCAACTAATCACAAAGACCGTCTAGACGCAGTTGATATGGACGTCTTCGGGGCATTTCAATTTTGCTCAATCGGCGTCTTGACTGCCCCGGTCACTGTCCGACTCTCTCGAACCTACTTCAATGAACCTGGTCGAAACATCATCTTTCTCTGGACTGGACTCATTCTCGCGGGTAAGTCTCTTGCTTAGTCGTGTTTGAAAATACTTGGCTGACCACTGGGTTGTTTTCTTGCGCAAACAGGACTTGTGAGCTTAACGGTGGAGTTTTATCGGATCACAACTCATAACTGCATGGTGGCCGGCCACCCATTATCCAAGAACTCCATGGATTTCCTCTACGGAGATACTACTTGTGGCCTCACTTGCTCCGTTGAAGAAGGCCCGTTCTCCCCCATGCGAAGAGATGCAGCAAACAACATATATGTCATCCCGGCACCAGAAAGGTTGACATTTGGCGCTGCAACTCTGCTTGCCGCTGCTTGCTGTATCCCGGCCGTCCTCTCGATCGTTTCCATGTGGAACAGGATCCTTGATCTTAATTGGACGAGGCGTTTTGGAAATCCGAAAAGAGACATAAAAAGAGACGAAGAAGTGATCGAGGGCACCAATGGAGCGACCTTTGGGTCAATGAAGAATGTCAACGAGTTGATCAGGTCGTTCTTGAGGGTTGTAGAAATTCCGCTGTTTAGTGCAGCAGTGCTCGTCATTATTATAATTGGCGAGAGGAACTTTTTCAGCCATCAGGTCCAGTACCAGACGGAGCCGATTCAGAGCATAGGTACGTCAACATCAATCATCGCCCAGGATAAGATGCGCATTTTCTGACTCATCTCTAGGGCAATGGGCGCCGATAGTTGGTGCTGGACTTGCTGTAATCGGATCTCTCTCTCTATTTCTTGCAGTGGCCGTCGACGATGAGCAAGTGGAGGCTGAATCGGGGCTGAGCAGCACTCCCGCTAGTTCTCCCCGCTGGCGGCCGAGTAGCGACGATGGGTCAGCATCGACGACCCCCACTGAATGGGCTACAGACCACCCCCATAGTCCTCCGGAGGCCGCGATGGGGATAGTGCGGACGCCCACTCAAGGTACTGTACGGCAATTGAAACGACAACATACCGAGGACGTTGGTAAGAGGCGGAAAGTGGCCCAGATGCTGATCAAATTCAGTGAACGTATTAGCAACGCGGCGTACGATCGATATAGTGGCACCGATTTCATGCGTGGCCCAGCCACCGGATTTCCTGAAATCCCTGGTGAGGACCTCAGGAACGGCGACCTAGAAAGAATTCGGCGGTCATACAATCCACATCTTACTGAACTGGCCACGCCAGTCTCTCCCGGGCAGACATCGCGGATGGGAAGCGTTGCTGGTAGCATTTACTCCCACGTCGACCCTGAACATAGTCCAACGGCCTTAAGGCCTGTCTCACCTACCCCTAGCATAGCTAGAAGATCACGAGCTAGCATGTCTCAGGATAGACGGCTATCTGAGGTACAAGCGCCTACCTCATATTCTCCTAGCGCGGCAAGAAGTAGCTCAAGGCCACGCGGAAATACGCTTGAAGTGCCAAGGGCACCGCCTCGAGCCCACAATCCTGGAACGCGAAGCAGATCGTCTACTGCTCCGGATAGTTTCTCAGGCGGCTTGTCCATCGCAGACACCGCGCCTGTGATCATCGTCTCTCCTGATCTGGATATGCCCTCACCTGCACAAGATTCACCTCAAAATTCGCGTCCACGTCCTTGAGCGTGCAGAACATCCTGCCTTCACTCACCCATTATCATCTGGCCAAGATGATCAAGATGGTGCCGACCATTCAAGAACCCCCCCACCGCCCCTTCTCTGCCCTCGGCCCATGGATCCATTTATGGGAAGCCGTCTGTACTGAGGGAAGAACAGACAGACTTGTGAAATCTGGCTTTCTTCTAAGCCGGCTGTGTCAGAATGCACTAGCTTGATTCACGAAGCTGATTCTTGGAAACTATCTCCACCAGTCTCCTAATCCGCGATCATCATACAGTCTTCATTTGGGATGCAAGTCAGATCTTTGAGCAGTCTGAATTGAAATCCTACGACCCAGCCAACATCGCGGGCTCACATGGCCGGTGAATGAGGAACAGAATGGCATATATCTGGAACGATCAGACTATCCTTGCTGATCCCCCCTGATAGAATTCAGGCCTATGATGATCTGCAGAGGAGACTTGGGCAACCATTGTCTTCTCACCCCAGCAAATATTCCAACCTGTACATGCTTACAAGCAATGTACGAAACAAACACATTACCGCCCTAGTTACTGCCCTAAAAGTGGTACAGTGACAGGTACAGTGCTGACTCAGAACACCCCGGTTCGACAGATATCCGGACTCGGTGGTTGTTCACCTCCTCATGTTGAGAGCCCGAGGTACTGAGGGCCCTTATTAGCCAGCCTGTCGAGCTGCCCCTACGCAATCTTTGTATATCGAATTCGTACAGCAGCGCCTTTCGCCTCGGCTCAGCTATCACTTCCAAATGAAGTTCTCTGGTCCTCTGGTATCAGAGGAATACACCCTCGGCTACTGCAGAAATCCCCCCCTGTAGTCAACCGTCCCGTCCAAGCGAACAGCATATTGTGCCGTACGCGGTCAACTCGCAGTCACACTGACCGAGTGTATCATCTAATGTATATCGATAGCAGTTGCAGAATCTTAGAAATAATGTATACTTCTAACTCTGGTAGCTATGATCTGATCCTATTGCATTGCGCCCTTTAATGGCAGAATACATCTGCTCTGGACAACTTGCTACGATCTGAGGATGGCATCGGGGGACTCAGATGGTGTCTCTGTCACGAACAGATAGAGAGGGATATCTGGGCAGTATTTTATCGATAGAGACCATTTTTGAAAGTGTTTTTTTTATATCTCACCAGCAGGGGCATAAAATGTTAATCGAAAGGATCACTCTATGGTCTCTGACAGGTGCTCCGGAATTCTTTGCCATCAAACATCGTTATTCATAAGTCTCGAAGCATAACAAATTGAAAAAAAAAGCAAACATTAATATCAGTACAGGATATCCGTCGTTAGAGTCGTGAGCCCAATCCTTCTATATAATCCAGGGTATAGCGGCGGAAACATGCAAAGGTACGCCGAGTGATTAAAATGATAATGTGAGAAGAAGGAAAAGCGGTGGCAAAAAAGAATAGAAAACAAAAGAAAACAAAAGAAAGAAGGGGAACAATTGGAAAAACAAAATCATCCACGTAGAGCAACCAACACCCACTTGCCCTTATCATTGCGTTGGATGAGTCCCTCACTTAGGGCCCAGTTCCGCAAACCAATGTCCTCTTCTTCCGGGACGGAGTGCTCGTCCTTCTCAAAGTGCCGTCCAACATGTTCCATCCGCTCATTCCAGCTGGCCGGGCCTGAGAATTCCTTCGCGCAGAATCCGCACTGACTCTGTTGAGGCGGCTTGCGTTGCTCACGCCAGCAGCGGGACCGAACATCCTCAAGGCTGACCTCGAACGCTTGCAGCTCCTGCGCGCTTGCAGATCGACCCTCGAGCACCCATGGGGCATGCATGCGACGCTGATGCTGCGTGAAGAGGTCTTTGCGGTTGAAGTCTTTGCGGTTGAAGTCGTTCGTCTGGCGGGCAGAGTGGTCGTGAGACGCAGAGCGACTGCGGGATGAGCCGATGGCATGGCCATACTTCTTCCTGCTGGCTTTGTGGCCATCGTCGCAATTATCGACGTCACATCGAAAGTAGCCTAGTTGGAGGTGCTGTGACCCAATGTGTCGTTTCCATTCATTCTTCGAGGTGAAAATACTGGTGCAGCCGTAGTGTGAGAAGCTGCAGACGAAGAGGCGCGGGGACGAAGAAGCTCTCTTGGGCGTCTTCTTGCGGCCAGTCTGTTGGGCTAGAGTAGATGTTGCCGCCTTGCGTCGTGACTTTTCCGCCGTGACTGGCTTCGTGACACGACCGGATTGCGATGTCTTCGGCGCGTTGCGGCGAGTTTTTCCACGTCCAGCTTGCGGCAAAGATGCGCGGCGAGCAACTATCTCTCCACCGGTATGAATACCACTCATGGCTTCTGTACTGTTTTCTGCCTCATCGACTTGATTATCCCCGTCATATACAAGCAGCTGCGGTGGTGATAGGGGGTACATTGGCTCCACGATTGGCTCGGGATCAGGATAGCTTTGTATCTGAGGAAGTGCAACCGAGTCGGTCGCTGATCCAGCCGGTGAAGAATACCTTCCGACGTTGGATGAGGGGACTTTTGGATCGTCGTAGATGGAGGGAGGAGACGGGTAGGCTTCCATCAAGCTGCTCGGCGCAAAGTTCCCGTCGCAACTACTGCGAGGACTCTCTACGCCAGAGGTTGATGAGATATCGTTGTTCCAAGAAGACGCGAGATGGTATGCGTTAGGGGCAGCAATATGAAGCCCCGCATGGGCAAATGGAGGCGGGCCGACGGCATGTGGGGAAATGGACCCGTCGATCCAGGTTGTATACGCAGAGATATAATGGCCTTTATCATGGGTTGGAAGCTGCGACAACTGCAGCTGGAATGGGGATGATTCTTGGTGGAAAGCGGGACTCATGTGAGGATCGGGAGAAGGGTAAAGCTGGTAATCTTCGAACGAGGTACGATCAACAAGATCGATGGGAGGAATCTCTGCGTAAGCGAATGGATGCATCTTGCAGCGTATTCAGCACCCTTGGCTTTTCCTGACATAGACCGACCATGAAGAAGAGAAACTAAGGACCAGCAAGGTAGCTTTGGTTCTTTATATTGTTCACATGAATAGGGGGATTCAACTCTCCTTCTGGGAAATGAGCCCTAGCGAGCGGAGTATACATCATACAGGGTAGTCGATGGGGTGGCGCAGGAATGCTAGACGCAGCATTCCCCAGACCGTAAACCTCGCAGACCTGTGATTTGACACAGTTGAGCCGCATCGACCTATTGCTTTGGTCGCTTACTCGCGACGAACAGCCGGGCGCCCATTCGCTCACCACGGATCAGAGTTGATTGCAAACTGGGCCAACCGAGTCGCAGTACCCCTGCGAATGCATGAGTGGTGGTCATCTGCGAATCGCTGGCGGTCGAGCGTCTCCCAGTGGATGATTGTTATTGTTTCACCCGCCCCTTTTTCTTGCTTGTTGAATCAGCATCTTCTGTAGAATCTAGTGCCGAATGTCTGGCTATCCTGCGACTGCGAGTTTGACTTTGACCCCTGGGGCACAGCCGGCCAAAAACAGAAACGCTCGTCGATTGCACAGCTGGGAACCAGGGTCAAAGAAAGCGGTACTCACTAGTTAATCGCGGTCCTCGTGGCTCTGAACTTGGAGGCCGCAGACCGGGATCTGCGGATGTACCAGGGTTGAGGCCTTGGGGAGCCTCCATCAATCAATAGAACTAGGATATCGCCCAGCGGTTTTCACAAATCTTCATCCACAAATAACGCCAGTTCATCTCGCTGTACATTAGTGTAGACAGCCACGAAGATAGACCAGTCGAGCGCCCAATGCTTTCTGGAAATTTATCATCATTTGCCCAAGCGAGCCAAGCTATCCATACTCCATAGAATACCGTGTTGATGCCAGTGTTAAGGTCGTCGATGCATGCAAGAGCGGCTCAGAGGCTCAGAGCCAGAAAATAATCAGTCAATAACAATACTCCGAAAGATTGTCGCTATTATGCAATACCTACAGATTGCAGGCAAAGTCGTCTTCGTTCCTTTTTTTTTTTTTTTGGTTATTCTCCTTTTTTTTTCACGTTGCCCGAATATCCATGGCGAACCGCCAAAAGCAAGCATAGCACCACACCAAAGAGGAGACGTCAGCCACACAGATGGACAGATAGGCAGTGTTGTATTCCACAAAAGTACATGGCTGCATATTCATATTTCATCATGCATTAACTAGTTTCTTTGGGGGCCGTCTGCGAAGCGGGGGCAGTGCGAGTTAGGTGAGTTGGTCAGTTCACAGTTGGCTGTTCAGCGAGTCCCAGAAAAAGCGACGAATAGCGGGATCCAGTCCCTGGGGGAAGATCCATCATCACCCAACCATTAATATTAGAACGGGCAAGGTCGGACATATCTCTCATGACTCGAGGAGGGCGAACCAGCTGTAGGGACTTGGCCAGAACAGGTAAGATTCGAGGCCCATCATCATAATTCCACCCCCTCCCCCCAGCGGTTGCCTTTTGGTCCAGAGGCATCCGATTTCTTTTTGTTTAGATGAGCCTCGTGTTGCTGGTTTCACAGAGACGCTATGATTCAGCCACCTGTGCCCGATGGTATCTCCAACCATAGACGATAAACCAGATGGAGCAACCATACTAGCGAGTAGCGATCCGAATGACGACTGGGTAGACTCCACAATGAGAGTGAGCGGAATTATTTCTCACGAACTGTTGATACTCGATAGATGATGGGTAGTGGGAGTATGCCTGGAACAATTGGGAAGGAGACTTTATCCTGCACATCCTGTCTGCATTGTCGACCGAGTTTCAATCCCCTGGTCATCTCACGAGTCTAAACTCGTAGGAGGTATCAAGCCGACATCTGGCCATGAGTTTAGTCTGTTAGGGCAGTGCACATCGTGCATAAGGATGATGATGAAAAGTCTGGTCGCTGGAAGATGGACCAAGTGCGCCTGGCGAGGCTCAACCAAGACACCATGGAGACATCATGTGACTGCCAGCACATTGCCTCATATATTTCTACAGACAAGAGTTTGATTTTTCGACCAAACAGATATAGTACAGTAAGTAACGAGTGGAATTGGCTCTTCCCCATGGAAGCCGCTCCATCGAGCTCTTAGAGGATAAACGGCAAAGAATGGAAGCACCATCACATGCTGGATAGACAGAGCAGAGAATCGAACGTATACAACCACAGAGCACTTGATATGAATCATAGAGGGCCAACAAGCCTTTCTGACAATATGGTCAACCGACAAGCATTGTGTTGCTATCCAATGGACCGCCGACTACTTATCTGAGCAGCAGTCTAGACAACACTTCTTAGCTGGTGGTGATATATGTCGTTGTTGACATAGACTTAGGACAGCACCATACAATACCAGTCACACCGATGCATCCAACTCAACAACAACAACAACAACAACAACAACCAACATCTAGGCATGGTGGAGTCCATAACCGCCTGGATTATACTCCGATCAATGCTCTCTGGCGCCACCATTTTCATATGACTGCAGGTTTGGCCCCATGCACAACCAATGATCTTTGAAGCGGGATAAAGGGACCAGATGATGAAACAAACTCTCTTGGCTTGAAGATAGTCAATATGTTGTGTTTCATCCAGTTTATTCAGAGTGAGGGGAGGATAGAAGCTTCTTAGCTGTGACAGATGAGATACAATCAGGTATCCTGTGGAGAGATTATTTGCATCATTTCATGCGTTGAAAGTAGGTACGGTCACCTATGAGGTTAAGAATTATGATATAGATGCACCCGTTGTTCATTCATTAATGCATTTAATATCATGCCAAAGCGTGGAAGGGCCAAAAGCTTGTGTGTGGGATTGGAACCAAGGCAACAATACCATACATCAGTTTATTATATCAAGCTGTATACTTGTACTTTTAAGCAGGAGCTAACTCCATAATGACCGCCTGTGAGTATATAAATTTAGCAATATGGCGTGAATACATAAGAGTAGAAGTCACCCTTCTACTCGTCCTTCACCTTGCGGGACCTCTTCTTCGGCACGCGAATGAGCCAGTACAAGAAGATGGCAGCAACCGCATTGAACACAATATACACGAACAAAAGCCCAACGTTGCGCCAGCGATCCGAGTAATTGATATTGAGTCCTGCCAGGAAAGTGTCCGTATCAGCTATGGGACACACCTTGCAGTTCGATGTTGCCTCGGGATTGATTAGTTTGCCACCAGACATCTGAGCATATGGGTCCAGGAAGCTTGAGCAGTTCTGGCCTTGCGGAGGAGGGACCTGCAGGATCTCGATATCGGAACATTCGACACTGGTCCCTGCCAAGCCGACTGATAATACAGAGGATACGAGGTAGGTGAAGGGCGATAATCTATACATGAATATCCAGAACCCTGGAAGGGCAGTTGGACTCGCAAGAACACTAACCCGCATGTCAGTGATATGTCCAAGTCAAAAGACCGAAGCTGGTCATCGTTTCAGAGAGGGAGTTGAACCTACCCATTGAAGATGAGACACAAGGAGAACAATAACTGTGCAATATTGCTACCAGTTTCCGGCTGTTCAATTCCCGCAATGATCATCGAGCTGAAAGTAGACATGAACATCATGAAGACCAGGATCAGCAGAAACATTGTGCCACCGCGCTCAGTCACGCTGTCTGTCGGATACGCATTGCGATAAAGCCCAATCGGGTAGTACCAGCAGAAGTAGGCCGGCACGGCCATCAAAATGTTCCAGGGCAGTTCAACAAGAATGCTGGAAAGCATGAATGCTTTCCATGAGTAAGCCTTCGAGGGTCGCTCACGCACTTCATATAGTGCTCGCTGAGTCACGAAATATGGCATCATCTGTTGGACCAAGTTGGGGAAGATAACAAGCAGCATGAATATGGCGAACATTTGATTCTGCATGCCCTGCAAACTGGTGGGCTCGCGCCAAAAGGTAAAGCCGATGAAAAGTGGCTATATGAAGATTGTTAGCAAATCATATCTAGATATTTGCTTCCAAATACTAGCAGTAAGAAAATCGGATTCCTCACTGGAATGATGCATGTCGCCGCTTTGGAGTAGATATACGATGGACTGCGCCAGTACTGCTGGAGCATGCGCTGGAGACAAACAAGGAATTGAGCCCAGAGAGGCATGGCAAACTCACCATACTCCTTTGTTCGAGGAGGTGGAGGGTGTTGTAGTAACTCTCCCTTCATCTGGGCTAGTTCCTCTCGTACTTGGGCACGTTCCTGGCTGCCCTTCCAAACTTCGGGCCAGTCTTGATCTGCATGAGATCCAGGGGCAGCACCGATGACTTCCAACATCCATTCGGCAGGGTTGGCATTTTTGGGGCAGTGTATAGATCCTTTGTTCTCAAAATACTTGATCAAGGTTTCCATGTTGGGACCAAGCTCTCCAAAGTACACCGTCCTCCCTCCCCTGGCGAGAAAGAGCAACCGGTCGAATTGTTGCATCAGAATGGCGGATGGCTGATGAATAGTGCATAAGATTGCCTGTCCGTGGTCTGCAAGCTTTCGCATGAGGGTACAAATAGACCAGGCTGTTTGACTGTCAAGGCCGGAAGTAGGCTCGTCAAAGAAGAGAAGTAGGTCTGGTTTGGCCGCGATCTCGACTCCAATCGTCAACCGCTTCCGCTGCTCAACATTTAGACCCTCTCCGAGCACACCAACGACAGCCTCCGCATATTCTTCCATACTAAGCATCTTGATCACCTCCTCAACATAGGCCAGCTTTTCCTTTTGCGGGATACTGGCCGGCTGTCGGAGTGTGGCACTGAAGACGAGGGCCTCCCGAACGGTACTAGTTTCCAAGTGTAAGTCTTGCTGTTGAACATAGCCAGTCTTGCGCTGAAAAGAATCATCTCTCATGCGGCCGTCAACCAGCATCTCGCCAGTGATAACACCCATGGTAACACGGTTCGCTAGAACGTCCAGCAATGATGTTTTGCCGGCACCAGTCACTCCCATCAGCGCTGTCAATGTCCCTGGTTTAACCCATCCATCAACATGGTCTAAGATCCGGCGCGTTTCGCCCTTGACCTTGATATCGTAGCATACGTCTTGCCAGTGGAATATCGATGTTTGCTTAACGATCGCAGCCGTACCGTCCTGCGCTGCGTTCTCCAGCTTCTGCTTCTCCGAAGTCGGCGCTCCCTCCAGGTCGCCATCACCCGGGGTCTTTTTGGCAAAAGCAGGAATCTTTCCGCGGGGGAAAACCAGAATCTCTCCCTTGGATGGTTTAGCACGAACCAGCTCACTGCATATGATGTAGGCTGCCAGGAAGAACAAAAGGAAACCGACAATGATTCCGTAATTGCGCCACAAATGGGAACGGTAGTACCGATATGAAGTGTTGATGAATGCGTCACCATCAATAAAATCTTGACCAGCCACAGCACCTTTCTGGGAGCAGATGCTGGAGCTGAGAGGAACATTCTCATAACCCGGCCCGGATGGCACATACAATGCACAGGGAAATTTTCTGTCGCTGAACTCGTTGATCATGAGAGATTCAAAGGCATACTACTTGACTGTTAGATGAAATATGGAAGGGGGAAAGAATTGTACTTACGCCGATCGGATTCAGGTAGTTCAGCCATTTGAACCAGGGATGCATATCTCTGACTGGGATGGTGAATCCAGTGTATATGACCAAAATCATCATGAAGATCGAGGATGGAACCATTGCCTGGGCCATTGATCGGGAAATAGCACCAATCCATCGGAAGATGTTCGACATGGTTAGAGTGGTTGTCACCGAGAACAGGTAGAAAATAAAGAAGTGACCTGCAGTACGACGGAGATTGGTCATGAAGTAAATGATGATGTTGAATGTTATAGACACTAGGATCTTTGAAGGCAAATCGACAATCATGGAACTGATTGCTTCTGCCGAGGGGTGATAAAGCGCGTACTTGTCATGCTTTTCCACTATTGGGCGTTGCTGCCACAAGGTCAAAATCTCGAGAGAGCTTGCAAATGCATTCAGTAGGATGGCAAAGAAAAGGAGTGCACCACGAGAGTAGAAGCTATTCGTCGTCTCGTCCAGGTTGTAGAACACACTGGAAACGATGAACGCCATGATGCTGTTGCCAATGACCGTCGCCAGAGTCATACTCATATCGCCCTTGAGCCGAAGGAAGCCTCGCCGTAGACATAAGCGAACTTGCATTGGGTAGGAGAGAGTATAGGGGGATGGCGCCCGAGTGCCCTTGGCCTTCTCTGCAGCACGGGAAAGAGTAAATTCCTCGTACTTTCTTCCGCCCAAGGGAAACTCATTTTCAAACGCGTCGATATCGGCCAGGAGCTGTTTTCTGTCCGCGCTGTCCTTCCAGCGAGCAGCAAACTCGTCTGGTGTTCGAGGAACAAGGCTGTCAAATCCTTTTCGAACCAGTCTCTCCGAGGGACTGGTCAACGACGTCAAGAAGTCAGCGGTAGTCTGCCTGTCAGGGCAGTCAAACCCCATCTCGATGAAAAAGCGCCTCGCGTCTCTTGCTTTTCCAAAATAGATCTGACGTCCCTCGTAGAGCACAATCACTTTGTCGAATATGTCGTAAATGGCTTGGCTAGCCTGGTAGATGGCCACAATTGCCGTCGAACTTGTGTAATCAGTGGATAAACGCAAGTTTTTGACGAATTCCAGCGCCGTTGAGCTATCAAGACCACGAGTACTGTTATCCCAGCACTGCAAGGGACTGCCACAAAGTGTGGTTTCCGCAATGCTGACTCGCTTTCGCTCTCCTCCTGAGACGCCACGAATGTACTCATTTCCCACAGGTGTGTTCATCGTATGGCTCAGGCCGAGCATCGCCATGACCACATCCCGCATATGGGTTGCATATTGTTCACGGGAGACACCGGGGAAACGATTGGCTGGGGCCCGCGCATGGGCAGCGAAGAGAAGGGTTTCGCCCGCGGTCAGCTGGGGGAAATGAATCTCGGTTTCTGCCTGATAGATAACTTCGCCCCGGAAGCGACTATGCATCTCGTGCCATGAGATGCCCTGGTATTGTATATCGGTCCCCTGGTCCAGCCACAATCCATGAGTTTCGCCAGCAATGGTCTTGAGAAAAGTTGAGCAACCACTGTGTGAAACGATAGTTAGCACCGTTCGCGCTTCTGGGAACACAAAAGGGATGGGCACTACTTTACCTTCCAGGTCGACCAAGCACGACAAGCATTTCACCGCTGCGAACATAGCCCTCAAAATTTCGCAAAATATCTATGCGAACCTTATTGCCACATCCGAGCACATTTCTGAGCCATCCCCAGCCTTTGAGCCACATGTTGGCCACATCGGCCTGATAGTCTGCTGCGGTGCCGTAACCATACGCATTCAGATTGCGAAACGACACACCAGCCGTACGACGGGGGTATCGATCTGGATCGCGCGAGGTAATGTGCAGTAGATTCTTCATCCATTTGCGCGAATTGAAATTGTCGGAGTTGGGATCAAGCTCAGGGTCGCCGGAGGAATCAAGAAAAGTGTTAGTTGGGCCCCCGTGACCACTCTTCTGGGACATATGTGACAGGCTGCGCGCAAGAGTCGCAATCTTGTCATGCTCTGCCTGGTCAATGCCATCATCCGAGTCTGCCTCCATCGTTTCAGTACTGTCTGCCTTTTCTCCCACTAGAGTATCAATGCGATCAGGTTTGGTCTTGTCGACATGACGACGGACGGAATTGTCAGTATCTATCCCAGCAGTGGACGAGATAGCAGCAGCTCCAAAAGGAGCCGGCGCTGGCGGTTGGAGACCCATTTTCAGGGTGAACAACCAGTAGTGCTGAACGGCTTATGCTATCTCTGACATGACACAAAGAATAGGTGAGGACGCTCAAGAGCCCAAATAAATATGCTCAAACAGCACAGACTCAGCAGTGGGGCGAGCTTGCCAAGAGAGCCACAAGAGATGAGCAAGAGAGCAGGAAGTCAGAGCAACGAACAAAGAAGACATATCTTCGAGAGGATGGATGTCACAATTCAGGAGCCGAATCCCAAGATCTCGAGAGCACGGGAAGCGGAAAGAATCACATCCGATCCGAGGGAAAGCAGGATTAATTGAAATGCGACGACAGCCAGGCAGGATGGGAACGAACCCGAGACGCGGCTTCAACTATGATGTATCTACGTCGTACCTAGGTGGTCTTATGATGAAAGTCTGGCGGCCACTCGCTGTAGCCGATTGGGAGATCGGAGAGGATCGAACCCCCGTGGCGAGTCAGCATCATCCTTGAAGTCTGGATGTCCACATATATCATCCTCGTTGTTGTCGTTGTGTTGTGCCTAAGTAAGATGATGGCTCCATGAGCCATAGTTAGTACTTCTTAGTAGTACCCAAGAACTAGGGAAGTTAGAAGTACGGAGTAACAATTTAACAACAGGCTATCTACGGAAAAGTGGGGTCGCTATCAGTCAGTCCTGGGGTATCAGGAGATGGCTCATCGGAAGGCAACATGAGCAGCAAGCAAAGACATTCGCATTTTGTTTTCAGAGGAACTATAGGTAGGTAGTCTATGCTCCCTTCACTTGGAAATTTTACAAGTATACTCCGTAGGTTAGGTTTTGCTGGACTGTATGAGTTATTATTATGAACAGAGACTGTTTGATGCCTGAGGGGTCCATATCCCGATAAGGCAGTTGCTGCTTTGTGGGCCCGCACTGCGATTCTCGACTGCTGATTGGTCTCGTATTCCATTCGTATCCGTTTTCACGTTCCCTGTTCCAAGTTCCCGTGCTCAATCCCCGGATCTAACTGCTTTTGGCTTTAGCTCAGTTTCATCTATACCTGCCAGTTCATGGAAGTTGGACACGGTACCTAGGTATGGCACCCAAGATGAAAGGTACTAACCATCTTACCTAGCTATCGATCACTACTAATACTACTACTACTACTACTACTACTACTACTATATTTAACTACTCTGGCCATGTATTTCGGCACATCAGATCTTTCTGGAATATCATTTATCTCGGCGATCTCGAAATATCAGAATACACAAAGGCAAATGGGCAGAATGCATGTGAGTTCAGTGTCTGGCTTCAAGATATACTTCATATCATGTGCCAGGTCATTGATATAGGGCGGGATATCTTCATATTTTCTACTCCGTAGGCAGCTGGGAATTCGTGCCACCAAATGTGGCTTAGAAAACTGAGAACGAGCCTCCAACGGATTTCTTCATCTGGTGATCTCTGCAGTACATGCGGAGGGAGGATGTCAATTTCTGGGAACAAGGACCTTGTGAGGCCCCTTTCTCGACAGTCTATACGCACTTCTTGCTGGTTTAAAGCTGACATGAACTACACAACTTAGGTGCCTACAATTATACAAATTATCCAGACATAAACACCGTTCTCAAGCTAAGCAGTGGAACAGGTGACAAGGAAGGACCTGGCCTGGCGAACATGTGGCTATACGCTTACAGATTCTGTCGCCTGCATCCATCCCAGCCTAGATCACGCCACCAGCATACGCCACATCAATGCTCTGACATGGCAACCATGAGGAAAGCTGTTCTCGTACTGTGATCATCTATCAGGGGAAGGATCTATACCGACAGAATTCCGTTGTCCTTCCTCTAGAGAGGGACTCCTCTGACCTCCACTGACCCTGAAGTTCCGTCAGTAGAGCTTGAAGATCCCGTTCTCTCTTGGAGACCTCGGCGTGATGGGTGTCATGAGCTGGCTAGAATTGAAACTAAGCTCTGATGAAAGAAGTCCAGTCTATATGACACTACAGCTACGGATACACACAATGTAACCCACTCGCAAGGTTTGGGCTTACCACACCTCAATGAAGCCGTTTATCCCAGCAAAATAGGCCGTCCCTGGGAAGCTCAAGTGATCAATCAATTGCCGTCCGCAGCGGCTTACAGCATCATATCCCGTATCGTTTTCGGCTGATTACCAACACAACGCGCCGACAGACTGAGATGATAGAAGGACTCTAGATCATCATGTTGACCTCGCAGGGAAATTTCGACACGAACTTCAATGAAGGAAGCGCCTCAAAGCTCTGGATGGACTTCGCCTGAAGATTGAAATCTGTGCCCCAGATATCCGAACAAGCTGATTAGCAATTCCCTTTATATTCTGCGCAGATATGACTGTTAAGGGAACAGACATTCTGCCATCTTCCGGTTGATTCCCTAATTGCCTCTTTTAACCGCACAAATAGTGACGGGCGATACTTATGCAGGATCTGTCGAATATGCATCTGAGTTAATTGGGCAATTCGCTTCTCTTCTACTAAAAAACAGAACTTTTCCCCTCAGACCTTCGAGTGCTGCAGTCTTTTACGCTGACTGATACTTCCTCTTCCTGTATCGAACCAGCACATCACCTAGAAGGCTTGGATGGGGGGCCGAGGGTCATCTGGCCGTTTCTTCGGATGCAACGGTAGTCCACGCGCAGGGGGGCTGAACGTCCCTTGCCATGTTCTCTTCTCAGCCTTGTTGTCTCCCAGACTTGCAATTTCTCGGCCTCATCCGGACTGCTCGCGTGTTACTTCGGTGTCTGCCTATAAAGCCGGGCCTATACCTTGGCCGGCAATCATAACGCGAGCAAGCACTTTAGTTCAGTCAGCTTAAAAGAGTGCGCTATATTTTTTTGGACATGTATAAATAGCACAGCATCGCACGAAGACACCTTTATTTCCATCCACAGACATCGGCATCAACAAAAACGAGAAACTGAGCTGTGTCTTTCTCCGTTTCCTACCGCGCCTTGGAACCAGATATCCACACCCTGACCGACTCTGCAAGAATATAAAATGGCGGTATGAGATGGGTTTTCCCATTTATCCTTTCCGCCATCATTTTCTAACCCTTCAGCAGGAGTTCCAACCGGGCAATCGAGTGAGGTACAAAACCGATGCTCAAACCATCTGGATTGTGCTCGGCGTCACGACCAGATCGTACGGTACCAAAATCCTCATACAGAATCCGAATGAACCGGATCAAGTGTACCAGGTCAACCCTACCGACTTGCAACATGCCTGACATACTTCTGAGTCTGTCTTGGCTGATCGGAGCAGGAGCATTTTGTTGTATCTAGTGTGGTTTAGCGTTGGTGTTTTTTGGGTTAACGGAATTAAGGATTTCTTTTGCTATGACCAAGGTTGATATAGATAGAACTTATGCATCTCAATAGAAACATAGGTTGGCGATATTCATGTCCCTCTTCGAGACGCCAATCACTTGAATCACGATGCGCCTATGCCGGGGACTGTATGCAGTGGAGGATCAGCAGCAATAAGCGACCTTGGCAGATGGTTTCATAGTGGAGCGCAATTTCGTGCTGCTTGATGTGTGAATGGACCTTAACCTGTCAAACAACAATGGACTTTTCATCCAAATGTGATTTGTTGTGAAGCCGTTTTCCATATTAAATCTCCATCAAACTTCCCCCACAACAAAATGTATTTGTAGCTTTGAAATCCGCCCAGTGTCGAACGAATTCACACCGCATCAAGTATCTATCTACCACAGTCCACGATCAACCACTGGTACGAACGTACGAAACCATGTCTTCTATTGATGTTTCTCCCCATGATGGAGCAATGATAAATGCTTTCGACGATATCGAATCAACTGTGTCATCACACGAGGAGCAACCGCTGCTCCATGCAGTCGACGAAGACGTCTGGGTTCCACCCAGGGGCTTCCTCTGGGTGCAAATCAGTTGGTACATCACGAGGCCTTTTTAAGACATCATAGCCTAACCTCCCCATCCAGCCATCATGTCGAATGTGTTCTTGTCCGGCTTCGACGGCACCATCACGGCCTCAACATACGCAGTCATCAGCTCCGAGTTCAACGCCGCCAACAATGCCTCGTGGCTCACGACGTCGTATCTCATCACCAGCACCGCCTTCCAGCCTTTGTACGGTCGCTTTTCGGATATCTTCGGGCGGCGGGTGTCGTTCTTCACGGCCACGGTCACTTTCATCGTCGGTTGTCTGGGATGCGGTGTTGCGAATGATATTGTCCTCCTGAATGCCATGCGAGCGTTGACGGGAATTGGTGGTGGAGGACTGATGACAATGGGTATGTGTATCTCATTCTGTGACTGCGACTGCGGCGAGGGAGAGGAGCTAACGAGGTCAGCTACGATTGTCAACTCTGACCTGATCCCGTTCCGGCGCCGTGGTATGTACCAAGCGCTGCAGAACGGTGTGCATGGTTTTGGGTCTATCTGCGGTGCATCGTTTGGCGGCTCGATCGTCGATACCATCGGCTGGAGATGGTGTTTCCTGTTGCAGGTCCCCGTGGGAATTCTGGCGTTGGCCACGGGACATCTCGTTCTTCATCTGCCCCGGCCAACCCAGTTTGCAGAGCAAGGGCAGGGTCTGCGTGCGATTCTGAAGTACGTTGATCTGTCTGGAGCACTGCTTCTAATCCTCGGTCTCTCAAGTCAGCTGGTTGGTCTGAGTCTGGGTGGGAACGTACTACCCTGGACCAATGGCTGGGTGATTTCGTCCCTCGTGGGCAGCGTGGTATTGTTGGCGCTTTTCATTGTCGTAGAGGAGAAGACACCGGCTATCCCCTTGATGCCGTCGAAAATGCTCCGGGGCCGCCTGCCCGTGTCAACCCAGATTGCCAACGTTTGCGTGGGGATGGCTGCGTATGCCGTGAGTAGACTATAGAACCTGCGTGTTAAATGTTGCGCTAACGAGAGGAGTTCCTTTTTACCCTCCCCCTGTTGTTCCAGGTGATTCTGCTCGATACCCCGACCAAAGCCGGCGCTCGACTGGCGATTCCGTCCCTGGCTGCCCCCATCGGCAGCCTGGTCTCTGGAATCGTCATGTCTCGCTGGGGAAAACTGGCACACCTCGTGCGTGTAGGCTGTATCCTCATGTGCGTTGGCAATCTGCTGGTCATGTCCATCCAATTCCAGGACGCTGCGTGGAAGTACTTTACGTACGTGATTCCGGCGAGTCTTGGGCAGGGAATCGTGTACCCGGGTATCTTGTTCACATTTCTCGCGGCGTTTGACCATGCCGGTATGTAGCCGTGTATCCTCAAAGAAAGCCAAGCTAACGATATGCACCGTTCAATCAGACCACGCTGTCTCCGCATCGACCGTCTACCTGATCCGCTCCCTCGGCACCGTTTGGGGCGTCGCTATAACATCTACTATCATCCAGAACACTTTGCGCTCAGGCCTTTCGAAGGCCTTGAGTGGAATACCAGACAAATGGAAAGTAACACCCCTCCTTGAAGGATCAACATGACACCCAAACTTGAGACAAAAGACTGATCAACTCCATAAATCTTTCCATAGATCATCGACGAAGTTCGACACTCGGTCTCTGCCATTCATGATCTACCCCCAGACATTCAGATGGCTGCCAGGCTGGCTTACTACCAAGGCATCAGGCTGTCGTTCTTGGCCTCTGCCTGCTTCGGGTTTGTTGCCACCATTGCTGCGCTCTTCGCCAAAGGCAAGTTCAGCAGGGCATAGCGGCCAGTCTGCGACCATCACTTTTTTTCTGATTTTCTGCGCGCAGAATCTACTAGATCGGCCTGTTGCTTAAGGCTTTATACATTAGATATAGTGTCTTAGCTCCTCCTGAATATAGCTTTATATCTCGATTGTAAGCCTAGTAGTGTTAGGAACGGTGCCAGAGAATAATCTCACTGAAGAGGCTAGATGAGGCATCAAGGCTGCGTTTTAGTATTTAGTTAGGCCAGCTATCTATATGGCATCCTATATTTCAGCTGGTGATTAGTTCTTCTTACTATAGATTATACTTCTTATGCTCCCTCTATACTGGTTACTGATTTATAATCTTATATTATAAGGATCTCTAAGAGAGAGAGATGCCTTAGCTACCCAGTGCGCTACTATATGGGTCTGGATTCGCAACTCGCGGTAATGTTGGTCTTTTAGCCTTATGGTCTACTAGTAGTATCCAGCTAGCATTCTTAAACTACATTCGACGCCATTTGAAGCTTTCATTTTACCAAGATCTTGGCCATTAAAGTATCACGTGATCATCACCAACCCACTTTTATCACTCCCCTTTTGTCAGGTGTTGGAGGCTTGGAGCCACCTCAAGCCTTCGGCTCTGATACATAAATAGTCCCTGCTCCCGCCTACTCGTAGTTTCTATTCGGAGAAATTCCTCTAAGGTGCCGTTATTCAATCACTCTATCTTGTCTTTGGCTCGGTCATTCCCTTCCGCTTTTCTTGTTCTGCTCGAAAAGCCACTGTGGATCGCGCTGACAAAAGTGAATGAGCTGGAGACTTTGTTCACCACACTGATGACCAGTGAGTCCACTTTGACATCATTTTGGTATATATGCTTATACGCTCAATAGTCATTCTGTCAACCTGACTCGTCACAGGCACAGGATCGCCAGGATATTCCCCCTTCCGGTTCGCGACACCGGCCACCAGGCGCCTGGCGACTTTGCTGAGTACATCACGCAAATTCCCCGGAAGACAACTCGGGGGACAGCAACTCACCAGGCGCCTGAGGCGTTTGTAGAGCACCTTAGTGGGAATGCCCTGGAAGACGATTCGCTGATCACCGCCGATGCAAGAGTCCGGAATCGCCTCTGGATTTGATGCTGATACTGGCAAGGAGATTGTGGGTTACCGAAATTGTATGACGAATGCCGAATGTAATTCTTTATCCTGTAAGTTGTTCTACCCGAGACATGTAGACATGTGGTCTCGATAGCCACACAAGCATATGGGTAATGCCAAGAGTTTGTATAGAACTGGTCAAATACAACGCCATTTGAGTCGAGCAATTTTCTTCTTATACAACTAGGAAGATAAAGATATTATCAAGCCTTCGCCAGCCAGTACCGTCTCCATGGGCGGATTGCTGTAGTCAGGTGATCGCCCGTCCTTACAGCCGATTACATCAGTATATAACTACATCTCGTCGCTCTTGCCTTCCATCGTACTCGCACCTTGCCAACGGATCTTCTCACCATGGACGCCCAAACTCCCCCTTTTTCTGTTTCTGTTTCCTCTCCTTCACCTCCTGCTGAATCCACGTCTGCACCCTCCACTACTCATGAAACACTCCCAACGTACCACGACTCATCAGACGATACCAGCATGCAGCTTCGTTTCCTCGAACCCTTGAACATTTCTAGTTGCCAGACAAAAGAATTCAAGGAGATCGAAGGCGAGCTGGTCAGAAAAATCAAAGCAGAACACATGGGATATCTGTGGTTCTTTGGCATCACCGAAGATACATTCTACCAACTTCAGGACGAAACCTCACGAAGCACCAGGCGCCTACACTGCTTCTACAATTTCGACGAGCAGAAGCTCCGCGTCAGGATGCCCGGGAGAGTTCACGACAGTCTCGCTGCCCAGCTTTTCTTCCTGATCTGTGACAAGCTGAAATCGGCGGGCCTACTCAACACTGCTTGTGTACCGAACCTCTCCCCCTTGATTAGACTTGGGAACATTGCCGCTGAGCCAGATGGATGCTGGGGCCCCTTAAACAGCGAGCACTTCACAGTTGGCATTGAGGTCGGGAATTTAGAAAGCGACAACGAACTCAGTCATGACGCTCGACATTGGATCGAGCATGCCGAATCATCCTTCCAGATCTGCCTCATTGTCAAGCTCAGCAACAATCCCGATACGATTACACTTTCCGTCTGGCGGCCACAAAATCACCCTAATTCCGGCTCACAGCTCCGGAGAAGACATGTTTCCGCGATTATCACCGATACCGCAACTATCACTCGGGGCCGTCCCGATCCTGTGGTCCGATTCGAAAGTCATATATCGCCCATACTCACTCCAACCGAGATCCGACTTCCTGTAGCAGCTTTCACTGGGTATCAGCTTCCGCCTGGTGTTCATGTCAACTTTGGGGATAGTATTGTCCTGACAGAAGAAGACTTGATAGAGTTTGGGAGACTCCACTGGATTCCGGGAAATGGTTACCAGTGATGGTGACGGCGCACTCTACTCCTACTCCCTTCTTCCTCTCTGTTTTATTGCTCTATGCTCTAGCTGTATACGATGCTTATGCTGATGACTTTCACGATGTGCTTATGATAATTATCAATATTCTTCTTGTGGTTCAAGCGAGTCCTACTTCTCCATGTAGCTAAAGTCAGATCAAAACTCCACAGCGGCCACAACTGGACAAGAGAAAAGCCGGAGGAAAGCTTACCGTGCAGACAGCCTCGCCTGTCATAGAAGAACTACTATTACTGCCTCACTAGAGTCTGGACACATTTTTAGTACAGCGGTAGATTCCTACAACATCACCCATCTCCTTGCTCATCTCATGCTTGGTGACTCGGGCGTAGTAGACTCAGAAATACTTCCAGTCTGCCTTAATTGCACTGGCCTTTCTGTATCCCTTTAGATGACGACCCTTGGTATTGTACTATAGCTCGAGACAGAAATTCAGGAACCGGTGCATGTCGTTCAGTGTTGCCTGCTGCAACACCTCTTCTGCATCTTCCCACTTCAGATCAGCTGATGGTTGAATCGCGTTGACTCAACAGTATCTAACAGCAGGTAGCAACAATGGTCAAGCGGACCAAAAGCCTTCGGGAGGAGGCTAAATAGAACAGAAAGCTAGTATTATTATTATTATTCTTCTTCTTCTTATTATTATTATGACTATTTAGTAGGTAGATGGCTAAATATGGAGCTAAGATACTTGTTGCAGACTGGCTGCTCTATCTTGCAGGATGTGGATGTGTATCATGGGTTGCCCCGCCTCCCTCATCCCACCAAGATATCGTCATCGTGCTGCGGACAACTTGCGATAAGTGAACTACTCTTGCGAGGCTTAGAACTTGCAGGATGATCACTTTAATCTCAGATGTCACGTCATCCTGCTTTGAGGACAGACAATCCGAGTATGGAAGAATCGCAACTCGGCTTTATACAGTAAGGTAGTGAAGATTGTTGGATGGGATGGGGTGTAAACAAGTGCTTCCTATGTATCTAGATATGAGATCCTAAGATCACACAAGCCGCGGCAGAAACGTTCAAGAAAGAGTCAATTTATTTGTCCAAATTGACACTCTCTCATGCCGTAGATAATAGATATGGTTCAAAATGGCGTAACCTCAGCCATCGAGAGAATCATGAAAGCAAAGATGGCTGCCTTCCCAGGGTTTCCCCTCGTCACCTGAGTCTTCTGTCTTCCTTATCATTATTATTATCAGCCTTGATCTTAGACTGGATTCCCCTCCCCCTTTCCCCCGCAGGTGATATAAGCATCGCTTGTCCCGCTCCAGCCTCTCTCTCTCCCGTGCTGTAACTTGTAATCCACCTTCCATCAAACAAACCACACTGTCTTCTCTGCAAAGAACAATCAAACTCTCTACTCGAAGCCTATCCACTTCCCATATCCGGAAAATGCCTTTGTACAACGTACGTTGCAAATGCAACGTCCTCTCCACCAACGCCTATGTCACGAACTAAGTCTCTATCTTTGCAGGTTACCCTGAAGCAGGATGCTCCCCCAGAGGAGCTAGAGAAGTGAGACCATCCTTTCAAAACTTCTGGAGTGATCGATAACTAACGCGAGTTCCTACACCAGAGCGAAGGAGACGGCCAAGTCCCAGGGCGGTACCATCAAGCACGAGTTCAGTCTCATCAAAGGCTTCACGTAAGACATCCCGTGTCTTCCTATACACACACTGCAGCCCATCGAGAGTCCCGGCTGATGATCTTTGGTTCGTTTTCCAGAGTTGAATACCCCGAAGACCACGTCGGCCCCCTCCAGAGCAACGACCACGTCCATGTCGAGGAAGACCAGGAAGTTCGGACTCAGTAGACAGGAGGGACCCGGGCTTGGCTATTGCCGCATATCGCTGCGCTGCGCCAGTCACCGGCCATGAGACACGATACGGATGCTGGGGAGACTATCAGAACAGCATATCTTAGAGCTGGATCTCGGCTACAGAGCATCTGTCGCCATATGTACGCTTGATAGATAGTCGACTTTTGTACTTACGATATGGAATATTTATCCAAACGAAGCGAAGCCCGTCTGTTTGTTCGTACTTCGGCATAGTAAATGAGCATGTCGATCTTGCTTTAGATGATGACCCTCACGTGGCTATGCCTGTTTGGGCATAGCCCACTGCGGGTATCGATCCGCAATAATGCAGACGGTGTTGAAGTCATCGTTGGCTTCAATCGGGACTCAGTCATGCTCAGCTCGATCTACGATGGCTATCATCATCCATCATGACAATCGCGAAAATGCTTCGAGCATCCGCTGTGAGGTGCACACCCCGGCCTAAGGTTCAAACATCATATCCCTCCCCACGTCAGACACGCTGTCACTCGATATCGTCGTCTCAGCAGCAGCACGAGTTGGCCCTTCGCCAACCGTTTGGACATGGCGCAAACGACGAGGTCGCGCGACTTGCAGCCAGCCGCCGACGCCCCTTGACTCTCGCAGATCTACTCAAGTGAGTCGGTATCGTCCCATACATACACATAGTCTGTAGCGCAAAGCTGATGCTCGTATTTCCCCCCAGGCATGGACGTCCACCTCTGTCGAAAGATGCGCTGCTTGCGTCGGCGAATTTCACCCTCTCTCTCCTCCCTGCAAGGCTAGCATCTCGTATCCAAGCGCTGCGGAACCTCCCCTTTATCGTCGTTTCGAACCCTCACGTCTCGAAGATATACAACAACTACGTCCACTCCTTATCGACTCTTCTTCCCTATCAACAACGTCAGGTGACAACGCTAGAAGAGGAGACCAGATTCGCAGATGTACTGGCAGATCTGGTGCATACGCACACAAACACAATCCCTATCCTTGCGCGCGGGTTTCTCGAGTGTCGGAAGTACATCAGCTCCGCAGATGTGACTCGGTTCCTTGATACCCATCTGCGGGCACGGATTGGCACTCGGTTAATCGCAGAGCAACACCTGGCCCTTCATTTTGCTTCGCAGCCAGCCACAGATGGCGGATCCCAGTCGCCTCAAACACCTGAGAACTCGGTTCCATCAAACTACATAGGCGTCATTGACACGGCCCTCCAGCCGGCGCGCATCGTCAAGCTGTGCGAGGACTTTGTGGGCGAAATATGTGAGCTGAAGTATGGGGTGCGACCGCGGTTGAGGATCGGAGGCCAGCCGGATGCTACGTTTGCGCATGTCCCCGTGCACGTGGAATACATCATCACCGAACTATTGAAGAACGCTTTTCGAGCGGTCATCGAATCGGGGAACGAGCGGGTCCCTATCGAAGTCACGATTGCAGCCGCGCCCGATGTTCCTAGTCACGACGCGCACGACGTGTGGCGAAGAACACCTAACGCCCCAGGCAGTTACTCCGACTCGGACGTTGGGTTTGAGTTCGACACGGTCGTTGGCACGGCAGATGCCAACGAATCGATCAAATCGACAACTCCGTCGTCGCAGAGCATCACCATTAGAATCCGGGATAGAGGGGGCGGGATCCCTCCCGAAGTAATCTCCAACATCTGGTCTTACAGCTTCACCACCTTCAATGACTCCAGCATGCGGGACTCGGATAACGGGAACCTCGACGCGCTGAATACCATCTCCGCCAGTGGGGGGCAGCTGAGCAGCATTGCCGGCCTTGGGTATGGGCTACCGCTCAGCAGGGCGTACGCCGAGTACTTCGGTGGCAGTATTGCTATCCAAAGCCTGTGGGGATGGGGGACCGATGTCTATCTGACTCTGCAGGGAGTTGGCAAGATTGAATGACCTTGAGTATTGATTTGTCATGATATCCTATAGCGTTCAACTTGTGGTCAAATCTGGCTCTTTTACCACGCCTTCATTACTTAATAGTTTCCAATCCACGCACAAGTAAACCGGTCGGTTTCAGAACAATTTTCATTTTTCATGGAACGCCTCAGATGCTAGGTCATTATCCCTTCGTATCGCACCAACTGTCTCGTGGATGGTACATCACAATCTTGAGGCGGTTGCGCTCCGCCTCGAAAAGAGATCGACAAACTCCATGACCGACAGAGTATCGTTCTCCACAGCCTCCAGGATTTTTGTTATCTCGTCTTCTGAAAACATTAAATGCATGTTCGTCATGAACTTCTCACGGACTCCTCGGCCTGTCGCAGGATTCCGTACGTGGCCGACGGGATATTCGACCAGGACTTCGGGCAACACAGAGCCGTCCTGCAGGTGGACCGTCAGTCCGGAGCCGACACTCTTCTTGTCTAGGTCCAGATAATCCTTTGTGAGTTGCTCGTCAACCTGAATGGCGATCTTGTCTCGCAGCGAGGCAAGGTCCTCGCTTGTGGCCCAGCCGCTGTTGTCTCGGTAGTCCCCAGCCTCCGGGGCCATGCCCTTCAAGAAGGCGAGAGCAACCACATATTGAATGCAATGATCGCGATCGGCGGCATTATAGAGCGGCCCCGTCTTATTGATGATCAAATCAGCCGCCTGGGTAGTACGGACATCAATCCGAGCGACATGCTCCGGCCCCAGGCGTCCAGCGCGAAGTCGACCCAGCTGCACGAGCGCAGCCTCCACGGCAGCAATCCCATGCCCCTCGACCGGCATCAGCTTGAACAGAACATTCCGCACGGTCCAGACGCCAAACGGCCTCGGCAACTCGAACCCCTTCGGCCCAAACGTCCGCGCATAGAACCCCCACGGCGCAGAACCCAGCGGCTCCGACACACCGGGCTGTCCGGCGCGCACCAGCAGCGCGAGATGCACCGCGCGCATGCCCGCGTCGCCGGCCGCCCAGCCCTTCCGCGGGATCGTGCTGTTCCGCGCCCGGTAGACCCGGCTCGGGTGGCCGTCCATCCAGACGTGCGATATGGTCGCCATCGTCTGCGCCTGCGTGAGGCCCAGCAGCCACGCCACGACAGCCGCCGAGGCGAGCTTGACCAGCACCACGTGGTCGATGCCGAACGCGTTGAACGCGTTCTGCATCTGGTAGCAGCCCTGGATCTCGTATGCTTTGGTCAGCGCCGTGAGCAGCGTGCGCATCGTCAGTGGCGGGCCGGTATGCGTGTATGCGCCTGCGGCCGACGCGCGACACAGCCAGTCCATGACGGGTAGGATGGCGCCGAGATTATCTTTTTATACGGGTCAGCTTTCTCTCCACAGGATTTCGATATCCAACCCCGCCCTCCTCCCCCGAAAGGAAAAAACCATACCCGACGGATGACCCCATTCCGCCCCGCCTAGAGCGTCATTGTGGTCCAGGTACCGGATCAGCGCACCCATATCGAATGCGCCCTTAACCGGGTCCAGACAATACTCCGTGCCTGGGAGCTTGAAGCCGTGCGGGACCATAGTCCCGGGCACGGGGGGACCAAGGAGTTTGCGACACTCGTCGCTCGTGGCGAGGGTCTCGATCGCGCAGCCCATGGCGTCTAGGAGGGCCACGCGCGCCGCGGACCAGGCGGTTTCGTCGTCGATCGTGTAGTGGAAGACATAGTGGGTGATGTCGACTATGTATTTCTCGTACGGGCGGGCCATGGGTGGGGGTGGATGTTGGGGGGGGGTTTGGCTGGGATTCGAAGGGGGTACGCAAATCGCTCGTTGTATATGAGGTCGGGATTCAGATATTGATGAGGGGGTTGGGTTTGCAAATTAGATGATACCA